CAAAACGCCCCGGGGCCCACTCCACCATTTGTCACCTGTCTCGGTCACCCCCCCCCCCCCCCCCCCCGGGGCGCTCTCTGTTTAAGCTGTTGGGGAAAGATTGGCATCTCAAAAGTAAGAAAAGCGGACAAAACGCCGATCCGGCTGACTGACTTGGGAGATCTGCGCGCGAATGGTGCAGCAAGCCATCTCACCACGCGCCCACTATCTTATCCTCTCTGTTTCTTTCCTTCTCTTTGTCCCATTGCCGAATGTCGCACTCGTTGCCGGCATACGGATCCAACGGTGTGAGTGGTCGCTGGTGCGTCTTCATAGATAAGGGGCTTCGGTCGAGTGCTTATGCTCGCCGTTGTACGACGCCAGCGGCCGTCTCCCGACCTGAGACTGGTGAGAGCAAGCAGCCCTCTTGGCATTTGCTTGCCTTCCATTCGCCTCTTCTCCCCTCGCGGTCGGCTTCGCCGCGGTGTGCGGCGGACGGTGGGGGGGAATGCGCCATTCCACATCTTTCTCCAGCCAGACTGCAACCAAGCACCATCCCCGTCATCCCCGGTGGTGGCCCGGCTCCGTCTGCGGCATGAACTCTGGGACATTGGACGAAATAAACAAGCACGGTGCCGTGCTGTCAGTGTCATTTAACTGAAATCCTCTGTCCCCTTCCCGACACCCGTTCGCAGGCGTCCACCCATGTGTCAAACAGTCAAATACCTCCCGGCCACATCCTTCTCATCAATCTTGTATTGTCTTCAAACACAAATCCTTTTTTGCCATCCTGATGCCCGCTGCTAGGATTCGCCAAGACCATATTGCCAAGCATCTTCAGACGAACCGCGGCCAAGGAAATTGAGTCCTTTTGTATTTGATGTTTAGTTTAGTCTGACTATGTCGACTTTGCCCGCGCCAGCAACGGCGCCAAACTCCAAAGGCGCGGGCGTCCGCCGAAACCCCTGAACCGTTAGGGTTTTTTCCCAAGTCAGGGGGATGAAAACAAGTTTGGCGTCTCCAGGAGGGTGTGCCTCGCATAATGATTGCCACAGTTCCATTTTACAAACGGCGTGTGCGGACACGGTTTTTCTTCTCCAGTTTATTACTGCCAGTACGAGAAGGCCGTCGGGATTTATTACGACTCGCTGCGACGTAGGAGAAAAACAGACGACCAGCCCGGTTTCTATTTTTAGTTTTCATCATAATAAGTGAGCTTATTATGTCGCGCCACGCGGTCACCCGCGCGCACGCGCTGCAATTCAATCCGGATCAACATTGACAATCAATCTCATGATAAGGATAAGGCCGATCACATGCGACGACGCCGTGAGCCAAGATTGTCTTTCACGAGATTGCTTGCTTGGCGGAACATTGCCTCATTCACACCGAGAAGTGCTCGATGACTTGATTCTGAGTCTTGGGAGAGGATGCATCCCACCGCCTCGACGGTCTCCGCGCGCTTTACGAGGGACTCGGCAGGGGACGATGACGATCCCGCCTCACGTCGATCCGGGAGACTTCGGACCCCGGCAGCCCGGGCAACGACTTCAGCCCGACCGCAACAGGTGAAGATCGTGTGCTGATGATGTAATCGTGAGAAGGTGAATGCCGCGTGAGCCCACGTCGCAATCCGTACCCGGGTTGTGGGGGACACACGACCTCCGCCAGACCCCGCGTTCATCGGGAGTTTGTTGATATTGACAGTGCACAAGATATGAGCTCTCAATTGGTCGCGGCTCTTATCTTGAGTCGTTGACGTGGGGTACAGAAGGTGTCGTGGTTGTATTCGTAATCTACGGTCAGTGAGGCGTTCATCTTGCTCCACGATGATCGTCTGCGTTGCATCTGGGGAAAGCTCAATGACCCAGGCGTTGATCGGTTGTTTAGTGGACTGGAGTTGCATCGGCGGCTCTGTTTATGATTGGAATTTGACTACTTTCAAACTCAGTGAAGCCAAGAACATCGCGTTTGAGTCTCGTAGACACATACCTCGTGATGGCTGCTGGGTTGGAGGATCGTCGATCTGAACCATGTTATCTGGAAATCAGGCTGTTAATACACATATGCATCATGTATATAATATTATCAGATTCTGCGGAGATTTCACGCTGCTCACTGTCCTGTCATGCTGCTTACTTACTAGCAAGGGTTGGAGGTGCTCTCAATGCCTCACTTTACATACTATTTCTCCTTTGAGTAGATACAAGAACCCAAGTCCTCGTAATGAACCGAACGGGACAGAATTCTGGGTTGCTAATTACGAGCGTTCCCGGCCTGACTACAGTCGCATTCCCGTCATGCTTTGTCCTCCTGTTGCCATCAACAACATACAAGCAAAACAATCGCAAACGAGGAGCTGAGCACGAGTTCCGTACAGTCACCATAGAGGCGTAGATAGCACAATGACTGAAAACCTACGTCGCAATCTGCATGATCAAGCCTATCTTCAATTATTCACTAAAGTACAATTCCCATTGAGCACACCATATGTCTGAACCATCAGCAAAGTCCTGGTGCCTTTGCATGTCGGCTCTGTCCCAGACTGGTGACCATCTCGCAGAACCAAACCCGGCTGAAGCATTCAAAATGAGCAGTCAACCATCAGTTGATGTCAAATTTGATAATCCACTTGTCTGCACCGTACACTTCCTGGCGTGTAAACTCGATGCCCATGATCTCAAAGGTTTCTGCCCTCAGCGGAGAAGGAGGACGACGAGGAGGGCTTTCTTGACGTCGTACTTGAGGTTGGCCGAGAGGCTGTCCGAAGGGTTGTCCAAGGGGTTGTCCAAGGGGTTGTCCAAGATGTTGCCCAAGATGCTGTCCGAGAGGTGGCCCGAGAGTTTGTACGAGGGACGGTCCCATGTTTGGACCCGATGATTGCTTCAAGGCTGCTACCCTGGGCTTTTGAACTGGTACTCGGGGAGGTGGCTCCGGCTTCTCGAGTGGCGGCTGCTCAGGCAAGCAAGCAACCTTGACTCGACATGTCGACAACCCCTTTGCGAACTCAAAATCGTCTTGCTCGATGACTCGAAATGTGTCAAAGAAGATGAGATTCTTGAGTTTCAACGCCGTGAGAAGATCCTTCACAAACTGAATGAACTTATCCTCGTGGTGCGTCTTGTCGTGGGTGGGAAAGATGACCAGCTTGCTCAGCCGGGGCATCGACTGGGCCATCAGCCTTCCAGCACTCCCGTCCACACTGCTCCAGAAAGCCGGCTGGCCAAAGTCAGACCGCAGCGCGAGGAGCTTCACGCGCTTCAGAAATCCCGCGAACACGTCTGCTGGTGATACGGTTCCCCCCTGTCGGCAGATGAACGGGCTGGTGCCGATGTCCGAGGCGTAGAGAGACATGTCGATCATGTGCTTGCGGAAGATGTGGTCGAGAATCTCGTCTCTGAGCTGTCGGCAGACCTTTAACAAGCTGTGAAGTTGTTGGCTCGCTTCGTGGGGATGGCCGGTCCTTGGGCTCAGGGCGAGGAACGTCTGCTCTGGATGGCCCAAGGCGCCGTAGAACTTGTGCTCGGGTGTTCCTAAGAAGGAACAGTATTGCGCGTAGATGGCGCCTCTGGTTTCCCAGGGGATGTTGAGGAGCGTGAGGCCTTTAACGCCTGCGCAAGCGCTATTTGCTCCAGCGACTTTCTCTCTAGAAGGGTGGTTGTCAGTTTCGGAAAGTCCTTGAGTCTCTGTAATGCTGTTCAGAGTCTGAACACAAACCTAGTAGATCCCTTATCTCTTTGCTCCATCCATGTCGCGTTCTGGTCGGAGGCCATCGCGGCGAGTTTGTCGACGCGGCAAGAATCTCGAGAGCGGCGTCCTGTGCCTTTTGCTTCTGCGCCTTTTTCTCCTCTTCTATCTCCTTGGCTGTCATGTACGGGCCGCCGATGTTGTGCGAGTATTCCGAGCGACAGCCCTTTATGCGAGAGAAGAGGGTTAAGCCATTTTTTGAGCCGATGGGCTGGCCGTCGCACTTGCAGCCTGGGTCCTTGTGGAAGCATCTCAATCCTTCCCACTTGAAGTATGAGTTGTCTTTATCAGATCTAGGCTCCATTGTTCGTGGTTTCTTTGCTACGTGAAGTGCGTCAGGTACTGGATTCTGGGTTGTTCGAGATGAATGAGACTGAACAGAATTGTATCGAAGCGGACAGTCGGACTTGTAAAGTACTCTACTGAAAACTTGAAAACTTGCAAGACATCTCTTAGCAGGAGAGCTGGACTATAAGGTCTTTAGCTCAGCCATCGGAGATACCTCCAATCAGTACGGGTCCAAAAGGTGCCAGCCATTTCGATGGGAATAGAAATCAAACTTCTGCACTCTCAAATTTTCACACAGTCAAAACAGACTTTGGCCGTGATGCCTAAAAGTTCATTACAGAGTGATGAGCTGAGATTGCATTTGTCGTCTCCGCTACTTGGTACATATTATTCGCATCCGTCGCATTCGCTTGATGTCTAAGCCAACCAGAAACCAACACAAAGTACCAAGTTGTTCCTAAATCGACAGATCATAGATTGCCTAGACACAGCATCCTTTTTCTATTGGTTGCCAGCATCTTCTGCGCCGCAATGGTACGCATCATTTATTTAATTGGATAAAGTGACTGTTTTTTTCTAGGTATTACAGTATACAGCAATTGCACATGGCGTTTCAGGAAATACGTGCTGGAGGGTACGAGAACCAACATGAGCTTCGGACAAGATATTTCGACTTCTCTAGAGCGAAGAGAAAATAACATCAGTTGTAAGTTATGGATTTCGTGTCCTGGAGTCTTCGATCTTCTAAAATAGCTTACAAGCTGCAAGTCGACCTCGAACTCAACCAATGGCAAGATGCTGGATGTTTGGTTGAGCCTCAACTTGTTCATGTCCCCTGTCTGTTCATGTGCTCCTGCGCCGCAGGACAACAGCAGTGAGCAATACCTTGCCTTGGCATCAAAAGATCCCATCAAGCCACCAAGCAGCCAAGACTAAGACGCGTACTTCGTGCTTGTTTCCGGGGGCAAAGCAATCGAATAGAATGGCTTTCACATCGAAGCTTGTAGGCGGAAGCCCTGATCTTAAAAGCGAGAAGGGTCTGCTTCCTTCCACCAGATTCTGGCCTACATGAAATTTCTCACCCCAGAGGCTGTCAGTGTTCTTTCGAAAGTTTTCCCACTTGTCTCTAACAAAGTAGCACCAGCGGCCATCGGAGAAAGTACGCATACGGATAGTCACCAAAATGTCAGCACCGCCACTCGACTGGAGCGTTTGGCTGTTTGAGCCATCGCTACCTCTGGCTATCGTTGGAACAGTCGTATACACCGCAGTGTTTGCCTGGATTACCTACCTCACCTGCTTCAAGCATCGGTCATGGTATTTTGTCTGCGTACCGATCGGCGCGTCTTTTGAGGTCACTGGATATGCGATGAGGTGCTACTCGACTCAAGCTCACCAGAACATTGTAAGCAAGCCTTTTCCATTACATCTCCGAAGTATGTGATGAAGAGCTTGGTACCTACTAAGGATCACTGTTCCCAGGGTATCTTCGCCACGAGTACCTCTTTGATCGTCCTCGCACCGCTTTTCGTTGCCGCCGGCAATTACCTCCTCATTGGACGCCTGATCCGTGCCGTTCTGCCCCCTTCTCGACATCGCATCTTCAAAATACCCGCGAGGCTGCTCACTCGGATCTATGTCACTTTCGACGTTATCTGTCTTTGTGTCCAGTCATCCGGGTCGTCGATGGCGAGCGCCAACAGCTGGATCGGCCCTTTGAGCGACATCGCCATGAAAATCTTACTTGGTGGGCTTGCCCTGCAAGTCGCAGTCTTCTCGACGTACCTCTGCATTTTGATGCGCTATCACAAGTTGTCTCACGACTTGGCAGTGCCGGATGCGCCTGCGGGATGGTTCAATATCTTAAAGGCCGTGTATACTTCAAGTTTCCTGATCCTGGTATGTACACCGTTGTGGCCAGCATCGAATTCCTTCTCCGATGAAGCAAAGTTTGACTAACAACACTGTGAAAGATCCGCTGCATTTACCGAATGATCGAGTTCGCGGAGGGTCCAGAGGGGTACACCATGAGACACGAGTGGATGTTCTGGGTCTTTGAGGGCATTACCATGCTCGTTGCGATCTCTGTGTTCTGCATCTGGCACCCGGGTAAAGTTCTTGGTCAATTTGGTGGACGAGAGAAGCAACCCCATAGTTCGGGTGAAGGGGTTGCGAGGCCTACTGGGGGATAGTCAGCAGATAAACTTGTACCTTCTGTGCTAGACTGCATTAGATAAGGAGCGGGTTTGCTGCCAGTACTGGAGAGATAATGTCGGTCTCGATCGATGGTCTAAGACCAGAAGGGAACAAATCCTCAAGGTTGTCTTATTTCGTTGCAACAAACCAGAGCCCGGACAGAACGGTTGTGCATATTGACATCACGTCCGGCAACGTGCCGTAGGGCCCAAAAAAGAGTTAATTAGCACTTCCACATGCAATGACAGAGACTTCCAGTAGCAGGAGAACACAGAAAATAACGACATAGGGGACGTTGATGCATCGCGAGAAGCTCCGTTTCTTGCATACAGGACATAATTCCCGAGATGATATGCGTTATGCGTAAATACATATACGGGCCAGTGCCTCATGGACTGGAGTTGAATTCAGGCATCATGCACAGACTGCACGCATCTTCCAACGACCACCGGACCTCCGTGGAGCTTGGTCCGTGGTTGATATAGGGTCCGGGCAAACCATCCGGACTTACCGGCCATGAATGACGAGCTTATTCTTATTTTCTCACGATGAAGAGCCGACGGAAGGACCGGCGTTGCAAACTCTGAGGCGTCTGGAGCAAGCTCTTCCAAGAATGTCATTCGGATGCGTGAAGGGAGAGCCCTGAGTGCAGGCGTATCCGGCTTGGGGCTCAACAAGCTTCTCAGAGCCTCAACTTAAATTCAACCCGAGCGTGGAGTAGTTGAGCAAGGTTCATTCTTCATCGATAGTAAACCTCCGTCAATCTAGATTGCTTTCTCACTCAGCTGCTTACTCCTTTCCATGCAACTTTACTTCCCTTCCATCTGGTCGGCAAAGGCCATGGGTGTGATAACCTATTTCGTGACGTGGAGCCTTTGCATGCTCGGCTTGGGTCTCGCTGCCCCTGCTGGTCATATCAGAACAAGAGATTTACAGAGCATTCAAGGGGCGTTTGTGTCCGTCTCGGTAGCAGCGTCCAATTTGGACATTGCAGTCAGAGTAAGCACCGCTCGCAACGAACAACAACGTGGAGGTTAAGATACTGACAAACCGTAGAGTGTAACGGGAGATCCAGCTAGTGCGCAAGCTCTTGCACCAGCATTGAAAGGAATCGAAAATGCCATGGCACAAGCGCGTGTAGACGCCACGCAGAGTCAACCAATATCGATTCCCGATGGCCAGCTTCTGCAACAATCCGCGGATACTTTCGCGAAGAGCGTTAAGATCATGGTCATGTCGTCGATGCTCCAACGCACAGCCTTCGATCAGCTTGGCATGACTCCGATGGTCCTCCAATCGTTCAAGAACCAGAACGTTCTCTCTGAAAGCTTTCGTCAGACTGTCCTCTCAAAGCTGCCTGCTGAAGGTCTATCCGGATCCATGTCGGCCTTCGGTGGTGCGGCAGGGTCTATTGGCATGGCGATTTCGACGTTCAGCACTGCACCTTTTGCGTTGCCCCTTTCGCCGGGAACTCCGCCGCCAATGGCCCCGGCCCCCGCTCCGAATGCTCCACCGGCAATACTCCCGCCCGCGGCACCAGCTCCAGCAGTTCCCGCCCCAGCAGTACCGGCTCCACCGACGGCCCCTCCACAGGAATTACCGGCTCCGGCCGCTACTCCCGGCGCCACAGCTCCCGCAACACCAGCTGAACCGCAACCGCAGACACAATCACATCCCCAGACAAATCCCAATGTAATGACAGGACGAATACGTAGGGTCAGAAAGTTGGGTCGAGAATGATCGACTCAGGGTCCTGGCTTCGTGTAACTTTTGTAAGATGGCTTGCTGGCGTTGAGAGAGTTGCGCTCAAGGACAAAAGTTGATATTAAGCATAAGCAAGTTAACAAATAATTCGGTGAATCAGACCATTCCTGATGCTGTAGCTTCAATATTGTGACCATGTTGTAGAGTATAGTTTCAAGGTACTTGTGACTACATGTATTTGCCACGGCCTTCCAAACGATGGAAAAGTTGTTTGGAATTCTGTCTACTTACTACTGCGATGGTCTCATTTGCTCATACTGGTAAACATCTCCAAGCTCATCTTAACGAATTATGTTGACAGAAGCCTCTTGTTTTGTCCAAGTCAGCACATGTACATGCAGGCTTTTCGCAACCCAACTTAAGGATATATCCACTGACGTGGACGCTCCATTTCATTCTTGATCATAAAAGTATGTGTGATACGTACTTAATTCCCGCACTGCGAGTCACTCACCGTAGCGAGTACTTCGCAAGCCTCTTTTGACTCGTTAAACACACGAATCCTATGGTAGAACAGCATCGGATCTCTCCTGAACCGGAACCCCAGAAAATCGTAAGTGTCATCACGAAGATGATTCCGACCTGAAGCGATCATGGAAAACAAGGATTCTGGACCACTGGGCTTGCGCTTCTCCGCGTTGAGGCTTTCCGAACCGATGTCCGGACTGGCAGTTGCAAACTCCCTGGCCGACGTATTCAATCCTACACATCTGGAATGAAAACCATTGAAGCCAAGACAGACAATTTCAATGCGTTGAAGAGTGCTTAGAGAAAGCTCCCGGGCCATAATCTCCGCCCCACTGTTCGTACCAGCTAGCCGGACAACTTCCAAGGACTGGAGCGTCGTAATCTCCTCCAAGAACAGCCTCAAGGATGTGTCCTCGCATAGTCCCCGTGGCGAAGGTGAGCCCAGTGTACTGCGAGACACCGGAGTGATGGTGAGCTGTCGGAGACTCGACATGGAAGCTTGGTCTATGAGTTCTCTGCCAAGCTGTTTGCTGTGGTCGCGCAATTCGTATGCATTGCGGATCCAAACAAGCTCGAGGAAGCGAATTCTCTGCAGAAACGGCGTCAAAGCCGAGAACGGCGTCTGGCAAGGAATATCGAAGACAAAGATGTTCCAGCGGCAGATAAAGTCTAGCGCCTCGGATCGAATCTGGTGACAAATCTGGAATAGAGGCGCCGATGGAAGCCAACCTTTTAAAACCGGTACGTGATGGCTTCGTTTCTGCAACCGTTCCCTGAAATCCAATCGAAGATGCATGGGCAAGCCAAATTGGCGGTATATTTCGTCGCGGATTTCTCGAGGAAGCAGAAAGAATCGGTTGACTGGTGGTGTTGGTAAAATATCTTTTCGTCGTTTGACAGTGGACGGTTTCTTGCCACTCTGCTTTTTTGCTCCTCGCGTCTTCGCCATGTTTGAATCTTATGAGATCTATTCGAAGGTTGAACCTTGTCAGAGGTGATAGGCTACAGAATCGAAGAACTCACGTGGCTACTCAACACTGCGAATTTGTTCTGAGACCAACAAGCAGAGGAACTGCAAGCTGCGGAAACACGAAGATGAAGAAGAAAAAAAAAGACTGGCACATAGGCATCTGCGATAGCCAACAAGTTCAAAAGGGTTGACCCCCAAGGCGTCTAACACCTTTATGTCTGTTTGGAACATATGGCATGGAAAAGTTCGAGTCATCCATGGATATCCGCAAGTGTTATCCCTTTCGTCAGCGATGTTGTTGGCTATGTTCATAACGGCCGCTAAATCAATCAAAGAACTTGTGCGTCACCCTCAATATAGCCTGTTGACTATGGTTTTCGCTCACTATAAATGACTTCCTTGGTTGGAGAGGCATAATCCCATGAGTGAAGAGTAATATTCCTAACACAAGTGGAGATGCATATGGGCATTTACATGTACATGTTGGTTTGCTTGGAGACCCCACCACCCTTTGCATGCTTTCCCCACCGCCAGGACCAAAATTATCATTATTCCTAAGCTATTTTCATGACTCTTTCAACCGTCAGGCCGACAGTTCCTGCCATGCCATTTGCCAGGGGCTCTTCAAACCCGTAAATCGCTGGCCAAACCCTGATAAGCTTATTCCAGAGCGTTGCCGCAACCGTGATCTCGATATCTAGTTCAGTTAGTTTCGTGAAACAAAACATCTCTTCTGGGACCTGTGGATGACAGAGAAACTCATGAAATAGGTATACTGACCATTTACTGCATCAAAAATCACGTAATCGGTAATATCAATAGGATGACTCTTGAACCAGTCTACACCCTCCACATTTCGCTCATTGACTTTGAGGTCCCATGAGCCCTCGATCTCTGGCACATGGAGTAGCACCGAAAGATCACTAGAGTCGCTGTTACCACTTTCAACCACAACACTTGTGTTGTATACTCCAATACCCGAGGCGTACTCGAGCCCTGTGATGTTGGTCCATGGAAGCAGTGGCGTCCTCAAGTCTACAGGTGGGAGCCAAGTCTTTGCGGTTGCGGTCGAAGCGTTTCCAGTTGCGTTGGGGAATTCTGGTGACCAGTCCTGCACTCGCAGCGTCCAAACTGAGGGCGAGATTGCCTTGGGAACGTTGTCTGAGTTAAGCGTGATTGTCTGGTTGGAAGATGTTATGGCGCTGCAAGTTGTATTGGATGATATCCAAACTGTGTTGTTGCGGACCATCGACCGGCAATCCGTTGATTTGAGATACGTTGACAGGGCTTGGGCTGAAAACGGGTTTGAAGAGCCAATGCTAATCACACAATTAGTACATCAGTATATCGTAAATAATCAAGAGGCGACGCCTTACAAGATAGCACACACAGCCGACGGAGACAGCGAAACGTTCAAAGCAATAAAGTCGTTCTCGACAGAAAATGCTGCAATAGGCCTAACGTCGCCAGTCCAAAGGTCGATCTCATACGGCGATCCAGTTCCAGCAAGCTGAATGGGTATGCGTAGATGCTCAGCAGCGTTGTTGTAGATCCAGTACAGATAGCCATCGTCAACCGCACGTCGGTATGTGATGACGCTGCCGTTGCCCGGTCCTTGCGGGTAAGTGACCGGAGACAAGACACCGAGTTCACGGAGAGCACTGGGAACGGCGTCCGGGCCTGGAACGACCGCGGTAGTAGAAAGCTTTTTGACCTCTGAGAGAAGAGCGAGTAGCTCTGCATCGCTCGTGACTTGGTCGACAGAGTAGGAAAAGGTTGTCAGAGGAGTGGCGCCAGAGAATACGATAGGAAGACCACCCCGTCCGTAATCAAGCAGGTTCTTGGCCGTGCTTACATCCATGGCTGTCTGATTGTTGACCACCAGCGCGCGATATCTTGGGCCGTCCGGTGCTAGGACTCCATCTTGAACGGTAACGTTATGTTTCTCCAGGAGGTATGGTGTGGGAAATTGGTACGAGTATCCAGCATCATTGAGGGCGGTATCTTCCCACGTCGCTGTCACGCCCCAATCCCGGTTGAGAATAGCGACATCGATAGACGGCCTGCTCTCTTGCAGCAATTTCTGCGAATGTGCCAGGTACGTACTCGCAGTCTTCGCAAACATCCATTGCGGCTGTCTCGGGCCCCATGCATCGGCGAAGCCGTTCGATGAGGTTCCCAAGGGCAACGGCGTGAAGGGTGCGAAACCTGGCCAAAGGCTACTCGGGGAATCTTGGTAGGGGTATCCGTGGATGACGTTTTGGCTGACCCCGAGTGCCGAGTCGAGGTTCGCGGTACCTAGGAGGAACTTCCACGTCACGCCATAGGCCTTTCCGAAATACGCGCCGATTTCGTTGGATAGGATGGTCGTCTTCTGTCCGAGATCACGGCCTGTCGCGAGGACCCGGAATGAGTCAGGGGTACTGCCAAATCCGAGAGACTCGCCCTCAGGAATGTCGAGACGGCTGGCGATGTATGCGCTATCGAAGTTGAGGGTGTATGGCTGAGCGCGAAACTTGAGGCCGAGACTGTTGGCCCACTTGGTGACTCCCTCTAGACGATAATCGACATATAGATCCGTGATAGTCTTGTAAAAGTCATGAGTGATCTTCGAGGCAGTCAAGCTGTCTCCGGCGAAGGTGTTGGTATCTTTCAGGAGATATAGAAGGAATGGGGACAGATCGTAACCTCTCCTAGTATTGAATTCGCCGAGAAGGTCAAGAGTCCACAGCTGTTTGTACTTCAACTCTAAAGAGTCCTCGAAGATTGATCCATTGCTACTAATAGACACGTTAACATCAAGAAGCTCACATGCCAAAGCAGTCAGAATCCATACTCGCGAAGCAGTGCAACCAGATCAGGGGTCAATATGTTTTCCTCCCAAAACTTAACCCCTGCCTGAACACCGGCGGCGCTGAAATGATCAACAATGTAGCCCGGTGTAGAGTAAAGTTTGGGACCATTTGGCTGCACTGCAGTATAGTTAGATTGGGAATAATGGCCCCTTTCTCTGCCCGGCTCGACATACCATCGTACATGTTCTGAATCTGCCCTGTGCCACGGGCATAAGTGGCCACCAGCACATAAGCTCCATTGGTCGGCGCTGTCCAAGTAATGGAGTTGTTTTTGACAGAATCAGTGATCAATGTCAGGGTTGAAGGGTCAAAGTTGACTTCGCTGGCACTTTCATTCGCAGTTGTCGTCCGGGCGGCCAGAAGAGCGATAAGATACGGTGTGGCTTCCACAAGATTGCCCGTCTGGTTTCCTGATGGGGCCGCCACGGGTAGCGGCAGCTTCCCGGAGAAGGTATCACCTGCTTGGACAAATACCTGGCCATGAACCAGCTCTTTGGCGGTCTCGGGAGAGTCTGGAGTGTATCCTGGAAACCCAGTCGGCCAGTGAGGACCCAGCGTAAGATCTATATGAGCCCCGAGTCTGAACACAGGGTGTGAGTACGGTTTTCGTTCTCGGCATAGCAGAATGAGGCCACTTACTTGGAACCTTGTTCGTATGCAGTCAGAACACCATCGTTCCATCTTTGCTTTCCCCAACCATAAACAGTAGGATCCATGGCTCGCGTGACGCTGTCCCTGACGTCTCCAATCTCGCCGCCGCCGAAACCGGCATCCATTATGCTGGTGATCTCTGCGGCGACCTCAGAAGGCTCAACGTAGCCTCCTGGCCACCACCATCGGAACTGAGCCCGCTGGTACGAAGATGGCTCCGTCACCTTTCCCGCATTCCCAACGGTAGAGGCCACCAAGAAAGGAAGGACAGGCAGAAATAATACCGTCAGAGGCAGCATCATGTGTTTAAGAGAGTATGAGCTGATTTAGAGTACACTTCTACACTCGAAAATGATTGCAATTAGTCGCTCGCGATATCAGAATCCATTTTCAGCAACTTTACATTGTCCATGTTATATAAGCTACCCAGCAGCTTCTTCGGGTCAATTCCATCCGTCAACAGCCATCATTTGATGAGAGAAAATGTACTGTGATCTTGATGTAAAGCCTGTAAAGCTCCTTCGTGGTCCCGATAGACCTTCGAGACCACATAACGTAGCCCTTGCCAACAAGAGGAGTCGTGATTCGCTTGAAGCACGTACAACATCGGGCCTCGTCACCAGCCAGTGAACCTCGGCCACGGTCAAGAGGCAAGGTTAAGATCGACACTTCCCTCCCAATTTCTCGGGAGAAGCTCGAACGAGGCAGCGAGAAGTCCTATCACGACAACTGCCGGACCTCAAAATGGTCATCCGGAATGTGGGGGATCCCGGATCTCATCCTCCGGTCCACTTCCCCGCGATACTACCCCGGATTTTCCATCACCAATACCTGGAGTGCAGTGCTGGTCAGTCAGCAATGCAACGGCGTACTGCAACGGACGAAATAGCAGAGGTTTCAAAGTGATCAAAGAATCCCGTCATGGTTCACGTCATCCGGATACGGCGTTGATCTGAGGTGGTCGTCCAAAAGCGGAAGCGGGAGCCCCCGCCCGTCTCGGCCCTCCCGATCCCCGGCACGAGAACAAGTTTACGGTCGAGACCATCGGAGATAATGATGCCAAATACTTGAGATCTTAAGGTTTCAAGCTTCGCGGATGAAAGCTTCACCGATGAAACCGCAAAGAAGGAAAAATAAGCAACGGCCGAAATCTCCCCCCATCTTGTCTTACTCAAAACGTGGTTCACGATGGCTTCACTCCATCCCCCATCCGGCCCCGAGATCTCAGCATCAAACAGGCCCTCAAGACGATCTAGAACACCCATCGTAAATCCCAAAACAAGCATTTCACCATTCCATTCCCGGTCTTCCTTCCCTCGCCTTATCAGCCCAAACATCGCAGCGTTTTGAAAACCTCAGACCACCGCGGAATCTCCCGAGCCAGGCCCAGAACCACCAAGCGTCATCCCCAGCCCTGTACAGCCCTCCCTGGCAACCCGCCCACGCCACAGGTCTCGCGGCAGTTCGACTCTAGAGGGCATTTCTCGCAAGAGAGGCCAAAAGGGGCAAGGGCGATGGTGCCGTTTTCGTCCTGGGGGCTTTCGCAACGCTCGTGGTATTTCAAATCGCTACGTCTTCGTCCGCAACGGCCTTTGTTCGTGTCGGACGCCCTGGGGCGTGAGAATCGCAGATCACAACGTTCGCCACGCGGTATTTGGCGTGAAGGGAAAAAGAGGATTAGGTCGTGCTGGAAGCCACGGTTTGAGGTGTTCGGGATTTGATCGGATTCGGAGAGCACTTGACGTCGGTGATGGAAGACAACGTGGACGTTTGAGATACCATGAATGAGCACGTGCGAGATTGATGACGGGTATCATGAGATTTTACTGTCTTGGATTGTTGGATACTGAAATTACAAATGGTATAGCAATGTAACACATGGGATATCATCGTGAATCGTAATGCGAAAAGAAAGTCATTCCTCCCAGTCCTTGCGGCCTCGCCTAAGCCCTCATTGCCCTGAAGTACCTCACCACTCTGGTGAGTGTCGATGTAGACTCGAATGTCTCCACAGTGTCGCCCGAGTCCTCCGAGTCCAGTGAGTACCTCCTCTCCTTCACAAACTTGGGCCATGTGTTGGTCAGGACCAGGTACTTGATGCTCGTCTCAGCGTCGTCGAACACGCTTGCGGTGAAGGATTCCGGGATTTTGCCCCAGTATTGAACGCGATCGGAGATGGAGATTTGTAATGTGCCATCCTGTGATACCCTCGTCCTTGAGCTGGTAGGTGAGACCGGCGATTCGGGTCCGGCAGACCAGTTAGGGTCTTCAAAAGGCACGACGGGGTCGCTGAATCGTTCGGTTTGACGGCCGTAGAGAATCTGGGCAGCGTCTTCGAAGATGTTCTCGAGGTTCTTGAGGTCTTGTGATGCGATGTTGATCTGAAACTCGGCGTGGCGGGGGCTGATAAACTCGGTGTAGATGTTCAAAGCGCGGTTGAATCGTTCGCGGGTGAGCTCTGCTGACCTTCCCTCTCTGGACCTAGGTGTCTGAGGGATGGAAGACTTCCACTCGCAAACGGCGGAGAGGAAGGCGATGTTCTCCCCCGAAAAGTCCCTGAGGGCGGAGAACTTCCGGAGAGGCTCAGGGTTCTTGTCCAGGACGTACTCGAGGGCACCCATGGTGAAGACGCTCTCGGACTGGCTTGTATCTTTCTCAAGTTGCGCAAGGGACTTCCAGGTGGTGGAAGAAGAAGAGGCAACCCTGGTCGAGTCGGTGATGAACGAGAATCTTGCTTCGCGTTGTCGGTTCTTGGCTTCCCAGATAGCGATGGACTCTAAGGTCTCTTGGCGAAGTGTCTGATGCTTGATGACTTGCCAACAGGGGACGAAGATGGTGAAGATCTCGATGAAGGTGATGGACAAGCAGATCCTGATGAAAAGGTGTGAGTATCGTGGGATGGGGCGCACAGGCTTGCTTCATATAACATACCACTGAGGGGGGATGAAGTATCTATTGACAGGTGCCATCTCTGGCACATACAAGGCGACAAGCCACATAGGGGTAGCGTGCAGGCTGAAGGTGTTAGTGCGGACCGGAGTGATTTGGACCGGGCTTGCGCTAGCCCCGTTGTCACTCACCTTGAGACGCAGCATGCAATGGTCTGGAGGCGCCACCCCTGGGTGTCCTTGATTCCACGTGATTTCCAGAGGATGACGGGAGCAATCAGCCAGGCCCAGAAGAACTGCCAGAAGACTGAAGGCCACCACTCCCAACCTCTTCCCATCTCGACCTTCTGCTGCTCTGGCGTGCCCTTGGCCTCAGTCCCCGGGATACCGAACCAGGGGTGGTATTTGCGGGAGATCAGATACATGAACACCGTCAGGAGGAGCTGACGAGAACCTCATGTCAGCCATGTGGTCTAGATTCTGACAAGGCACGGTCCACTGCTTGTTTGTCACATACCTGGAGAAGCATGCCCGTGCACACGACGACGAGCATCTTGTTGCTGTAGTCTAGCTTTCGGAACCGTCCCACGAGTGTCTTGTCTCTGCAGTTGCAGGTCTTGTGCTCGGGCTCTGCGAGAACAGCCGGTTTGCCGGCGTATCTTTTCTGCGCCTTGGCGACGTGGAGGAAGCGGCTATTCGAGGCGTGGAAGAGCGCGATGCCGAAAGGGAGATAGAGGCCCATCACCCAGAACTCTGCGCCATCGGGGACGTACTGGCCGATTGCAAGACCGATCTGCACGGAAATCCAGTACAGGTGGAGCATGGTGACGGCTCCGAACGACAAAGCCAGACCGCGAATCCTCAGAAACGGCATTTGGCGGTTGACAAAGAGGAATGCCATCCCACAGAGGAGCAGGACTGTCCAGAATCCTCCCCAGGCGAGCCAAAACAGGGAGGCTGGTTCCGAGTTGAAAGCAGGCGCCGCTGCTGCGGGAGCAGCTGAGGGTGTTGACGTCGCCGCGGAGCCTGAATCCATGATTGCTGTCTGGTTACTCGATGCCGGTGTCTGGAGTCGTGAAGGGATCGGTGTTGGAAGATTCCCGTCGCATTGGGAGCTGGAAGGAGCGTGAGGAAAGAATTCCAAGACCCCGCCAAGTCAAGGTCCGAGGATAGACTTATAAGTTGGAATGCAATCAGGGCCGAGAGACAACATTCTCTGTGGAATGCAAAAATCCCCAATCCAACCATGAATCAAAACCCAAAAAAATCCTCTTGCGGGCTGTTGACCAATGTCATCATACCTTTGTGAGGTAAACCGAACCGTAGTAGAGGCCGACAGACCGTCGTGCAGATCCCTGTTCACGACAACAATAGCGCTGTCTCTAGGATGTCGATCGCATCTCACAAACACTTCGGACGCAGGGCCAACCTGACAACAGGATTGGTTCCTGGCCTGAATGTAGTGTACAGAACAGACGGCCCTAGCTGGGGACCGTTTGAGTGAAACATGAAGGCAATGCAGCTGCTGCATCCCTGCGACGGCTCTGCGTCCCCTGCCTCGACTGCAGAGATTGGCGACGGGCCAAATCGACGGTTCAAATTGTGGATCGTAGGCTGCATAAGCTTTGCCTGCATGAGCAGGTCGCTGGCATTAGTGTCCAAGGAAATCTGTTTTCCGAGCGCTAGCTGGAAGCCGGACGCCCAGTTCGGCCTAATATGATTATGTTCCTATGAGCCCTCTGCGATTCAGCCACTCAGCTGACCAATAAGACTCCTACGAGAAGAGCCGTCATTGCAGATCTTTGCCGACTCGCGATATTGGTGGATAGTGGATGAAATGCTGAATCGCTGAGTCGGGCTTTTCAGAAGAAACTTGATCTAAACCATCAGGAAACCCGTTGGAGCACAGAGCCTGCCAGATGCGATGGTGCGAACAAGACAGCTGAAGCCAGACAGTCCGTGGTCAAGAACTCGGACCAGCTGGGAGGCTTCGATTCTGTCACGGGTCGCATGTGGGAGCGAGCGCAGCAATGATAACAGACGATGCTATTAATTACTCGATGCATGTCCATTGCCCACGAGTAAAAGTAAGAAGAGCCAACGGCGTTAGTGATGTGAAGACATTCTGTGGGTGTGGCGCCGGAGCCGAGGGTCAGGGGAACTCGGGTCTGTCGAGACATGGGAATCGGGTTGACGTTGTGGTCGTTGCCAACAACGCCGCCGAGAGCCGCGTGTTACTCAGGATAAACGCCCGTGAATCATCGTGATGACCTCCGTAGAAACAAGTAGCAAGCCAGGTCGCAGCCAGGCGGCGAAGATTACAACGGGGCGCCTCCGGGTGAACTCATTCCAGAGGAACAATGAGCCGATGAGCGCACAGAAGCAAATGTCCGAGATCTTGGCATTTGACTACCTGTCCTGGAAGCGGCAGAGCCTGTGCCGTGAAGTCCACGTACCTCCTGTCGATCTGCAAGATGTCCTGCACTGACTTGGAGATTCTCCATCCACATGTCTCGGTGCTGTTCAATTGATTCGGCCCTGAAAGTTCGAGCACCTGGAGCTAAGGGCACCGTTGCGCCTCCATCGCACGCTAGGCAGCCCGGTTAGAAAGACCTGCAGGTCCCCGAAAGGCGACACCACGACCTTTGCCACTTGTGTGTGATTACGCCGAGGGTTGATATTGCGTGGATGTTGACACTTTGCGGAGCTTGGTGAGGATGTAGACTTGGCAAACTTGACTCGTAAGCAACGGAAGACAGCTTTCCGTGTCAATAAGCTACTCGTTCATGTAACATTGAGTTATGGGTATCATTGATTATCGTCTTTGTTATTGGAAGGTCATCATCCAAAACAGAGTTTCTTCTGCCGGGGATCGTTGGTTGACGGTCTTCCGGGCGGCCTGCCACGCTTCTTCTTCTCACCGTTCGGCTTAGCCTTGCTCAAGTCCGGGGTTGTTGATCTCGAAGCTTGGGGAGGAGGAGCATCTTCGTGCACGGCCTCGAGAATCGTCTGCCTCGAAAGGCACAAGTCGATGTGCTCGTTGAACTGCCTCTCGTCCGGCGCCTGCGGACGGTTACAGATAGGACAGTCCCACATCTCGTCTTCGACCGGCGCAATCTCTTTGACAGGATTCGGCGCGATCTCTTTCCCATGTCTCCGCATAGGGCTTGACTCGTTGTCCGTTGCTCGTGTGTCGGCCTCCTCATGGCCTTCTCCTTGTAGGACAAGATCGTCGTCGAGACGCAATAGTTCCTCCTCTGGCCACATCTCCCAGCCATCCTCGTCAAGTTTGACGCCTGTACCTGGCGTTCCAATAGCGCTCTTCTTCTCGGGCGATGCTGCCGAGTCGGATTTCCGTGATCGAAAACCGAAGAATGCCATTGTGTCTGGTTTCTTCGTGCTGACAAGGTGCGTGCACCGCAATCCCATGAGTCGCAGCTTCATATCGGGCATTTCCTCTTCCAATTTGCCAAGAATTGGAAGAGCAAAGTGGTAAAGGTCGTCGGCAAGACAAATGGCTCGTGGCAGTACGACCTGACGAGTAAAGACCTCGTACGTGTGAAGCTTGACTTTCAACACCAGCGTCCGGCCTTTGCATTCCGCTCGCTTCATGTCCTTCTCCAATTCATCCGCCGTCCATCTCAGCTTCTCTCTTAGTTGCTGGGGGTCCGACATATCCCGGAATGTGCTCTCGGTGCCTACACTCTTTCTCTCGTAGTCTTCTGCGGGCTGTATCCGTGTGCGCCCGAGTCCGAGGTAGACGTTGATTAAGAACTCGTACGCCTTCTCGCCGAAGAGTTGCCTGAGAAACTGTCGATAAGGGTAGATATCCGCACACGTCTTGATGCCAATCTCCGCCAGCTGGCGTTCTAGCACCCGGCCAACGCCGTTCACCTTCCTCGGTGGCAGTTTCGCCATGAAGTTCATGATCTCGGTTCGGTCGTTGGGCAACACGAACTGCCCATTAGGCTTGTTCATGTTGGAGCAGATCTTGGCGAGCTTTGCGTTGGCTGCAATACCAGCGGATACCGTAATCTTTGTGCGTTCGTGGACCTCCCGTCGCATCTGCTCAACCGCATCGGCAGGGCTGATGTCTTTCTCCGCGCAGTATTCGGTGATGTTCAGGTATGCCTCGTCGATGCTTGCACTCTCGAACCTAGGGTCGTACTCCACCAAGACCTCCCGTACTTCGTGTGCCTTGGCATTGTACTTCTCAAAGTTGAGCTTGAGGAGAATTAGTTCTGGACACAACTTCTTCGCTACAAAGCCGGCCATGCCGCTGCGGCAGCCATATTTCCGCGCGACGTAATTGCAAGTGGTCAAGACGCCGCCACCGACGGCAAAAGGCAAATCTTTGAGTTCGGGTCGGTCAAGCAGCTCGACTGCAGCGTAGAAGGCATCGCAGTCAACGTGTACAATGTACTGACTTAGGTCTCGGGAGAGTTCGAGTTGGGTGATGAGTTGGTCGGCGAGCCGGAGCTCCCGGCTGAGGTCCAGCTTTTCGAGTTGGCGCTTCTTGTCCAAGATCTGTGCGATTTTTTTTGTGAGGATTTTGTCTCGTTCTTCTTCTCGGTTGAAAAATTTCGATCCTTTGGATGCATTGTAGATGATCTCGGATACCTGTCAGGGATCCTTGTTAGTTCGCGATCGGGGAGATGATGACGAAGGGTTGACTGACCTTGGATTGGTCCACGGAGTCCTGACCAGCCTTCGTCAAAGATGGTCCCAACAGAGAGTATTTCAATGTCGCGTTCTCCGATATTGCTTCCGCATCTTTTGCAAGTTCGGCCTCGAGAAGATCATCATCGAGAAGGTCGTCGTCTTGCAGCGCAGCAGGCGGCGACTGGGGTGCTTGTGGTGTCGTCATCGTAATGTCGGCAAGGAAAGCTTGGGGACAATCATCGACAGCGTTGGATCGAGTGAGAGGAGCATGGCTTCATTCAGGCCAGCGGAGAAATCCATCAAACTGTCATCTGAAGGCAGCAGCGACATGGATTCCGCATAGAAAATGCCCCTCAAAAGAAGAGGCGACGCGTTGAATCGTCAGCAAACACAGACACGAAGAGGACGCGAGGCACGTGATGCACTAAACTCGACCCCACTATTGCATACCACCATGTATAAGATGCATAAAAAGTATAGCATTGAAACATGTCACTTCATTAAACATTATGCACGTTTTGTGTACATTCCAGGCCCGCATCGGGGCCATCGCCGCTTCCGGCAGCGACCTCTTCACAACATCTTCCGCTCTCATCAACCCGCGTCATCTCTTCGCATTCCTCATCTCCGCCTATTTAGCATACGAAGCTCTCAGGCTTGGACTGATCGCCCTCGCCAATGTACTTCTGCGTTGCTGGCCACGGGCAGATTGGGCGCTGCCTCAACACGCCAGTCGACGTGTCGGTCGAGTTTGTCCACGTCGTCGCGATGATGGATTCGGGGACGGTTGCATCGGACTCCCACGCGACAAGAGCCGAGAGAGCATCGTACTTCGGGTCGGAAAGAACACCTGTAAGGTTGGCGGCATCCTTGTCCACCAGCTGCTCCCACTGCCCGGGACCACCGATGTACCACGGTGCATCGACGCTCGTGTTTTTGGATCCCAGGCCGGGAACGAGGAAGAGGCGGAACCAGCTGCGAGTTGCCTCGATGTCGCCGCCAGTGGCGTTGACGACGCTCTCGTAGAACTGGATGGACGCGTTGAGAGAGTTCACACCGTCCGCCGTGCCGTGGTACATGATGATCTTGTGACCGAGGCTCGCGAACTGCGTCAGGTTGAAGCTGTTGACATCCAGCTCGCCCGGGTTGGTCTCGTTGGCGTACGCGGGCACGGAGTCGTTGTAGCTCGACGCTTCCCAATCAGCGTCGTAGATGAAGTTCTTGAAGTAGCCCAGGGCTTCCTCGTTGACGTCGGTGTCATTGTCGCCGAGGACGGATGTCCACTCGTACTCAGATGACGGGCTCAGACCGGGGAAGACCTTCTCGTCGTCGACCTCGTAGTTGTCGTAGAGCTTCTTGGCGACTTCGACCTGCTCCGTAGTCAAGCAAGCCGACGCATCGACACCGTCACCACCGCAGGTGAAGAGGGAGAAGTCGAAGTAGCAGCTGGCAAGGTTGCTGATGATGCCATCCTCAACGCCGTCCGACGCGTCGCACTGCTTCCTGACATTGTCACCGAGGACCTTGAGGCTCTCCGCGGTCAGAATCTTGGTGTCGTTGCCGCCGTTCAGCGTGGCGCGAGAGACCCTCCAGCTCTGCAGGTGACTCTGCCACCACGCCGGCGCACCGATGAGAATGGCGTTGAAGTCCCTGGGGTAGAGCTGGGCGGCCTTCAGGCCCTGGCGACCGCCCTGGCCAGTACCAGCGAAGTACGACTTCTTAGCAGGCAGGTTGTAGTAGCGCTGGATCACTCTCTGCGCCAGCTGATATGAGCCGTGAAGGGCCCGGAAGCCAAAGTCCAGTTGCTTGTTCTCATCGCCCAGGGCCCATGTGAGGTTGTTGGAGGTCGAGTTATGTCCACCGTCAGTCGAGACGGTCACGAAGCCGTACTTGACACCAGCCGCCATAGCAGGCCAGTTCACGCCGCCATCGTAACCCTCGTTACCGACGGTCAGGACGTGATCATTCCACTCGTCGGGCAGGAAGAGACCGAATTTATAGGTCGCATTTCCCTCGCGGGTCTTGGCCACGAAAGTCACGGCGCAGAGACTGGGGAGGTTGGTGACGTTGACCGGGTAAGCAATGTTCCCGTCCTCTTGGAAGCTGCCAGCCTCGTCGACGGATGTAACGGTGCCGATGGAGGCGTTGGCGTTGATCCAGTAGCTCATGAGCCGAGGCGTGCAGGACGTTGAGTTGGTCGCCGCCGCATGCCGCAACGCGGCGAGCGTGAGTGTGAGAGATGCGATCCACTTCATCTTGGGTGGGAGTTGTCCGTAACCGTAAACCCGGGGTATCTGATCAAGAAGCACAGCTGCAGGAAGCCCTCAGAAGCAGCATCATCACCGGGTCCATGGCTGTCTTTTAAGATCTGCCGCTTTTCGGGGTGTGGTTGAGATTGCAGTTGTTGAGATTATTTCATTTCGCCACATATCAGTCTACATGTCTTCCCGCAGATCTGTGATGGTGTTTACACAACACACAACTGCTTTCGGACAATGTTTATTTTGGCGGATAATTATATCGGCGCTCATCTGCTTCGATGTTCTCCAACATTCCTGCCCCGCCAATTGGATCGTCCATCCCTGAGACATTGCGCTTCCGCTCGCGGTGGCACTCAATGATCGATTACTGTCCATCGAGGTAAATATTGACATCATGCCACCCGGTTTAACGTTCTTGGTACCATTGCAATGGTGCTGCCGCGATATCCGCATCTTTGTTTTCTTGACTTGAGCTCAAAATGCGCCTTGGCGAAAGCAGATATCAAACTCTGCTCACACGAATGAGATTATCGTATTTGTGATGGATCTCGGCTGATCATGTGGCAGTAGTTTGGTGCAGCAAGACGGGGAGTGATAAAATCGATATTGACGAATACTAGATGCATGCATGTACGTAACAGTAATGAGTGAGATGGCTGACATGTGTTTGTGCTCATTCCCCAGATGCCAGGAGAGAAAACAAGAAGGAAAGACGGTAGACAAGCATCTCGGCGGAATTGGAGAGGAGAAGCAAAGTGGCGTCCCCAAGAATGAAGAACGATATGACGGTTTCCAGCCGAGCCAGCCCTCAACCGTTAACGTGGGTTGCAACGATTCTTGCTTTTGTGGCGCACGTAGTTGTCCCTCCTGGTGTACTCTTTGCCACAATCAGGGCACGTCACTCTCTCCTCTGCAACACCCAAGCTGCTCTGACTCGGTTGGTGAGTGGACCGTATGTGCCTGTCGAGGTCTTTCTTGTCGGCGAATTGCTTGTCGCAAAACTCATCGGCCGTGCATTTGTAGGGCTTGTCGTGCGTCTTGAGGTGTCGCCTAGAACGTTCAGTAAATACCACGCTTACACTTTACGGGCTGAAGATGACCTACGTCAGCTGATGCTTATGCGTAAATTTCTTAACACAGTTCGACTTCCCTTCGACCGGCCTCCCGCAGACATGTGGAAACTCAGGATCCTCATTACAAACTTGTGCTGCCAGCATACCGGCCTCGTCATCAGGAAACTCTCCCGGAACCTGCGATTCTCCTTGATAAGAAGTAGTCGCATACGATGATTCACCCTCGGGAGCCTACGGTCCCAACGGTGCGGTTTCGGAAGTGTAAGACGGGTAATCAGCGTATTGATAGTTGGTGGTTGGTGGTGCCGCGTAGTATGCAGAAGGGTCAACAGCCTCCTCGAGAGGGTAGTCGTAGTCGTTCATATACTGCTGGTCAGATAGTCCTCCTGGGTCGTCGGGGCTTGTGTAGGTATAAGCTCCCTGATGTTGCGGAGACGATGATGGGGTGTAGTCCATGCTGTACATCTGAAAGGTATTCAGACTTAGCAACCAGGGGGCCGATGAAGTTGTCCAGCCGTGGTGAGAACCGAGAAGTTAGAGTCTGTGGAGTAATTCTTTAGCATGGCCTCCGACATGATACCAGGTCGCACGTGTAAGCCATCTTACCCACCTCGAGACTGGACGGGGTCGGGATCGCAGGGTTCGAGGGCCACTCACGTTTAGGAGCAATCTTTCGGGGCTTTTTGCGGCCTAGGGAAAGCAGTATTGCGAGTCAGGATGGGAGTAAATCTTGCCAGCATCGGTATCGGCTGCATTCTCTGAAGCCTGATGAGAGGTGAGATCTTGGATATCCAAGGACGACATCAACAACATAGGAAATGACACCCTCTTTATAATCCAGAATTAAAGTACTAGAGTAATCGTTGCTCTCATTGCTTTTTCCACTTCTCTGGCACTGTTCCCAAGTTTGGAGGCCGTCCATCTTGAGGGGGTCGTCGACTGAGAGAAAGCCTGGTCGACAGTCGGCTTATCCTTGGACGATGCCAAGATGAGGCATGCATATGCATGCTGTTGATGCCCAAACCCACCAACCCTTAACCAGCAACATACATCTCTATCCACGACAAAGAAATCTATACCATGGCACGGCTCGTTGGTACATCGTCCGATGCAAAAAGTCGGCTCAGCCATGCACGTTGGAGGTCTTCTACTCCACAGTTTTTGGCCTCCAACGCAAAACATGACCGACTGCATCGGGCCGTTGTCCAATTGCTTTACATTACCATACACCCTCTTTCGAAAATAGTCGCTCATTGGTTAGGCCTCCTGCTTGGTGGTGCCTCACCCGCATGCTTCCTAATACTTGTCGCTACCATTGCTCCTCGCAACAGAGACATCAACTTCACGGCCACAACTGGGCTGGGAATTCAGTGAGAATGTCAGGAAGAAGACAGAAATGAGTGAACTTGTAAACCGCAATCGAGCTAAACATCTGAGAGAGTAGACCTTATGACCCCCCATCAAGCCGCACCAGTACACCCAAGATCATCGCTTCCCTCACTATACCACTCAGCCCCCCCCCTCCTCGGAACCCAGTTGTTCTTCATGCACGCGGCGCCGCCATACACGGGCAAGTTGAACTCGGCCTTCCACTCGAAATCACTGTTGTCCTTGCCGCACCCGTCGTTGCAGTACTCGAACTTCCACCCCGTGACCGCCGACCCGCAGTCCCGCATCGCCTTGAGCAGCGTCTTCTGCCCGTAGTCGTGCCCGGCCCACCCGCGCCCGTAGACCCGGTACGACACGAAGAAGAACTTCCACCAGCCGCGGCACGTCCCGTCCCTTTTGGTGATCATCGTGCGGTCCTTTTTGGGATTGATACTGTGTTACTGTTAGAAAAGAATGAAGACTACGAGGGAGATGTACTCACTGGTAGTTGTAGTTCCCGCGGACCCAGCGCCCGCCGTACTTGAAGTTCAGCGGGTTCTTGGGGTCATTCCCATCACAGCTATTGATGATCCGATCCAACGACTCAAGACATAAATTCTTGTCGAACTCAGACGCGCCATCGAACAGCTCCAGCGAGATGGTGTGCTCGTCAGGCGTATCCGCATAATACGTCTTCTCCCACTTCCAGTTGATCGTGTTGCCCGGCGGCTTGACGTCGTTACAAAAGTCCTTGTAATTCTCATCAACCAGCTTGAACTCCACAAAAGCCCTCTTCCCCTCCTTCTGCCAGCACGTGAACTCGTCCCGCGTCTGCGAACACAACCCGTCGTCGATGCCCAGGATGTCCGCCCGCAGGAGGACCAGGTTCTGCAGCGCGTAGGCCGCCATGGCCTCGTGGCCCTGCTTGTTGGGGTGGAAGATGCTCAGGAAGGAGTCGGGAAGGCCGAGGCCGAGCGGCACGCCGGGGAGGCTGTCGCCGGGGCAGCCCGGGGCCGCGGGGGCGCGGGCGTCGAGCTTGTGCAGGGCCTCGGCGCCCGGGTTGGGCGAGTTCCAGAGGAGGGAGTCGTAGATGTGTTTGCGGGTGAGACGGCCGCGGAGTTGGTTCTGGTAGTCTTCGAGGTGTCGCTTCATCTCCTGGGAGTCGTCCGCGACTTGTTCGGGTTGTTCCGAGGGGCTCGCGGCGGAGTCGACCTCGACGGCACCGATGGCGACGCTGCCGTTGCCGCTGACGAGGTCTCGGCGGCGCTTGGTCTCGTCGTGAGGCGGTATCTTGCTGACGGACGTGTCGAACTTGATGAAGAGCAGATCGGGCTGCTTGGGATCCGGATAGACGCCTGTCGATTTGGGCGAGCAGAACTGACCATCCACAATACCGGGCCAGCTACTCCAGTCGGAGAAGGTGGCGCGCTATCCAATGGCCGAGTCCTTGTCGTACTCTTCGACGACCTCGGAAATGGCCTTGTTGATGTTGTCAACGAGCGTGTTGAACTTCTTGCGGCGGTCGACGGTCAGCTTGAGCGAGGAGTTGAGCCAGTTCCAGAACTGCCACCACCGCCAGGCCTTGAGGGCCCAGTTCTGCTTGTCCGGGTCTGCGCAGTCCTCGTTCTCCGTGTTGAAGAAGGGCGCGTAGCCCGAGTACACGAGGGCGCCGTCCTTTTTGATTTTGCCGTTAAGTTTGTCGAGGACCTGCCGGATGTTGTCTTTGAGGATGGTCTCGATGTTCTCCTACGCCTTGTCGATGATGGCCTGGCACGCGCCCTCGCCGTCCCAGGGCATGATGACGCACGTCTTGATCATGGCGCCCAGGCAGAGATCGTTGCCGCCGGCCGTCATCATGACCACGTCGAGGCCGGTGCGGAGCTCGTCGACCTGGTTGTAGACGTCCGCCGTCCTGTTGCCGCTGCAGGCTTCGAACTGGAAGTTCTTGACGCTGGATCCCATGGCGTTGTCGACGATCTTGGCCCATGAGTAGTCGTACCTCGAGCACTTCCACGCCTCGTCCAGCGTGATGGAGTTACCCAGCTGGTTTCCCGAGCCGATGCCTGTCGAAGATGTTAGTCTTTCTAGAACGTAGGTGCCATTGGCATCACAAGACTCACCGGCTGTGAAGCTGTCACCTATTGCAGCCCAGTTCTCGATCCACGAAAAATCTGTCGGATCATCATCCGCGGCTCTGGAACTAATGAGCGTGGCCTTGTTGGCTGTGTTGATCGAGAAATCTTCCGGGATAGATAGCGTCGCCACAGCGGACGTGAGTCCGAGGGCTGCAACGCAGCGAACGCAAGTTCTCCCAAAGCCCATCTTGCCTAATGGTCTTGATGCCCAGATGCCGATGGTGAAGAGAAAGGCGAGTCGGGAAGGGCGAGCGATGGTTAAACCGTCAAAATAGGAACTCAACCTCTCATGCCACTTGATTTCGAATACTCGGATGCTCGCCATCGATAGCCCCCTTAACTCCGCATTACGTTCCCCCCTCGTCAACCGGAATGGCCTTTATGGAAGCCTAAAGCCAAAGTCCGTTTGTATCTCATGATCCCGCATCTAGACCATCTAGCGCCTGGTGTTGTGGTGCTCCGAGACTCCGTCTGCAGCCAGAGAGTCAAACGAGATTTGACTATGCTGATTTTTCTAGTGTAGGATTTGCCAGTAGAAAAGAAAAAGTATAGGATTCGCCAATATTGCAACCACAGTCTCGCCCCCGCGTGCTGCTTGGCATCCGAACCACAATCCTGCAGCGTTAAGCTTATGAGGGATTGAAACTTCTGATGCAGGTACCGATACTTGTCGCGATAAGAACGGATCCTCTACCGGGATGGTGTGATGACCCCGGTCGTCTTTAACGACATCGAAAGTCCGTCGGGAAGAATGCCATCCCGTCACAAATCCCATCTCTGCTTCTGCTGGCTGATTGTGCTCGTTGTTCTCGTCTCTCATTCTGTCCACTTGAACTCGACTTCGAAGTCATTCACAGTGGCAGCTCGTCTGTCGTTTCAGTCTTTGACTCTTCCATTCTTCTAATCATTCTCTCCAAATCATCGTCTACTACCATCATGTTCTCCAAGACGCCCCTCCTCCTCCTCCTTTTACTGCCTCTCCTGGCCCGGCTCACCACCGCCGAGTCCGATTTCTCCATCCAAGCCAAGCAGACGGACCTGGTGAGCGTGGCCGCGGACGAAGACTACTCTTGCTCGCGCACCAAGCCGTGCGACCTGGGCTGCTGCAAGCTCGACTCCACGGGCGCCGGCGTGTGCGGCGCCGGCCCGGACTTCTGCGGCGCCGACGTCTGCCACTCGCAGTGCTCCTGGAAATCCGAGTGCGACCCGGGCTGGGGCGCCGCGTGGTCCAACGCCTCCTCGTGCCCGCTCGAGGTGTGCTGCAGCGACTTCGGCTTCTGCGGCACCACCGAGGACTTCTGCAACGGCCGCGTCGTCTCCAAGCCCGAGTGCGCCGCCGGGGGCCGCAGCTCCGACGCCCGCACCATCGGCTACTACGAGGGCTGGAACGGCCAGCGGCCCTGCGGCACCATGCCCCCCGAGGACATCCCGCTCGGCTACTACACGCACATCTTCTACTCCTTCGCCCTCGTCGACCCGGACACCTTCCACGTGGCGCCCATGGACGCCGAGACGGCCTCGCACTACGACGAGGTGACGGGGCTTAAGGCGAGGCAGGACGACCTCGAGGTGTGGATCGCCATCGGCGGCTGGGCCATGAACGACCCGGGCCCGTACCGCTTCGCCTTCTCCGACATGGCCTCGAGCGAGGCGAACCAGGACGCCTTCTTCGACTCGCTCGTGACCTTCATGATGCTGCACGACTTCGACGGCGTCGACATCGACTGGGAGTACCCCGTGGCCGAGGACCGCGGCGGCATCGAGGCCGACTTCGACAACTTCGTCAACATGATGCGACGTCTGCGCGTCCACCTGAACGCCTCCGGGAAGCGGTTCGGCGTGAGCCTGACCCTGCCGGCCTCGTACTGGTACCTGCGCGGCTTCGACGTCGTCGGCCTGGAGCCGCACGTCGACTTCTTCAACGTCATGACGTACGACATCCACGGCACCTGGGACAGCACGGTGCGGTCGCTGGGCCCGTACGCCTTCGCGCACACCAACCTGACCGAGATCGACCAGGGTCTCGAGCTGTTGTGGCGCAACAACATCAACCCGGAGCGCGTCAACATGGGACTCGGCTTCTACGGCCGCAGCTTCACCATGAAGGACCCCTCCTGCATGGCAGCCGGGTGTGAGTTCACCGACGGCGCGAGGGGCGGTGAGTGTACCGGCACGCCGGGTGTGCTGTCCGCGGCCGAGATCGTCAAGATCCTCGAGCGCGACGACGCCAAGATGACGCTGGACGAGGCCGCCGCGGTGCAGATCGTCACCTGGGACTCGGATCAGTGGGTCTCATGGGACGACCGGACGACGCTCAAGATGAAGCAGGACTTTGCCAACCGGCGCTGTCTTGGAGGGACCATGGTCTGGGCCATTGATCTGGATGACGGCACGCTTATAGGTGAACTGGGAGGCAATTTGAATCGACCGAAGTCGACGGTCACTAATGGCACGTACGATACGGCCGACCTGGCTACTTACACTACGGGTGAGGAGGAATTGTAGATTGAGACTTAGTTTATGTGGCTTGATTATCTTGTGTGTATTGCAATGAAGTAGTTAGAGGTACAAAATCCAAACGAAGAAGAACTTAGTGAACAAGTTAAATGCACTGCCGCAAGGACAGCAAATGTGAAACTGAACGAATATGTACATTGATGTAAAGTCAAAACATAGAATGAAACTAACACACAAAGAGAAACCAACACACGAAGGGAAACTAACTAGGGTTCTCGCACGACTTGCCCTTCTTACCCATCAAGTCCTTCATGAAGTTGGGGAACCGCTTGTGCTTCTTGTCGTTGGGCAGAATGTAACCCCCAGCCGCGACCACGGGTCCCTCATACAGATACTTGATGCCCGCCACATCGCCCTTGGAGGGGATGGCGTTTGTGCGAATCTTTGAGCCGTCGTTGCGAAGCAGCACGGGTGTGCGCTGGTCGTACACGTCCGGATTCTCGGACGGGTTCGTCGGGGGGCGCGCCGAGCCGCCACCGCCCGCGCCCGAGGGGTATAGCATGATGGACTCCCAGTCCACGTGTTTATAGCCTGCTCTGGTGAGCGGGACACTTCTGGGGTGTATGTAGTTTGCCTTGATGGGAAGCCAGTCGGAGGCCGAGAACCCCCATTCGACAGCGACGGCTTGGCTTACACACATTTCGTCCACTTTCTCTTGCCCTTTGATCGCGCCGTGCTTGGCGAAGATCTTGCCGCGCACAGTGACGAAATCCTTGAGCGCTTGGCAGTCCCAATGTTCGCCGAACACCGTACCTCCAAGCTCTTTGTCATGGTGAGAGCTATAAGGGGGTTGCCAGAATAGCGGATTCTGATGCTCGTGGTAGAGGCCTCAGGCGTGGCCGATCTCGTGCGCAATGTTGGCCACTCTGTTGAGCTGACCTACGTTGTCGTTCGTCGAGAGTATCATGCTCGGGCCCCTGTCATCGGGGTTATTCGCGTTCAGCAGCGGGCGCCCGACCGTCGTGGAGAGCGCGTTGCCGAGAGAAACGACCAGGATTTTGTCGCGCTGCGAATTTCTCGTACACGCGGTGCCCGCAGCCGCCACCATCTGGTACTTGAACGTCATCGGGTCCAGGCCTCCGGAGCCGTCCTCGAATCCAGCCGACCACATCTTGATAGCTAGTTGAAAGGGTTCATCGAGCACAGCCTGGCTTTCGGGTGTATCGTAGCAGTAGCTGATGGTCTTGTCAGGCCAGAGCCTAGTGGGGTTCGGCCCAGCGCCCGCTCGTACGCCAAACCAGCGCTTGTTGATGTTGTTGTTGCCGGTGTCGTTATGAGATACACGGCGAATGGCGTAACCGGCCTCGTCAACGGCAATGCGTGCAAAACGGTCGCGGTCAAGCTGCACCTCATGGTGGAGAGGAGCCTCCCAAGCCCGGCTGCCGCCCAGCACCGATCCCGTCACGGCGGCGAGAATAACGATGACAACGTTCGCCAACATGATTGAGTGATTGAAGAGGTTGAAGATGTGATCGGGAATGAAAATCAACGGACAGAGAGTGAAACGACGAGCTGCGAGGTGCGAAGACACAGAAACAAGGCAAACGAAGATGGGCGAGGGCTTACTTACCTGAACCCAACCAACAACTTTCCCGACTTGTACATGTACCGGTACCTTCAATATCCCCTGCATCGACACGGAGGATCTTCATACCCCTGCGCAAGAGGAAGTTCAGGATCTCTTCGGATTGCTGCGCCTCGTCCGGCGGAAACACCCAGGACACATTATTGAATCTGCGTGCGACCTTAATATTGCGTGCAGCGGCAGCTACCGCAACTTCCTGATGCGGCAAGTCGTGAGGATGCGGAAAAGTAGAGTAGGATCATCGTGGGATCTTGGCGTGAGGAATCGTAGCACTTCCTCTTTGCCTGCCGTTGCATTTTTTTCAGATACCCCTTTTCGTTGCATTTTTTCGATCCTTCTGTGAGACAAAATTGGTCAGCTGGTCCTCTATTGACGCTTTTGAAGGCCATCTAGATGGGCCGATATCAGGAGTAAAGTGAAAATGAGCATCCTGGTGCCAAACGCGTGGTGTGTAGCCAATATCCGAATTTCGTTGCTGCCTTGATCCCACAAACCGTTGCTGTCACATTATCTCGGTTGGAAGACTCGGCCTGGCGAATTGCCCGCTTTGTCCGTGAACCTCGACCGTACTCTAACTACCAAGCTGCTCTCTTGGTTCTCTGAGTCTCGTGGTGTAAGTTTCAGTTGAGAGAACACCACAGTCGTCGCCATCAACGCCATAGTCATGATGTCGATGATGGGCTTCGGAGATCTTTTCCTGCTCGCGTTCGCCGCAGGCTGCGGCCTTGTCCATGCGCAGACGGCATCGACGCCCCCGGGACCAACCTTCACCGGCTCGCCATCCAACTGCAACAAGTGGTATGTGATTTCCAATGGTGACAACTGCGGCACCGTCGAGACCAAGTTCGGCATCACCCACGCGCAGTTTATCGCCTGGAATCCGGCTGTGTCCAACGACTGCATCACCAACTTCTGGCTCGGCCAGGCATACTGTGTCGGTCTGGGCACCGCTGCGCCCACAACGACGAAATCAACTTCCGTCAGCGCTTCATTGCCTGGAGCGACGACCCCGCCAGGGCCGACGTTCACCGGGTCTCCGTCCAACTGCAACAGATGGTATCTCATCGCGGACGGCGATAACTGCGGTACCGTCGAGACCAAGTTTGGTATCACCCACGCGCAGTTCATCGCATGGAACCCAGCCGTATCCGACGATTGCGGGACAAACTTTTGGCTCGGCCAGGCGTACTGTGTCGGCTTGGGCCTCGCGGTGACCTCGACCTCCACCGGCAGCTCAAGTAGCAAAATCAGCTCGTCCTCCAGACCCATCGTCACCACGACCACGCCGTACTCAACTCGCCACCCAATCACCAACCAGACCATCGTCCAACCATCCTCCATCGATGCCTGGCCGCCGACGAAGACACAGGCCGGCCAGCCAAGCTACTGCAATAACTGGCACTTTGTCGAGGGTGGCCAGACGTGCAACAACATCATAGGCATGTACAGAACGTGGATGTCAACCGATGACTTCTACGCCTGGAACCCAGCCATCGGCCAGGACTGCTCCGGCCTCTTCGTCTACTACTGGGTGTGCGTGGGTATCCGGCCGCAGACGCAGATCTCGCTGCCGTACGAGACGGGTAACGCAACGGTCGAGTTGCCGCCGTATTTCACCTTCACGCCTGAGCCCACACCGACGGAAAAGCCCAACTTCGCGGTGCCGACGCCGACTCACGGCCCGATGCCCGAGAACTGCAAGGCTTACTACCAGGCGGGCGATGGCGCCACCTGTGCTCGCGCCCTCGAGGAATACCCCATGGTAACTCAGGAGCAGTTCCTGGCTTGGAACCCCGTCCTCAACGGCAATTGCAACGGTCTCTGGGCCGGAAGCTGGTACTGCGGTGTGGCCTTTGACTGGGACTCGCTTCCCATGCCCCCAACCGTCACGACCAAGCCATCGCCCGTGGCGACGGCTATCACGGCCAACTGCGCCGCCTGGTACCGGGCCACAGGCATCGACACGTGTGCTGTGGTTGCCGAGATGTTTGGCACATTCTCCGAGGCCAACTTCATCAGCTGGAACCCGTCCGTAGGAAGCGACTGCTCCGGCATCGTGATGGACACATACTACTGTGTCGGTATACCAGGCACCCCAACAACGCGGACCAAGCCCGTCACGGAGCCAACGCCGCCCCCGGCCAATGAGCGTCCGACTCAAGAGGGCATTGTCTCCGATTGTGGTAGCTTCTGGCTCGTCTCCAGTACTGACACGTGCGACACCATTGTCTCTCAGAGCGCCATCACGCTGGATGACTTCAAGACATGGAACCCAGCTGTTGGGGATGCCTGTGACGGTCTCGAGCCCGACTTTTACGTCTGCGTCGGGCGGGGGACTGCTGCCGGTACAAGTCCGTCATCCTCGGCTACCGTGACCATCACCAAGAGCGGTCCGTCATCAACGGTTGCAGTGCCCAGCACTACAACAAGCAGTGGATCTGGTGCGACGCCCACGCCTATCCAAGACGGCATGGTGGCTGGGTGTAAGGAGTTCTACTACGTCGTCGCCGGTGACGGGTGCTGGGCCATTGCCAACGACCATGGCATTGCTCTCAGGTGGGTCTTTCTTCTTCTTCCTCTCTCTCTCTCTCGTATACCAAATAACCGGCTAACCATACCTCGTGCGCAGTGACTTTTACCTCTGGAATCCTGCCGTGAATAACGGCGGTGACTGCTTTGGACTCTGGTCGAACGTTTACGTGTGCGTCGGGGTGTAGTGATTTCGAACCCGTGTATGAGATATTGTTATCTGTTAGGCAAACCATAATGTTGCATTTCCCAAAGCCGCTAACCAGGGAGAGAAGAGACTCGTATGAAATGGCCATGTCTTTGACCCTGGTCATCACATAACGTGAGTGAGACGAGGATCCGTGTGGTTGACGGCGCTAGACACCCACCGCGGATTGCCGTCATGGTCCCAGTAGAGGTCGCTTTCGTCGCCTTGCTTGATGTAGAAGTAGACCGAGTCGTCGATGGGATACCGAAGCCAACTGCCCTTGCCGTCACCCCATTCCTCTCCACGCTGTTCTTCCTCGAGGCCCAGACCTTTCAGGTCGTCGAACACGTTGGACGGTAGCTCGACCACAGCAGGCTTCTCCTGCTGCGGCGCAAGGTGCCTGAAGGTGAGCGCAAGCGGTTGTAGAAGCAAACGCTCGATCTCAGGCAGGCGAGCGGCCGGACGCACGCTCGGGTAGTTGTACAGACGGTCCGAGAAGGAGATGACGAGGGAGCGCAGTTTTGGGAACGTGACCATCAGACGAGTCAGGTTTGGGAGACATCGCATCTTGTCCTTCTCGCTAGGGTGTGAAAGGGGCGGCAGCGCCGTGTCCCCAAAGAGAACCACATCCCATCGCAGCTCGAGCGACCGTATCATAGCCAAATGGTGTGGGAGGAGCAGGTGCCGGTCGGTGCCAGGAGTAGGATTGAAGAAGGCGTTTATAAGGTCCCAGCTCTCGAGAACAAACGTGTTGGTCGCGTAGAGCACTTCGGCACCCTCGACGTAGGCTTGTCGGCACGCGCGAAGCCAGCCCATGGCGCCAACGGAAGCGTCGCACCCGGTCTCCGGGGCCTGCGTACCGTTGATATCGGGCCCTGATGACCAAAGCTGGCACATCATAGCCTCTCCACGGAGGCAGGCTTCGCGATGCGGCCACATATACGGAGAAGTGCCGCGAGCTATGAAACGGCGCTCTATCGCCGACCCGCGGGGAAGAAGGCGGTGGCATACGCAGCCGTACCAGCGCCACTCCCACTCCCACTCCGGCCCCGTCTTGGCCTTCGAACCCGTAGACTTGGCAGTCTTCACACGTGTCGTTGTCGTTGTCGTCTCAATGGGGATGACGGTGCGACAATAGCTGAGAGGCGCCGTGCCTCGGCCGTGCTCGTATGGGGCCGAGGAGAACTCGGACATGTTCACCCTTTGACCGCGTGGGGCGAGCCGGAGGTCCACATGGAGCGTGCGCTCGCCGAAGGCGGCGATGAGAACGCGCCGGCGCAGCTCCGGTGATAGGCGGGCGAAGTTTCCAAGCGCAGCGACGTCGTTGTCGGCACTTATTGTGGTGGGCGTGATAGGCCGCGACCGTTGAGCAGGAAGAAAAGGTAGAGATGGTGGTGGTCGCTGAGAGACGTCGGTTTCCTGGTCATTGCGTCGCTGCTTCCGTCCTCGAAGTGTGTCTAATAATCGGCGCATTCTCAAATTGTTTTGGTGATGATGATGTTGAACGAAAATCAATTGATGACGAAAAGAGGATTCCTGGAATTGGAAGTCAATCGTGGAAGCGACGACGTGGGAGGGAAGTTGCTCACTATTAAGGGCGGTGAGTCTACCGGTTCCCGGCAGAATAAGGAGTGAGAAGTTGCCGGGCCGGCAACGAGTGGCAGCATCAAACACAGCCACCACCAGCCGGCCCGGCCCAGACTTCTTCTTCCCGTTGGCAATACTTCATCAACCTTAACTATCGTAATACGCCTTTTACGACGTCTACTGATGCAATTTCCGTTCTGAAGTTAGAGATGGCTTCTCTACATTCGTCTTCTACGATAATAAGTCCGCAAAAGATTGATTGCCTATGGATAGTCGGCTTGTTTCAACAGGCCTTCGGACGCCCACGAAACTTTGCAAGTTGGCTTCGTCGATTGCCGAACATTCAAGGTTGCTGCTTGGAAAGTCCATAACAGTTGCTGTACATAGTATATTTGAGGAAAATCTGCATTTCGTTCTCAGTCCTGATTAATATCCGGTCCATCCGGAAGATGGTCGCACTCTGCTGCAGTCATTGGGCGCCGCAGACGTTGAAAGTTAAGATGAAACTTGCTACCAAGTCCAACGTCATCGTCAGTTTAATCAGTAGATAACTTCCTCAACGAACATCCACAGAAATCCAAAAACGACGATAGAACTGTGCCTATATCAATCATTATCAACCACGGCGATGGCGACTTATGCGAAAGACCACGAGAACCCCAACGGCCCTGGAGACGCTCGTCCTACAGCGCTCAAGATCATCAGAGACCAGGACCTAGACGACAAGCTCACGGGCAAGGTCTTTCTAGTGACCGGCTGCACTTCCGGGATTGGCGTGGAGACAGCCAGAGCTCTTCATGTCGCTGGTGCCGACGTCTACATAACGGGCCGAGACGTGAAAGCCGGCCAGCGAGTCATAGAGAGCATCACCCAGGACAAGAGAGACGGGAAGGTGGGTTTCATCGAGATGCACCTGGACTCTCTGGCGAGTGTTGCCGAGGGCATAGAAGCTTTCAAGAAGCACACCAACCTCCTCAATGGTCTCATCTGCAATGCCGGTCAGTAGCAAGAACATCTTGGGACATTGGTGACATCTTCATCTGACTACATCCTAGGCGTCGCTTTTCACCCCAAGGCCACAACGACCGAGGGCTTCGAAACCCACTTCGGCGTCAACCACGTCGCGCATTTTGCGCTCTTCCTAGGTGTTCAGGAAATGCTTCTCAAATCAGCAACCGCAGAGTTCCCATCACGGGTCACCATGGTCTCCTCATCGGCTCACCGCGTGAACCCCGTCAATCTCGATGATTACAACCTGACAAAGTGTGAGTATGATCCTACCAAGGCATACGGCGCTTCCAAAACCGCCAACATTTGGATGGTCAACGTGATTGAGCGAATGTATGGTCACAAGCATCTGCACGCCAACTCTGTCCACCCGGGCGGCATCCACACTTTGGGAGCCAGACATTTGGAGGACTCCGGCGAGAAGCTATTCAAGTCTTTCTATCGGATCGTCAAGAGCCCCGAGCAGGGTGCTGCGACCACGGTCTGGGCTGCGGTTGGGAAAGATTTGGAGGGCCGGGGAGGTCTTTACTTAGCTGATGTGCAGGTGGGCGTACTTTCTAAAGATCCGGAGAAAGATAGAGCTGTTGGATATGCTTCTCATGCATTCGATGAAGGGTTGGAAAATCAGTTGTGGGAATTGAGCCGGAAATTCGTCTTCGAATCAGGAAAATTTCCAGAACTGATTCGTTCTGAGTGAAGATCGAATTAGGTTGTCAACGAGTGGAAATAGGAACTTTGTAGAATGATCATTGTTCTCTTTCTATTTCGGCCTCGGTATGTTCTTGTTAAACAGACTAACCATGGAGGCGTCTTCTGATTCCTATGTTACCTAGCCATCATAGAGTGGCCGAATTGGCGATTTTAGCTGGCTTTCTCCAATCCAAACAGCGTAAGGAGTGACCCTGAAAGAGGGAAAAGGGGCATTTGACAATTTCAGAGACAAGTGAAGAAAATTCGTCGATGCTGCAGCTTCCATCACGATGACGAGGTTTCCCTGTCTCAACGGAGCTACCCCACAGCTCTTGATCGCCGATCTCCCGCTGACAGGTGAGGCGTTCATGGCATTTTCAGGGGAAGTTCGTCCCGCTGAAGCTGATGCGGGGTAGCTGTTGGGTACCTGGCTACCCCAAAGGGGCAAGAAGCTCCCTAAATCACAGGTGCGTCATCGACGTCATTGTTCCGGAGCTTTCCCTCCAGCCACAGGCCAGAGGCGGTTTTCAGCTGCGGCAGCTCGCCTTGTTGGGAAACCAAACACTCTGCCCCTGGTCCTCCGCCTCTTCAAGTCGTCATTTTTACTTCAATTGAGCCATTAGGCACGTGTTACGACCCTTGGTTCCTTGATTGCCTGCCGCTGTCAATTCCGATCCTAGCCATTGGGGTAGCGCGAGAACGGTAGGGGTAGCTCCCTCGTCTCCCTCAAAACCACCGACTGGTTGTATTTCCTTCTCCTCATTCTTCCATCGACATCACAGCTTCACGAACCACGATACCCTTCAAATTCTAAGAAAGCTCAACGAACCATCGTGAGCTCGTCAAATCTCTAATTCTTTGCAATTTCCTCTTTTCCTCCACGCCACACTCGCATCATTCCAAACGTCACCATGATTCCCGCCAGACCTCTCATCCGTTCGACCCTCCCTCGAACTGCGCGCGCTGTCCGCATCCCTCGCCAGCAGCAGCTTCGCTTCCAGTCTACCACTGCCTCATCATCATCATCAGCAGGGGCCAGCGGAAGCAGCTCACACTTCGGCGCTGGCATTGCCGGTGGTCTCGCCGGAGCCGGTCTCTTCTACGCCATCTACTCCTTCACACCTGCCGGCCGCACCGCTTCCAAGGTCAACAAGGCTGCCAAGGAGGCCGAGAAGAAGTACCAGCTGGCCGCGAAGAAGCTGCAAGAGAACACTCCTTCCCCCGACCAAGCCATCGACTCCATTAAGCAATTCGCCTACTCCTACGTCGGCTGGATCCCCGGCGGCCGCGCCTACGTCGACACCGCCTTCAACGACTTCGAGACCGTCCGCAAGAACCACAAGGAAGAGGCCGACGAGCTCATCAACGATGCCTACAAGCAGTTCCAGGACGTCGCCAAGGCCGGTCTGAGCCTCGAGGCTTTCCACAAGGCGTACGAGGTGCTCGCCGATCTGTCCAAGAAGATCGCTAGCCTGTCTGGCGATGCCATCTCCGACATCGTTGACAACCACCCCGAGTTGAAGGAGAAGTTCGGCGGCAACATCGATCAGCTGAAGCAGATGGGAGAGCAGTACGGCCCCGAGGCGAAGAAGCAGGTCGACGAGACGTGGAAGCAGATCAAGGATGTTCTCGCCGGAGGCCTCACCGCCAGCAACTTTGAGAAGGCTCGCAAGTTGATCGAGGACAAGATCCAGCAGGTCCGTAAGCTCGGCGACGAGGCATGGAAGAAGGCGTTGGAGGAGGCCAAGCCCTACCTCGACAAGAACCCCAAGGTCAAGGAGCTCGTCGAGAAGAACGCCGATGCTTTGAAGCAGGGTAACGCGAAGGAACTCTTCGAGAAGGCCAAGTCCGCGGTTGACTCAGGCGACTTGGGTGGTCTGGAGAAGTACGTCGGCGATGCCGTGGACAAGGCCAAGTCGAAGGGCTCTCAGCTGGGTGGAAGCTTCGGCGGTCTGGACCAGTACTTCAAGATGATCCCCGATGGCGATCAGATCATCCCTAAGTTGAAGCAGCTTCGCGAGGTTGCCGACAAGCACAAGGACGAGGGCGAGAAGCTCTTCAAGGAGACTTTGGAGGAGGTCAAGAAGGTTCTGGAGGCCAAGGGAAAGAAGGCAGAGGAGATTGCCAACAGCGCCAAGAAGGAGGCCAAATAAGCCGCTCATCGTTGAAAGATGGGATTTACGGTCATACCGGTTTACTTTGTAACTTGCTTTAGAGCATTCTGGGACGGAGTCAAGGACTGAAAAAAATATAATTGCTAGTATCCACGCTCATGACACTGAATATGGATGTCCGATTTGGCAACGAGGGGAACGTCACTGGATTAGACCATCGTGAAAGCTGATGTCGCTCACTGCAGCCTTTCTGTGTTGTATAAACTCAAAACAATTTGAACCCCCCGGGAACCGCCTCTTGGAAAAAGCCATCAGGATCGTACTTCTCGCTGACAGTCTGTAGTCTAGCCTTGATCTCCGCCCCATAACTTCCAATCGGATACTGGGTGACATCGGCGTAATTGAGGTACTGAAACGGGATCAGCAGGCCTCTCTCCTTCAGAATGGCCCGGTGGGCATCGATAATACTCTGCATCCCCGCCTGGACCGTCGCGTCGTCTTCTCGGTTCGTGTTGGCCGCCGTCAGAACCGACAATACCTCGTCCTTTTGTCCCGGTTTCAAGCCCAGAGAATTAGTCCCGTTGGTCACCGGGTGCGGCTGGATCAGGAGGACGAGCTGCAGTCCTTCTATTTCGGATAAGGGCTTCGCTCCTTCTTCCCACGTTCTGAAGAGTTCGGAGTAAACATCAGGATCCCCGTTTTTGAAGGAGTAGACGATATCGATGGCACTTTCTCCCATCAGCCGGACTTCGGAGAGATATAGCAAGACCGACACCCACTCACCGGGTCGTACCCTGCGGAAGCAGCCCATCAGCCTCCGACGCCATCGAACTCGCATTCCCAATCCGAAGCGAACCAGCAATCTGCGGCTGAATCGCCGTGAAAGCCCGATACACCCCCGGGTTCTCAACAGGCTCGACGTTATACAGCACATCACCAACGACAAAGCTCCCTTTCTCAAAAATGACCGTCATCCCCATATCAGCGGCCGCGTCAAAGTTCTCGACCCTCATGAAATCGCTAAACGCCCGCGCGTGCGCGTCCAGCACCTCCGGGGTGTACGCGAAGAGCACGCTGCCGCCTCACATGTCGCGCATCGCGTACGTGGGGACGTCGACGCGGGTGACGATGCCGAAGTTGTTGGAGCCGCCTTTGAGCGCGAGCCAGAGGTCCGCGTGGGTGGAGGCGGTGGCCTCGATGATTTCGCCTGACGCGAGGACGAGTTCGTAGGTGTGGATGTTGTCGCAGACCCAGCCGTGGCGGCGGGCTAGGTAGTGGATTCCTCCTGTATCGAAGATTTGTAAGAGTGAGATTCAACTGGGATGGAGTTACGTGGTGGTAGTAGTGATAGGAGTAGAAGCTCACGACTCACCGCCGAGCGCGAGCCCGCCGACTCCGATCCCGGTGACTCTCCCGCCCATCACGGTGAGGTTGTGAGGGACGAGTTGGGGATAGATGTCGGTCCATACGCCGCCGGTGCCGAGCGAGGCGGAGCTCTTGTCCGGCGCCAAGGTCACGGAGTTGAGCTCGCGTAGATCTACTGTGATTCCGTCGTGGATGTTGGCTGAGCCGGGCCAGATCATGTGGCCGCCGCTTCGGATGGCGAACTGGAGCGGGTGACGATGGGTTGAGCACTTTGGTGACTCTGCGTTGACGAGCTTGATGAAACGCGATACTTCTTCTGCGCTCTTGGGCCGGAAGATGCAGCCGGGCTGGATGTCGCGTTCCTGGCCTGAGTAGTAGGATGATATCGATTCGTCGTAGGTCACGGACTCGGGGAAGGATACGCGGTCTGGGAGGTCTGTGGAGAGGAGGTTGCAGAAAGAAATAACGTCTTGCGGGTTGGAGGCCGCGACGGCCGTGATCAGCAGCGCTGAGATGAGCAGAGGCGTGTGTTTTAATCGAGGCATTGTGTTTCTTTGAGCTATCTCGATATGACTACGTTCGGAATTTGAGAACTATGTCTTAAGGTTGATCAGTGTTGAAGTATCTCGTGAGATGCGACCTCTCTTCCTGAGTTCGATGGGCGGAGACGTGGCTTTCGGAGACATGGACCTGAGGATTTAAATCAGATATTGCGACTGACCTGTAGTTATCGTGCGGGGTCTGCGGGCAGTTCGTGATTATTGGGCGGCAGAGTTGATCTTTGCCAGGAGAGGTCTTCCGAGTCTGAGTCTTTGGTTACACAGCGCGAAAATATCAGCCACATGCCTTCCGAAGTTCTGGATTCTAACAGATCTTGGCGTAAGCCCTCCGTTGACTCGGAAGGATAAGAAGCCGGGCTTGAGTACTTGCATGATGACTGTAACTTTCTTTCTGTTGATGTCTCAAAGACACGTGTTTAAATTTGGACACGAACAAATGATGAGATACCTTGGCAAGGGATTGATATTAAACAGAAAGTCAGCATGTATGTCGTCGAGTGGTGGAATTGGAGATCATTCTGAGGCGATGTCAAACGAAACTTTGTCTATAGCTCTACAGGCTCAGAGCACATCAATTGAAGTGTTTTCGCAAATGTACGTAGAAGTGATATGAAGCTCTTCATTGAGTTGAAACTTAACAATCTAATCTTTTTATACTTGTGCGTGGAAAGTCTCTGTTTGGTGACAAGGCCCCTTTTGAGATGGCAAACCTTTGTTGAAGAGCCATGGCAGCCTGGAAGCCAATGATAAAAGAACCTTTCTGAATTCAAATGTTGAATGTGTACTTAGTGGGTATGGTGAGATTCAAAGTATCACAAGAATAAGGGTTATTGTATTATAATGACCAGCGAGTTGCAATAGTTGCACGGACAAGAGGCCCTGGAACCGTTCCGCCCTGGTATCAATCCTGTGTAAACACTAGAGAGACATGATCAGCAGGCAGGTTAGGTTAGGGGTTCTTAGTTATCATTTTCCCTCATTGGTATAAGTGAAAGGATGGGGAAGGTGTTCAAGCTCAGGAAAAACTTCATCGGGCATAAGAGAGGAGAGAAAGGTCCAGTTGATATTCACTCGATGATCACTCAAACACGGAAGACGCATTGACTCGGTTCGAATTTTCGCCGTAGACTCATACGGCGGCCAATAGCCACAAATTAGTCATAATGAAATGATACTCTAGCGCAATACAACGCAGCTACCCCCCTTGTTGTTATTGTTTTGCCTGCAACTGCTGGCATCTTCAGTTGAGTCCATAACTTCTTCGGACGGTTATTAGTCGATCAACTCAGCCAAATGCCAAGAAATCACTCATGTCAAAGGCAATTAATTAGCTGGGGTTCAACTTTCCCATCAGTAAATCCCCTCACGCTGAGTTCTAGATCTAGTTCAGAACTACCGCTTTGCAGATTCTTGGTGGCGGTGGATTCTGTTTGCTCCACCTTCTGACGATATGTGACGTCAAAGGGTGGATGGGCAATGCGAAGCCTTAATAAACCAGGAGATTTTGCTCCAAGAGCGAAACTAAATCGAGAATTAATTCTCCACCACCGAGGCCAAGCACGGGAATATCCAGAGCATATCAATACGCCCCAAACGAAGACCCCGAAAACTGCGGATAGCAGGCGAACTTTGATGCCCGACAACCGCCTCAACATTCGAGCTGAGGGCGATCTCTCGATCGACCCGCCGTATAACCTCATATCTTACTCTACGAACCCACCGCCAGCTCAGTAAACGAGCGACACAAAACGCTGGATCACGATGAAGTCTCCATCCGGAATGAAATCTCCGTTATGCCTCACCGCAAGCAACTGGCCGAGGCCACAGCATCGTGGATACTCGCTGTCATACCCTGCGGCACATCCTGCGAACACCCGGAGGTTTCACGGCGAGTCTTGGTATAAAGAAGCGGATGGGTAAGACCTCGAGAAGGAAAATAACCTTGAATGACACGAAAGTATTTGTTTGAATTTCATCCATCGACCGCAGCACGCGACGTAGCGAATCTTGAATTTTACTTCAATTGTAATCATAATGCAAGACAACCCCAGCGACGAGACGGTAGTCGGCGACAGCGATCCTCCTCCCCAACTCGGAGCCGAAAAAGAGACTCCCCACCATGACCAACCATCCGGTCGGCCGCGGGCCGCGAAGCTCAACCGGGACAACACCAGTCACTCGGTGAGCCAATGGGCGAAGAAGCGCTTGGAGGAGCACGAAAACCTTCCCTCCCAGTCAGTCAGCTGGTGGCACCCGCATCTGGCAAAGGTAAGGTTCCGACTCAGCCGTAAAGTAGAGTTTCCTCGAACGTGGGAGCTGACAGTCGTTTAAAGTTGCGGAAGCACACTTCTATTCTGTGGATACGGAACAGTAAGTTAACGAAAACGCCGAGTCAATGGCAGTTGATGGTGTTCGGTGCTAACCATAGTGATAGCGTTTATCGTTTGCTTGGGGGCTTTTCTTGTTCTGTGTCTCTACTGGGGCATAGTTTTCAAGATTGAAGAGAACTTGCCGTCGCTTGTCTGCTTCGTGGTAGACTTTGACGGCAAAGTTGCTCCTTTCGAGGACGTGACGCCTTTGATAGGCCCTACTGTCACGACTCTGGCAAACGAGACGCTATGGAGCGCGATACCCTCCATCGGATATCAAATCCGACCCGCAAGCGAGTTCAACTTTGACCCTCTCGAAGTTCGAAGAGCTGTGTACGAATTCAAGGCCTGGTCGGCCATCGTTGTCCACTCCAACGCGACATCCCTTTTGCAAAACGCGGTGTCAACGGGTAACTCCTCGTACGACCCAACCGGAGCCGTCCAAGTCATCACCATGTCCGGCCGAGACTCGTTCATGACGTACAGCTACATCTTACCAAAACTCACCACATTCACCCAGCAACTCGCATCACAGTTCGGCAAAACCTGGGGCGACATGATTATGGCCAACGACTCCTTGACAAGAGAGAACCTTCAACAAGCTGCCAGCGCCGTAAACCCTGCGATTTCACCACTCATGCTGGACCTCCGACCGTTCGGACCCCCAGCGGCAACACCCGCGGCTACTTTTGGCTTGAGCTTCCTCATCGTCCACTTTGGCTTTACCTACTACCTCGCGGACGACCAGGTAAGCTTTTCCCAAGCCCGCACACACACACTCAACTCAACTTTCATGCTAATGTGTTGATCCTCTCCAGAAATGCATCATCCCGGAAGGACACCCGCCCGTGCACTACTGGCACCACGTCATCCGCCGCTGGCTCGCGCTGATGGCAGCGTACTTCTTTCTTTCTTTCGCGTACAGCCTGCTGCCGCTCGCATTTCAAGTCCCGTTGGGAAACCCGCCAGCGTCGCCGGTCGAGGTTGCGCAGAACCCGAACGCCTTTGGGAAGGGGTCGTTCTTCGTCTTCTGGATGCTCCATTTCCTCGGGATGGCCGCGCTCGGGTTTCCCTGCGAGAATATGGCCATGCTGATGGGCTCGCGATGGGTCGGGCTATGGTTGACGTTCTGGTCCCTCACGAACACGGTTACAGGCTTCTGGCCGCCCGACATTGCCCCCGGCTTTTACAGGTGGTCGTACGCATGGCCGTATCACCATGTTGTTGAGGGGAGCAGGCAGATCTTGTTTGATCTCCATTCCCGTATTGGTTTGAACTTTGGGGTTCTGGTGGCTTGGTTGTGCGTCAACACTGCCGTGTTTATTCCTGCTTGTTATTTCATGAGGTGGAGGGAAGAGAAAGAAGCCCGGAAGCAGGAAATACATCTTCCGCACTTCAGACTCAAGCGGTTCGATGTTGAAAAGCAGGTACCAAAACCGCCCGGGGCCAAGCCACCAAGGAGAAAAAGAGGCTTTCTCAGAGCTATGTAAGGCAGGAATTTGGTTGGGACGAAAGCTTGGGTTATGCGGCGTTGGTTTAAAAGCGGCTAGCGAAAAGAAATATTCTTAAGCATCAATCTGAACGTACTTCAATCCTTCGACATCAGCGCGACATCTCCAAGCTATGTTCTGTTTATGTAGGAACTCTCTGCTGGCATCCTAATGAAGGTCTTCTAGTATTCGTATTCCAAGCTTTGAGGACGGACTATTATATGTCAGTGCGTGTGTTCAAACGGGATATCTGCATCTCTTCTACGAGTCACAGCTGATCATTGACTGTTCTGTGGTATCAAACGGCCGCTGGAAACCAACTATCGGCCAGTTTTCCGACGTAGGGCTGTTCTCCCATATTCATGTTGGCATAACGAACACGATTGACTCGAGTGGTGACTATGCGTTTCATTTGAAGTCTGCAAAGCCGGGTCAACATCGCCCGTGCGAGACATCCGACGACCCAACCCCGCCTGTTAGATCGGGTCCTGTTCGCCTTGGCATCAACCCGGTGCCAAGGTAAGAACTTCGAATACCTTTGCTTGCTATCTGCCGCATCAAAGCATTGGATAGGAAATCCGGGAAAACATGTCGTTGAGCGCCAAGCACACGTGTGTGGAGTGGAGTTGCACTAATGATACCTACAAGTGAGGAGAAATCGTTAGCAGGATTCTGCATGCCAACGTGGCATGTCTGAAGTAAAGAAGTTTTTACCTCCTCTATTCTTCACCAGAACACAAGTCAGTAATTCGATATATGCTAGTCAGCTGGGCGTAGTTCGGAACAGTAACTGACGTAAGGCGGAAGCCGAGAGGCACGCAAGCACGCAAGCACGTGTGTTCCGAGGCGTCCGGACGAAGGGTGGCGGAAAACGGCGAACACGTCGGCCGCAAATGGGGGGAGCACTCTTCGCAAAGGGTAACTGGTTTCCTTTTCGGCTTGCGACGTGGGGATGTGTTTGGTTTGAAGACCAGACGTTCCGGCCAGATCAAGGTTGCGAAAGCGGGCTTCCCTGGGGTTGGAAGACCCGACCTGTCACACATGCCTCCAACGTTGCCCCAAACCAAACCACACGCAGCGAACGACATCAACCCCCGAACCCTGACGGAATAAGACTCCCGCAACCCTTGCAGACCAATGAGGGTCTTATTGCTACATCTTGGTATAACATTAGAGTGCGACTGCTCCCGTACCCCGCATTCTAGCACGAACGTGCCCTCCTGGGTCTTGGTGTCCCAGATTATTGGATGGATTTGCCCACTGACTAGGGCTGTCTACAATGCCAGTGAGATTTGCCGAAGAAGGTTTGATAGGCCTTCCATTGTCCGTGCCAGATGTTCGAACCGGCTCCCGCTCGGTAGTGGTCCTTGATAAAAATAAGAGCTGACCACCACCTTCCCCTCTTGAGCCAAGCTCGAAGTTGTCAGCACGACGTCGCATCAATGTACGATTATATCATGACCGATTCGGCTCATGATATTCACTGAAAAGCCTGTACCACTTGGCTCTCTTTCCGTTCTGAAGCTGTCTCCGAATCTCATTTCATCAAATCATCGTGATGGTGCTCTCCACCATCAACGAAATCCCTCTTGAGGGGGACAAGAAACGTGGGTGTTCAAATTGATGGGAGAGTATGTCACGGGCAACTAAAGTAAATATCTACAGTCGACTTCTCAGAGCAAAATACCGTCGACTTCAAGTCCGGGTCAGTCGAATACGATGAGGCACCGTCGATACTACAATGGTCCGAAGCCGAAGAGAGGGCCATTCGGCGGAAGATAGACTGGCACACAGTTCCACTGGCCACACTACTATATCTTCTTTGCGTATGTGGTCCAGTGATAATCATTGTCACCGAGATGATTGTGGCTAATATGAGTATGTGGATAGTTTCTTGACCGATCCAACATTGGAAATGCCAGAATCCAGGGCATGAGCAAGGACATCAACCTCGAAGGGTTTCGCTTCAACTGGGTACTGTCAATATTCTACATCGTCTATCTCTTCGTCGAGGTCCCCAGCAACATCATACTCAAGCGTGTCGGCCCGCGTTTCTACCTGCCTTTCCTCGTGGTGGGCTTCGGACTTGTTTCACTCTGCACAGCATTCGTCAGATCGTATGAGGGACTGGCAGCAGCTCGAGCCTTCTTGGGCGTCTTCGAAGGTGGAGCCATGCCCGGGCTCTCATTTTTCTTGAGCAGCTTCTACCGACGAGAGGAGTTGCTCCTGCGCATCGGCATATTCATATCGTCAGCCTCCCTGGCTGGGGCATTTGGTGGGCTTCTAGCAACCGGACTTTCCCGCGTACCGGAATGGGGCTTCGATGGAATGGTGATCCATACGTGGCGCAACATCTTCTTCTTCGAAGGTTTCGTCACGATATTGGTCGGCCTGTTCGCGCCCTTGTGGATGCCAATGAATCCTTCAACGGCTTACTTCCTCACCGATCGAGAACGGCTGATCGCCGTCGAGCGTCTCCAGCGCGAGCACAAGGCCAATGCCGACGAGCCTGTGAACATCCACCACGCGAAGCGGGCCGTCATGTGTATCCACAATTACACTTGCGCGTTCGGCTTCTTCGTGATCAACATCACGGTACAAGGAATCTCCGTTTTCATGCCTACCATCCTCAACGATCTGGGCTGGACGGCGACGAAAGCGCAGCTGATGTCGGTGCCGCCTTACGTTGTCGCTTGCGTGACGGCGGTGACGATAGCATACATCAGCGACAAGACCCGGCAGCGAGGAATATACCTGGCAATCTTCTCGGTCATCGCCGTGATTGGGTTTGCTATCCTGCGATTCGAGACCGATGCGAATATTCGGTACATGGCGGTTTTCTTTGTGACTGCGGGCGCCTTCCCAGGTGGCCCTGGTTTCCTGAGCTGGGCTATGAATAGTAAGTCGGGTTTTGTAATGAAGCAAAATTCGTCTGTTAACCAGAATGTCACAGATTCCGCAGGGCCTTCAGTCCGCGCTGTTACCAGCGCCTATGTAGTCACTATTGGCACCATTGGTGGAATTGTTGCCACGTAAGTTACTTCAACAGACATCCGACGCAGTTGGGTGTTGGATGTCCCTCATGTTCAGTATCCAAGACTAACACAACTTAGCTGGACATACACATTCAAAGACGCACCGAAATACTTCGTTGGCCACACCATCAACCTCGTGGGGCAGATATTGGCCGTTCTTCTTGCCATCTTTGGTATCCTTTACTGCATGTATGAAAACATGGCGAGAGCTGCGGGGAAAAGGAATCACAGATTAGATGGCCTCAGTGAGAAGGAGCAAGCACAACTTGGTTATAGACATCCATCCTTTGGGTACATGCCATAGCGAACGGGCATGGAGACATCTCCCAGCTGGAGAAGCAGACTGAAAGTGCTTTAAAGCGATCCAGACGAGCTGTTAATCTGAAGACACAAGAACGTAAATAATTGGCTAATGAAGAGAACGATGATGGAAAAAGCGCCGAGTTACTGCAAAGAATACATGTAACATGTGATGAGGCATGCGATCAAAGTCATATCTACTTCAAAGAAGGCATCAACTCATATGTGTTTTTCAGGGTGGACTCCGAGGATACAGTCAAGTCGTATCTAGATGTGAACCGCGGTAATCCTGCCAATCTCCAGACCCCGCAAGATTCGCTTTTTCGTCACAGGGGAGCTCATATAGAACGAAGCGTTTGGCGACAATGACCGCAAACTCGAGTTCAGGCTGGAGAAGAAGTTGCGGCAACTTAGTTGCCGCGTTATGCAGACGTTTTCGAAATATCTGTGAACAGAGTGTAGAGAACGAACAGCCGAAAGGACATCTCATATGCTTCACTTAGAGGTTTGTCAATCCGAAGATGTGGGTTTAGTCATGGCTCTCCCCTGGTGTGCAACGCCGACCGGCGAAGCACTGTCGGATTGACCCGGCCCCACTGTAGGGCCGGGTCCGGCGCCGATCTAGAGGACGACTCAGGATGAACACCTGATTCTCTCGCTGGAGCAGAGCCTTAACAAGAAGAGACTCTTTGCATGTTTCCAAGCGGAAGAGACTGGTAGAATCGGGTACAGATCAAACGTTAGGTTGTAATGATGTAGTCCTAGTTCGTTGGTCTCGCTGGCCCGACCCGTGTACAATCTCATTGTCCGTGCAATCGAAGACAATGAAGTGGTCGACCAGCTGGGTGAAAGCCGGTCACCGGGACACCCGGGATCGACCACACAATCAGCGTAGAGGCTCCGTTGATTTGCATTATTAAGCGTATCCAAATGCCAGACAGCGTTTAGCCTGGTGGTTCTGGTCGGCGCTTGTTCCGGGACCGTGATGTCATCTTCCTTCGCTCGGTGGACTCTTTCACGATGTATCTACCCATGCATCTAGACTAGCCAGCCAATCACGATCTAGCATATCAGAGCCATTCTGTCAATATTGTTAACGGTGACTTCACTACATCATTGATGGCGGTGATCGCCAAGCGCATCATTGATTATTGCTGGCGCCTTTTGCAATGGCTCCGAATCCGTAATTCCTAAGGAGAGGTGATAAAACCAAGACGCCAAGCGCGGGAGAGGCGTTGGGCCTTTTCACATCAGTTCTGGCAAATATTTGCGCTTGTTTCAACCCCGTCCAACAGTCGTTCAGACGCTCAAGAAGCTGTTTCGGGAGGAGGAAACTCAATTCCTGGCTCGGACGAAAACGATGAACGACCCTTCCGAAGACCCGCATCGCGCTTTCGCAGCCCGACCCGACGTCAACGACACCGAAAAAGACAGCCATGACGGCAATCTGGAGAACGGCATTGCCAAGCATCACCGGAAACCTCACACTGCTGTCGGCTTCTGGGATCCATCCATGAGAAAGGTTCGCGCGCACGTCATCCGGCTATGGCTTCAGACAATCTTGATTCTCATCGCGTTCATCCTCGGGGTGTTGTCGCTGTACTGGGCGGTGCTCTTTCGCGCCGAGGCGAACTTGAGGGCGATAGTGGTTCATGTTGTCGACTTTGATGGCCAAGTTGCACCATACCAGTCCGTCCAACCGCTTGTTGGTCCGACAGTAATACAGACAGTTCAGAAGGCCCTGGAAAAGTCCGGACCTTCATTAGGATGGACAATCCTACCACCTTCTCACTTCGATAATGACCCGATGGCTGTACGGCAAGCGGTTTATGACTGGGACAGCTGGGCAGCTGTGATCGTTCATGCGAATGCCACGGCGGCACTTCAAGCGGCCGTTGAGACTGGAGATGCCAGTTATGACCCAGCTGGCTCATTACAGATCATCGTGCAGAGTGCTCGAGATTCGACGACGTACCAAAGCAATATTCAGCCGTACATCACTCAGTTCACGGAACAATTCACTCAGGCGTTTGGAAAGCAATGGGGCCAGACTGTTATGTCGAACACATCCTTGAGTCGGGAACTTTTGGCCAGGGCATCCGCTGCCGTGAACCCGGGAGTGGCCCCCTTGATGATCGACCTACGTCCCTTCAAGCCAGCAACTGCCACTCCCGCAGTCAGCATCGGTCTGATTTACCTCATTATCATGGCGTTCTTTTCTTTTGCTTTCTTCCTTCCCATTCATTCGGTAGGTCACTCAACTCTTAAAGACCATCAACCTCCGCTAACTCTACTTTCAGAAATACATACAGCCACAGGGCCACCCGCCCCTGAAGTTCTGGCAACTGATTGTATGGCGTTGGACAGCGACCATAGTCGCCTACTTCCTTATTTCCCTGGCTTACAGTTTAATATCTCTCGCTTTTCAACTCCCTCTCAGCGCTGCACCAACCTCTCCAACCGAGCCTTCTCCACCAGAAGGGGCAACAGCCTACGGCCGCGGTACCTTCCCTGTGTACTGGATGGTCAACTTTGCTGGAATGACGGCGCTAGGTCTCGCATGCGAGAATGTTGCCATGCTTGTCGGCCAGCCGTGGACGGCTCTTTGGCTTATCTTCTGGGTTATCACCAACGTCTCAACGTCTTTCTACGCCATTGATCTATCTCCAGGCTTCTATAGATGGGGATATGCGTGGCCGTTGCATCACGTCGTGGAGGCCAGTCGACAATTATTGTTTGACCTGCACTCGAAGATCGGACTGAACTTCGGTGTGTTATTTGCTTGGGCAGCTGTAAATACTGCCTTGTTTCCCATCTGCTGCTATTTCATGCGCTGGAAGATGGAGCACGATAAGAGGGTAGCTGAGAAGGAAAAAGATAGATATGTGGTTGAAACTGAGGACGGAAGCGAGGAAGTTGAGAAGCCGGAGGGCACCAAACCGCCAATTAGAAAGAGAGGGTTCATGAGAGGTGTATGAGTTACGAATATCATAGTAACAAAAAGCTTCTCCTTGCCATTAGTTACGAGGACGCATGTGCGAACTCTGACTTTGTACATCTACATGGACTGAGACATCACCTGTCAAGCGATACTCACCATACCCCAACAAAAGCTAAGCTTAAAAGCAGATATTCCTTCTAGCCGTGTTCGTCAGCCACATTTATCTGGCTGTCCATTGACCAGGAAAGTCAGCGCTAACACCCATCCGGTTCACCAATTTCAGCTTCAACGCCTCCTTGCAGGCGTCGAATTTACCCCTCTGTCACCATCGCAAGATCGTAAAAAACCATCAAAAGTCACCACTCCATCCTGAACTGCAATGGAACCCGGGATCTTCATCGTACCCGGCCTCTATGAAGGTCCGGCTTCTTTCCGCCCGCTCGTCGAATCCTTAAAAAAGGCAGGCTTCCCCACGATTCACGTTGCAACTATCATTAGCGGCGGTACATCCTCGAAGAGACAGCCTCACGGATTCACGATCCAAGATGACACGGATGCCATTCGCAACGAGCTAATTCCCTTTGTTGAGAAATGCGGCAGTGAAGGAGTCATAATGATCCTACACTCCGCTGGTGGGTTCATTGGAGCCGGAGCCATGAAAGGCTTGTCCCAAATGGCATACGAGGATGACGGGAAGAGGGGCGGCGTCCGTCAGATCGTGGCCTTCACAGCTGGCTTCCTCCCCGTTGGATTTGAGCATAAGCCTCTTCCATTTATGAAAGTCAACGTACGCGAGATCCTGTCGTAATTCTTTGATCAATGCTAAGTCGAACACAGGAGGAAAAGGGAATTCAAACACCTGTCGATGACATGGCGTTCTTCAACGACATGTCGCCGGAGGAGGCCAAGCCGTGGATCAAGAAGTTTGTCCACCATCCGGCCGAAGGATGGGGCACTCCCATTGAGTATGCTGGATGGCAGGAGGTGCCGACAGACTACATCATCTGCGAGAGCGATGAGATTATACCAGCGCAGATGCAGGAGACGCTTGCGTCTTTGGCAGAAGCGAAAGTGTACAGATTGGATGCTGGTCATATGGCGCAACTGTCCAAGACTGAAGAGCTCTCGCAGTTGATAGTGAAGGCTATTGAGAGGATGCAGTAAATGTTTTAGTTATTCGCGAGAGAAGGTCTAGAAGTATGACGAGGTAGCTCAGATCTAAATACGCCTGTGTTTCGCGCGTAGTATTTCCCATACGGCATCCTATCAATCAATATTGACAGTACTGAGGCTGGGAGGATGACCCGAACAACCACATTCGATGCCTCATGTTACCTCAACCAAGCGCTGCAAGAACTGGCTTGTAGCCGCCGTTGGCACTGACGGCCGCCCCATTAACCCATCTACCCTCCTCGCTCGCAAGAAACCCGACGATATAACCGATGTCTTCAGAAAGACCAAGTCTCGGGGCGGCAGATGTTAGAGACTTCATCTGCTGCTCAAGGCCCTCAGGTGACAGGGCTATGACTGTGTTCAAGCTGTCCGTGGCAGTAGGCCCGACCATCACGCTGTTGAACGTGATACCCCTGTCCGATGAGAAAGAATCGGCGAAGGACCTCATGAAACTGTCCAGGGCGGCCTTGCTGGCGCCATAGGTGATCAGGGGGTCTGCGTTGGCCACCTTGCTAGCTATGCTGGAGATGTTGATGACACGGCCGCCGTACTTGGGCGCGTACTCCATGAAGGCCAGCGTGGTTGCGACCGGAACGTAGGTATTGGCTACCATAACCGTAGAGAAGTTGTCGGCTCTGAGCTCCGGCATCGGCTTGTAAGCGTCTATGGAGCCAACAATGGCGTTGTTGACGAGGATATCGAGGGTGGTAACGCCCAAGCTGGCGACTACCTCCTTGACGACGTTAGGCCAGGCCTCGGGGTCGGTGGCATCAGCCTTGATAGCGATTGCCTTGTTGACACCTAGGGCTCGGCATTGCTGGATGGTTTCATCAGCAGCATCTTTGTTGGCTGCATAGGTGATAGCGATGTTTTCCACGCCCTTGCGAGCAAGATGAACAGCGATACCTCTGCCAATACCTCTGGATCCAGCGGTGACGATGGCGGTCTTTCCGGCTAGTGACCAGGGTTGGGCAGTGTTGAGAGCTTCAGACATGATGTTGGAGGGTGAGTGAAGATAAGTTACCAGTTTGAAAGAGATGCGATTTGCACTGAGCTTAATGACTATGGCTTGGAGGGTTCAGACAACGGACCCTCCATAGAATTACCCTCCAACGTTTTATAGTTGGACGACTATTGATCCAGTCACAAACATCAGCTGGTGCTAGTAGCCTAATGGTCGACCCCCCGGTAAGATTGTGCATACGCGAGCCGCCTTTGGGGATTGGAATCATCCAGACTCCATCTGTCGTGAGTGTGGTTGGTAATGCATCGATCTGGAGACCCATTCTATGGCTGCATGTGAAGTGGAAATGATGACAAACCTCCTTGTGGAATAAGCATAATGCTACAAGCGCAGTGGTGTGATCAACCCAAGAATAATTCAATGGTGAACCTGGGGTCACACTGCGGGTCCAGCATGAAGACATCACAGATCCGGGATAACATCTTGCCCGAACGAGGGGTAAATCAGACACAACTCGGGTCAGAAACAAGTCCAACGGGACCGGCTTAAGGTCGGTTCATCAACCAAGAGTCGAGGGCAGGACATGGGTTACATCAAGTTCCGCTTCTTGTTCTAGGCACGGGTTGTGGTTTAGTTACTCCGCAGCTCGCGGCCTCAGTCAGATAGTCTTGGGATCGGACGCCGCCGGGAACTGGGACTTCTGGTTGCGGAGTTGCGGAGTTCCTAAATCGGTTATGCGTCAGAGTAGCTGATTCTGTGGCCTGAATTTACTGATTTAGGCAATACGTCTCCAGATCATTAGGTGCTGACATCCGTCGGCTAGGAGTGCTTACTGGTGCATCGCTCTTACAGCCGATGCAGACCGAGACGGCTTTGATATTGGTAATCAAAGACTCTACTTGACTTGCGCTCAGCAAGGTGATAAGCCGGGAGGCGTGCATACTTGGTACGGAACTTTTGGGATAGATATGTACATGCTGTCAACAGTTTGATGCAATGTTCACGTAAGGCGATGCAGTTCGAAACACAACTTTATAGTAGAAGATCATATTATTAAATGCCACGACATTTATCAGCGAACAGAGAGTGAATATCAAAACCAAGGTGGTATATCGAAGCTTGAAATAATATGTTGCGAATGAAAAGAGCAGCTCGCTTCCAGTTAACGATTGGGAAAAATATGGTTCACACACTTTGAACACAAGATCTCAAGCATAATTCCGCCCTCTAAAACCCGAGAAGAATCTTCCTCCAAGGCATCTTCTTCTTCTCCGCCGCGTTGGCTGGAGCACCATACCCCTCTTCCTGCACATTATGCTGCCCAACAATAGCAAGGAACACGTCATTTAACGTCGTGGGACTGACGCTGTGGTGTTCGATGCCCAGAGCCTGCTTGTTCTCTTCAAGCATAAGGATCAGCTGGCCAATGGCACTGAGGCTGGCAACTTGCCCGCGTTGTCTTGTCAGATGAATCTGCTCGGCTCGTGAGAGAACATCGGCCGCGGAAACTGAGAAGCGCATTTGTCCATGATACGTTGCGGACTCGATCTCGGCGTTGGGGAACATCATTTGCACCCACTCGCGCATTCGGTCCATCTCTTCAGCAGTCGAGTGAGGCGCAGTACGACTGACAAGGTGGACATACAAAGAGTCCCCGAATCGCGACTGCAAAGTCTCGATGTCGCCGACAGCCAGCATGCGCTGTGCTACAATACCAGCTCGATTGGCCAACGCGTCTGCCTCCTCCATGCTGTGTGTCGTAAGCAGGATAGACCGGCCGGGGACGATGGTGCTGAGAGTGCGCCACATGATTCGTTTAGCAGCCGCGTCAAGTCCGGAAGACGGTTCATCAAGAAGAATGACAGACGGGTTTCCGGTAAGAGCAATTCCAAGAGAAAGCTTCCGCTTATTACCCCCGGAGAGATGCTGTGCCATGGTGTTGACGTGTGCATCGAGCCCGACGGCGCGTACCACGGCTTGAACTTGGTACTCGACATCGGCGATACCACGCAGGCGGGCGTAGTGACGAAGGTGCTCGAGAACAGTCATGGAGTCGATGGCATCGAATTGCGGACAAACACCGAGATTGGAACGAGCCAGGGCGCGCTTATCGGTGATGGAAACTTGCTCGACAAGGACATCGCCCCCATTCTTGCTGGGTTGGATGTCACCACGGATGAGCGAGATTGTGGTTGACTTGCCAGCTCCGTTGGGGCCGAGAAGAGCAAAGACCTCGCCGTGCCGAACACCGAACGTGACGTTGTCGACCGCAGTGAACTTTCCAAACTTCTTCGTCAGATGCTTGACCTGTAGGCCGTCATCGGAGCCGGTAACTTCGACTCGAGCGGTCTCATTTGCGACTTCCTGGTCGGCGTGAAGTTGCTCCATCTCGGAGTTGGAGCTCTTCTTTTGCTTGAGGAAAGCTGGAATCTTGTTGCCGCTGTCATACCAGAGAAGACCGCAGAACAAAATGATGGCCTGGATGGAGAGGTAAAGAATCGGGCCCCCGAAGGCGTTCATCGCTCCTGGGTAGTCGTAGAAACTGGTGCCGTCGCAAGCGAGGTTGAAGGTGTTCAGACCAACAATGAGGGCGCGGCACACGTTGGCCACAGGGAAGAAGGCTGCAATAGTGTAGTGACCTATGAGAATGTTTCGATCGCTAACGGTAGCAGGTGAGAAAGTAAGGATGTAGAGGAAAGCGATGAGGTAGATCGCAAAGCCCACACTGTTGTAGGCCATGATCGCAGCAAAGGTTGCCACCTGGCTCTGAAGGAAGAGGGAAAAGATGTAAGATAGAAGGATCGAAGTAAGGCCATACAGGATGAAAACCGGAAACAGGTAGCCAGGAGCAAACCAAATGTCCGATGCCGCGACAAAGATAACGGCTGCGATGATCAAAGCGATCACGAAGATGCCGTAGTCGAAAACTACGTGAGATGTCCACAGCGGCAACGATCTCACTCCACTGGAGTACTGCAAACCACGAACGTTGGAACGTCTCTCCACATTGGGGTATAACCCAAAGAAAGCTGGGACGATCGAGAGCACAATGCTGAAGAAGATGGCTAGTTGGACAGTGTCGAGAGTTGAGCTGCTGAAGGGGTTGTCGAACGGGATGTACCTGGCCGCGATGTTTATGTTCGTCCTCGCGACACTGAGAAGGTTCTGGGCAGTGACAGCAGCGGGAACGGTCATCCCTTCCTCTGTGTCCGCTCGCCATGCTACGGTCATCGGACCATCATCTGAACTGGCCCAGATTCCGCCGGGCATGATATTTTTCCGTTCGCGCTCGATGTAGTCGCGGAGACCGGACTCGGAGGTCACATTCTCCATGGTGAAGTTGCTTGAGTCTCTTGTTGAGGCCAAGCCGTTGAGAATGGAGCTAAAAGCGGTATTCTCAATACCAGAAGTTGGACCGGCAGCAATGTGCAAGCTCTGGACAACTTCGTCGTATTTATCGCTGTTCCCCCTCTGACCCTGCTCGGTAGGGACGCAGGTAGACTGGCTTTTTCCGTTGATGAGTATCTGCATAATGGCTGCTGCAATAATTGGAATGAGGAATGCAGCGACGAAGGGAATCCAGTTTGTTTTGAAGAGTGTCAAGCGCTTGTGAACCAAGACAGTCAGCTGCTTGACGAAGCCGGTTTGGCGGCCAGACTGTAAACCCAAAGAATTCCGCCCACCGTCGGCCATCCCTTTCTCCGTGATCTGTCCAGAGTCGTCGGAGAATCTTGCAGGGGCGGGCCGAGACTGAAGATCTTCGCCTTGGACCTCCTCGGCCACGTTGAGGAAGACGTCTTCGATGTTAGGGCTGTTGATCTTGTATGGCAGACAAGCTGCTTCGAGATGACGGATGACTTCTGCTGCCAGCTGCGACGATGGCGCTGTGTAGACGATAGTATTTGGCGAAACCCTCAGATCAACACCGGCAACTTCAGGGGGTCCTCTAACATCTTTGGCGTTCAAGACGTGGATACTATATCCGGCGCCGAGCGAGTCCTTCAGAGCGACTGATGAACCTTCGGCCCTCAAGACGCCCTTCGACAAAATTGCGATATTGTCGGCAAGCAAGTCGGCCTCGTCGAGGAAGTGCGTCGTTAGGATGATGGTTCGCTTGCCTCGCTCGGAGAGAAGAATATCCCATATTTTCCTCCGAGAAAGCGCATCAATACCAGAAGAAACCTCGTCAACACAACAAACAGCGCTGCCACCGGTCAACATCATACCAAGCTGCAACTTGCGTTTCTGACCGCCAGACAAGGTCTTTGATTGCGCACTTTTCTTCGACCCGAGGCCAATAGCGTCTATGAGCTGCACCATATCATCGCTTCGGACGCTTCCAGCGGCAGCGCCCGTGGACTTCAGTTGGTTGAAGATCCGAATGTGCTCAGACACTGTCAGTTCGTCCCAGAGGACGTTTTTCTGAGGAGCGATGCCGATACCGCCCGAGGCATCGATGGAAACGCTGCCGTGGTTGAAGCGGCTGATACCGGCGACGGCGTCGAGAGTCGTGCTCTTACCGCTGCCGTTCGCACCAAGAAGAGCAATGATCTGCCCTCTCTGTGCTCTGAGGTTGAGCTGATCGACAGCTACAGTCGGAGATCGTGGTTTGGAGATGAAGGAGAAGAGTCGTCGGAAGAGGCTTGGCTGGTAGACCTTAGTGAGACCATCGATAGAAACGGCGTGTTGAGGTGGAGGGCCATCGCCCCTGTAGATTCTCCGACTTTCCGAGCCGACGCCGTGGATTAGTCGCTCAAGGACAGCCGCCATGAGAGGATACAAGATGAACTGGATGATGAGAAAGACCCAGAGGGCAATGCCGGGTAAGGTAGAAGCACCAGTGGGAGGCGCCTTGACCAGGTTCATCGGCTTGCCCTCGGCTTCAAAGCGGGCTATCACCTTGATGAAGAAAACGAAAGCGCAGGGGGTGAAGAGAAGACTCAAGATAGCGACGGCGCCTGTTGGTGGATCAGGAATGGCCTGTGCCAGGACACCAAGTAGGACGTAAACCAGAGAGTTGATGACACCAGAAAGCTGGGCCTTCTTGAAAAAGGTGGCGCCGAGAATCGCCTGGGAGGTCAAGGCGAGACCTCCCAAGATGAAGAAGATAAGGACAATTCCAATGTTGGTCTCTTTCCATATTAGTGACCTAGCGATAATGGAGGCGACGACCCAGCCTGGAAAGTAGATGGTGCCGAAGGAGTAGAAGGTGGCAATCATGCGGGCCACTTGGGGCTCCCACTCGTATCGAATCGACATCATCGCGTCGATGAGCTGCGAAAGACCCTTTTCTCGTTCCGTCGCAACATGGCCAGGAAGGTGATAACTGACGCCAATCAGAGCGAGAACGAATGAGACGGCGAGATAGTCGATGAAACTTTGCTGGTATTTCCTTCGGACCGAAGCCTGGCGCTCATCCTCAGTTTCGTCTGTGAACCCCCATTCTTGCTGAACGCTGAGAGGATCCGAATTCCCATCTGTCGAGTTCAGGCGAGCAATGGCGGAATCGACAGCTCGTTGGAGAGGCAAGATGTAGACTTGAGCGTCATTATCCTCGTCTACTCTGAACTTTCCACCCAGCGCAGGGTCGCCTCGAAGTGTGTAGTTCCAGATACTACCCTCTCCCTCGTTGGGTGAAGAGTGGAACATGACCGCACCATAACATGACGTGGTGCCTCGAGCAGCCGACCGGCAAATAATACTCAACTCATCGTCGTTGATAACAGTCGTTGCGTTCTTGCCTGCAGCAGAAATGTCTTCTGAGAGTGTACTGATCACACGCTCGATATCGCCGCCAGCGTTGCCGTTGTTGACGAAGACGACTGTATTCCTGGAGCTGTCGGCTACTGAAAGACCGTCTCGAAGTGATCGAACATCTCTGGGCTCGGCAATGCCGTAGTCGCTCTGAGGGCCCCCAAGCTTGCCTCCGATGCCCAGATACACTGTCAGAATGATTGGAAGGAGTAAAGCCGTGTAGATTGTTGATGTTGGGTGTCGTGCTAGAAGAATGATGTAGTTTTTGACTGTTAAGACGCCAATTTGACGCACGAGGGCCGACTTTGGTGCCGCCATGGCGGCTGTTGAAAAGGCACTCAGCTGGTGTGCTTCACCAGATTCGAGGAGTAGTTGAAGTTGGTTATGATTGAATGCTTGTGGCAGGGAAGATTAAAAGCTTTGAAAAGAGCGACGACTGATCTCAATGCTCTCAGAAAGACCGATGTTGAGGGAGAGAGATCAATGTTGTTAGGTAGCAAACCTCTAGGGAGCCGACTTCTAAATTTTAACTTTCGTTTTAATATAAAGCTTCCGGGGAATTTAAAGAGAAAACAAAACCGCACACGGCGTCGGCATAGCCATTCTTTATCAGGGGAGAGGGCCTCACTTTCAGCTGTGTGACGCACCCACCGTGAATGTGATCGTTGAATCTCACTGCCGCATCACAAGTTTCCCAATCAGGCTATTGGAAGGTAGCAAAGCCTCTACCAATTGTGAGCCGAAGCCTGCATCGTTCAATGTCGCCGTTTCGAGAGGGATGCGAAGAAGGGTCCGATGGGTTTTCATTAGTACCTTAGCGGGCGGGCTCATCCAGTATGTAGTATGGCTCATCGCAGGAATGATTGGAGGAGTCTCAAGCCAAGCATTCAGTAGGGCTGTAAACAGACGTGTAATCTTCTGGCGCAGAGATGTTGTACACAATCACATCCAATTGCCTAAAGAAGTTAGGCCGAGGTCATAAGCGGTCGCAGCCACCAAACATGATATGACGGAATATGGCGCCAAGGTAGAGGAATACCACATTTATCGGGCGTTCGTCTGCCTTGCTGACTGCAGATAGTAAGCGAAATAGAACTGTCAATTACCACTTCCGGAATGGTGTCACTGATGCTGGGTGGCCCCTTGCTTTCGGTCAGCAAGACCCTGTTCCGCGGATGAGTGTGTGAGTGAACGGCTGCCGGACACGCCGTGATCTCCCCAAAATATTGCGGCCCAGCGTCCTGGAACCTGGAAAGTCCATTGATTGCGTCCTGCAGCGAACGGCCGAATCTGCATACAATAACCAATGATGTCTGATGTGATATATCGCTAATAACCAAGTTTACATGTGGCTGACCGGTTCCATGCCGAGATATTACCTACACCCCAAATACCGATCGCTGAAATTGAGATGAATGCCTCATCCGTGTGCCAAGACATCTGATGCCATTTCAAAGATTCGCCCTGCTGAATGGGTCGCTCTTCATCGCCTCTTCGACCTCCTTGTATGCGTCGTATCCATACAGCCATGGCTGCACCTCCGGGCACGTCCATCTGCTGGGGAAGGGGCCCTTCAATTCCTTTCCAAGCTGCGACATGAAGATTTCGTCTCTAGCCTCTTGCTCAGGTCCGTCTGGCATGTGGAATGAATGGCGCTGAAGACTATTAGCATCGTTGTCTTAGTATTTTCACCGAGAAAGATGTCGACTTACCTGCTTGAAAGTCTCTCTCACAATCGATTCGCCTCGGGCTTTGCGCAACTTCTCGTACAACCTAAACGCGATCGGCAATTGTGACTTGGATGTGATGTGTCCCAGCAGGAGTCCGAGAACGGCGCCGTCTTCAACTGCTGAGTTTGCACCTTGGGCGAGATACGGGAGCATAGGATGGCAAGCATCACCGCTGTACACGCATGTCAGTCAGAAACCTCGTCTGAGCTGTGATGGGAATCCATAGTGACTTACACAAATACGAAGTTGGATTTGTCGTTCACCCAGGAACTCAGTTCCTCTCCTTGAATTTGCGTCAGTGACAAACCATAAACACCGGCAGGGCGGTCGTGACTTACTGTGCATCAGCTTCCATTTCTCAACACTGTCAACAGCATTGAGGAACTTCTGCAATATCGGGTCCCATCCCTTGAACCGATTCCTCATCTCTTCGACCGAGCCTGCCTGGCGACTCACTCCCTTGGGCAGGTCATCGGGCGTGAGCAGTACAAGGTTGTACATCTTCTCTGCTCTCATGGAGTAGCCGACACAATGCGCCCCAGGTCCAATCCAGAAGTGCACCGAAGGCTTCGTGATCCATTCTCTCAACTCCGGGTCCGTAATGTCGTCGATATTCAGCACAACGCGATACGCCAAGTCGCCCGTGGCTAGCGGCGGGTCATCCGCCTTCAAAAAGCACGCACGAGACCGTGACCACAACCCGTCAGCCGCAACGATGAGATCCGCTCTCGCCTTGATGCCGGACTGTGTTGTGAGTTCCGGGGTGTCGAAGTCGATGTTGTCCACCTTCTCGCCGAGCTTGAACCGCACGCCAAGGTCCTTGGCGCGTTCGTACAGGGAAAGCTGCAGGTCGACGCGGTGAAGATCGATGAATGGTGCTTGATACTTTGCGCGAATCTTCTTGTTGAAGTCGTCTTCCTTGGCAAGTACCCGACCTGAGTAGCGATGGACAAGAAGTGATGTCGGCTCGGAAGCTGATTTCCATAACCTGTCCGGAAGACCCCATTTCTGAAGAATGCGTGTGGAGTTTGGTGTTACTTGCAGTCCTGCGCCAACCTGAGAAACTGATTAGAATACGACTTCATTGTGAAGGAGAAGGCTGGGTACCTCAAGAAGCTCCTTGGCGGATTCAAAAACAGTTACGCGGTGTCCTGACAGAGCTGCTGCTACAGCCGTTGCAAGACCGCTCAGACCAGCGCCGACAACTATGATTTCCAGTTGCACTGGTGATCTTGTATGAGCCGTAACCTGAATCGCATTGTTAGTTCACGCAACTTGCGAAGTAAGGTCCGTGTTGGGTCATAACAATCGAAACTCACCGCCATGTTTTGGCTGGATTCGTCGGATCTTGCAGTTGGAGATGCTGACGTCTTCGGGAATATCCAAGAGTTGAGCCACCTGAGCATCTTGATGTCGTTCGGTTCCGTAAGGGATGCAAGCCTGAATAAGGACAAAAGAAGAGTTTTGAGTTCAGACGCGTTGGCAGGACTCCCTTGGCATCAAGAAAACTCCCAAGGACGCGTTCGGCAGCTCGATCCAAGTGTTCAACCCATGTTCTTCAATCTTGTTGGGAGGAATTCCGGCAAGTCCAGCTCGCCCCTAAATTAGCTGTCGTGGCTTCCCCGGAGATCCCCCACAAAGGGAGCCGGAGGCGCGGGAGCGTCCCGCGGGGATTTTGGGTGGACGTGACTTTGGTGGACGGCCAAAGACGCCTGAGCGGAAAATCCGGGGTTCGGGTTTTCCGCGAGTCGTTCCCCCAGAGATGGTTACGAAATCCACTGGAATCAAGCCGAATGGAAGGATAACGAAGTGGATTTACGAATACTGGATTGCAGAGGCGAAATCGGCAAAGCCGGCACGAGTTTCCTCTTGGTGGAGAGTTTCTGGAGTGGTCAGCTTTTGTGTTTCGGGGGTTCGTTTGTGCGACCTCGGCGCGAAGGCCGTGGCATCATCTGCCGAATATATTGGCCGTGGTAAGCGGCTTCGGGATCTAAATTCGGCACGCCAAACGCGATCAGAGACATCAAACCTTAGAAACTCCCTGATTATCACTTTGGAAACTAGACCCAAGTATTTGCAACCCATTTTTGGTAACTCTATAATTGCCTTTGTCGAACATTTGTCTATCATCCATCGCAACTGTTACCCCTCCTCAACCCCGCACGATGTCGCCCAAGGGTCCTTACAAGTTGGTCACCGTCAACACCGCGCCTGAGCGTGCGAAGCGCCTTGTCGGCCGCATGGTTGAAGCTCTCAAGGACCGGTACACGATTGAGCATGTCGCAAACTGCGAGAGTGAGTAGCTTCATCCCAGAGTATGAGAAGTGAGTTTCCTGGCTGACAAATTGAGCAGGGATAGACGAAGTTGAGGGCAAGGTGAAGGAGCACCAGCCTGACGTCTTGGTAAGCTGGCTGTCTACACGATCTGTCGAATGGCTTAACTAATTCATTTGCCTAGTTCTGCGCCTCAATGTGGTCTGCTGAGGAGGCCAACCAGATCTTGTCGATTGCGAGATCGATCAAGCCTGACATCAAGACACATGCCATCCCGCATGGGCTTCAAGTCGAGAGGGGTCCCGATGCCATTGTCGAGCATCTGCTTGAGGTGGTCCCTCCTCTGATTGAGCAGTAAAAATGTTTCAGTCGTCATGGATTTAGACTAGGAATGGAAAACAGTGATACCAACGTTGTGACCCAGAATATTAAATCAGATCATATGAATCAGAGCCGGCACTCTAGGTGATGAGTGAGTGAGGGTCGATGAGTGAATAAAACTTGACGAGTGAATGAGAGTTACTTGGTGAATGAGACTTGATGAGTGAATGAACGGTACTGAGTAAATCAGAGATTCTGATTGAATGAGAGATAACGAGAAAATGAGAGTGAGGACAAAGGTACGGGCGGCGGAACCCTCAGTTGTAAGACAGAATGTCACCATGTCGATCTGGGGAGAACTCAGAACCAGCCTAACGTATTGTCGCGCCAATATCACTCTAATTATCACTCAATCTTCATACTCTTTGTCTTGAAAACATGACCCAAAAGCTCGATCGTACGCAGTATGCACACCCACTCTAAGTCTATTGTCCAACAGACGTCACACCCTCATTCTGGAACACGTTGATCAAGGTTCCAATGTGAGGAAGAATCTCAACCCTGAACTCATCTCCGTCCTTCAACGTCACCTTGGGCTTACGACCGAGACCGACACCAGCGGGTGTTCCGGTAATGATAACGGTACCGGCGGGAAGAGTAGTGCTCTGAGAGAGGAAGCTGATAATCTTGGGGATGCTGAAAATGAGATCACTATTGTATGGTTAGGCAAGATTTATTCTTAAGTTATGCCTGAGTGGAACCTACTCAATGCCGCTCTCCTGAAGAACTTCGCCGTTCCTCAGGCCGCGCATCTTCAGCTTGGTAGGGTCCTGAATGACATCCTTTGAGACAAGGGTAGGACCTATCATTTGCCTCTCTTAGATAATCCTCGACACGTCGTGACGGCGTAGGGAGAAACTCACCCAAGGGGCACGAGCCATCAAAGCCCTTGGCAAAGCACCACTGAGACTGGTTCATCTGATACGTGCGGCTGGAAACATCGTTACAGGCAGTGTAGCCTAGGACGTAGTCCATAGCATTCGCCTCGGAAACGTTCTTGCATGTCTTTCCGATGACGACTGCAAGCTCAGACTCATAGTCACCGCAGTCATCGACCTGGGTGAGAAGGGGCAGGATGGTTGGCTCCGGCCAAGGGTTTCCCAAGGCAGTGTTAGGCTTCCTGAGATGAGTGTCAGTCATCTCATAATCTCATCACTATTCAACAGAAGACTCACAAGAACACAGTCGGGACATCGGGTAGGGCGACGCCGACTTCCTTCGCGTGTTGGACGTACTGCGAGTCGAGTCAGCTTCACTCCTGGAAGGCCCTCCGCAGCGAAGCAATGGTAACTTACGTTGAGTCCAATGCAGCGAATGGTGCCGACCTCCTCGGCTGACAGAGGTGACAGGACCCTGTCGATCACCACGCGCTGGTCGGTCTTGGTGCCGGGCTCCAGGACACTCGACCCGGACCACACAACAGCCTTCACCTCCTTACCGTCACGGAGAGCGACACCGACGTCAACTGACTCCGACTCCGGTTCTCCAATGAAGACCTTGTTGGGAGCATCACGAGTGACGAAACGCACGAAGCCTAGAATCGTCAGCTGGCACGGTGGTAGGGATCTCGGGTGAGGGGAAGGAACTTACGGGAGAAGGTCGGTTGCGCGTTCGAGGCCATGTTGATGGATGATGTGTATGATTAATTCTCCAATTGAGACTCAAAGCTTGTGAGATATCGTAAGATTTCCAACTTGTGCCCTTCTTCAAATGGAAGTTCGGATGGTGTTCGCAGAAGCGATAGCCCTCCGAATCGTGGAATCCGACTGGGGCTCCCCGCACATTTGCCGATGGTTGGGGGGTTGCACGGCTCGGAGGTCCGGGAAGTCAATCAGCCACTCGAAATGTCTTACGCATCCCATCTTCGGCGTCGAAGCGTTGCGCTACTGCAGTCTTGGAGTATCATAATTGGCCAACCTCATACAGAGTTGATGACAAGCGGAAAAGCCGAGCACATCTCAGGGGCGCAGCTTTGGAGACTGTGGGGGCATTGCGAGGATGAGGGGTGTCATGGTGAGGGGCCGGGGAAGTGAGGGGTACATCGGGGCCATATGAGCCGATCGTCGCCGACGTCAGCTTCTTGGTTCGCGGCAGTTGGTAATGTCCTATTGACGGGCTCTTCCGATTGAAGGCCGGGTTTGGATTCGATATCAACTTCTCTTGTTTTGCGAATTGTCTTCCGAAAGGTGCAGCTTCTTACTAGATCTCCATTGCAAATTACCTGTTCCGAGTGTTATCGACATTTGAGAGTTAGATAACACCAGTTTCTGGGTATCAATCAAGATGGGCGGCGCAACAGCTCAAGCGCCTCATGGCGGCGAGTATCGCCAGCACTTACCGGATCTTAGCATCCCTCGCTTCACGACGATGCAGAAGCAGGATGCTCACGTCTACGCGAAAGAGTTCAAGGAAGGTGGAAACCCACCGTGGCTACATGCCCTCTACCTACATTGGCGCAAGCTCTTTAAGGAACCTTTCACGGGTATCACAACGGATGGTGAGCATACATATTAGATTGAGATTCCGTTCAAAGTCATAGAGCATCAGAGCTGATCATTGTCATAGGCACGGTGAAAAAGGACCTCTTCCAACTGGCCGACGAGAGCGTCCCGATCCAAGAGATAGTCGACGCCACACAAGCCGTTCTCTTACAACTAGATGATAAGCAAAAGAACATTTTGTCTTACCACATTGACTCCCCAGAATGGCGGTCGTGGTCAAACCCAGAGTTTCTTCTCAGCGATAAGGGCCTACGACTCGACGAGTTGACACCCCAACTTCGCGACAGCATTCTCAAGGTCTTAGAGACAACACTTTCACCAGAGGGCTATGCTAAAGCTTTGGGCGCAATGAGAATCAACGGCTTCTTGGGCGATCTGGTCAAGGCGCCCGCGGTTTGCAACGAGTTCTCTTACAACTTTGTGCTCTTCGGCGAGCCTTCGACGACGCGCCCCTGGGGCTTCTCATTTTATGGTCACCATTTGTGCCTCAACATCTTCTTGTACAAAGGACAGATTGTCGCATCACCTTGGTTCACGGGCGCGGAGCCGAATCTCATTGACGACGGACCGTACAAAGGCACCAGGATTCTCGAGACGGAAGAGAGACTCGGGCTCCAGCTCATGCAGTCTTTGCCTGCCAATGTCCAGGAGAAAGCACAGACATACAAGCTCTTGAAAGATCCAGCTATGCCGAAGGGGCGATGGAACCATGACGACCAACGACACCTTTGCGGCGCTTATCGAGACAACCGAATCGTACCGTACGAGGGTATCCTGGTGTCTGAGTTGAAGACCGAGCAGCAAGAGTTGGTCGTTGGTATTCTAGATCAATACCTGCTCTATCTACCCAAGAAATCCCGCGATGCGCGGATTGACCAGGCGAAGTCGTTCTTCTCGGAGACATACTTCAGCTGGATTGGCGGATTTGGCGACCAGGATCCGTTCTACTACCGCATTCAGAGCCCTGTCATCCTCGTTGAGTTTGACCACCACTCCGGAGTCTTCTTGACAAACAAGGAACCCGCCAAGTTCCACATTCATACTCTGCTCCGGACCCCTAATGCTGGAGATTACGGTATGGCGCTTCGGCCGTTGATTCCAAGGGTTGAGCAAGATTTCGTGTGGGAGGGCTGAGCAGGGCACAATGTATATATCACACAAAATTACATCTTTCTTGGACATTATTGTGCTACTACAAACATTATCGGGTCAATGAGTCTTAGATCGAATTAACTTTGAGTACGCTTCCAGAATGAGTGAAAATGCCCACCTTTTGACTTTCCAGCCCTCCTCGAATATTCCTGATTCATCCTGAAGCCATATTCTTCCGGCCATTATCAATTATTCTCGTCCTTATCACTGGCGTTGCATGAATCCAGAAAGCAAACACTGAGTATCGAACGCGTTGTAACGTGGCTTGGTGTCCGCGCAAACCCACATGAAGGTATCTGACAACTTCATTTCACAAGCCAGAATGGAATATGCAGGACAACATTCCTGTCACAACCTGACTTGAATTATCTATGGCCTGTTATCGTTTCTCAGCTGAGCGTTTCTTCTTCTAAGATTCGTGGACATGGCCGAGGGATACTAACTCAAAATGAGATCATGTCAGCAGGGCTGATAATGTGCAACACATTGCACAAACATGATTCGCTGACTGTGACTGCGCCGTCTACATAGGTGGCTATGTTAATCTAGCCACCAAACTATACTTATCTAGTCGTCCAACAGGATTGTGACATTCTCGTCACATGCATCGTCCTACATCGTGTTCTCGCACATCAGCGATATACCCCACGAAGGGATTGATTCATGCAGTCATCAGCTTCAATGTAGCATTGTTCACAGAGGTTGACACTGTCGACCAATGACAAAGCAACATGGTTCAGCTGCGAAATATTTGTCTACATGCATTATGACCAGTGTCGATGTCATGTTTCTAACTCAATTGGTTAATTGCTGTTACCTCGCCTCTCGCAATGATACTCTAACTTATTAAAGATGCCATTTTATATGTATGATTCTGTGCTCTCGAGCATCTCATCTTTGCCAAGCCTCCTTGTGTGACAAGCTACTTGAGAAAGATGGGTGGGTGTATCAGCATAGCTTCAATGTTCCAGCCTCGTTTGGTTGACCAAGGATCCCAAACATCTTCTACAGCGCTTGCGATCCACGTATATGTAGAATGGTGTTGTGATCGTGAATCACCAATGTTGACTATGAAGAAAGTCCACGACGTTATGTTGGAGATAGTTATTGTCAGCTATCGACCCAAAGTTGAGCTGCCCACTGGTAGGTGATTCTAGAGTAATAAAATCTATCTCTTGCCCAATTCTGTTAGGGATTCTATCCGTATCCTTACTTTTAGCTGTGTGTTACCGGGCGTTTGTGATATCGATTCGTACACTCGTCGTGGTCACATCACGCAGCCCCCACCAACATAATTCACGTAGCTAAACCTAAGTAGGCTTCAATTTTAGACGAAATGCATCAAATTTTAAACGCCAGTGTGACTGAAAATCCTTCACATTTTCCGACTGGACGAATGCCGTGTATTGATGGTCGTCCTGGCTGGTGGATATGTTGGGGTCCTCTGCCAGTCAACGGCACGGTTGACGCCCGAAAGGGCACGCGAGCACAATCAAAAGTCACATCACCATCAAACCGGGCGACCACTTTCTATTTCCCATGTAGCAATAGTTATAGTGTTCAAGTACTGTAAGGCTGCGTCGTAGAGTCCCGCAATGTTTAAAAAGGCTCTATTACCTCTCCATTCGGCCACTTGAAGTTCATCTTACCCCAAAGAATTAGAAACTATACGTCCTGCTCAATATTTACTCTTCAAGATTGGAGTTATCATCCTAAACCCATATACTCATTCTGTTCATCGACGGATCATGCCTCAGCTGCTGCCGCCATCCCACAACGCCCTCGTGGTGCGACCTCACATCCCGGTTACCCCTAAAGAGAGAGAGGACGTCCTTCGCTCCGTCGAGTACAACGTCTTCGCCTTTCCAGCCGCTCTCCTCACCTGCGACTATCTCTCAGACTCAGGAACGTCCGCCATGACGGATGTGCAATGGGCGGCTATGCTTCGCGGTGATGAGAGCTATGGACGGAACTCTGGGTACTACTGCCTCCTCGAAGCATTCCGAGATATTTTCGAGCGAGGCGAAGACCGCAAGTACGTTTTCAGGGATGTAGTCGCTGGGATAGCCGACAGTACATTCTACCAACACGTCTTTCTCAAGCAGGTCAGCGGCGGGTTTGTCAATGGCGGCCCCATGCAGCTCATCCGCCCGAACTTCTTCATCCTCCCGCAGGGACGATGTGCTGAAGCGCTTCTGTTTTCCACACTCAGCAACACCATTCGTACCCAGAGTGAGCCCGCCGCTCATGACGGCGGCCCACCAGCTCTCATCAGCAACGGGTTCTTCGACACGACCGGTGCTAATGCCGCTGCTGCTGGCTTTCAGCTTCACACCTTCACCCAACCCGGCCTTACAGACCCCTTCCCAGCCGAAGAAGTTGGAAAGTCAAACCCTTTCAAGGGAAATCTTGACATTGAAAAGGCGTCGGCTTTCTTGCTGGAAGAAGGAAACGGTGACCGCGTTGCCCTGCTTCTGCTCACAATCACCAACAACTGGGCCGGAGCCCAGCCAGTTTCGATGGCCAACATCAAAGCTGCTGCCTCGCTCGCCAAGAAACACGGAATTCCTTTCTTCTTCGACGCGTGCCGGTTTGCAGAGAATGCGAAGTTCATCCAGGACTTCGAGGATGGCTACGCGGACGTCAGCATCCCGAAGATAGTACAAGAGATGTTCTCTTACGTTGACGGCTTCACTATCTCCCTTAAGAAGGACGGCCTGGCCAATATGGGCGGTGCGCTTTGCTTCCGCGACCAGGGCATCTTTCCAAGAAAGTTTGGTTCTGACATTGGCATTCAGCTCAAGGAGAGACAAATCATGTGCTATGGCAATGACTCCTACGGTGGAATGAGTGGCCGAGACGTTATGGCTGCTGCCGTCGGGCTTTATGAAGTCACCAAAGAGGCCTATCTCGCTGAACGCATCTGCCAGGTCAAGAGATTTGCGGAAGGGCTTATCGAGGAGGGCATCCCCGTTCTTCTCCCTCCAGGTGGTCATGCCGTCTACCTTGACATGGACGGCTTCTTCTCGGGATGCGGACGGTCGTACGGGGAATTTGCTTCTGTCGGCTTCACCCTGGAACTCCTGAAAGACTTCGGAATTCGAGCCTGCGAGGCCGGCCCTTTCGGTTGGGAATGGGACAAGAAAGGGGCGATCGCACAGGACAGAGATAGCATCCCCAACTTGGTTCGGTTTGCCGTCCCACGGTGCGTGATGTCGGACGGACACATCGACTACACTGTCGCGGCTATTTCGGACCTCTACAAGAGACGACACACCATTCCAGGCGTACGAATCACTCGAGGCAAGGAATTGAGAATGCGTGTGTTTCAAAGCGGCTTGGAGCCTGTTCCTGTAACGTCCATTGCCAGCAGTCCGGCACATGCTCGCACGTTCTTGAGTGAAGCCATACACGACCTCAAGAACCTTTATGGCGCTCTGGGTCTGAATGATCAAGCATGGGATTCGACTCAGAAGGCCGTCGACATCTGTATGCGAGGTTGGGGCTCCTCGACTGTCGCCGATAATCCGGCTGGCTGGCTCTCAGACGCGAGCTTGAACCTGTGTCCATTTGAGTACTCTGTGGCAATCGAGGAAGACACTGGAAATGCTCAGCTGCGTTTTCTCGTTGAAGCCCAAGCCGACGGTGCTACACTCGCAGCGCACCAGAAAGCTGCCCTTCAGCTGACATCTGAAGTTCATGCCAACTACCCTCAGCGAGTATTGTTGGACCGCTTCAACGCCATCAAAGATCTATTCTTCCCTCCAGCCAGCGAGGCGCAAGGAACCTTTGCAGCCTGGCATAGCTTTGTCACGAAAGAAGAACAGCCGCCAGAGTGGAAGATCTATCTCAACTGCAATGCCCGTGGCAGTGCAAACGGATCAAGTCTTGTCTCTGAAGCCTTCGACAGACTTGGTATGACTGAGGCATGGGGCCCGCTTCAGAAGCTCTTGTCACCGGAACATAAGCTCATGTACTTCTCTTTGGACCTCAGCCCAGGGCCACAGGCTCGCGTCAAGGTTTACGTCCAACATAACGGGGCCAACGCAGACACCGTGGCACAGGCTATCAAGAACGTTGTCCCAGACAGTTCAGATGCTGAAGTCCGGCGATTCTGTACAACTCTTGGTGACTCCGAAGGCCCTTACGAGCGAAAGGGCCCGATGACCTGTTTCGGTTACACAACTAACGGAAGTGTAATCAACTCAGAAGCAGCGGTGTACTTCCCAGTGCATGACTATGCCTCTGATGATGCTGAGATCCGCTGTCGGGTGGAGAATTACATACGAGGTACCCGGAACGGCGAAGGCGAGGTCTTGATGTTGAAGCCGTATCAAGAAGCCATCAATGCTGTTGCCCATCGTCCGCTTGGGGAAGCTCGTGGTATTCATGCGTGGGTTGGACTGAAGAAGAGAAGAGACAAAGGACATGTCGTTACCTTTTACTTGGCATCTGAGATGTTTGGTGTCTTGCCTAGTAGGACTTGATTCAGTGGACTTCGACCGGCTTTGAGCCCCGAATTGCCCCGACACTCTGAACCTGTAATAATGTCAGTAGTCATAGTCAAAATGTTGGACAGTTTGGTATCCCAGGTTCCTGGAAGCAAAGCTTGTTTCGAGTTGAGAAGCAATTGAGCCATTGCCATAACTTGCTGTTGAGCATTGTCCCACCATGCTTCCGGCAAGAGCGCCAACTTTTTGCAACCCATTCCGGGTACGTCCGCCTTCCTATGCGGGAGTAGCTCAGTCTCTCGGCATCCACCGGGATCCACGAGCTGGATCTCAACAGGACTCATGGCGCAACGGTAGCGCGTTCGACTCCAGCAACGTACGTTCGTGCGATCGAAAGGTTATCCGTTCAAATCGGGTTGGGTTCATCAAAAGAAGCTATCCAGAAGCATCTTCTCTTTTGCAATTGGGTTGATGGTGATGTTTTGCTTCATTCGATGTCGGGGGGCAACTTGAGGCAGATTTTGGTGTTGCAAGCATTTTAGAGTTTTCCGCCGGTCTCAGCAACTCTTTCCCAGTTCGGATAACTTTCTTACTGGGTTATTCAAAGCTCCTCCAAATTTCACAAATTTTGAATGCGTTTGTGGATGTTGGGTGCAGATTAGAGGTGGGCTAGGGCAGGAAATTTTCACCGGCTTCACCGAGCTCACCGACGCTCGCAGCGGTTTTCGAGGTCAGCAACCAACCCTCAACGCGTTTAAAACAAACAGCTGCCATCTTGAGCGTCTTGGGAAACCGTCTCATCTCATCGTTTGCTCGTTGAATTCCCTGCACAGCTCCGGAGCCAGTACGGAGCTATCCGCAACAATGCCGAGAGAGCGGGCGGAGTAGCCCCGAACCTGTGGGTCTTCTGTGGTCCAAGCTTTCGGTAAGCTGCCGATGATCCACTCATTTGTCGGCCGTCGGAGGTCTCAGCGGACAATTCCGACGTTCCCCTCGCATCCCGACTTGACGATAGATCTACCGTTGCCGAACGCTTCAATTCATAAGAGCCATATCCTCGGTGAGACCTTTACGATATCTGTGATTTAACTGTATTGTCATCTTTTATCCGAATCCCGACTTCAAAATGTCCGCACGTGCTCTTGAAGCTCTCCGCAAGTTCACCGCCTGTGACGTAAGTGTCTGACATCGGAATCTCCCCGATAGCCTCAACTCCACCATGCGTTGAGCAGCTCAGATGCGTGGGTAGAATTTCTAACTTCCGATCAGATTGGCGATGCTCTCGTAAAGCTCAAGTACCCGCAGGGTGGCTTCCTCGACGGCATCCGGATGTTCTCCCCGGGCTCCGGCACCCGCATCTTCGGCCCCGCAGTGACGGTGCAGATGGTTGAGACGAGCGACACCTCGGCACCAAAGCTGGAAAAGCACTTCGTAGACCACAACGAGGAGGGCGGCGTCATGTACATCCAACAGCCGAAGGGGTTGCCCTCGGCCTGCTGGGGTGGATTGATGTCAACGCGAGCTAAATACCTCGGCGCCCAGGGTGTCGTCATAGACGGCCGTATGAGGGATGTTGGCGAGCACAACGAAATGGGATTTCCCGTAAGTATACGCAGAACTCAATTCCACTTGCATGAATTCGTTCTTCATTGCGCGTAACCTTATTGATGCTGCGAGTAGGTATTCGCCCAGGGAACTTCTATCCTTGGATCAAACACGTTCACGCGGGCGTCGAGAGTCAACGTACCGCTTCAGTTCAAGGGTGATCTCTGGATCAATCCAGGTGACATATTAATCGGCGATGCGGATGGTGTTGTCGTTACACCACCCTCGCTGGTCGAAAAGGTTGTTGCTCTTTGCCAGGAGCGTGCCGAGGTGGACGAGAAGATGTTTGTTGAGTTACGGAAGGGGGCGGCAATGGGAGACCTCATCAAGAACGTAAGAAAGGATAAATAGGTGTAACACCGTTTATGGTGCAAGGCATAGTTGTCGTCGCAAGTCGTAAAAAGCGATAGCAAGTCGGGAAGACCAAGAAATCACATCCGTGAAACTCGTCCTTCCCAAGTTCCACGTATTCGTATTCGGTAAATTGAGGCCTTCCTTAACTTCACACTGAAGTTTAGCGGTGTATGTGCTCTAACCATCAAGCACTGATGTGCTGTCTTCGATTCAAAACAAGTGAATTGTATGGGTCTCCTCCTTGTTCTAGAGTCTATCAAGATACACAGACACTTCTAAGTGTTCTTGGCTAGTGACCAAACAAGTTGCCTGGGTTTTGCAACATCAACAAATCCCATTCCTCATCCGATAACCATCCCTTGAGACTCCGCAGCCATGCAGCATCATCTACTTCCAGGTATGGCGTTTCCTTCAACGCTGCCTCTTTCGTCCGCACCTTCATCCGGGGTGTGTGCGGCCAGTCGCTGCCCCAAAGAACGCGATGCTTGTTCGTGTCTACGTACGCGCGAACCAAAGGCTTCACATCATCGTATCCAGGACTTTCGTCGCTGATTCGATATGGAGCACTCAGTTTAACCCACAGGTGGCCATCTCGGACCAGTCCCATGATTGCGGCAAACCCAGGTTGTTTCGTTGGATCATCGCGGTACTCTGCAGGCAGTAGGCTCGGCGCCTTCAACAGCGCAAAATGATCCGTGATCAACTTCACACCCTTCTTGACAACGAAGTCCCTGACGAAAGGCTCCAGCTCGACCCAGAAGTCCGTCCTCGTTGTGGTCATTGTCACACTCCACGGCAAACCAAGGGCGGTTATTCTTTCGATGTGGGCACGAAGAGCTACCTTTTGCAGCTCAACGTCTTCCATTGCCTTGTATCGGTACAGGTTGACACGCACCCCACGAACGCCAGCGTCGTGCATTGCGCGTAGTTCTTCGTCGGTTGTAGTTTCCGGATCGATGACGCCAATTGCTCGGGTCTTTTGCGGTCCAAGCTGAGGCACGAATGCCTTCAACGAAGTGCAGTCGTCTCCGTACGACAAGCCATGTGTGAGAACAGATCGTGTTATTCCCATATCTTTCTTGAACTTGTTGAAGGCGGCAATGGTAGCTGGCGGCGGAGTAAGGTGCCTATTCGGACTGTAAGGGAAAGTCTCGGCTAAAGCAATGAGTGGTTGTTAGACCTAGCTTTTCTAGCGTCTCCAGTGTTATCAGGTATCGACTTACGATCAAAGATATGATGATGAGTATCCCATCCCCCACGGGGAAACAGTACATTGTCTCTTTCTTCGGTAAGAGTTGCTGAAGGCGCCATGTTGGTGTCGTCTGCAGCTTTGTCGATTCGCTGAGCTCACAGCAACGCCGAGAGCCACCGAATCCACGATGACATGTATGTTATACTCATCCCCGGCTTCGTCATCTTGTCTGCATCAGTCGAGCATTCGGCTATATCCCGCGGAGCAACTGTTCGGTAAGTTGACAATTGCACTCTACCAACAACCGATCGTCATCCCGGTTTGCTTGTGGATACGTTGGAGATGCCTTCAGCACGGAGTAGTCCGCTGTGTAAGACGGATTAATCCGCAAATTCACGGAACACTCCCTGACAGACGGGCTACTCCGCAACCGCGGGTTACTCCAACTTGGGACAGCTGCGCCACAAGTTGCTCCGTGGAACGCGTGGATTCCGTGCGATGCGCGGATTCCTCCGTGCCCAATCCCAGTATCCGTGAGCTCGAACTAAGGAGTGTTTAGGCTTTTTTTGACTACAGTACGGAGTACGCCCATGTCATTCAGCCGCTTTAGCGACTATCATCGAACGACTTCATGATGTACCTGGTAGACTGGGAGCCTACCGCGCGGTACGAAATCTAGACGGGCCAATCCAGTTTACGACTTCGACCGCATATGAGATCTGCCGTTGCGGATGGCTCCTGTTCCAGATGGCTACAGCTGAGACATGTTTACGCGGTGCTATCCGAAAGAAGCATGTTCAAATATGAGGGTAAAAAGGCACAAACATACGAGCTTGGTGCGGCTCGTGAGAGCTTACCGTGCCAGTCAGATGAATTGAACCAATCATGAGCTACACGAGCAATTCGCCAACTCCTCTCCAGTCTGTCGTCGCCGGAGCTGCTGCCGGAGGAGTTGAGTCTCTCGTTACGGTATGTTGAGCGCTACATCAACCCAATCCTGTTCTTTGATTACATTGATCACGACTCTTCGATGTAAAGGACGTATGTTGTGTACTAACTTCGGCCATATCAAGTACCCTACAGAATATGTCAAAACGCGAAAACAACTGCTGAGTTCATCCCAATCTTCACTACGAATTCTAGCCTCGGCGGTCCGCACGTCTGGGCCTACGGTGCTTTACACCGGGGCCAGTGCGTTCTGCGTCTCAAATGCATCCAAGTCCGGCGTACGATTCCTTACCTTCGACGCCGTCAGAAACAGGCTGCCGAGAGATGCCAGAACAGGGAAACCAACCAAGGTTGCCACCATGCTTGCTGGCGTGGCAGCCGGAGTGGCGGAGAGCGTAACGGTGGTGACCCCTGGCGAGAACATCAAGACCAAAATTGTGGAGGATAGGGCTGGCGCGCGCCGGTTCAAGTCAACCAGCCACGCCATCAGAACCATCATCGGCGCGGACGGCATTGCCGGCTTGTTCCGTGGTGTCCTCCCCGTGACGCTGAAGCAAGGCTCCAACGCGCTGGTGCGCTTCACGAGCTACAACGCCCTTCTTGACATGATACGGCCGCCAATGGAGAGCAGCGGTAAGGGGGCGATGGCCCCCGTCTTGGCGGGCGCAGCAGCCGGGATCGTGACTGTCTACGCAACGATGCCTTTTGATGTCGTCAAGACAAAGATGCAAGCTCTTGAAGGGGCCAATGTTAATCGTGGCACCTGGCAGTGCGCTACGGCGATTGTTCGGGATTCAGGCGTATCTGGTCTATGGAAGGGCACCACGCCTCGGCTGGCGCGACTAAGTGTGAGTGCAAGATGTTTGAGATGACAGTCATGTCTGTTCTTTCTGTTGTCATTCTTTGCGAGCGGCGAAAACAGCTGCTCGTATTCTATTGGATAAAGTGAAGTTACTGACAATTAACTAGATATCTGGCGCGTTGAGCTTTACGATATACGAGAATGTGTTGAGGACTCTTCAACAGGGAGGTCACGAGGAGGGGAGAAAGTTGGAAGCTAAGCTGTAAATAGAGACATGGCTTCAGACTGCGAACCGAATAAAGCCTAGCAGAATCACGAAATGGATTAACATCAGACGGCGGCACTTGGAATAGGTTTACGTTGTCTGTAAGAAGTCATGATGAAATTCGTCTGTTTCTAAATTCTGGGGTGTGGATATCGGGCCTAATTTCCCACCAAACTCCAATGAGAATGCGAACCCGACTTGGCAGGGAAGATATACCAGAGAACATGAGTAATTACGAGCCGTAGCCTACAAACACGACTTGCTCAAACGGAATAAACTCAGGTAAAGTCTCCGATCGTGAAGCATGATGATCGGACCTGGTCTTGTCATTGGTCTCTATGCTAGCGAACCCCCACATACAGCCGAGGTATTAAACTCATATTTGGGTGGCAGTGGGTGGTTAGCGTCGCTTTCTCGCCTATCGATACATTTATATTGCGGGCAGTGGACACTCAGTTACATGAAAAGTCTGTATTTTGCCCAAAGATCAGGCCAGTCCGTCTGTACGTGTATCCATGGATGTGAATGTCGTAGTGCGTACCGTGCAGCCAGTTAGACGCGCGGTCGCACGAGGCACTGGGAGAATGTAGGGGAGCCAGGGCCGCAGTACGCTCGCTACGTTTGAGCCGACCGTCGCTATGTTTTCCATTGAATACATCTTGGCACTCATGGTACGATGAGGGGAAACGGTGGTCTCTACCGCTGCTAGTTCGGCCGAAGCCTGGCCCATCCTGAGCTGAGTCTAAAATAACTTGGTATCAACCACGGATTCGGAGGTAGACTGCTCACCGGCTTTAGGCTTTATTTGGATCTCCTATGACCGTATCGTCTGTAGGCCTACACCCAGATGAAAGTACCATCCGTAGAGTCAAGCCACACTAGGTGCTAGAAAGTGATGTGACAAGCCCCCATCCCCTGCCTTGTCCGTATTTCTGGACCCCGACCGGACAGGGAACACAGGACTTCGGTATCGGGGCTGTCGCTTTGGGCCTCGATTCATTTTCTCATCGACCAACTTGGTCAATTATACACATGCCCCCGACAACTCAACGTTAAACCCGCTGGCAAAGCGACGGAAACTCAACGTCTTCTCTCTTGCCGGTGCAAAAGATGGCATCGAGGACGAATCCACCAAAGAAAGTGCGGCTGGCCTGTCGACGCTGTCGCACAAGACGAATTAAGGTAAGACTTGATCTCATCATGTCGGCGTTACTCCGTCCCCTGGGCTTTTAGCTTGCTCAGCTGGGATCGCGTTACTCCGGCCCAATTGATTTGTGGTGTTGCTGACTCCTCTGCAGTGCGACGGAGAAGTCCCTGCGTGTACAAACTGCGCAAAAGCCGGCGAAACTTGCCTCGATGTCGACAGTCAGAACTCCGGATTGCTGGTTCCTCGCAAGTAAGTAACCGTGATGAGCAAATCTATACAAATCCCACCGGCTTGGTTCCGTGCTCAGCCCTATTATACTGCAAGTCATACAATGTTCCGCGCTGACGGCCCGTTCCGAGAATAGCTTTGCGAGTGCTGCTCGGGCTAGGATTCAGTGGCTCGAAGACATCATCAGACAACGACTTCCCGATGTCGACGTATCGCTAGGCCCGCAAATCGACGCCTTCCCGGACCCGAAGGGTTCGGCTGTCGCCGGAGGTGGTGGGGACCACGAGGACGATGTCTCAACGTCTTCTCCGAGATCCGGTAGGGCGTGTAGTCAACCCACCGGCCGGACGTTGAGTCTTGGCTCCCAGCGACATTCTCTCAAGCGTCCCGCGGAAAGCGCGGGGTCGTACGACCACGATGAACAGTTTCCTGACCGAGCACACTCAGTCGCGATGAACCTAGGCATGCTGTCACTCAACTCGGACTCCAACCAGAGACATTATTTAGGATCGAGCTCCGGCGTCCTGTTTACAAATCTCATCGGGGCTTCTCCTTCCAGCGCAGGTTCAACCCCGGTGGCGTTGCTGGAAGATGTACAAGCCCAGGGGCCGTCATCAGAGTGGCACGACACTTCAGCTTCGAATAAAGTATCACAACAGTATAATCGAGCTTTACACATATTCCTGCGTCAAGTCAGTCTACTCTTCAGAGAATTTCCATGTCGATTGGAACTTACTGCTGACAATGCAAACAGGAGCTTCCGAGAAAAGAAGACGCAATCAAGCTCGTACATACATACATTCGATGGATGCACCCTGACTATCCCGTTCTGGAGCCTGCGTCTCTTCTAAGCGCTGTGGATGCTCTTTACTCAACCTTTGGATGTTCACTCGACGATGATACCTTTCCGCATGGCTGGCCCTCAACCATGCAAGCGTTTCGATGGAACGGCCGACAAAGATTGCCTGACGACCAGGGAGTCCATACGGTGCCGATGCCAGTCGTTGCCTTTATTCTTTTCATGGTATTCAATATTGCAGCCGTTGTTAAGGTTAGGTCGCGCGTTTACGAGTTTCCCCCGGAGAGATTTTACAAAGCTGCGGTACACTTTTCGAAGGACTGCTTCTCGCAAATATCTCTCTCGTCTATTCAGGCGCTGGTTGTTCTTATTGTACACAGCATGATAACTCCAGCAGAAGTCAACCTCTGGACGTTAATCCACATTGCACTTGCACATTGTGTCGAGCTTGGCATCCACAGAGAGCCTCCAACGCCAACACAGCCGGGCGATTACGAGAACCAACAAATCAGACGATTGACTTTCTTTACTATATACTCTCTGGATAGGTAAGTGGAGGATTCTTGGTTGTGTTGTCTTTATTGTATCCGTGCTGATGAATTGAACTTAGGTCTATTTCCTCCATCCAAGGGCGACCTCTTGGCTTCCGGGACGAAACGTTCGATGTCAAATTACCAGAGCCTCAACCAGCGCAAAACGGAGTTGCAAACGGCCCAATTCCCTCTTCATTTTCGGCGGCGGTACTGCGATTTGCCCGATACCAATTCGAGTTGGATCGGATGGTGTCCGATGTCAAGCTTCAACTATACCACCTTCCCTGCGACTCGTCGTGGTTCCCTCTGCCGCAGAACCCGCCAGCCCAACAGGCCAGAATAAAAGAAGAACTTATGGATTGGTGGGATCGAGTTTCGTCCGAAAATTTCGAGTTCCCCGGACTTGATAGCAGACAACGGCGGATGTGGCAGATCAAGTTGAAGATCAAGTATCACACAACCATGGTCATGCTATTCCAGCCCTCGCAAGCCATTCGGAATCCATCTCCAGAGTCGCTGCAAGTTTGCTACAACAATGCGGCAGCAATACTGCACGACTACCAGGCTTTGCACGACATGCAAGGTTTGCATCACGGATGGCGTACAGTACAAAACATCTTTGCGGCTGGGGCAACTCTTATTTACTCGTTCTGGACTTGCTCAACTGTTCGCCTCAACGCGTCCACTGCGGATTTATCACGAAGTCTACGCACGTGCTCAAGCCTCCTGACCGTTGGCGGCGAGTGGTGGCCCTCCGTCAAGAAAGGACAACGAAGCTTCGGGGCCATTGTCGACTTGACGATTCGGAAACTCTACACTGGCAACATGCCTTCCAAAAACCCGCGAATATTCATGCCTCTCGGCTCGGACCGTCTCGAAGACGGCCAAAACCCGCTAGACCACGGAGACGGAGCCCAAGCTGTCTATGACGCAACTAGTCAGCATACAGACCTCTCCCACATTCCGATGAATGGGGCAGACGCCTCCTGGCACCAGATGTCGGGGTCTTCCGCCGCAGCTGTGGCAATGGCGCACTCGCAGGATTCAGTACACTGGCAGGGAGTGTATCCCGAAGGACCTTTCCAGACAGGCGCTAACGACTTTGTGCCGGAGATCGAAACGTTCCTCGCGGATTTCGACAAGTCGGAGTTCAGCTGGAGCTTCCCTTTGGCCGGCATTGGAGACCCGTACGAGATGGGAAACTTTCCTAACCCGGGCTACTGATTATGCCGCGATCCGTCCAAGTTCTACCGAGTTGTTCCAGGTATCAGGGAGACCACCATTTCACTGGATATATCCAAGCTAGTTGTGATTGGTGAAGTAAGAAGAGGCGGGCTACTCCGGCTTGGGCTCTGGGTTTTGGTGGTGGACGGAGCAGTCCGTGTGTTGACCCCTGTTCCGAGCTGGACTACTCCGCGTCTGGGCCGAAATAGGACTCAGCAGACGGAGCTGCCCGTGTAAGGTCAACCGAGGAACATGGCTCTTCGCGATTTTGGCGTCACGAAACATGAAGATTAGAAGCTCGTTACGAATCAGGTGAAAGATGAAAAACATGACGAGATTCCGGTGTTCTTGGCGATTTGGTGCATTGCCGTTGAGGTTGTCATCATGTCGTTCACGCTGTTGAGAGAAGCACGTTCGAGCGTCTGCTCGTCTCTCAAACTTGGGCCCCGAGCTCTACGAGCACGATCCTTTGCAACTCCCTCAAGCCAAGTCGCATTGAGTCCGTTAGAGCCAGTGAGTAACGTAGACTCTGATGGTTTCAAAAAAGCTGCTGAACAGTTACAGTACAATACTCTAGATTACGGCCTCCGATTACAAGCCCTCCGCGACGTCCAAAAGTCGAATAAGCGACCCCTTACACTCTCCGAAAAAGTTCTTTACAGTCACTTGATACCTGGGGAAGATGGATGGGCGCTTGACGAGATCAAGCGAGGAAAGACGATACTGCGCCTGAGACCCGACCGCGTTGCCTGTCATGACGCCACTGCGACGATGGCCCTGCTGCAATTCATCAGCGCCGGCCTTCCACGAGTCAGAGTCCCAACTTCGGTTCACAGCGACCACTTGATTGTGGCAGAAAAGGGGGATAAAGAAGACCTGACGAGAGCTGCCAGCGATCACAAAGAAGTCTACGCCTTCCTCAGCTCTGCGACGAGAAAATATGGAATCGGATACTGGAAGCCCGGTGCCGGCATCATCCACACGACCATCTTCGAGAATTACGCCTTTCCTGGAGGTCTAATGATCGGCACCGATTCGCACACTCCGAATGCTGGCGGAATGGGTATGCTGGGTATCGGTGTTGGCGGTGCAGATGCTGTCGATGCTATGTCCGGTATGCCATGGGAACTGGCGTGTCCGAAAGTTGTAGGTGTACGTCTGACGGGCAAGCTCCAGGGATGGAGCTCCTCCAAGGACATCATCTGCAAGTTGGCTGGCATTCTGACCGTCTCCGGAGGCAAAGGAAAGATTATCGAATTCTTCGGTCCAGGTACGGAGACACTTGGAGCTACAGCAATGGCTACGGTTTGCAACATGTCGGCGGAAATCGGTTCGACATCTTGCATCTTTCCCTATTCCGAATCCATGTCTCGATACCTGTCTGCGACAAAGCGGGAAGGCATTGCTGAGTACGCAGACTCGTTCAAACAAGAACTCCTCACCGCCGACGACGGCAGCGACCGATACTACGACGACATCATCGAAATCGACCTGTCAACCCTCGAACCCCACATCAACGGCCCCTTTACTCCCGATCTTGCACACCCCCTTTCGCAATTCAAGGACCATGTTAGCGAAAGCTCTTGGCCGACAAATCTCAGTTGCAGTCTGGTCGGAAGCTGTACTAACAGCTCCTACGAAGACCTGGAGAAGGTTCGAGACCTGGTCGTCCAGGCGAAGAACGCAGGACTCGAACGCACCAAGACACCATTCCTTGTCAGCCCCGGCAGCGAACAAATCCGTGCAACAGCTGAGGAGGAGGGAATCCTAGAAACATTGCGACAGGCTGGTGCCACCGTCCTGAGCAACTCTTGCGGTCCTTGCGTTGGCCAATGGGACCGAAAAGATGTCGATGTCAAGGGAGCTGAGAAGAACTCCGTGATATCCAGCTTCAACAGAAACTTCACCGGTCGGCACGACAGCAACCCGGCGACACATTCCTTTGTAACGTCGCCTGAGCTCGCAACGGCTTTCGCTTTTGCAGGAAACCTCACCTTCAACCCTACCGTCGACGCAATTCCAATACCCGGCGCGTCCAAATCCTTCCGATTCTCTCCTCCGAAGGCCGAAGAGCTTCCCGTTGCTTTCTCCCCTGGAGCCGACCGCTTCCAGCCACCCGTGATGTCGGATACCTCCGATTTGACTGTCAACGTGGACCCGAAGAGCGATCGACTCCAACTTCTTACACCATTCGAACCATGGAAGCCTGGGAATGCCAGAGATCTCACCATCCTCGTCAAAGTACGCGGCAAGTGCACCACAGACCACATCTCTCCAGCAGGACCCTGGTACAACTACCGCGGTCACCTCGAGAACATCAGCAACAACCTGCTACTTGGAGCGACCAACGACTTCCTTCCAGATGCGAGCACCCTACAGATGATCGGACACGCAAAAGATCCTGTCGACGGCGACAAGATCAAGCCGGTGCCACAAGCAGCACGGAGTCTGAAGAAGGCGGGAATCAGGTGGTGCATCATCGGGGACAACAATTACGGCGAAGGCAGTTCGCGAGAACACGCTGCCCTCGAGCCGAGGTATCTCGGTGGCGTTGCGGTGATTGCCAAGAGCTTTGCGAGAATCCACGAGACGAATCTCAAGAAGCAGGGCATGTTGCCCTTGACCTTCGCTGATCCCGCCGATTACGACAAGATCTGCGAGGGTGACTCCATCACTCTAGTCGATGTCGAAGAAGGGGAACTGCAACCCGGCAAGCAGGTCACAATGAGTGTATTGACCAGGGAGGGATCAAGATGGGAGGCAAAGTTGAATCACTCGTACGAGCTCAACCAGATTGAGTGGCTGAGAGCTGGAAGTGCGCTCAATTACATCAAGCGCGTTGCTCTCGCTTGAGGACTCAACTCAACGAATACTATAGATTAAGGCTATGATACCTGTATTGCAATTAGAGTCACTGGCAATATCTCTGTATCAGAAGCTGGTCAATAAGCGCACGGCGTTCATGGGCATCGTCAACCTGTTTATACACCAGCCATCTCTTGTGATTGATATTGATCAACTTCTTGTGATTGCGTGCTTGCCTTCACTGACATGCAACAACAACGAGAGCCTTTTCAGGGCGAGACATGGAATACCACAGGTACTAAGCAAATGAAGTCCCTGTTAGCACCCTGTGGCACCAAAGTTCAACTATCCGTATTATCGCAAATACATGCCCCAAGTCATAGAATACAGTAACAATACGCGAAGCTCCGCGTGACCGAAGACCTTGCGCGCAAATGAGGGGACTTGAGATTGTAAGCATAGTGGACATCCTCTCTCCGCAAGCCTCCACACTGCTTTCGATGACCTAGCCGTATCATGGGGTTGAGTCGCGGGGAAGGAGTCATGGGTGCCTAGACCTGAGCCGTTGGATCTTACCCCTATCAATGCTTCACATTTTCTGGTTCAGACAAAGAGCCTCACGGAGTAGTCCTCTTATTTGGACCCGGGCTTCTCCTACTCACGCTCTTCTCCGTGAACAGACGGATTACTCCGTAGATTGCGAAATGGCTGTTCCTAGCCCCAGCACACCTGCCATCATTCCGTTCATTGAATGGCTGGAGTAGACCGAAACACGGAGCAGCCCGTCGAATTCGGGCTGGCCTCGAGGAATGCTCCGTAACCCAAGACATTAGAGCTTGATTGATCTTTCGATTGCGGGTCTGGGGAAGATGACACGAACGATAGAGGCTTTCGGACGCCATAGGTATTCCTTAGACAGGGAACTGGATTCCTGGGCTCTGGTTCAGCAGTGGGACAGGTCCAAAGTCCGGGGTCGTTTCGTGGGTACGCGGGGTAGAACTTGGGGTTGAAGGGCGTACTAATCGGCCGGAGAACAAGTCGACACAGGCTACATGTATGGAGTCGCCAAGGACAGTATTCTATCTCTGTCGTGTTTAAAAGAGTGAGTAAGGGTAACGCGTTTTTCAAATTGTCAAACAGAACCCCGGAACCTTCTCTTCATCAACTTATTGGGCTTTCCTCTCCAGCTTGTTGAGCTGGCGGCTTTCTGTGCGTGCTTTTTGAAACAAGACGAAACTTCTTCCTCCTCGTTTCGGAAACAAGTCTTTCAGAGACACTAGAATCAACGGATACACGCAGCAGCACGCAGAGGTCTCCGAGCCATGACTTTACAAGAAGTTAAGGACAAGCAAGAAGCCATGCAGGCGACTTCAGACCACATCGACAACACACCAGCGGCCGAAAAAGACTTCGTCTCCGAGAAAGATTTCGACGGAAACGGGCTCGATATGTCCGAGGAGGAGTACGCCGCGGCGGAGAAGAGTCTCGTGAGAAAGTTGGACTTCACTCTCGTCCCTGTTGTCTGGATTCTCTATCTCTTCAACTATCTCGATCGAAACAACATCGCGTAAGTTCTTGCATGTATGCCGCCGACGCCCAAAGGATCCGGCTGATCACAAAGAACTTTAGCCAAGCACGACTTAGCACTTTCGAGAAAGACCTTGGACTGGTCGGCAATCAGTTCAATGTGGCAGTTTCCATCCTCAACATCGGATACATGCTCATGCAACTCCCCAGGTGAGTTGAATCAACAGTTTTCTAGGCAACAAGCTCCAGTTCTGATACCAGATATAGTAACATGCTTCTCACTCGAACTCGGCCCTCACTTTACATCCCTGCGTGGACTGCTCTGTGGTCCATTGTCTCAGCCGCCACTGCCGGGGCATCCAACTACACCCATCTTCTGGTCATTCGATTCTTTTTGGGTGGGTTTCAGAAGATTACGATCCTTCACCTGAGCTGGACTGACCCTGAGTTACAGGTATCGCCGAGGCACCTTTTTTTCCAGTAAGATAGCCCCGCTTGAATCTGTTATTAAGGTAGGTCTGAAGCTTACTGTATCTTAGGGGGCAATGTTCTTGCTGAGCTGTTGGTATCCTCGCAAAGAGTTGGCATTCAGAACTGCCATTCTCTACTCTGGAGTCCTACTCGCCACCGCTTTCTCTGGCCTGATTGCTGCTGGTGTACTCTCTGGCCTGGAAGGTGCCAGAGGAATCGCAGGATGGCAGTGGCTGTTCATCATCGAGGGAGCTGGCAGTTTCGCAGCGGCAATTCTCGGCGCAATGCTCCTTCCAGACTTTCCAGGACAGAAGTCGGGCGTTGCGAAGTGGCTGCTCACGGACAAAGAGCAAAAGGTCGCGGTAGAGCGTATCCGCAGAGACCGAGTTTCATTGCCGGAGGCAGACTCCAGTGTCTGGAACGGACTGAAGCTTGCTGTCAAGGATGTTCGGATGTGGGTATTTGTAAGTTGTGAACCCTCAACAATGATGCAACTTTGTTTCGCAGAAGACTGATAATTGTCATCCAGACTGTCATGCTCACAGCAAACCACAGCGCGTACGGCTTCAACAACTTCTTCCCCACTATCGTCAAGGGCTTCAAGCTCGGCAACAACACCTTGACTCTGATTCTCACCGCCCCGCCGTATCTACTCGCGACCGTTGTGGCTTTCCTGACGGCGTTCTCATCAGATCGTCGCAAGGAGCGTGGCTTTCACATCTCAGTGCCACAAGGTGTTGCGTGCATTGGCTTCATCATCTCTGTGTCCACCATCAACAACGCTGCGCGCTACGTGGCAGCGTTCTTGTACATCTGCGGATGCTTCTCGAGCAATGCCATGGTATTCAGTTGGGCTAGCTCGACTCTGAACCAGACGCCGGAGAAGAGGGCGTGTGCGACGGCAATCATCAACTTGCTCAGTCAGCTTGGAAATATCTGGAGCCCGTACTTCTTCCCCTCTCATGACAGTCCGCGATACGTCATGGCGAACTTGTTGATGATGGCTTCATCTGCCTTGAGTATTGTCACATGTGTGATCATGAAGATCATGCTTACGAGAGCGAACAAGACGTTGAAGGCGGAAGGCCGGGACACAAATCTGTTTACGCTGTAAAGTTACTGTGTTTCAAGAAAGATTGTTGCTCGACACAAGAATCAATCCAATAAATACTCAGCAGCAGTCATCAGCAGAAATCAGAACATTTGAGTCACTATCTTATAAGTCACCCTCAACACGAAAATTTAAGAACGAGGTATCCTGACTACCATGCGTAATATCATGTGTGAATACGTGTGAAGTCGGAAATTCCGTCGGACTACAGCTTCGGCAGCTACTCCGGAGAGACCGTGCATTTCATCCCAAGTCTACAGTTTCACGTCCCCCGCCAAAGCCGAAGGCTTGCAGGATAGCTTTGGACTACACAGCAATATCTGCATCGCTGCTGATTAATCTCATTATTCTCGGAGATATTACTGATCTGCAGGTTCTTAGCACGTTGGGGCTGCGAGAGTTTGTTCAATCCGGCAGTTACCAAATATGGAGGCATCACCTCCAGCGTACATAGGATTCAGGGATGATACTACAGTCTCGTATTCGCCGATTGCTGCGTGTGTGAAGTCACAAAAACAAGAATACTTTAGCGTTATTTACATGTACCACATACAAGGTCAGATAAGCTGGAGAAGATTCAAGGCCGTCCGCCGAGGACACACTACGTCCGTCGTCACATCCGGCAGAACCTTATGATCAGATAAAGCCCGACCAGAGTGACTGCCGCATTTTGGTCATTTGAACAGACTCGACTCATTGCTCTGCGTTCTCACATTCCTCATTCCACAGTTTGACCATGATTTCCCCCTCTAGAAAGGAATTTGAAGTTGCCATCATCGGCGGCGGAATAGCTGGAGTTACTCTCGCTATCTCACTCAGCAAACGCAATGTTCCCTGCACCATATACGAAAAAGCCGGCGCTTTCACCGAGATCGGTGCGGGGTTGGGAATAACTCCCAACGCGACCCGTGCTATGAAGGCCTGCGACCTTTCCGTCTACCAGGCCTTTGATAGAGTCGCACAGCCATCCATTCGTTGGGACTTTCTGGACGGCTCAAGCCCCGAAACCGATGATGTGGTCCAGTTCAGCCTTGGAGACAATGAGTTTGGCATTCGAGGTTGCCACAGAGCTCACTTTCTCGAAGGGATGGTAGAGTCTCTCCCGGCTGGTATCACACGATTCAATAAGGAACTTGCTCGCGTCGAGGAACCACACGGACCTTCCGGCAAACTGCACATGGCTTTCAGCGATGGCTCAACCGCAGAGGCAGATGCAATTGTCGGATGTGATGGGATCAAGTCACGAACTCGCGAAGTCATAGTCGGATATGGCCATCCATCTACTAAATGCAGCTTCACGAACAAGTATTGCTACCGTGGTCTTATTCCAATCAATAAGGGAATCGAAATCCTGGGTCAAGACAGGGCCATGGGCTCTAATCTTTGGGTCGGTGACCCCGACATCAACGAAAACAAATGAGAAGATCGCTGATCATGAGTTTAGTTTGCAGAGAAGGTGCACATAGTGACATATCCCGTTGCAAAAGGCACCATTCTCAACGCAGTCATGCACTGCACAAGCAAGTTCGATTGGCCAAGCGATAGGCAATTCGTACTTCCTGCCCAGCAAGACGATGCTTATGCTGATTCCGAAGGCCTCAGCCCTAGACTCCGGCAGGTGGTAAAGAACATGAGAACTGTTGATAGGGTAAGCTATACATGTCACTCTCGCCTACAAATACACCCAAAGATCCGCGAAGAAGAATGGAAAGAGCTGACAGTCTACAGTGGGGTCTCTTTGATCTCGGCGAACATCCTATGCCGGCTTTTGCCAAGGGTCGGATCTGTGTCATAGGCGACGCCGCACATGCGTCCACGCCTCATCAAGGCGCCGGCGCTGGTTTTTGTATAGAAGATGCCGCTGTTCTTGCGTCACTGGTTGCAGACAATCGGGTGAAAGACAGAGATGACATCAAGGCAGCATTTGCTGCATTCGATGCTTGCCGTCGACAAAGAGGTCACCGGCTTGTTGAGGGTAGTCGGCGTGCGGGAGAGCTGTATGAAGGTCGGACCGAAGTTGGCAACGATCTTAAGGAGATAGAGCGCGAGATTAGAATGAAGTCGAGGGAGGTGTGGGAGTTTGATATTAACAAGAATATTGATGACGGTCTGGCGGAGCTGGGAAGACGTCTCGCAGTCGACAATGAGGCTGTTGATTATCGGCAAGGTAGCTTCAGGGCGGGCTTGTAGGTTGAGTACTTTCTCTTTCAGATCAACTTACAGCTGATGGCCCTAATTATGTTTTCAAGGCCACAAGTATGTAATTTTTATGGAATGCCGGAGGCTTTAGTAGTCATCACGATGCGTTTGCTTAGTCGGCGCCGCTGTGATGTGTCACGTACAGGCATTTCGTTCCTCTTCAACTAGAACAGAGTTGATTTGATTGGTCAGTCTGAATCCAACAACACCAAATCGCACCATAATTGTCATGAATATTGAGTCGTGCGCATGCAGTTAGAAATAACAACGAAACTTGGCAATGAGCTCCCGTAGTTATGATGTCACATGTCGTCTCCACGTCGCATAAATGTGGGCATTGAAAAGTTTTGAGCGGACCTCTCGATGGGTTAATAAACCGCTGAATCATGACCTCAAAATAACCTCAGTCTCACCGAACCCCAACTCGCCCTTCATTCAACCCTTCACCGACCACAGATCTCGCCACCGGAAAGATGCCTGCCGACTTCGATAAACAAAGCTACTGGGGCGAACGCTTCGCCTCCGAAACCAACTTTGAGTGGTTGACCCCATCTGCGACCTTCATGTCGATCGCGGACCCATACCTCGCCAACCTCGATGATTCGGCGCCTATCCTGCAGCTAGGCTTCGGAACGAGCGACCTGCAGAACCATTTCCGGCACCGCGGGTTCGACAACGTGACCAACGTCGACTTCGAGCCTCTCGCGATCGACCGCGGGCGTATGCTGGAGAAGCAGGTATTTGGGGACGTGAAGATGCGTTACCTCGTCGCTGATGTCACCCAACTGCACTTGCCTGACAAGTTTGATCTGATTGTCGATAAAAGCACCGTCGATGCCGTGTCTTGTGGCGGCGTGGAGCCGTTCCTGAGAATGGCGGAGGGTGTAAGGAAACATCTGTCGGACGACGGCTTTTGGATCTCGTTGAGCTACTCCTTCTGCCGGTTTGACGTCGAAGATCTCCCCTTTGATGTTGAGGTTATCGGCAAGATTCCTACACCGAAACTGAAGCCTCACGATCCTGACGTCTATCATTGGTGTTATCTCTTGAGACCCAAGGGATTTCAATGATCATTCAGCACAATTATCGATGGGAGGGCGACTGCTTTTACTTCAAATACCCCGCGTCACAAGTTCTAGACGCCTCGCTTTGTCAACTCGCATTTATCGTTATCACCAAGCGATGGAGGATGGGAATCATAGTCTTGTTTACTCTATTGTTCATCATTGATCACATCTATATCGACCGTCATTAAACATCAACGCCTGTCTATAATCTAAGCCAGGGGAGTTCCGGGCTTGAACTCGGGGTGGAAGGGGTAGTCGATGTATCCCTGCGGAATAGACGGGGTGTAGAAGGTGTCCCGATCGTACTTGTTCAAGGGCAAGCCGTTCTTGATGCGGAACGGCAGATCCGGGTTCGCCAAGAAGTGACGACCGAAGACAACGGCAACATCCCACTTTGCGTACTCCTCGTCGACAGCCTTTTTGGCCAGCTCGGGGGTGAAACCACCCGCAACGAGGACTGGCGAGGTGTTGTTCCAGATCTCCAAGAGGAAGTCAATTCCCTCGACCTTCTCCACGTCCTGCCAGTTGTTGACACGGGACTCGATAATGTGCAAGTAAGCGAGCTTCAGGTCCTTCAACTTCTGAGCGAGGAATGAGAATTGAGGCACGGGGTCCTCCATTCTCATGGCCTGGAAGTTGCTCCAAGGGCTGATACGGAAGCCAACTCTGTCCGCACCGATAGCGTCAACCAAAGCAGCGGCAACATCGACGGGGAATCTGGCTCGGTTCTCGACGCTTCCGCCCCATTGATCAGTGCGCTTGTTGCAGTTGTCCTGGAGGAACTGGTCGACGAGGTATCCATTGGCGCCATGGATCTCAATGCCGTCGAATCCAGCAGCGATTGCGTTCTTGCCAGCCTGCGCGAAATCCTTGACGGCCTGCGCGATCTCTTCAGCGGTCATCTCACGCGGGACAGGCGAATCATCGCTGATGGGCACGGCACTGGAGCTGAGCAACGGGTGGCCGCCCTCCTTCTCCAAGACAGGGACGACGGCGGCGCGGCCGGGCGCAATGAGCTGGCAGTAGATGCTGCTGCCCTTCTCGTGGACGGCGTCGGTAATCTTCTTCCAGCCGGCAATTTGGCGGTCGGTCCAGATGCCGGGGGCGTTGGGGAAGCCGCCGTGGGCCTCAGAGATAAGGACTGCCTCGGCGATGATAAGGGTACCCGGGACGGAGGCGCGCTGGACGTAGTAGTCGTATGCGATGTCAAGCGGGACATGATCGGCGCTGAATCGGAATCTGGTGAGGGGAGCCATCACCACGCGGTGAGACAACTGGGCCTGGCCGACCTTCAGGGGCTGGAAAAGCTTGGAAACCATATTGATGAGTGGAAAAATCTGCGTTTGAGTCTCGGAAACGATAAGTCAAGATGGGACGAGGACGGTTGGTCGTATCACCAGATCCTCAGATGTAAGACGGAGGGAGATCTCTCCTGATAAATACTGCGGCAGACACCGATATTTCCGTCCTGTGCCCCTCGGTGGGTTCCCATCGATAGCCATGGAGAACGCTTGGTGTTTGGAGCGCAGCATGTGCGAAGACCCTTGGCGTAAGGTGCCGGGGCAGGGATTCGGGAACATCGCGGTCGGAGCATCGACGAATTGCGTTAAAGACGTTGGAGTCTTCAAACAGACGCGTCCAATCACGTTCTAACCTCGGACTCCAAGCCCGCAGTCATCATTGGGGTCAAAGTCCATTGGAGAAAGAAGAGTCTAAGAATTGCTTAGAAATCCTTAGATGCTAAGCATTGAGATGTCCATTAATGCTCCACTGCGAAAGTTGACAGAAGGCAATTCGCCTTACTAGTTCACTAGCTTGTAAATGAGCGAGAGTCCACTACGCAACATAGACAATTTCATGTTGTAATAATAGACGAGTGTGATATAAGCTGACAATTGAGTTGCAAACTTGGGCGTGTAGGCCTTGTCTAGTTCTAAAAATGCAGGCCATAAAACACAACATCATTTCCTACTCGTACAAGTAAAATGCTTCCGACAATCTCAGATGGAATCAATATTTTCGGTGTATGCAGTCTCCCGTAACTTTCCTGAACCCCATCGCTGTGCGCAACTCCGGCCGAACCATACATTAAACTGAGAAAGACATTGTAATATCGCTGATATCGTAAGTCATGAAGAAGAAAGACAAAAGTTGCAAACGTCACCACGAGGACCATGTCTAGTCAATATCATCCATTCTCCACTATGCGGTGAGTTCTTCAATGAAATCGAGAACGTAGTCCGCAACCTGTTCCCACCCAGGCTGGAATATCATCCCATGGGCACGTCCAGGGAACATCTTGTACTCGACGAATGAAGGGCCTTGATAGGCTTCGAAGTTTTTCCTCACTGTGCTGGGAGGAACGATGTGGTCTTTTGAGGCGGACAAGAGCAACAACGGTGGCCGGTCAATCTTGTTGAAGTTCACATGCGTGGGGGCCGATCGTCCGCCCGCAACATTGGTCGTTAGCTGCCACAGCACTCTTGCAACTCCCGGGATGCAGTAGCGTTCCCAGTACTCCCTACTCTTATCGGAAGTGGTGTTGTTGGCAAACGCCCAATGAAAGTGTTGTTCGGATATTGAGACAGTAGTGGTTGCGTTGAAAGGGTTCTTGATGATGGGTAGTGCAGCTTTGAACGTGGTGCTCGGCAGAGTGATGATGCCTGCAGGCTGAGCAGGGCATATTGCGACGCCGGCAGCACCGAGACCGCGCGATGTGAGAATTTGTGCAAACAGGCCGCCGAACGAGTGACCGATGATGATTGGCGGTGCTAGCAGCTTGTTGATGAATGCTTCATAATATCCCACGATTTCTTCGATGTACTTATTGGCCAACGGTTGGGGGTCCTCCCGGACTTCTTCCGGGGAGCGGCCGTTGATCCCGGGCCATTCGGGGGCGTGTACTTCGTAGCCCAGGCTTTCGAAATATGGTATCCAGTGTTCCCAGTATTTGGCTGTCACCCACAAGCCGTGGATGAGCAAGATTGGCGGTTTTGAAACGTCCATGGATTTTTTCTCGAATGCAACGAAAATTCGCTTATTCAATTCAAAGTACTTCATCCGGGTTCCCAATGCCAAAACGGGATTCCTTGAAGTGTTTTTGAGTCACGGACACCAGTGGTTGGTGACCACGCGAGAACGAGTCAATGGCGTCACACTGACCTCATCACTTGAGGCTTAGCCTATGTTTCGTAGACCACCGACGACGCGCGCGCGATTGCGGCTCATTGATCTCGATCTCACTGATTGAAAAATCGCAGCTAGTGTTATTCCTTTCATCTTCTATGATGCGGATTACTATCCTACCGCGACTTGCTTGGCTAAAACCGGCGCAGGGTATCAACGAGGTAAGATGAGAAATGCAGCCACAAATGCAAGTGAGGCGCTTGAAGATGAGAGCTTGAACATGATTTTTAATTCGTCTGATTTGCAACAAGAATTCCGTTGTTGGGTCATGTGACCAAACGTTCCTGCGACACGTACTCAAGCAAGTAATTCTTCAAGTCTCACCCGTTAGCCTGGGTTACACGTGGTCTTAGTTCGAAATGAGGCCTTCGTCACAGTTGCAAACCAACTCGTTGAACTCATTAATAAACGCATACCCATATCTTTTACGCGATCCGGCAACCGTTCTGATTGATCGTGCTGGTGATGAGGTGAGCGACCTTGTAATAAAGTCAGGGACGTGAGATTGCAGTCTCATATGAGATCATACGATAACCCCCCATAATCCAGAATGAGAAAGAACAATGAAAACTTCGCTATGCAAATAATATGGATAATTAGAAGTTCAAGACTATTGTGCGAGAAGTTTGTCAAGTTAGATCCCTCACCCAGAAACCGTGATGGTTGGGACGAAATCTTGGCGCCGCGGAAAAAGCCTGGAGCAGTTTTGAGGTAATTAGTAATTCTACTAACTGAATTGATTTACAATCAAGATCTCGTGGAGTAATCTCCAACAAATTCGTAATCTGTTGGGGTTGAGAGAATGAAAAGTATGAGCCTGAAGTTGAAAATAGGCGCCTGAGATGAGTATGAGCCTGGATTCAGAAGTATGAGCCTGAAGCAACTCGGGACGGCCCCACATCTCCGGTGATCAACATGAGCACAACCGGGTTGCCCGCGAACATGATTTGGGCCAGATCGCAGAATAATCAACTCAAGACAAAGTGGACGATTAAAATACTCATAGTTTAGGCAGTCTTTTTCTTCTTCAAAAATAAGCTGCAACATCGAATAAGTGGGAGTCTTCCATCGAATAAGTGGGAGTCTTCTCACCACAGTCACTGGGACCCTCAAACTTAGTAACCGTCTTCTTTCCAGACTTGGGGTTTGTGAAACGCTTTGGTTGAAGTCTATGTCATCCATATACCAAGTAAACATTACTCTAATCTATGTGAAGTCTGAGATGCTAAGCAGTTTACTTCCTTTCTACCTCCAAAGACGCGAGTACGAAGGCTGATTCACCCAACAAGCTGTTTGGCACCAGTGGTTGCTTGGTGTAGTATTCGTAAGTGGCCGTGGAGTTGAGGCTGCATACTGACACAGTCTTATCGTACCCGATGGTCCCGTTGCCCGGGTTAGTTACGAAGTTGTTGACGGTGTAGTTGTACGCGCGAAGGGCAACCTTCCTAAAGAGAGCTCCCGAATCTGGGAAGATTCCAAGCCTGGCTCCTTTCAGCATGGAGAACATGAACAGCGCCGTGCTGGAGCTCTCAAGGTAGTTTCCGCTGCGGCCGGGAAACGTCGTGAGCTGCCACCACGCCCCGGTATCAACGTCGGCGTACTTGACCAGCGCAGTGGAGAGTTGTGTGGTGATGTTTTGAATTTGGCTGCATACGGGTTCCGACTCTTCGCTCTGACCCGAAGCGGCAGGGCAGTCAAGAGCCTCCCAGGTTTGAACGAGGCCGGCCACGAACCATCCAACGGAACGACCCCAGACGTATGGGCTTGCGCCTGTTTCCTTATCCGCCCAAACTGCAGTGCGTGAGTAGTCGTACCCATGAGTGACCAATGAGGTGTTCTTTTGCAGGCAATGGTCGTACAGCAGGGAAATCTGCAGGCTTATGTCGGTGTAGTTCGGACGGGGTTGCGACGCCATGAAGGGCAGTACAGAGAACATGCCGTCGAGATAGCTCCATTGAGGGTAGACATAGTACCAAAAGCCGCCGTCCGGGTTGCGAATCTGAAGTGAAAGCGAGGTGTTGAGTGCATCGTAGGCTGATGCCGCTTGGGCCGAGACGGAGACTATGCCGGCCGTGGACGCACTCTCGATGGAAGTCGCAACAGAGAATCGATCAAGAGGCCGTGTTGAGTCATACGTCGCATTCGTCAAAGCTGGTGTCGCCGCGTCGAGAACATCTCCGAGGTAGGCGGCGTACTTGTCTTGCACCTCCGGGTACTGCTTGATGGCTGCTTCGATCGCAATGGCGAGAATACCGCTCTCCAGGGTGCTGCTGGAAGCGCCGGATGACTCGATCCCTTGGTTGCGCGACTTGATGCTGTCTAGCATCCAAGTTGAGTACCGACGAGGTTCCCCGGACGCAAGCACGTTTGCCAAGCCGCAAAGGGCCGCGAGCCAAGCCGGAGATCGATGCATGACAGTATCACACACGCCAAGAGAATCAACGGAGGTTGGTGATCGGTGCGGTTCCAACGTCCGATCGCGCTGGCTGTAGCCCGGCTTTATATCGCGGCTACCGGTTACGCCGGTTCATTGATTACGCGGGCGCAGTTCACAAAGTTCCTCCCACCGGTGCCCATCAATTGCCGTTTTAAGGAGCTTTCAAGTACCGGTCCTGCCGGGACGCCACGCCATTCACGGTAACTGGACATAAGCATGGATTCCCCATGCACACGTCAACTTGCAGAAGCATTTCTCATGAACTTGTTTGTCATTTTTCTCCTGAGTTCCATAGCTAATAGCAGCAAGTGAACGTGGGATTGGTGCCCTGAAAAGATGGGGGTTGACCTTGCATGGGGAAACAAGCGAAATTCGCTCATGACTCTTACAGAAACGAATGTCCTCCAACCTCTCGGGCCAAAGCCTGCTGGAGACCGATTTGTTTCTTGAATTTTGGCAGTCTGTATACAAAGAAAACAGACAAGACGAAGGCAATGATGCACGCGATCAGCCTGGGAACAGCTTGCCACTGTACTGCGTGAGAAGCCGCGTATTTCGTATTCAACACTCAGCTTCCCGACTGTCAAGTCAGTCAAAGGCGAATGCGGGGTTTGCGGGGAAGAAGAAAGGGGCGATCTTGTCAGGGTAACATTGACTACGAATGCCGGTGTTCTTTCCCTTGCAAGGCTCGTCAGAATCCAATGCCGGACTCACTACCCGTACCCGGACGGGAACACGCATGTTTTCTTTTAGGCTAATTTGACGGGTTCACTTATTGTGCCTGCCGATCGCCAACACGAATCAACGAAGTTTTGCCATTGTTACACAGAGGAGACACACTTCTTCGCTGTTGGTCTGGAGCATCACAGATTTTGGGATACGCGTATGGATGTTACTCTTCTCAATGTGAAAAGGTAGAAATTCGTAACAACTTCGTCGCAGGCCTTACGAAAACGCGTTTTCTTCTCGGGTAATCAACATTTGTTTATGGTGTTGTAGACCCGGGGTAGCATACTGTTCTCTGTGGGCCACCACCGGTGCGGAGGTGATCGGGTTTTCCGAGCAGCCATGACATAGTCCTCACAACGCCAGAAAACACCATGCACATCAACACATATAAGAGCCCCTTCAAAACATGGTGAAGACGACTTTCTCTACACTCGCATCTCTGGGAGCAAAGTCCTTGCGGCACACGTCATCATCATGCTGTCTTTCTTGAGCTGCCTTGTCTTCGCGCTGTGGACAGGGAACTCCGCCAGCCAGAGTTTGACGTCTTATGTCAACCCAATTCTTCCTGGATGGCACTCTGACCCCAGTTGTATTTACGTGGAGGAATGGAACCAGACATACTTCTGCACTACTTCTTCATTCCTGGCCTTTCCCGGCGCCCCCTTATACGCCTCCAAGGACTTAATCAACTGGCAGCTGGCAAGCAATGCCTACCATCGGGAGGATCAGGTCCCGGGGATGCTTGAGTCTGCGGCTTGGGAACAAGAAGGCTTATTCGCAAACACCCTGAGAGTCCGTGACGGCGTGATGCACCTCATCACGGCGTACGTCAGACTTAGTGCCCCAGAGCCCGAGTTCCTTCTCTTTTCGACAACGGACCCTTTTGATACAGCATCTTGGACCGGACCAGTGCGTATTCAGAACCCAGCCAAAACGATCGATCCCGATCTCTTCTGGGATGAAGACGGAACACTGTACATCTCCTCGTCTGGAATCTACATCCAGAGTGTCAACTTGACCACCGGCGAAGTTTCACAGCCAGTCAACGTCTGGAACGGAACGGGAGGATCCAGCCCAGAGGGACCCCATATCTACAAGAAAGACAACTGGTACTACCTTCTCATCGCAGAAGGAGGAACAGAGTTGAACCACGCAGTCACGATTGCTCGTTCAAAGGACATATACGGACCATACGAGAGCAACCCAAACAACCCCATTCTTACGAATCGCAACACAACAGAATACTTCCAAACTGTTGGGCATGCGGATTTATTCCAAGATGCGGAAGGCAATTGGTGGGCTACTGCATTGTCGACTCGAAGTGGCCCCAAATGGAAGAGCTACCCCATGGGTAGAGAGACCGTCCTGGCACCAGCCGTTTGGGAAGAGGGGGAATGGCCCGTCATAAGTCCTATCCGAGGAAACATGTCCGGACCGTTGCCTCCTACAAACAGAGACGTCCCCGGCTCAGGGGCCTGGGTAGACCAGGGAGACGTAGTGGATTTTGCTCCAGGGTCGGCCATACCGAGTCACTTTGTCCACTGGAGGCCGCCACGGTCGTCAGACTATGAGATCTCTTCGCAAGATGGCAATCCTTCGTTGGCTCTGACGGCTTCGAAGACCAGTCTGAGCATCTCGAAATATCCGAACTACGTTCCAACAGACGGACAAACCTTCATTGGTCGACTTCAGTCGCACACAACTTTCAACTTCAGCATAGACGTCACGGCCAGTCTGACAAGTCTGGACCAAGAAACCGGCCTTACTGTCTTCTTGACTGGCAATCAACATATCGATCTTGGAATTGTGATGCTGAGTCAAACCAATAGCAGTTCCACGGCGACGCCTCATGTCAGGCTTCAGACGGACAATGCTGGCCCCCCGAACGTTACGGTTCCTGCACCCAATGTTATTCCAGTCCCAGAGTCTTGGAAAAACGGCACAATTCGATTGCGTGTCGAATGTCCTCAAGGAGACACGTACCTATTTTCAGCAATCGGAGACCTAGGACATGGAGATAAACAGAATGATCAGGAGCATTCTCTCGAGCTGGGTGAAGTCAGTGCCGAAGTCGTGAGCGGTGGATCGGGACCTTTCACAGGTAAGCTTTCAGCCCAACTTTTTGATTCAGTCATGAATACATCGTTAATGCGAGTGGTTAGGTGTGCTCCTGGGCGCATATGCTACTACGAATGGTGGCAATGCGACTTTTAAGTCATACATCAGCCGCTGGAGATATGATCCCGCAGGCCAAAAGATAGAGTGAGAGAGCTCAAGCATCATTGATACCAGAGACGGAGATTAGCGTTGATTCGGAGAGGCATCAATTCCAGTGACAGCAACTGAGAACGATTGCATGCTGCGACAATTTCAAAGCTCAAGGTTCTGGAACATCTTTGAGTTTAATCAAGTAGTTCATCTAGAGCTATTTTACCACTATGGCCGAGGCTGAAAGCGTAATCGGTGATCTGATTTCTTCGGAAAGCCACTTGTGTTGGGAACGATGTGAAGATCTAACCTAAGCTGACGACATCTTCTTTAATTCCGAAGCCACTGTCTTTGTCGCATTCATGGCCTCCTCGCTCCACGGTGTCATTTGTAAGAACCCATGTGTAAGACTATCGAAGTGATGCCATGACACCTGGTTCCCAGCTTCGTCAAGTTTGTGCGCGTACTCGACACCAACATCACGCAGCGGGTCGAAGCCACAAGTGAATACGGCACTGGCAGGGACGCCCTTCAAAGTCCTCCACTTCTTGCATTCCGGGAGATATGTAGCGGTGGCTTGGGGGCACACCTCGGGTAGCATAGTGAGCTGCGAACCCGAATATGCCGTTACCTATGAAGATGTTGTCAGAAGCAACTCATCGTCTTCTCAAGGAAACAGACTCACACTCTAGGTAAAAACCGGAGTTGTTCTCAACGGCAGCTTTGGTGTCGAACGGAAGCCTGGCTTCAGGGTACAACAGCATGCACGCCTTCATGGGCTTCTTCTTCTGGTCTTTTCTGCGAAGAGCCAGCGCTGCCGTCATGTTACCACCAGCCGAGTCGCCTCCACCGCAGACCTTGTCCCCATTAACACCTCGTTTATTCCCCTCATCCCCTTGAAACCAGTCGATGACAGCGTCGTACTCATCCAGCTGGACCGGGTAACTCCATTCAGGTGCTAGGCGGTACTCGACCCCGACGACTATCGCGCCGCTGTTCTCTGCAACAATTCTGAGGCCGTTTTCGAATTCGTCCACGGAGCCTACGGTGTAGCCGCCGCCATGCATGTACACAAGCGCGGCAGAGTCGCCGTCGTCGCGGACCTGCTTGCCAGAGGATGGGTAGAAGATGCGGATCGGAATGGTGCCATGAGGGCCGCGGACAGCTGTGAATTCGACGCGCTCGATTGGTGCTCGTAGTGACTCGTCGAGTGAATGAAAGCCAAAGACTTTGAGATGTTCCGCACGCTCAGAAGTGAAGTTGTCGGCGCCGCCGAGATGGAGCTTTGAGTTGTCGCGCAGGAAGTTGGCTAAGCTGGGATCCAAGCTTGACCTTGTACCAACGGTGGGAATCTTCGACTGAGGCATTGTTGTTTGCTAAACGTCGAGCAAGATACTTGTCGTTCCAAATGCGACAAAAAAAGAATATTGCGTTTAGCACAAAAGCTGAATGGGAGCTAGGCCTTTATCTCTTGAGAATCGACTTTGATGGTTTCCGTCATTATTATGATGTCGACGACGCCGACGGCTAAGACTAAGATGGGATTTGAAATACTTCAAATGTGCTGAGCTTGAGCTCATGATGACGTTCGCCAGGCCGTGCAGGTTCTCATGAGCTAAGACACGGTTGTTGCCGGAGATAGTCAATAGATGCCAGGAAATAAGGCTGAGATGCATCGCGAACTCTGCATTTGTAGGATGCTGATATCCGGGCCAAAGACCGGGCGTATGCGCTCCTGTAACCGACATCATCGCATCAAGAGCGCTCCCATGATGGCAAGTGTCGGTGCAAGTCCCCAATATGTCCACTGCACACTTTCACTCGTTCTGCAAGTGAAGCTATCTACGACAACAATGGCACTCTCACATATGAGGATGGCGCCAAGTGTCCTGCTGTTTCCGAAGAGTGTAACGGCGTACATGGCGACGCCCATGAATATGTCGCGAGCACCGTAACCCATCATGACGCGGTCGACGACCTCTTGGGCTGAGGGCTCGGTAGGATAGCTCCATTTGAAAAGGGCGAATAAGTCCTTTGGGACCATCATTGCACCGGCGCCCATACCGATGAAGGAAGTGCCATACATGTTGGCGAGAATCGTGAGCCCGCGTCGAGAGCCAAAGGCGGCGCTGAGCGCACCTCCCATGGTGGCCGCACTAAGGGCGTCTTTCCAGAGTATGACTACGGGAGATTGGGCAGACATTTTGGCTTGTCTTGATGAAGAAGTCGTTTATGGGTGGATTGGGCCTTCTTGGAAGAATACTTCGAAGGTTGAACTCGTGAAAGGGTCGTGAATATCGAACGCATCTAAATTGGTTGCTCCAGTGCGCTGTTTTAATTTCCTCCCCCCCATTTGTTTTCCTCGTTTTCTTCGTGTCACGCGATTCTCGAATTTTTCTGTCTGTGATCGGCGTCAATTTCTGACGCAGTTCACGAGTCTTGGCGCTGTTGCCTGGCGAGTACATAGAGGCTGTCTCCATATCTGACTCATTCCCATGTCCGGAGCACGACCGATTCGGTCCCGGGAATAAAGGTGGATCCGTTATCGGGCCTCGGAGCTCGGAGACCGGTGTAACGGCTTCGCCCTCAAGGCAGGGACGAATCATCCAGAAGACATACGTCAGTTAGAGTACGCATATAGAATGGGGTCTGTCTAAATGCATTGGTTGATACCGGAGTTCTTGTGGTTATCAGAGTGATCAGGTCAGCGATTGCCCTATTGGCCAGGTTTCAATGCAACTCGGCCCAATCCTCGCCGGCTTACATGAGGGACTTTAGGCACCGAGTTCGAGACATTTTTTGCCCCCACAGCCTTTGTGGAATCTATCCTCCCACACCTCAACTAAAGAGCCTCATCCCCATTCCAATGGTACAAGCAGAAAGTGCCTATGAAATCATGACCGACCCTGATACGGAGGACCAGATACAGCCTGGGCAGGATCCAGATCCGAAGAAGCGACGCCATGAGCAATACACAGTGGGCTGGGTCTGCGCTTTACCGAAGGAACAAACAGCTGCGATTGCCATGTTGGAGGAACGTCACCTGGACTTACCCAAGCCATCGACAGATAGCAATGCTTACACCCTTGGCTCTATCGGAAAGCATATGATTATAATTGCCTGTCTGCCAAAAGGACAAATCGGAAACAACTCAGCAGCTACAGTAGCAACTCGACTGGTTTCTACGTTTCCTGCTGTGAAGGCTTGCTTCATGATTGGTATTGGGGGCGGCATCCCCCCGAAAGTTCGACTTGGTGATGTCGTCGTTAGTACACCAATTGGACAATATCCAGGTGTTGTCCAATGGGACTTTGGGAAGGCTCAGGAAGGCGGCCGCTTTGAGAGAACTGGCGCCCTCAACAACCCCCCAGGATTCCTTTTGACGGCGCTGGCTAAGCTGGAGAGTACGCATGAGATGGAAGGATCCAAGATCAATGACTTTCTAGAAGATATGCGTCGAAAGTGGTCGAGACTGGCCCCAAAGTACTTGCGTTCGGCTTCCCTCGAAGATGTCTTGTTCAAGGCAAACTACAAGCATGTAGAAACAGCAGACGAAACGGACGAAGACGATGAGGAAGAGGAAGTAGCTTGTAAGCTATGCGACCGAACACAGGCAAAGAAGAGGAAATCTAGGGATATGCGCGTACACTACGGGCTTATCGCCACGGGAAACCAGGTGATCAAAGACGCGATCTTCCGAGATGAGCTTAACAAAAGTCTGCATGGTCAAGTTCTCTGTGTCGATATGGAAGCTGCAGGGCTAGTAGCTAGCTTCCCGTGTCTAGTTATTCGGGGCATTTGCGACTATGCCGACTCGCATAAGAACAAGCAGTGGCAAGAACACGCGGCTGCGATTGCTGCAGCCTTCGCCAAGGAGCTTCTGAGTTATGTACAGCCTCAGGATGTGGCCGATGAGCGTCCAGCGAGGGAAATCCTTCAAGACAGTTAGTGGCCCAGGAAGATTCAAGAGCCAAAAGTGCTAATAAACAGTATTAGTCTTCAATGAAATTTCTGTTACAAAGTCAGACATCCAACAATTACGCCATCATGCTCGAAGAAAAGAAGATGGAAATGTCGTAGGGTGGCTGACACCGTTCGACTATGGTCCACAGCAGAGTGACTTGCTCAGCAGGTGTCATTCTGGGACGGGAGAATGGTTCATTCAGTCTTAAAGGTTTCGAGACTGGGTAGACGCAACAAAGTCAAAAACCCTATTCTGTCCGGGAATCCCTGGAGCTGGGAAAACCATCATCACGTCTCTTGTGATTGAGCATCTGTATACCAGGTTTCGCGGGAACCCAAACATTGGTATCGCATATGTATTCTGCAACTTTCGGCGGCATGGCGATCAGAAGTATTCAGACATACTGGCCAGCTTGCTGAAGCAGCTGTGTCAGTCCCGAGCTATCATGCCAAGCGCTGTGTCGTTACTCTATGAACGGCATGAAGCTCATAACACGAGGCCGTCTTTGAAAGAGCTAACGGAGGTTTTAAGACTCGTCACTCAAACTTACTCTCGAACTTATTTCCTCATGGATGCGCTGGACGAATGCCAGTCGCTCGATGGCTCACGAGCAGCGATTGTAGCGCATCTTTTTGGAATCCAGGATGAGGCAACAGCGAACCTTTTCTACACCTCAAGGCACGTACCAGACGTTGAGCGACACTTTGAGCATTGCGAAAAATTAGAAATCAGAGCGAAACAGCAAGACGTTCAAAGCTACGTGAACAGTCGTTTGTCGCACATCTTGACGAACATCCCGCTATCACCGGGCTTGAAGGAACATACCGGAGAAAGGATTTTGAGGCTAGCAGACGGAATGTCAGTATTATTCGAGGTTGTAGACGTTAATCTCACTGCTGATCCATAACATCCAGGTTTCTTCTGGCACACCTATGTTTGGAATCGCTCAGAGACACGACATCAGTAACAGAGCTGCGAGAGACTATGGACTCAATCACCCATGCTCGAAACACCCACACCGAACGCTACCACAAACAGTCTTCGTTATATCAGGCGTATGATACAGCGATGGCGAGGATCGCAGAGCAGTCTGATGGGTTACGCGATCTGGGAATGAGAACTTTAACCTGGATTGTCCATGCAGAGAGGCCCCTTTCCCCTCGGGAGCTTCGACATGCACTTGCAATAAAGCAGGGGGATATTGTCCTTGACGAGGACAATTTGCGGACTACTGAAGTTATCCTATCAGCTTGTGCAGGATTGGTCATTGTTGACCCAAAAAGTGCAATGATTCGTTTGGTTCATCACACGACGCAATAATACTTCGAGGTCGACGATGTGCGGATGAAGTGCTTTCCGCGGGCACACTTGGACATAACGACTGCATGTATTTCTTATCTTTCTCTTGAAAGCGTTCCACGTCTCTTCGGCCAATGCATCTACTGCTATTGGGAGGCTTATCTAAAGATCATCGACCACCTGTCTCTGCTTCGCTATGCTGCAGAGACATGGGGCAACCATGCCCGCAAATCGTCGTCGTCAACAAGCCCAGCAATCTTCAGATTCTTGGCCAGGGCAGAAAGTATCATGGCCCTGGGACTACTTCTTTCCTTCCCTCCAGAAATACCTCACACAAGCTCCATGCCTGAGAACAGGTGGTCGGCGTTGCACCTTGCGGCATTTTTCGACCTACGGGAACTTGCCGCAATATTAGTTGAGAACAAACGCAAGAACAGCTCAGAGGACGGAAATCTCTATACTGCAATTGCCAGTACAAGATCTTGCAAAAACCACATGCATCAGGCATTGGTTTGGATTGGTGGAGACGAGCAGCTAGTCCGCCAAAGCAACTCCACGTCTACCCCGCTACTCGTTGCATCTTGCAAAGGCCATGAAGCGATCGCTCGTCTGTTACTCAAAGGAGGGGCTAACGTAGATAATAGGAAAGACTATTAGGGCTGGACGCTACTATTCGTTGCATCTGAATTAGATCACGAGGATGTTGTGAACCTGTTGCTCGAAGCAGGCGCCGATATCAACGCTCGCGACGATAAGGGCGTCTCGCCACTGCATGCAAGCTGTAGAGCAGGCAAATCTGCAATCTGCAAATTGCTCATTGAAAACGGAGCTGACATGGAGGCGAGAGACAACGTCGGACGAACACCGCTACATTCCGCATCTATCTGGGGTCATCGGGATGTCTGCGAGTTGTTACTTGAATACGGAGCCAATCTGGAGGCCAGAGACTATTCGTGCTTGACCGACTCCCTTTATGGAGGTCTCCGAAGTCAGCGCGATATATCCCGTTGCCATAATGTGAACTTCAGCAGGGCCGAATCGAGAAACGTAAACGGAGATGGTTGGACACCGTTATGGCTTACCTTAGGTCGACAGAGCAACATGGGCGTCACTGAACTGCTCATCAAAAGAGGGGCGAGGTTTGACCTGGTTGACGGACTCGGGCAAACACCTTTGCTGCATGCGCTACACTTGGGAAATGAAGATGGTGTTCATGCTCTGCTCTCGATGGGAGCTTCTTTCGACATGAATGAAAGGGACAGCCAGGGTCGATCGCCGCTGTATTTTGTAACCTCCCCTGATCGCTTAGAGTTTGTCAAAGGGAGGGACAGCGAGCTCAGAGAAACACCAGTGGCCACGCAGGAGCGTTACGCAAACCTCGCCAGAATGTTGACCGCACTGATACATCCGAGCCATGATCGGGGTCCTGCTTGTGTCTTGCGTCGATACCCTCCTATTCAGACTTAGATTTCAAGGTAGAATTCACCGCTTCGAACCTACCTCATCTTCTTGTGCCAATGGTGTGCTCTTGCCACACCCGAGTCAATAATATTGTTGGCGTTCTGATCGAAAACAGACGCGCTGGAGTTGTGATGATGGCAAGGCAATGTACCTCATGCAAGGTCTTTTGCAGTTAAATCCACCATGTTTCGGAGCAGTTGTGTTGAAAGTTATCGTTTAGGAACAAGGGCAGCATAAGTAGGTTTGCAGCAATTATTGAAAATGTGTCAAACAACGGCCTGAGATATAATAGCAAGCCGATTTGGTAATAACATAATAAATGAATACCAGATAATTAGGTGATAGTAACCGCGTTGGCGAGCAGTGTCAATTCTGAGATGTTAATCTCCAGACTCCCGTGCTCGCCGTGTAATTCACGGGCGCAAAGCTCAAGTGGCGACGGAAAGTCACCGTTGAGGGCCCACATTCCGGATGTCCTCCCTGTCTTCACCCCGGCTCTCGGCGTTGGTTGAGTCCGAGTGGTCCGATTTCGATATCGGAGCAATAGCTAGTCATTTAAGCATGGCTCCGACCGACCGCAACTGTCACCCTTCAATTCCCCAACCTTCGCAATATTTCAACCACCGACGACGACGAACTTCCTCGGCCACCTCGATTGAGAACAGAGACCCCTCGAACCATGCCGGGCAATGACCTTTACGACGGCGAAGTCGAAGCCTCGCCGAGTTCATCGGCCTCGGAGGGGAGCTATCACGACGATCCGATCTCCGAACAGCTACAACCCGATGGCTATCGTGATGAAGAAGCAATGACGATGGCTCCCCAGCAACAAGCACTGCCGGCGACTCCATCCATCTCCAAACCAGTAATTTTCCGCCTCTACGTGTCGCATTTCTTGTCAACATGGAACTCTCGTCTCTTCGAGTTCGGAGCTGTCCTCTTCCTGGCGTCGATCTATCCCGGAACACTGATGCCGATGTCCATCTATGCCCTGGTCCGAGGGGCTGTCGCCGTGGTGCTGTCACCATCGATCGGATCTTGGATCGACCGCGGTAATCGGCTTTCCGTCGTGCGAATTTCCATCGTTGGACAGAGACTTGCTGTAGCAATGTCATGCGGCATCTTTTTGGTTTTGGAAAGAATTCGGGACTTGCATGGCGATGTTCAGAATAGTCTGTTTGCCATGGTGGTTAGTCTGGCGTGCATCGAGAAGCTGTGTTCTGTGATGAACTTGGTTTCCGTCGAACGTGACTGGGTAAGAGCAATCAATGTCATGCATTGCTGTTGTCTTGTAAGACCACTGACGATTGATAGGTGGTGGTTATCACCGAAGGCAACGAGAAGGCCCGGCAAGGTAAGTCTAGCCTCAACTACATTATCGGCAACTTGAGCTTTACTAAACGCCGGCAGAGCTGAACGCTCGCATCCGGAGGATCGATCTCTTCTGCAAGCTGATCGGTCCTCTCGCAATCTCGCTGATTGATGGGGCGTCAACTACTATCGCCATATGGGTGACTCTGTCAATGACATTGATGTCTGTCGTGACCGAATATCTCTGTATTGCTCGAGTAAGTTTGGCAAACATGAAGAAGTGGGAAAGTTCTAAATGTGATCCAACAGGTTTACCAACTTGTACCGGCGCTGGCTCAGTTGCGCTACCAGACTCCAGCACCCGACGACTCGACATCGAATGCATCTGTAGACAGTGATGCATCAGGAACACAGCGGTGGACTGGACGGCTTAAGTCCAAGATGCAAGCGGTGTTTCCTGTGTCAGCGATCCCCTTCTACTTCTCCCATCCAGCACTACGACCCTCGCTATCGCTCGCCCTACTCTACTTCACCGTACTGTCGTTTTCAGGCCAGATGATCACCTTCCTGCTCTCTGTCGGCTACAATTCCTTCCACATCGGTATCGCTCGGACGATAGGCACCGTCTTCGAACTGAGCGCTACATGGGCTGCGCCGAAGCTGATGGACAAGATCGGGCCCATTCGTGCGGGTATCTGGAGCTTATCGTGGCAGATGATATGGCTGGCAGCTGGCGTGAGCTGGTTCTTCGCCGATAAATCACAGAATAGGTCGAGCAGTATCGAGGCTGTGAGCGGTCTTGTTGGTGGTGTAATATTGAGCCGAGTCGGACTTTGGGGATACGACTTATCTGCTCAGACCATAATTCAAGGGGTGAGACAGGGCGCCTTTTTCTTCATGGCGTAGTGACTGACCTTTCATCTAGGATGTTGACGAGGAACATCGTGGCGCCTTCTCCACCGTCGAGGCCTCCATGCAAAGCATTTTCGAACTGCTATCGTACGCGTCCACGGTGGTCTTCTCGAGGCCCGATCAATTCCAGTGGCCTATTGTTATGAGCGTCGGGGCGATCTATCTTGCCGGTGGACTCTACGCCTCGTATGTGCGAAAGAGGCGTGGTCACCTGTTTCACGCGCCGCCCTGTCTACACTGTAAGAAGGAGGAGTCTTAAGGGAGAAAAGGGAAAATGGCGCTGATCCGGGACTCGACGTGTAATGAAATGCGTCTTTTGTGTTAGCGAGCTGTAGCTAAGCACTTTTGATGTTCAGTCGCCAAGGTGCCAACTCGGCTTGTGTGCCGACCGTGGCGCACAGAACTTCAAAATATGCCGATTGTGAAGAAAGGCATGCAAGCAATATCAGCAAATAGTTGAGGTCTCTGAGTCCAGTCTTCCTGTGGCAAAAGAGTCGTTGACAACTTGACCAACAGCCGTGAAGTCTCATGAACACGGCATGCATGAGAGGTTGGAAGTTGCCTTTGAGTTCCAACGCTCCAAGCAAGAATCGGCTTAGGGGTCGTACCCAGCTGGTATCTTTAATCATCAAATTGCTGACCTTTCATTTGACAGAACTTGGTCAGCGGAATGCTTCATCATGGATGTCCAAGGACCCTCATCTTCCCGCCAGCCCTACCCACCTCGACAGTGCGTCCGCGAATATTTGGACCACTTCTCACCAATTGGCATTTCCTAATCGGCTTACAGTCTTTGCACGGATAGTAGCCCACATAAAAGGCCATTTGCGCGGAAAATAAAAGCCGGGTGAAGTTCTGGGGCAGGCCGCGTCGTTTATGATACGGGGTTCATGATATTCGAAGAGGGTGACTCCATATGCCGGTCCCATAAGGCTAACTCTATTCAAGCACCACCCTGCCAACGGGACGCGCGGGCAGCGACACTTCCGCATCAGGCATCTCAACTTGGCCCCGGCCAACTGGTTCCTGCGTTCCCTCGTCCGAACGGGGTGGAATGGTGGGACGGCAAATCGTGCCGTGACAAGATCCCCTGTCTTAAAGTTGTTCTTAAACGCTGCCGAATGGGGGTCATGACTGGCGCGGGGGGCTTTGGAGGTTGGCGCTGCTGACCAAAGCTTTTCGACTTGGATGTCAACTGAGTGCCGAATGTCTCACAGCGCGGCTCGGCGGATTCAGCCCAGCTCATCTAGAAATATGTCTCTTGCTTTTAGGACGGGCCTAGAATTCTTATTATGCTTAAACATCAGCAGCGGAGTGAATGTGTGTGAGAGATTTTGAGATCGAAATGAGCCTGGCCTACATGAAGAACTGACTCCGTCGCATTTGAGACATGATCGCGTGCTGCTGCTAGGCTTCTGTTATTTGGCTATTACGCAAAGATGTCAGTGCCCCATCCGACTGAAATCGCAGCCCTTGAGGACATCGGTGAATATGTGAAGAGAGGGCCATCGACAGCAAACTCACCCCTATTGGACATTTATCTCATACAGAGGTCAAAGAGCTCCGCCCGTCTTCTCCCCTAGGTTCCCTAAGATGTCATCTCGGACTGCCCGTTTTCGAACTCTACAAGGTTGTGTCAGCGAACATCAGCCCTGGGCCCCCTGACGTGCATGAGTCGTGGCCCAGGTGCCCTGGTCCATCACGGAGCGTACCGAGCGCCTGGGTGTTTTTGCTCCATTTAGCCACCACTTTCCAACATTTTTCTTCTGTGTTCAAAGTAATGATAGGTTTTTTTTTCTGAATGTGATTTTGAATTTAGTTGTGTGGCGAGGCGTGCTGGAGGCCTCGGATGGGTGCTCAAAAGCCATCAAAATACTTTGACTCAGATTGCGCGTACGCATTTGCCCTGAAATACCTACCTTTTCTTGGGCCTTTCCTGAGAATTTTGGGGAATGCTAGTGGGGGCCAACTCTTCCGCTGGCCCCGTCGGTGCAGCCGGGAGGCCTGTTGTTACACAATTCACCTGGAGTTCCATCCCGGGGTTGAGTCCACATGTCGATGGAGCGTCTACGGGGCTTTAAAAGGTTATTGCTCTCCCTGCGCTTTTCTTCAAAGACGACAACCTTGCGCTTCGTTATCTCTGGTCATCCTGCGTTTACGCACAGTCTTTTTGCAGTCAAGTTTCCCTCGCCGGCGATGTTGTGAACAGCTTGCTGAACGCAAGGTCTAAGCTCAACAACTGAAGTCGAAGTCGGTTTAGACGACAAGTCTGCAGACAAGATGACGAGTTCTCTGAGGAGGGTCAAGAGTATGTTTTCCCACCACGGCGTTTCAGTGATGGGTGCGGAAGTTAATACATCCTCAGCGGAGGTTACCTCCCCAACTCAGGAATACAACTACAGCGAAGACGCAGCGATCCTTCGAAAGAACACAGACGACGGCCAGTTTCGTGGCCTGCCCGCAACCAGGAAGACGCGATGGAAGATCCTTGGAAAGGTGCTCTCGAGATGGGCGATCACGATGGCAGTCATCGTCTCGATATACGTCGTCGTCTGGGTTTACTCGAGTAAGCCCGTGATGAGCCAGAAAACAAAACGGCAGTACAACGCACTCATCACCGGTCTTTCGATTGCGCTGGGTATTGCCGTAGCCAGCAGTCTCAACCACATGGTGGCGGAGCTGAGATGGTGGATCTTGAGTCGTCGATATAGGTCGAAGAGCAAGGTATGCTGTCCAGACTCTCCCAGCTAAGATGGCAAATGCTGATACGCATCAGGTTGAGCGAATTCTAGCAGCCGACAACCTCAAGCACACGATCATGTTGGCAGTTCGTTCGAAACGCTGGACTATCCACGTGGCCGCAACTGGGTGGCTCATTTTATCGATTGTATGTTGATGCATAAGCTTCGAGGATACCTAATAGCTGACTCTCGAAGGGCTCTCAAGTTGGCCTCGCCGCTGTCGGCCTTTGCTATTCTACGGACACTGCGGACAAGCAAGCTTTGCTAGTCCCTGGCAATGTGACTATTTCCGATATGACCACAATTGGGACTGGCAAGGTCGTCAAGTCGAATTCGAAAGCACTTGGTGCCCAGCAATACACGGCCAACAGGTCGGTATTCTGTTGCTCATTCTTATCCTGATCGCTACCTAACTCACCACGTTCACAGTTACGGCATCATCTCGCAGGCTTACGCCTCGGCAGATATGTCGAAAGTGCCATCAGCAAGAGCCATATATGTTGCGAGCGACCCTCTGATGTTTTGCGACGACGTCTACTGCAAATACGTATTCCACGAAACCTCTACCTCGTCCATCAAAGACGACGACACAAACCCGATGACGGTCGCCACGAACCGCAGTGTCAACTCGACAGCTTCATGCGCATCTTGGCGCGTGACCAGTGGAGGCAATGGCACCACCACAAACATCACAGTGGCTCTCGAGAATGGCGGAACGCAAACTATCGATATCCCCTACCGGGGTGGCACGAATCAGTCCACCTTCATGACGAACTCCGAGTTCGACTGCGGTGAAGGCTGCAGTATTGTTTCTGTCCTCGAGGCCTCGGACACCGCACCGTGGTACTACAGCTGCAACGTAACTGTGGGCCAGGTTGCCAATGCAACTCGCCTAGAGCACGAACTCGGCATGAACCTGACCGACCTCGCCGCTGCAGGTATTGCTCTGCAGGGATACGCCGTATCATCCCTACTCAACGACACTAACTTCCAGTACCAAAGCTATCCGGCGGAATCAGTGTTTGGTACCCCAATGGAAGGAAACAATGGCGTGATGCAGGTTCTGCTTGCACGTTTTGCAATTGGAGTCGTGGCTATCGCGGCTGAGAACAACGCCGACATTATCTTGGAAGGAACCATGCCCCTGAAAGGAACGAAGCTAAATGTTTCTCACTGGAACATGATCCATTTGATTCTCGTTCTTACGGCTTCACTGCAGCTCACTTTGGGTATTGCAGCTGCAGTCATAGCCAACAGGGTCGTGGTGCCTGGCGAAGGCGCCGTCGAAGTCGCGCAGGTCATGCGGGCGATGGCGATTCGGGAACGGATGGCGAATGGAGACGCGGGCGAGAAGGGCTCATCCGGTACGAAGAGCAACTCGCTGTGGATTTATCGGGACACACTGGTGTCGAAGGACGACGGGATTTATGATTTGCATATGGAGGAGCAGCGATTCCAGCCGAGAGATGCGTCGGGGATGATTGAGATGAACCAGCAACTTCCAATCAGTCGACAGACAACGGCAACCAAATGAGTCAGAAGGGGGTAACAGTACCACGTTGTAGAATGTAGCGATTATCAAATACTAATGATTTGTCTTCTCCAAACTTCACCTCCGGCATGCGGCCAACATCGGCATAAGCCGGCGCCGAGTGGGTCCCGAAGGCTTCCGATTCCGGAGGGGAAAGTCCTGGAGTAGTCCGGGTCCCTGTCATTCTGTTGGGAAATAGTTACATATGCCGCCAACTTCTGTGGGTTCCGCGAGAATTTTCGGCTTCGGCTTCTGGTCTTATGATCTGACAACTGGATAGGCAATATCGTTCTGTAATGTGACGCGCCTTAACGTTCCGCCCTAAGATGCGGGCCACTTTTGAACGTTTCGTCTGGGCGGGCACGATCGTCCATAAGTGACGCAGTATGAGTGATATTTTCTCCCAGATCACTCGGTATCATCCCGGTTTGGCCGGATGCAAGCCAATGAGAGGTCAAGAGACACCTTACTCATCGTTAAAGGAGCTTTCCGTCAATGACGAACGTCTTCGGTCGGTAAACCGGATCCCAGGCCGAAATGCATGATTAGCTTCGAGCAAGTGAGGGGGAAAGGCGCAGCAATAAGCGAGCCTGCGCGGGATATTTAAACCACGCGATTTCCGGCTCACAAATGTAGATCTAGAGGCACTCAACGCTTAACCACTGAACTTTAGAATTACCACTTCATCACCACCCACGGAAACACAGCCCGGTACGACGTTCGCGTCAAAGAGCCATGCCATCTATCGCAATGGAAACATCTACAGATCGAGGTAAAGTAGGAGAAGAACGCATCCGGGTGTTCGGCTCATCTGTCGTGTCTTGATCCGCGTCGGCGTCCCTCGATATCTTGCTCGATCGAGAGGACCGCCGGCCAGGATGCGCATGGCAGGGAGTTGATCTGAGAAATACCGGCGAACTTGATCTGGATAATACCAGCGAAAGGACATGCTTCTTTGGCTTCCCTGCCGTCCCGCACTTGTGATGAACTCTGGTGTACTAACCCCTCCAGCATCACGCTTGATCTATCAAAATGTCGACTGATAAGATCACCTTCCTCACCAACTGGTAGGAAAGCCCGCGTGATTGCTGGGAATGTAAGTTGACAATCGGTCAGGCACGCCACCCCGTACCACGCCCCCCTGTACCTGGCTCAAGCCAAGGGATACTTCAAGGAAGAGCGCATCAAGGTTGCGCTTCTCGAGCCCAACGACCCCAGCGTATGTTGTGAGCTACTGCGGCTTGGAGACGAACCTCAATTGACAACCATCAGGATGTCACCGAAATCATTGGCTCCGGCAAAGTCGACCTCGGCTTCAAGGCGATGATTCACACCCTTGCCGTGAGTGATGACCTCAACTCTACAACAAGACGTCGCCCTAACACAGTCACAGGCCAAGGCTCGCCACTTTCCCGTCCTCTCAATCGGCAGTCTTCTTGATGAGCCGTTCACCGGCGTCATCTACCTGAAGGACTCCGGAATCACCACCGACTTCCGCACCCTGAAGGGCAAGCGCATCGGCTATGTCGGCGAGTTTGGCAAGATCCAGATCGACGAGCTGACCTCGCACTACGGCATGAGCCCCGACGACTACACCGCGGTTCGCTGCGGCATGAACGTCTCCAAGGCCATCATCGAGGGCACCATCGATGCCGGCATCGGTCTGGAGAACGTCCAGATGGTTGAGCTCGAGGAGTGGCTCGCCTCTCAGGGCCGTCCCAAGACCGACGTCCAGATGCTCCGCATCGACGAGCTTGCCGAGCTGGGATGCTGCTGCTTCTGCACCATCCTCTACATCGGCAACGAGACCTTCATTTCCGAGAATCCGGAGAAGGTCCGCAAGTTCATGAAGGCGGTCAAGCGCGCCACCGATTTCGTGCTCGAAAAGCCCGAGGAGGCTTGGAAGGAGTACGTCGACTTCAAGCCCGTCATGGGCTCGGAGCTCAACCGCAAGATCTTCGAGCGCAGCTACGCCTACGTCTCGCACGACTTGAAGAATGTCCAGCGTGACTGGAACAAGGTCACCAAGTACGGCAAGAGACTTGGCGTTCTGGATGAGAGCTTCCAGCCGAACTACACCAACGAGTTCCTGGGATGGGCTTTTGATGCTGACTCTGAGGACCCCACTGGGGATCAGAAGAGAATGGTTGAGCTCCAGAGTGATGTCGCCTGCCGGGGCGGATTCAGACGCCTCCAGCTCCAGGGCTCTGCGATCAAGGCTTAAGGGACTGTCACATGGATTATGGGCTTCTTGGAAGTATAGAGTACCAGGACGTCAGAGACTCCGCTGGATTTGTCCCGTCGAAACCATTTCTCAGGATCGCTCTGTCGCTTGCGAGAAAGCTAGATCATCACGTTCTTTAGACACCTTAAATATGCAAATGGTTCCTGAGGATTGCCTGTATGTGTTCGTGAAATTGAGTGAAGGGTCGTTATCGTCATTGCCAGATGTTTAGTTGACGGCCACTTCGATCTCAAGCTAATGTAATCAAGGTAAGGGTCACTTGAGATAGCATGTCTCTTGCATAACGCGGAGATGCCAGAGTTATTTCTGAGCCACGCAATTTCTCGCATGCGTAACTCTTCAAAAAAGAAATAGCAATCAGACGATATCCGTGTATGACAAGACTTCCCTTCAATTCAATGTCTACAAGTTGACCGTGATGACATGCCACTGGCAGGTGCCTGATGAGCTGCCAGCTGGTGACGCGTTGATGCCAACTCTGGAGTTTTCCATTTACAGTATTGACCGCGGAAAACCAGCAATTTGCGTGATTGCAGTCGCTTGTCATGTAATCTGATAACTGGATTGCTGAATTGATATTACCAATGCACTCGGGCGCCGCGGAGAGTCGTCCATCGTTGGCGTTTTCAGTGTTTACCACGGCCAACTCTGCTCTCGGCCCCGCACTGCCCCGCTTTCCGCGGTAAACTCGATCGAACTCAGTGGTATTATCACAAGATAAATAACCCAGGAGGGCGAGTCTGAAAGCCTTTGCTGTTGTATCAGGCACTCTTCTTGTTTTGTCACTAAGCTTTCGAAGTCGCTCCGAAAACATTACCTTCACCATGGCCTCCGAGAGCACTACGGCCTTCTGGGCCAAGACGGACAAGTACTTGATGTCCACTGGCGTCCCCTATTCGCCCATCGTTATCACCAAAGCCAAGGGAACCAAATTGTATGATGCCGACGGCCGTCAGATCTTGGACTTCACGTCCGGCCAGATGAGCTCCCTCCTGGGCCACTCGCATCCCGAGATCGTGGAAGTCGTTCAAAAATATGTGGCGGAGCTTGATCATTTGTTGAGCAACATGATCACCCAGCCCGTAGTAGACCTCGCCGAGAGGTTAGGCAAGCTGCTTCCCGCTCCGCTTGAGAAGGTACGCCGATGATTCATCCCATTCATGTTCACAGTAACTCACTCCGATTTAGTCCTTTTTCCTGAACACCGGCTCCGAGACAACGGAAGCCGCGATCAAGATGGCCAAGCTCCACACCGGCAAGTTCGAGATCGTCGCCATGTCCGCGAGTTACCACGGTCTCACCTCGGGTTCCGGCTCCGCCACCTACTCCGCCGGTCGCAAGAACGGCGGGCCCGCCATGCCCGGCCAGCTCGCATTCCCCGCGCCCTACGCCTACCGCTCCATCTTCCGCAAGCCCGATGGCTCCTACGACTGGGAGACGGAGATGGATTTCGGCTGGTCCATGATCGACAGACAGAGCGTCGGATCTCTGGCGGCCTTCATCATGGAGCCTATCCTCTCCACCGGAGGTATCCTCGATCTCCCCAAGGGTTACCTGAAGCGTCTGAGCGAGGAGTGCAAGAAGCGCGGCATGCTTTTCATCCTCGACGAGGCCCAGACCGGTGTTGGCCGAACTGGCCAGATGTTTGCTTTCGAGCATGATAACGCTGTTCCCGATATCCTTTGCTTGTCAAAGACGCTTGGTTGCGGTCTGCCCCTGGCCTCCGTGAGCACCACCGCCGCGGTCGCCGAAGGGTGCAAGAAGGCTGGTTTCCTCTGGCTCACGACGCATCTCAACGATCCTCTCACGGCAGCAGTTGGCAACAAGGTTCTCGAGATCGTCGAGCGCGACAACATTTGCCAGAAGGCTACCGAGCGCGGCGAGCAGCTGCGCGCTGGTCTCCTGAAGCTTCAGGAGAAGTACTGGTGCATCGGCGACGTCCGTGGACGCGGTCTTCTTCAAGGCATTGAGATCATTTCCGACGCGAAGACGAAGGCCCCCGGCTCTGATCTGGGCCAGGCTGTCTCTGACAGGGCGATGACTCTGGGTCTGTCGTGCAACGTCGTCAACTTGCCCGGCATGGGCGGTGTTTTCCGTCTGGCACCTCCAGTTACCGTCCAGGCCGATGAAATTGAGGAGGGACTGAGGATATTGGATGAGGCGTTCGGTTATGTGTTGAGCCAGCGCGAGAAGGCCGTCGCTGCTGCGTAGACGACGGAAGAGAATGGGGAAGCAAGGTATACAGCAGGGCAGGGTAGGGGAAAAATGCATCAATCACGGGCGTTTGACTAGACATTGAAATAGAGAGAAACATAATTCATCCATAATCCTTTGGGCATTTCAAGAGTTGATCATTGTAGAGGCTGGTGAGGTAGGGGAGCCGAGTTTGGTAGGTAGGCACGATCGGTGTGGTACGTAGCCGACCGCACCTTCCGAGGGAAATCTGAGGTCTGAGAACTCACCCAACGTCACACTAAACACCACAGCATGAGATGAGAGCAATTGAGCCAAATCAAGAACCCAGAGGCCTCCCATCATTTTGTACGTAATTCATCTCTGTGTACGTGTGGTCCCATTGGCATTCGGGATGTCAAGTGGGACCACTAAGGCGTAGGGCACTGCAACCCTAGCCGTGAGATCATCTACCTCATTGTCGCCCCCATCGTCAACAACCACCAGCGGCGGACATAGCTCAGTTGGGAGAGCGTCAGACTGAAGTCAAACTTCATTCCATCAATCTGAAGGTCGTGTGTTCAATCCACACTGGCCGCATGGTCTATCCTTTTGCCTTTTTGGACAACTCTCGCGTGTCTGTTGTTGCTCACCGAGCCCGCCGTCGAGGGTTCATCCTTCCGCCTCACCCAGGCGGCTCGGTTTTCTGTATCCTATCCATTCTTTTTGACCTAGAAAGGCATGATGAGTGATCTATATGTGATCGGGTTGAAGAAATGTGATAGGCATGCCGCCTTGTTGACTGAAAACATGCATGGAATCTCATCAGCTGACTGACCCTGCGATTGATAATCAAGATGCGGGCGGCCTCAGAGATGAGCGAACAGGAAGTTGCATAAGGTAATTAATCCAAGTTGCAATTAATATCATTCAATGTTTTCGTTTGTCTATAGGCATGTTCGCCCTCGTCTTCTCCCTAGTAGGATTTCTCACTCACTCTCGTCTCTCAGGTGAGTCCCCACTCATGCCTTCCCACCACTACCACAAATATCAATCCACCTCTCAGTCTCCTTTTGTAAAATGGTCAACCCGTCCTCTACCAGCTGAGTAAACGGCTTGTTCACATTCTCCTTGAGATGAACATTCCATGGCTCGAGAAGTAGCTTGTTGACGTTCAGCTTGATGGCGCCGTTCTCAATGCACCTCTTCATGATCTCCGGAGAAAAGTCATTCGTTCCGTGAAGTGCCATCAGAACCCGGTTGTCGATCTGCTTGTTGACGTTGGCCAGTCTCTCATAGTCAAGTTGCGGGCCCTTGGGGCCGTAATCTCCGTGGATGTTGCCGATACTCGGGGCCAGCAGGTCGATCTCGGCATTGATGAAGTCCTCAACCTCCTCTGGGCTCGTAAAAAGTGCTGCATCTGTTAGCCAACTCAGCCGAATCCTCAGGTTCCATAGACTCACCTTCCAAGTCTCCGGTGTCTGCTATCCCGTCCTCTCCACCATTGATCCGCCCGCTTTCCGCTTCCACAGCAATCCCGTGGTCGTGGCAGACTCTGGTGAGAACCTTGGTCTTCGCCAGGTTCTCCTCGTGGTCGTAATGGCTCATATCAACCATGATAGAGTCAAATGGCAAAGTGGCTGCGATCTCCCTGATTTGGTCTTCATTTTGGGCGTGGTCGAGGTGCAATGCGATCGGGACGGACGAAGTCTTGATGGCTGCTGCGACGGCCCATGCTAGCGTGGGGAGCTGCGTCACAGCGGAGGGGAACAGCAGGATCAGAATCGGCGACTTCTTGGCCTCAGCTGCTCTTACCACAGCCGTAAGATGCTCAATGTTATATCTGCTCATAATCAGAACTATGTCCGTGATGTTTCTTTCCGATTGGGATTGGCTTACATGACCACGCCGAGGACACCATACTTGCCCTTGGTGGCAGCATCGAGGATGCGCAGGGTGCGGTTTTCCGACTTTTTCTCCGACCAAGAAGACATTATGAAAGCGAATCGTGGGGAGTTAATCAATGAGACTTAGTAGAGTTGCAATGAGCCTGAAGCTGTAGGAGCAGGGGATATGAGCCTCTTATCGTCAGGCTTTTTGTCATCGACAAGCTTGTGGAACGAGCTGCCCCGCGTCACCAAGGACCCCGCGTCCGGCTTTCAAGCCGACACTTGGATCCCGCCATAGTGGGGCTGCATAGCTGAGCACCTCGCATCGAGGCGGCACACCCACGGCCTCGAGACGGAGGAACAGGAGTCTTAATTTGCCTGCTCTCATCAGTGCATCGTAAAAAAATAGTACATAAGACAGTCATGTTAAGTACAAGTACTCTTCGACAACTTTGCCAGAGCTCGATGTTCAAACCTCACTAATTGTACACGCTTCCGTTGTGTCGCTTCAACTCTCTAGCATCGGTCGTTCTCGGCATTCTCGCCGATTAGCACAAAGATTCGGATACCAAGCCGATGTCACCAAATCATTCACAGTGTTTCGGTTCAACTTCATGTCATAATTGCCACAGGGACAAGGCTTATGTCGTAGTACAAATCTCATTCAAATACCCGCTATGTTGCTAAAACATGTACTGAAGCGAGACGCTTTCAGTGTTCCTCTCGATGGAACATGAAGAATGTAAAATCATGAAGGAAAGAAATTCAAATCTCATTTGGGAGAAATGAGGTTCGGCACAACAACTTCTTCCGCTGCAGTGTATATGGACCGCAGGCTGTTTATCACCCAAGCAGCATGATCCGGTTGAACCGCCGCATGGGAAAATCTGTACATCATCGCATCAGCGATGTTGATGATCCAATCCTTGGACTCCCTGGCCGCGAAATCGTAGTACGTGTAGTCGACCTGGCGCCAAACATCTTGCCATGACGATCTCGCACCTGGCAAGTACGTCTGGAAGTTTCCGACCTCGGCGTAGTTCGCAAGTCTGACTCCGTTGATCAGCGCCGTGATATCGGCTCTGTTTATATACTTCCAGACAACGATGGTCTGGGATGGTTTCAAGAACAGTTGTCAGCACACTGTTGTTTCTGAACGAGGGATTTTGGGAAAGGGTGAGCGGGAACATCGCCGAACTTACATTCCGCATTGTGGTGATGAGCTCCTTCGCTATCTTGGGATCCTGAAGTGCCTTTTCTGCCAGTTTGTAGGCGTTTTTATAGAGGATGGGAGCCGAAAACATTCCGTCTCTCAGTCCAGCCAAGTTTCCGCCAGAGCCAAAAATACGGCCTTTCAAACCATTCAGAGTGGAAAAGAGAAGCACAAGCGGTTTTGGGTTCAGCACCGAGCCCATAGTATCTCCGAAGCGCTTCTCTGCTGTGAGCCAAATCTTATTGCTCATGCCTATGGTGCCAAGGCTGGCCGGCAAGGCGTAGGAGTTCCAGTTGTCAAGGATCAGTTTGTTGGAATCGAGATCGACCAAGTAGTCCTTGACCGCTGTCCCATCGGGAAGGATAGCTTCGAGCCACCCTCTCAGCATGGCCCGAGCATACTGCAGCTGTTTAGGAGGTTAGTCGCGCTGCTTCTTGATACTCTGTTGCGGCTTATTCCATCGGAAGGCAAATGACTTACGTCAACGACATGATCCGATTGGACCGTGTCAATAATGGCCTTTGGCGCTCGTAGAGCCAAATCCGTTGCGTAACACACTGCTGGCTTTGCGATAACCACCGCCTTTGGAAATTGCAGCTTTCCTGGTCTTGTCAACAACTTGGTACTCTCAAGAATACCTCGTGCTCTGTGTGTTAAAACCCCTCTGGTCACTTCTTTACCAGCTCGATACCAGATGTTGACTTTGTACTCACGACTGCGCTTTTCAACGTGGTGATATTCATCCTCGCCCGGTGTCGAGACCCAGTCGAGAAAGTCTTCTTTGTCACAGTAGCCATCCTCGTCCTCGCCGGGTATCGAGCGCAGGCTGAGTAGGTCTGCTGTGGCATCGTCGTCATCATCTTCGCCGTCATCCCCCTCGCTCTCACATAACCATGGTTCAACGCTGCAGAGATCAACGTCGGAACAGTCGGCGTCGGCGAGCGATGTTGGAGAGCAGCACAACGACTTCTTCCTCCACCCTACAGATGAAAGCTGGTTAGCGATTTCCAAAAACGTGAGAGAGTATGAAGGGCGTTGTAGGGTTGTAGGCAACTCACAACTGCATGATACCCAGCTGTCTCCCTGAGGATTCGTCGCAAGTGTGACCTCATTTCCAGCGCAGGTGTTGTCGGCACAGTCACCTTTGCCAACCCAGTGGCATTCGTTGAAGGGCTTGAAGTCCGTCTTGCAGCAATAGTGGTTACCGTACGACCACGGCCGGCACTTGCCTTCAAGGTCTGCGGCGTAAGCAACATCCTGCTCGCCCGACTTGCATTCTTCGCCGCTGAAGTTCCGAAGTTGTCAGTTCTGCACGCCATAAAATCTTTCTCATACGAGGAGCAAACTCACCAGCCGCTCCAATAGCAATTCTTAGTCAACGGGCTCCAGTCCGGCGACTCGCAGCAGAACACCTTCCAGCCGCGGTTGCACGAACTATCGTCTTCCGTTTCGAAACCCCCTCCCGGCTTCGAATGCTCGTCGGGGAACAGGTTGATCTCGCCTGCGTGGCACTGGCCGTTGCAGTCCGCACCACCGCCGCGCCATTGGCACTTGTACTCGATGTTCGAGGATTTGCAGCAGATGGCACGCGCTTTGCCGCCGTCGCACTTGGCTTCGTCCCAGCCGACTGGGTTCTCGTCTGTCTTGCACCATCCGTTGCTGTTCTGGCCAATGTCCACGCAGGAGTCGGCAATTCGACATAGCTTAGTAAAGTCACCTTCAAACTGGGGTAACCTCTTGAGACTTTCGGTGGAGGCTGCGCTTTCAGTGTCGTTTACTATCGCTGCGTTGCTTGGAACCTTGCGACCCAGCAGCCCAGAATGTGCGGTGTACTCGTAGTCATCTACGTTTTCTGTGAGCACAACTCATGTTGCTTCAATGGCGCGTATAACTCACCCAGGTCGGATGCCCAAATGAGGGATCCTGAGAAGCCCACTTCATTGGCCCAAGTGACTTTCTGCTTGTAGGTGTCGGTGTCGTCGTAGGAAATCCACTGGTTCGAATCCCATGAGAAATACTTCACCGCCGCCTCCTTGTCCCATACAGGTTTGATTCCAGGGTTCTTATCGAGGATGTCCTTGATCTCGTAGTGACTGAGGTAACCGCTGGTAGCAGTACAAGAACCCTTGTTGGCTCCCCCGGAAAAGGGGCATCCTGGTTGGGTGCATGCCGGGTCTTGGAGTGTGAAAGCTCTCCCGTAGAAGCCGAATCCCAAAGCAACCTGGTCTGGTGCAATGTCATTCCTCCAAAGCAGCTCTGCAGCTCTCTTGATCTCGGTCAAGTTGGTATGGCCCTGTACGATACTGCCGCTGTTGATTGGTCAGCAGAGCGTTCGAATCTTATTCGTCTCTTTGGTTACTTACATTGGATTATTGCTATCCCAGACACCATGGAGGTCGTAGGACATCTATGGGGATAAGGTTAGATCATAGGTATAGACAGAAGTGATGGGCCGGGGCCCGGCTCTGAACTCACCAGATTGGTCCAGTCGGCGTATTTCAACAGGCCAGGCACATCGAACCACTTGAGGTACCAATATGAAGAAGGGATGGTGAATGTTAGGCCGACATGACGGCCACTTGCGTCAAACGTCTCTCGAAGTGTCTTGAAGAGTGAAACAAAGTTCTTGGTGTCGTCTTCTTTGCCGCCGCGATCTGGCGCTCCTGGGTACTCCCTGCAAAGCAATCAATATCATTCGATGAATACGATGATAATAGAAGAAGGAAGAAGGATATGTAGATAGAAGATTTTGCGTAGGCGATTGGGAGCAGCCAGTCTTACCAGTCAATATCAACACCATCGAACCCATATTGCTCCAGGAAAGTTACCACGTTGTTGGCGAATTGCTTTCGCTTCTCGGATGACCTGGAAATCTCTCCCAATAGGGGCTGAGTGACGGTGTTGTTGTCCGAGAACGTCCAACCGCCAACACTAAGCCAGACCTCGATCTTGGGGTTGAGGTCCTTGACAGCCGTGACGGTCTTGAACAGGTCGGCCGGTGTGGCAGAGTCCATGGTCGTGATCTTGTAGGTCTTCGGCTCGACGAAAGCAAAAGCAAAGTTGATGTGCGTTAGAGCTCCTACTGAGGCATTGCGATGACATGTCAGGGGGATTCGTTACAAAGTTTAGTGACCATACATACAGGGAAGCTCATGTGGTAAGACTGCATGGCAGGTTGAACGCGCACTCCATGCCTCGTAGTATCCGATAACTGTGCTCAAAATCAACGTTAAATCATTACCCATCAGTCTCATGTATGGAATCATCCATTCTCAAAGAATGCTTACCTCTGTTCAACACTTTTGACTTCTTTCCAGATGGCTTGGGGTGTAAGACACAGTTGCTCTGGCATTCATCATCGCAGTATTCGTCTGTGGTGCCGCAAAAGCCGTGCTTGCTACAACTAGGTACAGGCAAGCAAGTTAGCCTTCACCGCATTGAAGCCGACTGTTGAAATGGAACTTGCCAAACATTGAGGGGGCACTTCTCGTCAGGTGGGTCAGAGTACTGGCCACATTCCGCATGTGCGTCACAGTTGGATGTGCAACCATCACCGCAATACGTGGGACCTGGTCAAAAGATCGTCAGCTTTATTATTTTTTGAACCGTCAAAGATAATGGAGGGGAAAATAGATCTCACCGTAACCGCAGTTGCCCGATGCACCGCAGCAAGCATGGTTCTTGCACGGTCTACCCACGGCGCAGGTATAGTCATCAGCTCGAGAGAACAAAAGTGAAGCATTGGATGGGGCAGCTGATTGTTGACCAAAGCCTTCACTCAGCTCCGTTGACAGATAACGGGCCTCGTGGGCACTGTTTGCTTGGGCATCTTTTCCGAGCTTGAAACCTTGCAGATGGGAACGAACCCCAATGAAGTGAACGAGGACGACCAGCAGTACCACAAGTAGAACACTCTGGTATGCAATGTTCCTCTTGAGAAGCTGCATCATGGCGGTAGCTAGTAACAGCACAAATGTGAATGGTAAAATAGAGATGAGTGAGATTTCGACAGATTGAACGATGGGAATATCTGGATATTTGGACTTCAGGACGTTCGTAGCCTTTGCTCCGGGTGAAATAACTCGACCAAGCTCTATTCCGATGCCCGCAACCTCATAACTCGGACTCGCTCTCGGAGCAACATGGCAAGTACCTCCAGCGACTGACGTTGCCTGGCGACTCTATTTCCGCCGCCCCTTTTCACCGACGACGATCATCCATGACAGGGTTTAGAAATTGCCTTTGAAATCCATCACAGTTAACAACTAGATGCTTTCTATCCTCGTGATAGTTCTTTTGTTGAATGCCAAGGAGTCCGGACCGTTTTACGCGCTCATATGCCAGGGGTATTTCGTCTGAATGGCCATAGAAAGGCCGACGAAGGTGCCTATCTGCCAAGAATCTCGCGAAATCCCGCTCACGGGAACTAGGAAGCATCCGGCGATGGTAACCTATGCGGTTCATCAGAAGGATTTCCGCCCTTACATATGCATCGGTCAACGAAGTAAGCGTGGCATTAAGCTTACTTGCAGTGGCATATGACTTGAGTTGAGATATCAATTGGTGGATTGTGACATTTCAGAAGCAGGTACCGAGCACTTAGTGCTTATTTACACTATGTGTGCGCGGAAGTGGCGTCGGTGATGATCGTGATGGTTATCTTCAAATGCAATGGGACATGTTGTACGGAGGCGCGTGGCCCATGATGCAGCTGACAGGCACAATTGTCTCATTTCGTCACGACGCGATGTTGCATCTATGCTGACATCCAGCCTAAGAACAGCCCACCAGGATGCATGTTCGCACTTGCAGATCTATTTGAGCCATCAAGTCGGAGAATTAGATGACAAGCTTTGGAATGAGCCACTAGACTGGATATCACCCTTCCTATCACCAAAATGGATAGCTTATCCGAGTAGACGAATCCGCAGACGGCTTGGCGTCTGATGCGCTAAAACGTCGTGCTTTTCCTTGAGGAAAGTTTCTCCATGGAGCCTAGTTCGCCGAACAGTGGTTGATATTCACTTCGGACTCGAGGTAATCTACTGCAGTTCAATACGACGCATCAAATTTCGAAATGTGGCAGGTGCAAATGTCACCAGACGAAAAAGGGACCTGGATTCGACTTACGTCTGACTGTGTCTTCACCGGTTGAAGGCCCATGTAACATGGGTTTAATTACACATTCTGCAGGAAATTCGGCTCAGCTCGGAGGGGCAGGCAGATGATGAATGGCAAGCTCAATAGCAAAACCTCTAAGCAATAAGGCGAACATAAGTATCACCATAAGACAAACAAGTAGGCTCTTTGGTGTCTCTGAAATGAACTGAACTCCATGACTGCAAAATGGCGTCTCTTCTCCGAATCCTGTGTCTCGGCACGTTCTTCAACCTGGTCGTTTTGTGTCCTTTCTCTTCCGCTCAGCAACTTTCTCAATTCGTCTGGCCTTACGATACTCTCGGTCTTAGCGGTGCGTGCTTCACGGCTCTCAACAGGACCGTAGCATCATGCAGCTCTCTACTAGGCAACCAGATTAAGGGGTAAGTGAAAAGGAAAACAGCCCAAAACCATGATGATGACAGAAAGGCTGATACTTTGCGTCTTCTTTAGTGGTTCTGTTGGCTTGTTAGATGAGCGCTCTCTTACGGCTCTATGCACCACTACTTGTGAGAGTGACCTCAAGAGCCGACAAGGCGCGATCAAGGCTGCCTGCAAAAGCAGTCAGGACGTCATGATTCCTGAAGACAATAGGATTGCGTACCCTGGTAAGCATTGAAACACTTTCTCGAACTCAGCCATGGGACTTACTACGTGCAACAGCAACCTACCTGGTAGACAAGATGCTATACGCTTATAGTCTTTCCTGTTACAAAGACAAGTAAGCAACCATCCAATGCTGCGCTCTGGATACTTGGAGGAACTCTAGCTGACACTTTCCTTCCCTCCAGGGCATCCGGGCAGTATTGCGATTTGCTCATGGCCAAGTTCACCAATGACACACTACCCCAAGATGAGTGCTCAGACTGCAACCTAGCAAACATGCAGAAGCAGCTGTCTTCACCTTTCGGTTACAACAGTCGTGCGGCCTCAGAATTCTCCTCCGTTACCGCCAGCTGCGGTGCTGCTGGATATGCATATGTCTCTCCCACCAAATACGCCCTGAACAGCACAAGTGCCGGCATTCCTTCAGCCACAGTAACGGATGCGCCGGTGCCGACTTGTGCCGGTACAGTTACGGTCCAAGCCGGAGACACGTGCGATAGCATAGTCGAGACCAACAAAATTCCTACTCATCAGTTCTTTTCGTTGAACAACATCATCGGAGACTGTCTCAATCTCCCATCTGCTGGGTCGAGATTATGTCTGCCTAGGAGCTGCCAAATACACGTCGTCAAAACATCTGATTCATGTCAGTCCATCGCAAAGAAGTACGGGCTCAGCCAAGCGCAACTGCTCGCCTGGAACCCGATGTTCGATGCCAAGTGCTTCAACATCGGCGATTCGGTTAGCAGACAGATCTGCGTCAGGTATGTGTTGTCTCACGAGCGCTGATTATGAATTCAATGAGCTAGGTATCTCATTCTGTGTCGTCTGGCTAACGCCGTGAAGCTCACCAGGCGGTTCTATCGATGTTCCTGGCGGCGAGGTGACTACAACTGCAGCGCCCGTGCCTACCAATTACCCTGAAGGAAGTAACAAGAATTGCGCCCAATGGTATACAGTGAGTTCAAATCTGACTTGAAATATGGCCCATAGTTTCTAATATTGTTCTCTCCAGACGGTCGAGGATCAGTATTGCAACGACATTTCTGTCGCCTTCGGCATCTCTCTTGCGGACTTTTACTTCTTGAACCCTCAGATCGACAAGTCTTGTAGTAATTTGTGGCTTGGTTATGCCTACTGCGTCAAGGCGGTCGGGTTCATCACGACATACCCGGGATACACTACATCACAGCCGGCGACAAGCTTCACGCGCCCGCCAACGACAACTTCCACCAAAGTGCCCCAGACTCAACCACCAGCACCACTTGCCTCGGGCTCCAAAAGTGATTGTAAATCATACTTGGAAGGGCTCGACAACGCAGACCTGACAGACTCGCTCAACAAAAACGGACTGGATATGGACAGGTACCCGGATTTTGATTTCATGATGACGAACAACTGTTCCCAAATAGCCCGGCAATACGGAGTTAATGTGACCGATATCCTATCATGGAACCCGAGTCTATCAAGTCAGGCGTGTCAGCTTCAGGCCGGCCTTCGGTACTGTGTTGGGACTGAGGATGTAGACTCGGGCAGCCGAGGTAAGAGCATGTCGGCGAAGCACAATGCACATGATTTTGAAGGACTTACACTGAAAAACCATGGATAGATGACTACCTGAGATCCGAGTACTGCGCAGAGATGGTCGAGAGTGATCTTATCATGTCCGGAACTGCGCCTGACTGCAGTTGCTACACCGTCATCTCTGGCGGAGATGCAGGCGGTAAGCCCGTCCTCCGACAGATAACCCCTTATTTCATTATGGTTACTCACTGAAATCTTCACAGAATTGGACTGCGGCAGCATAGGATATCCCATAGCAAATGTGGCCGAAATTCTGGCGCTAAACCCTTGGATCAGTGGCGGCGACTGCGACGTTGGAGTGTTCGCCGGTCTCAATACTGATGAATCCGACCGCGCTGTATGCCTGCGAGGCGGCGGCGTGGCCACGACATCCCGTGTGTCTGGTATCACGACCTCCGTCTCGGCAACTACCAAGCCGCCGACTGTCACGACTACCAAACCAGCAACCACCACCACATCCTCAGCCGCAGCGCCTTCTCCAACTCAGCCCGGTACGATTACCTCCTGCAAGAAGTTCCACAATGTCGTCAGTGGTGACGGTTGCTGGTCCATTTCCAACCAATACGGGATCTCGCTGGAGAACTTTTACGCCTGGAACAGCGGCGTTGGAGCAGACTGCTCGGTCGGCGTGTGGTTGGGCTACTCTGTGTGTGTGGGCGTCTGATGTTATTGTGATATTTGTTCGATTCACCTGTCGATAGTTTATCTAAATCAGGTACTCTGCCCGTTGAGTGCCTGTTAAATAGTTTTCTAGTGTTATAACATGGCTCTTGTGAGAGGTCTGAAGCTGGTGTCATTTTCGACTTCATTCGCATCTTGCATCATGCATGAGTAATGAATTTCAGACATGTGTGTGACACATCTTGCGTTGGTATTACTTGATACATATACTCGCGAGTTTGCCTTCGGAAAACGCCTTCCTATCGCCGCGTCTTACGTAGTCATTCTCACGTTATGTTCCCCAGCCTGCCCACACGCCTGGGGGTCTCTTGTAGGCGTATTGCCAGTCGGGCATGATCCCCGTGGAACCCATGAAGTTGTACATCTCAACGACGTAGTAGCATGAAAGATTCATCCAGAAGCGATCTTCGTCTTCCTCGTCTTCGTCCTCGTCGTTGTCCTCCTCATCCTCATCATTCCCTCTATTTGGGCGCGCAATGAGCGACACATACACCGTGTTCGGCCTCAAACCTTTCACCTCTTCATTCTCATACCTCTCAAAAGACTTCAAACACTGTTCGTCGACGTAAAGGCAGTGGCTGTAACGGGGAATCACGAACCGAGCAGCCCAGAATGCGCCGTCGCCGTCGCGCTCATCCGAAGCAGACTCACACCATTCGTGGAAGATCATCCTCACTTCATCCTTGGTGCGTTTGCTCAATCGAGTTCGATCCTCCATGACGGTCCATTCGAGGTCGTTTATCTCCCTCAACCACGCGGGCAGGTCTTCGACAAAGGTCTGCTCGACAGCAGTCTTGAGATGATGCATGTATCTATGCCATAGTTCGTCTAGTTTGCCGCCGTAGGCTGTCCGATAAATGACGAAGCCGAATTTGCGGTGGATTGGAAGAAGACCGGAGTCGGTTTCTTGTACGGAAGAGCGCGGTACCCAGTCGTGGCCATTGCACTGGACCATGGCCTCGCCTGGTTGAGTCGGAGGTCTCATTTTTTTGAGAGTCGATTGATGCCGAGATGCTCTGCAGCGCGCTGATAGAGCATGAGAAGAGGCTTGCGGGGTACGCAGTGACAACGAGCCGAATTGATGAAGGAGGCTTCGCCGCTGGAATCGACGGGCCATTGAGTTCATGTCGAAGTAAAATGCACGGGGCTGTGGAGTTTGCGCGATGACATTGTGGTGAGACAATATTAAGAAATGGATAATACTTGTTCTTGAGTGAACGCCGATTAAATTTCACTGTTTTAATGATGAGAGATGTAACTCTAAGGTAAGCTGGGCGGTTGGGAACACATAGTAGGCAGGTAAGGGGGATGACTCTCATCTGCATATGAGATATTGCATTAAAGCCAAAAGCATTTATACATTTATTGAACCACACTTCGACCACGAGAGTCGCCCTTGATTTTCTTTGCGTGCTGCGGAACGACGGCAAATAGTTTTCCTGGCGGTTTGCAGGAGGATCTACGACGCTAAGTTTTGTTGGTCAGCTTTGGCCCGTCACCTGGTCAATAAAAGCCACCCAATGCAACGGCGGCCTCGACTAAGACGGCTGGCTGCCCGTCAGCCTCAATCAGCAGCGGGTGAGGCGTTTACATTGTCTGGCCACATTTGACGTGCAAATGCGATGACAATCTGACCGACGAGGTATTCGGTAAGATATTCATTGAGTGTCTCTCCAGCCGCTCCGTATGAAGAGGCTACAGGTCTCAAATAGCACCCAATCAAGTAAGTGATGATCGACACTGTTTGCCGAGACGCATCCGCCTTGCGCAGGACTCAAGACAGCCTGGAGGCCACTTAATACTGGAGGTTGGTCGCCGCGGTTCGCTGATGTGCATAAGCATGCAGGCGAACACACTGGTGCCTGCACCACCAATGACCAAAAAATAGCCGGGGTGTCTGTCAGACCCGGCGTTTTCACACCAGGGTGTCGCAGAAAAAGGGTTTGCAAGAACGGCTTCATTTGAACCATGTTCCCTTCATCACATCATTGCGGAAGCCTCAAGCCGTAACACGCCATGGCACAGTTCAGCGACTGGACTCACGAAACGGAGGTGGCGGTCCTTGACGAAGTCGCAGCCGCTCAAGACGATAGTCCGGATCGCGTCCGACCGCGAGAGTCATCATTTAACCACCCGTCGGAGGAAACGAATGTCGACGGCCATGAGGCACCGAGGCCAGAAAGTGGTTCGTCGCATTGGGACCCGCGACCCGGGTTCGCGCACATCGATGGCGACGTGAACGGCCCCGGGTACAATGAGACTTTGGTCGACATCGTCTGCGTGCCGTGTCCCGGCGCCGATCCCGTCGAGACTTGGGCCCGCGACCCACTCCCGGAAGGGTACTTCGGCCACCCGGGCGATGATCTGCCGGAGACGACTTTGAAAGAGCTTGCCGGAGCCAGCATCTTGTCACCAACCATCAATCGACATCTGCCGAAAGCGGCGCACTTGTGGGTGAGGCAAGGGATCAGGAAAGATGTCAATAAGGCGAGGGTACTGCTGTACCGGCACCGGGAGATGATCGAAGGCCTGACCCTGGATGAACTGGCGGACGACTTGATCGAGCAAGTGTGGAGTGTCAGGGAGGGTAACGTGAGTAGATCTACTGTTTACATGAGATTGTGAGCTAAGAGTTGCAGCAACGATCTCGGCCTTTATTCTTCATCGCCCACAGTATCGGAGGTTTGGTGGTTGAGTCCGCGCTTCTGAAAGCCACACAAAGTTCTAGATACAAACCTTTTATGTACAACTGCCATGGTGTCACATTCTTTGGTAAGCTTTCGAGAAAGATTTCTACATGGCACCTTGTCTGATTTGATTTCCATAGCTACCCCTCACAGAGGCTCAAGCTACCTGTCCATGAGGAATCTGGAGAACAGTATCCAGCGCCTTTTACGCCTGCAGCGGCCCCTTCCACAATCCATCTCAAATGAGCTTCGACTGGGCCACAAGCCTATGCTCAAGATGCACGATAAGTTCGCGACAATTGCGGCAGAGCTCAAAATCTGGTCATTTTATGAGACAATCGATTCTCAACTATCAGGGACTGGATCGCAAAATCGCGGTACAGCCAAAGAAGTCCGGTTTGGTGCTCCCATCGTTTCCATCAAGTCATCTTTAGTCGGCGTCCGCCAAGAGCGTGTCTTCGCTCTCGATAGCGAGCATGCCAATTGTGCCTCATTCGGCCTCGGGAACACAGAGATGATGAGCACCTACCTCAAAGAACTTGCGGCAGCTGTCACGAAAGCCACTTATCTGAGCTCTCAGTATTTCCATAATCCCCTCAGCCTCAAGAAGCATGTTAAGGTCGAGATCATTGGATTCTACGACGACCCAGATGCAGAGCTAGAGTCGGATGTTCGTCTTTACTTCACGAAGCTTCATCTCCAGGAGTTTCTGGACAAGGGTCCGGAGCGATGCCTCGAGGAGCGCTTGAGAAGAACCACCCTCCGACCACGATCGGATCCTGTCTCTCCACCACAGCTCCCGGAAGCCTCGCAGCAGAGCAGTAGCGGTCTTGGAATTCTGGCAGGTGTTCATGAGCTGGGCCAAAGATTCTTCGGCACGTCTTCCAACTCGGGAAGCCGACCAAGAACTGCCGACTCCGAAGGTCAGGGCTCACCGCCGATTGTGGTGACTCGTCCTGCCATGGCTGGCAGCTCAAACTCAATGCCTGCTGAACCGATCCGCCGAATGGGATCTCTCACAGTGCCACCGCTGTCACCACCTGGATTTAACAGGCCTTCGAGCCGAATGAGCAACGCTGAGAGCACAAGATCAGATCCCACCGAATTGGAACTGTCCCCTACGGCCGTAAATCCGTGTCCCGTTCCAGAGGCCCGGGTTGAAAAAAGTCATTCCGAGCCTCTATCCCGACGTCAAGATCGTCTATCAAGAGCATCGGCTCTAGATGATTTGACCGCAGGCTTCTCAAGACCAGATCCCGCAGCAAGAAAGTTCATGTGGATCCATACTCCGTCTACCAATCCATCCTGGGTGAAGGTAAGTTCCATGGAGTCTCTCCGTATGATTAAATATTCAAGTAGCTTATGCAGTTGTCGTACAGGATGTGTTTGATGTGCTCGGGAACCCACATGATGCAAGTTTTGCAAAACTATTCAATAATGATAACTGGGCTTCCAAACACGTAATTGGAAGACATTCTCAATCTCAGGCATCGTTTATCAAGCCATCATGCAGCTACATACCCGCTGGTTCAGGTATAAAGCAGACTTCAGATAACCTTGAACTAAACTTTGCTAATTCTTAGTCCAGCTCCATCCCCTCATCCATCTCCCAACTATTCTGGGCGTAATAGTCCACGATCTGGTCCTTCGTCGGCCTTTCTTTATGTCTACCTTCCCTTTCTACATTTCGATACCTACATCGATATTCTGCAAAGACGGAGATTCATACTGCGTCGCATGGAACATGGCCGCGCCCGTCCTGTCCCCCAAGACGTTGCTGAACTAGAGTCCGCCGAGATGAGAATGATCTGGGAGTACATTGGCTATGATCCTCCGCTTAATTACCGCCGGACTCTGGATCAGTTTGCATACCCTTCTCTGAGGGACACATGGGCCCGCGATGACGACCAGATGCTTTACAAACTTACCAAGAATCGAGCATCTGTGGGAGATGACCGTGAAATCTTGACCTTGACTAGAAGGCAGACTGCAGGATCTGGGTGGAGTCCGACTGAGAGACTAACACCATCAAGTACTGGGCTGCTGGATGAACAGACACAGCAGTCAGACACTGATGAGGAGGACTTGGAGGAGGTCATTAAAGATGGCAAAGTCCTCATGGTCGACCAGCTTTGGCTCTGGGCTATTGACACAAGTGAGCTTTATTGAGTTAAGTTCTAATGCGTCAAGAGTAATTGCTGACTGACAACACTAGCCACGGTGACAACGTTCTTTTCGAAGAGAGAATCCAAACCCAAGGAAGGGCCACTGTTCCAGCAAGCGGATCTACGGAACAGCGTTTACAATGAGCTGAACGGCGATTTAACGGGACGATGTGAAAATTCTCTGGATCTGGCAGCGTTCATAGTGCTTCATGCAATCACCGTACTTCTTGATCGAGCCTCACACCCTGATCTAGAGGTTTTCAGAATCTTCGAGGAAGCCATTAGTATGTTGGTAGGTCGAGGATCGGTCCCTATATGACGAGTAACAGGCGGTTTCTAACTTTTAAAGACTGAGCGAATGACTTCCTCTCTAAAGCGCTTCCGAATGCAAACCTTCAAAGATACTGGGGTCGGTTCAGACTCGGAGAGCAATCGCCCAGAGTCCATCAAAAAGCGTCACAAGCGAGAACTTCAGGAAGCCGAGCGTGAAAACCGAGAGAACACATCCGCGCTGATGGAACTTCGCGATTTAGAAGACGAACTCAAATCACTAGAGAGGCTATTTGAGCAACAAGATGGTGTGGTCAAGAACATGAAGGCTGTCTTCGAGAGTGACGATCTCAAGCATCTGACGCGTAATGGGAGGATGTTTCTCGACGAGGCCTTGGACAAGCTCGAGGAGTACAAAAGTCAGACGACGGAAATGCTGAAAAGGGTTGACACGACGCGAAATGACGTGAGTAAGAGGGTTCAATGTGCGAGAACACGAACATGCTGATAAGTTTTAGTATGAAAAACTTCTGGAGATGGTTCAGCGCCAAGCACAAGTCGATGAAGTACGCTGGTCACGTCTTCAGACCGAGCTCGCATCGTCTCAAAACTTATCCGTTATGACATTCACGACTTTCACCGTCATCTTCCTCCCGCTGTCATTCTTCACGAGTCTCTTTGGCATGAACACAATCGAGTGGGACGCCGAGCAAGGGAAGCTTCCTTCGATCAGATATATAGGGGCCATTTCGCTGCCCCTGTCCGTTTTTCTCATAGGCGCTGCTTTAATTGCCGCGTTCAGCACGCGTGTACAAGAATACGTGAGAATCGGGTACAAGGGCGGAAAAGGTGTTGTCAAGTTTGCGTGGTCCGGTGTAAAAAAGGTTGTGCCTGAGCAGAAAAGGCAAAAGCGACGCGATCGGATTGACAGGGAAGAGAAGGAGGCGCGGAAAACAAGGATACGGGATCGCGGATATGACTTCTGGGCGACGGTGAGAAGAGAGAGGGGGAGTGAGTACCGGATTCCGGAAGTCAATCTGAACAAAACTAGCGAGATCTCGAAAAGCTCTTGGTAGTGGTGAAGTTTAAAGGCCTCCTCGGTTTTTTTCTCTGTGCCATAGTCGTCTTCATCATCTTTCGACAACCTACCACTGCCATTCTCATTTCTTGCAACGTTGGTTTTGCCTAGCTAACTGATTTGTATGCGGATAAACTCAAAGCATGATTACTATCATTCTAAAGTTGCCAAGTCAAACAAATGTGCTGGCGTAGCGCGATAATATAAGCTGACAATAAGTGCGGGAGCTCCCGATTCCAAATCCTCGGAAATGCCTCTTAGCGCGCCATTAGGAAACTCCCTTAGAACCTTAAGGTTCGTTCAGGCAGGGTTACACCTTGTCTACAGCCGTTGTCTGCAAGTTTGAGTTGTGTCTATCGACACGGGTACGCGTATTTCTACATGGATGATGATGCCTCCGAGTAATGATGTGTACGTAAATAGCGTTACAAGTTACCTTAATGACTGAGGTACATGTTCACCAGTACAAGAGTCGTAAACCGTGATCGAGAGAGTCTGGCTGGTAGCCGTGCCCATTTGGCCGTATTATTAATCAAGCCCGGTAGATAACCTCCAGTACAATGTACGAGTACGGACTCAATGCAGAGGCCCGTCAATTGCGTGTCATGAGAACGAGATCTTGATTGATCTTAACAAACATCCATGAGCCGTGAATCCCAACACAGGAGAGCTGTTTTCAAAGGTACAGATTTACGTGTCTGTTATCCTAGGTGTGGCTTTGAAGACTGATTCCTCAGTGACCTGCGCCTCACGTGGGAGTCACCTCGGAGCAACTCAGGGGCTCAGGCCCAAGCAAACATGACGTTGGCGGCGCTAATGTCTGGAGATCGGAACAAGCGGCGAATTTCTTACGTCTCAACATTACACGAATCAGAGGCTCAAAGCTCAGTGTGCACCAGGATGAAAGCGCAAGTCGGGCGAACACGTCCGTGGGAACGATCAATTCAGTCCCATGGGTCAACGAACCCCTTGCCATCCAGTCGATGCTGAGACCCTCATCGTCAGATCTAATCTGAATGCGCCCGCGAGAACGTTCAAGAGACATTTTTCTATCTATACCGGGGGAACGTTACCCAAAAACGGTTTCGGCGAGTACGAGCTTTCTCAGAACTTCGATCCCGAGTCCGAGGCTGGCCCCCGCGCCACGCCCCATCAAACGCGCGCGCGGCGCATGTTTCACGCGAAGCGACCCATCGAAGCAATAAGCTTATTATTCATATTACTAAACTCACAAATAAGAGGACTAAGACGCTGCTCAAAGACCACTGGCCAGTCATGTTCGGTGCGCTTGATCTGGTGCTCGAACACCACCACATAATATCCCCTTCACCAACCTCGGGTGTCTGTGCCGGGCACGACTCGATCCTCCAAGATGAAGGTCTCGTCATTCGTCATCTTATCGTTTGCTCTTCTCGCCGAGGCGTTGCTACCTCGTTCTATTGAAGTAGAGTATATTAAGGACTTGCCAACAGGATGGGCTTGGTCGCGTGTTGCCGATCCTCAGCACCAACTTCAGTTGTCAATCGCCGTCGATAGAAGCCAACACGTACAACGAGCTCTCTACAGCGTATCGACCCCAGGTCACGAGTTGTACGGCAAGCACTTGTCAAGAGAAGAGGCACAGGCGCTTCTTTCGCCCGATGATGGATCTCGTGATTTGGTGGTCGATTGGCTTGTGAAACAGGGGAACGTTGAACCATCCGACATTGTCAGCGACGGACATTGGATCCGACTTACGACTACAGTTCAAAATGCTAACCAACTTCTTGACGCCGAATACTCCTGGTTCCGGAACGAAGATAGTGGGAAAGAGGTTTTGAGGACTCTGAAGTACTCGTTGCCGTTGGAGTTGAAGAACACGATCTCGCTGATCTCCCCAACGACCCGCTTCTGTTCGCACCCGATGATGCATACGTCACCTTCTACGACCGACTCGACCACCTCAGCAGAGCTGCGGAAGCACAAGAGGGCGTTCTCCGGCACCACACCAGAACCGCTTTGGAGATCTGAGGCAATCGCTCCAGCGGCACCAGTATCTCAAGCCCAAGTCGATGCGAGCTGCAATAGAACTGTCACTCCTAGCTGTATCAGGGCACTCTACAATGTTCCTTCCAAGCTTGCTGTGAGTCCCGCGAGAGGACTGGGCGTCTACGCCTCGCAGAACCAAGTGCCGAAGTTTGCAGACTTCGCTCTCTTCGCGCAGATGATCGACCCGCCGTCGACCGGAGTCAACTTTTCCTTCCTCAGCATCAACGGCGGCGTCACGAGCCAAGATCAGAACCAGTTCTCAAACGCCGAATTGAACTTCGACCTTCAGTACACCGCCGCGCTATCCAACCCGGTACCAAACATCGTCACAGCTGTTGCTGGAGATGGTCCCATCAAACTGGAGCTGGGAGGTTCTCCCGGCGATACCACCGAGCCGTGGCTAATCTGGCTCGATGCCATGCTCAAGCTTCCAGACGACAAGCTCCCGCATACGATCACCACGAGTTTCGGCGAGAACGAGCAGTCGCTACCGGATGGATACGTTCAACAAGTCTGCAACCAATTTGGCGCACTTGGAGCGAGGGGTGTCACGATGTTCGCCGCATCAGGAGACTCTGGGCCGGGCAATACTTGTGTCACGAACGACGGCACCAATAGCACGCGCTTCAATGCCGTCTTTCCGGCAGCTTGTCCGTTCGTTACTGGTGTTGGGGGTGTGAGAGGCGTTGCTCCGGAGAGGGCGAGTGACTTTTCCAGCGGTAGCTTCTCCGACAAGTTCGCCAGACCAGCATACCAAAACCAGGCTGTGCCCGCGTATCTGACAACCACCGTCGGTAACAAGTTTCAAGGTCTTTTCAATGCATCTGGTAGAGGATTCCCGGACGTCAGCGCTCAGAGCTTCAATGCCACCTTCGTCAGTGGAGGGCAGTTCGGCGGTTTCCAAGGAACCAGTGCTGCAGCACCAATCTGGGCTGGTATGGTTGGCATGGTTAACGCGGCACTGATACAAGCTGGAAAACCTCCCATGGGTTTCATTAACCCGTGGCTGTATGGTGCTGGACTTCAGGCCGTGAACGATGTTACGACAGGCGCGTCGATAGGCTGTACTGGCACAACTGCCTTTGGAACACAGCAATTCCCGCCTCAATTCGGGGCTAAGCTTGTGCCTGGAGCCAGTTGGCCAGCTGCGAAGGGCTGGGACGCGGTCACAGGACTTGGGTCGCCTGATATTGGTAAGATGCTGGCGTTGAGAATGGCCATGTAACTTGACTATAGATAAGCTGTATGAAAAGCTACCCAGCGATGACTCTTCGTTACATAGAACCGGACCACGACAGTGTGGTACTCTCGGTATCCCGGCTACTGTGAATGACGTTCGTCTGAACCATCCAGAGGTGGCTCTTGTGTTATGACCGGATTCTCAAGTTATCTCCTAACAGGCTGCAACTTGATCCAAAGCGGTGACTTCTCCCACACCATAAACACCTTCTGGCTCTCCATCCAATCATTCCCAGTCGCGTTCGAGATATCAAACTGAAGAACAAGTCGGGCAATAATGAGCTTGATCTCCGCATATGCCAGGTTTCTTCCGATGCATGCCCTGGGCCCGTATTGAAAGGGCTGCGACGCATCTCGCTGGTCATCCTCAAACTCGGGGTTTTCACCCAGCCACCGCTCAGGCAGGAACTCCTCAGGGCGAGTCCAGTTTTCAGGGCTGTTGGATGCAGCATAGATTGGGATGCTGACAGACACGCCCGCGGGTAGGAAGTCGCCGTTGACAGTGGCCCCGCCGGGTGGCACGATGCGATGGTGCGGTTGAGGGGAGGGCGGATACACACGCAGGGCCTCTTCGATGCAAGCGAGAAGGTATTTGCAGCTATTGACAGCAGTGAAGGTGACCTCGTCCGGATTAGAAAAGGTGGAGCGGATCTCTGCGGAAAGCTTTTCCAGGACACGGGGGTTCTTTGTGAGGAGATAAGTAAAGCCTGCGAAGATGATTCATTGCGTTAGTATGTGCGACTCATGGTGACAGGCTGCAAGCTCGACGTACCTGACATCATCGTGGCTGTCGTCTCGCTTCCGGCGGCAATGAGGATTTGGGAATTTCCTTCAAGCTGGTCAAAAGACATTTTTCCTGAGTGGTACGCTGCGATCATTTTGTCCATGAAGTCTGGCACCGTCGATTCGTTCTGCAGACGGTGTTTGACCTTTTCCTGCTCTGAAGTTAGCAACATGAACAAACCTGCTTCATTTCCCGACTCCCGAGTAATAATAGCAACGTACAACTTGCAACTTCTTCAAGGTCTTGCCGTCAGAGATGACTTTGGGTGGAATCAGGAAGAGTGCGATGGGGAGACGGAAAAGCTTCGGGAAGCGTGAGAGCATTTGGTGATAGGAAAAGAACTTCGCCAAAGAGAAGAAGATCTTGACCCATGTGTGGAGAGTGGATGTGTTGAGACAGTCAAAGGATTCGCCGAATGCTAACACATGTTAACACTGTCTTGGAAAGGTTGGCGTACATATCCGGCATTGACTTACTCAGAAACCCGATAAAATCAAACGTGACGAACTGTGAGCTGACATCAACCTCCGTGCAGAAACGATCAAACGCACCTGACGGGAAAGAAACTTACGTTATACCACTTCAGTATATCAACCGGCTGCTTTCCATCCTGGCCTTCTTCCTCAATTCTCCGAAACATCAAGTCGACGTACCCCTTGAGAACTGATTCTTGCTCTCGCAGAGCCTTCTCAGAAAAGCCATTCGCAAACAGCTTGCGGATGTATCCATGGTAATGTCTGTCAGCAGTGAGAATGATTGGCTCACCCTTCAAGCCCGCAAAATACTTCTCGTCCTTGGCGAACTCCAGCTGCCCAGTCTTGTGACCATAGATCTCCTTCCATTGAGGCGCTTTGATGTAAGACAGTCCATCTGGAGACGTTCTTACGACTGGGCCGTATTTGTTGTGTAACTCTAGAAGGTCGTACGGCGTTTTACCGCCAAAGTAGGACGAAACGAGCCAAAACGAAGACGCGGAGGCAAAGCGAGGACCGGGGTACTTGGAGAGGGGATGGAGGTAGATGTTGTAGATGTAGACACAGATGTGGTATGCCAGAGTCTATGTAGCGTTTGGATTCAGCAAAGTCTTTGCGGTAGTCATTCTAAGAACAAGACTTACGGCGACAAGAGCAATGGATGCAAGCGTGAAGATGTGATTGGGTGTAGTTGAGGCCGCTATGGACGCGATTGTGTCGAAAAAAGCCATCTTTCCAGACTACAGTGTTGAAGGCCGGAGGATTGAAGGTCGATGTTGCCAGCTTCGGAAAGGCGAAACAGAGTGGGCGGAAAAGTCTTTCTATATAAATCTGCAAACTGGATCACGATGTTACAGTTGTGCATCTCTGATTCCGGGTGGCTGAGAATCCGTCCGATGATGATTGGGGGAGGCACAGAACTTGTGAAGAGCTACACGCAGTTGTGCATGCTTATGCCCTAGTGCAAGTGCATAAAGCCTGTGCCGGCCCCTCGCGGAGCAGGCCTAAGCCGATGAACAATTACGAGACAGCACGCTGGGGAAAGCCAGCAATTGGCCTGATTAAGGCGGAAACAGGACGGTTTGAACACTCCGAAAGATGTTAGGACCGATAAGTCCGTGGATTAATTCCTGTCCCTTGAAATTACTGCGTTGACAAGAACAGAGAATCAAGTGCGTGGTGGAACCTCTCAACGTTGAGGTCCAGTATTTGAATCATGAGGGGATTACAAGAACATCAGAACAACTGAAAAAGTAAAAAGGTATTATCAAAAGGTTTCTTGCGACATCTTCTACTGATTGATAGAACCCTTGTCAACGACACCATCAACATCCTTCATCTTAGCAACGCCAGCTTCGATATTTGACTCAGCTTCCACCGCCTCAATAACTTGGATTTCTCTGCGGGCGATCCTCCGGTCCATAATGATAAGCACCGTGACCCAGATCATCATAGCCGTTCCAACCGCAATCATAGAAATCATTCCTTTCTGCTCAGCTGTCAGTATAATTATCTCGATAAGAAATTTCGAACCCAAGATTACTTACGCGGAACTCGGGTGCGTCATCCGCACGGAAGAATATCAGAGGCCACCAGGCCTGGAAACAGTTACCGGCAGCATTCATACAGGCAATGACGCAAGCCCGAAGAGCCGGGGACTCATTCCGCATGGAGTCGTTGGCCCACGCAAAGAATGTAGCCTGGATGCAGTAGATCGAACCCGCCCAGTAGTATGCTCCAAACTTTGCTGCTGTTGATGTCGGGGCCAGGATTATGGCGGCGTTGCCGATAGCTGTGATGGCGATGTAGTAGCCCGAGAGCCATCTCCGGCCCCAAATATCGGTACTGGTAGCCCACAGTAGCGTGCTGACGACACCAACAGCTTGCACTCCCGTGGGATAGTTGTTGCGCTGAAAGACGGTGTACGTATTGGTCGGGTGTGCTTGCATGTAGAGATTGAGCAGCGACTGGTTCGACTGAGATTCGGAGGTGTTTCCCAAGATCCATAAGAAACAGAACCCGTAGAAGTACCATGAGTGAAGAATGCGGGAGATAAAAGACCATGCGAGAATCTTTTCTCCCTCCTCGCGCACAGGAACTCTTTCTCTGGCGAGTTTAATTTCATCTTCGCTTAAGTAGAAAGCCGTAGTGGTGTGAGGGGTGTCTGGGAAGAAAAAGTATCCATAGATGGCGACTGGAAGCGTGATGATTCCAGAGATCTAGGCACAATTCCTCGTCAGCAAGTATCTCAATCGGTCGAAACTTTGACTCTGAGTTGACTCACAATGAAAAGCCATTTCCATCCGGGCATCCCATGCAGGCCGTTCATCGAGGAATGGATACCAGTCTGAAGAAAGCCACCAAACATCCCGCCAGCGAGGCCAGAAGCAGTGAAAAGACCTGTGCGCTGGCCGAGTTCTTTCTTCGTATACCAGGATCCTAGGATGTACTGCGTGCCCTGTGTTGCCACGTACATCAGTCAAGTGTTGAAATCCGGGACGAATGTCATTTTCTTACAGCAAAGATGCAGCTCTCGAAGTATCCTTGGAAGAATCGGATAGCCATTAGATGTTGCGGGCTCTTCGCCACAGCATTCAACATCGTGATTATAGCCCAGGCCGTGATCATGAAAGGGAAGAATCTCTTCGGCTTGAAGCGAGTCAGGAGCAGGTTATTCGGGACGATGCCACTTCATTCAAACCCCAAAGTCAGTAAAGCTGTTGTCATCGCCCATGCAATTCTGTGCGTATAACTCACATGAGATAGGCTGTTGCATAGAGAGTTGTGACCTCTGTCAATTGCGCACCTTCGAATCCCAAATCCTCCTTCATTCCGGAGACATAGGCCTGAGTTATGCTAGCCCTGTCTAGATAGTTCCTATTTCGCTAATGTCAGCTATATTCTACTCATGGGAGCAGGTGTAGATAGGTAGGTCACGAACATGAAATAGGCCATGCAACAGAACGTGAGAATGAAGAAGTCCAACTTCAAGATCAGTCTCTTCTCCAAAGGTGTGGAGGCACCTTTGAAGTGCTCTCGCAGGTCTGAGAAAGGCGACATGACGACGCGAGTGGCGCCCTTCTTGGACAAGTTTGAAGAAGGAGAGAGTGCTTGTTGAATGGCGATCGTACAGTGCTCCTGCTAGGTTGGAGATGTTGGGATGCGATGTGAATTGGGAGCCTTAAGTAAGGCCGTTATCTCAAAGACAGAGGCAGCATTGTTATCTTCCAAGACCTTGGATGCCCAGGAGCAACAGACTTATCTTCTTGGCTAACTGCGCAAGAACATGATATGTCGCTGGAAAGACTAGGCATCCGAGGTGCCCGACTTACTTGGCGCCCTCTTTCATTGCCATTCCAGGCCACTGACAGTGTGTCAGCTAGGTGCGCAAAACCTGGGGTAAAGCAAGGGGTTGACGTATGCGTCTTCACTGAGAGTAACCTTGAGGTTGCCATGACTCTATGTCTGGCCTTCCGAAGATAAAGCCGGGGCTATCTATAATCCTCCAATCAGTACGTGGTCAGATCTAAGGAAGTATATCAAGTGGGCCCGCGATGGGAGGAGCTCCTCCTGCAGATCGATGCCGTTCCCGATAAACCTGCACCTCGACGAATCACGTCACAGTGTTGCCGCTGGAATCATGTTGTCATTGGAGTTGTCTTGATAATGCCAAGTGTGCCGATATCTGATGTCGTATTGCTGTGGGAGAAATCCATCGGTATCTACGTCTGTCGAGGCCGAGAAGTCACATTGTCCACTTCCTACGGTAGTTGCCAAGCTTCGCCGAGTGAATGCTGAGCATCGGCTGAGATATGGCTAAGACATCGGGTTACTGTAATGGTGCACTTGCTTCCTAGGAGTTGTTTCCCGCAATTGGTTTTGCATGGGAATCGGCTAGGAATTGGATGAGAAATTGAACATCATGGGGTCTTCAGGGTTAGTGCGAAGTCTGACTCGGTTGCTGGTTCGCATCGAATCTGCCATGCGCGTGGCAATGTTATAACGTGCACTGTTGAGCGAAAAGCGAAGTAAGATGCTACTTGATTTATTGATGCATACTTGAAAAGACGGTGCAGAATTCCAAAGTTATGGCCGTGACCAACTTCTTGTTCCATAATTGATCACCCAGGTCAGCCATCCCCCACGAAACCCATCACTATGCCTTCAGCACAGGAACGTACACCTCTCTCGCCACGTTATCGAACTTCCCGAGACTCTTGTGGCCCTCAGGGTCTGGATATTCGCCGGCGAAGAAGTCGGCATGCTTCCCATCGTCTCTGGGTCGGTCGATATCATACTCGTACCGCTTCCAACCATGCTTGCGTGCATCCAAGTAGTCTGAAAAGTCAGCCAGATTGCACATTTCGATGTCAGAGTAGCTGAGTCTTGACTTTAAACTTACCAGCCATGCAAAAGACCCTGTCATCCATGGGCTTGTCGCGACCCAAGCGTTGCAGAACGGGGGAATTTTCCAAGGGTCTCAGCTCCCGGTCATCAGCCGGTCGAGCGAAGTAGATGACCCCAATACGTCGGAGATGCTTCTGGTCAGCAGGCGGCTGAACAACGCGGTGGATCGTAGCCTTGAAAAGCCCGCCAGTCAACCTCTCCATCGCCTCACCGAAGTTGATGACGAGGCCCTTGGGCTGATGCTCGACCCATCGGTACTTCCCATCGTTGTGATCCAGCACCTGCAGCGCCGCGATAGGCTGGGAGAACAAGAACGTCCAAGAACCCCAGTCAGTGTGTCCCGAGAGGAAGATGTCGCGGTACTTTTCGCTCTCTTCTTGGGGACGAGGCTCGCACATCATGTACCGGATGTACTCCGTCTTGGAGCCTCCAGGTGCGTGGGTCGCTTGTACAGCTTCGTCTGGAAGTTCCAGAATCATGCTCACCAGCGTGAGAAGCTTCTTCAGAATGTTGGTACGGATGAACTGCATCACTTCTTGGGTCTCCTTCAAGTATGGTCTCATGATTTCGGGATGCTGTCGGTTCTTCGGGTCGTGAACAAGGATGTTGTAGTGATCCAGCTGCTTGGGAAATCCGCCCTTGTGGCCCAAAGGACCGGCTGGCTTGTAGCCAACATAGAGTCCCCGCGCATCTTCCTCCGGCGTAACTGTTGCAGGATAGTGGTTAGCGGGCTATCAAACTACATATCAAGACGCTGTGGTGGAATACCTTCGTATGGTTCCTTCTCTTCGGGGGGAAGCGTCATCATAGCATTTGCAATCTGCATTTGCCGGGCATACACCTCGTCGGAAATCCCGTGGTTAGTCAGGGTTAGGAACCCATATCCAGTTGCTGCCTCATAGAGATCTTTCGCCAGTTCTTGACGGCCGGCCGGATCGTCGAATTTGGCAAGATCGAGATTCACCAGCTTGACGTAGTCAACTAAAGGTCACATCAGCTAACTGCTTCACTAGATCCGCAAAAGTATGCTGATCTCGGGTGAGAAACATACGAGGCTCCTTCGAGGGCGAAGCTGGAGTGAAAGGAGGCAAATACATGTTTTCGAGGCAGCAGTTTGATGCCAGAAGATGTGTTCAGAAACCAAAGCAATTCGGGATGGGGGCAGAGGTAAGCAACGAGCTTGCGATGATGTTGGTCGAAGTCCCAGTCCCTTATCTTTCTGGAGATATGCTTTCAGATATACTCTAAAATCGGCTGAGAAGCTTACAGACATCTAATTGAACCCAGCTCAAACATGAAAACCACAGGTGCCGTCCATTGCAGACTACACCCACGACCATCCCGATTGGTGCTCCTCCAGGCATGTCACCAAGTGGCTGCGAAGATCACAGGGTTCAGGAGGACATCAAGAGAATCGGGCGCTCCTCTCTTTCGCCAAAGATGTATCAGAAGGCAACATCTCGGCAGAGGTCACTGGGAGGAGCACCCACGCTCCTCCAATGCTTCGGTCTAAATCAACATCCCTGCACAGGCCGGACTCAGCTCAGGAGGAGCTCCTCCTCTTGGCCTCCTTTTATGGGTCAGGTGATAAGCAGGATGTGGACCTGAGCATGCACTACGCAGACAACGCGAACCCGGTGCAACTCTGCATCTGCTTCATGCTAATCCAGAGACGTTAACTGGTCACAGACATCTTCCGCAAGGACTGCATGGGCAGCATCCGAAGTGTCGCATTTCCGGCCCCCCTCCCGGTGCGGGGAAGAGACATGCCTCCGCGTTTTGTTGCCCGGCCCCGGTCTGCCGGATTACGCGCGCTGTTATCGCAGGATGGGATATCTTATCTCCAGTCACGGGAGACCTGGGTGCACGGTACCATGATCGAGGTAAAGCATTGTTCCTTATCACACACCTGCGTCATACGAGCAGTCGCAGGATAACGACATCCGACTTGTGACTTTCGCTCGTCTCATCGTCAGACGATTGGGAAGTTGTCCAGCAAGTTAAGCAACTCATGATTCTTGTCCAAGACAGGCCAAGATGGAGCCAATTGACAGGCCGTTTCAATGTCCCGCGTGTCCAAGTCGTTTTACCCGACAGGTAAGTCTCCATATCTTGCAATGTATCAACTTCAATGAGGCTAATTGCCGTAGGAAAACCTCAGTCGTCACACCAGTTCCGGTGCGTCAGTTGGGAAAGAGGGCACCGGTTGTTTTAAACTAATTCAAAGAGATAGTTCATCGAAAGTCAAATCTAAGGCCGTTTCCATGTCCACATTGCGAAGTGAGCTTCTCTAGGAGGTGCACATTCCCTCCTTGCGAGTTCATCGTCCATCTTGCATTTCACAAGTGTTGACTGTCTCTAAACAGTGACCTGCGGAAGCGCCATGTGAGAAGATATCACCCCAATTCCGATGGAACTGGTGAGCACATCACATCCTTCGAAGCGCAACCTACTTGTAGTACGCCTCCAAAGCCCGCCGCGAGCACCCAAAAAGACAGTAGTGAGAGCAGAAGCAATCGTGTAAGGGATAATTCTTCAACGATATGATATGGTGACCTATTTCAACATAAGCTTACCAGTGTAATCAGTCATCCTCTATATCCCAGATACTCTGCGACCAGGGCATATCTTGGATGTTCAAACTGCCACAGTTCATCACTGCCTATTTCGACCACTTTCAGCCCATTTTCCCTTTGCTTCATGCACCAACCTTTGACGCCAGTCTGGCTCGAGAGCCCTTGCTACATGCCGTCGCTTGCATTGGCGCGGTCTACGAAGCTCCAGACCAGAAACACGACTGCAGCGGTGCCTTGTTTGATTCTGGATTGAAAGCGCTCGACTCATATGTATCGCATCCTGTCCCATATCCGTTTATTCATGACTACTTACGCGCGGTAGGTTCGCGAACGCCGGTGTTCGAGATTTCTAGAAGTCTGGGTCATGCAAGCTTACTTGTTGTTCGAATACTACGCCATCTACTGTTGCGAAGAGGGCCGCTTTCCGCTTGCACTCAAGATCCATCGGAAGGTTGTTGACGCGGCGCGACAGTACCAATTACTCCAGGACAGAATTACTCTGGGCTTAGACGAGAACTTCAGCAGCCCGACGAGCATCGATAACCTGTTGCTTCCGAGTTCTACGGAGTCAGCATGGCATAATGCTGTAAAAAATGAATCAAGAAAACGGTAAGAACTTGCGCCTGCCTTCCTTTATCGGAGACCGCTAACAGGCCCCAGGATTGCCTATTTCATATACTACCTCGACGCTCAGCTGGCCATTTGTTGCAATATGCGACCTCTTCTGGCTGCGCTGGAAATCAAATACGAGCTTCCTTGTCGTGACGACGTATGGGAAGGCAGAACTGCCGATGAATGGCAGGCTCTTGTGATAGCACAAGAAGGTTCTTTCAACGAAGAAGAAGACGATGACGCCAATGCCGAGCCTCGGCCTGCTCACGGAGATCTATATGGCTGCCTGTCTCGACTCATGAACCCTGATCCTTCAGCTCGAGGGCGTCCGCCTGGGCTGTTGTGGCACTCTTCATTCACGTGTCTCGTGCTTATTATTCAAATACTCATGATGACTCGAGACTTGACACTGGCCGGATCGTTTTTATATCACAACATCCGTCCAGGAGAAACCAAGAATAACTTGTCAATCATCTCTGAAGTAAACAGAGCACCGATCATGCAAGCTCTGGATGCTCTGGCAGATCTCATGCGCAAGCCAAATCACCAGTTCGAGAGCGCAGCGGCGAGGTGTGGAACGTGGGACCGCGTTTGGACGATGTGGCATTATGCCGCATTGAGTCTCACCCACCAAGAAGCACTTCTCACGAGTGGGATAGTGGAGTACAGTCTCCCAAACGCGATATCGACTTGCTGGGAGCTCAATAAGCCCCGGTCAAAACAGCACCGAGATGTCTACGAGGACAGAGATGGTGAGCCTGAAGCCCGCATCCTCCTGAATGTGGGTATGAGCTGACATTAGATGTCGACATATCAGTGACGCGTATTGCAACAAACATGGAAAACATTCTGATGCTTATGTCTCGCACTTCGAAAAAGCTTTTCCCGGATCCCATGTCTACGTCGGGAGACGCCGCGATTTCAGTTAGCATAGAAGACCCTTTCATGACCATGGTTGGCTTCAAGGCGTGTTTGATGGGCTGGCGCTTGGTGCGGCTCATGTCTTTGACTGTTGCACAGAGTACGGTGGACATACCGGGAGCGCGAATGCCCAGCATCTACGCGGTCACGGCACAAGTTCTTCTTGGTGGGATTCTGGCCGCGATCAACTCAGAAAACATCCCTGTGAACATAAATGAAAACCCTGAAAAGGGATACTTAATGTGGGCGGAGGCGAACTTTGGAAGCATGAGGTTTTGGCCCCTTGGCAAGTGGATTGTTGCGGTGTTCAATGAGCTAGATACGCAGCGTAGATGAGATGTTATGATGAGAGAGTGAACCAGATCTCACACAAGCCATCCAGAATATCAAAATAAGATCGGTAGATTTTTGAACTCATACTAGGTTTTTAATCTGATCTGTAAAGTCCACTACAGTCTGCTCAAATGGAGTGAACTTTAGATCTGGAAAATCCACCGCCATGGGTGCAAGGTCAACGTGAACGTGGGTCTTGACTTGCTGTGAGCCACGGACGACCATCTCACCCAGCGCCGGATGAGCGTTTCGCATAGCCTCTGATGCCTTTTGATAAGTAAATGGCTCAGGTGACACTGGTATATAGCGCTTCCCACCTGCCTCAGGAGTAGTCAACGCTCGAACATGAATCTCAGCCAAATCTCGCACATCGATCCAGAAGTTGAAGCGGCAGGGAGGCAATGACCCCGACGAACCACCGGTTGCAACCCGCCACAGCATCATGTTGGACTCATTGAGGTATTTCTGAGACAGCGGCGGTGTGGCTAACGGACCGAATATCATGGATGGGCACAACGTGACAAGGTCGAACCCCGGGTTCTTCTCCTCCACGAACTTCCAAGCTTCCCGCTCTGCCAAGGTCTTGGAACCGCGGTATGCGTCTTGTGGTGTCGCATCTGGAGCCGCTACCTGTTCGTAGGTAATCGGATTCCAATCGCTTGATGTGTATGTCCAAGGAGCTGATTCCTCTCGTCCCATGTCGAGGACCGCGCCGAAGGAAGAGGTCAGAACAATTCGTTTGACTTCCGACTCGGATGCTGCATCCAAAATTGACTGGACGCCCTTAATTGCGGGAATCATCAGGTCCTTCTCGTTATCTTCAATATCATACTTGAGAGGCTGGCGCGGCATATTAGATTCGACTGCAGAGACTGCTTCGGCACGTTGGTGCACTTACACTCGCGATATGGATTACTCCATCAATCCCCTCCACTGCCTTATGGAAAGCCCTGGGATCCGTGAGGTCGTTGATAAAATAGAAGTTCAACTCGGACTTGTATTGAGGCCTAGCGGCCAGGAAAGCGTCCGCCTTGGGCTCTGATCGCGCCACCGCCCGTACCTTGAGCCCTTTGCTCAGGAGATTGTCGACGACATGAGATCCGACGAGACCTGTGGCTCCTGTGACGAGGACATATCTGGAGGTCCAGTGAGATGATCAGGGCTTTTGACCATGTGTCTGCACACTTACGAAAAGTCCATCTCTTGATTTTCCGATGTACTTGGCAATAATCTCGCAAAGGGTAACGTTTTCCAATTGGGTTCAGGCTGTAAACACGAAAAAGGGTACGCTGGAGGGAAATGCACCATCAAATACTGGACTTTAGTTATGAAACATGCAGGCTTTGCTTGAAATCAAGAGTCTTCGACGTTATTCTGAGTTCAATGCCAATGGCATCTAAGTCCTCGGATTTCATCGGTACTCCACTCTTAGATCTAAGAGGAGCTCCTCTTGAAATTCTAGCACCCGGTTTGAGTTGTCCCGCCACAGTGACATTAGCCGGCAGAAGAACCACTGTAATACATCATTCACATGACGAACTGACAATTAAAATCACCAGTCAAAGCTTAGGTTTATCTCAGATGATAGACCGTTGCAGCTCGTATTCTGCAGGTCGGCTCCTAGAAATGTGATGATGCCGCCGGACTGAACCCCACGATAGTGGAGCTCCTCCGCCGGACGCGGGGCTCCTCCCAACGGAATGGGATACCGATCCATCGCTGATGAACGATTGAACCCTTGACGGTGCCGAAGTCCGAAACTACGTATAGGAAAAGAACTGACGCTGATCATCGAATAGCTAATAATGAGCCCTCATCCCATTCCTGTATCGAAAGCGACGAGAATTGTGACGTACCATCATCGATCAAAAGCCTTCAATCTCACCATGTCTTTCGGCAAGCTATACACATACCCGAAAGCGCCTCGATCAACGATGGTGTTGTTCGTCGCCAAATACAACAAACTCGACGTCGAAATCTGCAACGCCTTCCCCATCAAAGTGTATCCCGAGAAGGGCGGCGTCGGCGAGGAGTACTTGTCCAAGTTCCACACCGGCAAGGTCCCAGCACTCGAGACGGCAGATGGTTTTGCCGTGTATGAGAGCAACGCTGTGGCTTGGTTCCGTAAGTCCTCATTTCTCTCATGTTTTGGCATCGAATCCGCGCCTAATAACAACACAGTCGCGAAGCAAGATCCCAACACAAAACTCTGCGGGACAGGGTTGAAGGAAGAGACGACGGTCCTCCGATGGGCGTCTTTCACGAACTATGAGCTCCTGCCACCCATCATGGCATGGATTCAGCCCATTATCGGAAGAGCACCCTCTAGCCCAGAAATCTTGCAGAAATGTGAGGAGGGTTGTGAGCTCACTATCCGTGCCATTGAGAAGGAGATCAAGGGGAAGAAGTATCTTGTCGGCGACACCTTGACTCTCGCGGATCTGTTCGTCGTCTCGGGATTGGCAAGAGGTTACCAATATGTAAGTACCGGCTTTGAATGAGCAAGAGTAAATGCTAATATGAACCACAGGTTTTCACGAAGGACTGGGCGGAGAAGCACCCTATCGTGCACGAGTATTACATGAGTATCAGGAATGACAAGGACGGTATCTTCGACAGCATTCTGGGCCCGAACGTCATCCGAGATGAGCCGGGCGGCACTTATCCCGACTACGATGGGTTGTGAGTAGATGCAAAACCATGCTTCGGATTGAACAAAGATATTATTAGCACCCTCATAATGAGCTATCTGTGACTTTGTCTGTCTTCACTATGATACATGCAAATGATCTTGGCGATGCATCTTGGTTGAGTAGATATAATATGCTTGAGCTGAGAAGATGTTTCTGAGGAGTCTCATGTTCACTTCACGAGTTCCGAGAATGCCTCATGTTATCAAGAGACGTTTTCATGAACGGCTCATGTGATGGTGATACTTCTGGTATCATGGGATGCTTGATGAGGCATCGTGTACCTAAGCCGTAGTCTTCCATGAGAAGCTTCCCCGCCGCTATGAAGCTTGAAAATGGATGCAGAAGGCGTCGTGACAGATACTTTTGCATGCACACATATAGCCATTTGGCTTGAGCAACCGGAAGACAAGAGCCTGGGCCCTCCTTTAGGCGTCGATGTCAAGCTGAAATGCCAAGTCTCACCGGCAAACGAAACTGTGGCGCGTCGATCCCGACTCAACCGTAGACTCACTCCATGTCTCGACACATGCATGAATCATCTATCATCTACCGCGTCTTCGTAACACAATTGGAAGTTACACGCAGGTATCTAGACAGTAGACACCCGTGTCACCTTCCAGATTGTCTAGGAGCTTGACGTCCGTGAGTTCAACAAATAAGGACGCATCATCTCATGTGACGAGATTGTACAACCGTTCTAGCGCATCTATCCAATTCCATCTCAGACGAATCCCTCATCACGCCTCCCCGTTCGATGTCTGAGATGCGATCAATCACAGTTCGTATTGCCACGCTTGGCGGCTCAAGCTACCTTCACCAAACGGCATCCCGCATGCAACCGGTGCAACAGCGAGTCACGACTGGTTGTATCTACCCGTGGGAATAGTTATCGCGACCCGCGGGCCTCTAAGCTTATTTCCCAACCTTACGAATGAAGATCCGGAAAGCTGCGTTGATCGCAAGCAAGGTTGCAGGGTTAGCTGCTGCTGCTCGAGATAACAAAAGGTCCGACCGCTGGAACCAGAATCGCTGCGACCGCGACATGTCGTTTCTCGCCATCATCACTCTACTTCCAGGCATTCAGCTCGAGACTCAATGCAAGCATCAACCCTTCATTGGCCACATGCGAGATGCAAGTTCCAACATGATGCTGGTTCCCCTCACAAGACGTAACCTCCGAAATAGGGAGGCCCTTCAAGAAAAAACCCCCACAGGTGAGAAAATCGCAATAACGGCTCCCAGAATATTGGAGCAATCAGGGCACACGACATCCCGGTTCGCGAACAAGCTCCCCCCGACCCACAGGCAGATAGAAATAAAAATCTCATATGCTTTCTTTCCGTGGCTGCTCAGAAAAGACGAACTGGTTGTTCAAAACCCCAAGAAGCAAAGCTGGTTGGCCGGACGGAGCAGTGAGACATGACGATCGCATATCGGGTTTAATTTCTCGGCGGCGTTTGGGGAGCGCAGCGAATCGGCTTCTCCAAATACCCCTGAAACGATGCCATTTTTGTCTCGATCAGAATGCCATCCCATTCTCGGGCTGGATTGGTTCGTCCCAGATGGAATGACCCGCCTCCCCATGCTTAATTCTCAACGGATATATCATCATTCGACCGTTCTCATTGGCGTCTGTCTACCTGCGAGATCCAGGGGGTTTCTGCTTTCGAGTCTCATGAAAATGAGGGAACCGTTGGTCAGTAGCCCGTCCATTTGTTTGCCGCCGCCATGATTCGTTCTCGATTGTTCCCCTTTCATGCCCATCCCGGCCCATGCTATGGTATGATGTGGTTCCCTGGTCCGCAAAAAGCACTGCCGCGTCAAGGAACGCCAACAAGTCACTTCACCCGTGCAGCCCGAAATGTGGACGACCCCCCCGGCCGGTGATCGGCATCGGGGCGGAGCCACGTCCAGCACACAACGTCTTTCTTTCCCACACTCTAGCCCACCCAAACACACACATCACCCAACGGGTAACACAGCGCAATGCATGGATTGACCAACCAACCGACGAAGTCCTTGGTCGGTTGGTGTGTGTCTCGACTTGAGGCTGCGCGCGCTCGCAGGCTGTGGTTGGTCCCCCGGCACCTGCTGGCCTTGGGTTTCCTTTAATTCAAACATCGGCTCCAGGAGGACCCACGATAGGCCATCTTCTTCCAACAGGAGGTACCGCAACGCGGAGCCGCGAGCCGTCACCGAAATCTTGATCTGCCCACCTGCCAGACCAGGAAAACAGCGGGTTCTCGCCGTCGATGATCAGTGAGAAAACCAGGGAACCAGAAAAAAAAGAATTGGTTCCAGACGCTCATGTTCTCGCTTGGCTCGCTGCATGATCATGCATCGTAAGTATAAGACGCCGCCGGCCTGCCGCATGTTGAGAGGATGGCGATGGATCCCAGCAGGCTTCGACATCGAACCACCAGGCGCGCCCATTGACTCAAATACCCAACTCACATTCTTTTTCGAACAGACCTTCTTTCACTCTCTACGAATTTTTATCGAGTTCCATTCCTTTCCTCCGTCTTTTCTAGTCCCTCTTTTCTTGTGCTTGCGTGTGTGTGTCGTAGGTTGACTAAGCGTCGTCGTCGTCGTCCTCGTCGTCCAAGATGCATTTCTCAACGCTCCTCGCCCTCCTCCCCGTCACGGCCCTCGCGGCCCCCCCTACCCGCCGCGCCCAGCCGGCACCCCTTCTCAAGCCCCGCGGCATGGGAATCAAGCTGGTGGCCGACAAGTACATCGTCCGCATGAAGCCCGAGGCCGAGACCGGCGCCCTCGCGACCGCCATGTCGGCCTTCTCCGCCGACGCCGACCACGTCTACAACTTCGCCAACAACTTGAGGGGATTCGCTTCGACGCTGAACGCTTCCGAGATCGAGGCGCTGCAGAACGACCCCAACATCGACTTCATCGAGCAGGATGCCTACATGAGCATCAAGGCGACGCAGCCCAACGCGCCATGGGGACTCGCGAGACTCTCGAGCTCGTCGCCCGGAGGAACGATGTACAGCTATGACGACAGCGCCGGAGAGGGAACCTGCGCTTACATTATCGACACTGGTATCGATGTCACTCACCCCGTACGTCGAAATCCGTATTATTTCGCAAAGGTGATCATGTTTGGCTGACCAGAAACCAGGAGTTCGAGGGCCGCGCCACCTTCCTCGCCAACTACGCCGACAACGACGACACCGACGGCCAGGGCCACGGAACCCACGTCGCCGGCACCATCGGCTCCAACACCTACGGCGTCGCCAAGAAGACCAAGCTCTTCGCCGTCAAGGTCCTCGACGAGAACGGCGAGGGCACCAACTCCGCCGTCATCGCCGGCATGGACTTCGTCGCGGCCGACGCCGCCGGCCAGCAGGGCTGCGAGAAGGGCGTCGTCGTCAACATGTCCCTGGGCGGCCAGGCCTCCAACGCCGTGAACCAGGCCGCCGCCGCCATCGTCAAGGCCGGCCACTTCCTCGCCGCGGCTGCCGGCAACGAGGCCGCCGACGCCGGCACCTCCAGCCCCGGGTCCGAGGAGTCCGTGTGCACCGTCGGCGCGACGACCGAGCGCGACACCCTGGCCGAGTACTCCAACTTCGGCGCCGCCGTCGACATCCTCGCCCCCGGCACCGAGATCCTGAGCACCTGGCCGAACGGCAGGACCAACACCATCTCCGGCACCTCCATGGCCAGCCCCCACATCGCCGGCCTGGCCGCCTACTTCCTCGGCCTCGGCAACGCGCCCAAGGACCCCGTCGAGCTGTGCAGCTACATCGCCGAGAACGCGCTCGACGGCGCCATCGGCCAGGTTCCCCGCACCACCGTCAACAAGCTCGCGAACAACGGCTTCGGCGGCAACGGCACGGCCAAGGCCATCAACGGCACCCGCCCCGTCCCCAGCAGCAACCTTGTTTCCCGACAGGTGAACAAGAAGTTCAACCTCCGTCACGCCCTGTCCAAGACTACTCTTTTGTAAATGATGACCGCATCTTTTTCAACGGCCTCTGGCTTTTTTGGCGCTGGAGTAATTTCCTAGACACGGCGCGAGCGTCTGGTGCTGGATGAGACAACAGGGTTGTTGGATTAGGACCCCGGGAAGGGTTCTGACTATGATATTCCATATTTCTACTGTAAATTAGACTTCAATACTTGGATTGGCAAACGTACAGATGACCGTGAGCCTGCCATAGGAGATACCTGTTAGTGAACGATTTCGATTTCTTGGTTAGACTTGGTATTCACCGGGGTTTCACTTCCGTGACCAAGCTGTGGTTGATGCAAGTGGATTCGCTAAACGTGTCATGATGAGATCAAATGCGTACATGCGGTGCAATTCATGAGCCTGTCGCCGCCTTTGCCGCCTCTTGTCCTGCGATTCTTCCGTAAACCACACATTCCAGCAAGGATGATCCTCCGAGGCGGTTGTCGCCGTGGATTCCGCCGGTAATCTCACCCGCTGCCCAGAGACCTTCAATAGCAGTCTTGTCTTCTCTGAGCACCTGCGCATTTTCGTTGAATGAGGCACCGCCCATGGTGAAGTGGGTAATCGGTGTGACGCGGCCGACGCAAACTTCCTTCTCGCGGTTACCCTCGCCGGCTTGCAATCTCCATCGACCGAAGGTGCGGCGACCGAAAGCCGAGTCTGTGCCGGCAGCCACGAGAGCTGAGTACTCGTCGATGGCCTTAATGATCTCCGGACTCAGATCCTTCACCTTCTTCTTCTCCATCAAGCCCTTCCAGAGGTAGAAACCCAGGTGCCCCTCGGCAACATCGATCGCGCCGGGATCCATGAGCAAGGTGATATCCCACTGTCTTGTTTCCCCGTCCTCCTTAGGCGGCAGCTTCATAATGGCCTTGCTGACGTGCTCTCTAGTTTCCATCTCGTTGACGAACCTCTCACCCTTGTTAGAAAGAAGAATTCCGCCCTCGCCGCGGAGGACTTCGGCAGCCAAGAATTTGTACTTTGCTTCCGGGTCTTTGGGGTCGACAAAGCCGGTTGGGTGAACCTGCACGCTGTCCATGTCAACGAACTCAGCCCCGACAGCTTCTAAGATGCCGTGCGAAGCAGGGCGAGCCTCGTTGGTAGAGGGGAGACCAGCTAGGTCCGGGCGGTACTTTGCCAATAGACCGTTGGCGTCACCCGCGAAACCTCCGGCGGCAAAGACAACAGCGCCCTCGAGGTCGTGCTGCTCGCCTTCTCGGGTATACCGAACACCCTTCACCGCGCCATCTGCAATATTCAATGAAGTCACCTCAGCCGAGTTGGTGAGTTTGAACTCCGGGTTCTCCCCAAGATGCTTCAACAATGTCGTGACAATGGCGGCTCCAGGGGGCGTCTTGCCGGCCCCACGATGGGTTCTTGCAAGGGAGTGACCACCCAAAGGTGCGACAACGCTCAAGTCGACGCCGATGTCGTCAACGAGCCAATTGACAGCGCCTTCCGAGCTCTGAGTCAGCAACTCAACCAACTTGGGGCGATTGACGACGCCCTTGGCCTCCTTGAAGCGCGTTCCGCCGGACTTGACGGTGTCGTCGTAGAAGAGGTCGTCTTTGTCCACGCCAGCAGCCTTCTGGAAGCGTGTTCCGGCGCCGTTGATACCGGAAGACGCCTTGATGCTGTTGCCGCCGGGTTTTGGCGCACGGTCGAGCATTTGCACGGAAGCACCGGCTTTGAGGGCCTCCTCGGCGGCGGCAAGACCGGCCAGACCAGATCCTACGACAATGACGGGCTTGCGTGACGCCATTGAGACAGATGAGAATCGAGATGCTTGATTGGAGAATGTGTTTATTGCGCTGGCGATGGAGCGACGATATGACATGCCCAGGATGGCCGCGAAGATGCCGAGTATGAGGGTAATGACGAAGCGTCGGATGGGTCGCACGAACATTGCTGTACGGGTCGAGATTCACGAGTCGACGGTCGACCGAGCGAGGCGGAAGATATATGGTAATACATTGTGGCCGTTGTACTCGGCGGAATGTGGATATTTCGGAAGCTGGTCAGGCGATTCTGGGAGTCGTACGATGTGCCGGCGGGAGAAGCAGTGTTGTGAAGGTGGCACGATTGTTTCTCGGAGGTGGGGCTCGGTGAAGTGAATCCGTCACTTTTAATGCTCGGTGAGCGTCGGTGTGTCTCGGTCAAGAGCGGGATGGGAAAGGAACTTCAGAAGGCAGGAACGACTCCTGACATGCGCCTGCCTCCTACTGTTCTAATGCAAGAGGCAATCACTCACTTAGTCACATGACGAGGAAATCTCTGCATTTCAACTACACATCAAGGCAACTCCATTCCACAATCTTCATCATTAAGGACTCCCTTCTGCTCCCAGCAATCCCGTCGTCTTCGACTGCATAATAGCCATATGGCCCTGAAAACAATTGGCCTTAGTTCAAGCTACACAAGCTATTCAGTTGTTCAAACTTCTCGAGCTCCCTCAAGGGCCAATCCACCAACCCCGCGCACGACTCGTCGATACTGCCTACAACTGCCTTGATCATCATCTCAGGCCATCCGCGAATCCACCAAGCGTGCTCGGTGTCGACATCCTTCAGACAGACAGCCCAGTGAGCGAGCAGAACCAAAGCAAGAGTATCATTGGAGCTCAAGAGGTCGATAAAGGGCGATTCAACCATGCCTAGCCACATGCACGCAATGTGGAAAGAACCCCTGGACGCAGCGACTCTGCGTAGTGCTAGCTGCAGCTTGGACCCAGCTTGCACGAGCACGTCTCGCCTCTGATGGTGGTCATCTCGTAGACCTTTCACCATTTCCATGACCCGATCAACCGAATCCTCTGCCTCGGGCCAGGTCTGCTCGTTCATGAACGATACAAGGACAGACTTCCGAATCTGCAGAGCTGTGCTCCCTTCCCCGGCATGGAGGCTCTGCCAGCCCATACGGAAAAGGGCTACAGCTCCTTGAAAGAGACCTACCACGCGGGACAATTCCTTCACTCGAACACCTGATACACTAGCGGTCGAGTCTGCCATCGGCAATGCGAACTCGAACGCCACCAAGAGCCCGGCCGCTGCGAGGGCAGATTCACACTTCGTGGGGGTCAGAGACGATGCCAAAATTGGTTGAAAGAGTGCCAGAGTTGACGCCTTGTGATGGAGAGCTGCAACCAAATACGACGACGAGAGAGATCCGACCTTGGAGGAAGAAACCGAGGCCAGATGAATGGCTGAGAAGGCAAGGACAGCCTGATGCAAATACGCATCCGCAAGAACGTGTCGAGTCACCGCTTGACGAAAGACTGGCAGGATATCCCACTTGTCCACCGAGCCGGAAGTTGGCATCGACAACAAGTGCCCGAAATAATGGTGGATCAGGAAGTGATCTTCTGGATCCGAGCTCGGCAACCCCGTGGCCCCAAGCCTGGGAGGTGATCGATGGACGACGACGGTTTCGACTTCGAAAGGACTTTGTTCCCATCTTGTCTCCGGCACTCCAATATGACGCTCTCTGTCGGCATCACGTTGCTCAAACGCACCGCGCGAAGAAGCCAAGTGGCGATAAGTACACCCATGGCCTCGTCGACGACAGCGACCGCATATTGGCTGCTGTTCGTCGCACTGGAAGTAATGTCAGCGACGGTTGAACTTTCTTACTTGAGTCTGACCATACTTTGACTCTCCCTGCCTTGCACTGAACGCACCCATGGTGAGAGTTCGTATGCGCTCGTCTGGACGGCATTTTGACTGAGATATCGTCGAGTTGTAGGTCAGGTCTTTATCTTTATGATCGCTGACGTTGCAGAAAAATAGAGACCTTCTAGGACGCTTCAAGGATTACGGAAAACTCCGTTTGGAGACGCATCTGGATCTCTGTCAAAGGGACGCCCGAATCCTCCTGAAACCACTTATCGGCTCAGCTGGTCAGCCACAAGGGGCGCCATCTCCTCCCAGACAGAGCGCGGCATGGTATCTTGGTGCACCGCGAGACAACAACAACAACACAACAGCACAATAGAGACAGCTTGCGCATCCAGAAAACTTGACCGCCATAGAAGACCGTGGTGATGATTGCGCTTCCGAAAAGACGAGGCCGTGGACTGACGGCGGCGAATGAAGTGGTAGCGACGACTCGCGCTACGCGACTTGGGCGACAAACCAGTCTCGGTGTTTCATCTACAGTAGTCAAGGTGCCAGAGTGGTTAATGGGCTGCCCTGCTATCAGATCCTCTGATACCAGTATAGGCAGTGGCTTCGGTCGCGCAGGTTCGAATCCTGTCCTTGACGCAGTACGATCTTTTTGCGATTACATCAAAGTTCAACCACGGGCTATTGCTACCGCGCTCTTTGCTTTTGTGTTCACGCGCAGTAGAGTTGACGCGGATGTGGTGCGCGGGTCATAAGTCAGTTCGGGGGAAAAGCGCACGAGGAGACCCTCTTTCTGCCCGTTTGGCATCTTCGTCTGATGTCTGCCCTGTCATCTTGTCACTTATCCCCTGAAAAGAAGTCACACCAATAAGTCCGTTCAGGGAATTTTTGGCGCGGCAGCGACATCAACGGAAATGAAGCAACGGCAACAATCAAAAGTTCCCTTTTACACCGGAGGGCCTGGACAGATCATCATTCACCGTTTCGCAGTCAAGATTCTCTGCCGAGACCAGGGCTTGAAGCAGGCACACGCATGTTGCATTTCAATTCAAATCAGCCTGGTTGTTTTTCCCGAGACGACATTGGCCAACAAGTCGCACGTCTCGTCCGCCGCCAGCTTACATGGGTTGCCTAAACTCTGGATGATGCCGAGTTATCCGGCCGTGATCTTTGCGCCTCCCTTCTTGGCATCGATTCCCGCCCCTAAACCTGCAGACAGGCTCGGATAAATCAGCCATACTTCAGCGATCGTAGGATCCTGGAAGTAAACGGACCGTCCGCCCCGGGCGAGGGCCTTCTATTAAGGACACAGACAGACGTCCTCGACCGGTGGAAGAAGAGAGACGCTATTACGCAAACGCGAACACCGATTACTTCCTGCTCGGTTACCCTTTCGGAACAAGGGAACTCAGAGCGAGCGAAGGCTGCCTCAACAGCCACAAAGGGTTGAGAACCCACGTCTCAACGACGAACGTCTCGGTGGAACGACTTCACTCTGGAAGCATGCTGCTCGGAGAAATGGAAGTTGCTTAGCATGCTTCTCGCGCGGATGTCGCGCAGGGTCCTTGCAACCAACAGGGCGACAGGTGCGGTCTTAAAACGCCACAGCAGGCCATTACTGTCGGTAAGCTGCTGCACAACGTGGCCCTGAGCCCTGTAGACCTTGGCAATGCCACCTCAAAGTACGCGCTCCAGGGGATTCTAGCGAGATTTTCCTGATCAACACATAGCATTGCCGCTGCGACTGCGGCCTTGGCTGACAAGAAAGGGACTGAATCCCGTGCGTGAGAGGTCACCATGTTTTGCCCGGGCTGTTGACAGTGGCCGTTTTCCTGACGACTTCGGCTTCTACTCGAGCCTCATTCATTGGCATCCCGGGCCAAGGGGCTGGGCATCGAAGATCCATCCGCCGATACCGTGCTGCCACGGCTTGCTCGGTCGTCAGTCAGAAGAGCAAAGCCGATCTTGGACGGAAAGGATTGAGCCAACATTTACTGAGATTTTGAGACCTTGACTGACGGAGAAGAGGACAGAAGGCCCCCAAAGGACCAGAGGTCTGCCAAAGTTCCGTCTTTGAGTGATCACTAGGCGTTTACGTGCATACGCGCCGCACCGACTCCCCGCCCGCGCTGTCACTGCCAACTCAATTCGCCATTTGGAATTCAGAAGCCCTTGGACGTTGCTGTTCAGACGGACGATTCCTCGGCGCGTTGACTATCCTCCCGCCTTCCTTTCCGCCGCCCACAGCTCGATGTCTCACAAGCCCGGCGCCAACTAGTACCGCTAGCGACAGCTGCCAGGTTGCCTAGAATCAAATAGCGCTCAATGATATCTTCGCCAGCTGCTCCAGCGCTGGCGAGTCTTTTCCCCCAGCTGGTCAGCGCAGGCCACGTTCGTCCAAGTGACTCTTCTCAAGTGGGCTGATCATCCCACGGTCCCGGCGGAAAGGGGAAAAGATGGTCGCCCTGGCATGATGTCAGCGCGACCAAAGTGGACGAGCATCCCACCCGTGTTGCGTGACGGTTTACCTCTGAGCACGGTCTGCGTCAGAGGAGGTTGTGTTCGCAGGAAAACAGCAAAGAGGCACTCGGAATAGTTGGGGCATTTGCATCGCGCCAGAACCCATCTACAGTATATTGACTCTGCTGGAAGATCGAGTAACACTGGCGTGAAAACCGGGGATTTCCCAGTTAGCTCGGTGAGCTCGGCCAGCGGATCACCAGGCAGGTGAGGAAGGCATAGTCAAAAAAGAGGTGGCCACGCACGACAATCTCCACTACGGGCGAAGGGGACGGTGTAGGCGGCGTTACGGCTTCAACAGCATGACCGGCTTCCAAATCTTTTCGAAGCCTTCTGCATCGTGACACTGGCGCAGTCTGGGGAAATAAACTCATCAGCCGCCTTGGAATCCGGGGACAGGCGGCTGTGATCCAAGCGGATTGCTGGGTATCCACGACTAGAGCGACCCCGAACTCTACAGCCAGATGGCGCACCTCGAAGCTGCTTCGGCCTGGCGCCATCATCGCACCACTGTACCGCAGTACGACACGATGGACGGCGAGCAAGTCACTTCGTTAGGTGCATATTTCGCGGTCTGCATTGAAAGGCGACCGACCCTCAAGTCTGCGGGAGGCTTTCCCCGCATCCGCCCGCCATGTGGTGCTTGGTTCACGCCTCTTGGGAAGTTCGATTTCGGGCTTGATCTTCACAGCCAGATGTGGTTGACACTGTCATGATGACGATTTGGTCAAGGTCGAAGCCCGCGAAAGCAAAGAGTTGCGCAGCGCAGCACAACTTCCAATGACGGCGAAATGTTTGGTTCGTCGAAGATTGAGAAGCACGGAGCTTGGAGATGAATAAGCAGCGCCTGTCTCTCGATCATCAGGGACGACATCAGCACTCATCGAGGAGACGAAACCACGGATACGCTGGGATATTGCAGAGCGAGTCCCATGTTCCCCGCAGCTTCGGTTCGGAGCTAAGGGTCAATAAAGGCCTTGACCGAGTGGAATGGCAGATGTATCGCGACTTAGCCCACCCCAACTGGCTAAGTGACACTTCCCAGGCGAGCGGAACATTGAAACGCGCGATGCGATGCAGAATCGAGACAACGGCAATGCGTGCCCACCGTATATACTCCTGGAATGGGGAAGTGGGAACCCGCCAATCTCTGCGGGCCAAAGCAGTCCTCTGGAGACTTTATTTTGTTCGACGTCCACGATATCTTTTGACGGACGTTCTAAATCGGATTCAACAGCCGCATTGCCTCGTGGGACGATGCCGACTACCGACAGCAGTCGGTCGACCACGATCCACAGCCAAGACGGGGAGAAGCCGTCAACACGGTTTACTTGTCCGTTTTCCCTTGCGCCGTCGAAACATCCTAGGCGTCACCGTTCACACTTTTGCAACAAGCAGATGTTCCCACTATTTCCATGACACACTGTAATATCAATCCTGGGATCAAATGCGACCTCGACAACCACCAAAAGGCCAATGGGAAGCTTCGACCAGCAAAGAAGCGGAATTCGTCAAGACCGGGCGTGGAAGAAGCAGACGACACACCATACTGAAAACATCCTGGCGGCACAGAAACTCAGCGATTCAATTCCGCTGTGGCCGCAGTGCTTACCAGCGCCCACGTAGTATCGCTCCGGTACTATCACCACCCCCTCCTTGCCTGGACGGGAAAAAACGAAAGTTGGGGGCTCAAAATGATTTTTAAATCCGACGTTCAAGACGATGCGCGCACTCGCGGCACAGCAAGAATACCAGATTTCCGCGGTTGGTCTTCCTTCAATAAGAATGGCTAGAAGCGTTTCATCTCGGCAATATGGTCGTGGATACGCAATAATGATTTGCGTCACCCGCCACCATGCGTCTCTTGTGAGCTGCCGACGCAGATATTCAACGCCAAAGGGGAGGAAAAAAAGTTGGAGAAAGCGCCGTTGACGGAAAAGGTGGGAATGACATCAGCCCATGAGCTGATTCCGCCTGTGGCCCGAGGCAGTGTTTCTCTTGGCTCAAGGCTTCCCACTTCCACTGATCCATGAATTGGACAACCCTTCGTCCAGGAGCCTGGAATTCTGCTCCTCGTTGTCCGTAACTGCGGCAGCGACAACAATGGCTTGGTGCTTGTCTCGGATCTCAACACCGGAGGGTCGGCCGAGGTTTTTTTCACCAACAAATTGGACGGACCAAACCTCGAATTGACCGACATGGGTGACCCCCGTTAGATGCATACCAGAATGCCACGAGCAGACTTGCCGAGCTACCTAATAGGACGGAGGCTCTTTTCTCCTCACAGGAACGCAAATCAATCCTTTGTCGGGAGGGTATCCTTTCGTGTGAAGATCGGATATCTGATTGACACTACCGTTAACTGCCATCCAGTCGTCCCTTTTCTTATGGAACCAGGGCTGGAGAAACGATGAGGAGAGAGTGGAGAGAACAGAGGCAAAAAGACGAACAGGTTGGATTTCTCTTCGCACCACTTCGGGCTTCCGATGCCACTTGCGATGGACCTCCCACAATCCCCTCCAGGCGGTCTCCGAGGTGGTCACTCCACCATCCACCCATCCATTTCACCACCACCAGCCGACATTGCACCCAAAATAATGAATCTAAAATGGAGCCTCCGTTTAATCCATTCCCAATTCGACCCCCGGTTCGAACGTCTCTGGGCTTTAAAGATCGGCCCTTGTCCAGACGGCTCGTCCTAACACCTTAGTCTGCATCACAACCTCCAACACCATCACTCGACCCACTCCCTCTTCCTGCAGACGCCTCCCTCCTCGACCTCGACCGCGACCTCCTCTTCCCCGTCCTCATCGAACAGCTCCAGTTCTCCGCGTTGGAACGTCGACGTATCTGTACATACCCCAGACATTCACACCTGCGCGAAGCTACCGACCCATCAGCTATCTCGGTTTTGCGCTGACCCTCGACCCCGTTCTCCATTTCTCCTCGTTTGGGTTATTCTTCCAGCTCTTTTCCCCATTACTTAAAGCCTCCTCCCCACCCCTTCCCCGGAGTCTCGAGAGTCTCTTTCTCCAACATCCGTGTGCCTTCTTCCGTGGTGTTTGCCTGCTCTTACTACGAGATACCCCCTTATTCGTTTATAATTCTTTGCTTATACCCTGCACTATTGTATCATACACTCGGAAGAACACACAATGGCCACACACGAGACTCACCAGACTGCCGTCCCTCCCACGGAATTGGAGAAGGATGTGCATACCACTGGTGCCGCCCATCACAACGGCGTCAATGGTGCCCAAGTAGGCCAGAACGCTCAAATGCGACACGCCGGGCCCTTCACCCGCGTTGCCGACTACCGGAACATGACTGAAGGAGATGCGCAGGCATTCGGCGGTTCTCTCCAGCCCGGACTGTGGAAGCCCTACGAACACAGAAAGTTCGCCAACCCGGCACCTCTCGGTCTATCTGCTTTCGCCCTCACGACCTTCGTTCTCTCTTGCGTCAACCTCCACGCTCGCGGCGTCACGGCCCCCAACATCGCCGTACCTCTCGCCTTTGGCTACGGTGGTCTCGTCCAGCTCCTCGCCGGCATGTGGTACGTCCGTTTTTCCTCGTCAATATTTTCTTTTTTCTCTCCAGGGGGCCCCCAAAGTTCCCCAACATCTCATCTCAACCGACTCCACGATACCCCCCGCAAGCGGAAGCTCCGGTGTGGTGTTGTGGAGCAAGACCGCGCTCCTTTGCGCCGGAGTGGATCGACCTTAAGCACGAAGGTGGAGGGTCGGTAAGACGGAGGCGACTCCAGGCAGGGAACCGGTGGAGCAAGAAACGCAATACGAACATCATAGGCCGTCACTTCTCATACGCGCCAATGCTGACAATGGGATTACAGGGAGATGGCCGTTGGCAACACTTTTGGTGCCACTGCTCTGTCCTCGTACGGAGGTTTCTGGATCTCGTACGCGATTCTTCTCACCCCTAACTGGAACATCATCGGCGCGGACGGTCCCTACGCCGCCAACTACTCCGACCACTACTCCGCCGTCGGCTTCTTCCTGACCGGCTGGTTCATCTTCACGACCCTGTTGCTGCTCTGCACCCTGCGCTCGACCGTCGTCTTCTTCCTCCTCTTCTTCACCCTCGACCTGGCCTTCCTCTTCCTCGCTTGCGAGAACTATGCCGCCAACAATGGAGCCCTGACGGCCATGCGCAACCTTCAGATCTGTGGCGGCACCTTCGGTATGCTGGCTGCGTTCCTGGCATGGTACTGCGCTTTGGCTGGTATCCAAGATGACAGGTGAGCTATTTTCCTTTGACGACAGGCAGACCCAGTCATACCTAGACTAGACCACGCCGTCGCCGCCACTCCCGTGCCCCGTCGAAATGATGACTCGAAAACGGGCTATGTGGATTTCATTTGCTAATCGTCTTCGTTCGCAGCAACTCCTTCTTCCAGGTCCCCGTCTTCCACCTTCCGTGGTCTGACAAGGGCCGCGAGCTCCGCAAGGCCAAGAGCCGCGCTTCTGTCTAAGCAGTGATGGGTGTAAGTTGGGAATGTGTTTTGTTACGCGCAATGGGTGCGCGAATATGTTGAGGTGCGCGCGGCGTCAAGGCGAACGGCGCGTATGATGGACCGGGTTGCAGCGGTCGTGATTGCACAGAAGGATACCCCCGAAAAGATGAAGGGTGCTGTCGCTTCCTCGGGACAGGGAATACCGACGGCGACAGCAGTGGCCGGCAAGGATGCCGCGGCCTCGCCCAGCTGTTAATATTTCCAGAGTATTTTCTCGTTTTGGCAATCCTGCCCAGGAAAGTAACGCCCCGTGGTAGAAACGGTCGGCTCTACGAAGCCATGTACTACACGAGGTTTTTATTTAATGAACGCAATATTTATCACGACTACCACCACTTCATATCTACGCTCATGAGACATACTAACCAGACAGCAATTGGTGACCGTGATGCGACAGTACTCAGCCAGACGTACGGTTCGCTCGGCGCCGCGCGCGATGGGGTGACGTCGAAAAAGAGACCGCCCACGCCGATGCGGCAACGCGGTCTTGGCAATGGGACTCAAGACTTTTTTTAGGCGGCTGATTTCGCCTTATTCCTCCCTTGACGCAATTACGGGAGATGTGCGCACCTGTTTTCTCCCGCGGGAAGAGGGCAATTGGGGGCTGCTGCTGGCGCGGGCTTTGGGGATGGCGCCTTGGCATACCTCATTTTTTTGTCGGGGTGCGGAGGTGTTGGTTGTCAGGGGATGGATGGGTGGTGTTCGGGCTCGGCTGATGACATTTTGGGGGAGAGATGATGATGGCGACGAGTGAGTGGGCGGAAGGATGTAGGAGGTAAATTCGAGGGATGTTTGATGTTTGTGATGCTCTTGTGTATTGCTGAAGCTTGGGTCCGGATGATTTGCGAGGCGGTCGCCCAGCTACACACGTCTGTACGCGGATGGCAGACACGACGAGTCGTTGTTGTATGCGCTTGTTGGGCGATGGTTGCCATGAGTTGGTCGCCAATTTTTGTGCTCTTGTGAGAAGTCTTTCGTACGATTCCGTTCAGTCCGCTCTTGAGCGGTGGACCTTCAATTGACGCCTTCAATGGATTTGGGCAGTGTTGCGACGTTGAGGATCGTGTCTGCTCGAACTGATCGGGAATTTACTATTTTTCACAATGCATCTTTAATCTGGTGACTTTTGCTGTCCTATTTGGCAACATTCGAGGTGTCTGACAAGAGAAGCCGGCTTTCCATCTTGAGCTTTCGGGTAGGCTGTCAGTAGTATACATCACAGTAACTTGTCACTTGAGTCATGTCTTCAAACCAGCCTGCAAATTAGGCACTCAACGTTCTAATATCTCAAGTCTTGTTTACAAATCGTGGTTGGTATTGATGCTCGCCGTTGCACACTCCGCTTGTCGCATTCAAGCTCGAAATCAAGTCCGCAGGCGTGGGCTATTGGTCAACATCGCCGTTGCTCTAGGTATTTGCGAGTATTATGTTAGAGAGCTACTGTGTTAGCAATCAAGATTTATTATCTTCCAACTTCATCCGTGGTTATGATGCGTGAAGCTCCGGCGTTACCAACCTGCTGTGGTCCACGGAGTTGGCAGCCGGATGATATTGATGTCGTCCTCGCGACGGGCTGGTGCCGCCAGACCTCGCGACAGATCATCTGACGCAGTCATCATGGGAGCGAGGTCTGCTTCATGTCACTTTTCAATGTCGGTTTGATGTACGGAACACGATCTGAGGTTGCTTGGATGGTGTTGAGACGTGGAATGCTGACCTGGACATGAACGGTTGGGCTCCTCTGTGCTGGCATTTGATGCGTATCATCTACCTCAAGCGTTGAAGCAAGAAGTCCGAATGATAGAAACTGCCAACGACAATTGAGTTGTTACGAAGTGTTGTGAATTGGATTCAGTCTCCTATAGATACCGACACCTTCTCTCCATGCTCGCACGCGTTACCCTTGAGGTTGCACATGAATGGGAAGTCGTCGACAGCAAGCTTGCATATGGGACTTAAGAATGTTATAGAATTCTTCACTGCATACTTATTGCTGACATAGGTAAACACGAAAATCGTGGTTGACTCGGGAACTGCTTGCATCAGAGCTGAGGGACGATCAGCTGGTCGACATCAGGACCCCATCCCTCGGACCTCGAGAACTTGACAGTGTTCGTACCCGCCTTCAGGTCAACGTGAACAGTGCTGCTTCCCGCTCTATCAGGGTGATGGTTCGTCGCGAGGAAAGCCACATTCTGCTCCTCGTCATTGACCGAGACGGCTGCGTGGCGAGACGCCGTGTCGCCGTTCTTGTGCTTGACAACCAACGTCACGCGATCAGCCGCGCCCGACTCGAACGTGAACGCCGCGGAGCCGTCCTCGTCGCCGCCCAGGTATCCGGCCGCCGAGGACCCGCTGCACTGGGAGCAATCGACGGCACGCGCGCCGTTGGCGAGCTCGGCATCCTCGCCCTCGAGCTCCAGCGTGGGCTTGGCTTCGGACCACGTGCCCGCCGCGACGTCGACGGTCCAGGAGTCGTGCCAGTCCAGGGTGACGGTGGTGCCGTCGAAGTTCAGGGGGAGCCAGATGTAGGTGCTCGCGGCCAGGTTTGTCGAGTGCCAGCGGTCACCCATGTAGATCGCTTTATCGTTGCCGAGGGGGAGGACGTAGCTGACTTGACTGGCGTGGGTGTTGGATCCCACGGGTGCGAACTCGGTCCAGTTGGACCAGGGTCCGGAGAGGGACTCGGCGTAGCTGTACACCTGGAAAAGTGTCAGTGAGGATGGCTGGAAACACTAGGCACGTTGACTTACGTTGTCGTTCGGGTTCCATCCAGTCAGTTGGGATCCGAAGATGAAGTAATGCCCATTACGCTTGACGAGGGCCGGCGACTCTGCGAAGTACTCCCAGCCAAAGGTTACCTCTTCAACGTCGAGGTAGTCGTCAGTGAGCTTGATGATGCGGGTTCCGTACTCGCGCTGACACGGTGTAAGCAAAGTTGCAACGTCTCTGGTGAGATCCGGGTGATACTCACGTCCTCGGTCAGAAGGTAGGCCTTGCCATCGTCATCCTTATAGACACCGATGTCACGGCTTTGGAAGCCCAAGGGGCGGAAGCTTCTGAGATACTCGTACGTTCCGCAGACGCTGTCGCCGATTCCGACGCCGACGCGGGCGTCCTTGTAGTCCGAGGAATCGATGTGGAGATACAGGACGTATTTGCCGGTGCTGTCGTTCTTGATGACCTTGGGACGCTCGATGATTCTGTTCGGGCCGAGGTCCCCTGCTTCTTCAGTGCGTTCGATGAGGCGTCCTTCGAAGCTCCACTCGATCAGGTTCGTGGAGGAGTAGCAGTTAACGGCCTGGAAGGCCGAACCGTCGGTCTTCTCTTCACCGATCATGTAGTAGACTCCATTTTCCTCGCTACGAGAAGTGAGCAACTAGACTGGAAGAGGAGTTTGACGGGGTCTTTACATGATGCCATTGCCGTGAGCCTGGACATGCTCTCCGGTGTTTGTCTAAGTTGGGTTAGCCTGCTCACAGGTAATAATCAAGTTGAACCTACGGCAGTCCAAGTTGCTCCAGGCACAATGCTGAGAGCAGCCTGTGCGGTGCCCACAGAGAGGGATGCCGCCAAAGCAATGTTGATGGGACGCATTCTGACTCGGGGGCAATCTACCAGACGTTCGACTGAGATCTGTCAAGTGGCTCCTGTAGAATCAACTCGACCGACAGAAAAAACAGAGTCGGCCGGCCGCCCCATACTTGTACTCTTCAACTCCAACATCGATAGTCTCTTGGCGATGTCCATGTCAACAGAGACATCGAAGCACATGACGTTGACGTTGCAGAGACCAAGATCCAAGCAACGGCATGTGTTCTAGAAAGGGTTTAAGCGACAGAGAAAACAACTCGGGGCAGCACAAACCGAGCGCTTAAAAGACTCCATGCGTGGCTGGAGTCACATTCGGCTGGGGTACCGAATCGTCAACGCGGGGAAAACCCAGGGACAGGAACAAAACCCGCGCCTCCGCAAAACTTGGTCTTCTCATTAGAACTGGCCATTGGAACACATGAAATACGAGTGAATTCTTCCGACATCACCGAGGCCGAATATTTGCAGGCCAAGACGTCGCATCGCGGGGAAAGAATCAAGCTGGCGGGTTGGGGGAGTCAGATGATCGTTACCCCAAGAGGTAAGAAGCTTGAATTCTGGGGTGATCTCGGGGGACCCGGAGCCGGGGACGAACATGTCATGAGTCGGAACGGCCCGGTCCCTCGGCCGAACGCTGTAGAATAAGGTGAACCAAAACCGCCAACTCGTGAACTTTCCCCGTCCAATGTCATTGATCCCTTGAAAGACACGTACCCAGTCCGGCGCATTACTACAGCAACATACATGCATCAACATGAAACTTTCAAAATGGTCATCAACTTCTCTTGTTCGTACTAGTCATCTAAGCTGATGCGGCCTACGTCTGTTCCTGTCGCCTGTTTGATCGCGTAAGAAACTAAATCCAGGGTATCTTTCGGCACGAACAGCTCATCCGAGGTACCGAAAACCGTATCAAAATGAGCCAAATAGCCCTCTGGAGCCGTCTCATGGCAATGGCCTGGTACTGTGGCCAATGTTGTTCTTGCCGCCCTGCCGCCGCCAACACTGAAAAGTTCTCCAGACACAGGACATTCCTCGCTGCATAATGCCACGACAAAGTCTGCCACGAGATGAGGTTGGAAGTATTCCCTCGTGATCCGCTTAATGACAGGCGACAAGTCAGACATGCGAGATGCTGCGGAGGGCAGGATTCCGTTGATCTTGATGCCATGCTTGGGACTCATTCGCCCGAGATCTCGAGTCAGACCGAATGTGGCGCCCTTGCTTGACACATAACCACCGTCGCCGCCGGCTCCCATGCCCACGAGACTGTCAGATGAGGTATTGATGATCCTTCCGTAGCCTTGCTTCTCCATGGTGGGATATACCGCACTAATAAGCATAATGGTCCCTAATGCGGCAATCTCCCATGTTCGACGGAACGACTCGACGTTCACATTGTCGTGTGAACTGGCCTTTCCAGCAGTCCCGGCGTTGTTGATAAGGATATGGATCGTTCCATAGGCGGCGATGGCGTCCTGCACGAGTTGTTGTACTTCGGATTGTGAAGAGATGTCGTGGCCATCTGCGATTGCTTCTCCTCCCTTTGCTTTTATCTCATCAACGACGGTTTGCGCGCGAGAGATCGTTCCGCGTTGACCGTCCAAGGAGCCACCGTAGTCATTCACGACTACTCGGGCACCATATGACGCAAGTAGAAGAGCGTACTCTCTTCCAAGGCCGCCTCCTGCACCCTTGAATAGGATTTAGCGACGGATTGACGACACTCTCCCGGCTCAAGAGACTTACGGTTATGATGGCAACGCGACCTTGAATCGAAGTTAATCTGGATGAAGACATAGCGAATATTTCGGGGGAGTAGAGGTACTGTAGATCGAAAGGCAGAAAGAAAAAAACACTAAGATTTCAACTCCATTCAATCGACTAATGGAGTATTCACTCTGTTTCCCCGCACTCTGATGCCGCAGCATTTATGGAACGAGGAGCATGCATTAGTTGGCGACTTAGTCAATATCTAGTTCGCAGATTCTGGCACTTCTACCAATGAGTCAGCGGGCGAGTCAGCGTACCAAGCCAACTGAGGCACCCCAGTTGGCCCCAGGAAAACTTGAGAGGCATTTCCGATGAGAGAGTACGGAACTTCTCACGGGTATAAAATTATCGGCTGAATAAGTCAAAATTGAACCTCTTAAGACCATTGGTTGAGAGTCCACACCCGAGTTTTCGCACACACCATGGCCATCTTGAGGACTATCCTGGACAACATCAGATGGACAGCATGTATGATTTCATTACGATGTATGTTGACTGAAACTCTAAAAAAGCGGAAAAGCATCAAATTGACACAAGAGCCAACTAGATTATGTCGTCCCCAAAACTCGGCTCCGAGCCTTGATATCACGACTTCTCGGAACCAAGGAACCAACTCTTCAACACATGCTCGCGAATGCCACGATACGATGGTGACGAACCTTTGCACACTCATGAAATGCTCATATTTGCTAATATGTGATGTCGCCAGGCTTGCCAGAATGCTTTCAATGCATCAGTTTAGAGCTGTTACGTCACTGACAGTAGATGCGGACGCGTTGCTGAAAAACTGTCCGACTTTACTTGAAGAAAAGGCAACTACTGAAAGTGTAAGTATTTTGTCACAGCTCATCAACGCGGAAAGCTTCTAACAAACGTAGATCGAAAGGCAAGATTTTCGAGGACGCTACGTGGTCAAGTTCCTGCACTCCACACACACCATATTCTATATCTATGGAGGAGGCTTCGTCAGCGGCTCGCCAGGGTCTGTGACGCCATACCTCTTGCAGCTCAGCGTGGAACTTCAAGCCCGTGGAATACAAGCCGATGTGTTTGTCCCTGAGTATGATCTTGCACCAGAAAGCCCTTATCCGATTGCCCTCGGTCAAGTTGTTTCTGCGTATGAATACATTGCCAGCCAGAACAAGCCCGTCATTCTGGCGGGCGATTCTGCTGGGGGCAATTTGTGTCTTGCACTACTTCGTCACTTGGTCAAGCCTCACCCGAGCATCACAGCAGTAAATCAGACTCAAGAACGTTTGGGACGCGTCATAGGGATGTTTCTGGTCAGTCCATGGCTGAATTTACGAAACGATGGCGAGTCCTGTCTCAAGGACGACGGGCGAGATTGTCTGCATAAGGCAGCTCTAGATTCCTGGAGCGCGGCGTATTTGCATGGGAAACCTTTAGACAAATACGCAAATCCGACTGATTGCAGAGATGACTGGAAAGACATCCTGCCAAAGACTACGCTGTTGGTTTCAGGCGACCTTGACCTCTTTGTTGCCGATATTCGAAAGCTCTCTTCGTGCATCCTTGAGGTGTGTTGCTATTTCTCGCTCAAACAAGTCGCTTGGTTACTGATTCTGATAATTAGAGCACATACAATAATCTTGAAGTGTTTATTGCTCCATCGAAAGGGCATGTTTGGAATCTGGTTGACTTTGGGAGTACCCAGGCTGGGGTACCGGTTGCTCAACTTGGAGATGTGGACCATGACGTTTACGCTGGAATTCAATTGCAGGTGAACTGGATTGTTGATAAGTGCATGGCTTGATGGGTTGATGAAACTTCAGTAGATAACCTAAGTGCTGACACCTACTTCATAATGAGCATTGGGAAATCGACTGGTATTGTTATGTGCTAAATCTGTGTCCACTTGTACGCTTTGCTGTGCTGGCGGCTTGATCAATCTTCCCTGTTGATACGAAGGTCTTGAGAATTCTTCCTCGTCGCTCATGATCAATACATGTATGTATAGAAAACCACGTTGAGGCGAGAAGCAAGTGTGCGAACTCAGTGATAATTTCAGGCTATACAAACTCCTATGCGTTGGCATGCTCTCTAGGCAGACTTGTTGTTCGGACCTGCAGATCCGTCATTCTCATCTAACTTCGTCCTGTGAAAATGACGGGGCTTGACCTTCGCAGCGTAAAGACTATCCAGCTCAGAAACAGTCCGGTCTTTTGTTTCCGGCAACCAAACCCAACATCCAGCAAACCCAAAGAGAGTTGTAGCCCCAAAAATAAACCCGACTTTCCCACCAAGGTTACCTGCATCTGGATTGAACATGTATGGGAAAACAAAACCCACCAGCCACTGGACGGTGCAGAGGACAATGTTGGAAAGGCCTTGGGTTCGCGACCGAAGACGCCACGTCGGGATTTCCGCCACCACTGTCCAAGCGACTGTTCCTAATGTTATTTGATAAACAAAGCCCTGGTTTGAAACTGTGTCAGCCTGTTGTCATTCATTATGGCTGGGGAAAATGTACATACCCAGACAAACATGAAAGCGATAGTGACAAGGTTTGTCGACCGGCTTCCTGGAACAGAAGCTCCACCAACAATGAACAAAGTGATGGCGCACGCGAGCTGTCCCCATACAATGAGTGGTCGACGACCAATAACGGTAAGCAGGGGCCAGGATAGTATGTTGGCAATGAACATGCTGATGTTGTTCAACATGCTCAGCAAGAACGACATTTGAGCATCGAACCCGGCCAGTTGATAGTAATAAGACTGGTAACCGAGAACAAAAACCAGACCGCTGAGGTATTGGCAGCCGTATATGAACATGCTGATAAGAGTGCGCTGTCTATCAGTCTTGGAGAAGCACGATTTGTAGGAAACCGAATCGGCTTGGGAGCGATGCTCATGTTCTTGCTGGACTGTGTTCTCGATAACGGCTAGAATGGCATTCTTGTCAATAACCGAGTTGGAACCATGGAGCTGATTCAATGATGACTTGGCAGCCTCCCGATGTCCAGCGCGAACCTGCCAGACGGGCGACTCGGGACAGAGCAGAACCGTAGGAAAGACGATAGCCGGGATGATCCATTGACAAGCAAATGGGATGATATAAGCGTTGGCGTCGTTACGGGGACCGATTTTGTATATGATCCCAGTGAATAAGAGAGTACCGCAGAATTGGATAAAGTTGGTCATGGCTGTAAGCCATCCCCTGAGCTTCAGAGGGGCGACTTCTGAAGCATACAAGGGGCCGATTATCAACCATGCCCCGATAGATAGGCCATTGATGGCTTTTCCCGCCGTCAAAATGGGCAGCGAGCCGTCGTAGACTGAGGCGTACTGAACACCTACACCAATGATAGAAATGGCGCAAAAAGTCATGTTGGTGTACCGTCGACCAATCTTGTCGGCGAGCCATCCCGTCACAGCCGCGCCGACGATGGCCGCAAGCTGAGACACGCCTCCGTACAGGCTCTGCCAAGTTGCAGGAATGATGAAGATGGTCGTGTCGCCCTGTACAAGTGTTGTCCCGTAGTCTTCCCTATGTGGAAGTCTTCTTAGTATCGTGATCTGGGATGGGGCATTCCTCTGGTGATACCACACGTACCGGAACTTGGGAGTTGCAAGTAGGTTACCTGCGATGATTCCGTCTATTCCATAACCGAAAACAACGAGTTGGAAGTATAAAATCCATAGAGTGCTTCTCCAGAAAACTCGAACACTTTCAACGAAGCTGAGACTCTTTTCGTATGCAACCTGGGCGGCGGCTGCTTCAGCAAAGTCTTCGGCCTGGCTGTGTTCGACGTGCTCAGCATCGGTCATTGACTTAGGCCGGTTTGGAAAATTCATAGCCAACAAACGTAGGGGAAAAGAAGCCGATGTCTTAATTTCTGAGGATAACAGCAAGTTGTTTGGAAAGTATTGGGCAGAGTAGACTGTTGATGCGGAGTGATCCTGTAGACAGTACTACGATATCAACCAACCAGCTTCAGAAATGCAACGCCAGTGTTCGACGTCAGAAATCAAAGCTCGATGGGTGATATCGACCCCATGGGGAAGATCTTGGCTATGCACCCTGGTTCCCCGCCGCGTTATCCACATTCCAGATCGGTTGACTCTCCAGTCGAGTCAGCGAGCGGGGTTGCGCGCGACCTTCATCCGGACAGAACGTCGTGAACGCGACGGTCGGGCTTTTACCGATGTATTACTGAGCGGGCGGGGTTAGAAGCAGAAGGCTATGTCAGTGAACCATTAATTCTAGATCGAGTGATCGCCGAGCGCCTGCTTGCCCTTTGAACCAATATCGCACAGACGAATGAACCCCCTTCTAATATTTTATATTGAGTCCCGGATGATACCAGCTTCTCGGAAATTCATGTTGACAACTGAAGCCGAATACCTTTACGATTACCACATCTAAGCGAACAATGACAGCCTCAAACGGAGACAGCTACTCTGTGACCTTCGACAACCGTGTCGGAGGCACACCTATCAGCCATGGCGAGGCTGTTCCTTACCAAGTATCTGAACACATTCTTTGCGCTCCACGACGGCTGCGAGTTGCTTGCATAGGGGCGGGAGCATCAGGCATTATGATGTGCTACAAGAAGGAGAAAGAATTTGGGGACTCAATTGATTTGGTTGTCTATGAACGTAAGTTCTTATCATAAATGGGTTGAGTGGCAAAGGTGAGAAAGGTTCTAACAACCGTAGGATATCCCAAGCCTGGAGGCGTTTGGTATGCGAACAAATACCCAGGATGTCGTTGTGACGTTCCATCGCCAGCCTATCAATATCCATTCCACCCCAAGGCAGATTGGTCGAGATACTATTCTCCAGCAGCGGAAATCCAGTCCTACTACGAGTCATTTGCTAGGGAGAGGGGTTATGTGGACAACTACATCAAACTCTCTCATCGAGTTGACAAAGCAGCATGGGACGAGATCACTGGGCAGTGGGTGCTCACTATCACAGAAACGACTGGACCGAGCGAGAGAACCTTCGAGGACCGAGCCGACTTCCTTGTCGCCAATATCGGCGTTCTCAATACTTGGAAATGGCCTGATATCCCCAATCGTGAGGCCTTCCATGGAAACATGACGCATTCAGCCGACTACGATACCAATCTTGACCTTGAGGGAAAGACAGTCATTGTCATTGGGTCTGGTGCTTCTGCCATACAGATCGTCCCGGCCATCAAAGAAAAGGCCAAGAAGGTCATTTCATTCTATCGTACGCCGCAGTGGATTGGACCAGGCCTGGCCATGGATGGCTTCACAGACTCTGAGGGGCGCAACTTCACTTGTAAGTCGAGTGAGTTTGTTTATCTGGCGAATATATCTAACATATGTTTGGGATTAGATACCGAGGAGCAAAAGAATCAGTTTTCGCAAGACCCTGTAGCATACTTGGCGCACCGGAAAGCTATCGAGACAAAGATCAACGCGAGTTTCCCACATAACATTGCCAGCCATCCGGCGCAGAAGATGGCTCGTGAGGTAGGCACTTATGAGATGGATGACTTGAAGGATACGGGAGATTTGCTAACACATCTGAATCTAGTTCGTCACTGAGAGAATGAAGAGGATCCTGAAAAACGACAAGACATTGACCGAACGACTCGTACCAACATTCCCAATGGGTTGTCGTCGACTTGGCCCAGCCGAAGGGTTTCTAGAGGCATTCCACGAAGACAACGTGGAGCTGGCCGAGGGTGATATCGAATCCTTCACAGAGGATGGACTACGCACCACCGATGGGACTGAGTTCAAAGCAGACGTGATCATTTGCGCCACAGGATTCAACGTCAGCTTCAAGCCGCACTTCCCTATCATTGGACGTGATCAGGTCTCACTCAGCGAGGCGTGGAAAAATGACCCAGCTGCGTATCTCGCGCTCACTACAAGTGGTTTCCCCAATTTCATGAGTACGTCATTTGATACGAGATGCCGATTTGTGCGTCGACTGACCAGTTGCAGTTGGATCTTTGGGGCCGAATTGCCCTGCGGGTCACGGATCGTTCATTACAGTGCTGGAGGCAGCGCAGAACTATGTATGCAAGATCATCAGGAAGATCCAGACGGAGAACATTCTCAGCATGGAAGTGAAACCTGAAGTTGTGGCCGAATACAACGAACATGTACACGAGTGGCTGAAGAGAACGTAAGGAACAGCTCGTTTCCTTTCAGAAAGAGTTTGCTAACACATCATTGGCAGGGTGTGGGCGGCTGGTTGTAGGTCTTGGTATAATCAAGGCCGACCTGGTGGTAAGATCACGGCTCAGTATCCCGGTTCCCTGGTCCACTGGCGATTGATGCTTGAGCACCCTCGCTTTGAGCATTACGACATTCGATACAGGAGTTCCAACAGGTTTGAGTTCATGGGGAATGGCTTCACGTTGACAGAAGTTGACGGTGGAGACTTGGCATGGTATTTGGATCCCGAACACATAGAGAAGCCTCTTTTCTCGAATTGGCCGTGAACGGATTTTGTCAATAGCACGAAGGCCTTAGATATGTACATGTTTGGAGATTTAGATAGCATGTTCTTTCCACTGTGGATAACGGTTGAAGAATTCCCTGTCCAACTTCCAGTTTTTCAGATCCAGTATTCGTGAAATGATCTGCTGCGGGTCGCATAAGAGGTCAGATTCCGACGTTGAGATGTCGACCGTGAGGTACCTCCCCACATCAGCGGAAACATCATCCACCTGCTGTGTATCCGACATCGACATGAACACAAGCTCTTCTCTAATCTTAGGCCTGTTCAGGTGTTATTGAAAGAAGCCCGAAATACGTGCGGCATGGGACATACCAAGCGATGAGATCCGCTACAAGAGGATGATGCATCATCAGTTGCAACGGCGTTGGCCGAAGCCAAGATGGCAAACTATGGTAGGCATCTTCGCTGCGGAGTATCTGCCACTGTTGTCAGATAGTAAAAGACTGTCTTGATCTGAGCCGATCTCAATTGAGACCGAAAGACTAACTCTGAACAGAAGATACAGCACCCAATATGTAGCCAAATACTCGGAAGTGCTACGGGTCTGTCGTACTGGTGCCAAATAGGCCTTCAAATCGGTCGACAACGGGTTTTGCCGGTTATCAATCAAGAAGTCAATTAATGCCGGTGGCCCAATCGATTCCGGCTTTTGACTCGCGCGTTGTAACATATCATGCAACAGCTTGTCTCTAGCCAGGGGAGGGAACAACAGCATGGGCATGTTCCAAGAGGCCTCTTGTACGCCACTAGTTGACCAACCGTGTAGACGGAGAGCAGGCAAGGTATGTTCCAAGCATGTGCTAAACTGCTCCATGAAGCATTCTAGAGGATCTGGTTGGTTTTGCTTGTCAGATTCCGGCAACGGGACGTCGCCGTACAATGACAGAGTTTCCATCCGGCCATTCTCGCCCGGCAAGCAGTTGCCCTCTTGGGTTGTATTGCTCATCATAGGAGACCATCTCATGCGCCTGTTTATCGCACTGCAAGCAGATGTATTGTCATGTGACAAATGGGGTGTCTGGTCCTGTGTTGTTGAAGCTGGATCGACAGTGGATAGGTGTTGTAAATCATCATCATGAGCTTTTCGTGATTCGGCGTGTGTGGCTTCGGTACCAATTCTGTCGTTGTGATCGGAACTCTCCGCGTTGGCAAGGTGAGACTCGTCGCGGAGTACATCATCTATTGGGTCTTCTTGCGTATTTGATAAATGGAAGTCGTCATCGTCTAGGCCTAGATCCGCGGCGTGGATAAAATGGTCCGGGATATCTCCTGTAGGAAGCGCGTCATTGAATATGAGATCGTCCAGATCTGACAGCCTGGTTGTTTCCATGGAATCATGTAACGCCGCCGCCTCTGGCTGTGACGTCTGATGCACCTGAGCCGCATCGCTGACGCCGGACGGAGAATCGACCACAAAGGCTGGCATACCTCCGCGGTCATCTTTATCGCCATCGTCACTAGGCGTCGGGCAGCCGTCTTTCGAGATTGGTTGCAAATTGAGAACCGAATGTCGTCTAAGCTCAAGTTGGCGTTGCAAAACATTCTGCATCTCGTCCCAGAGATCATGCATCTTCTGCAGCTGCGTTGCCATTTAGTGATGTCGCCTAAATAGAGAGAAGGGTATGGAAAGCTTACTTCATCCTGCAATTTCAAGTTCCGAGCTGCAAGCTGAGTCGTCTCAGACTTGCCTGTCGACTTTAGAAGAGATATCTGAGCCTCCAGGCCTTCAATGTACTGCTTCTGGCGTTTGCGATGCTGTCTTTGCGCATTTCGGTCCGTCTGCCGCTTCTTCGCTTTTCGGGATTCAGCCTCGGTCATGCTGACCCCCTCCTTTGCGCCAAGTGATTCCATGGATCAGATTGTGACAGTTTAACCACTGGATGCAATAGCTCAGCAATAGTAGCAGACCAATGGCCTACTATTTTGAACGACTTTTGGAACTTGAGATATTTCACTTTGCTGGAGAACAGCTGGCCGGCAATCAGCATGGGTAAGAGGATAACTGTTTTGTTTTGCGGAACATTCCCCTCATTGAGCTTCAACGCGTCTGGGATGCCATCCCGCGTGGGGTATTACCCCCGCAGATCCTCCGCAACCCCCCGCAACCCACCTTCGGGAATCCGGGGAAATGGCTCGTCCTCGAACTCGGGCATTTATCAGTGCTGCCATTGACCCCTCTCACAAATTACTGCGTTTGTTGAACGAACGCGCGAGTGTCGCCTTCCAACTCTAGTTGTTGCTTCTGACCACATGCGTAATCTCAGCTGGTAGTCTGATATTGCATCTAGCTAAGTTTCTTCTAATAAAGCTAATTCAGTTGACATGTTTCATAGTCGTCATCATGCTGTCGCCAATGTTGAAGAACTGGACGAGTTTGTAAGACAGTACTGGCTTGTAGTTGAGTTGTCCATGCAGACATCTGCGGACAATTTCAGCAACTATTCTTCCAAGCTTGTGAATACACGTTATGGGATGCATCATGAGAAAACGACTTTGCGGTTCGTTGTGTGACAAGTCCCTTTTTCCATCAGTCGCGCGTCACATATTCACCTGAGTGGCCCGACCAAATAACTGGAAACCAATTCTTGGATCTAGGGTTGTAGTTGAATGTTTTCCCGCTGACTTAAGCCGGGGAGCCTGCCTCATGCTTACTCAATGTGCAGTCCTATTGGATGATCTAACTTACTCGCCTAGCTGACTCGTTTGACTGACTCAATGTAACTACCCAATGAGGCGCCCAATCCACCTTTGACCGGCTCTGTAATTCCGAAATATGACGAAGTTGCCGCTCCGTTGAGACGTAGTGTCTGGATGGAAGAAGTGATCTTGATTTAGCCAGCAAGACCGCCGTTTTATGTTTGTTAATGTTAATGGTATTGTTTCACTGGTTGTTTCTGTGTTGACTTGCCCAGCGCCCAGTATGACATTACCGAATAGCACCAGCCACAGCACCGCCACCATGGCTTTGCCGACTCACAGCGATGGCGTTTACGGGCATTATCCACTTCATGATCGTTCACAGAGACCGCTGGATGTTATCGTTGTGGGTGCTGGTCCTTCCGGGATTGCAGCTCTCATTGAGTTGAAGAAGCTCCCGTACGTAAAGCTCAAGTGCTTTGAAAAGAATCATGACGTGGGAGGGACGTGGCTCGAAACGAGATATCCTGGAGCGGCGTGTGATGTCGCCAGTCACGCCTACCAATATTCTTTCGATTCCAAGACCGACTGGTCGAGACAGTAAGAAAAGTTGATCACGCACATTTGCACCCTTTCTGATAGTACTCTTAGCTTTGCCCCCGCTGAAGAAATTGGCGAATACTTCATCTCTGTGGCCAAGAAGCATGCATTGCTAGAAAACATCACATTCAACTCTCGAGTGGTCGGCGCCGAATGGGACGAGACTGAGGCGATCTGGCGAGTACAGGTAGCAGGCAGCGGCTCCTCTGACTGGCACGCCAAAACAGTCCATGAAGAATATCAAGCCAATGTGTTCATCAACGCAGGTGGCATATTGAATGACTGGAAATGGCCCGAGATTGAAGGCTTGCATGGTTTCAAAGGAAAGCTTCTGCATACAGCTGCTTGGGTAAGCCTCTTTACACATGATGTTATCAGTGGCTAATATTCTGCAGGACCCTTCAGTTGACCTGGAGGGAGCATCTGTCGGCGTTATCGGATCTGGTGCCAGCAGCATACAAGTCGTGCCGAGCATCCAGCCGATGTGTCGAAATCTTGATGTATACGTACGATCACCAACATACATCTTGCCGACAGTCGGATTCGGCATAGAATCGTCAGCCTTTAACGAGCTATGTGCGGGCCCGTCATGACTTCGTGTCTTGTGGAATTACTGACCTCGTCGTTGAAGACACCTCGGCAGACATCGATCGTTTTAATAGCGACCCGGAATACTACATGCTGTTTCGAAAACAGATAGAGCAGCAGATGAACGAGAACTTTGCCGCAAGCGTCAAAGACTCCACGGCGGAAAAGAAAGGCAGAGAGGTATGGAAAGCTCCACAGAGTCGTATAATCATTCCGTTGACCATCGTCAGTGGGCCACCAAAATGATGAGATCAGCAATCGCCTCTGCGGAACTGAGAGAGAAGCTGGTTCCCAGGTGCGTAATTATCCTGACCAATACTCCATTCAACAGCTTACAGTTGGCATAGCTGGGAACTAGGATGCCGTCGACTGACACCGAGCTTGCCCTACCTCAAAGCCATCCAGCAGCCCAACGTGAATGTGATCAGAACGGGGATTCGCAGGATCACAGAAACGGGAGTAGAGACAGAAGATGGAAAGACGCATAATATCGACGTTCTCATTTGTGCAACTGGCTTCAATACGTCTTTTTCCTCACGATTCAACATCATCGGCCGACGAGGCATTAGTTTGCGAACTATGTGGAAAGACCGGGGCCCGGAAGCCTACTTGGGAATGGCCATTGCAGGACTTCCTAACTATTTCAGTAAGTTTCGATCAACATGAGTTTCACGTGAAGCCTACATGTGCTGAAATTCCCAAGCCATTTTGGGACCAAATTGTCCCATTGCGAATGGATCTCTGATTCCATGCATCGAGTGGAGGTAGGCCTTCTCGTCTCTCAACAGCGAGGATATTGACTCATTGACATCTGAAATAGCGCAAAGTACATCGCGAAGGCAATCACAAAGATGCAGACAGATCAGATTCGCTCTATTGATGTGAAGCAGCCACTCCAAGATGCGTATAATGACTATGTCCAAGACGTGCACAAAGATCTGGTTTGGACGGGATCTTGCAACAGTTGGTGTATGAGATGTTTGCCTAGCATTACTATGGACTGATTTAACATTCAATTTGTGCAGACAAGGACAGAAAATCAGGGCGAGTCGTGGCAGTTTGGCCAGGGTCGAGCATTCACTTCATGGAAATGATTGAGAGTCCACGGTGGGAGGACTTCAACATTGAGTACATCCACGTGAGAGACACTAAGCAGTTTGTCTATCGAAGCATAGCTAATTGACAAACTAGTCCAATCCGTTTTCGTTTATGGGGAACGGCATTTCTCAACGCGAAGCCCAGGGTCAAGATTTGACCTTCTGTGAGTGAACCAGAATCATAGGTGAAAATATACTAATCCACTGTCCTTCAGATCTGGACAACATGACATCGGACAACAGAATTGGCTCAGAATGAGCTTGGGAAATAGCTGCACAGGGAAAAGCACCATGGGGCTTACGTTCATGTCGAGAAGAGGGTAGATTGTCTTGTTCACGATCAAATAATGAGATAGAAGAAGCAGTATCATCGTACAATTTCAAACGCAACTTCGTGTTCCTTATCCATATCATTGACAAGCAAAGTGAAACATGGAATTTGATTCAAATCTTTCTGCACTCAGACGGGTAAGCTCTGCAGCATCTGACTTGGCGAGCCGTCCTTTTCCTGCGTACCACATGAATACGTTCTACATACCGCCTGAGCAATCCTTGATGTCACGCGTTGCTTGCTCGGCAATTAGGCTCGACCTGACTTGACAGGAGATGCGTACTGACTAAAGACAGACATCAGAGGCCAAGACTTCGAGTCAGCTCGATTTGTCAGGCTGATCGCGTAGCATGGCTTCAATATTACAAAGGCTGCGCAGGTTTCGCGCAACTGCAGAAGAGTGAATCCAAGAGACAAATTAATTTCATTTCTTTGACTCCCAATGACGTCTCAAAGTCCCGAAAGCAAGTTCAACCGAGGCGTTGCAGTGATAACAGGGGCAGGAGGGGGCTTGGGTTCAGGCCTCGCACGTCGTATTGCTTCATTTGGGATGACCGTCATTGTCGCCGACATCGATTTGGCACGAGCCGAAGAAGTTGCCACCAGCATCAGAAGCGCACATGGTCAAGCGGAAGCCAGGGCTGTTGATGTTTCATGTCCAGATGAACTCGATTCACTGGCAAACCACGTCTACACCCGTCATGGGAGTGTTCGACTCCTGATCAACAACGCTGCGATCGAAACACTGGGCTCGTGCTGGGAGATATCTTCGGCACGCTGGGAAACGAGTTTGAACGTCAACATCCATGGCGTTGTTCACGGCGTTCGCGCCTTTCTACCGCGAATGATCACCTCGGGAGACGAATGTTGGATAGCCAACATCTCGAGTGCGGGAGCCTTCACCACCATACCCGGGCAGTCGGCATACGTCATAACGAAGCACGCAGTGCAGGCTTTTACCGAGTCGTTACGGGTGGAACTGAAGTCCCAGAAGACGCCTGTTCACATCAGCTCGGTGATCCCAGGATTGCTGAATACCGGTATCTTTGAGCGAGTTGATAAGAACCACGAGACGAGCGAACCAGAACTAGACCAGCATCGACAGTCAATGATTGAGCTGGCAAGGAAGGAAGGCATGGATGTTGACGAGGCAAGTCGGATGATTGTTGAACAGATTGCAGAAGGGAAGTTCTGGATATGTACACATCCGCCACTGATGAGAGAGATTCTACAACAGAGGATCCGGTATTATGAGACCCAGGGAGAGCCCAATGTTCCACCCGTACATCAACAGAATCAGTAGTCTTTGGTCAGAATAGTTCGTTTAGGATAAAATCGAACAAATACTGAGCCGAAGAGAAAAGCGCATTCAGTAACGCAAATAACACTGTGATTCCCAACAATCAAAAAACCGCTAGCACATGTTCGCCGCGTTCCAAGAAGCTCACTCGCGGTTCGAGTTGATATGGATATATGTGATAGGTTGATGCAGTTACGGGCAGTTGGGACTAGCTAGAGCAGCCTTATGATCAATTGTGGCTTATATGGGCATATTGTCCGCCGTAAGAGTCCACGGTGTAAACTCCGAATCAGGCAGTTGGCGCAGACACCCATTGTATATTTTCACGAGAATAATGGTTTATTGGCGTGAGTCTAGGCAAGTTGAGGCCGGCCCTAACTACAGCAGTATTTAATGATTGAGTGTATGTACACATTATTCAGGTGCCGTGGATGAGTAATGTACCCAGTAAGATGCAAAATCATTGTCAGATCCGAGCTTCTTAACACATGCACGATTCGCTCAGCTTCCACTCATATGAAGCCAGCATGATTCGTTAATATCTCCATACTGACTAAGATGTGATCTACCGGCCCAGACCTCGATGCCAGAATTGAGTTCACAATAAGCTTACTGCCAAGTGGGCTCCACACAGGCCAACGTTTGTCAATCTGCTATGAAATGACTCGGCAGATGCGCACGAATCAGATCCAGCGTAGAACGACTGTCGAAGAAGCTTCCGAGGGCGCCCTATCTAGAGCCAAAGGATTCGAAAACGTTGAGGTCTTCTACTGCGAAACGACAGTTGGTGCCTCAACACATGCTCTGAACTTCGTCTGAGATCCGAGGTCTAATGATCTTCACACCCACTCGGGAATTCTCCGATTATTTCGCCCCCTCACTTCACCTCGGAAACAATCATCACCTGATGTCGTGTTGCTTCCATACCCCTCACATCATTATGTCTCCCAAACTTGTTGCCATGTTGAGATGACTTGGAGCTATCATTTCTTACAAATCCGCTCGCAAAAGGGTGATATGTGTTGGATGGTCAGAAGGACTAGAACATCATCAGTCAAATCTTAAGGTTGGCCTGCCAATGCTGTGAAGTCACCATTCCGATTGAAGAATCAAGGTTTCTGCCACCGATCTGGCTTCTGGGGAAGCTTGAAGTGTGTTCCTGGTCTTTCCTCATCGGGGAAACCGTTTGCCGAGCAACCTCCAGAAGAGCGAAGCCAGACCTTAATTGAGGGAAATGCAAGGCTATCCCGTTGCTTGCATCTGCACTACGATCTATCATAAACGTCCGAACTATTGGTGGTACCCTTGAATCCGAAGTGATGGTAAGATCTGAGACGAAGTATGTGACAGGGGCTCTCCGTGCACCAGGACCCAGGCTGCTTCCTCGACAGGGAATCGCTTTCGCGTTCTTATCACCCCAATGAACGTTGTGCCTGATTGTCGATCTTAATGAACATATTAAGATATCGTCAGCATTGCTATGTCGTGTTGTGTCATCCTCGGAGGTGGGCCAGACCACATGCCACTTTTTGACGTGGAAACAAATCGAAGCTATCGTGGCGAGAAGAGGCCCAAGACGACAGCCCACCGGACATGGGAGATATGAGCTGGTTGTCGTATTCGGCCTTGAGAGCGGACGAACGAGGTCAAACCAAGAATTTCCTCTTACGGATGTGGTTGAGTCGAAAATGTCGGAAGGGGCATCCGTGGATGGAAAGGGGCTCATCATCCCATCTTTTCCGACTTACATGATGCCGTCACCGCGCAGACAAGACTCTGCCCACGAGAAGTGGGATCGAATGTAAACAGCCACAACGGAGATGAGAAGTACATTTCCGCACAGCCGATCACGCAACTGGACATACGCGTACTGTGCGTGCGTGCGGGTCAACCTGTGCCGTTCCAACCCTCTCAGGACCATGGCGTACGGTCCTCCGGATATGACGGCGGATTTGCTGCTAAACCGTGTCATCATCGGATTGTTGACAGACTGACACTGCATCTGCAGTACACCCAATTACTGGGAAACGATTGGGGGCAAATATGTGCTAGAATTCAAACGCTAGTCTATGCTATTGGTAACTCCAAGAGACTCCCTAGCTCGGGATATCATCCAAATCCCATGTCTACTACATGACGCTTATCCAAATGCCACGCGAAATCAAAGAACCACCAAAACATACAGCCACCACGTTATTTGTTGGCCTGGATCAAACCAGGACCAGCAAGTGTTGCCTTCACAACATCGTCCGCGCTCTTGAAATTGCCCTCAAACGTCAGCGCCGCGATGGAGAGCCCCCACATGCTGTTTTTCTCAAAAGGAAATTCTGCTTCGAACTCGATCTTGGAGCCTTCCCATTTGCCGTTCCTGACTGGCACGCTCAACGGAGTGTTCAGACCACTAAGGTAGGTGACGAACAAACCACCGGGATCCTTTCCGAGGAACCTGCCTGCAGTCACAACCTCCCTCAAGTCGACATTGAATGACAACATCTGGTCTTTGGCCTCAATCTCGCCATCCTTAGCCATTTGCTGGCAGTACAGGGGCGCAAAAGTCGGTATATCGATCTGAGACATTTTGAATGGGCACGAGTCCTTCACGACGAAAGACTGCAGAGCAGAAAAGGCGAACGGTGCAATCGAGGTTGTGAGAAACGGCTGAGAGGAAGGAGGTCGTGAAAGGATGCTGCGGTAGAATCCGTTTTGCTCGCCCTCCTGACCGATGACGGAAGCGACAGCGCGTACCGGACCAGAGTCGCCATTTTTCGCTAGAAGCTGACTTGCATCCTGAAGAGTACCCAAAACGACAGAGGTAAAAGTCTCCGCAAGGGCAACGGCCTCCTTCAGGCTATTGGTAGGGAACTGATACTGGCAAGGCGGCGGTGCGAAAGCTTTGAAGTGATCCAACACACCCTTAGCATCCAATGCGTGAAGCTTCTCTTGCTATTGTTCATGTTAGCTGAGTGATCTTCTAGTCTGAGGAGTTAGACAACTTACGGCGACAACAACCTTCAAAGCGTCCACAAGCTTATCCTTCTCTGAAGTCTCCCACCCAGGTCCACCCGTGGTGACGTTTTCCAACATAGATGAGAAGAAGGCGACCTCGAATTGCTCGTTGAATTGGATAAGCTGGAATGCAGTCAAACTGCTCGGTTCAAGTTTCGCTGGTGGCGCCGAATTTGGTAGTGATCCATGAGCTTGTTGCTCGACAAGGCGTATCTGCTCGGGGCTGGTCGGAAGCTCGGCACTGAAGCTTCGGCGCTCGAGTGGGGCCGCCGCCGACATGCCGGCGAGGGCCATCGCGGCAACCGCGAGGGGAGCTCTTAGATGCATTGTCTTGTGGTTCCTGAATCCCAAGTTCGTTGTGTGAAGACTGCCGATGGTGAACAGGTTGAGAGGGGGAAGGAAGGTTATAAGCAATGTACAAACGAACGAACTAGCATAGCATAATTCCGAGGGACTGCATGCGATATGATGGGTAACCGGGACGAACTATTATACTCTCGAGCAGTTTGTTTCGATACATAATCTTGAAACCTGTTTCTGGCTTGGCGCACGTGGACTGCAACCAACATGCATCGGCCTACCACCCACCATCCTTTCTCACTTACACATCCTTACTTCTGTTGGCGCACACACGCACATCGATCACAGTGAGGGCCGCAACTCAGATTTGTGCACCCAAGCGGTACGGAAAGATTGCGAGCCGATAGAACCGGATTACATGGTAGGGCTGGTTTCGGTAAGAAGTCGCGCCGCCTTGCTCAAAACTGGCATGTTACAGATGGAATGACGTCTCTAGAATGGTGTTCCTCTCCAGTGGTCACGGTCTCTTCCCCAAACCCCAAAGACCCCAATGTCCGTTGTCTCCCGAGACAGGGACAAGCCGATGGGACTTGCGCGATCAGTGACAAACGCCCTGTCATTGATGTCTTCTCTAGCTATCGAACATTCGCCGATCATGGCAAGTCATGTCACTTTCTCCAAATCAGCTTGATTGAATGAACTTGACACGCGCAATTAGGCTGTCGCTCCGCTCGTTGCTCCGTCTCGCCTTTCTCGGAAATGACTCCGCGTATCAAGTTACCTCCATACCGTTTCTCGTCCGGTGACCCTATTCAGGAATAGCAGAACAATTGCCGAAGTGCCCGTATCGCTCGTTGCTTCCGAAAAGCGTGGCTTCTTCAACCTGGGTAGCTTGCTCTGGACTCACTCCTAGCGGATGGCCTTGTCCTATTTCTTCTTAGCCAGAACTGCCAAAGCAGTCGGACGCCGCTCCGTCGGCATCTCCCCACGCCCGCCCGATCTACCCATGTAAGCGTAAGCATCATAATCAGCAGCGTTCACACTTGCACTCATGCCCGCAGTAGCGGCATCAGGAACAGGAAGGGGATCGGCGACGGCAGACTGCCACCAACAGATCTTGCAGGAAAACCAGCCCTCGATTCCAACGGCAGTACATCTCCCGGCATACCGCATTACCTCAGTACCACGACATTGGGGCCTAGCAAGCATACATGTACGTCCCTACATGAAAGGTCATTGCGCTGCCGCTCTGTCCTTGTCCGCCAGATGTGCGACGTGCGCGAGCGCTTCACCTCCGTGTGCCGAATTCCGCCAAGCTGCTCTCACCGCCAGGAAGATCGTGAGCCTCAAGAACTCGCCGGACGTGCGCTGATACCAAAGGATCAGTGTATTTCCAACCCCGCGTGTGTCGGACGACTGGTGTCAAATCCACAGCATATGGCGAGTCGTCATCAGGCCCGGATGACTACAATTTCATTGTTGATGATCTCCTTGACAACACACCAGTTCCGCTCGAATCAAAATTCATCCTGCACAGCTACGCCGTTACTTATTCAGTCGACGTAGGCTGAACTGTCTCAATAAGTTTCCACTGGCTGGCATCTCTCTGTACTTGCCAGGTCCGTTTCATGAACTTATCCACCCTTGGGCTGCCGGCCGACTGTCAATTGCCGTAAGCCGTTATCATGATCCAGTTAAACACAGACAGTAGCGCTGCTCATATTAACGGTCATGAACTGGACTATTCTTGAAGCCTTAGCCTGGAATGGTAAACTTTTCATGGTTTCGGAGGTATGCTATCCGGATCGAGGGACAAAATAAATGGTTGTTTGCTTTGGATGCTCGGCATGCTTAGATCTTTACGCGATCCTCTCGTCATTAAAATCAGCGAGTCCTCGGAAACCAAGTTCACCTCACTGAGGCCGAAACATTGGACGAGTTCAGCCCTTCGTCGACTGCGTACCTTGCCTGTAAACTCAGCTCTTCTGCAATGGATTATGATTCACTACTCGCATCCGGCTACTACTGTTGTCAAAACCCCTGTGACCCCACTAGATGTGCCCATGAGATGTAAACGATGGATGCCCGACAAAAACAATCAGTCCATTTCTTCTGTATCGCCTTGGTTTCTGCAGCCTTGGCAGGCGGAAAGTGTTTGTGTCACTTGTGACTGCGGCAACTCCCATCTCACCTCTCGACGAGTCAAGGCATCCAAGACAACAATGTAGGTACATCATGAATCGCTACCGTGAACATCCGGTTCATCTTGAGACAGAGGATACTCTGCCAAGCTTGACAGATTGCTCTTGCGGAACGAGTTCATGACAGTCCCTCAAGTTCCAATATTGACAACTGTGATAGTACAATCCAGCTTGCCAAGCTGTGACTTCAGCGCGGCGTGCGCGAACTGCATTCGGAATATGTCGCGATGGACGTGCTTCTAGCGTCGAGTTAAAGTCGAGACTTTGCGACGTGTGCTTTGTCCGGGCGCAATATGAAGATATCAGATATGGTCCACGAAAGCGACCTCATTCCAAGTCCTGTGCGTTCAGACGGAGACCGCAGAGGATAAAGCTCTTCTCACGTCAGGCAGGCAGAAATCACAGAGAAAGATGGTCGTCTCATTTGAGTTGTGAAGTCGTTCATGTCTACAGGAAACCGCATGAAATTTTTAAACCAGGGAGTAGCATAGGACTCGTTGCTCCAACCTCTGTCTTGGCATCCGAACACCTTGGGACGATCTAGAGGTCCATGACCTTTATGCAAACCGCAACCTGCGACCTGCAAAGCTAGCACGCACGCTTGAAAACCTGAGTGAAAAGCTTTATGGTGCCTGGGATTGGGTCTTGTTGCATTACAGCATACAATTACTGTTCTGTCACTGTCAAGTTTGGAGAATGTCGTTCGCGAACACCCCGCCAAGTGTTTGGTGGTGTTGTCTCCAAACGCCTGCGCCCGTTTCGTGCTCGAGTTCAGTGTGGGGTATGGATTCGTACGGACCTTCGAAAAGTCTGTCCAATCTGTTCATTTCCTCAACGATTTGCTTCGTATGGCTCACATCTAGAACCCCTTCTTTGCGGATACCACTGAAGGCTGTTTCGAAACGGCGCTATCTCGCCTCAATCTGAACCCGGTTCCTGGATCTATCCGAAAGGCAAAAGACCTCTCATTGACTGTGCCTTCCGAGGGATCAAATGAGTTTGGGCTCCTGGTTTCCGGAGGCTTCGGATAGTACGAAGAGCCGCTGGTCGGACAGCGGCACGGAGACGCATGCGATCAAGCTCACCACATCCGGTCCGGAGCTGAGGTTCGTCGCTGGTCAGACCACCGGCCCCCCCGTGACATGAATTGCATTAATCCATCTCAAGTAAACATGAATACGTTGCTCAGTTGCTGCATTTAATTGCTGATGAAATAATCGGAGTTCATCCAGTCATTGTCATCGTAACACGAGGTTTCCTCACGGCCTCCGAGGACATTGCTCCCCTTCGCAGGCGCCACGATTTATACATCGCATTAATTGGACAGCCTATGATTATAAATCGCTTCATGTCGGCCCATACAGCATACCTCGCCTGAGCTTCAGCCTAAGTGCGGCCTGCACTCATCAAAATCTGAAGAATTTGAAGCCCTGTCTTGACAGCAAGAGAGAATAAACAAGAGGTTTTCCGGCACAAGCGAAAGATAAATGAGGTAGAAATTTTACATAGGAATGTTTTTTTAAAAAATAAACTCATTATCCAACGTGGAACTTCTATAGATAGCCTTGCGAAGTTCGATATGCAGCTTTTCTTTCATTCGAACTCGTTGTAGACGACTTCTAGACGGCTAAGAATGATTTAGCAACTCAACACGCTGTGCGAGGCATCCAATGAGATCAGGTGCCTTGAATTGAAGAGCAATTATGAGGTGGACACAGCATTTTAGAGTTAAATGAGAAACACTACAAACATAACACATGTCGAGGAGGCTGTTCTCATAGTAGTTTTAGATACGCATAAGCGATTTGGTGTATTTGCTGCTCGGATCTTTTCTTTATGTTATAAGGACTCTAAAACGCCATATTCATTAAACCTCGAAAGACAACATTTGATTTACGTGAGACCTCTGCTCTTATTGCTCATTTGCTCAATGAGGCGAAGAATTTTCAAGCTGATGACTCCACATGATGAAGAGCCGCATCAGTCTTGCTGTTACCTTATTTAAGTGTTTGAGATGCACGAAATGTGTAAAACGCAAGATAAGTTGAATCCAGAATTAGAAATATTTGAGACGAAGAACATAGACATGGGCATCTCGAATGTGAATAGGGGGCTGAAGACTAGGCAATTCACCCATTAATGAGTTTCAAAGATGCCAGGTCGGTCATTGTGAAGTCAAAGCCGATCCATGAGGTTGACAACTGCCCTGCCAGCGTCTCAGGTGAATATGGCGAATACTGTGCTCGTGAATTCAAGATTCCTCTCACTAAGGCCTTCAGAGCTCCCTGTCAGTGTGGAACCACCAGTTGATGGAGAACACCAGCACGGTAGCTCAGGGGTAGAGCGCTGGGCTCATAACCCAGAGGTCCCTGGATCGAAACCAGGTCGTGCTATGAAAACCATCGATATGGTGATATTTTTGTTTTGACTTCTACAACCAAAACGGCCTGCGCTTGAGATGTCTCATGTATCCGTAGGAGTCCGGAGTTACTGAGACCACTGTAGATAGATCTGCAGATTGCTGACACCCTTACCGCTCTCTATCTCCGGCGTTATTGCCAACCAATGGATGTCTGTGCTTTCAAAGTCCACGTCCTTCTCCGTATTCGATAACGACTCCAGAATGTCCTTCTAGATTGGCAATAGCGCTCTTCATTAACCATTTAAGCATACTGGAAATGACGGGGATATTTGTGAGATGGCGCCTTCAATCAAGAGCGCATGACCCTGACGTGCTCAAAGCTCGTAATGACCCACTCATGATCTTCGAATACGACCACGGCCCCACGACCTTAACTTGGCCGAAGCGAATCCCAAACCTCGCCTGGCGGGGCAATATGTTGGGCTATCATTTTCAGTTATGTCAACCCGAGTTTGTGATGGAGACATCCGGAGCAGAATCCCGTCCAAGTCGGACGAGTTTTCGACTGCACGAACCGAAAGCGAAGCGGGATGCCGACTTGGCGACGTTAAACGAATGAAGAGTCGCAACAGCCAAGAGAAAGATCGCCAAATGCCCCTGGTTCCGGTAATTTCGGGCACTAAAAAGGAAGGTGTCAATTCCTCGTGTTCACTCACAACGCGAGAATCATTCACTGCATTTCTCATGCGCGATACGATACGATAGACGCCGAGCATCAACCGCGAGCTGCTCTATAAATCCGCTCACGATGTCTTCATCCGTCTATCTCCGAGCTTTCTTGGTCACCGCCGGTCACTCGTTTATCCAGCGCCCACCACCGCCATGAGGTTCTCCGCCAACGTTGCCTCTCTGGGGCTTGGCCTCCTGGCTTCCACAGCCTGCGTTGCCGCCGCTAACGCCGAACCTGCGACTCCCCAGATCGACGAGGATGCTTTCGTCAAGGGAGCATACATCGTCGAGTTCAACGACAATCAAGATCCCACGGGTCTTTACGATGAACTCCGATCTGACGGCATTTCCGTCGTTCCCCGCCTTGATCTCAAGTACCGCCTGTTCAACGGCGCGTCTTTCCGCGTTGAGGATGACAACGAGCCCGATGTCACGGCCGGAAAGATTGCCGAGAAGGTCAGCGTCAAGGGTGTTTGGCCTGTGCGAAAGATCCAGATGCCGAAGCTGAACCCCAGCTCCATCGGCCGCAACGGCACTGCCACCGGTGATGCGTTGCTGAGATCCATCAAGTACCGACGCGATGAGGCTGCGAAAGACACGTACAGCACGCATGTCATGACGCAGGTTGACAAGCTGCGCGAGGCTGGTTTCACGGGCAAGGGCATCAAAGTCGCCATTGTCGATACTGGTGTTGATTACAGACACCCGGCTCTCGGGGGTGGCTTCGGCGAGGGCTTCCCCGTGGGCTACGGCTGGGACTTGACGGGCGATGACTATGGCGAGAGATCCGAGGCACCCACGCCTGATGCTGACCCCATCGATACCTGCCAGGGTCATGGAACCCACGTCGCCGGTATCATCATGGCCCAGGAGAACGAGCTCGGCTTCACCGGTGCCGCGCCGGACGTCACCCTCGGCGCCTACAAGGTCAGCGGCTGCCCGGGCTACACCACCAGCGAGATTCTGGTCTCCGCTTTCTACAAGGCCTACGAGGATGGCAGCGATGTCATCTCGTGCTCTGCTGGCGACGACTCTGGCTGGACTGCCGACGCGGCTGCTGTTGCTGTCTCGCGTATTGCTGAGGCTGGTGTTCCCGTTGTTGTCGCTGCTAGCAACTCCGGAAACCTGGGAGTTTGGGCTGTGGCTTCCCCTGCTTCTGGCAAGGCCGTCGCTGCCATTGGCTCTGCCGACAACACCATCTTGCCGAACTTGATGACCCGCGGCTCTTTCAAGAATGAGACCGCCGATTTTCCCTTTGGGTGGCAGGCTAGCACGCCAGTTGTGACTACCAACGTCACGCTCAGACTATGGATTGGAGGCGCCAACAACACTGCCTGTGAACCACTTGCCGAGGACATCGACTTGACGGATACGGTCCCGTTGCTGAACATGGACGGCTGCCAGTCTGACACTCAAGCTCAAAATGTTCTGGACCGTGGTGCCAAGCATATCCTCTTCTTCCCCGAGAACGAATCGTACGTCTTTCCAGGTTCCCACACCTACCATCACGGCTCATGTCAGAGGCTAACACGAGGTCAGCAGAATGTATCCGCCGTATGTGTACGTCGACGGCATCCTCGGCATCGGCATGGTCGTGCCCCGTCAGGCCCGCGAGTGGATCGCCAACCCGGAGAACATCACCGTCTCTTTCGGACCACCGAGCACGTCCGGTCTCTTCGCAGAGTCCCTCAGCAATGGTGTCGCTGCCGGTTACACCAGCCCTTTCTCTAGCTATGGACCGTCATATGAGCTTAACATCAAGCCCCAGTTCATCGCCCCAGGAGGTGGTATTCTCTCCACCTGGACCTGGGACCAAGGACAGTACATGGTGAACCCCGGTACCAGTATGAGCACGCCGTTTGTAGCCGCAGTATACGCCCTTGTCGGTCAAGTCCGCGGTACCTTCGACCAGGAAACTCTCAAATCAGTCATTTCTGCTACTGCTCAGACTAAGGGCTGGGTCGACGGTACCACCGCCCGTGACGATATCCTAGCTCCCGTTGCTCAGCAGGGCGCCGGTCTGGTACAAGCCTGGGACGCTGCTCATGCGACTACGATCCTGAGCTCCTCTGGCATCTCCTTCAATGACACGGACAACTTCATCGGCGAGCACACCTTCAGCGTCAAGAACACGGCTTCGGAGGAGGTCACTTACAAGCTCGGCCACGCCAAGTCTATCACAGTCTACACTTTCACTCCCGGTGAAGTTCAGCTGAACGTCGCTCGCGCCCCGCCACCGACGTCTGAAGCCTCGGCTGAGATCACGTTCGCCGCCGACTCTCTCACCGTCCCCGCTGGGGGCAGTGCCGACGTCAGCTTCACCGCCGTGCCGCCCACCGGTCTCAACGCCACTCTGCTCCCTGTATACAGCGGCTACATCACTCTCGAGGGAAGCAATGGAGAGACGCTGTCTGTGCCATACCTTGGTGTTGGCGGCAGCATGCACGACGTGCCCGTCTTGGTTCCCGGCATTGGCCTCAACGGCGTTTACCTCTCTTCGACCGAGAACCACTTCCTTATCCCCGTGAACGCCAACCGGACCTTCACCATCCCTCGCCCCGGTACCACCGGCACTGCCATCTACCCCAAGATGGTCGTTACTCCCACCCTCGGCACCACACAGTTGCACGTCGAGCTTGTTGCAATTGGTTCCACCGGTAACTCGACGCTCAAGGTTGTTGATCACCTGGGATATCCCACCCTTGGCCCCGTGCCGGACTCCCCCATCATCCATGCTCATCGGTTTGGATACACCTGGAACTTCGGTGGATTCCTAGCTGATAGGACTATTGTGCCCGAGGGCACGTACAAGTTCATCGCTCGTGGCCTCAAGCACTTTGGCGATGAGACAAAAGATGAAGACTGGGATGTGGTTGAGACTGTTCCGTTCAACCTCAAGTACCTGGCTTAGACTTTCCTCCATGCTGCAGACACTTTTCATAATGTTAATAACGGAAGCAACGAGTAATTGGGGTCTCAATGATGAGATAGGTACGACATGAAAGATAACAATACATGTTTATGCCATGTGTCAAGACCACGCTCAAGATTCCATGTGATCCTGGATGAACCCGGCATAGTCAAAGATGGCCCTCTTGTAGAAACGTTCCTGAGTCGTCTGATTGTATCCTTGAACCCCGTACTTGTCATCGTACTGTCCCCACTCCCAGTTGTCGAGATAGGACCAGCCGTAAAGTTCTTTGACATGGATTCCATCGATGTTGATCGCCTTCAGAACCTCTGCCAGAATCGGGATATAGAAGTTGGACTGCGCTAGGTCGCTTTGCATGTGTTTGACGGACATATCAGCTGCCTTGAATGCGGGCAGGCCGTACTCGGCAATAGTGATGCCGCCCTTTGTCGGATATGTGGCCTGCCAGAAGCCGAGAATGTCACGGACGTGCTCAGCAGGAACCTTCGGCGTGGAACATCCAGTCAGCGATGTTCTGACTGAAAACTCTCGAAACAATGATAATAGGACTGTACTTACCGCAATTCTGTCAACATTACCATGGAAGTTTCCTTCCCATGTTCCGCGCGTGTTCGAAGTTACGGTGCAGTGAGGGTATAGAGGATGGTTGGGGTCGGCAGCACAGGCTTCAAAACCACCTTGAGGCTCGGAGTGGTATGTCGCCGTGTAAATATCGAAAGCAAAGAAGTCCGCAGTTCCGTTGAAAAGCTCAAGCTCTTCGTCGGTATAAGACGGAACTCGATCGCCAACAGCATCGATCATAGACTTCGGCGGGTTCTCGCCCAGAAAAAGTGGTCGAGCAAAGTATCCCACGGTAAACTCATTCCGCCTCACGGCAGCAGCGACGTCCGAGGCATTAGTCGGATCCAACGGTAACGCAAAGCCGGTATTGCTGAGGTCAAACTTCATACTCCACAGCGCCTCGCCTTTGATGGATTCTCGGTACCATCGCACCACCTTGGCATGACCTTCAAGGACGAAGCGGCTGGGTGTCCACGAGTTTGCAATATTGGCCTCGATGGTGGGCTCGTTGAAGGTATACCACGTACCGACGCGGTCTGAGTAGTGAACTAGCACGGTCTGAGCATAATACAGGAAGCTCTCCACGAACTGCGGATGGTCATAAGAGAAGAAAGAGGTGTTGCTCTGCAAAGCTAGTGGCGTATCGAAGTGCATTAGAGTAACCACGGGCTTCATACCGTAGCTCAAGACGGTGTCGATGAGATCGTTGTAGTGGTCGATGCCTTCTTTGTTGATGGGAGATCCCGCAAGACCGAACGGAACGATTCGAGACCAGGATATGCTGAAGCTGTATGACTGAACACCGACAGCTGCGAGTCTAGCAATGTCTTGTTGGTAGAGATAGTAGTTCATGGTGGCGATGTCGGGTGGGCCGGCGCCAGGTCCCGAAGAAGAAAAGTTGCCCCTCGACCGATTCTCCCACGCTGATGGTCCGCGGCCTTCGTTCTTGATAGCGCCTTCGATCTGAAGAGCAGCTCCTGCAAAGCCCCATTGGAAGTCGCCTGGGAATGTCAAGTTCTGAATCTCGGTTCTGTTCGGACCCAGTGGGTGCGGCGGAGGCTTGATGAGTTCACTGCTTGGGACCGGCGTGGGAGAGACAGTTGTCGTGAACGGAGGTGGTGAGACGGGAATGGGCTCCCACATGGACGACCAAGCGGCATTGCCATATTCAACTCCATGATCAGTCGGAGAAGCATCAGGCGGGTTCCACGTGGTTGTCGAGCGTTTTATCAGGCTAGAAAGCTCAGAGTACGGCGGCGCGTACGTGGTCGTTGTTGTTGGGCTGGGAACAGGTGTGGCATATTCCAGCGGGCGATACAGCCTCCATTGGTAGTCTTGTTGCGCTGAAACTGCATGGATGTGGCTGCTAGATGTCATAAGCTTGGTAGCTAACGATTTCATGAGTAACTCACGGCAATGTAGCAGCAAGACCGAAGGCCAAGATACGTTTCACCATCATGACCGAGTAATGTTTCCCAGGGAATGATGATTGCGACGAAGAGGTTGATGAGGACTTTCGAAGCGGCAGAAAATGAAGTCATTAGTAGTCAAGACTTTCCCACACATTTATAGCTTCTAGTGACTACCGAGGCATTGGGCAATGTGATCATCGAGGCAGCTTCGATCCTGTCGGGCAAAGGTTTTCCATCGCCCATGTTGTGCATACCCCGCGTTCTAAGCCCCGTGGGGTATTCGCTGCGACCTTGAAAAGCACGCACATCAACTCCGTGGATGAGTTTCTGATCACAATAAGTGTTGAAAACTGCTAACTCGAGCCTGCATTCGGCCCGAGGGCATAAATGCAACTCTGAATGGGTGAGGTGAATGAGGGGTCATACGATAATCCTGGACTATACGCGTATAAAACCACCGGGCCGAATCCACATGATGAAATTGCTCCAAGTCATGTTTACAGGAAAAGTCGCACGGACGGTGTCACTTGGCCTTTTACGATGAGCTTCAGACCACTTAACTGGAGTTGGGCACCTCGCTTTGATTGAATGTGGCACGTGTATTTGCCTATCCTGTTTCTTCCTGTACTACTGCTATGACTGCCATCAAGATACTTTGAATGGCTTAGATGCCTTGCTTGATGATTTCCGCAGCCTGTAATACGCATAAAGCTGTCAGCAAGAAGTCCCAGAAAGGATTGAAAGGGGATAAGAAGCCAAGATGTAAAGATAGAATGAACGTGGAAGCACCGACTAACCTTCTCGGCCAGGGCATAGGTAGGCTGGCAAGTGTTGGCACTGGGAACCATGGGCATAACACTGGCGTCAACAACTCTCAGGTTCTTGACTCCATACACGCGCAGGGTCTGGTCAACGACACCACCCAACTCAAGCGGCAGCATGGATGCCGTGCCGACGGGGTGGTAGTCGGTAGGCGACATGGCACCGGCGATGTAGGCCTTGAGGTCCTCGTCAGAGACAACGTCGGGGCCAGGGGCGTACTCGACAGGGTCGTAGTTGGAAGCCAGGGAGGTCTCGAAGGCGTAGCGGCGGAGGAACTTAATCGACTCAACGAAGAAGTCGGCCTCGACGGGGTTGGACAGGGCGCGGTAGTCGATCACGGGCTCCGTGTTCCACGGGTCGGCAGCGTTGATGTTGACGGTGCCGCGGCTGAAGGACTGCATCGCAACGGGGCCCTGGGCACCGTGGTCCGGGACAAGCTGGAGACGAGTAAAGGCGGTGTCCTTGGAGCGCATCTGGGCGGCGAGGATCTTCATCTGAGCCGCGAAGCCGGCAACCACAGTGGCGTCAGCGCCTTCGGGCAGCAGGCTGGCAAAGTCTTGCTGCTCCAGCTTGGTAGCAAGCTCGTCGGCCTTGGCCGAGACGGCGGTGAAGGGAAGCCAGCCAGCAAGGTTGGTGAGTGCGAGGGAGTAAGGGCCTATTCGGTGCGAGTCATTCCAGTCAGTCTCTGTGGAACACGATGGGGAAGGATGGGGCTGAATAGCACTGACCGGTCTTGTTAGCTGCCCAAACTTCGTCGGCCCAGGTCTTGAAGTCGTTTCCTTCAACCAGATCGGTCGGGTTGGGGTGAATCGATGCGAGTTTGTGGACTAAAAATGAGTCAGATATCTCACAGTCATCATTCTGAGCAGCGTAAGACTCTTGTCACTTACGAGTGATGTTCATCTGAGACAGACTGCTGTGGTCCTGAAAGTTCTGGCCAACACCGGGCAGGTCGACAAGCACGTCAATACCTCCAGCCTCGAGAACGTTCTTGGGGCCAATGCCGCTCAACTGCAGGAGGTGAGGAGTGTGAATGGCACCAGCAGAGAGGATAACCTCCTTGTTAGCGTTGACGGTGACGACGGAGTTGTTTCCTAAGGGAAACTCGACTCCCGTGGCGGTCAGCTTGTCGTCAACAATCAGCTTGCGGGCAAGGGTGTTGACCAAGAGGTGGTAGTTCGGGCGAGTAGCGTTGACGTTGAGGTAGTGACCAGTGCCGGCGTAGGAGCGGGTGACGGTTCGGGGGTCCATAAGCGTGGGGAACCAGAACACACCCGCCTTTCCAGCTCCACTGTCGGCCGGGAACTCGATGCCGTCGATCTCCTTGAACGCCTCAAACAGAGGAGTCACTCCGGGGTAGTAGAACCGAGGCCATCCGGCATAGATCTCAGAAGACTCGCCCCAGAAGGAAGCATCATACTTGATGCTGTCGAAGTTGTCGGTCAGCTCGGGAGGCGGCTCGGTGAAGTGGAGACCCTTTCACATGACGGTTAGCTTTGGTGTATGGGTAACTAAGACAATGCACTTTTCTCACCTTCTTGAAGAACGGCAAGATGCCATCCCAGCTCCAGTCAGCAGTTCCCTGCTGAGCTCCGGCTCCGAATAGAGTGGCCCAGCGGTCGTAATCTTCCGCAGAGCCACGCATGTTCATCATAGCATTGACGGACGCGCCACCACCAACTTGCTTGGCGATGAAGACATTGCCGGTTCTTCCGTTCAAGTTTGGCTGAGGAACAGACTGGACGTCAGGCCAGAGAAGGTCGGTGAAAGACGTAGTTCTGCCCGAGATCTGAACCATGAGGTTGTCAGTCATGTTGCCCCAGTCGCCGGCCTCGAGGACCAAGACTTTCGTCTCAGGGTCCTCAGTCAGACGGTCAGCCACAGTCAAGCCTGCAGTTCCACCACCAACAATGACATAGTCATAGCTAGAAAGCAGCTGAGAGGGCTTGATCTGGCGGGGAATGACATAGGCATTGGCAACAGAGCTCGCCGTAAGGAGGGCGGCAAGTGCGATCCCTGGCCACTGAGGCTGGGACTTGGACTGACGAAAGAAGGGCATGGCGAATAACGATCGTCGCCGAGCGAAGTGCAAAGCAGGAATGAGTGAAAGAGACGAGTTGCTCGTTGACCCCTCTGAAGCCCTCAATGGTAACTCAAGCAAGTACCAGACAGTTGTATTTATTTACCGCTGTCCATGTCGTCCATACAGGTTGCCCAGAACTCGGGAATATTTTGCATCCATAAGTCCATGTCGTTTGCCTTTCTGGGCGTTTTGCAATTCACCTGCCCTGGCTCTCTCAACTGGATACCATGTGTAAGCATGACAGATGATGGACCTTCTGGTTTAGGGAACCAACCGATACCGGCGATGACAATTTGTAGAAGGTCTGTTTGTTGGTTGCCAAGAGAAAACGGGGTAAGGAACACATCCGACCGAAATTGAGACGGGGCCTCCTGCATATGTTGTTGCTGACAACAGACAACATAACTGACCTGCCAAGTTTCTGATGCTGGGCTTCCGGAGAAAAAGGAGTTTCTGGCAAGTGTATGTATAACCGTGCTTGACGTCATTAACGCGCGGATAATGCTTAATAAACATAGCACTTTAAATCCAAGCCTATTTCTACTGTCACGATAGTTCTTTTCAGCCTTCAGGCTGGCAACATTCCGAATGGAACTTGGGTACCCATGTCAGATCTGATAACCTTGGAATGGTTGACGGGGCTGCTAAATGCAACATCGTGTAAGCGGAACTTCGCCTAGCAAACATGCCCCTGTTCATCCCACGCACCCCCACTCAAAAGAAACCTTAAGGCGGCAGGTCAATCCGGTCAGGTGTTTGCCAAGGAGATATTTGGGTCCTTTTGTTGGCGCAGTGAAGTACAACAAATGGTGTCAGAACTTACTTAACGAAAACGAATCCATGGTCAATTTGCTGAATAGTCATGCTGCAGATGCATGAATCAGGGGAAATGGTGATGGACACCGATGTATAAGTTTGAATAAGAACAGAAAGTATACAGCCAAACAGAAGGAAATAAAACAAACGTGCGCCAAGTTCAGACCCTTCCCTTGTTGCAATTGGGCCGAGCGTGGTATGACAAGATCTGATAAGAGAGTTACATCTTCCTCTCTTGACCGCCCCCGACGAAGTCATCCACAACGACTACCACGGGCGCAGTGGCTGACTGAGCTTCGACATCCGCGCGCTTCCTACCGCCGAAAACACCGACGACCTTGGAATACACCTCCGCAGACTTCGAGTACACACTTACGAACGGGAGGCCGAGAACGCCGACAACGCGAGCGAACCACTCGTCGGGGAAGAGGCGAACAAGGATGGCCCAAGGCAGGCAAAGCGATGCGACAACGATCGATATGGCCCACTGAGTACCATCAAGACCATCAGGAGAGATCTGAAAGGCCCTCGATCCGATGAAGATAATGGCCACTTGCAGTCCAACCATGAGGAAATTGATGGCGATGAAAAAGGTGTTTCGATGCACCCCCTCGAAAATGTTGAACTTGTTGTCGAGCCGTCTGTTGTTGAACTCGTTGAAGATCTGCATCCAGACAAACGTATTGAACACGATCGTGTCCAACTCGAGCTTCTTGTCGGGATCGGTGAGATCGTAGTTGAGTATGGTACCGCCGCTGAAGTAAAGGACGAAGGTCACAACCAGCTGGTAGATCGATTGGCCTACGATCATCTTCCACATCTGTGGCCCAAATGTGTCAGTCGGACTTCGAAAGATTGCATAGAACGGCCCAGAAGGGAGCAATAACTCACATTTATTGTGATCAACGCTGTCTTCTTACCCTGAGGAGGGCGATCAAGAATCTTCTCAGTCGGAGGGTCTGTTGCCAAAGCCAAGGCGGCGAAAGTATCCATGATCAGATTCACCCAGAGGAGCTGCACTGCCTTGAGAACAGGTTTCATCTCTGCATCGTATACAGCTGTGACAAAAGCCAAGAGCACAGCGGTAATATTGACAGTGATCTGGAACTGGATGCGCGGCGACGTCAGTTTTCTGGGGGAAGTAGTAGTCCAGAGTCTCCTCTCACCTGTAGGAACTTTTGCACCGCGTCATTGACGGCGCGGCCCCATTTCAAAGCTGTGATAATAGACGCGAAATTGTCGTCCATCAGAATGATAGAAGAGGCTTCCTTAGCAACTTCAGTACCAGACACACCCATAGAAAACCCGACATCAGCAGCTTTGAGAGCAGGGGCGTCATTGGTGCCATCGCCAGTAACAGCAACAATCTCACCAAGCGCCTTCAGCCTCGCAACGAGCACTCTTTTGTCCTCGGGCGAAGACCGCGCAAGAACCTGAAGTCTCGGAAGCATTGTGTCCATCTCGGTGTCAGACAGGCGTCTGAAGTCGGGGCCTTCCATGACGATGCCATCAGTGTAGATATCGCATTCAGAGGCAATGGCTTTTCCGGTAATCGAGTTATCGCCAGTTACCATTCGGACGGTGACACCGGCGCGCTGAGCCTTGCGAACGGCCTCTGGTACACCTGGGCGGACGGGGTCTTGGATGCCTACTACACCGAGAAAAACGAGGTTCTTAGAGGCCAGAAGGCGTCCCAGGTCCGCGTGCCCTGTCTTATCGATGTCTGGAGACAAGGGTGGCCATTTCTCGTAGTCCTTGAAGACAAAGCCAATGGTTCGAAGAGAGCGGGCCGCATACTGATTGATGGTATCACCGAAGGAATTGCGGTCGGCTTCGGTAAGAAGTTCTTCTTCCAAGGTGCAAGCGTTGGCCTTGCTGGTGCAATGTCCAAGAAGGATCTCCGAGGCGCCCTTGACAAGAAGACGATGAACACCAGATCTGAGTTTGACCACAGCGCCCATGCACTTCTTGGCGGAGTCGAACGGCATGATTTGAACTACGTGTTCGTTCGCACGAGTTTCCGCAAGGCATGTGAGACCAAGATAGTCCCTGGCGAGCTGGAGAAGAGCTGTCTCGGTTTTTGACCCGATGAAGATAGGCTTTCCCTCCTCTTCGCCTCCAAAGGCAGTTGAGTTGATCGCAATCGATTGAGTAATGATCTCTTTGCAGGTAGGGGTGACTTCCGACGCCCAAGATGCAATTGGCAGAGCAGAAGATGCCGAAGTTTCAGAAGACTCAAAACCTCTCGTGTCGAATCTGCCAGCTACAACCGTCATTTTGTTTGTTGTCTGATAGAGTGTTAGAACGGACGAAGGATTGATAAATGAAGGTTAAATGCTTACCAAAGTTCCGGTTTTGTCCGAACAGATCGCAGTTGCATTGCCCATAGTTTCGCAAGCGCGCAAAACCCTCACTAAATTGTTCTCCTTGAGCATTCTTGTCGTTGCGAAGGCAAGCGCCAAGGTAACCGCGAGAGGAAGGCCTTCTGGGACAGCGACCACGATGATTGTGACAGCGACGATGAGAATATCCATGAAGGAAGAAGCCTTGTCGGTAGCTGGGCGTCTGTCTGTCGGCAAGCCAGCCAGAAACCTGAACAACAGCACGAAGAAGAGAAGTCCTGCCGCGATACTGCCGAGTTTTGCGATCGCCATGGCAAGCCCTTCAAGTTTGTGCTGGAGAGGGGTGGGCTCGGTTTCCGTTCGAACAGACATCATGATCTTGCCGAAACTGCTGTTGACACCAACCGAAGTGCACATGAACGTCCCAACACCTAGTAAGGCGGTTAGTCTTGGCTCGAGTAGTGACGCGTGGTCAAGTCAGTCTCACCTTCCAACACTTTTGCTCCCGAAATGATGAACGGATCCAACTCCCCGGCAGACTCTCCACGTTCCAAGGCTCTCATAACAGCCATGCCTCCCGTCTTTTTAAGCGCATCGGACTCCCCAGTTGCAGAGGACTCGTCGCACTTCAGGTCGTGACCGTCAATAAAAATGCCATCAACAGGTACTAAGTCTCCTGGCTCAAGGTGCAAGACATCCCCAACGAGCAGGTCATGAACGCTGATCATGATAGGCTTGCCAGAACGGGTGACTTTGATATCACGTTCATCTTTCTTCGCACTCAGACGCACAAACGCCCGCTCCTTTTGCCAGTCGTTGACTGAGCCCACAAGCGTGACGATGGCGATGGCAAACAAGATGGCCAACCCCTCCACGTAGTCTACCGGCTGAGGAGATCCGGGAGGGTGGTAGACGCCTAGGGTCTCATAGAGTCCCAGAGCCAGAGATATGGCAGCAGCCACAGTGAGAAGGATGAGAACCTTGTCGTTGTAGGCATTCCACATCAGCTTCAAGAGTGAAGTTGCCTTTCTAGCTGGAAGGATGTTGCGGTTGTAAACCCGGATACGGTCTTCGAATGCTTCTCTGGATCCGATGTTGCTTGATTGCCATGGACTCTTGGACTGCTGAGGCGAGGTTGCGCTGACGGCGTCTTGGAAGTTGACATGGCCAGGAGCTGCCGTCTCGTCAATACTGAGTCCGGCATGAATATCGGACTGAAGGCCGTAGGCAATGCCTTCCAGACCCCCCAAAGCGCGGAAGGCGGTGAGAGATTTGGGGTTGAGGAGTTTGTTCAGCTGGCCGGGCGAAAATGCGAACGGGTTGTTGTCGACTTGGAAGTCGGCCTCAGCTCCAGGATCAGCTTGGAGGGCATGGCGTTCGCTCTCATGGACTGAGGAGGCGCGACTGGTGACTGCGGGTGTCAAAAAGGGGTTCGACGTGGTAGAGACTCTGGTGTCTGCTTTGCTCTCTGGCCGACCTCGCGAGTTCCCATGCGCGGGTGGTAGAACGAGGGAACTACCAACCATTTTAATAACGAAAGATACCGCCTAAGGCAGAAGTAAATCAACAACGAACGCTTAACTCAAACAGCAGTGAAGATGATGGTCTTAGCTGGAGCTGGCTTGTCTGTTGAGCTGGAGTTGGTATTGTATGATGATGATGTTGATGACCTTGAATCAGCATAATCTGAACCTGTCCACGTTCACTTCTAGTTGAGTATTATACAACTTCATAGAGGCTGTGTATACTTGCTTGAAGTCTGCCTCGATCGTCTTCAGAAGACCTGCGGGTCAATTTGTGGCAGTGCTTTGTGACAACCGGAGAAATTTACCGTCTTGAGCGTTTGTCGCCTTTTTCCCCTCTTCATCGGAGCTATCCAGCTGATGATACTGATGAATGAGGTTGTTGACACGAGCTCTTGAATTCACTTCGAACGTACACGTCGGAGTCAAGCCGATGCAAGAGTGCTGCGCCAAGAATGACTAGAACGTAGTCTTGTTAAAGCTCCATGCAAGTGCCGTAATCTGCCTTGGGGTGAATCAAAAGCCGCACTGAAGTCCCGCATCACACAAGGGATGATCTATCGTTCGATTGAGGCTGTGCAGGGTGCGCTGTGATGGTGTTATCTGTGTTTATCCGCTCATTCTCCGTGAGCGAGAGATCACGGAAAATGACTGCCAGTTGGGAGCGCGTAGGAATTTGTCATTGTACGGTTGTAGCATAATCCGTGGGCCATGGAGATTTCCTGTGATGGAACCAGTATCAGTGTCTTTCCGGTCATTTGATCTTCGATGAAAATCACTTGTGCGAACTTTGTGTCACATTGATCTTGAACCGTCAATTGAAACACAAGATGTCCCTATCCTGCTAGCTTGCATATTCACCGGGCAATGGCGACCCTGAGCTACAGTCTAAATACGTGATAGGAATAAAGTGTTGGCTTGACTAACTCACACTTACAGTAAAGGACCCTTCATCATACGATGTCCCTAGTCATCTGCCGGAAAACTAGACACGCGAGAGATATGTAGCATTTCCGTAAGGCTTGGAAGATGTGTTCGTCAATATCATCTGCCGTGTGGCTATGTACTGCACCAAGCCCAAGACTTCAAGTCACACGCATCGCATTACCTGTAAAGAGTATGTGACGAAGCGAAGAATCTAGGGTCGTGACGAGCTTGAAATTTGTTCGAAGCCGGGAGGAAGAGTCCAGACTTACACGATAATCATATCTGCACGAGAGTGTAAGCCCATTTGTTAGTGTGCAATGTGGGGTTTTGTTCCACCGAATAAACATGCGGGGTGAGTACGCCAAGGTGCCCCCAACTCCGGAGAGTTATCGCGAGTGAAGATCCAAGTTTCTTCGAACCGCCATTAGACACAACAACGTATACTAACGCAGACGGATAGCTCCGGTATTTCTGCTCGGTCTCATAGCGTACGTTCACCCATGAGGGATACAGAAAGCGTTTTACATACGGACAGCTCCGTCTTGATTGCAGAACCTCTTCGTCCCCCGCAAAGGCAAGGGTCTGAAGGGCGTGCGCTTGGCTTTAGCCGGTCTTGGCAAAGATGTCAACATGATCAAGTGATGAAAACTGGATGTGATCCTTAGTGATGTCAACCAAGGGTGATGGATGTTAGTAGACCGGGCATGGCCCGATATTGTCTGTCAAGTACAACTCGTAAGACAAGAGAAGGATGTTCTCTGTACTCCGGGGTTGCTCCGTCTATCGTTCATCTCGAGTTGCAAAATCCTGAGATCGGATGTGAACATGAAGAGTTGGGTGTTCCCCGCAAAGCACAGCCTCCCCCGCGCTGCAAGGTGGTGTAGGATATCCCTGTTGCGAATGACACTGGTATTGGTTGAGTGAACTACGGCATTTGCTATGTTTGCGCGATAGGATGCACTGCAAATTTGGTCTACATAACGCGGATATCATCCATAACAAGTAGTAGATAGCTGATTGTGCAAACATCACAGACTCTTCGTGTCACAACTACTCGTTCGAAATTCTCACAGTTGAGTCTGTGCTGGTTGTTCTGAATATTCAGCCTTCTTTTTTTTAGTCTTGCGGAAGCCTGGCCTTCGACTAGAAACGATGGAGAAGTCAGAGACTCTCGAAACTTACATTAGCGACGTCAATGATACGGAGCAATCTGAGACATTGGCAGTCCCAAAAGAAGTCGCTAACTGGAAAATTTATTTGTACTGCATGGCGGTTTGCTTGGGTGCTGTTGCTCTCGGTAAGTGAATGCTGAATCTTAAGAAATCAGGGTAATGATACTGACCGAGTGCCTTTACACGACCAGGATACGATGTTTCTGTTATGGGAGGGACTTTGATTCTCCCTTCTTTCGAGCGCGATTTTGGCCTTGAAGGCAAATCGCAACGGCAACTCGATGACCTCACTTCGAACATCGTGTCCTGCTTCCAGGGTGGAATGTTCCTTGGTGCTTTGGCCTCTTACCCAATCTCTGATCGTTGGGGTCGCAAGTGGTGTATTACCATTGCCACAATAGTTTTCTTGGCTGGTGCCTCAATGCAAACGGGCTCCCGTGGCATTGTTGGCCTTGTCATGGCAGGAAGGTGCATTGCTGGACTTGGCATTGGTGCTTCAGCTCCGGTCATTCCCGTGTAAGTCAGCATCTACAGATACATTTACAATTCCCATCGCCAACTGCTTGCTATTCCAGATACATTGCGGAGATGGCGCCGCCCACCATTCGTGGAAAGCTCGTTGGATTCTACGAGATCGGCTCTCAAGGCGCTCAAATGCTTGGGTTCTGGGTCAACTACGCTGTCAACAGGACCATTGGCCCCGAAAGTAAGTCAGACTCACTCCGTTTGAAACCCAACTTACTAATGTTCAAACCTAGCGAGCACCCAGTGGATGGTTCCTCTGGGACTTCAGCTGCTTCCAGCCACACTACTCCTGCTTGTTTTGCCGTTCTGCCCTGAGTCACCCAGATGGCTCTGTGGAAAGGACCAAAGGGACAGAGCAGAGAAGATTCTGACCAACGTTCGTCAACTGCCGGCTGACCACCCCTACGTGGTTCATGAGTTGCGCGAGATTCGCCTCGCGGTTGAATTCGAGGCCCATCTTGCCGCGAAGCACCCCGGGCTGATGGGAAAGCTAAGAGATCTGACCAAAAAGGGCATTCGAAACAGACTGGCTATTGGTCTGTGCCTTATGATGTATGTTTCATTTTCTCACAGGCGATAGCATAGAGAATACGTGTACTAACGTTACGTTTAGGTGTCAGAACATGACGGGCGTCAATATCATCACTTACTATAGCCCACGCATCTTTCAGACTCTTGGAATACAGTCCACAGATTTGAAGCTGTTTGCCACCGGGTTTTATGGTGTCGCGAAGACCCTCGGAATGGTCATATTCTCATTCTGGGTGGCGGAACACCTTGGACGTCGCAAAGGTCTTATCTGGGGCGCTTTCGTTGGTGCAGTGCCAATGGTACGAGGCCTTTCTCAAAAAGCTACTTGATTAACCTACAAAATGTTGACATCTTGGTAGCTATATCTCGGGGGTTACGTGATGAAGAATGACCCGGAAGCCGTAGCCGCGGCTGGTGGCACCAGCATGTCTGGCTGGGGCTACCTCGCTATGGTCTGCGTCTATCTCTATGGTGTCATCTACTGCGCTTCTTGGCAGGTCAGTAACTACTGCAAACTCTTTCGGAAACGATTCCTGGCTAATGCTTTCAGGGTATCACGTGGCTATATGCTTCGGAGATCTACCCTCTTTACATCCGGTCTCTTTGCATGGCATTGACCATCGCTGATGAGAGACTGTGGTCATACGTTGTGTCTCGCTCCACCCCATACATGATCTCTGACATTGGCTATGGCAGTGGGTGTTGTCTTCATTGACTGTTTTGTATGTGTCGTCACAACTGACTTTATGATCATAGCCTACTTCTTTTTCGGGGCGTTGATGGTGTGCATGGGCTTCTGGGCGTGGTGGTGTATTCGGGAGACCAAAGGCGTTCCCATTGAGGAGATGGACGCGCTTTTCGGTGCTCCGCACGCCAACATGGAAGAAGCTGAGACTAAGTCAGCATGAGGTTGGTTTACTATGCTACAGGCTGCAGAAAAATGAACTGACACTGCAGCGAGCGACCTGATGGTACATGAAAACTCATGACATATTGAACAGAGGATGGGGGTCTCTTCTCTTAGGACATTGTTTTGCGCCTGAACTCGCGCTTTCACTTCTGACTGTCATTTACGCTTGGCCATAAACTCTTTTTGTACTTGTCGCTCTGGATTGAAATCGAGATTGCTTGGATAACATTCGATTGATGCACTTACGTGAAATTCGGTATCATCTGGAGAATGCAAGGACAGCCTGGTTGAAGGTCTCAACAATACTACAGACAGAATCAGAGTAGGATTTCGTTTGATGATCTAAAGATGCCCACAATGCTTGTAGGAGTAAGACCAAAAGTTGAAGGTTTCTCTTGTTGATGCATTTGTCGGGCAAAATGTTAAAATCAGCTCGGTTCTCATGCGATCTCACCGAGTAGCACTGAAAAATGAATGTGGACTTCTTCATTAGAGTTACTTTGATTAAAATGAAAAAGAAAGGAAAATCGGTCGATCAATACTAAATACAATATCCTCGAAGTATGAGCCGCTACTGAGAGCGAATGATTCTCTTCAATTCCCCAACAACTGAATCAGTCAAGGACTCAGTTGTGCCCGAACCACCCAAGTCAGGGGTGAGATCCGCTCCGCGCTCAACGACAATGCGTACAGCTTCCCGAACAGCATTGCCTTGCTTCCAATGTTCGGCGTGATCCAGGAGCATTGCACCACTCAAAGTCAAAGCCAAGGGATTCGCAATCCCTTTGCCAGCGATGTCGGGAGCGGCCCCATGACAAGCTTCAAAGACGGCAATGTCATCGCTGATATTCATCCCCGGAGCCAAGCCCAGAGATCCAACGAGCCTAGCTGCCAAGTCCGAGAATATGTCGCCGTATTGATTGGAAGCGACAACGACGTCGAACCGTTTGGGATCCCGCACAATGATGTAACAAGCGGCGTCAATCATAAGCTCTTCGGTCTTGATATCGTCGTATTCTTTGCTGACCTCACGGAAACATCGGAGAAACAGTCCGTCGGTGTAGTTCAGAACGTTGGCCTTGTGAAGACAGGTGACACGCTTGCGGCCGTTCTTGCGAGCGTACTCGAAGGAGTACCTGCAGACTCTGGTGGCTGCAGCGCGCGTTGTAAGCTTGACAGCTTCTGCGGCCACGTCGTCGCCGATCTGGTGCTCGATGCCGGAGTAAAGATCCTCAGTGACCTCGCGCATAATGATGCAGTCGAGAGACTCGTACCGGCCAGAGACGCCGGGGAAACCACGGATGGGTCTTGGGTTGACGAATAGTCCCAACTCTCTCCTGATGGCATTATTCAGAGACGGATAAGTTGCCGAAGTTCCGTCCGGCTGGTCGCAAGTAATGCGCCCGACGAGCTTATGGGTGATGATGGGAGCTTTCAAGGTGACGCCAACCGACCGAAGCTGGGATACGGTCTCGGGCGGCAGGGGGTGCCCATACTTCTCGATTGCCTCCTCAGCTATCAAGATATCATACCATTCGATCGGCATACCTGTTGCTTCGAGGACACGTTGGGCGGCGCTCATAATCTCTGGGCCAATCCCATTGCCCTTGAGGACTCCAATGCGCATATTGAACAAGTTGAGGTAGAATAGTGTTTGAGCTGAAGAAGATGCAAAATATCCTGGAATCAGGCGTAAACGCGATGTTTAACGTCGCTGTTATGCCTCCTGATGACATGAACTTTGTAATGAGCGACTTAATATGCTCAAGCATCGGTTATGCTGTTAGCGTTCGGGCCGAAATCCGGTAGCGGATCTTGCATAGATGTTTGTCACGCTCGGTCGAACCCGATCGCAACTGAGCAAGAAACAGCGAGCTGCCCACACGGATACCAAGGATTCGATTCCAAAGAGTCATAGCCCAGTTCGAGACCGGTAGATATGAAACTTTGGCCTGGTTTAATCAGTGTAAAATGATCCATCTGTTTGAGTAACGACACGGTGCCAAATCATGTGCAGCAGATTCATTGTTTGCAAAATTGCGCTCACCAGGCGGGAAAGAAAACTTGGACAACGCCTAGGCCAGTCAATTCTCTGATGAAGAATACTCTGGCAATTGCGAATACCTGAACTACAAGTCCTTCTCCTCAGGCGTGGATATACCGCCTGCCATCTTCGCTGCCAACTTGCTGAAGTCGCACATATACTCATCAGCCTCATCTACCTCGAAGTCGAAACGACAGAGATCCTCCTTGTAAGGGAACATGTATGTTTGTGTGACCCTGGGAAGTGGCTTGGTAAGCATGCATGCAGACATGACGACGTAAACCAGGGTGCGGGGACGGTACCAATGATGCTCCTTGCTTGCTTGATACTCGTCCAAAGCGGCTCGATTCTCATGATAGCTGAGAAGAGCAAACTCGAAATCCTTACTTCTCTCGATCGGGTCGGTCACTGATGGCCCCCCAACAATGAGGCGGTTGTCCTTCACGCAAGACAGGTTCTTGAGTTTTTTCAGTTCTCTCACAAACGTCTCCTTATGCTCTGTTGTGACCTCGGGTCTGAACTTGAATAATACTATACGTTGTTAACAAGTGGTCAAAAGCTTGTTCAGTATCATGATGAACTCACCCATATGTATGAGAGTCATGTTAACAGTATGTATGCGAAACAAGAGAAGGATTGGCCACAACGAGTGAAAATCGAGCTGAACTCCAACAAAGTGATGCGAGAACGGGTGAACAAGTTCGAATGCAGTGGGAATTCTTTACAATCAGTCAACGGTTTTAAGACACAGAAGAAGTCCTCATTGCAATCCAGGGATCAGCGGTGTGACCAGCTGGCCCGGCGTGCTCGTCGTAACTAGAATGACATCGGCATTGAGACCGGGTGCGCCGGGTTGTTGCCGGTCAACAAGGCGACACATTAATCACCATATTCCAGGCCCATTGTCGCAGATTCAGTGATAAACTAAATCTTGTACTTGTGCCAATGCAATTTGGGTCTTGAGGGCACCTGGAGTGACCTCATGTTGGAAGGTGAGCAGCAATAAGCCAACAATACATATCGCAGCCGCCTCTGGAAAGTATACCAGCATGTGTGCTTTCGGGAGGAAGAATTTATCTAGGTAAACAAATGAGAACTAGTCAAAGCCGAATAAGCTGAAAATTTGGGCATTGACTGAAACACATCATCAGATGATTGATATCGAGCCTACATGTAGTAAGAACGAGAATAAGAACGAGTGAATGAAGTGCATGAAACATAAATGCGATATCTTTGCGATGTTTCTCGCTGAAATTTGGGCATTCAATGGCTGTGCATGCATTTAATAATTGTTGTATAGATTCTATGGTAGTCTCTGATTCCTTATCTGCACATCTCTTCATCTCATGGAGCTTTCTTCAAAGTCGCGGTTCGAGCTTCCTCAAAGCCTCCAGCGTGTATGATGTTCCCAGAATTTGACGCAGGAGTTCTTTGTAGTCCCATCCAAGAGCGGCGGCTGCGAGAAGGGTCAGGCTTGCCTGCTCGTCGCGTCCTGGTCTGCCAGGCCCGGTCATGTTCTGCAGAGGGATGCCGTTAGATAATCAAGAGGCAGATTTCAAGAGCACGACTGCGAAAGACTTACCGGCTTCATGTTAACATCGAAAAGAGCAAACTTCGACTGTGCGCGAAAACGACGAACGTCAATCCGAATGGGGGCGGTAGTACCAAGAAGCTTTGCAGCAAGCTCGCACTCCCTTGCGACATCACTGTACGCAGGATCCTCAGATCCAATAACAGCCTTGGAGTTGGCTGTCACGGCCACAGTTCCATTGTAAGGGGCAATTCCATCCTGGTGGTTAAAGCGAGTGACCACCGGCAGCGACCAGTACCCCTTGTCTGATGTTGGGGGCATCACCGTCACAGTGGCTTCCTCTCCGGCCAGGAACTCCTCAACGATAATGGCATTGGTGCCCTCCGACGTCAAGAGCTTGATGTGCGCGGCCAGCTCGACCTCATCCTGACAGACTTTGACTCCATGACTGCCGCGACCTCTAGCTGGCTTCGCGACCACTGGGTACGGATATGCGCTGTATTGGGGAGTGTCTCGGTCGGCATGGATTGTCCAGGCTTTGGGCATTGTGAAAGGTCCTTCCTGGCGTAAAAGCGTGTTGACGAAGTCTTTGTCGTCATATTTCTCGACAATCACAGGACCCTGGCCCACCACGCGCAAGCGATTCTCATATTTCCCAATTTCTCTTGAGGTCTGGAGCGGATGACTCGCAAAGAGGATCGTGTTCGCCCACAAGTGCGTGGCGCCTCTTTCGATTGCATGCAGAATGCCTTCTTCATTGTCCGGAAAACACCAATCGGCATCCTTCACGGGATCGGGTTTCGACTCCGGACTTAAAACATCGACATTTTGGGAGAGGCTCAAGTTGTAAGCAATATCGGCCCCGGAGTCTTTGTAGCCTAAGCAGTGAGTAGGCGTTAGCTTGACGCGTCCTACTTGCACTTGAAGTGCAACTCACCACCAGGTTTCTTGGGCTTAACGTTGCCTGCGATAACGGGAGGGTCGATCTCTTGGTAGAGCACTGCAACTTTCGGTTGCTGTTGGGCGCTGATAGACGAACTGAAGGCTTGGGCATGACGTCGTCCAATCCGACAATGCACCAGGTGCAAGGTCGAGACGAGCGGCGATGAGGAGGTCGCCCTGCGCACTACGCGCGCAAATTGGTGCATCTTTGAAACTCAAAAAGGGTATAGCTTCTACCGATAACACAACAACTTTCGGTGGTTGCCAAATGCTGCCATCCAGTGCTGATTGACGGGAAGAAGAACTGCTAGTTCGGACTGACTTGCGATCGGGCTTATGCCGATGGCGGCCCCACAAAACCGGCTACATCCCGGGCATGCTTTGTACTGAACAAATCCACGGATTGAGATCTTGTCTTCGGCAGTTCAGACCACATGCAACCCGGCGCCTACGTAATATATCGAAACAGCTGTTTTATTCGGGCAAATGACGTTTATCAAGAAGCAGTCGTCGTTCTTCAGATTGAGGGTCTGTTTTGTCGCTCAAAACAACGGGGAACTCGATCAGCAACTGCAAATTAGTGCTTCATAACTTATCCTACTTCTGGCACATCGATCACCTATCTGGGTACTTAAGATCGCGAATAACGTTTTCAATGCGGGTAACATTGTCTAAGCGGTATCATGGTGTCAAAAGGATCAGAATGTTACAGTTGCTCCATCGTCCGCAGAGCCAAACCCAGCGCTGGCATCCAAGAGCCAATTGAGATCGAACCATGAACTCATATCACCCAACTCGTTAAAGAACGAGTCTGCCTCAAACTCGCCACCCATACCTATAGTGGGTTCTTCCATTGTGTACAATCCTTGATCTGTCACTGGAGCAGCAGCAGGCTCGTTGCTATCCGCTTCCTGGCCTTGCGCCATGGACAGAAGTGATTGCCCGGCGACAAACTCTGCGCTCGGTGGTCGGTTAGCCCCTGATTTCCAGGATTCTGATGTGAGATGAACCAGTCTTTCGAATTTCCCGACCGCGTCGGCAGCTACGCTCCATGTCTTCGCCAGATATTTCAGGAGGTTGATACATGCTTCTGCATTGCTCTTGAAGAAGACAAGAGTGGTGTCCTGCTTGATCTTGGGTACTACCCACAAACAGTAAAGAAACGTGATGCCGCTAACGAAGACAGTATGTGCAGTGAGCCAGCTGTTTGACAGCTTGGAGAAGCGGTGAAGTTCCGAGTTGATGAGAATTGTTGCCACAGCGCTTTCATAACATATTTTCCAGGACTCGAAGCTCGGTCTCGTAATAGCGGGTGATGGGCGATAGAGTAGCATGATACAGTGGTGATACTTCAGCTCGAGACTCTGTACCATGCCGTCAGAGGTGCTCCGCCGAAGGCCCCGACGAAACTCGGCTCTGAGAGCTTCTAGAAGGGCGTCGCATCGCTTCCTAACATCCGGCTGCCAGGAGGCGAGATCGGTTGGCCATGGAAATCGATTCGGCAAGTTGACAACCCGATATATCATCAGCTTGATCTCAGCTGTGATCTGGTCGAACTTGAAGGAATACTGTGAAGCAGCGTATGGGTTAATCATGACCCTCGCTCGTTTTGTCGAATGATGTGGAGAGCGTGCGCTTTCTGGTGTCAGGGCGCTACTGCCGACGGAGGCTCCTTGTCCAGCTGGGTCTCCTTGGCGAGCGGTGTAGCCAGGGAATTCAATGTCAATAGCTTCGTCTCTGAGAGTTAACGGACGGCCAAGAACGACCGATAATGTCCTCTCCAGTGAGTATGCCGACCAAAAGATTCCTCTTCTGAGATTGAGGCGACTGTGAATGTTGATAGGTTTCGAGACGGTGGAAGGATGATGAACGTTTACTCCACGTCTTTGGAAACCCAGATCAAGGCAACTGGCAATGATATTCATGACCAGAAACCACGCATTGGGTCCTTCCTCGAAGTAGAAACTCGATATAGTCAGGAGAAGCATGATCTGTAGCCCTTCGATGCTGTCATGCAATGCCAGAGTTCCGATGCGTTGCATTGCTGTAGCGAGATATCTTTCAGATGAGAACTCAACAGACAGTCGAGATTCCAATATCCGAGCACCTAAGGCGAGAACAAGGAAAGTCTGGACAGATTGAAAGGGGGATAATGACGCCTCAACCTCCTCCAAGGGAGGCATCTGCATAGAACCGGCCTTTTGGGTCGTGTAAAGACAGTCGAGGTTGTCCGTGATACTCTCCTCATCTAGAAAAGGGTACATTGGATGAAGAGTTTGAAAATATGCGTCGGCGAAGTGCTGTAAGTCAACTTCAGACGTCCAATGAGGCGGGAAAGGGTGGTGCGCAGGAGAAGGTTTCCGCGTAAGCGTCCCCCCTTCCGGCGCCGCCCAGTTGACGGATAGCCCTTGCGACTGAGGAATCGCAGAGAATATCAGCCGCGCGAATGGTACACCAGAAGAAGGCCCTAGATACTTGGACTCTTTCGAGTTGGCCAGAGACAGCATGCCAACTTCATGCGCCAGAGGTTCGCCTGGGCCTATCTCAGTTGAGGCAGACGGGCTTAGAGAAGTGGTGTTATCTGTCGCAGCTGACCGAGCAGTTGGAGGATTTTCAACTGGGACATCTTCGATCTCATGTTCAGCGTCGTGAAGGATGGGATCATCTTCAATGGAATTCAAGTCTGGAAGGCCTTCGGTGTCGACAACCAGACCATCAGCATCATATACGTCATTCTCATGGAGGCTCTGATGGTCGGGCGTAGGCAGCGGTTGCTCCATGGGCCATTGTTGAGCTGCCTCCATTGTAGGACTTGTATCGTAGGTAGCTTCGGGTGCTGTTGACACGATGATGCATGGCATCGATGCGCATGTTTCCACTGCCGGGGCCCGGTCGAGCTCTTCGGGGGCTACCCGACGAAGAGATTCCTCCAACGAACGAAGTCGGGCTTCCAGTTTGGTAACATGACTGTGGGTACAAAGTCAGCCTGCTTCTCCGAAACAAATCCAAAAGTCCACGATGATGGTTCTGCCTACTTACTTGACGGCGTCAGGATTATTCGCGAGATTCGCCCTGACGCATGGGTGACCCGAGCGTGCACAGTTGGTGCAGGATGGTTGCTCATCATCGCAGCGAATCTTCTGGCTACGGCAGCGGGCGCATGCCGTGCCTTTCTTGCGGCCCGGACCAGTCATCGCCGACGCCCCGGACCGTTGCCGGGCTGGTACAGGCGAGATAGCCTCTTCAGACCACCCAGAAGATCCAGGAGCATCTTCGTTCATAGACCGTTTCTGTGGAGATGCCTCTTACACAAGTAAGAGACCGGCTTATCGGGTTGTCGTGTGCATATGGTTATCTGTGAGAAAAGACATTGAGAGGACGATATGAAGATGGACGGAACAATCCCGAGAACGCGGTTGAAGAATTGTGAGATGATCTCTGTGGGGAATCCTTGCAGCTTCGTCAATCGACAAACAGGCATGTTCCGGATGAGGGGGCGGGGTAGTCACCGGCTTTTGGCCGGTGCTCGACGCCATGGAGGGGTCAAAGCCATCGGGATGTCCCGATAGTGCTGGGTCGTTCAGCTCTGGATATGATGTCAATGCCACGATTTTTATTTCAGCTGATTTAATTTATCAATAGTAAAAGCTCATGTGTTTTGCGTGGCTTTACAATACTACCGTTTCTTTCACAACACTTTGCATTCGTGTAAGAGCCTTTTTGAAACAAGGCTTTCGACAACTTCAGCATCATTTCATTTAAAATGTCGTCTGCTGCGCGATACTACGCGAAGCCAAGTGAAGCTGTTTCATTCGCCAAGGCACTTTTGCTGAAGTCCGGTCTCCCTGAGGATGATGCCACGTTGATGGCTGAGTGTCTGGTTCAGGCGGACACTCGTGGTGTTGTAAGTCAAGGCTTCCCACCTGCCAAAAAGGACCAGACAGTTTGGCTAACTTCGACGTTTCAAAGGATACGCATGGCCTGGCGAGACTGCAACAATACATCGAGCGAGTTCAGAGTGGCCTGGTCAATGCCAAAGCCAATATCCAGATCACCGAGAAAACCCCTGTTGCAGCCCACGCCGATGGTGACAACGGCTTCGGCTTCATTGTCGCATCCAAGGCAATGAAGGATGCGATTCGCCGTGCTGAGACGTACGGTATCGGCATTGTCACTGCTGAGCACTCCAATCACTTCGGCATGGGAGCCACCTACGTCCTGCAAGCTCTCGAAGCCGGCATGATCTCATTCGTCTTCACAAACTCTGCCAAGCAAATGCCGCCTTTCGGAGGAAAAGAGACTCTCCTCGGTATCTCTCCGTTTGCTGCTGGCGCCCCTAGCAAGAACGAGGTTCCTTACATCCTCGACATGGCACCCTCCGTCGTTGCCAAGGGCAAGATCCGCAAGGCCGCGCGAAGAGGCGAGAAGATTCCCCTCGGGTGGGCGTATGATAAGGATGGCAAGCCGACTGAGGATGCCGATGAAGCTTTGAACGGATCCATGGCTCCCATTGGTGGTCCCAAGGGCTCCGGCATTGCTATTCTCATGGACATCATGTCTGGGGTTCTTTCCGGCGCGGCCTTTGGTGGTGACGTGGGTGACCAATACAAGGAATCTAGGCCTCAGAATGTTGGACACTGCTTTATTGCTATCAAGCCTGACATTTTCATGTCGTCGGAGCAGTTCCGCTCCAGGATGGATACGCTTGTTCAGCGCGTACATGGGGTAACTCCAGCCGATGGGTTTAAGGAAGTCCTTTTCCCTGGAGAGCCCGAGTACCGCCTCGCCAAAGAACGCGAGGCTCAGGGTCTCCCGTTTGCCGATGCTGAAAAGAAGATGTTTGAGGATTTGGCATCCAAGTACGACGTACCAGGCTTGCAACTTTCTACGACACCTTTGGCTTAGATCAACACTTTCCTTGCCAGTAAAGAGTCAGAAAGACACCGAATCTACAAGTCAGATTCCCATGTAACATAGTCATTTTCGAGATATTACAAAGCTTCCTCGCAATCATATCTGAAGAACGACATGGAGCTTTGCACGTTGCACTTGATGGATTGACCTATCTTATTGCTTATACTTAGGGTTGATTTATTCGTCATCGCAAGAAGTTGTATCGATTTATGGGTGCTGAAGAGATCTTTTGCAATACACGACAGAAAAAGGGCAAATGTATACTTCCACTTCACAATGTGGCTGTTTCACGATGAACTGCGAATGTATTCCTCGCAGTGTATTTAATTATTCGGTGCACGTCGCGCGCAATACACGTAATCTCTAGTCTGAAGCATGACTTGTGGTTATTGTCACTGATAAGTATACTTTGATCTCCAGCCTTTCTGCAAGCGCTCACTTGCCTCGGAAGGTTGCGAATGCCTCTTGAACTGACATGCCTCCACGAATCGCTTCCGCACACTTGTCATCCGCAGCTGCAAGACCTGGAACCAGACCCAAAACCTTCTCTGCGAGGTCTCCGGGCAAGAATACAACTCCGTCAATGTCCGCAATGATGTAGCCGCCTGGGCTAATAACAGCTTCCTGCTTTACAGACTGGAGCTTAACGTCGACGTTGATCTCGGATGGGAAGCATACAGCACCGCCAGCAGTTGTGCCGACACCTCTCGCGAACAACTGTCACAACTGACATTAGCCATTGATTGTGTCAAATTTCAGGATATGTATGGTTCGCTTACAGGAAAGTTCAAATCTCTATGCTCTTGCAGATCGCGAAGGTGACCGTCGATCACAACACCCTTTGCTCCGAGAATTTGGGCTCTCAGTGACATAAGGCCACCATAGCATGCATTGATGTGAGGGGCAGGTTGAGAAATGAAGACGACGGAGCCTTTCGGAATTTGGTCAACCTGTTCCGCCCGGGTCAGCACGACATGGCCATGAACAGGAAGCAGAACAGCCCTACATAGTTTCCCTTGACCTTGGGGGCAGATGAGTCGCCCTTAGGCGCGAACTTTACAGTGAAGACGGGGCCAACAATCTTTGTCTTACCAGCCTGGTATTCGGGCGAGTAGAGAACCAGGCCCTCGAGGAAGCCGCCATCGGCACGGCCCAACTTGGACAATCCATCTGAGATCTGCGTACCTCGTGTAAGTGATATTGTGGCCGCAGCTTTATTATTCCCATGGGACTGGACTTACGTCACAACTGGACCACTTGGATAAGCGCTCGATGATATCTGGAGATGCTGACATTGCAGGGATGGGTATGGAGTTCAATGATGGTTTACGTGTTCAGCCGGCAATGAGGAGCTTGATTGAGGATTGATAAGTAGTTTGCGCTGGACCACTACTGACCATGACGTTGAAACCATTGAAGCTCACGTCCGATTGCCGCGCCATTCGCGCGGAAGGGTCCGACGAAAGCCGGCCAGCGCGGGGTCCGTTTATTTTGACCCGGCCTAAAGCCGCACTGTTTGCACTCCATTCTTCGGCTTTTCGCCGAAAGAAACATAACCTGTCACCACCACATATTGACAACCGTGACATCCGCAGCCCGCTGCTTATCATGTTGACTGAAGCAGTGTTCTCCTATCCCTAGATATGGTTCAATTTGGTGCATTAGTCTTGAGAGAAACATGGAGCTAGCTTGCGATACATTGAACACATACGTAATCCGAACTACACAAAAGGTGTGACATTCATCAGAATGGCATGTTGACTGACTTCGTCAGTGTCATACTAGATTTGGTATTCTTTGACTTCTATCACAATATCTCATGCCTTTCCGCCCCATGCCTTTCCGGCGGAATACAGGACGTCTCTCATCACTCTCTCGATAGACTTGGCATAAACATCCGTGCCGTTCATCTTGAGAACCGTAAGCTCAAGCTTTGCAGAATTCTCAGCAATGAAGTCTGTGTATGCGTCGCGGACAGTTCTGTTCATGTTGATCTTGACCATTCCCTGCTTCCTTGCTATTTTGAAGAGCTCGTCGGAAACGCCATGCGTCCCGTGCAGAACCAGAGGCGTCTCGGGGATGGCGTCATGAATGTCGTTCAACCTAGAGAGATTCGTCAGCACTTTTTCTTTCATCACGATTAGATCGTTACTTACAAAGGAAGTCTCCAATATTTCTCTGGGCCGCCAGGTCCATAGTTACCATGGATATTTCCAAAAGATGGCGCAAGAAACTGAACACCCGTCTCCTTGACAAATTCTTTCGCATGCTCAGGTCTCGTGAGAATAGTTTCGAGATCAACAGTGGGCAATCCGTCTTCGCCACCTTCTATCCGGCCCATCTCCGCTTCGATGGCAATTCCCTTGGCATTCGCGATTTTTACAATCTCTCTGCACTGCCGCGTATTTTCCGCCTCGTCGTGTATCGAGGCGTCGACCATGATGGAATCAAAGGGAAGCTCAAGGGCGGCTTTGACGTCCTCGGGCTCAATGCAGTGGTCGAGATGCACGGCAACGGGTACCTTTGCTGCGTGTGCGGCTCCGATTACATACTTGACAAACTCGGGGCCCTGAAACTTCAATGTCCATGGAAAGACCTGAATGATAGCAGGAGAGTTGCAAGCCTCCGCTGCCCGGATCACCGCAATCACGCCGTCATCGTTGTAGCTGTTCATGAATCAGTCCGAGACTTTTGAGCGGTAGTTAAATCGCAGACATACCAATTGTAGGCTCCAACTGCGTAACCCCCAGTTCTTGCTGCCTCCAGGATTTGATACGTTCGGTTGTTTTGGGGAAAGGCGGCCATTGTGACAGATGACTTGAAAGAATTCCGGATCAGTGTACAAACACTGAATGCCTTCAGTCTTGGAGTTGGTCGATCTTGTATATCGAACCAACATCCCCTTGAACTGCAGACACATCAGATGGGTCCACTCGGGCTCATCCCGAAAGTTGAGCGCACTGTAAGTTTAAGTCGGATGAACATCAAACACATCAAACTGACTGACACTTGCGGAAGGCATTCCACCTGTGTTGACGAAAACAAAACTGGTTTGCAGTTCTGGTAGTATTGTGATAAAGAGCCGTAAGATACGTATTGGTAAGCTACGGTAAAGCTCAAACAGAGCCGAGAACCACTTCCAAACAAGTTGTAGTTCTATGAGTAGATTTGCGTCTATCCCTATCTCAATGTCCATTCGTGCATATATCCTGTCTAGCTCTTTGCTGGGAAGTCATACAAAGTAGAAGGGTTGTTAACCCACAAATCTTGCCATTCCTCACCACTGAACCAAGTGCTCAAAGACCGAATCCATGCGCGATCATCAATCTTCAAGAACGGCTCCTGTTCATCTTTGCTCCGAAGATGCCTATCCTCGTGACGCTGGGTATGCGGCCAGTCGCTGCCCCAAACCAGCCTCTTCGAGTTCGTCTGGACGAGTTGCTGTACAATATCCTTCAGATCGTCAAAGTCTGGGTCTGCGCGAGAGCACCTGTAAGGCGCTGAGATCTTGATCCAGAGATTCCCGCTCCGCAGGGTATCGAGAAGATCGTTCCATCCAGACAGCTGCGTGACGGGCACAGACCCCTCAGGGGCCATACTCGATGCCTTCACGAGTCCGATGTGGTCAAGGACTACCGGAACCTTTGATCTTTGAATGACAGCACCCAGTTGTTTCCAATGAGAAATGTTTGGTTGCTGAATCTGAATGCTCCATCCCTTGCCGCTTTGATGCCACTGAAGCAAGCGATTGGCCGTCGCCTCGATGAGATTGACTTGCTTATTGACGTCGTTCATCGCCTGGGCTTTGAAGAAATCCAGACGAACGCTTCGGATGCCGGCGTTGTGGTACTTGTCAAGAAGGTCGTATGTGACTGTCTCTAGATCGAGTACACAGATGCCTCTGGCCGTCCCATTGAAATGCTCCAAGTAGTACAGCAGAGACGAGCAGTCCGCTCCGTAAGACAGGCCGTGGGCGATACACACGTGTGAGACGCCAATGAAGTCTTCAAAATCCAGGAGTTGCCCGAGAGTTGCGACTGAGGGGGTGAAGTGTCTTCCTGATGCGAAGGCAAAACGTCCCGGCTCGAAGATGTGAAGGTGGGTGTCCCAAGCACCCGCAGGCACGGGCTTAGGTGCGATATTGACTGAGCTCATAATTCTCCGATGGCTGTTTGATACGAAGGTTGATGTGAATGGCCGGCCTAAATTTCCTTATGCAATTCAAGTGGTGAAGTAAGACTTTCTATGTATTGCGAAGGCATAGATGTTACGAGAATTGGGAAGCGTGGCGTGTATGTGTAACAAGGGCATGCATTACACATCCAACAGGGTGCACCGGCCAAGAAGACACATTAAATTGAAATCGGCATTACTCCGAGCCGTAGCAAATGGACCCAAACGATTTACAGTTCTTTCATAATGATTTGCTCCAATGTTCCTATTGCCCTATCAAGACTTCCTTATTTTCATATTCTCTCATATCTCACTGCCTAGTGCAATGAGTCCGTGACTCTTCGTGGCCTTCTCCCAGGCATCCTGGCTGATTTCAGCGATGTTGACCCGATATGCCACACCATCTGGCCTGCGCTCAACTTGGAGTGCGATCCTCTGCTTCTCGTAGTCGGGAGGCGCTGTTCTTTCCGCTATTACAATGAACTCATACTCCTTGTCTTCGAGATTGCCAGCATCTTGGCTTCCCAGACAGGGGCCGGTTTGGCCCGCGATGTTTCCATCGGGGTCGAGCAGCTGTTGGCGATAACATTCTTCGCGGTGTTTGTGAAGCGGGCCGTCTCTTTCGTGCCAGTGATACGTTGATTTGATTGGTTTGGCGACTCTGAGCCGTGTTGATTCACTCCAGAAAAGCAGCAGTTGGTCATCAGGAACTTCTTCAAGGTTGATCCTGGGGTAGCTGTTCCGGAGATCTTCCAGCGATACGGCAGAGGAGCCGCGTGCTGGTGAAGAGGTCACTTGCCGCGGTGAGTCCATGAAGATCCTCCTAGCCAACAGAAGGCGTAAAGGGGGGTTCCTCAGAATGTAGATGTCAACCGCAGATGCAAGACTGTACGCTGTCAGTTAGAAGCCATCCGGTACTTTATGACTTGCTTCACTCACCCGGCGTCGGCATGTTTGTCTTCGATGGTGAGAGTCAGAGCCCCCCGCCATCCCATCCAAGACCAACTTGGAAATGGGACTTCTCTTTCAAGTTTCAAAGACTTCATTTTCCGTGCTGTCAAGTCGCTACGCCTTTTCAATCCATAGTTAACTGGCTCCCAGCACAGTCCCAGTTCAAATCTTGACGCGGGTATCCCCCAAATAAATCGATCTTTTGATATCGCCCGAGCTTGCCTCAAAATGGCAGAAAACGCATAGTATGCATCGCTCTGTACGCTGATATCTCGGTTGCTATAGTTCCTCACAAGCCGCGAGAACATCAGCCACAGTTGGTCAGTGTCATCGTCAAACGCTTCCAATGACCTCAAAGTCGAGTTGAGGGAGAATTCGGCACTGTTGAGATTGTCCCATGAAACCCTTGCCAGTTGCGATTCTGAATTTGTCTCCTCAGACCAGTTAGAGGTACAGCACGACCACAGAATATGCTGGTCAAGAAACGTTATGGTCCGACGGGCCATGGCGCGCTCCTGCAGCGTCCACCCGCGCGAAGCCCATACCGTACTACGCGTCAGATGTACGCAATCAAGTCCCGTTGGCTTCAGAGACGTGATCAAAGAAATCGACTCGTTGCCAGGGAGTTCGATTTCTACAGCTGTTTGGGGCTGATTTCGAGGCATTGACACCCCCGGTAGACCAGAGTCGGCATCTTTGCCATCTGCAGCGATGATGGTAAGCAAAGAGCTCGCGTATATCTTCCCCATATTCCTGAGCTGAGCTTTTTTGTCCTCGTCGCTGTTCTGGACAATACAGATGGCGTCGACCCAGATATATTGATATCCGAGGGACTTCGTGAATTTGATTGCATCCGCAATTGTTCTAGGGACCTTTCCAACTAACGATGAAGCCTTGCGAAGCTCATCATAGTTGGTTGTTTTCAGCAAAACTCGCTGCTTGCCTTTACCCCAAACATAACTCAATGCAGTGTATTTGAGGAGACTAAGATCCGCGTTGATAAAGTCAACGACTTTAAGCTCGTTAACGTCGATCAGGCGGAAGAGTGGCATGGTGCTTATCGTTTATGTTAGCCTTGATACGTCCAGCGTAATTAAAGAAGACAAGGTAGAGACCAACTCAGATTGCCCAGGTAACTGCTGTCCACTTGCACCGCAGGATTCCCCATGTCTCTCGAGGCAGTTCCTCAGCCACTGGAGAGGTAAATTGGTATTCACGCTTTTCGGTCGTCTTCTTCCAGCAAATAGAACCGCTTCTTTGTCCCTGATCTGACCAAAGATGTCTCGGACCGCTGGGGTTGTTTCTGCCGACTCATAGTATGTTTGAAAACACTCCCCCAGCAAGGTCCAAGGGAGCCGCAGTCGACTCAACTCATGAATATAGGGATCTTCCTCATCAGGGAAAACCCATAGTCCCAACCGACTCAAGAGAAAGACGTGACCATCTCCTTCGGCGTGAGCGTGTTCCCAAGTACCACCCTCGGGGGGGAGTAGATATCCATCCACTTCGATATGTGCTCTGCAGACAGGATCTTCCACGCCGGACGACGGCATATCCTCCAGTGCCTTCGGTTGCTGTTGTAAAACGGCTACAACGGCTTCACAGAAGGAACAAGCAATTGATGACTTGTGGATCCGACTGACATGACCCAGCGACCAAGTGGTCACCTCAAAACGTGACTTATCATGTCTGAGAGGGAATCGATTTCCATCCAGCTGCCTGCCTGCATTAAGAATTTCGATTTCGCCAACGGTGGGAAGTCTGAGACGCTCAAAGGGGATATGTGAGCAGGATTCACAGAGTTTTCCCTTGGAACCCCTTGGACTGGTAACTGATGCGTTCATGATTCCAAAACGTGATGTAGCTCAACTTGCTATTCGACGAAGGTACAAGCTAATGAAGAGAGCTTTTGGAAGAATATCCAGAGCAGTCAGGACGCGGAATTACAGCCTTTTATCAACGTTTAGGCACAGGTGCAGCCTTCTGCCCAGGTACTGGCTTCACAACCAAATGGAAAATGGTGGGTTTCACAAGCTGAAGCCAAGCATGCTCATAAGCTCATTCACTTCTACCATGTGATGACTTTTGGATGAGTTGGCGAGGTGGCTTGGTCAATTTGAGCCTATGGAATTTGCAAGCGGCTTGAAGATAAAGCCGTGTACTAAGTATGGATGGTGTAAGACGGGGCTTAGACGCATGAGAGGCCACGAATTAGGCCAACCCTCCAGGTTGGACATCGTACCGACATGCACTTCAGTGCCATGGGAACCTCAGCCTGATTTCAGCATAGCTCGTGCCAACAGAATCTCGCTGACGAGGCGACAGATATCCCGACTTAATAGAAGAGTACATGTACTGAGAATGGCGATTGGATATGGTTCTCTCATTTATCGTACATGTATTTCATTGGTCTACCAACCTATTGGGTAATCTTCAAGAAGTGCTTAACAGTAGCAATAGCCTTTTCCTCTTCCAGACGTCTAGCAACCAGCTGCAGGCTGATAGGCATTCCATCGACGGTACTTGGATCGTCTGAAAATGAGTTAGCTAAATTCTGCAATAGAGGGTAAAAAATTAAAGAACACTCACATTCGGCCTGGATAGCCTCACACACTGGTCCCAGAGGCTGTTCTTCCGAGTAAGGAGTGTCTACGCTCTTATCCGCACACAGCCCAGTGGGAAACGAAACACAAGAGTAGTCAAGTACGTTATAGACACCAGTGTATCCAACTAGAAGAGAAGGTTAGTCAGAATCTCGCATCGCTTTCATCGTCGAAGAAATCAACTTACCATGCTTAAAAGTACCGTTCTTGGGGCTGGTAAACGGTGTAGTAGGGCATAGGATAGCGTCAATACCCGCAGCGTTCCATCGATCCAAATACCTCTTCTGGAACGCCGTCCTCTCCAGATGAAGCTGCCACATGTCGTAAGTCCCCAGCTCCTTCGCAGTCGAGTAAGCCGCCATCTCAGGCCTCCACGGCTCGCCCGTCTTCTCCAACTCCTTCTTGATCGAGATACCGCCGTCGGCAACAAACATGCGGTCGAGCAGACTCAGTCCCAGCTTGTGATCCTTTGGCTCCCAGTCAACAACCTCGACGCCCGCCGCCTTCAACTTCTCAACGGTCTGACGCAGAGCTCGCGCGACAGGTGGTGTCGGGCGGACCATGCCGTCGTTCCACATGACACCGATCTTCAACTTCGCGGGGAGTTCCGTTTCCCTCCACGCGATGGGCACACATCGCGGGTCGTAGAGCCATGTCTGGCGGTTGATGACGCTCTTGCTGTAGAGCTCCAGGTCGTCGATCGTTCTCGTCATGGGGCCGTTGACGGACTGGACGGCTTCCTGGCCGCCCATGCCGGAGCGGCAGCCCAGGGTTGGGAAGCGGCCGAAAGAGGGGCGAAGGGTGAAGATGCCGGTGCACGCGGCCGGGATACGCAGCGAGCCGCCGATGTCAGTGCCGATGCCCCACGGACTACCCTTCATGACGATCAGAGCCGACTCGCCACCGGAGCTTCCACCGCTGGTGAGATTCCTGTTTCTTGGGTTGACGGTCCTTCCAAAGACATTGTTGACCGACTCCGCGATCATCATCGCCGTGGGAACATTCGTCTTGACGTAGAACACCGCGCCGGCCTCCTCCAGCAGGGTCGCCAGGGCGGCATCGTATTCGGAGGGGTTTCCGACGTGCGACGCAAACCCCACCGTCGCATCCAGGCCCTTGAGGTTGAAGTTGTCTTTGAGCGAGATCGGCAATCCGTGGAAAGGTCCCAAGGGCTTGCCTGTGCGCTCCAGGTGCTCGTCGAGAGCCTGTGCCGTCGCGAAGGCGCGGTCAAAGCATGTTTCAGACAGGCAGTTCGTCTTCGATGAGCAGTCAGCACAACGGTTCTCCTGCAGGGCATCTTCAAGCTTACCAACTGATGCGCCGCGACGGCTCGCTTGCAAAAGGCTTTCGTGACATCGAGGGACTTGAGTTGACCGGAGGCGAGTTTCGGAAGCAGTTCGGCGGCCGTGCTGTTGGTGATGGCTAACTCCTTCGCCGTGAACCAACCGGAAGTCTCAGGCCACGCGGTGACGTCGGCTTGCGACTCTGGAGGCAGAAGGTCCTTGGGAACTCGCCATTCTTCAGGAATAGACGCGGCGAGGGCCTCGCGTTTTTTGGCGCCAGCCAGCTCCCAGGGTGCGACACCTTGGCTTCCCATGTTGAATTAAAGATGAAAATGCGGTTGTGGTTTTCCGGATAAAAAGGTCTATATGCGAGAAAAGTGTAAGGAACAACAACACGATAAAGTCTCGCGAGGGGCGCCTTTCAGCCCGACCTGAGACAATAAGTTGTTAAATACACGCATGCGGCTACCGATGGCCCAAGCCTTGTTAGTCTTGAGACGCCGTCCCGCACCGGTCATCGGTGATATCAAGTCGGGACGCATCGTCCGAGATCTCGCTAAGGGGAAGACCAGAGGAGAAGTAACAGTGTTAGAACGGCGCCGCGGGAACTGTGGGGTGGGATTGTTCGATTCGTGTGTCTCGGAAGAGATAAGACGCACCGGGAAAATCCAACTGGGCGGGCGTGTCTGTCTGTCGTGCATGCAGGACGCCGCGCATGGGTGCAGGGTATCGTTATCCAGTTCCGGCGTTGATAAAGCTGCATATTATCGATCACAGGAACGTTGGAGATGCGGTGTCTGTCGTATGATGCATATGACCCCGTGGGCAGTTCCTTGCCGATACTGCAAGTCCCGGGATAGCCTGGGCGTCGTGGAGGGGTTCGCGCTAAATCCACCACCCATTCCAGACTGTTTTCAACCGTCGAAGAACCAGTCGGAGATGATCGCAAGAAGAGGCGCGCCAGACGATGGTAGTGTTACCGCGTTATGTTGATGAATGACGTACTTTGGCAGCACGGGGAAGAAAGCCACTACAAACAGCGTTAAGCTTCATTGGTGCACCGGAAGAATACCCCGGCGGCAAGCCTGATATCGTTCAACGAACACCCCCGCATCTCCTCCCACCTCTTGTGTCTAAATGGACCGTTGAATGCGGTCTCTGAATTCAAGATTATCGTGAGAGAATTATGTCTTTTCCAACATCCGGGTCCTCCGTAAAGACGCGACTAACAGCCGCGAAGTGGGACGCGTCTAGCGATTTCAACTAGCCCTAATTGTCTCAGTCAAGCCTTTACCGCCGAGCGCCGATGACTCTTCAGTGAATTCAAAAACAGCGCCAACTTCTATAGCGATTGCTTCATCGAAAAGAGTATCAGGAAGCTGCACCCTGCGATAGAGATCGAGTCGACGCGTATCCGGCGTATTTGAGCTCGACTGAACCCCGACAGCTCCAAGGGTCTCGGACAGGGACCCCGAAAGCCTGTAAGCTTATCGCTCCGTCCTGGTTCGTTGCGGATAACATGCCATGATCGCCGACCAGAGATCAGATAATGATAGCGGTCTTGGAAGCTCACAGTGCCACAGTTTCGCCGAATCGTTACGTTTTGCGACTCGGCCGATATAGTCTGACATTCTCATTCTAGCAACGCACGTGAGATAAGACTCTGCTATCGGTGCCGACAATCGTCTAAACGGTGCAGAAATACCAAGAGACACTCATCAAGCACAGGGCGACAACCTAACCAGGGTCTGTTGGCCCGTTGAGAAACCGACCGCCAGTCTCGACTCCTTGCCACCTTATCTCCGCGCTATCAGCTACACAGCGATAAGTGCAACGCCCAGAAGGAAGCCTGATAGCGGGTTGAACAACGCGGGTCGGTGAGATCCATAAGAAGTCGCACGGGTTTCCTCGGAACTGCTTCGATCTTTGAGTCAAAGGAATGACGGGAGTTTTCGACATTTCCTGCGCGGTAGTTGGTCTCTAGCTTTGTCATTCTGAAAGAGGGTTGGTCGAAGGCACCAATATGGCGCTCTCCAAGATTCAGCAGTACTTGCACGTCGAGTATCAGCCAGGAGAACGAAAGCTCATTCAAAAGGTAAGGCTCTCGATGATGAGATATATCACAATCCATGCTAATTTGTAAAAGATCGACTTCTTCATTCTTACATTTTGTTGTTTGAGTTATCTGGTGAACTATGTAAGTAATCGATCTATCACTCCACTCCCAGCCATATTTGCATATGCTCATCCCACTGCAGCTTGACCGGACAAACTTGAACAATGCCTACGTCTCTGGTATGAAAGAAGAGATCGGCTTCGTCGGAGACCAGCTCAATCAAATCAATACCTGCTTTACTGTCGGGTAAGTGATGCCCATTGATTCATCTGGACGGTAGACAACATACTAACAGTCCATGCAAGATACGTCATCGGACAAATCCCCTCCAACCTGTCTCTGCACTATGTGAAACCACGCTTCTGGTTCCCGCTGATGATGATCATCTGGGGCGGTCTCACCATGTGTACTGCCAGTGTGCACAGCCCAAAGTCTATTATGGCCATCAGATTCTTCCAAGGCATTGCCGAAGCCTCAACCTTCGTCGGGACTCACTACATTCTCGGCGCGTGGTACACCGAACGAGAGCTTGGGAAACGAAGTGGTATCTTCACCGCCTCGGGACTCGCTGGCACCTTCTTCGGCGGCTTCATCCAGACCGGCATCCACAGCAGCATGGACGGCCTCCACGGCCTCAGCGGATGGCGATGGCTGTTCATGTGAGTATTGACGTGTCCAAGATCCGTTGAGTAGATGTTGATTCCGATGCAGCATTGATGGCTTGATGACGATTCCAGTCGCCATCTACGGCTTCGTCTTCTTCCCCGACACGCCCCACACAACCAGTGCTTTCTACCTCACCGCCGAGGAGAAAGCCCTCGCCGCATCGCGCGTACCCGAGATCCAGGAGAAGTCGCCCCTCACATTCCGCTTCGCGAAGAAGGTCCTCACCTCGTGGTACTGGTGGGGCTTCGTCATGCTCTGGATCATCGCCGGCGAGACCGAGTCCTTCAGCACAAACTCCCTGTTGGGCCTCTACATGAAGAGCCACCCGGTCAACAAGTACACCGTCGCCCAGCTCAACAACTACCCGACCGGCGTGCCCGCCGTGGGCATCGTCTCCACGCTCTTCTGGGCGACGCTCACCGACTTCCTCGGCGGCAAGCGGTACCTGGTCGCCTTCTTCATCGGTGTCACCGGTATCGCGACTTCCGTCATGATTCTCGTCGCGTCCAAGGACCCGACCAGCGCGAATTCCACGTCCGTGGTCTTTGGCGCTTACTACTGGGCCGGAGCGGTCTACGCCTGCCAGGCGACTTTCTTCGCGTGGTGCAATGACGCGATGAGGTACGAAGAGGGCGTGTTCCGTGGTGTGGTGTTGGCGGGTATGAACCTGGGAAGCAATGCCATCAACGCCTGGTGGAGCATCGTTTTCTACGGTGCATCGATGGCGCCATGGTTCACGGTAAGTCATCCATTCCTCCCCGCAAACATTCATCAATGTGTCCGAGCTAACGCAGTATTTCCAGAGGGGCATGTGGGCCATGATCGCCAGCTCTATCGCTCTGATCGTGTGGACCAGCGGGCTCACCTTCTTGGCGCACAGAGAGGATAAGCGGAGGGTTCTGGAGGCCCAGGAGACGGTGTCTGTTACCAAGGGAACGGATGGAAAGGATGATAATGTTTAATGAGAAGTCTCCGATCATGTTACGGGGACCAGGGGGTTTGCCTGGGGTCGTGTTTGGAGTGAGACCACACCGGGCAACTCAGCCTTGAATGATTCTCACTTCTCCTAAAGAAAAACTCACATTCGGAACAGAATTTGCTTACAATAACCTGTGAAATTGTGGTCTGCAACTTCAATCAGAATCCGACTGGTCATCGTCGTTATGGCAGATCATCGAGCTGTCGTCGTGCGACTCCAATTACCTGTTATCTTGCCCGCAAGCAGCAGCTTGACCGCAGCGATCACCAATCATGGCCGTGATGTTGGGCCACACGGGTATTTCGAAGAAAACTATCGGAATCAGTCTAACTCAAGTCCGCAGATCTAGTAATCTCCCAGCCTGTCATGTCCGCTCCGGACGGCGGTGAGACTCTAGCACGAAGGGCGAGACCAGCACCGAATTTCGCGATGCCGAGGCCGGCAAGTGGGGGCTCCACCGCATAAGCTTGCGGATGCCGAGGCCGGACCCAGAAGAACGGGCCCGCCCCACCCGATGCCGAGGTGACGGATTTGGCGCGGAACGAACCCTGAGAGTAGCGGCCGAATTCCGCACCTCAAAATTTCAGGGAATTCTTCGCGATTCTGCGATAAGCAGTTCATGTTTGCATGCATGACAAGACGATACAGCTGGCCATAATTGCATCGAAGAAATCAAAAGTTACGAGGAGTAGGATATGTAGGTTGGCTATAAGACGATATGAACATAGACACACAGATCCAAATCACAGCTTCACTCATCAAGGCGAAATTGGAAGATTTGAGTTCGGCCCGCTATCACACGGCAACACCGACCCCCGTGATCGGCACCGAACTCCCGACACAAGCGGACCCATCCCATCAAACAACTGCGTCATCCGCGCTCTCGTTCTCTCTTTTCTCGACTCACGACACGCCACCAACCGCGGCCCCTTACCGTCCACCGGACCCACGGCGTCCAAGGTGATGGGACGACGGCTGGCCCGGCAGCGTCGGAGAGATGACGAGACATGCTCCGCCGAAAAGTTCGACGGAGGCTTCTAGCCGATCTCCATTGCATGTGTATAAATATCTCCGGCTCTTGGCTCTGAGGCTCCCTGCGACACATCCTTAATGCTTTTAATGTGAACAATCAACAGTCCAATAACCCTTCTCTTAATCGATATCCAACCACAACTATCACTCACACTCACATCAATGTCGGTACTGCCTTCAAACTACACGGAGCGCCCCATGACGGTGCTCGGCGGAGGCGTCCTGGGCCGACGCATCGCCTGCATCTGGGCCTCCGGCGGCTACAACGTCCGAGTCCGCGAGCCCGACGGCAACCAACACCAGCCCTGCCTCGACTACGTCAAGCAGAACGTCGACAGCTACCCGGCGTCCGGCACGAAACGCGCCGGCACCGTCCAATGTTTCACCGATCTCGAGAGCGCCGTCAAGGACGCATGGCTCGTGATCGAGGCCGTCCCGGAGCGTATCGAGATCAAGATCGACACCTTCGCCGAGCTCGAGGCCAAGGCGCCGGCAGACGCCATCCTGGCCAGCAATTCTTCGTCATACCGGTCGTCGGAGATGCTTGAGAAGGTCACCGACGAGACTAAGAAACGCATTATGAACACGCATTACTACATGCCCCCGGCTAACATGGTCGTCGAGCTGATGACTGATGGACACACGCACCCGGAATACTTCCCTTTCATGACCGAGAGACAGAAGGAGGTCGGCACGAAGCCGTTTACCGCGAGGAGGGAGTCTACCGGGTTCATCTTTAACCGCCTATGGGCTGCGATCAAGCGCGAGACCCTGTCTATCTTGGCCGAGGGTGTTTCCAGCCCCGAAGAGATTGACGCCCTGTTCATAGAGCTCGCCAAGCGCGGCAAGGGACCTTGCGAAATGATGGACGGTAAGTCGTCTCACTACAAACACTCCAAATCCTCATGTACTAACTCAAGAGCAGAGGTCGGTCTCGACACCGTCGCATTCATCGAGAAGCACTACGTCAAAGAGCGCGGCCTCTCCCCCTCAAACACCGTCGACTTCCTCGACCGCGAATACCTCTCCAAGGGCAAACTCGGCCACAAGTCCGTCAAGGGCGGCCTCTACCCCCGCCTCCCCAAGATTGTCGCCCTCGACCTCGGACTCGGCCGCTCCGATAACCACATGACCTCCGGCCAGGTCCTCCAGCTCACCCCCGAGGGCAAGCTCGAGCGCGTGCTGGTTGACCGCCAGCAAGTCCCCGACGGCATCGACATCGAAGAGGAGACGAAGCGCATGTTCTGGACCTGCATGGGCAACCCCGGCGAGCAGGACGGCGCGGTCTACTCCGCCAACCTGGACGGCAGCGACGTGCAGTCGCTTTTCGTCCCGGGGGTGATCAACACGCCCAAGCAGCTTGTCGTGGAGCCCGAGAGCCGCAAGATTTACTTCTGCGACCGCGAGGGTATGAGGGTGTACCGGTCGAACCTGGACGGAAGCGAGCTGGAGACCCTCGTTGTCGGCGGAAACGACCCGGAGGACATCAAGGCGTGGTGCGTGGGCATCTCGGTCGCGCCGAAGCTCGGCAAGTTCTACTGGACGCAGAAGGGCGCGCCCAAGTCTGGCCAGGGACGGATCTTCTGCGCCAACATCCAAATGCCCGAAGGCAAGACCGCCGAGACGAGAGACGATATCGTGTGCTTCTTGGACAAGCTTCCCGAGTGCATCGACCTGGAGGTTGACGAGGATGACCACACCATCTTCTGGACTGACCGTGGCGAGATCCCCAAGGGAAACACCTTGAACAGGGCCCGCATCCACCCCAAGACTGGCTTGTTGGAGTCTTCTGGCCCTGAGAAGTTTGAGATTTTGGTCAGGCATCTCAATGAGGCCATTGGCGTGAAGCTCGACAAGGATAACGGCCACGTCTACTTTGGCGACCTCGGCGGCAACATCTACAAGAGCAACTTGGACGGATCGGAAAAGAAAAAGCTTTTCTCGGACGATGATCGGGCCATCTCAGGCATTGCTTTGCTGCGCGAGTAGAAGACTTAGAAGATTCCGCTGGGATGTGAGAACACAGACAACAGCGGCGTTACGGAGCATAGGCTTAGATGGATGACCAGCGATTGGTACGCACAGACTAGAAGGGGTTTCACGACTGATGACTCTGTAGACTAATACAATGTAACAATTACTTCATTCTTTTCGTCGTATGCATGATGCTTCTATCGTTTATCCCCAGACTCTAAACCTACGGGGCATTCGCAGCGACCGCGTAGCTGACCTTCGACTTGCCCTTACTCCTCGAAATCTTCCTCACAGTCGTCTCGCCACACAAATCCGTCGTATCAACGTGCGTCCCGCCACACGGATACACCTCCGCGCCCACAATCTCAACAACCCTGAACTTCTCTCCCGGCGGCGCCAGACTCCTGTCGGGAATCAGCCTCTCCAGCCCACGCTTGCGAAAGTCCTCCTCGTCCCAGAAATCGACCTTGACATCCATCTTGGCATCTAGGAACTCGTTGACCTTTTGCTGGATCGACTGCTTGTGCTTCCCGTCAATCAACCCCTGAAACTCGCAGTTGGCCGAGTCCGGGAAGTGCGACGCCTTGAGCTCGTCGAAGCCCTCCACCTCCTTCTCGAGCAGATGCCGCACCGCGGCGCCGAGGACGTGGCCCGCCGTGTGATACCGCGAGTACAGCAGCCGCTTCTCGGCGTCGATGGCCTGCTCCACCTCGTCGCCCTCCTTGAACCCCGCGCTCGACTCCTTGAAGCGGCCGAAGTGCAAGACCTGGCCGTCGCGGACGACGTCCATGCGCACCGAGTTCACCGAGAAGGACGCGCCGAAGGGGGTGGTTATGGAGCCGACGTCGGAGGGCTGGCCGCCGCCCTGCGGGTGGAAGATGGTCTCCTTCGTCACGACGACGTGGTCCTGGTCGCTGCCATCTTTGAAGAGTTGGCGGTTGGCTTCTTCGAGGTCGGCGAAGGGGCGGATCGCGGTGACGAGCGTCTTGAGGGTGTGGAGTTTGGCGTTGTGCTGGAAGGCCAGATATGTGCGTGCTGCGGCGGCCATTGTGTGTGATGCGTCTTCGGAGGTGATGCAAGGGTACAGAAAACAAGCAGCAACGAGAGACAACAGTCGCAATCTATTTATCGATTCATGAGCCGTGGATTCTTGACATTCCTTTTCTTTCTAAGGTCTTCTCTGCGCCAGTTGACATGAAGGGCGCGAGATCGCTGTGGAAATGTGGTCCAAAGTGCATTTCTGAGGGATTTAAAGTGGATCCATCGTCTGAAGTCCAGGGGTATCTAGATTGCCGAGTACGCGGATTAGAGCGACAGGCATCATCTCTGCTCGATGGTACTGTCCAGTCCAGTCGAAAGAGAAACATAACTAAGATACATCTGCTAGTCTGAGAAATGGTGGTGCTTTGCGACAAATACGTATAAACTCGCTCAGGCTCAATTTCTCATCCGTTTGCCATATCAGCACGCCTATCAGCCTGAGTCCATCACGAAAGAGTAGCTTCCAATCCGACTTGAGTACATGGAGTGTTTAATTTGGACCAGAAGCACTGCTTCTAGTTGTATTTTTTGCATGGTCAAGATGTCACCCCTCTTGAGTTGAGGAAAGATTGTATACTGATCTGTGCATTAAAGAGAGATTAACGCAGCGTTAACATTGGTTCTTAAAACTCAACCGTGTAATGTACACCAGAGTTGGACTTAGTATCCTCCTGTTTCCGAATATGCGTTCAGATCCCATTGCACCAAATATATGATCTCGCCACTGTTCAAGTCGGCAAAAACCTCGGCTTATTAATAGTAGCTTGTGCTGCGGCCAGACCGCGAACTGGCCGGGTTTTGAAAATCTCAAGAATCTTCCGGGGTTCCGCATTCTCGCCGAACCTATCATTATGTGCGGTATCCGGCAGTCCATTGAGTAGATCATTCGAATAATGTGATTCCTCGTTGGCGGCGGCCAGGTTGCAAAACGGAATAGGTGGTTCGAGTCGTCGCTCGTCCAGCTTGGCTAGGTCTGCCACAATCTCAGAGGGCTCGCACATCACTCAGACGTGGTCAGCATCGACTCCGCGAAGAACGATATCGCAAAGCTTCTTGGATACTAAACTTCATTGCCGCCAAAGGCCATCATGAAGGCGTCTGCTTTGTTGATTGAGAGATGTTGAGATTGGGTAAGGTCAGCAGAACGACAGGAAGAAAGATTAAGTGTGACGACTCACGAACGAAAGGAAACGAAGAGAAAAGGAAAGATTTTGGTATCATGCGACATCAGGAGAAACAGCTTAGGTCTGGTACCTGGGGATACCTCTGCGTGGGAAAATATAAGAAGGCATCTCTCGAGCGACGCCTGTCAATCTTTCTCTTCTCGCGAAGAATACTTTTTGTAACTTGTGAGGGATCGATATCATTTCCCAAGCGTTTTTCGTCGAAGGAAATCATATATAAAAGGTTCGTTGCGTGCGGTGTTGGGCGGTAGTATGAAAGGCGTCGTGATTCGACACCTTGGTGTCGAATAGTACGTATAGTACTACGATTTGATTTCTCAACGATATAGTAATATGGTTTTCTTCGTATCAGACTGCCTTTACATTTAGCCTAGTCTTACTACCAAGCTCAGCCCGCTCATCAACCCTCCCCCCCTTGGGCTCAATCTCGATCGATCCTATCTGCTTATTCTTCCGAGTCAGTTTCACGTCTCCCATTTTGCCCTCAGTCTCCTCTCAAGCGTAAGTTTACTACTGTTTCTTCTATTCTGTATATATTATACAGAGTCTTTCTCCTACTCCTACCTCAGCGATGAAAAGTATCGGCCGCGGTTATAAACAGAACTGAAGGGGTGAATCCTTCCAACGACTTCGTCTCACAGAATGTTCGCCAGAATGACAATAAATGAACCCACGGCAAGCCCCAGCCTGAGAGAAAACGATGGACAGCCTGTTGAGCCCTGTGTCACCACAGCGATGCTGTTCGATGCTATAGCTGCAGTTTTGTTAAAACAATAATTCTTGATCTTGGGATATTTTAAAGAATACTCACGAGATGAGGGCCTCGCTTCAATATCTAAGCTTGGGCCTTGAGTAGGACCCAGGCTGGAGATGCCGTAAATCGGTGAGAAGGCCGGATTGCCGTACTGCCCAGCTGGAAGGCTTGGCTTGACACCAGAGTCGCCATAAGACACCCCACTACCCTCCGCTCCACCCAGTAGAGAGTTTTGTCCTGATCCATTTGCCTCGCCCGACGCTGGCGTTGGACCTAGACCCGGACCTTGACCTAGACCCGGACCTTGACCTAGACCCGGACCTTGACCTAGACCCGGACCTGGACCTGGACCCGGACCGGGAGTGGGATTTGACCCAGCTGCGGAATCCAGAGTAGGTGCTGCAGTGGGTCCCGCAGTAGAAGCAAAACCATCCCCAGCTGCATCGCCATCTTGCCAAGGAGAAGCTCCCACCGAACCACTTGTGTTTAACTCGTAGCTCTTTGCCCCAGGTGGTGCAGGGAATGGTCCCGATATTCCCGTGATATATGCAGCGTCCGGGACCGGGTACGTAATTGTGGCCGTAACCGGCTTGTTGCCGCACGTCGTGCAGGTCTGTACTTCTGCCGTGAAGCCGAATGGCACTGATAACGAGGCTACGGTAGGCTTCGCCTCGACCCCGCTGTACGTCTCTGTTACAGCATATACTTGACGAGAGAGGCCAGTCGAGCAGAATGAATCGTAGGTCGTCGTATACGCAATGGTATGAGCGCAGGCGTCGCAACCACAAGAGTTGCAGCTGGGAGCCTGTATTTGCACCGTGATAGGCTCATTCTGGGCTGCTGGCTTGTGTACGAAAGGTCTCACACAATGGCCGTTACAAACCGAGGGCGTCTCGAACGTGATGGCGAAGCATTGTGTAATGGTGGCTGTTCGCCATGTCAGAGTGATGTTCTCGGGTGCCGCAGAAACGGCGGCGGCGGAAGTTATGACAACTGCGGGTATCCAGCGATGTCCTTGCATGATGTATGTTTCGTCTTGTATGATACTCAAAAAGGGACTGGCCGTTGCGCATATAAATTAGGGGTAAATCCAACGTACAAGTAGCGTATGCCTCTCTGCGGACGTGCAGTGGTGGCGAAGAAACGCGGTATATGCCTTCCGTAGATGATCCCCTTTGTGGGCGCAACTGTGATGGACCCAGTGATATACAATCTTCGCAACGGGTGATATTTGGTGCCCAGACCATCCGGGAATTCACCTGTTTCGCAATGTCTTATGGATGAGAGACAAGTTGTTGTTTACATGTTGCATACGAGGGATGGTGGAATGGGAGTTAAAGTACTTGTTTCTCTAATTTCACCCTCCATTCCCGTCTCCCTGTCAGGCCTTCAGCCCTGTCATCTCCGAACATGCCAAACCGCAAAACGATCGAGAAAGAAATGTGAATGTCTCGATGTAATAGGGGCATCGGTGTTTATTCTCGGCCCGGGATATCACATCAAACATTTCTACTGTCCCTCCCGGTCCCTCTGCGTGCCCATTTTACCATTTTGTTGCCTCCTTCCATAAACCGCAAGACCCATCAAAACCTGCAACTGACAACTATCTTCCCACTCACATCAACAGCATGGCACGATTAGCACTTGTCGCTGCTGTACTTGGTGTGCTCGCCACAGTGGGTGCTGCTCCTCCGGCTGATGATGTCGAACGACTGTGGTGCTTCACGTATCTTTCAACGTACCTCGAGCCTGTATCTTTCGGGACTACCATAGTTCCTGATAGCTCGACCGTGGGTCCGGCTCAGTCGCCAGTAGACTTCGTATCGACGACCGTATCAGCGTCGACAGTCGCGTCTACAGGCTCAGGGATCTTTGCAACTTCCGCCGGGTCAGGAGGCACATCATCCGCGCTTTCTACGAGCGCACTCATACCCGAGTCAGGGGGCACTTCATCTGCGCTATCTACAAGCGCACTTATCCCAGGATCTTCGATACCAACTGAGTCCATACCAACCGGCTCTTCGATATCGTCGACGGCTGCTGGAGTCACGTCCTTTTCGAATGTACCCTCTACGACAGTTGCGACCTCCGAAGTATCTGGCTCTTTTGCCATCACGACGTCGCCACCCGTTCCTACAATTCCAGTCATATCTGGTGATCGAGTGATATTTTTCGTTACTCCAGCTCCACCCGGGAGGACGAAGCGCTTAAGCAAACGAGATCTCGGCGGCTTCGTCAGTACTGGCTTGGATGAGAATCCGACAACTTGCGACCTAGCCAGCGTCTTCATCTTATCTGACGCGCAAGAGCTCTTTTCAGGGGGGTTTCCACTGTACTACGATGTTGGGGATTCTTTCAGACAGATCCGAAGCACAGGCAACCCCCCAGCTGGAGCAGTAACGACAGGCTTCACAACGATCAACGGCGTACTCGTCTTCCAAAATCTGGCGCTGCCCAATAGAGAAGCAAGCTTCTGTCAGGACGCCACCAGCGGGCAGGTGTATATCGTTTTCACATCTGGCCCCCCAGGCTGCGTAGCGGTCAATCTCATTACTTATGGAGGCAAGTTGTCCCATTCTATGAACTGGTTGAAGGCAATCTTGAGATATGTAACTAATATTTCCGAACAGTCGAGCAATGTCAGAACGGGCAGATTGTATCCGCCAGCTCAGGTTCTAGTAGTACCCTGCAGACGCAAACAGCAATCAGCCCTTCTGATAGCCAGTCGACTCCAGGGCCAATTAGTACAGGGGTAATCCAAACAACAAGGCCGCCAACCAGCGAGTTGAATACTCCGAGCAGCCAAATATTGGCCGCAAGCTCGAATTCTCAGCTGAGCTCTCCTAGCACCAGCCGGCTGCTACCGGTCAGCTCGACTCCAGCTACTGAGGCTCAGACCAGCTCGACGACGTTCCGGACGCTCTCTCCATTCTTTCCCAACACTACCTCGCAGGAATCCTCGCTTGCTAGAACAACGACCCTGACTACTCCCGTGACACCAGTCCCGAGTAGTAGCTCCCCAAGCATTCTGGCTCCTGAATCGAGCCAAAGACCTTCATCATCAACTTTAAGCTCAGCTGTCTCTCAGACATCGCCCTCCTTAGCAGCATCCACTGCGTCTACCACCCCAGGAAGTCCACCGGGGAGGTCTTCTTCAACGTTCGCCTCTCCACAAACATCATCCACGTCTGTATCGCTTTCTGCGTCAGTATTTCCAAGCTCCGTTTCATCATCTTCTCAATTCCCTCTCCCAAATACGTTTACATCAAATCTGCCATCCTCGTCCACCGCGCCATCAATGACTTCATCATCGCTGTCATCTATTCTCCCATCAACGGCGTCTTCCGCAGAGTCTGTGACCCCAATATCGACATTGTCTTCGTCTTCTCCCACATCAACATCACCTTCACCTTCGCCTTCAATGACTCCGTCCACGACGTCGACAACATCATCTGTCATCCTATCGACATCATCTTCTTCAACACTCACATCTACGTCGTCTTCAGTATCCTCTTCCACCCAGACGACAGTGACTTCTTCTACTTCATCTATATCCGCAAGCAGTAGCTTTACTTCATCAGCAGCTTCATCGAGCAGTTCGGCCATACAGACGACTTCATCTGGCTCGTCATTGACCAGCCCTTCACTCTCTCCCACAGTCATAACCACGTCCACCACATCTTCCAGCAGTTCTTCCAGCAGCTTCTCCAGTCCTTCACTCTCTCCCACAGTCACATTTACGTCCACCACATCTTCTAGTAGCTCGTCTAGTAGCTCATCTAGCAGCTCCTTCAGTCCTTCACTCTCTCCCGCAGTCACAACTACGTCCATCACATCTTCTAGTAGCTCATCTAGTAGCTCATCTAGCAGCTCTTCCAGTAGCTCTTCCAGCAGCTCTTCTAGTAGCTCGTCCAGCAGCTCTTCCAGCAGCTCGTCCAGCAGCTCCTCCAGCAGCTCCTCCAGCAGTTCATCATCAGCGCAGCCCACCGCCACATGCCCTGCCACGGTTCAATGCAACCAAGCTCAAGCTCCAGCTCAATGCGCCTCAACAGGAACCCAAGCGATTAGACTTTCCAATCCTACTCGGCTCATTGAAACCTCAGTTGACGATGGATATGCGACGGTAAACCTGCCGTTCTCCATTGGCGTAAACGGCTCTTACAGCACGATCGCTTATGTCGGCGTCAATGGCTACATCTCCTTTGGTCCCTCGATAGGTGCAGACATAGTTGTTTCCACGTTTCAGAAAGACCTTTATGATTTCGGTAGCCCAGAGGGTCTATATTACCAGATATCCCCCTCTTCTCGAGGCTCTGGTCGCCAAGTTACTTTCGAGCATGTTGTTGGTGGTTATAGGGCGCCAAGTTCAAACTATCATTTTGCAACAACGTTCTATGAAAACCTTCCAGGATTGGTCACTATGACCTATTACCAGTCCCCAGACAAGGGCTCTGGGGCTTTTATTGGTATTGAAAACTTGAACAACAATTTTGCTGTTCAGTATTCATACTTCACGGCCTCGGTTCTGGATGGTACTTCAATAGACTTCGACACCACCTCATGTGGTGGCACTAGCTATAAGTGCAGTTACACCTCTCAGGTGTGCTAAAAATTGATTTTTTACGTCTGGATAGTTTCGCGCAGCATAGGTGGACGGACTGTTTTGTTTATTATAACCGCGAGTGTATGGGAACTAGTTAAGAAGAAAACCTAGGTCACCTTTACGCGTGTATGAAGTTCGCGACAACTGTGACCACCAGGACCTAATAGCGGCAGCTTATTACTTTACCTTACGCTCCTAACGTGGATAGTGTTTTATTGCGAGAGTCTTCCTCATCTGACACAGTACGAAATCTTCGTCACTGAGGACAGGAGATTGCATGTCTACAGATAAATCAGTCATTGAAGCAGGACATCGATTTGACGTGCACCACAAAGGTCTTCTCTAAATTCAATATCGACACACTAAAGTCTATCATCCGCGTCGCGAAAACACCAGACCGCGAGCTTTTATCCAACCATGACCAACTCCCCCTATATTTCCACAAGAACCGGACACCATCTTCAACTTCCAACAAGTGACAAATAAAACACATTTACACATTACAACCTGAGAGAGCAACCAAATATCACTCAGGCGTTGGAAGGAGGCGTTCTCCTGAGGTTGAGAAGAATCTTGCCATCGGTGTCGTCGCCGGTCTGGTTCCACTTGAGGTTGTAAATGCCATCAATGTCGCTGGCGGTAGCGTACCACAAAGACTCCAAGCTGCTGTCGTCCGGGTTCTGGACCAGGATGAAGTTGCCGTAGAAGACGAACCCGCTGGTCTGGCGGCCGGTGGTAGTGGAGTTGCTGTCGAAGAAAGCGACGTTGTGGTCGCTGGAGCTGGTGCCGGGGACGGTGAAGGTGACGTTGGACCACTCGGGAGTGGTAGCCAGGGCGGTGGTGTTCGGAGCTCCGATCCAGACGCTGTCATCTCCGTCCTGAGGAGTGACTTGTTCTTGTTAGTCTTTCCGTTTGGTAGGAAGGGATGTGGGGGAATCGACTTACAGATCACTGGGGCGGCGTTGGAGTCGTTGAACTGGGTGTAGTCTCCGAAGTAGGCGTCACCTAGAGGAGAAAGGTTGTTAGTTTGGTGGATACAGACGGGGACTTAAGGGTCTAGACCGAGCTGGGGGATCTTCAAAATGAATGAATGGGGGGAGTGCGACGGTGACGGAATCAGATTCCCGAGGAAAAGCACATGCATAGATGACCATGTGGAAGGTTTGGAAATTCGCCGTTGTACGTACCTCCAGCGGTAAACATCTCCAGACCGCCGAGTCCGGTGCCGTAAGCGTAGACCTGGAAAGAGTTGGTGTCGGCACGGCGTACGTGACTCGAGGGAGCCAGGCCCGGAGCCGCAGCGGCGATGGCGGCAAATGCCAGAGTGAAAGCTCCGATGTGCTGCATTATTGCGGTTTGTTTTGTGAGTTGATGTGAAAAGACTAGATGAGGCTGTTGTATGACGCTGTTTGCCTGTAGCGATAGACTGTGGTGAGAGCTATTACTTATTCGGTGCTTGGTGGTTCGAGTTGAAGGTGGTGAGAAGCCAAGTCAGGTCCGGTGAGCGGGATCGAAGCAGTCTATTTATCACATCAGACGAGAAGCAAAAATTGACAATTTTTGCCCGGGACATCCGTACAACAACGTGATTGTCGTCCAAATGAAAAAATCTCCGAAGCGCCAGTCACGTCCCATGATCCCATCCCTCATTGCGGCTCAGACCACTGACACTGAGGCTGAAGACCCCACCGCAGTACGTGGTTGCTCATCAATCATCACCAAATTTCTTCATGCAACCGCTGTCGGCGTCTAGCGTTCGGCCAAGCTTTTCAGCTGCAGAAGGGACGAAAAACAGGTATGTGCCTTGCAGGTTTTCGACGGCAGTGCCGTTATCGTTGGTTCTAGAATATGGCCATCCCAGATGGCACGTACGTCAACCGTCAAAAATGTTTCGGGATGTGGGATGAACTGGAGCCGATATGGGGTCCCGGCATCTGGCGCCCGCGCACGGAATTTTGATTTCTTAACATGGGTGTTATACGTCTACGCAGTGCTTAGCATGGAAAGCCGGGATGTTGGTGGTTTCGCATAGAACTACACACGTAAGGAGACCGAGGCTATTCGTAAGGCCTCGCGGTAGTCCGTGGTAAGGATCCAAACACTTGATAGTAGAGATGAACACCTCCCCTATCCATAGAACCCTTGCAGCACAGACATCGACTCCCGCAAGGCGGATCGGTGGACTCCTGAATCTGTGCTATTTCGCGGATCCGTCGACCCGGCCTCTGGCCCGGGTGATGCCGTACCCCCACCTTCCCGAATAGTCGGTCACACCGGCCGTTGCCGGCTCCTGAGATCAGCAACGCACCCTGCGTAGTAAGCGGCTTGTAAGGCTGTAGCGGAGTGAGATCCAATGAATATGCAGTGTACAATTCTGTAGGATTTCCATCGTTTTCGGTGGACTTAACAACCGGAGCACTCCCGTTCATGAGAGTAACCCAACTGACCCAGGAAATGATCGTCACCAGCGTCACATCGGAAAAGCCGGAATCATTGCTTCGATTATCGCATTGCCAATGGTACTTGATTTCATTAGATTATCAGATTCAAAAGTGCGTAGTATTTCAAACGAAGCTGTAGAATTCATGCGCTACGTGCAACGTCGCTGCTTCGAGTGTCTGAATTCAGTCTGCGATATATGTGCTGCACGGGTGGCTCCGTCAAGAGGAGTTCGAAACTCCCACTTGTAACAGCGGGCGATGTAATATCTTTCAGTGAGTTCCGTCAGTTTAGAGACCCCATTTCCCTGAATAGACCTGCTTCGCCATGTGAGATAGGAGGTATCGCATTTTGGTTCTCGTTTGAATCCTCACCAGCCCCTTCATCTAACCAAACGAAAATGATGCTACCCACAGCTATACTCATTGAATGCTTAGCTTGCTTCATTCTTCAGGGGCTCCTGGAAGTATAGACCATGTAAGGACTGGCCGAGACGCCTTTTGGGATATTATTATCAGTGATGATGTGGGCCGCGCCACTGTGCGGCGGTCCTGCACCGCATTAGACGCGCACTGGAGTGCCAGGTCCATAGTCTCTGTTCAAGATGGTCAGAACAGAAAATGGCTTATTAGGTCTCAGAACAACTAATCAGATTGGAATACTCTTTCTGAGGACGTCGTCGGTTCCTTACATTGAGCTATGGGAAAAGACTCCCACTGTTTACCTCGTGTTACACGCTCCTGCGAGATCGGTACCTCCATAGTGTCAATGACGCCTTGACTTAAGTGTCTCAAATCGTGTGTATTTGAACGTTCTCTGGTCAATTTTACATATCTACTTCATTTCTTCATAGATGTGCTTGAGGGTTTCTGATCTCTCTCTACGACGACTTTGCCTACGCCTCTGGCTTCTTCCCGTAGATTGCATAGCTATTGATTTTATGTTAGTCGGCGTAAAAGGCTCTCCAGAAAACTTGTTCGGCGGAGGGTTAGTATGACTTACGCGGGCCAGTAGGCGTGAATGCTCGTATCTCTGAATTCCTTCCGCAATTCGATGAGAAAAGCCTGAACCTCTTCCCGTTTCCAGCCCAACCCGCGAGTCAAAGGTGCCATTGTCCATCCTTCGATTCCGGACATGCAATTCTCATGCGCCCACCATCCCAAGGTCTTGTAATACTTGTCCTTGGGCCACGTGTTTGTCGGCCACTTGATCTTCTTGATCTGGACGTCGACGAAACCGACCTCTGTCATGACATCGACAAGAGCGGGTATGTCCTGGAATGACCGGTTCAAGACAGTTGCGGCTTCGCCGAGGACGGCGAAGCAGCGCACGATGGCGGCGTCGGGCTTCAGAGTTCCGTCGTCGGACTGGGGCATCAGATCCATGTCCTGGACTTCCAAATAGCCTCCAGGAGTAAGGTTGCTATTGCTGGAATGAGAACCATAATAGTTGAAAAAGTGCTATTATGTCGGACACTCACTCATAAGATCTCTGGATGAACTGTCGCCAGTCGGATATGCTCGATGTCATCATTCGACTGTGGATGTAATCGAATGGCTCTTTGTACAGCCAAGGCTCCTCAATGTCGTCAATCTCGAATGTCACGTTCGGAGGAACCCTGCATGAAGTCAGAAAACCTTTCTCCTCCACAGCTACAAGCTCAATGAGAAGGTTGCACTCTGTCCGTGGATGGGAGAGGTCTATCCCAAGAACCTAAGACGAAGATCAGTATAGGGCCAACATATTACAGTCGTTCGCAAGCGCGTGGCACTAACCTCTGCTTCTGGGTGAAGCTCTCCAAACTCAATGGCCCAAATACCAGTTCCAGTCCCCACATCAAGAACACGCTTGACTTCAGAGTTCTCCTCGTTGGGAGGGGCGAGACCAAGCTTGCCATTGAGGGACAAGAGGAATTGATTGTGTTGCAAGTCTACGAAACCCAGTCGTCAGCCTCCCGCTGTTTTCGGGCTAGACGGGGTGACATAACGACCCGTTGTGCGGCCTACTTACCCAATCGGCTCTTTTCTCTTTCATCGTTCGGGTAGGAGTATTCTTCATATTTTCGTGTTAGATATGGTCATGTAAAGTCTGTGGGATGCTCCCCAACATCAGTGACTTACTCCCATCCTTGTACGCGTGATAGGTCCGTCCATTTTCGATGCGGAAATTCAGGATGGAATCTGCTATGCTGGTCTTTGATGATGACAGGCTCTGAGCGTTCAGATTTCTTTTGTAAGCCAAATTGCTTGACTCGGAAACTCGCTTGTTGGCACTCACTCCTGCTAAATCGTACGCCCGTTCATCAACTTGCTGAGACCCTAATCAGCCACTCTTCCATACCGTACAATTCACTCAACACATTACCTTCTCGTCGATAGCGATTTGATCTTCCTCGGCTACCTGAGTAGCTGGATCTTGGGCAACGATTGACATACTGGGATGCACGTGGTAAGCAATAAGAGCCGAGAGGCTAATTGTTCGGAATGGGTTTGGAGAAAGTAAAGAAAGTTGCAAGGACGATGGAAGTTCGAGCTTTTGGATCATGATATGAGGCTGGTTTACCCCTCTTTTGAACTCCACATGCCGTGCATGTTCGGGGCCAACATGCAGTTCTTGTTGGAACCAGCTTCCAGAAAGAGCCCATAATCTGCGTGTTCAAGGATTAAGGGCATGGATTTCTCGGAGACTCGTCTCCTTTATTTACGGGGGCGGCAACGAGTTGCATGTGCCGGTCAATTCTGCTTCGACAAATATGAAGGCAACCACAATGCATAGCCCTAGTCTCACGCTGCCTGCCCCGTGCCACTCGGAAAGGAGAATTGATATCGGACTCCCCCAGTCCCTGAGCTTCATTGGTGAACTAGCTCCATCAGCACCTGATACCGATATTTCACGGCTTTGTCCTCTCATGCATGATACTTTGCGCCGCCTTTCGCTTTTCATAGACTTTTATCGACCTCTCGGTCATTTGGAAGAAGCTCGTTTTCAGGTTCGTAGTGGTTTCCTAATAGAACCTTGCTGCCCCCTCCCTTGATTTCAACACCATCATATGCGTGAGAGGCTCCGGAGACTTCGCCACCAGGTTTTCCCGCGCCGCAAATACTTCCACACATCACGCTCATCACAGAACACCCCTCGGGGTTGGTGTCGATGTCATTTTAGGCGTCGCCTTCTGGTTTCAATTTTCGCCGCAGAGACTCGTTTACGCCTCTCGAAGCCGGGGCCAGTAGGCCGATTTCAACTTTCCTTGTCATGTGGCCGTCCGACGACATTTGACGAAAGAAGCCGGTCTCTTGCAGTATGATCAACCGGAACAACTTCTCCAGAGCATCGATGAATTGACTCATGTTGGCCTCGTCCCGCCGATCGACCACCGAACAATTTTCAAAATCTTCGCATGCTTCTGGCACATTTTGGCCATCTTACATGACCGATGAGGTGGTCAAAGGTAAATTGGCGACTGAAAACTGCTGCTTACCTTATTCAACCACGGAATACATAATTCACGTTTTTCAGTGTATGCATACCCTTCTTCTTATTTTTCTTTGGACAAAAAGTGAGTAGGGGCTCCAGATACATCTGGCAATGAAGTGCCTTCCTTGGCATTGTGTGGTAACGAAGGCTTCAGGTACAAACTGGTCTGTTTATCGGAAAATCAGATCGTCACGGGTTGCCAAGCTAAACTGGATGGAATAGCGGAAATCTTTGCCAGATGTGATTGGAGCGAAGCAGGTAAGGCTAGGGAGTAGCCCCTGCCCCCGTCCCGTTGGTGTCCTATTACCTGTCTTTTTCAGGTTGTAACCTCCAGGAACCACTCAAAGCAATGATATTTCTACTAGCGGCGCATACTCGCGGCGCATGAGGCGGGACTAGTCCAAGTTGATCGAGTTGCAGGTTCGCGGAACACGACAAGGACAACTCGCCGGGCTCCCTTAGTTCTTCCTGCCTTATCCCGTCGGGTCCTTACCTGTTGCTTGTCGTCAAAAGTAAAGTGTCAATCCATCGCTGTGATGCTTGTTGTCAGTTGGGCATCGCCCTATACATGCAAACTCTGCTCACCGTTCCTCCATACACACCCTACGCCATATCATATGTTCCATAAATTGAGCATGCCAAGTCTATCAGCAGAAGGTATCATTGCTCTCGTCGCATTGATCATCACCGTACCTCCCGCTATCATTGCGTACCTTCAATGGCGTAAGAGAGGTCATCCACAACCCGCTTCAATGCAACTTCCGCGTGAGTCCACGACACCCTCTCATTTTGCTTTTCTCCTACTCCGTCTACCTTACCTCACGCGGATTCAACCGTAACTAATATTTGAATGACAGTGCATGAACCCGCCGCCCCTTTCCAGAAATTCGACGATCGCTACCAGCTCAGCATCCTTGTGCAAATTCAGGGACCACCTCGCTTCGAAAACGCATCCAACGAAGTCATGCGTCGCACCGCGCCCTCTTCGTCGCGATGAAATACAACGCAACCATTTGTTGGTATCTTTCTGAGTAGATCGACGCAGTCGATATGGTCCGAGGAGCGTGAGGTTGCACATACAAGAGATCAGCGGGCGTCTGTTTGATCTTGCTGGACCGGGTGGAGCTAGGATTGTGTTTTGTTTTCATGTCAGGGTGCTGTTAGACGTTATTGAACAAGCAAATAGATGCATTTTCTCCAAACAACACCTTATGTGATGTCCCCTTTGTCTTTATGCATCGCCCCTCGGCATGACATGTTTATCCTCGTGGCTGAAGCATTTTTGAGCCGGAGCTGGCGAAAGCGCTGATCCTGTCAGCTCCCGAACGATCCCCCGTGTCCCCGGATCCGGTGACCCGCTTTAATACGGCCCCGTTCCGAAAGACAGGGTCCGGGCTGCCACCTGTCACCCCGCATACTACCCAGCCGGGCACATTTAGTGACAGCCGGTAGCTATTTCTAGGCCCAGGCCCCAGTGGGCGACTAAGAATTTCCTCGATTGGATCCGTCCCAGCGCCTGCGACGTCATGCATTCAATCGCTCAGATTTACGTTGCAGCGCCTTTGTTTTGTCCCGACAAGATCAAGGGATAAATGTTTATTATTACTAGGACGTTTCCGACGAGTTCCAGCGACGGTAAGAGCATTTCCGTGTCTGGCTAACTTTCCACACAACGCTGCGGTCCATGAAGGGCTAGAGCCCGGTCGGCAGGACGTTCAAAGAGTCTAACTATGCCTCGGTAACTATCAGACAACCATGTGCTTCCGCCACTTCTCTGTTCATCATTAGGCGGCAAGAGCAAGCAGCGACAGCACAGGCAGTATCACGCCAAATGAGCCCGTAGTGACACCTGAAGCCGCAGAGCTTCCGCTTCCACCACCGCCGCCGCTGGTCGATGAGGTCTCATTGCAAGCGACGAAGCCGTTGCGGGAAGGGGCGCCGGTGTGGGTCATGGCGCCGACGTAGACGCAGCGGCCCCGATAATCAGGGTCGAAGACGACGCGGTCGGGGCCGGGAGCCCCTGTGCGATCGATGCGCGTCAGCGATCTGGTCCAAACATCGAATGCCAAGGAACGTCACGTATGCGGGTGCGACATCACACATGCACCATCACGAGTCAAGCGCGCGTGGGGTAGAGAGAGAGAGAGGGAGATGACGGTAACGTACTGCCTGTGTAGTTTCCGGAGGAGATGATGGGGAACTCTTGGTAGGGCCCGGTGGTGGTGAAGGCGAGGCCCTCGCGGTTGTTGAAGCGGTGGGGGTACTGGCTGGTGCCGAGCTGCTGGTTGGCGGCGTAGAGGCGGCAGCCCTCGGCGGTGGCCTCGTCGATCTGCTTGCGGGAGTACCGGGCGTCGGCGCAGCGGACCTGGTTGATGTCGGCGGTGCCCTGGCGCTTCTCGAGGGCGATGGGGTTCGCGGCGGCGAGGACGGCGCAGAGGGCCAGGACGAGGGTGGACTTGAGGCTGACCATTGTGCGTGTGTGGGGAGTGAGTGGGATGAGATTGAGGTGAGCCGCGAGCCGATGTGACGTTGTGGAGAGATGGATGGTTGTGGATGTGAGTGAGGGAGTGAGTGAGTGAAAGAAGGATGAGTGAGATATTAAGCAGAGTGAGTTATTGAGGGTAACGCGGGAAGGAGCGTTTGGCTGTAACGGTTTTGAGACGTCTGATGGAAGAAGCTGTGAGTGGATTTTTAGTATCCGCGATGGATGGAAGGGAAGGGCCGGCCCGCGATAAATAAAGCCGGTGGTAATGGGTAATGGGGGTTTCAAGATGTAGATGGAAATGGAAGGGGCATTTTTAAAAATTTGAAAATGAGAAAGGAACAACAAACGAAGCCGCCGAGAGCTTGGCCGGCGTAGATTTCCCGCGCGCCAAGTGCAAAACCGGCAATCGATAGCGCCTCGTTCAGCTGTCTCGAAGCCTCCAAGAGCTCCCCTAGGTGCCTGACATGCGCTGGCGCCTGCCCGAGATGCGCCGTGGTGCCTGTCGCGCTGAGGAAGAAACGGAGAGATGGTGGGGCGTCTATCACGTGCAGACAGCCGTGAGCCAATGGGAGAACTCGGAATCACATAAGCTTAATCTTACGCCTGTCTGTGAGAGGCCGCCCGGGTCCAGACCCGCTTTGTAGCCCCCACTTCCAGGTTCTCAGCGCCGGCGGCAGGAGCCGACTAACCGAACCCATTCTTTTCATTTTCAGGAACAACTCAGCTTGGAGGGTTACAAAAACAATGACTGTCTTTTAAAGCCACAAGAAGATCTCACCTGCAGCCAGGGGCTTGCGCGTTCCTGTGCCACGGCCGATTCGCAGTTGCATTTACACCGCCCGGAGGACGCCGGCCGCCTGCCCGTTTGAGTGACAACGTGGCCATCGAATGCGGGGCCATTACTCACAGTGTTTACCTAGTGCGAAGAAACGTCACGACGCCGACGTCAGTGAGGCCAGTACGCCTCCACGTGGGCTGCACCTGCCTTGCAAGCTTTCCTCCATCATTTCGCCGCGCAACGTCGCTCTCGACAATTTTCTTTTCTTCGTACAATCTTTCTCCAAACTCTTCATTCCTTCTCAGACGGACCCGAATCAATCACCAAAAAATGAGCGTCAACAGCGCCATCGCGGCGCTCCCCGCCTACAAGGCCCTCGACGCCTACGTCAAGACCGGCGACGATAAGAAGGCCCTCGACGAGACGGTGCAGAAATTCAACGACTTGGCCAAGGACTCCGAGTCGCAGTTGGAAGACTTCCTCTGGGACACGTACAACGCCATTTTCGCCGTCGCCAAGCAGACCCCTCCGGAGAAGCAGGGCCCTCTCGTGGACTTCATCCAGCGACTGCGCGAGACCACCGTCACGGCATCCGACGGCCAGTCATTGCATCTGAGTGAAGGCGTCGTCTGGAAAGATCTTCCCACCTTCGGATGGGTCGCCCGCGATCTGTGGAACTTTGGTAGGTCCACCCCCGTCACTGGCTCACTCTGCCTTGATCTCCATGAGATCCAGCCCGGCTAAGATGAGGCTTTTTCCGTCATTCCACTCGTCACTAACACCACCAAAGACATCACCGACGCATCCGCCTCAAAGGAAGAAAAGGCGAGCTGGGACAACCTCGCCGCCTTCCTCGCCCAGCTGACGGCCCGCGCCTCCGTCGTCGAGGGCACCGCCGACCCGCTCGACTACTCCACCTACGGCCTCTGGGCCCTCCGCGACGCCTTCGAGACGGAGCACCCCGCCGACGCCGACAGCGCCGCCGCCGTGAGGCACGCGTCGCTGTGGATCCGGCACGCCGGGGACGCCTTCAGGAAGCTGTCCGCCGAGGACCGCGACCTCGAGGCCAAGACCGGCGCTGCCGGCGGCAGGTTTGGAGATCGTCAGTGGAAGGGGTTCAACCGGGAGAGGTGGGGTGTCTGGACGGAGGGTTTCGCGACGGCGCAGAGCTCGTTGGCTGATGAAGAGGCGAAGGGTCTGGCAGGACGGGCTGTGGATATCATGAAGAGCAAGTAAGAGATGGGAATTCCGTGTGCGGGGAGATGTGGGGAGGGATATGACGAAAATGACATCTATTGACGAGACGATAATATGAGATCCTACCGATTCTACTCTTCATCGCGCATTGTATGTAAAAGACTCCCGTGCCAGTTGCATCTCGAATACCGGTAACTCACGGCTCGAGAGAACCGGAACACTTCACTTCTCACCCCTCCTGAAGCTTCAACAACGACGCAAACACCCCGCCACGCTCCATCAACGTCCTCGGATGATCAAACTCCACAACCCGCCCATCCTGCAACGTCACAACTTTATCAAAATCAACAACCGCCCGCAGCCGATGCGCAATCACAATCACAGTCCACCCCTCGAAGCTCGTCCGTATGAGATCCTGCACAGTCTGCTCCGTCGCCTGGTCCAAGCTGTGACACACAACGTCAGTGAAACACTCTACAAACCCTCATCATCAATGATAAGAATGTCTCTCACCTGCTCGTCGCCTCGTCGAGCAACAACACCCGGCTCCGCCTCAACATCGCCCTCGCCACGCAGAACAGCTGCTTCTGCCCCGCGCTCAACCACTCCGTCTCCAGTTCCACCCCCAAACCGCCCTTGTCCTCGATCAGCCCCCAGAGCCCCGTCTTCTCCAATGCGCCTGATATAGCCGCGTCGTCGCGGACGGAGAGCGGGTCGAGGTTCCGTCGCACCGTGCCCGGGAGGAACAGCGGATCCTGCGGCAGCGCGACTAGGGCTTCGCGCAGCGCGTCGACGGGTACCGCCGATATATCCACGCCGTCCACCTCGATCGTCCCCGCTGATGGCTCGTGAAGGCGCAGGAGGAGCGAGAGGAGTGTCGACTTCCCGCTCCCCGTGCGCCCGCACACGGCGACCTTCTCCCCCGGCCGGATATCCAAGTTCACGTCCCGCAGGACCTGGTGGTCGTCGTAAGCGGCGGACACATCACTAACACGAATCCCCCCCTGAGAAAACCACCCGCCCTGCGGACCCTCCCCGTCGCCACTTGTCTCGGCGGGCGTCTCCGTCTCGAACTCCCGAATCCTCGCCACCGCGCCCAGACTCGTCTCCAGGTCCGCCCAGTACTTCAACAGCAGCGTCAAGAGCTGCCCGAAGCCCATCACGCTGACCAGCGCCACGCCCAGCAGTCCCGGGTCGATGTCCTCCCGCAGCGCGACGGCCGAACTCACGAGCAGCACCGCGAGCCCCGCGACCGTGAGCTCGAGCACGAGGAGGAGCCACTTCTGCAGGCTGCCCATGGCGTAGAAGGCCTTCTGCGAGGCGTCCAGCCGCGCGAGGTTCTCGGCTTGTGCGCTGCGCGTGTAGGCGAGGGCGCGGATGGTCACGAGGCCGGAGGACGTGGAGAGGAAGTGCGAGAAGATGGGGGACTTGGCCTCGAGGTCGAGGAGGCGGATTTGGCGGGACGTTTGGAGGTAGACGCGTTGGATGAGGTGGAGGAGGAGGGCGAGAGGGGGGATGGCGAGGGCGAGGTAGCCTGTTGCGAGGCAGGTTAGGGTTAGTTCTGCTGTTGCGAGGAAGATGTCTGGATGGTTGGTTAGCTGATGTTCCTGACTCGAGTGACTTGGGAACTGTGGCTTACAGTCGAATGTTAACATGAAGGCGAGCGGGAGGGGGAGGTCGATGAGGTTCATGTCTTGGCTGAAGCTGCGAGGTCGTGAGCTTGGGAAGTCTATATCGGGGGTGCGGGGGAGTACCGGTTGATGATGACGCCTGTGTCCGTCTTGACGAAGAAAGACATGGGCGCCCTGGGATATCAGTATTAGCTTCGGATGGAGGTTGTAATGCGGACGGAACTTACGCCAACGCGGCCTTGAGCACGCCAAAGTGAAGCCCCTTGGCGGAGTGCGGAACGATGACGACGAGGAAATAACTGCGCTCCACGTCAACATAACCGGACACTTCAAACATTGGTCACGCCCGAGAAAACTCACTACGTCTCAATCGCGAGCGAAACCTCCGTCAAAACGCCCCAGAGAACGTACACCCCAACCCACAACCCGAGCCTCGGCTCCCCGCCGTCCTCGTTCGCCGCGACCCAGAACTTGACCCAGAGACCTGTCGTCGCCTACATCAGCAATTCTTTCCAAAGAACAAAAAGGGACGAACTAAACCGTCAGGTTGTCTGTTCAGAAAAAGACTACTCACGCTGCATCGTCCGGCACCCCATGTGAAAAACCACCATCCCCGCAAACAGAAGAAACGGCCGCGCGCCCATGGACCGGATGTAATACAACAACGAGCCGGTATTCGCGGCCCCCCTCTTCTTCGCCTTGACTTCGTCACTAACGACGGGCTTACTCTTCGTCGAAACGTGTTCGTTCGTGTCTCGCTCCTTTTGCGAGGGCGCGTCGGTCTCCGGGAGGTTTTGCTGGGCCACGCGGAGTTTGCTGACGTAGCCCCCGGCTTTGAGTAGTTCGTCGTAGGTGCCTCTTTCGGATACCCTGCCCTCGGCGTTGAGGGAGATGATTTGGTCTGCTGAGGGAAGCCATTGGGCTGGAGGTACAAAAGTCAGAAAAGCTGCGGTGGGAGGAAGGAGGGGGAGGTTCGCACCGTTGTGGGTGGCGAAGATGACGGATCTCTTCTGTTCGCGTAGCAGACCACTAGACCCGAAGAGCGCGTCGAAGCACCGCGATGCCGTTCTGGAGTCGAGGCCCTTGAGGTTATCGTCCATGATGACGATTTGCTTACCGCTGTACACGGCTCTCGCCAAGGCCTGTAGCTCCGATATCAGCAAGAAAATACCTCACCCGAGCAAAACTTCCCATACAATGCTGAAAGCAGACTTACGATGCGATGCTTCTGCCCACCACTCAACGCCGCCCCGGAACTCCCGACAACCGTCTCGTCGCCCCGCGGCATCAACCCGAAATCCTCCTCAAGCTGACACGCGCGCACGACCCGCTCATACAGCTCCGACACGAACTCCGCGCCGCCGACGATGTTCTCCCTGATACTCTGGTTCAGGATCCAGGGGTCCTGGTCGCAGTACGCCACCTCGGGCGCGGTGCGATACTCGACGACCCCTGCGACGCGGCGCGTCTCGCCCACGAGGGCCTTGAGCAGCGTGGACTTGCCCGAGCCGACGGGACCGGTGAGGATCGTGAGCGTTGAGTGGTGGATTTCGAGGGTGATGGAGTGGAGGATTGGGTGGGTGGCGGTCCAGCCGAAAGAGCCGTTGGAGACTTTGATGAGAGGTTCGGGGTTGGTTGGTGGGTGTACCGTGGCGTTTGGGTCTTGGGTTTGCGCGCGTTTGACGTCGCGGTAGTCGTGTCTCTTCTCTTTGACCAGGAACTCCTGGATCCGGTCGAGGCAGCCGATGGAGGAGCCGAGGTTATTCGGGATCATGACGAGTTCCGAGACGGGGTTGATTAGGATGCCTAGGAGACTCAGAGATGTGAAGGCCCGCACGACGTCGAGGGGCCGTCCGTCGGCGAGGTGTTGGGTTACTGCGAAGGCTGCGAGGGTGATGGCGGGCGTCATGATCGAGGGGAACTGGCCTGCTCACACGACTGTTGTCAGAATCCCGTCCGCACGTGTGTGTGGTTCACAAGCCGCAGCACCGATTCGACGGAAAACTCACCGACGAGTACGTTGGAAATCTGCACCCTCCTGAACCTCTTGGACTCCTCCAGCTCAAAGTCCCGCAGGCCCTGGATCTGGTCCCGCGCGGTGCCGCTCAGCCCGCTCGCCTTGACGCCCCTGATGGAGCGGATGATCTCGGTGGTGATGCCCACGCGTCTCTGTATGGCCTGCATCCAGCGGCGCTGGCGCGGCGGGATGAGTCTGCCGAGCTTGATCGCGCCGGAGACGCTCACTGTCCCAGTCAATATCAAATCATACTCCCGCGGTGGGGTATTATAAAGAAAACAACATCAGCACACGACTTACAGACTGCGATGAGGACGGGAGCGACGCACACCGCGCCGAGCTGGTTCCCCAAAATCCACAGCGCCAGGACGACTTGAATCAGGTTCGGGACGATGGCCACGGACCACTCGGCGGCGACCGTGATGCGTTCCACCTCGGTACTCATCAGCGCGACCGCCGCCTGGGAGTTAGCCGCCTCCGGGCGCAGGGCGAGCATGTGCTGGTAGATTACCGCGATGAGGGAGCCCCTGATGCGCGTTATGAGGCGGTACGCGAGCTGGCCTGATAAGTAGGTGGATATCTGTTGTTGTTCAGCAGGTGAGGGCGTGTGATGCAGAAGTGGGAAATTCGTACCGCGACGCCGGTGTAGACGAGGGCGAATGCGGCGATGAGCCGGTATCCGTCCTCCACCGGTCTTTTGTTGCCATCTTGGACGTATTCGATGGTGACTCGTACCAAGATCGGCTGGGCCAGGGCGAAGCCTACTTTTGCTAGGCGTGGGAAGTGGATGAAGAAGAGTTCTGGCGCGAATGCCTTCACCACGGCGACGGCGAGGGCGTGGTCTTTGGTTTGGTCTGCTGGAAATGCCTCACGTTAGCTATGACGCTTCAAAACTCTTCCCGGCGTCGTTCGGCCTACATTCGTCCCACGCCGCAGAGAGCTTCTCTAGTACCCGCTCGCCCGACAGCGCGTCGTCAACCGGCTCGAGATCGTCGAGCGTCAAATCCTTCTTCCAGCCCAGCCGCAAGAGGGGGTTGATCCAGAGGCAGAGGCCCCTGCCGAAAATGCCCGAGAGCTCTTCTTTGGATTGTTGGGTTGCTGGGATGGTGAGGTAGACGGACTTGGTTGCGGATTCAGTCATCAAGAGGATGAGCTTCACGGCTAAGTGGGCTGTTAGGAGTGAAGCGATGGCCAGGCTCCCGTGATACCGGTCGAGCCATAGATTACCCACGCGGAACGCATCGAAGATGATTGTGAAGAGGAGGAGAGACTGCAGGATGGCCGAAGGGGCGCGGGATTTGCTGTGTTCTGTTTTGGAGAGGAATATGAAGACGGTGTTGAATGAGAAGGTGAGAGCTGCGGTTGCGGCGACAATTACAACCTCAGCGGTGTTCCAGGCTCCTCTAATGATGGATAGAACGGAGATGGAGAGATCTATCGCTGCGAGGAGGCACCAGAGGATCTGAAGGGGGAGGTTAGACAGTTTTCCCTTGCGAAGATTTGCTGATCTAAACTCACGATCTTGAGCGTCGCCCAATTTGACCACCGAGTCACGAGTGGCTTCTTCCACAGATGCCATAGACGGAACAGGCCCAAGACGACGCCAATCGCGCAAGGTAGGAGAGAAACGTAGAGATGTAGGCGCGTATCCGCGTACGGCCCGCGAGAATCTCGTAGGCAGCCTCTGTGCGGCCCGAGAACGAGGTTGCCGAGGGACGGGTGAGGACAAGCGGCCGCGCCGAGGGGGACCTCTGGATGAGGCCATAGACCCATGGCTGGAGATCAATGTTACGTATGTCGCGAGAAGAGTAGAAGAAGAAGAAGCCAAAGGAATACAATTGGCGGGGTTATGAGATGAGGGAAAACTTGGGTGTCTGGGACTCCTAGGTTGCGTGAGATGACGACGAAAGATGCTGCGTGCTCTTTTCTCACATGAGGTGCATGATGGACGTCGCTTATTGCGAATTGGCCAAACGCGATACGAAGATTACTTGGGCGTTTCGCCCTGCGGCGCAGCAGACCCCTGGGAAACAAGCATCGGGGAGAGTACATGTAAGCGGTAAGAATGCCCTTTTCTTCGAATACTCTGTCAGCTCGGCTACATTCGTATTTCTGACCTGCCTGAACCGGCCAGATAAAGATTCTGTCAGCCAGTCGACGGCTTCGGGTCGGGGTAATACGGCCTTGTGGTCGATGGCGTCAACTCTCAGGCATGTCTTGGAACAATTGATAATGTTCTAATCGAAATCGTATATCCAAAAAGCCAAGGAACTTTTATTCGCAATGTCTAAACATGCCTCTGTCAAGTCTTCGTCCTCCTCAAATGTAAAAAACAAAACCCTGGTATCTCATCTCTTCCCATCCTGAACCGCAAATCCGACCATTTCCATCATGACACATTAACGCCCATAGCTCTCTCTCTCTCTCTCTCTCCTTCTATCCCCGCGAACCAAGTCAAAAACAACTCTACGACACACCCCGATACTCACGGAGTCGTGACGTCGGGCCTGCCCCCGGGCTGCATCATCCGGAACGTCCACCCCTGCGTCTCGTGCACATCCCTCGCGATGCTCTGCAGCCACACGTTCGGCACGGTCGGCAGCCAGAACTCGCAGCTCTCCGTCCGCAGGATCTCCGCCCCCGTCGCCCACGCCCGCCGCGCCCCGTCCCGGTCCCCGGCCGCGAGCCGCGCGTGCGCGAGCGACAGGTAGATCAGTGCCGCCGTGAACCCGCCCCCGGACCCGATGGTGTGCATGCGCTGCACGTCCTCGAGCGCGCGCTCCCACAACGCCACCGCGCCGCCGCGACGCCCCGGGTCCAGGTGCGCGATCCGCGCCGCCGCGACCAGCAGTCGCATGTGCAGCTGCTGGTCGTGCAGGTTGTCGATGGCGGCCGGCTCGTAGCCCGCCAGCTCCTTCACGGCGGCCTCGGCGTCGTCCAGCCTCATGAGCCCGATGCTGGCCTCCAGCGACGCCAGGAGCAGCCGGCGGAACCCGCGCCGGGGCCGCTCGGCGTCGGTGGTCTCGTCGAGCTCGGGCCGCAGCAGGTCGACGGCCTTGGAGTACTCGCGCATGTTGCAGTAGATGTCGGCCAGCCTGCCGACCAGGAGACGGCGGGTGTTGCGGCGGATGGGCTTCGTGTTGTCGAGGGAGAGGGACTGCTCGAGGGAGTCGCGGGTGGCGTCGAAGTCGCCGATGGAGTGGAAGTAGCGGGCGGCGGTGCTCTGCAGCCGGAAGGTGACCTCGATGTCGAGGGTCGAGAGCGGCTGCTCGGCCTGCCACTTGTAGATAAAGGAGGAGACGTCGTTGTCGTAGCACTTGATCTTGTTCTCGACCTGGGAGATGTGCAGGCGTCCGAGGAGGGCGTGGTCGAAGCGGGTGGACGGGTGAGGGCCGCGCCAGACGAAGTCGCGGATGAGCGCCTCGGACTTCGCGAACTCGCCGTCGATGCGGTAGATGTTGCTGCGGAAGAGGACCACGGAGGCGTGGTACTGGTACGGCATCGACTTCCGGAGGAAGGTTTTGGCTTTTTCGACCGCGACGCGCCGCATGGCGACCGAGTCCCTCTCGGCGTAGTAGAGGATGGCGTCGATGACTTGGGTTCGGAGCGAAGATTGTACTTTGTATGTTGTTATTGCTCTGTCCATCGTGTTCCAGACCGTTTCTTTGAGCGTTGGAGACCTAAAGTAGCGTAAGTGGTGACATCTTGATCATCGGGATTCAAGTCGAACATACCAGTCTGTGTTACCCTCGTAACACGGTGGGCAAATAAAACACATGAACTTCAAGGCCGTGGCTCCCAGCTCGTCGACTGCTTTAGGCAGCAGGGCCCTCGATAGCGATGCCGCGAATTCCGGAGAAAGAGATAATGCGGAGACATCGTCGTTCAGAGTGTGCTTCATGATGTATGGATTTTCTGTCGCGAGGGACAGCTCTATGTCGTCGGACAACAGACTCGTAAGCTCAGGAGGGAGTCCAAATGCGGTCGCGTTAGTACTCTCGATCTCGCCTTCCGAGTTCCACCGGCGCTGCGGCAAGCGGACGAACTTCAACAGGTCTTCGGGGATGGAGGAGCCGCCGAGGGCGTATACGAGAAGCAAAAGCTGGTCGGAGGCTGGGAGTATATCGGCGTAGTCTACGATAAGATTATAATACGACGATGATAAGGAGGGATCTATCCACGGGCGTTAGCGACATCAGGGCTGCAATGTGACCGGGACCGGGTACCACATAGTTGACTTAGAATAAGTCGCTGCACGAAGACGGTATAATCCTCAAATCGCGGGGCTAAAGACTGCAGATGGCTGAATACATCCTCGTCATCTATGTTTAAGTATCTTTCATATCTGGGTGGTATAAGTCAGCATTATGTGTTAAGAGAAATGGTCATGGCCAAGAAGCCTTACGTCGAGGGTGGAATGTCCAGCGGAAGCCACAAGATCGACCCTAACCCCCCGAGTTTCCGGGCGATCTGGATATACTTCCTCCCCGCATTCCTCACATCCGTGTAGTTGTGCTGGCCGGAGAAGATCCCGGCGACCTGAGGCGGGACCGAGGCCTGGGCATCCAGCTTCGACCGGAGGAAAACGACGACGCAGGCCACGCGCCGGCGCAGCTCGGCGTTGGCGTGGCCCCCGGACCCGGACACCGCCCAGAACCCGTCGACGTTCTCCCGGAACTGCTCGCGGACCTGGTTCACGGGCGCGAGGTCGACCGAGTTGACGAGCAGCGCCTTGTTGGTCCGCTGGTTGCGCGGCGTGACCTGGAACTGGACGTCGCGGGCGAGCGACTTGGACTGGGCCAGCAGGCGCCGGAGGTCTTCGAGGTGGGTGTTGAGGGCAGGGATCAGCTCCCTCGCTCTGCCCTCGTCGTATTGCTTGGCCAGATATTGGACTGAGCTGCAGAGGCAGATAGGCTCCATTGCAGCAGCACACACAACCCGCGCCGCCGGGGGGAGCAGATTAAAAAAGCATGGGGGTGTCGATTGTATACATGAACGGGCGGGCGGGCGCGCTTGGCTTGTGGTGCAGAATAGAGCCGTCCCTTTCCAAGACTTTGTTACCGCATTTTGCAAAACGAAAACTCCACACTTCCCACCGTGCCCCCTTCTCGGCGGTACTCGGAGATGCGAGACCCCGACCCGCGCCGGACCACCCGCCGGTCAATCGCCCCATGTTTTTCTAAAGACTAAGCCTATTCAGGCTCAGATGGAGATGAGATCGCCGTCGCGTAAGTAAGGAGAGCCACTTGCGCCCCTCTTCATCGTGCCTGAAGACAGATTTTCAACGCTTTTGAAGAATGGCTTTTCTTCTTTTGACGTGAAAAGCTTCTATGAAGAGAGGTTGTTGTTCTCGAAAGGTCTACCGGTTTCCCTGATCATCGAGTCGGGCGCGGTTCCGTGGTTGTTTTTATCTATTCTAAAAGTCTTCGCAATGGACGTCTATTTTTAGATCTCGTCTTTCTCGCCAAATTTCCGCCGACTCTCTCACCGCGTCCATCAGCGACTCGGGCCCGCAGGTCGCGATCAGGACTCTATCGTGGTCCTCGACTGTCCTCATCGCGTCCGCGACCACCTCTTGAACGTCCATCCTCTCATATCTGAGGTCGAACAGCTGCTCGTCGATGCAGAGCGAAGCCTCGGACAACAGACTCTCTGCGTTGCCTAACTCCGACACGGTCTCGTAGTTCAGGGTACCCGCTTCTGACAAAAGTCCCGTTGTCGGTGTGTTCCTGTGGTGCTGAGACTCGGGAGCAGCAGTCGGCGCGGTGTCCGAGTCCGTCTTGGACTTCTCGTCCGTGATGTGAAGCCTGATGGCGGCCGTCGGCGAGGCTCGCCTCAGTCGTTGCAGGTGGTTTTGGAACCAAGCTAAGTGCTCTGTCATACGATCAGCTGACGCGCGGGATGAACAAACCGAGTAGCCAACAAACCTTTCCGCTTCACCGTCCATGCGAACTCGACCGGCTTGAGTTTCGAGCCGTCACACTGCCGGAGGACGCGATTGACGAGACCGAACGTGAACGCCGCGCCGCTCCCTCCGGCCACGAAAACCAACTTGTCGTAATCCTCCATGCTTGGGAGCGCGCCGTACGGCCCGTCCACGGACGCCCACAGCCGCCGTCGAGGGTGTCCGGCCGCGAACCTCCCCACCGCCCTCGTGAAGCCCTGATGCGACTTCATCACGAGCTCGAGGCCCGAGGGCCCGTTGTCGACGATGGTGAACGGGTGGTTCTCGTACGGATGGACCCGCGGAATCCACAGAAAGCAGTGCGTCCCCGGCACGGCGTCCTCGACGCCGGGCTTCGCGAGGAGCAGCCGCGTCCCGCCGTCCGGGAGCGGGTGGAGCGTGACGTGGTTGTTGACGAGGTTGCGCAGCATCCGCGCGGCCCGGATCGCGCGGTCGCACATCCACATGGTGAAGGTGAGCGACATGACGAGGGGCAGTTTCTTGGCCCAGTTCGGCCTGTGCAGGGCGGTCAGGACGACGGCCGCGACGAAGCCGACGATGTGGCTGATGTAGAAGACTTCGTAGCCCCGGTGCCGTGCGACGCCCAGTAGCAGGACGAGCATGGCGACGCCGGCGCCCATGCCTTCGATGTCTTCTTTTTTCAACAGGGTTTCCCAACGACCGAGGCGTACACCAAAGTGGATGGTGTAGAAGATGGCGTGAAGGACCATCAGGAAGACTGCGGTGTAGCCTACTATGCGGTGATAGAGGTTGAGCTGCGCATGCGAGGTGTTTGCCATCAGGCTAAGTGGCGTGTTCTTAAGTCCGAAGAAGACGCACAATGCCATGTTTGCGGCACTCATCCTGCTAAAGTCAGCCTTTGCGCTGGGGACAGGGGTTTTCTACAGAAGTTGTAGAGATTTACCATCCGAATCTAGAGGCCCAGTGATTGAGTTGGAGGAGGGCGAAGTGAGTTGTTGAGAGAGTGGTGTTGCATACGAGATAGACAGTGACTATGGCGATGACTCCAACTGAAGGTTTACCGAACCACTCCCATTTGGAACGTCTTTCTAAGTTTCTAAAGAACGGTTAGTGCAAGCCAACCACCGCTATACGGGCAACATACCGAAATATTTGAGCCCGAGCCCATCTTGCCAGGCGTCTCGGTCCATTTGGTGTTTTTGACTCTTGGGCTGGGGTCTCGACCTTATTGCAGACTTCCCGCAACCAACAAACACCGACGACGAGGAGTATCAGACTACACAGGAACGCAGCATACGCCTTGACAACTTCCTCGTTCTTCTGTTGCTTGGTCGGAGGCATGAGCGCCTGCGCCAGATCTGATGTAGGCATGGCGAGATGTGCGTGGTGTTTGACATTACCGGGGTAAAAGGAGGGAGGAATCGCGAGAATTTACCCTGATTGATTAGATGGTCATGCGGGCTGATTGATAAGATTATCAGGCGGGTGGAGGAGCGACCAACTAGCCGCCCCCACCGCGCAAGCGAGAGACATGTCATCCGTATTGCGCAGTCCTTTTGGCTTCACGTGTTTGTCGAAAGAGACAGCTCACTTGTCCATGATCTGACCAGAGTCTACGTAAGGCCCAATCATGTCTGTTGACGTCGTCCGGGTAGGGATGTCGAGATGTTGTTGTCTCTCACAGTGAAAATTTGTGCTCCGTGGAGCGCCCTAGCAGGAGACCGGGGTGTAAGTAGGTCGGGATTTCTCACAGTGATGAATAACGCCTGTTTTCGAGCACTTGGTGAGCATCCAGAGGCTTGGCACCGATGGCGGAACAGAGAGAAGCGTGCGACCGACAGTCAACTAACAGCGAAGTCGAGAGCTTTCTCACCACAGTCCACACGACTTTTGTACGAGAGATTTTATATACGGATAGAATAAGATGAACTCTAGTCTGTCAGTAGCAAGTAGCACCACTTACAAAGCTTCATTTCAGCAACTCACCCAGTCCCAACCAACTCTGAAAGGTATTTCGCGCCTTCAGTATCACTTGAGCAGTAGGAGAGACCAGCTCAACGCGATTATGACAGCAATGCCCCGCGATTTCAGTTTCTAGAGTTCCAAACATCAAAAAGATCACTCATCTCTCCGCCCAACTGCATGACCCCCGGCCATGATTGACGCGTAGGGGGGCCCACCGAGATCGGAAGTGGTCCTGCGCGAGGACACAAGTCCGCCGCGGATCCATTCACCTGGGTGTCCAGTGTGTGTGGAGCAGCGCGTCGAGAAAGCGAAGAAGCCTTGGCAAAATTTATCTGATGGATGTGCTCAGACTGACAGATTGATAAAAGTCCGACGTCTTCTCGACTCGAAGTCTCCTCCTTCGCACGTTCGAATCACTCTGTTTCTCTTTGAGTGTTGTTGTCTTTCGCGGCAATATGGCCTCCGAAAACCCCGCAGACCAGCGGCCCCCGCCCGCCGGCGAGATCGCCACGCCGGCACGCTCCGACTCGGACCCTGACGAGAAGCGCATCGCAGAGGTCACCGACGTCCCTTCCGGGGGTGTTGTCGAGATCAGGGACTTTCCCTGGGCTTGGAAGGCGACTGCTCTCGTGTGCGGCGTTGCGCTCTCGTGGGGTTCTTCGTTTTCGGAGAACACGCTCGGTCCTCTCAAGAGCACGTTGATCAAGCAGCTGGACATCAACAACTCCCAGGTGAGATATCAGAGTGAAGAAGAGTTTTCACCGAGAGAAAATCAAAGCTGACTCAAGGTTTAGTACGGCGCGATCTCATCTGCGACGTCGCTTGTGAACACAATCCTCCCCATCCTCGGCGGGTATGGACTCGATCATTATGGCGTTGAGTGGTAAGCCTACCGGCACTTACACGCCAGACGACATGAAGCTCGTCTCGTGTTAGTCGGCAAGGCTTTGATTGCTAACTCACGCAGGGGCTCCATGGCCTGCTCAATCGCCATCTTCATCGGCGCAGTGATCTCAGCCGCCGGCTCGAACCAGGACTCCTTCACTCTCGTGGTCACCGGCCGAGTGATCATGGGATTCGGAAGTACCGTCATCGAGACTTGTACATCCAAGGTGCGTCGTAGCCGGAAAGGAAATTCACATAACACCACATGAAACTGACACTCATATTAAAGATCCTCGCACATTGGTTCCAGCACAAGGGCCTCGGCTTCGTATACGGCTTAGACCTCGCAATCGGTGCGTCCTCAAACAACTCAAACCCTCAACCATCCTGCTCTAACTAACACTCGTCCCTCAGGCAAGCTCATCGTCCTCATCGCAAAGGCAACCGCCGTCCCGATGCGAGACGCCTCCTCCTTCTGGGGCTGGGCCCTCTGGATCCCCGCCATTGTCTGCTTCGCCAACCTCCTCCAGAACATCTTCTACGTCTGGTGGGCCAGGTCCCGTCCCGAATGGACGCACATGCCGACGGGCCAGAAACTCGCCCTCGAGGTCCGCGCCCGCGAGCGCGCGCAACGCGGCAACGGCAACAACGACGCCTCCACCTTCAGGACGAGGGCCACCGCGCGCACCCTCACCGCCCTGCCCGACTGGGGCGCCCTCGTCCGCGTCCCGCGCTTCTTCTGGCTCGTCGCCTGCACCCAGATCCTCCAGGCCGGCGTCGTCGGCGGCTTCAGCGGCCTCAACGCCGACATCATCACCCGGACCCGCGGCTCCACCGCCCAGCTCGCCGGCTACACCTCCGCCGTGCAGCAGGTCATCCCCGTCGTCTGCGCGCCCCTCATCGGCACCTTCTTCGACTACGTCGGCTACCGCATGGTGTTCGTCAGCCTCACGTCCGCCATCTGGATCCTCGTCTACTGCCTCATCGGCTTCACGCAGACCAACGCCCTGGGCGCCATGGTCATCGCCTCCGTGGCGTCCACCATGAACGCGCTGCCCTTCCTGGCCTCTATCCCCCTGATCGTGCCGAATCAGCTCGAGCTCGGCCTCGTGTTCGGCATTTGGAAGGTGTTCAACAACAGCGGGAGCGTCATCGTCGACATGATCGCCGGTAGGCTGCAGGACATCACGCCCGGCGGCACCTACGAGCGGGTCATCGCGTTCTTCGTGGCCGTCAAGGGCTTGGAGTTCTGTCTGGGTCTCTTCTACGGCGTGCTGGACCGGAGGTATCTCGCCGGGATCCTCAGCATTAGTAACAAGAAGCGGATGGAGATCGAGCAGGAAGGCAAGCTCGGAGACCTCGTTGGTCGGCGGCCGGCGAGGCCGTATACTGCGGTGGGAATCGCCCTCGTCTGCTCGTTGATTATTATCGCTTGGGTGCTGTTCATCAAGTACTCCATTTGATGCGTTGCTTGGGAGGAGGACATGGAGCGTCGGCAAGTAAGAACCTGAAGAGAAACGCTTGAGAAGGCAGCGAGTGAAAATCAAACTCTTTGGACAGCCAATTCCACCGGCGTGATCAAGGCTTTCACAGAGCCTTATAGAAATGATTGACCAAGATGATGGCCGACCTAGCGCCATGCTCGAGGGAATGAGATAAGGCTTCATCCAGTGAAAAACACATCCAAGTACCCGGCCCAAAACCGTCAAGTTGTGTCCGCATCTTCAAATAACCCCCTTAACGGTATCTCAACGCCCCTGTAACATAGTGCATTAAGAACGATGATCGCATTGCGAATCGCCTCCATGTATCCCAGCGCGACGGATTCGCATTCCCATGACGGTGGCCCGGAGGAAGCCAGACATTTACGTAGCCACTCTACTCTGGGTTGGTCGAGCTCATTCTCCTGTCACGCAATCTGTCCGAGATATAACCAGAATGGTTCAGTGCATACCCGCCGCGCTATTCCTCTGGCCGATAGGGATTCTCCCCCTGACATAAGTCTTCATCTGAGTACCCAAACTCAGGCTCATAACCAGCTTCAGACTCAGACTCATACTCAGACTCTGGTGGCGGTCCAGGATGCGCCACCACTCCGGACTCCCGCTGCCGTGGGTTCCGCACGCTCTCTGCCTTCTTCCTGGCTTCGAGCTGCTCCATGAATGACTTGACCATTGGATCGAGCTCGAACTTGGAATTCACAGTGGCCGCTGTGAGGCCGAGCACCTTCAAACCCCGGAGCGACCGAGCCCTGCTTACGGCCACGTAGGCTTGTCCCTTCTCCCACGCGGCGCCCAGGTTGACAATGACGCGATCCAGGGAAAGACTCTGGCTCTTGTGGAAGGTCATGGCCCAGCCCGGGGCGAGAGGAATCTGCGTGCGAGACAGGAGGCTGTACGGGTGCTTCGCTCCGATCTCGGAAACCGTGCAGTCGGGGCCGATGGCGCGGACTTCGCCGTTAGCGAATCGAACCTTGGGGACTAGATGCAGTCAGCGTGGTTCCTGATGGCCGGTGCGTACGCGTCCCTGATGCGGTGACAACTTGGAAGGGCAATTACTGACATTGATCTGGCGTGTGGCGCGATGTCACGAATGCCGTGATCTGGGAGTATCTTTGCGTCGCGGCCCGGTACCCGGACGGGTCATCCTTGTAGTTGTCTTCGTTGGGATATTTGGGCTCCTCCAGCTCGTTCGGTGGTACGAAACCGCATACGATCCCCTGACTGCCGTTGCAGAGGCCCGCTTTCAGATCCATCTTCGTTCTTCCCGTCAGTTTGCGAACTTCTTCAGACAAATGCGCGAGGAACGACTTCTTACGTTTGAGAGCAAAACCACAGGCATATTGATGTTGAAAGTCCCGAGCTTGGAGTATCGATGTTCCTTGAGCTTGTGTAATGGTTTCTGGGAATGTGGCGCATAGAAGGCATCCGCGCTCTTGTCAGGGGCCTGTACACAGTCTCTGGTCAGCTTGTCGTTGTCAATGTATCCAGAGTCAAAGCCATCGAGAATTGAGAGAATACGACGAAGTGATGGGAACCACGAGAGGGACTTGCCTTGTACTCGTCGAGATCTTCAGAACCATCGTCACACCCAGGCTCGAAAGTATCTAGGCACCAGAAGTGCAATGGTTTACCCGGGAGCTTGTTGAATTCCCTCGAGTTGCATGCGTCGACGTCTCGTCGGTGACTGAATAGTTTGACTCCATTTCGAACCTCACACTTGTGATCAAGTAGGAGGTCGATCTCGCCTTTGCCCAACCTTCTGCCCAATCGACAGTTCTGAAGAACGTTGACGAACTGCTCATCTCGCTGGCGATGAATCTTGGTCAGGTGCACATACTCGAAGGCGCACCTGTTCCACTCAGGGGACCTAAATGCCCATTTGTCTTCATCCATGAATTTCTGGCCGTACAGTTCGCATGCACTTTGCCCACAAAAGTACACGCCGCCTTGTCTCCTCAGCGCCACGCTGCACGAGGTACAGTTCTGGAACGGCATAACCGGGGGTAATTGGCAAAAGTCACCAACAGCAATAACCTGGACGCCACCCAGAGGGCTGCTGTTATTGCGCGCATGGCACATATAACGGCTGAAGCGGTCGAAAAACAAGTTCTCAACCATGCTGATCTCGTCAATGATGAGAACATCAGTCCCAAGTAAACGCTTCCGGACCTTTTTCCCTCTTATTTTGTTAAAAACCTCGGCAAGTGGCTTCTTCATGTCGTCTGGATACCAAGTGGCATAGTTGAAGGTTGTTCTGCCGCCAATGTTGAGAGCGGCTTGCCCGGTGGGTGCGATCAAGTAGACGCTTTTGCCCATAGCTTTGAATCTGTCGTAGAGCGCTCTGACGAGCACTGACTTGCCGCACCCGCCGGATCTGCGAGTCCATGAGGTCAGCATTGATCTGGCGTAGCGTGAACGAACACAGATGGCGCGTTGAACCGCTTGCATACCCAGTAATGAACAGATTGCGGCCTTGCATGGCAAGATCCATGGCGTCCTGCTGCTCCTCACAAAGGGGAGGCTCCTTCGATACCTCGGCCGGTTCATTGTCTTCGACCGGTATGAAATCTTCGCCACCAGATTCTTCTGCGGCCCCATTTTCAGAGACTCCACTGTCTGGAACCCGGAGATGTTGTTGTAGTGGCGGTTGCTGGTAGTGCTGATAGCGATGGCCGTTGCTTGGCCCTGAAGAGAACTGGCTGTGGTTAAGTTGCCTGTCCTCATCGATGAGCTTTGACATCTTTTCCTCCGTAAGCCTTTTGATGAGTCTTTCGCGAAGAATGATTTTCTGTCTGTTTATCAGTCTTGCTCCTGGCAACATAACAGGGTTTGTTTACTTACGGCATCCTCGTAGTGTTCTTCCCCTTGGTCTGCGGCGATGTCAGCTGGCCGAGCAGCAAAAGAAGTCGCATTACTAACTCACAGCCTTGATTAGGCCATCCTCTTACTTGGGCCTCGCACGTAGCCCAGTCCGTGAAGATGCCGCACTTCCTTCCACTCCAAACAACGTAGTAATTGTTAATCTTGCCCTTCTTAGCCTTCTTCTTCCCGTATACCTTCTCCGGCACGCCCTGGAGGTACTGAGGCATGAGCGAGTCGACCACTGACGTAGCGAGCCGTTTAGCCGCTGTATCTATCCGTGCTTTCCTTTGCATCTCCGTCTCGGCAGGTGGTCGGGTAGCAGATTGTGTGTTCCCTTGGGAGGAGCCGGCCACGGACGCGCGGCTTCGGGAAGGTTGTACGGCATTCCTCGCATTGCGCGAGGAGGAGCGCTGCTTTGGACCGAGATCAAAGAAGAAACTCGGCTTCCCGTCCTGCCTCTCCTCCTCCTCCTCGTCAGATACGAGGTTGATATAATCGGGTTCGGGGTTTAGCTCGACTCGTCTTCGCTTTGGGCTCGGTGCAAGGGTGAAGCGGGTGCCGGGCGGCTCATGTACCTCTCGCGGGACAAGGCTAGCTGACTGTCAGCGGAATTCCATAAGTGTCTTGCGCAGTCACTTACGGCCGCGGCCAGGAAGAGACATGTTGCTCACAACCGACGGCGCGATTTGTGGCAGGTTCGGTGGTCGTGGGAGCACGCGAGCTTGGGGAATGTTTAAGATTACCATACACGGCAAAGGAATGACGCTAATTAGAGAGCTACCCCCTGTTTTGGCTGATTATGTCATCAACTCCACGGGGATTCTAGGACCCTGACTTCTTTCAATCGCATATACCGTGAACGATGCTATTTTCGTACCTCAACTAAATAACTCTCGGGAAAATGAAGAACTAGGTGGCAACACAGGCTCTGTGGTGGTTATACCCAAGCCACTCGCAGTGACGAGTTCAGCAGCGACCCGCAGTTTACTGTCTCCATTCTCTTCATGTATCAGCTTCTGCTGCAATGAAACGAGTAATTAAATGTCCGAGAGCAAGTCTAGTATCGTTTCTGGAGCAATACATCGGATCAAGAGCACATCAGGTTGAAGCGTAAATCGCACGCATCTGGCAAAGTCGACACCCGCGCCGTGTCGGCCTTGTGCGCTAACTCCGTGCCTGCCGGTAAAACGGGGCCGGGCGGCGGACTACCTAGGCCGATTAGGGGCCCCGTCGCGGTCAACGGCAGACCCACACCGGAAGAATATGCGGCAAAATAATACCTTGAGAGAAAGCCGGAGCTTTTAGGTGCCAAGGATGCCTAAATCGATATCATAAAAGGTTTGCAAACTTGGGGGAAATGCACAACAAGACAATTACCATCAGGAAATTGTGGCATGCTCCACTACTACGAAAAACACGAAGTAAACTCAAACTAAAATACTCGGAGTAAGCCGCGAGAGCCTACGGGTTCTCTGCAAATGGCTAGCAAGATATCATGCAAGCCATACTGCGCTTCAGCGTATGATTCACCGAGTCCTGCATAGTGCATTGTTTGTGGCGTTGCTTCGAGGTTGTTGCAAAAGCTTTTTGTTCAACCTCTTGTTGAAGTCCTGATCCACCTCGTTCGAGACCAAAACTAGGTTTCCAACAAGCTCCAAGCCATCCATAGCTCCCTGACGGTGTGTCACAAAGTTAGATTTGATGAGATTCGCCCCTGACTCTAGACCACATTTATAAGTTACGCCCTCCAGCGCCCCCCTCACACCATGGACAGCTCCTCCACCCATCGATTTTCACACCAGCATCATATTCTGCCTTCAAATCTCTCATCTTCCACGCGCTTCAATCATGTCAGCCTCCAAAATGGGTCTTTTTTCCCGTTTGCCCCGGGAGTTGAGGGACTTAATCTATACATTTTACCTCGTTGTCGACGGTGGGTACGTGGGCGATGGTGACTCGATTTTCCACAACACGCTGCTGACCAAGAAGCACGAGCAGAACCGACTGCCTAGGTCAACCTTGCAACGCCAGCAATGCATCTTGAGGCGAGCCGACAGGTCCTCTACCGATATAGCTCTTGTGTTCACCTGCAAGTCTATCGCCGAAGAGATGTACGGTGGCGACCTTGCCTTGCGCGTCAACACAATTACATTCTCGACCTTCTACTCTGATGAACTACGACTCCGCGCCGGCAGATTCAACTATATCAGAGAAGAACACGTTGAAGTCGAGAATGTCAATATTTTTCAACACCTTGGGGAATGCTTCTGGGGCCCTGTATACGACGAACTCCAGAATACCTACCCAATCTTCATGCCGCTTGTGGATGCCGTCAGAAAGGGGAAGCCCCCGTCCAACATCCACTCCTGCCCTCACTATGGGCAAGCACGCTCGTTGTACAGCGGGTTCGTCAAATACGCCCTGCAACTTGCAGCCTACTACCACCCGCCGGAATTTGTCGAAGCAGTGGAGCAACACCGGCTTTCAAAGAAGCGTAAACGTCGCGGCCAGTTCGACCCTCACCACATTGCTCACTGCTCGGTCGAGGCCTGGGACATACCTACGCGCGCCGACCTCCTGCACTTGGCTTCGCATACCAGATCGTCCGGCGAGCCGCTGCTGGAAGTTCAAGTTCGAAGAGGGGTGCTCCCGGAAGATGGTACCAAATATCGGTTTTCGGCAGCGGTTTCAGCCATTCATTTCCTACGCGCAATACCGAAAATCAGGCGGACGAATCTCCGAAGGATTGTCCTAGTCGAAGACCGCGAATCGGTATCTGACCCGGCCTGCCACGCGCAGGGATTGATTCCTTTCTGCCAGGAAAATCGCCTTCTGCGCGTTGAACGACGATGCAACCTGTGGAGAAATGTGTTCTGTCGGGATTGGGTATCCGACAGAGACCGTCAATACAGGGTTGACATGGGCGAATCCCAACTGTCGTCAAAATACATATCTTGGAACGTGGCCCAGTGGATTATGGAGGCATTAGTGCTGGAGTTTTACGGAATGCCAGATGGGTCCTTCTCCTTGGTGCTGGACGGTAATCCCGCACCGCAGAGGTGCGAGGAGATATTCCAGCGAATTGTACAACGAGATGTGGCGCGGCAACTGGTGCGGTCCGCGACACGAAACCGAAGTCATCTTCCCATGAAGACAAGCATGGAACAGGACAGCGAGCATGTCCCAAGACATTCCATGTACGTTGCCAGCCCGTACAACAACTATGGATATATGTTTGAGGACTTTCCACAGGCTATGGAAGACATCAGGGAAGACAAATCTATTGTTCGCTGTAATTTTCATATCGGGACGCCGTTGAACGTTGAGGGAGTTTTGAAGAAACGCAGACGTATTGAGTCTGCGTTGAACAGCGACTGGTTCCAGCACGAGCCAAAGAAATGGGATACTGTACCTCCTCTGCCGAGTTGGGGGGATCTGTTGGCGGAGGACTTGTTGTCCTCTGCCACATGAACCTGGTCAATGCCAGTTGAGTGCCGTGTCGCAACGATGACGGAGCTCATGGAATTGATGGATATGAGCAGTTGTTCCCTTATGAGCATGCTTTCTCCGAAAGAAGATGGATGCTGTGTTGTACTGGCCCGCAGACTGGAGTTGAAACTACAGCCCATAGTAAATCTAGCATGTTGGTATCGCTGGCACAAGGTCAAAATATTGTCATGTAGACTGGCCGCAGTATTCAATTAAAAACGAGTTCCTTCGATCGTAGGCCCAAACTTAACAACACGCACGCTTGCGACGTTATCAAGACCCAAGACGTGCCGCACAACTTTTCAATTTTGAGCCTCAACGGTAGCACCGTCTTCTTTAAAATAGGAAGAGTAAATGAGGAGGACGGGGACGGCGACGTCATCGAGATTTCTACGATTAACTACACTGTCTTTCCAGTCCCGGAAACGATGTTGAAGAAGAGCTTTACAAAATTTGGCTGATACTCTGAGAGTCTGAACTGGCTCTTTTCTGGTGTGGCTTTCAAGGCTTCTTGTGGTCTAAGGGAAATTCAGAATATACCTATATTGTGACTACATGTATAAGATGATTGACTTCGATAATATTTCTCATGACTTTAGAGATGAGTCTTGCGACGATTTTGCTCCAGCCATCATAGGAGCTGGGGGTCATTAAAGGCAATGCAGACTGACACACATCGCTTAACATGAAGCGGTTAAAACGCTCAGAGCGGCCAGCACAGTTGATTTGTTACCCAGCGACGCTTTTACATTTATAAAAGTCCCATCAGTCTGAATTCAACGTTCTCTGTTTCGGATATGGCGTCAAGCTCATCCCAAGCATGTCGAAGTTATGTCACATCTGGATGCTCGCACCTACCACTAACCTATTGAGTTGTTATGTGGGATGGACCTTATTGAGAGAGTATATGCTTCCTCTTGGCTAGAATTATCATCAAGACAGTGGTACATGATGTGCGTGACCAGAATTCCCCGGGGATTCGCTATTAGCGAGAATAGTTGAGGTTGGCCGGTTCATCGCCAGACTTCTGCATGCCTCGACCAGTACCGTCGCCATATATGTTCTCACCGCCGGGTGCAAGCCTTTGCGCCACAGTTCAGCTAAAAGGATTGCGACGCCGGCCATGCGACACCGATTGGACAGGAAGAACAGGGCTTTTCACAAGTTGTCGCGCTTCCGCCTTAACAGAAGCAAAAGCCACGCTGAGAAAGGCAACAAGGTCAGTCACATCTCACATCAGGAACCAAGATTATCGGTGTAGGGTTCGTGACCTCGTATATTTGCCCTACTTTGGTGCGTTCATTTCGTGTCCTTTCATATGAAGCAGATCGAACAGTACATGATGTTCTGACATTCCAGGCTCAGGTCCTCGATCGGATTCTAGCGTCGTATGGAGGGACTGGCGTGATAACATCCTGAAATTGATTGCAAAGGAGGTTTTGTGATGATTGGAGATTGAGGTTCATGGAGTTCTTTTTCCAACCTACTGTTATGTGTCACCTCTTGAAACTCCTCACTGAAAATCAATTCTGAGCCACAGGGATGTAGGGATACTTGGGCTTGTGAGGCAGTGAGAGGCCCTTGGTGGATGAGGCCATTTACAGAATGTCTTATTCTCTTATCTAATTCAACATTTACTCTCGCATTGACGTGAGCATTAGATCAACCTTTTGAGTCTATTCAACGTTCAAACTTCAATTTTTGGGCAATCTTCTTGGCTGAAGCGGGGTTGAGATTTGAGTCACTGTGAGCTGCCTAAACCTGCTACCTTGATGGCGGTGTCATAGCGTGCCTTAGGTAAGGAAGCGCCCCCAAAAGCCCGGTCCATTTGAAGCTTCCATCCACCCTCGACTGCAAGCCTTGTCGCGCAGAATTTTCCTCCTCCCTCGCCAAATGGAAGCTCACCTACAGCCTCGCCCAAATTCATCAAGCAAGGCTCTCCAACTAGGCGAAGCAGTCCCGTGATGGCATCCTCCGGAATGGGTTACTTTGGCCGCCTCCCGCGGGAAATGCGGGACACGATTTACAGGTCTTACCTCATCGTCGAGGGCGGATACATCTGCGACAGTGAAGCTCTCATCAAAGGCCAGCTCAACGGCAATCCCCTTTGCAGGCTCAAGCAGTCCAACGGAAGCCGTATTGACCTTGCCTTGGTCTTCACCTGCAAGGCTATTTCAGCGGAAATGGGCTGTGGTGACCTTGCTCTCCGTGTCAATACCATCACGTTCTCAACCTTCTACTCCGACGAGGTGCGTTATGTGCCTGACCGACTTGCGCTCGTCAGATATTACTTCTCGGAATGGCCCCAGACACTGATGCTCGACCACGTTGGCGATTTTCTTCGGGGCCTCTTGTATCAGGAGCTACAAGCAGCGTACCCAAGGTTCATGCCCGTGGTGGACTGCATCAGGGACAAGCGCCCATGGCATCCTGACCGGATTACAACATACGGCGAAGCACCTTCGGTTTACCGAAAGTTTCGCCAATACGTGCTGCAGCGTGTGTTATTTTATCACGGTGAAGCATTCATCAAATTGTTGAAACAGTTTGACTCTCGGCTTGAAGACATCGATATCCACCACCTCCTGCACTGTTCATTTGAGCCATGGGACATACCGACATATGACGAACTTGCTCGTTTTTCCTCAGATGCTGACACGATGAGTGGCTGCACTGTTTATCAATTGGATCAGAGGGACCGCTCTAAATATCGATTTTCGGCTGCAGCATCTGCCGTCTGCTTTTTACGCTCGATGCCGGACACCAAACGAAACAGCCTACGCAAGCTCATTTTGAACGAAGACCGAGATGCCAAACCGCTATCAGCATGTCACGGACGGGGTTTGATCCCTTTCTGTCAACAACACCCACTCCTTCGAATCGAGCGACGATGTAGTCTGTGGGGGAATATATTCCGCAGACATCGGCTCAATCGTACCCCCCACGACAGGGTTGATCCTCCGCGTCGTGAGAAAGCAAAGTTGCAATCGCACGAAATATCCAACAATGTGTCAGCGTGGATGATGGAGGCATTGGTGCTAAAGGATGCCGGCATGCCTGCTGGTTCTTTCTACCTGCTATTAGATGGCGATCCGATGCCACAACTTTGCGAGGACATTTTCCAGCGAATTGTTCAGCGAGATGCGGCTTGGCAGCAGGCCCGACAAGAGGCACGCCAGCGAGGCTATCTTCCGGCGAAGTCCTTCATGGAACTGCACGACAAGGAGAGAAATTTCATCCGCCGCCTAACGAGCCAAATCGATTGGGGTTACTTCTATGAGGATTTTCCACACGCCATGAAGGACCTAACGAATAACAACTCGATCATACGCTGTAACTTCGACGTTGGTAATTCGTGGGACGTGGAACAGATGGTGCAGGAGCGTCGGCATCACAGTGAATCGAAATGGAACGACGATTGGCACAAACACGAGCCCATGTCGTGGGACACCGTGACACCTCAGCCAAAGTGGAAGGCCATGTTAGAGGAGGATGTTGTGAGTCGCCAAAGCCTGCTATCCCCGTCCTCGTAACCAGCCTTTGGAAACGGAGGTTCACCAGAGCTTATTCCGTTCAATTGCTGTGCAGATCCCGAACAAGTTTGGCGAGTGAGGTTTTCGGACATCCCTAATGTCGAAGTTGGTGGTACACCTGTTGGTACTGAAATGCAAAATGCTGCGTCCATAGTGTCTTCGACTACTAGGTTCCCTGATAAAAACTATTGATGATTTGCAAGATTCGAATGACATATCGAGGAACACTGTCAGCACGAAGGTTTTACCACGATTAATTCATTAAGAATCTGTTTGACGTCCATTTTGGGAGTTGCAGTTTTTGATGGTTATGATCTCTAGAGTCAATTCCACCAGGAAAGTGAACGAAATAATGTGTTCTGGGGAGACCTTTGTGACCGACGATCGTGAGAATAAGTGACCGCTGACGCAGTCAAAGTGGGGAAACATCTAGTGCCTCTCTTCCTGCCAAATGAATGTCTTTCTAAGGCTGCGGATCTGTCCTCATGTCCCAAGACGCCGCGAGACGAGGCGCAAAATATATGCAGTTTTTGAATCTGCTTGAGATGTTTATTATCCTTTTCCATCAATAACTTGCCAACATCTTAGGGAGGGGTGAGAAGCGTCAAAACTAAACACGTGCATCAGAGCTAAAGACGCCAATGAGACAAAACAGTTTTGTTTGTTTTCGCATTTCTCGCTTCTAATCTGGCACTCAGTTTTGCTCAGTTGGGTCTGAAAGAGCACTGAAGGAAGCGATGCGGTACAGTAAGGCGAACATTGTTCAGCCCCTGGCAGCATTGTTCTCTCTCCTGAAAGGCCACCAGGGATGTTTGCAGAGCGGCATGAAGCTCTGGGGCAAAGCACGAAAAGCCAAGCACAAAACAACTGCCAGGGCAGATTATTTCATATTCGAATGTTTGCTCGGCCTTGATCAGCAGCTGAGACGCCATGCTGTGATGTTTCATTGTCCTCAGTTGGACTCATCGTATTCATGATCCCTACAAACTGCTGCCAAGGGCCAAGACATACAGTAAAACGACGTACTACGCGGACGGCTCAGGGGAGATCTGAAGAGTTCATCTCGACATATATTGTCCCACGCAAACTTGAAGCAACGAGCCCATTTGGAACAGGCTGCATGAACCATCACAACGTCTTTTGTTGTTTCCCTTTCACAATCACTTATCATCACCATCCCAACTCCCTCAACTTTCTTCGTCTCAACCATGAGAGTCCAACTAGGCTACCCGTTGATCAGAGCGTTCTACGTTATCCTGCCCATTCTCCTGACGGCTGAACTTCTTTACATGTTTCATCCATTTCTGGCACGTCTTCGACTACCTCGTTCTACAGTCCATGATTCTCGCCTGCGCTGCCATGGAGGCGACGGATGCTTTCCCTCAATCCATGAGTCTCTGGCCGAGGACGTGGCGGAGAGCATCCGTTACTGCCGCAACAACTCGGAAGAAATGAACCGCCAGAACCCAAGAATCGCGACAGTCACCGCTCAGTTCGGAAAGCACCAGAATCACTACGCAAGAGCTCTGCGCACGCATCTGGTCCACACTTTGATACACGACGCCGAGCTTCACGTCCTTTGCGAGAGCATAGTCGACGACTTTTGGAATAAGCCAGCCTTCATACTATCGCTACTCTTAGAGGAGCTGGAGAAGCCAGAAGACGAAAGGCTGGAGTGGCTGTTCTGGGTCGACCGCGACACCATCATTCTCGACAACTGCCGGTCGCCGGCGAGCTTCCTACCTCCGCCTGCCGGCTGGGCCGCTAGCGGGAGCGACTCCGGATACGTCAACGCGCGCAAGGACAATCCACACGACGACATGCACCTCATCATCTCGAACGACTGGAACGGGCTGAACAACGGCATCTTCCTGCTCCGCGTCAACAGGTGGAGCCTGGACCTCTTCGACTCCATCCTAGCCTATCGTCACTACAACCCGGATGTGAAGCTGCGGTTCACGGAGCAGAGCGCCATGGAACTCCTCCTCCAGGAAGAGAAGTTCAGACACAACGTGACTCTGGTGCCTCAGCACTGGATCAACCCGTACCCTGGCGACTTCCCAGAAGATGACGGCGTCAAGCTAGATTGGGAGTTCTTTGCGAGACCGGGGGACTTCTTGGTGCATTTCGCAGGGTACGAGGATCGTGACAAGTCGATGTTGCCCTGGCTTGATATCGCGGAGGAGAGAACGACCGGATGGGCCGCTGGGCCGACGGTGAGAAAGCTCGATTACGAGATTGCTGAATTTTGGCGCAAGCGGTTTTCGAAAGATCCTTGAACTCCTATCACTGTTTTCTCGCATGAAAATTGCGCTTGTATCATAACCCGCTTGCACTAGAGGTTGGATAGAACGTTGGCCCTTGGAAAAGCCTTTTGATTTTGACATGGACTGTTTTCGTATTTTCATTGATGAACGTTTTTGTAGATCCAGCCGTCTGAACAGTTTAGTATTTTCCCCGCCTAACGCATGAACAAAAGCACTCGTTGAAATTAATGGCGACTCATATGTGAGTGTGTTGTTGTGCTTCAAGCTGAACCTCCAAAACAGGTTGCAGCGTGCTCCTGGGTGCCAGACTAGAGACTCCAGAATCAGTGCTACCAGAGCAACGGCATGACCTTGTCATAAATCATATGGGGTTGAGAATGTTCGCATCGTTCTTCCGCTGGGGCAATCGGTAGGCTACTAACGCAGTCGCAGATTCAGCCGCACCTCACGTTCGAGATTAACCCCGTTCTTTGTGCCAAGTCATATCGGGCCGAAGCCCCCAAGCCATCAATACCAAGAAGACCGGTTTATAAGCACTGAGTTCCGAAGGGGCCCGAATGGTCATGCGGAATCGAGTGGGATTAAATGACACTACATGGAATCCACTGACGGAGGAAGCTCCATGTGTAATGCTCCAATCGATGATGTCTGGTGCACGAATATCCGCCGATCGTCCATCATGGTCTAATTGAAGGATTCCTTGTCTGTGGGCTTGGGGTCTCAGGGCTTGTACGCGGACATGGACCGCGGGTTCTGCTTCTTTCCTTGCATGAGATGATTCTCTTCTGGTGGATCAGTGCCGAATGCCCAGGTCGGCTTTCGTTTTCTCAGGATGGCAGTGTTGCTCACGGCTTTCGATCAGGTAGCCAGGTAACAATGGGCCTGCTGTCCTCATTATGTCTCACTTCAAAATAAATAATTTTCTGTGCTGCTCGGATCCCGAAATGTGTGCCTTTATGGAAGGAAGAGGAAGCAGAGCGTGTATCGACCCAGCCGCAAGTTGGGTTCTCTCGTTTGCGAAGCTCTCCAGCCGTTCTCGGCCAAGCAAGTAGTGAGTATTTCAGTTTAAGTTCAGCGTTGAAATGAGTCTGAATTATGAGCCGCTGTTACTGCAACCTGTCATACAACAAAATCTGACCAGCCAGTGGATTGACAGCAATAGTCGATGCAGTCACAGCTACGTTGAACTTACCCGGGAATTGGGTTTACTGGAATGCTTGTGGTTGTGTTAGGTCTCTGCTGCCCGGGCAGAAGATTGGTCTTTAGCTTCTGCACTAGTTCCACAAATGACAATGATATCGCGCAATTTTGCCTGTTTTCTGGAGACAGCTGGCCGGGCTGGGTTCGTTTGCCAAGAGTCTCTGGGTCGTTGGCGCGGTCGATAGCTCGGCGAATTCAGTCAGATGCCACCGTCCGGTGTGGACGGGCTGTCCCGACTCCCGAGTTTCACCGCATGGAGTCGTAGAGTGGACAGAATGAAGCAACAAGCAAAGTAAAATCTCGACGTCCTGTCCTAAAGGAGCAATATCTGTAGACACCACAGTGGACAATTCCTATCTCGACTGGCGACACGTCTCAAGAGCTATATGTTTTAGTGAACGGATGGCGATCTCCTGGAATATCTTGAAAAGTTTGAGAGACTCAGATTTCCTCCGGCGATGTTTTCGCCTTGACGTCATGTTTTATTCCGACTCCGGTTGCTTTCCGCTCTAACGGAGACGACAAAGCCCTGCCCCTGTAGTAACCCAGTACAATCTCTGACCTGCCTGCTCCATACTGGCTGTGATTGTATAATACCACGAGCGATCCATGGCTGAGAGCCAAGGCTTGTCGCTTGACAACTTAAGCCAAGCTCTTCGTTTCTCGTGTGCGACATTCCCCCGTATTCCATTTCCCTGCACGTATCTACCCGCCGCCACAGGCTTTTCATACCCGGCGGTCAACCCCTCCCACCATTCTCCTTGCTTTTAGCATGACAAAAGAACTAGAATCTGGGGGTTCAAGCACGACGCAACTCGAGCATATCAAGACTAACATGTCTTACACATACGACAACGAAAAGGGTTGGCGTCGCTGGAGGGTACTCCGACCAGGCCGGGGCATGTATCACGATGTCAAGAGAAGGTTACCCTATTACTTGAGCGACATTGCAGATGCCTGGACGTATCGAACAGTTGCGAGCACCATCCGGATGTACTTTGTGAAGTAAGTTGAAAACTTACCCTACACTGACGTTGTCGATCGCAAGCTGACGCGTCTAGTTTGCTTCCTGCCATAGCCTACACCCTGGACATGTACCGTCGGACCGGCGAGTTCTTCGGTATCAACGAGGCTCTCTTCTCCTCAGCGCTCGCGGCCGTCGTTTTCAGCATCTTCAGCGCCCAGCCCCTCACCATCGTCGGCGTCACGGGTCTGATCTCGCTCTTCAACTTTACCATATACGACATCATCAAGATATACGATGTTTCGATATACCCGCAGTTCATGGCTTGGACCGGTATCTGGGCAGCCATATTCCACTGGTTCGTAGCCATCTTCAACGCCTGCGATTATATGCGGTATGTCACCGACTTTTCGAGCGAATCGTTTGGCTTGTATGTCGGAATCATCTACATTAGTAAGTGCATGCATCTTACCATTGGGCATCAGGACCGACTTGCTTATAAGTTCATAGTCAAAGGAGTCGAAGAACTTGTAAACGAATTCAACGCTGAGGGCGGCGCTGCCGGATACTTGGCGTGTATGATTGCGATACTCTACTTCGCAACTGTCTATGGCCTTGAGAAGCTCGGGTCAAGCACTCTTTGGAAAGCAGGCTTTCGTGGTATTCTCGCAGACTATGCCTACGTCGTAAGTTCTCCCAACTTTTGCACATGGAGTCTTCGATTTGATCTAATTATTCTTGCCACAGTTCGCCACGGTGTTTTGGGTTGGCTTTTCCCACATACCCGGGACCTTGAAGAATACACACATCATGAGAGTTCCTATCGAAACTGCCTTCCATCCCACACAGCCTCGGAACTGGATCATCGACTTTTGGAATCTTGATGTCAAGTGGGTGTTTGTCGCCATGCCCTTTGGCTTCCTGGTGATGCTTCTATTCTACTACGACCATGTGAGCCTTCCTGAATTGCGTGCAAGAAGCTGCGCTGACCCTGAATGCCGCAGAATGTCAGCAGTATCACTGCTCAAGCCCGCCAGTTCCCGCTTCAAAAGCCCGGTGGCTTCCACTGGGACTTCTTTCTCCTAGGCTGCACGACCTTCGTTGCCGGCATCCTAGGCCTCCCGATGCCCAATGGATTGGTCCCACAAGCCCCAGTCCACACTGACTCTTTGACCGTGTACAAGACGAGTCTCAAGATAATTCCGACGTCTGAAGGAGAGGACACGGAGATCCGGCGACCCATTGTTGAAGCGACCCATGTCGTTGAACAGCGCATATCGCACCTGCTCATGGGCCTGGCCTTGATTGGAACCATGACGGGTCCTCTCCTCGTCGTGCTTCACACAATGCCTGCTGCTGTATTTGCCGGCGTTTTCTTCGTTGTCGGGGTAGGTACTTCGCAAAATCCCATCTACCTCCAAGTCGTTGCTGACGACACATTCTCGACAGTGGGGTTCCATCGAATCGAACGGCATTCTGGACAAATTCATGTTTCTCCAAGCCGAGAAACGCTTCATTCAACGTGACGAGCCCCTGTTAGAAGTTCGCCGCCGCAAGATATGGCTATACATTGCGCTTCAGTTCGTGGACGTCGCCGCTTGTGTGGCCATTTCCCATACTCTCGGGGCCATTGGCTTTCCGGTTTTGATAATCTTACTTATTCCCGCGAGGGTTGTTTTTGTTCCGAAGTGGTTCTCACAGAAAGAATTACAGACTTTGGATGACTTCACCGCGACGAATGAAATCGTTTTGGCAAGCCTCGGTGGCAAGCCAGGTCTTCCTAAGGGGTCTCGGGAGGAAGAGTGGGGTCTGGAGAGAAGGGCCAGTGAAGCTAAGCATGGCGTGCCGAGACAGAGAGCAGGAAGTCTGCACCGTTAATCAGGGCTCGGAAGGGGTTCGTGCACGAGTTGATGCTCGTTTAACAGTGATAGGCTCGTCTAATGGTGCTCTTAGGAGCAGGCTCAACTCGAAGCTGCCTAAATGCGTAGTCCAAGTTGTATCGCTCTCGTCAAGCGCGTTTGACAGCCCGTAGATTGGTAAATCACACTACGAAAATCGATTAGTATTACGTTCTCGCAGAATCCAGCAACAGAATCTACGTCGAATTATTCTCGAAGCAGAGTATGGCTTTGAAACCTTCTTGTTATGTAGACAAGTAATGAATACGGTAATTAATTGGGTTATCTCACACTAGACTGCACAGCCGCCTTCCGGTCCTGCCGGGGGTGTGTTATCCTCTGGTCTAGAATAGAATGCAACTGGTCATCAGGAAAAGCCTGCACGAGTCTTGTATGCATCTTGGCATGCAACGTAGTCAAGTTCTGACGAAGGTTGAAACCAACACCCAAATATATCTAGCCCGCGCCCTGGAATATGAACAGAAAGCTAAGCCTCCAATCTCTATCTGACGTATGCCTCACCTTCATATCATACCAACGATGAATTCCATTGATCAACGGCCCATCTACAACGAGCCACAGACACCGTCTCAGGAGAGCCAGCCTCCAACAAATTTCATGGCGGCAACAGCGAAGTCGACGAAATTGTTTCAGAAAGGAACTGCGATACCGTTATTAGCGCTCGCTCTGATGCTCGTCACCAAGCAGGCGGTCGACGTCTACGCCGGAGCAGCGATGGAGTTTCTGCGCACCAAAACTTTGTGGGGTTGGTTGGGATGTCTGAGCCTGCTGTATGTCACTGGATTGATAGGAGCCCTGGGTATTTGGGATTGTATGTCTGCAAGAGAAACAGAGGGAGATTTGGAGATGCAATAGGCTGTCTGAGGCTCGATCAGGAAATGACTCTCACAGATGCGGTGGGAATCCTGCGTCTGGCTACGTATGTTTTCATTGGGCATGTAAAAGATTGTTGTCGCTAACTCAAGGTCTAAAATAGAGCTGCGAGCGTAAAGAAATCTCAGAAGCTCCAGCTGCATGGACCCAATCCATCTACAGTACTCCGCCAAATATTCAACCACTATCCTTTCATACGAGCAATTCATCGATTGATATTCGTTGAAGAGTCACCGCAGCAAGCTCACCGTGATGACTTGAGTGCTTCCAAGAGTTACAAGAGACATAACAGCGTGGTCAGTCAGATCTAATCGACTTCTTTCCGAGGAACGTTGAAAGGCGAGTCCCGCCCGGTGTACAGGAAGGCATCATACACGCTGGCACCCAAAAGACCGCCGGTAATAGCGGCGCCCCATGGGGCCCAAAGCCAATAGAAATGATCATGGCTGAAGACATCAGCGTAACCGACTAGAGCCAACGCAATACGCGGGCCGGTATCGCGAGCCCCGTTCATGGCGTAGCCCGTGTTGATGCCCAGGGCGGAGCCAATAGCCAAGAGCGCCAGGAACATGGCAAAGGGCTGAGTTCCCTTGGGCGGAGCCAAGTTGTTCTTGTCAGCCAGCGCGAAGACGATCGCGATCAGCACGGCGGAGGCGAGGAACTCGGTGTAGAAGGCACCAAGATAGGGCAGGCCGGCCGCGGGAAAAGTGAAGAACAGGCCGGCCGTGGCCCGGGTGCGTTCATCGCCGCCCTCATAAGCGGCAATGCTAGTCGCGTAGTTGAGGTAAACGGCAAGACTTGCGACCGTCGCGCCCAGAACCTGTGAGATGAGAAAGCCGGGGACCTTGCGCCAGGGAAACCCGCGGAACAGGGCCAGGACTATCGTTACGGTAGGGTTGCAGTGGCCACCCGAGACGCCTCCTAAAGATGTCTTCAACAAACAATCGACAGCTGGAAACTTGCGGCGTTTCTCTTACCTGACATCCAACCCGCCAAAGCAACACCAGCCGCCCAGGCAAGCCGGCACTGCAAGAAGTCACCAGCATTATCACCGATGTTGGGACCTCGGAAGTTCAACCGCGTCTCGCACTCGACGCCGGCCCCGAAGACCAAGATCATGAACGTGCCCCAGAACTCACTATGCATATGAATGTATGCGGTCAGTTCCCGGAGTTCTCTGGCCACAGAAGCTTGAGGATATGTCTGGGCAGGAGTACTCACGCGAATTCTTCGCGCCAATAGTGGCGGATCTGGGCCCAAGTGTTGGGAGGCCTATCGCTCAGTGCCCATTGGGGCTTGTGCAGGCGCGTCTCCTGGTGCGCGGGAACAGGGGCGGCCGGCAGCACGGGTTCGACGTCTTCGTGATGCGGGTGAACCTCCTGCAGCGAAGCGCGACGAACGGCCAGAGGGGAGACGCGCCGGCGACCGATGAACGAGGGTAGTTGAAACGTGTTTGTGCGTCGCGGTTGATGTCCGAGGAGTGGCTCGCCTTCGCCGGGATCGTGAATTGAAGATGCGGGCGACATAGCTAATCTCTTGCAAGTTTGGTGCTGAATAGAACCCAACGTTGACGTGGCAGGCTAAACGCTCATGTGAAGGGCAATTGAATTCGAAGCCAAAGATGGAAGTTTGCTGATAGCACGAGCAGGAGGTAGGTGGTGAGGCATAAATCGATATCAAAAAACAAAAACAAGGCGTGATGATCCACGGCATGCTTGTCTCTGCGTACTGTATTGATTCATTAGATCGCGAACTTTCCTACTATGTGGTTCCAGAAACGCGATGCTGATTTGACGAAGCATGGAATCTCTGGTGTTTTCTGTGGATTCTCTCGCTATTCTTGTCTCAAAAGTGGAAACGATAGTCGAGTCGTTGCCGCCATTGCGCTTATCTGTCACGAATAATTATGGAGTAGATAAAGGGGCGGTCAGCTAGCTGAACTTTCGACAGCGTTTGGATATCGCCCTCAAGCCAAGGGTATCATGAAGGTGGATGAACCACATCTCACTCATAGCACCAACCAAAAGCCCGACCGGGAAGTCCGTCAGCTGCGGATGCGGTTGTCGAGATTTCCGCCGGCTGTGGCAAACGCCATAGGTGGGGTTCGGCCGTGTTGTCCGCTCTCGGTGGGACCGGTGGGGTCGGCTCCGAATCGGGCCTTGGGTCCATATTTCCCGGTCCATGCTTCCGGGTCGCTTGCAGTCATTTTCTCGTGCAACCTATATACAGACGGCGAAGAAAGTGTTTTTCGCAGTGGTGCCTGGCTCATGACCTTGGTTTTAATTTTCTATCATAGCCAATCATCTAAGAGGGGATTGAAACGAAGAGTACCAGAGTAAGAACACTGCTGGCTCCGAGCCAACGCTCATCGAGTTTCCTTCGTGATTAGAAGTCGGCCCTAAAGAAACGGAACGAGTCGTCGAACGAACGCCCCGAAAAGGCCATAGAGAAGAAAAGCCCTTAGGTTCATTCCAATTCTTCGAGTTAGCGATCGTTTTGATGCAGGTTCATGAACACTGGTACGTGGTACTGTTATATAAGATGGGACGGCTGCGCATCGATCAGCGAAACAATCAAACTGTCATATTCTGCGAAATCTCCTTGGGCACCGTGGGAAAGAATCAAATAATTTCAAAGTGAACCAGCCGAGGAGTTCGACTACCGAGATGCACAATATTTTCCCACCAGACTAAAAGTTGCTTGATGCGAGCCATTTGTTTTGTAAATGGTTGAGACGAGCAACCCAGGAGGTCTTGGTTCCGCTGATTCAAACAACTGGTTGTTCCGACCGGCTAGAGCCGAGGGAATCATTCCAGACTACCACATGCCATTACAAGCCATGAGATTGAGTCTAACGATCACATACATAATGCTACATGGACACGTTACCGAGCGATGATCAGCCGCTACCAGACTCTTCAGGCCGAAGCGGGACGCATGAAAACAATTAGGCTCTCATTGTCGTGAACCTCGGCAAACATCATAACGCCTGGCATCAGCTCATGCATGATCCAAGAGTTGCAGCCAAGGAAGACGAATTGTGTCATTGACAACAACAAGCCGCCTGTATTCAAAGCCAAGCCAAACCCATGCTATTTTAACATGGAAGCACTCTCAGAAGCTCGCAGAATCCAACAATTCACCCTGCCAAATGGCACGTGAACTCTCAATTTTTGGGCAACCCCGGGCAGTTCCGAGCATTCAACTCCATCCCATTGGCGCGCATCCTGGTGATCTCGGCAACTAGTGATGAACCTTGACCAGGACCACCCCCACACGAACCCCAGATCTCGACGGCATCGAGGCCACAAACGCGGGGAGGGTAGCATTGCTCTCGGTCGAGCTTTCAGCCGACCCAGCGGCCCTTTTCTCCCATGCAAAATGAGGTCACGTTATTAGTCGCGCGAAAATAAAACACAGACGCGCCAATGATCACGATGTCGTACCTGCACACACCACCGCCGGCTAACCCAAACACGGCCAGTCCACCGTCTCGAGGTGGGTTCTCGTCATCGACTTACGAGTCACGAAGCCATGGGAAGCTTGGCTCCGCCGGCTCTGAGCTGTTCGTGATGGTCTTGACTGACGCTGCCAAGGCGCAAAAATTGTCAATTGCCCCGTCTCTGGGCTTCAATCGCGAGATATATAAGTTACCCCGCCATGAGGACGTCGTAGTGTGATGCTACTCTCTCAAGGCATCTGACATTTCCCACGTCGGCCTCCCTGCATCCTCTCGGCTCAGTCGGTTGACTTCGCAAACGATCGAAAAATGAAGTTCCTCGGTGCCGCCGTCGCTGGCATCGCCAGTCTGCTGTCTCTCCAAGCGGCCGCAAGCCCCGTCCCGACGCCCGTCGAGGCGCGCCAGGCCTCCGGGACCATCTCGAACAAGGTCATCTTCTCCCCGCCCTCGAACGCCGGCTGGGTCGACCCGCGCGTCCTCTACGCCCGGACTATTCAATTGAGCTCCGGCGACTTGATCGCGACCTGGGAGAACTACTCCCCGGAGCCTCCCATCGTCTACTTCCCCGTCTACCGCTCGTCCGACGGCGGCAACAACTGGTCTGAGATCGGCCGCGTCCAGGACACCGTCAACGGCTGGGGCCTGCGCTACCAGCCGTTCCTCTACGAGCTCCCCTCTGCCTTTGGTGGTTACCCCGCCGGTACTATCCTGCTGGCCGGTAACAGCATCCCGACGGACCTCAGTCTCACCAAGATCGATGTCTACGCCAGTACCGATGGTGGTGCTACCTGGGAGTTCCTGAGCAGCGTCGCCAGCGGTGGTGAGGCCCTTCCCAACAACGGCCTCACTCCCGTGTGGGAACCTCACTTCCTGTAAGCCCAAATCCAATCTCCAAAGCCCTTCGTGTGGAACATTCGCTGACAACCTCTCTCTTTAAGGCTCTACGATGGCCAGCTCATCATCTACTACGCCGACCAGCGCGACCCCAAGTACGGCCAGAAGCTCACCCACCAGGTCACCACGGACCTCAAGTCCTGGAGCGACCCCGTCGACGACGTCAACGACCCCAACGCCTACGAGGCCCGCCCCGGCATGCCCGTCATCGCCAAGCTGCCCAACGACGACTACATCTACGCCTACGAGGTCTGCGGCACCGACGGCTGCCGCGTGCACTACCGCCTGACCAAGGACCCCCTCAACATCCTCGCCGCCGCGGGCGTCCCCCTGGTCTCCGACCGGGGGACCCGCCCCGTCAGCTCGCCCTACGTCGTCTGGACCCCGCTCGGCGGCGAGAACGGCACCATCGTCCTCAGCGCCGGGAGCCAGTCCAACATCTTCGTCAACCAGAAGCTCGGCGACGCCGGCGCCTGGGTCGAGTACGCCGTTCCCCAGCCCAACGCGTACTCTCGCGCCCTCGCGATCCTCGGCGACGGGAGCGAGCTTGCCATCATCGGTGCTGGTAGATTGCCCCCTAGCAGCACCAACCAGGTCAGCATCAGCGTTGTCGACCTCAACGCCCTGCTTGGACTGTAAATAATGTGTATATGTCATATATCATAATCGCAACATAATTGAACGCATCATGAAACTGTAGGATATCAGTGACCGAACATCATAATTCGGGGGTGCCTCTACATGTATTCCACTTTCCGCAGTGTACAGCCCAGGTCGTCTGACCCAGCGAGAACTCGCAGCAACCGATATCTCAGCCTCTGGCCGGTACTTCACCAAGGAAGTGCAACAGCCACGCCCACCAGCGCAGCAAGCGTCCAAGCAGTAGCCAACACGCCGACCCCGCCGCCCGCGGTCGTCATCCTCCAGCCCTGCGCGGCGCTCGGCGACGTCTCCGTCGGACCAGCAGCGCCACTGCCCGTCTCCCCCGCCTCGCGGTACACCAAAGTAACCGCCGCTCTGCCCTCGAACGCCCCCATGTCATTTGTTTTCACTTCCTCAGGTCCGAATGTCTCCGTTTTCGTGGTATAGTAGGAAATACTGCCTCCGGTGTAGGAGATGACTTCGCCCGCGACGACGGTGTGGTTGTAGGTGAACGTCGCGTTCACGGTGGCAACGTCTCCAAAGTCTCTTTGGTAGGCTGAGTAGCACGCCGTGATGGGATCGCCGTACACCGAGAACGGCACGGGCGAGTAGCACCCGTCTACCCGTCCGGCTTCGAAGTTTCTATGAGCAGCATTCAATTAGTCTATCCTCCGCGCTCTATAAGAATCGATCAGACCGTCGGACTTACTCGGGACAGCACACCACCGCCGTCTCGCCGGCATCGAGCGCTTCCATGAAGATGTTTTCCACCGGGTTCATACGCGGTTCGCGACCCAGGCTATCGCCCGCCGTCCACACGGGAGGCACGTAGAGACCCGACGAGCTGACCTTGCCGTCGCCGTCCTTGGCAGCCACGCCGACCGTGGTGTGGCCGTCCGGGCAGACGCTGGCGGGAGATAGGTAGTACAGGGTTCCGTGGTTGTTCAGGGACGGCGAGCTCCGGAACGAAGCCCTTCCGTCGTCGATCGCCTTGCCGGAGGGGAAGCAGTCGCCGAGCGCGTATTTCTCGCAGTCCCGGCCGTAGAACGGCAGGACGCCCGGCACGTTCGTGAAGGCCAGGAAGAGCTGGGGGCTGGCGGTGGCGCACGACGCGGGTGGCGTGAAGACCGTTGTCATGGGCCCGAGGTTGGAGAGGACCACCTGCGAGACCTCTGTTGCTGAAGGCATCTTGATGTCGGGCTTGGTATGTGTTGTTCAGGAGGAACTTAGTTAGCACTTTCGCAAATGAATCCAGAAATCATGAGAAGATGTCGGAAAAGATTGAATTGCAGGGTATTCGTTTACCTCGAAAGTCGGATGATGTTCCTTTTGACTACAAAATAAGCGCGGAGTGGTGGATCCTCCCGGGCGAAGGGCGCAGCTTATGCAGCACCATTTCGGATGGTAACCCAATGATTTTCTCAGTCAGATAGACCGGGCAATATGGCTGGACATGGGTAAAGGCAGTGATCGGGCGAAAGTGTCTCGTCACCTGGCGTCAATCGCACCTTTTGTTTGGACCACCAGCTGCTGTGCCACACTAAAGCTCTCGTCTAGCGTCGATTGCATCTTGGCTGTCAGTTCATGCATAACAACCAGTTGATTCGGTTCTCGGTGACAGCTTTCCTCGAGGATGAAGAGCTCATGGTGGGCTCATTCTAGACTTGATTGGTGGCAATGCTCAGCTTTCATTATAACACGAAGACATACCTAGTGCTTGATATCCTTTTCTTACAGGCCAGGCGTGCTGATTCTTCCACTCCTCCAAAACGCCAAGCAAGGCTGTTCTCTCCCACGGATCATTAAAGTAATCACCATACAGCATGATTCCTATACCAGCAGTGGTTAGATTGGGCGGGGCTCTGAGATGATGTAGTGCGAGGCCGCAGAGCTCGAGGATCATGGCCCGGACTTGGTGTTCCGCATCTCGCTGTAAGCGTCTGTTGGACCCCTGCCCACTAAATGTCCAAGTTAGCTTTCCGGTAGGTAAGACACCGAGGGAATAGTATAAGGAAAATCCCAAGGTAGAGTCGCGAAGGCTTCGGGGGCAAGGGGGTTTGACGTACTGCAAATGAGGATCTTCGGCGATCAAAATCATTCTTGCCAAGATGAAGTGTTGCAAGGCGGTGACCTCGATGTCTGAAGCGTACCAGACAAGTGGAAAGATTTCACCTCGAGATCGATCTGCCGGTCGTTGGATGATCGGTGTGAACTCCCGGTTGGACTCGAGGATCAATGCCTCTTCCTCACTCTTCAACCTCCCTTGGGAATGTCAGCGACCTTCGTTGAATCGTGTCACCAGCCTGGCTTAGTTGAGACGATACGCGCGGGGGAGCTTACCCCATTCATCTTCAGTCTTATCCCCCATCTTCCACTTGGTCACTTCGGACATGAACCAAATAAGCTTGTTGGCGAAACAAGCTTCTCCGTCCACATTTGGCGGCTGCGCCGAGATCTGCGGCGACCGCTCCAGCGTCAGGGCGAAGTAGATCTCCTGCCTCACCGCGACCCAGTACACAGCGCCCAGCAGCCCCGACCACCTCGACGGGGCAGCTCGCAATATCGCCTTGGTGATGTCGAGGAAGTTGACGTTCCCGTTGCCTCCCCCAAAGTCCGAGCTCGTCGCGCTCTGGGCCTCTTCCGGGTCCATCTCCTCGAACTGGCGGAGTATCAGCGCCGCCGCGGCCAGGTTCTCGCGGTACTCCTCGTCCTCCGTCCGGGACACCTCGTGGAGGGCGGGTATGCAGCGGAGCATGTACTCGATGGCGCTCTGGGTCGTGAGGTCCGGCAGGGCCTGATTCTGGTACGTGATGACGCCGCCGGGCTCCGTCCGGAACTTGGGATGCCGGCACAGGTGGCGAGCCGCCACGGCCATTATCGCGTTGCGGAGGGGCTGGCAGGAGCGCGCGCGCCGGCAGACCACGAGTTGGAAATGTCTCTCCTCGTCACACAGGTCAAACTACACCAAACGGTTAACAACCCGACTCTTAAGCCGAACAACTGTGAGGCACGTAACCCATTGAGAGAGCTCCTCCACGAAGTATCGCAAGAGGCAAGCTTCCTGAACGCCGTCGTTCGATCTCACGACGCGCAGGACAGCGACTGGATGATATTCGGAGTTGGAATGGTGAAAGCTGTCCGTCGAGGGCGAGAAATGGTCTACGCTGACGGCGTGACTCGTGGGTTGCGGACTAGGTATCGGTAATTCATCATCTCGGGGGCGGACTCTACCTGTTGGTAGAGCATTTGTTGACCAGGGAGACGCGCCGGAGGTTCCAGAGCCCGAGGGCGACGCAGGAAGGAATGAGGCGCCATCATGAGGTGCCGGCTCCGTCCTTCGTCGCTTGGGCGGTGTGGGTAGCGGATGAGCTTCTTCAAATCTGCTTTCGTGACTCAAAGTGTCGGTCCTGTCCGAGATGTTGCGAACCGCTTCGTGCAGTACGCTGCTCACGGCGTTTCTGTCTGACAGGGTAGCAGCAGTGCTGTTTGGGGAGACATTGCTGCTGTCTTGAGATTGAGGTGGTGCGCTGGTCTTGTTGTTGCCCCGGCTGTCAAAACGAACTTTGTTATGATGGCATCAGCAACCTTGAAGCTCGAGACTGTCGACTCTTTCAGCTGAAACAAGAATGCTTACATGCTCTGGGCTTACTATTGACCCATCTCTGGTCCCTTGAAAAAGCACCTTCGTAGTTGGCGGCTGAGCCTTGACGGAAAGAGGGTCTTCGTTCGGGGCGATGGCACTCGACGCCGCGTTTCTCGCATCTGCTGCACCGTGGCTGCTGGTCATCGCCTGAGCGCAGAGGTCAGAATCAAGACATTGCAAAGACAGAGGCTCCAGATCAGCCATCAAGTGTCGCAGGCCGGAGCCAATGCCGGGCGCCATGTCGGCATTCGGTCAATCCATGCCCGGGGAAGGCCTCCGGCTGCAGGAAACGACTGCGGGACTTACACTTCTCATGTCTCTCTGCAGAAGATTGACGTCAGACTAGTGGAACCTATGAAAAGGTCACGCGGACCAGATCAGGAACACGCAGAAACACACATACCTTTGCATCTCGCGCAGGGCTTCGTGCCGCTTGGCATCTCCTGTGGGGGTACCGGGGAGCCGTGCGGTTCACGCCACGATTCCGGTTCTTGCTGACGCAGTGGGTATGTCGTCGGCGATGTGGAATGACACGCGCTGCTGACGCGGGACAGGAATTCTCAGTCGAACTCGCTTTGGAAGGTGTCGCCTAGCTTGCGTAGGGTTGATTGACGTCGGTAAGCGTGGCCGGGAGCTGGGATAGGCGGACGAGAGGGAAGAGGAAGAGAGGAGGCGGAGAAGCTTCATCGGCGAAGCTTGCTGAAAGAGGTAATTCTCGGGAAGAAGAACGAGGATATATGTGGAGACGGCTGCTGTCGTTGCTTTCTCGCCCGATGTATCCGCCCGCCCCGTCGAAACGTAACCAGCAAGCTCGGGTTATGAAGACGTGCATCAAGCATCGGAGAGAAGAAGAGATAACTCGGCGTGTTTCTTCATAGAATTAGGACCAACTGGTCTTATGTGTCCAGTTTACCCCGCACACTGCCCTCGCCGTCCCCCGCAAAACCACCGGCCGGCCCCAACGCCGACATAAACCTGGGGCAGCTTGGTGGGAATTACTCATTGTGGTAGGTGGCGCCGATGGGAGATCCCGAGCATCTTGTTTCGAAAGCGGTTTGGACAGCTTTGCGAAACTCCAGACCGCCGAGAGACGAGATGGCATTCGGCATCTTGGGAGTTCAGACCGCTTCAGCAACTCAGCCTGCAGATATTCAGTCAAAAAATACCGAGAGCGGAAGGCGGCCCCGATGATAAAATAGCCTGTCCAAGGTCCTTGAGCTACAGAAGCTGTCCATCACGCTGCTATTCTCCATCATTACCCACGACGAACTCAGAAGAATTCTGAGCTTTTCATTCCCGAGCTATATTCTTTTAAGTTCATTCAAATCATACAACTAAACGCAAACATGTCAGGGGAGAAGCTCAACGTCGCCGTCGCCGGCCTTGGTCGTATGGGTAGGTGTTCTGTCGCGCCCCTCTCAGCTGAACTTCAAAGCTCTAGGAGCTTCCGCGAAGGAAGCTGGAGAGTTCACAAGCAGACAATCAGCTCTTATGACCGTTGTTGCTCACTCGATCAACAGGTTTGCGACATGCCAGACACTTTGCGACCCTTACCCCGAAAGCCAACCTCATTGCCGTCAGCTCACCAGTGCAAGCCGAGCTCGATGCCGCCATCGCAGAATTTGGCCCTTTGAGAACATACCTCGACTACGATGAAATGCTTCGCAAGGAGTCGACACTGCAGGCAGTCATCGTTGCGAGCGCGACCACAGTCCACGCTGAGCAGGCCATCAAGGCCATCGAGAAAGGCCTGCATGTTCTCTGCGAAAAGCCATTGAGCACAAACGTTGATATCGTATGTTCATGTCACCTTTTTGTTGTCGCATTTACTATCGATCCAAGGCTCGAGTTGCTGACCACCCACCCAATGTCACAGTCGCAATCCGTTGTCGACGCCTATGAGAAGTCGCTTGTCAAGAACCCCAACCAGAAGGTGATTTGCGGCTTCTCCCGCCGGTTCGACGCTTCATACCGAGACGCGTACCAGAGGGTCGCGCGTGGTGACGTCGGCACGCCCTCCGTCTTCCGCTCTCAGACGTGCGACAAGCTCGACCCCTCAGGTTTCTTCGTCGACTATGCCGAGTTTAGTGGCGGGATCTTTGTAGACTGCTCCATCCACGATATTGACCTGGCCCTGTGGTTCTTCGGCGAAGACAGCGTCGTCAAGAGCGTTGCCGCAATCGGCATTACTGCCGTGCAAGAGGGTCTGAGGAAGCACAACGACAGAGACAACGCAGTCGCTATTGTTGAGTTCTACGTAAGCCAGTTATCAGCGCTATTGCAACTTAAACTCGACTAATCATATAATAAAATATAGGGCGGCAAGATCGCGCAGCTCTTCTGCTCCCGCATGATGGCCGCGGGCCAGGAGGACACGACCGAGATCTTCGGTACCAACGGCAAGGTGGCGGTCAACACGCAGCCGCAGCTCAACCTCGTCAACTTGTACGAGCCGACGGGCATCCGCCGCGAGATCCCCCCCGACTACTACGGCCGTTTCCGCGAGGCCTTCATCACGGAAGCGAACGAGTTCACGGCCTGCTGCCTGAACAACACGCCGCCGCCGATGAAGCTCGTCGGTGCGGTGAACGCCGTCAAGATCGGCTGCGCCCTGCAGGAGAGCTTGATCACGGGCAAAAAGATCGAGTTCGACGAGTCGGGCAAGCGTGTTGAGCTTGCGCGCTTGTAGACGGCTGTAGATGGTGACGAAGCAGGGAAAAAGGTTATGATGATGGTTTAGATCTTGATTCGTTGCATATTCTAGACATGTGGGGGATTATGGCAATAGCTGGTCATGAGGATAGATACATACACGTTAGAATAGAAAACAACGTGTTTCTTCGTCATGGTCACGCCCCTTGCCAATACGCCTGCCCGGACAGTTTCCGTGGTCACGAGATTGATAGTTGGCGGATTCCCTTGCCTTCTTTTTTTGATTCGTTGGTGTTCTTGTGTGTTCTATCCGCGGTGCTGCGCGCGCAATCTTATCGTGACTGGGTCGTTAATGACGTAGGAGCAAGGCCCCTGGTCAGTCATGTCGGTGAGCTGATGATCAAAAGATGAGGCTCAATGAATCTTTTTAGCCATGTCCCAATATTGAGGTCTCAGACCCATCCGCTGGGGTGTTTTGAGCGAATCGAGTGACATGTAAGTTGACTGATGTGAGGTTTTTGGTTCCCTTGATGACCGGCAACGGCGAATAGGGAAATTGCCTATTCGGGAGGATACTCACGCGAACGGGATCGGAGGAGGGATTGTCCTTGGCGCCGCGCTGTTCCTGAACATTTCGAAATTCCCTGATTAGATTGTGCATAGAAGCCGCAACTTGCAAAAGGGAAAACGCTCCTAGCAAAACCGCATTATCCCAAACTTGACCAAGTCATCCCGAGCTCTCTGCTATTTAGCTGTGGGATTCCCCTTCCTTTTGAGTCTCGTAGAAGCATTGAAACGGCTTGTCATCGGATCTGGAATCCCGCGGGTTATGCCGATCAATGCTCGATTGGATGTGCACGCTCAAGCGATTCCCGAGGGTTATGAGCTTGGCTCTGTCTGGCTGTTCACATTCAACAATCAGAACCTACGGAATCCTCACGCCGGCGCGGGAGTCCATCCCCGATTCACCCCGGCCCTCGGCAATCAATGAGTGATGGGGCCCATGTCGTCATAGCCAATTCATAGGAGACCAGCACCGTCTAGGAGACATAATTTCCCCCAGCTTCCACGACTCGATCACGGCTTATTCCCAGCTGCTGCGACCCGCGCGGGCTATCTTTATTCCCCCGGGCCCTGCACAAGAACGTCCCAAATCATCCCAACTCAGCCAACCAAGTGCCCCTGTTCGGGTCCTCGGGCGTCTCAGAATTCACAGAGTGATGTGGAACGCCATACTAAGAATGGCCGCTAGTGTAACAGGCGACCGGGGTCACGAAGCCGCAAAGCCTCCAACCTCATCGCCGACGGGTTCCCGAAAAGGAAACACTTCGGACACAAACCCGCTGTCATGACGCCCAGCTGGAGTCCAGCGCCGGTGGGATGAATTTCTGTCATTCAATCAACCAACCAGTTCCCCCTGTTGCCATTGCTTTACCCTCATTTGTTCACCATGTCCAGACCGAACAGTTCTCTCGCCTCCACTCAGCCGAAGTAGTCTCTCTTTCGCCGAAGGTTTACCTCATCTCCACAAATGCTCTCTTCCCCGTGGGGGAGGACGCATTTGCGTGTTCCACTCCCACGGTGGAGATGGTGAAATGCTGGGGTCAAGTCTCTCCGTACGTAGGTAGCCATCGCCGGAACATGACAGAAGCCTGGCACGCATACCTTTGACGCCCTCCCGCTATCACGTACCCCCTGGTCTGTACACAGATGGGTCCCGTCCGTAGTCCAAGAAATCCGGTTCTTCCCACCCTCAGTGACTCTCAACACCAAGTTCTTGTCATGACTATATAAGAGTTACTCCGTCTCACCTGACTTCGGAATTCGTCTCATCCCAACCACGCTTTGTCCTTCATCCTTTGCCGGATCCAACCTTCTGCGGTGTAACTCTATTGGCAACCGTCCCATCTCACTATCACATACCATCCACCACTTCCTCCTCCAGTAGTGCAGTAGTGTAACAACAAACCACGACGACCATCATGTCAACCAGTCCGGAATCAAACACCCTCAAAAAGGTCTCGAGCATCGACAATGCTCATGGCGAGCACGTCGAGGACTTCATCGACACGGTCGAGATCAGCCTCAACCCCGCCGAGGATGTCTCGTACGGCCGCGGCGGTGTCCGCGGCCTCTTTGACTCCCCCTTTGTTGGTGGCGCCGCCCTCCTGGCGTCCTTGGGAGGGTTTTCTTTTGGCTATGATCAAGGCGTCATCTCCATCATCAATGTGATGGAGCAATTCCATGCTGTCTTCCCCGACGCGGCCACGCCCTTCGGTAAGGGCTTCATGACGGGCATGCTTGAGTTTGGTGCTTTTCTCGGCTGCCTTTTCATGCCGACCCTCGCCGATAAGATCTCACGAAAGCGGGCGTTGACTGTTGTCGTGGTGATTTTCAACATCGGTGCTATTATGCAGACTGCGGCCCGGTCTTATGGAGTGTTAGTTGCCGGCCGCACTATCGGCGGTATTGGAGTGGGAACGTTGGCAATGGTGAGTTCACCCCTGAGAGACCAGAACAAACAGTCAAAGAGTGAACAGAGTCCTAACAACATGTTTCAAAGGGATCGCCAATCTACATCTCCGAAATTGCCCCGCCGAATCTGCGAGGCACTCTCCTCGTCCTCGAATCCATCTCCATCGTTACCGGCGTCGTTATCAGCTTCTTCATCACGTACGGCACTCGTCACATGACCGGAGAGGTATCTTTCCGTCTTCCCCTCGGTCTGCAGATGGTCTGCTCAACCCTGCTTGGCATTGGCATCAACTTCTACCCCTATTCCCCGCGTTGGCTCGCCCTAGTCAACCGACCACAGGAAGCACTACAGTCGCTCAGCCGCCTCCGCCGCCTTCCTGCAGATGACCACCGCGTCCAGGCCGAGCACAGAGGTATTGTTTCTGAAGTAGAGGTCCAGAAGATCGTACAGGAGCGCAACCATCCCGGGAAGAGCTTCATCGGCCTCGAATTCGCCGGCTGGTGCGATCTCTTCAGCAAGAAGCTCTGGCGCCGCACCGCAGTCGCGCTCGGGATCGCTTTCTTCCAACAATTCAGTGGTATCAATGCGTTCATTTACTACGCTCCTACGCTGTTTCAATCCCTGGGACAGTCCGAGGAGATGTCCCTCATCATGTCCGGCGTCTTCAACATCCTACAGCTCGTTGCGGTGGCGGCATGCTTCTTCATCATCGATAAAGTGGGCCGCCGGCCGCTCGCAATCTTCGGAGGAATCGGAGGCGGTACGGCCTGGGCCATTATGGCTATCCTCACGGGGGTCTACTCCAAAGACTGGGCCGCGAACCCCGGGGCCGGTTGGGGAGCGGTTGCCATGGCCTTCCTCTTCGTTCTGCTCTACGGCATCTCCTACTCTCCCCTGGGCTGGATTCTCGCCGCGGAGGTCTACCCGAACTCCCACCGATCAAAGGGTGTTGCCCTAGGCACTGCCACCGTCTGGTTGTGCAACTTTATTGTCGGTGTGGCGACGCCGCCTATGATTGACCAACTTGGCTTCGGCACCTACGTCTTCTTCGGCGCTTGGTGCTTCCTCGCTTCCGTGTGGGCCTTCTACTTGGTCCCGGAGACTAAGGGAAAGACTCTGGAGCAGATGGACGAGGTCTTTAAGGATACCTCTGCTCAGGAGGAGAAGGAGATTATCAGGCAGCAGATTGCCGCTTCCCGCGGGCTATCACGGGGTGGTATGGAGAGCACAAAGCTCTCCGTTTGATTCATTTGAGTGATATCATTGGGGCATTGCATTTGCAGTACTTTGGGGCGGCGTAGGTGTTTTGTTACGGAGTGTATTTTGTACTATCAGCTGAGATCATGGGACACGGGATACGAATCAAGAGATACCACTTTGAACCACGAACAAAATTCTGCCTATTTGATTCGATGTGAAGCTCAAGGTGCTTGTTAGGCGATCCCGATTATTTGAAATGGACTTCAACGGAAACGACGAAGAGACGAAGAGTCTGGAGGATGGTCTCCAACACTTGGAAGAGGTTCAAGATTTCCGAGGTGCGGAAGCGCAAGTAAAGTGAGATCCGCTTGCCCGCAGATCACCTTTTCGGAGGCAACACGAGTAAGCTGTCAGACACAGGGCGACATACGCTAACAATCAGACAAGGAAAGCATAGAATAGACATGACTCGGGGTTCCAATTTTGACAGAGGTCTTCTGCGTGCCGTATCCCGTGGCAAAAGCCTTGGGACAAGAACCAGCCAGAGACGTTCAACAGAATTGCGGCGCCAAGGACGAATTAAGAAACGCAGTCACAATGAGGGGGAAAGTAAGGCTTTAGCAAGCGCCGCTTACAACGCGCCAACCGTCATTGGCAAATGGATGCTGAAACGCTGCAGCTGAGGCAACTCGCCTGCCAGCATCAAGCATCTTGGCCGAATTACCTCTTTCGGCAGGCTTCGCCGATGGACTCGGCGGATCGACGCTCGCCCGGACCCTCTTCCCCTGCCCCATCCTTTTCCCCTCATCTCCTCCGCACGCGGCCTCGATCATGCATGGGCGGCCCGGACGCGGGGCGAATGCGGAGGCACCGAATAATGACCGAAGCCAACTCCAAACGACTTGCGCTGGATGGCACCCCCGGTTTCCCTGTTCCCCCAGATAACCCGCAAAATGAGGTTAGATGTGTTACCTTTCACTCTTTCCCCCAAAGTTGGAGAGGAGGGACGGGATGACACTTCTGCGGGGTCAGACTCGCGGGTTCTCTTTCCTTGTTGTCTGAATGTGGTTGTGCTGGCCCGAAGTTCAGGGTTGGGACGACACCGGTGGGATACGTCGCGATGCTTCACCTTCGCGTCGTTTTGTACGAATTTGTTTGAAGGGGAATCATGAACGCGAAGTTGGGATGGTAGAAGGCATCACATTTGCCTCAAGACGATGCCCAAATCCACAAGATGTTCCCGATATTGCTACTTACGATGGAGTATTAATAGGCTGAAAGCCGTCAGTCCAAGATGAAGAAATCTCGTCAGAATATCACGCCGCTAGCTCAACACAAGGACACACATACAAGTCCTATTGGGTCCAGTAACACATAATTCGAGTCGATTGCAATCATGGAACCCCTCAGAATCGCCGTAGCAGGCCTCGGCCGCATGGTAAGAACGTTTTCAACTCACATCAGACAACAAAGTCATTAACATCACTCAGGGCCGCCGCCATGTTCAAAACCTCATCTACCGCGTCCCTCGCGCTTCTGTTGTCGCCGTCTGCAGCACTGAACCCCACGAGCTGGAGTGGGCAAATGCCTTTGAGGAGTACAAGGAATTCAATGTCAAGGTTTACAGCTCCTACGATGAGATGCTCAAGCACCCCGGCCTCCAGGCCGTGTGGATCTCAACCAGTACCGACGTCCATGCCATCCAGACCTTGGGCGCCATCAAGGCCGGAAAGCACGTCCTGTGTGAGAAGCCACTGAGTACAAAGATGGAAGAGGTATACACCCTTCAACAGTATTGATCTGAACCAGCTTCGGGTGAAGATTGAAATGGCTGACAGGCGTGTTCGCGTTACAGATCGCCGAGGTCGTAGCCGCGGCCAAGGCTCACCCTGAACTCAAGGTCATGGCCGGCTTCTCCCGCCGCTTCGACGCCTCGTACCGCGACGCGGCGACCAAGATCTTTGACAAAAACGCCATCGGGAGCCCTTTCATCGTGCGCTCAAACACGTGCGACCTCCTCGACGACACGGGCTTCTTTGTCCGCTACGCGCCCCGTAACGGCGGCATCTTCGTCGATTGCGCCATCCACGACATCGACCTGTCACTGTGGTACCTCTCCGACCCGGTGCCCAAGGCGTGCTGGGCGACCGGCACGCTGCAGCACCATCCGGAGCTCGCGCAGATGAACGATGTCGACAACGGCGTCGGCGTCGTCGAGTTCTGGGGCGGCAAGATCGCCTACTTTTACTGCTCGCGCACCCAGGCCCACGGGCACGACGTCTGCACGGAGGTCACGGGCACTCATGGTAAGGTGTCGGTTAACGTCGTCCCGAGGGCGAACAATGTCGTCCTGGCGGATAAGTTGGGCATTCGGAACGAGGTGCAGCCGGAGTACTGGCAGCGGTTCGAGGACGCGTTCGCGCTTGAGGCGAATGAGTTTACTGAGGCGGTGTTGAAGAACAAGCCGGTTCCGCTGCCTATCGAGAAGGGCGTTAAGGTTATGGAGATTGGGAGGGCTCTTCAGGATGCATTGTTGACAGGTGAGGTCCAGAGATTCAATGAGAAGGGTGAGCGGGTGTAAGTTGGGAAGCGTAAGAGTTGGATAGATCAAGAGTTGAAATGTTTCCAATGCCCTCGAACAGAAAATTTCCAAGCTATTTCTAAGAGATAGCGGATGAGATCGAACTTGATCGAGTTCAAAAGCTCGCACGAAGGTAGCCCGAAATGAGGTTCCATCCGGTCAATCGGCCCCACATCGGCGCCGGTCGGTACCAGCCGACCCGCCGTCTCCACCACTGTCGGAAGCCGGAGACGGCATTGGAGAAAATACTGCGCCGCCCCAATCAACCGGCACTGTCCCGCTCCTCCATCTTTATCCGGAAGCCCCGTATATTGCCTCCGACACCGATTTTCCAAGAAATCGGCATTGAGATCCGTCTCCACCAAACACCACAAGACTCGCCGACCGGGGGCAGCCAAACAAACCGAGAAAAAACAGGATTCGGCATTTATGCGCAACGGCAAAAGCAAGTTTCCCCCCTTTTTTTCGTTTTTTCTTTTCGTGTTACCCGAACAACCACCCCAACAACCAGCGATGAAAAGCCTTTCTCGCCCTGCATGCTCGCCACCGCAATCGCCTGCGATCCCGTCGGCAACCAACATGTCGTCGCTGATCGCACAGCCCAAAGCCCCGCCACAAGCCGGACAGAAAGCTAGGAAAACATCCTAACGAAGCCCAACGCCAGAATGCAGTGACAAATGACAGGCTGCGTCTCCCTTTCGCCCCGGTCAACAAACTTGCTGATTGGCCAAAGGGGTATCTTACGCAGTCCACGGGGACCGAGTAGAACAAAAGATGGCTCGCGAAGCGGTGGGATGAGCACCAAGAACTCGCTAGAGAGCAGTTTGGTGGTGGCGCCGCCGCTCATCCTTTCGCGTTTCCACCCCCCTGGTTGCCGGGCAGCCGTGGCTGTGTCGATTTCAGCTCCAGTCTCCAGTTTGCCGTACCACACAGCAAAAAAAAAACGAGCCCGCGGTGACACCGTTGGCAGACCAGCCGCGTCTCCACACGGGGGATCGACTAATACGACGCTAAATGCCGAATCTCCCAATCAATGACCACGGTATTAATAGGTCAAAGGGGGAAAACCGGGGAGACTGTTGAAAAGCCGTCGGGGGGCTTGCCGGGGAAGACTGATTCACACGTCAGACTGGAGCCATTTAGGATGCAGGAGGAGCTCGACGGCTTGGTCGCGCTCGTGTTTATCAAAATAATGGAGTAACAAATAAGGGGACCATGCGAACGGACTGGGCTCAGCAAGGGAGAGAAACTTGGAAAAGCTGAAAAGAAAAGACACCGGTCTTTCAATCAAAACCATCGACTTCCGCTGTTCCCTCACTGCCTTTCCCCATCTCTTCCTCACATCATCCACAATTCACTAACACGGTCGCTACACTGCTTCATACAACACATACCAAAAATAATTCCCTAATCGACCTCACAAACCAACCGCAAAAATGTCCACCTCGGCCGTCGCATCAACAACCGGCTCCGCCGCCGCCGCCCCGACCGCGACCTCAATCTGCTCCGCGAACCTCTACGACTCCCCGACCCAGGACTCCAACTGCGCCATGCCCTACGGCGGCAACCACACCGACATCATGAAGAAGTGCTGCAAGAACGCCGACATTGTCTCCTACTACGACAACTGCGGCCTCTACTGCCTCGCCCTCGACCAGACCGTCGCCGACCTCACGAAGTGCCTCTACGACAACGGCGCCGCCGACAACGCCGTCTTCTGCCGCGGCAACACCACCTCCTCCGCCACCGGCTCCGCGAACGGCCAGCCCCCGGCCTCCGCCTCCGCCAGCGTCGTCGTCACCGGCGGCAGCTCCAGCGGCGACAGCAGCAAGACCGGCAGCGCCAGCGGCGGCTCCTCCACCAGCTCCGGCAACGCCGCCGCCGGCCTGTACGCCCCCTCCGGCGTGAGCACCCTGGGCCTGACCGTCGGCGCCCTGCTGCTCTCTGCTGCGACCTTCGGCGCGCTCCAGATCTAAGATGCCCTTGAGGGGATCTTTGCGAGATGGCGCGGGGACACAGGACGCGGGGTGTCTTGGCCCCGCCTGCATCATAACGCACGAACGACCGATTTAATGAAATAATCACGACTCTCCCTCCACACAGCATCCTTGGACGCAGTAATCACATCGTCGGTCGGACACGAGTAACACTTGAGAATTGGGACATGTGGCTAGGGAAAAGCATACGATATCCATTCTGCGCTGAATGCAGGATAAGTTTTTATGGGGGTGTACATACATCAATTAGGCACAAAGCAGTGGAATCAAATTATTAGCATTACTCAATTCACCACGTCTAATTATTTCCTTGACTGGTCGATGGAAGCAAGCCACAACTAACTAGGATGGCAATGAGATGAAAAAAGATGGCATTCAGCTACAACCAGAGCCTTGCCATCATCTATACAGACGGCCGTCAGTAGGAGGCCGAGGGTCGTCAAAGACAGACCCGAAACTGAGATGGCCAACTCTCATCCCAAAATACCAGTAATCTGGCATACGCACTTCACCCCACTTTAAGCGGTATAGAGCCATATCCCGTGTCATGTCTGGCTCTTCAACTCCTGTTTCTCCATTCGGCGCCCGAAGGGGCTCCTCGGCGTCAGCAATCTGCATTTCATGTTCCCTACGATAGTCCCCATATGTTTTCGCCAGCGACGAGACCCGGCACGCAGCTGCGATTGCCATGGAATTAGAGCCGACCACTGGCATCTGCCCGGGGAGCTTTTGCGCCGATATGGCCACGGGTAGCACCAGTGATATGACGCCGAAAATGACAAAAGCCACTGAGGCTGCTCGTGAAGCACTTAGTGTGATTACGGCGTCTTCTGAGAGACTTGGGTCGCTCTTGTAGTCACTGTCTCCGTGGCCGACTTGGTAATAGGCTGTCACGTACATATTGAGCGAAATCTTCTGCTCTCTGGATAGAAGGAATACTTACATCCTCGAGAAATTATCACAAGTAATGCGTTCGAAAGAAGCCAGTGTGTCAATATGCTGAAAATCATCGAAGGGATGCTGAGCTTGTACGGCAGCTGAAGGCGATGTGTTGATATCTGCTGGCCTCTTCAACAAGATGAGATACAACATTGTCATTGAACGGCATATTGGAAAGACATACTTTGGTTTGGTCACCCGAAGTGGGCAATACCGCACAGCAAAAAGGCTCCATTCCCAGCCCATTTCCAATCGAGTGAGTAGCGCATTATACACATAGTAACAAAATGATAACCATATTTGTGGAATATTGGCGATTATAGCGGCCGTGAAATAGGAAGATGTACCTCCTGCCCGCGGATTAGCCCCTACAACCTCGTAGGAGCCTGTGCCAATGTCCATTCTGTGCCGAATTAGCAGCAGATCATGATATGTAAAGAGAAGTCCTATTTCATTGAAATATGTGGTTAATTGGGAGGTCTTCTTACAGAGATACGTTGGGAAGTTTCCCAATGAGGAATAGAAATGCTACCAGAAGAAAGATCATGTGTGGGCCGAAGAACCTGAACCAGGCCCTCTTTGGGACATATCCAGCCCTACGGTTCTGTTTCTTCGACCACCGCAGAGGTAACATTGGTTTCCGAATAGTGTACTTTCTGCATCTTTCTCTGACCGTGAGGTCCGTCATTAAGCCCGAGACGAACGCTGACTTAGGCTGAACCGAGATAAAGGAAGCAATAGCATCCCCCAGCGTCACAAGAGGTTCCTGTGGGCCAAGTAGCCGCACAGCCGCCATGCAAGTTGCCAGTTTCAATGTTATTGAAACAATAACGGCGAGAAGTAGAGGCTGGGATATCGCCACGGTGCAGCTTACTTCCCTTGGTTCCACCAGGCAGTAGTCGATATTGTTAGAGGAGTTGAGTAAGAGCCCAAACTCGGAGACGTCTCCAGGAGCAGCATACAAGGTGGCGTTCCAGCCTCGCACCAGCTGATCTGTCGGAAACCAAGGTGTGGTCGTTGACGTCGAAAATAGATTGTTGCAGCTGTTAAGGCAACCAGGGGAGCCGCTGGCTTTAATGATGCCAATCATATCGCATTGCGTGCTGTACCATAGCGAGTTCAGCTCGTCTCGAAGCATCACTGGCTCCCAAAGCTCGTCAGCCGTCGTCGACATATTCCACAGGTCAGCTCTCCTCCAACCAACGCCCGAGGCTACCATCACAACATTTCGATAGTCTTTAAGTCCAGTACATGTACCTTCTTGAAACATTTCACGGCAAGCTGACACTTCCAGTCGCCTCCAACTGGAAGCTTTAGCTGCGGTACTCGAAATATTGAATGCATATGCTGAGTAGTTCCCCGCAAGGAGATTGGCGAACGTCGGTAGGATAGAGCTGTTACCGAAGCCAGCATGGTGCTTGCGTAGGTCGTTCGCATTCTGATCCGGCTCGTTCTCGTTGATGAAGAGCTCTTTAGTAATCAAGCTAGCACCTGGAAGGAGGTAGGAGCCCCCCTCAATAAAGGAACGGCTTGCGATAGTGGCGTGGAAGTCGCCCATTCGATGGTCCATCTTGAAGATGGCACTATTGAAAATCAAATGAATAGGCATCGAAGTAATCAATAGGCATATACAGGCCAGAAGCTTCATGGGGGATAGCCAGTAGGCATTCCGCCAGGATGGGATGCCAATATCTAGCCATCTTCCCTTGCTATGTGCGTTGTCAACCTCTGGTCTAGTTGGCGCATTTAAAACTTGCATAAAAAAGTTTGACGACGCAAGTATGAAAGTCGATAGGATGTTGATGAGTAGGTGGAGTAAAGTATTTATCGCGGCAACTGTTTGGCAATCCGCAGTGTGAACTTGCCAAGATTGCATCAGGTTGCCGGTCGCCGAGGTCGCAGCAATCAGGAGGCTGGTGAGGAGTAGTATTATGACCACCAACACAGCGATGTTGATGGCTGCCATGCCGCGCCAGCCGCTGGGAAGCCATCCGCGAATCCGTGGGAGTAAGAGTTGTGTCTTGTCAGAAGGAGGTACTTGACTTCCGGAAGAATGTTGCGAGGAAGAGTTTCGTAGCGCAGCATATCGATGTTTGAAGATAGACATGATGCTGGGGCGTGCCTTGGACTGCCCCATAAGATAGTCGCTGTTTTTTTTATTTTTTTGAGTCTGCACAGGCACCGTAATCAGTTGACCGCAAGCGGAAGTCCAAGATCAATGAAGCGGCAATGGCAGCCCTTTTATCACTTTCAGGCGGTGCAACCTGGGCGGGCGGGGAAGTTATAACGACGGTTGTGTTGTTGTCTTACATGCACGTATCCGATGCACTTGTATGGCAAGGGAGGCTGACGTTCAGCTGTGGTAACATGAGACATTCGTCAGCCTCTTGGCAGTGACACATCACCTACGGCGGAAAGGCAGCCTTATCTAAGCCTCATCGAAGTTTTTGGTGTCGAAAATGGCACGGGCTTACGAAAATTCAGGCTCAGTCGGCTTTCGAAGCACATGTCTCAAGATGATATAGGTGAAGGAGCTTGTGGATGAGAATAGAGAATGGTTCAGTGTCTAATTTTCAACCGCTATTTCATGCACTGCAGGAATAAGAAACACAACAACCTTCAGTCCTTTTGGATCATACTTATTAGCAACGAGTTGTTTGATATTTGACGTGATGTTTGTGGGAATAATACTCTTGAGACGTGGAGGCTCTCTCAGTAGATGTGAAGGCGCACGCAGCGGGTCTCTGCTTACACACCCTACCTAGTATCTGCGTATATCAAATCGGCAAATTAGAAGACGGCAACTAGATTAAAAAGAAAGAACCGAGGGACTCTAATAAAAGGAAACCTAAGTCACACCATGCGATCCAAACGAGTCGCTAATAACAAGAGCGCTTAGTCAAGGTCTCTGGGCAATTTGATGCTCGTAATCTCTTCTATTCTCTTTTCTCTCCATGAACGCACGAAAGCAGCGTGTAAATGCCATTTTCGTAAAATCCTGGCGAAAGAGACATGTAGACTCTAACGTGTTGTTGTTCTCCTGAGAGGCTTTGGGATGGGTTATGGTCTTTTATTCACCACGTCTATTCTGTTTCAATTACGTTCAAGAAGGCCCAACTCAGTTATTAAACTGCATTGAGAGCCAGCTTAATTCGATTTCCGCTGTGAATGAGTAGAGCAGAAGTGACGCTGCAAGTAAATCATGGTCTGCAAGTATTCTATACATCATTAAATCTCAGTCTTCAGAATATACATCAGTCATAGGTCATGCAAAGAGGGGTATTTGGGCTGTGTGTGTACTGAAGTATGGTTGACCTGCAGTGGCTTCACTCTTAGCTTTGGGCCAGCGACCATCGAGTTATGTGATGTTTAAAAAGAGAAACTCGAGGCCTTTAATTTGTGCTCCTGAACCTATCACAACGACACTCTTCCTACCTCTTGGCGTCGTCTCACTTGATGCTGTGGTTAAGTACCTCATAACTCCTTCTGGATGAATTTGTCGACATCACACCACGGCAAAGACCGCTCCGATCGGAGAGCCAGGCACATTGATACTGTGCCAAGATCATCAGCTGCAGATCTCGAGCTCTTTCATGTCTGCAGGTTAGGGGCGTACGCAGTTAGAACATTTGCGCGTTCGGATTCATCCGGATCCCGCGTCAGCAGCCATGCATGAGCGCAGTGAGGGAAATGTCATACCTCTATCCGTAAGGAGGCACACGTTCCGCCATAGCACTCCTCTTTCTGCTGTTATTCTACCCACCTGACAAATACTTTCGCCCGGCTTAGACTTGAGAAGTGTTGCGATTTGTGTGGGTTGGCCAACCTCATTCCATTTTGGATGATGAAGCTGCCCAAACAAGAAACGCTTTGCTTATGTTGGACCATTGGAACCGATATAAGCTCCGGCTGAGCTCATGCCTATGTCGTTAATCTCAAGTCCACGGGCCAGTTTCTCCTCTGCACAGAATCAAGACTCGTTCAAGTTCACACTCCAAAGTGACAATGCGTCATCTTCTTCACCCCCTCTTCCTGGCTCTACTGGCCAAGGCCCAGAAGGTAGGCGACCTCCAAGAGGAAGTCCACCCCAAGCTCTCCTGGAAGCGCTGCACCTCCAGCGCGGCCTGCGAGACCGTCCAGGGCGAGATCACCGTCGACGCCGAGTACCGCTGGCTGCACCTGGTCGACGACTACCACAGCTGCTTCGAGAACCAACAGTGGCAGGCGGACCAGTGCAACAGCACGCAGTCGTGCACGGAGCGGTGCGCGCTCGACGGCGCGTACTACCCGGGCTACGGCATCGCGGCGACCGGCGACGCGCTGTCGCAGAGCTACTACACGCCCATCGATTTTGGTAGGAGCTTCAACTCGCGCGTGTTCCTGATGGAAGGGGGCGGGGATCGGTATCAGACGTTCACGCTGCTGGGGAACGAGCTTGCTTTTGATGTCGATCTGTCGACGATGGCGTGCGGGTTGAACGGGGCGTTGAGGTTTCTTGCGATGGATGCGGATGGCGGGATGGAGAGGTTTCCTGGGAACGAGGCCGGGGCGAGGTATGGGACGGGGTATTGTGATGCTGAGTGTACGCGGTCTTCAAGGTTTGTGGGAGGTCAGGTGAGTTGTTGCCATTAATATCGTTCTCTGAAGGAGCTGGTTTTGATGATGGTGCTTTCAGGCCAACTTCGAGGGTTGGACACCCTCTCCCTGGGACCCTGTTCGCGGCGAAGGGAATCTTGGGGCGTGCTGTCCCGAGTTCGACGTATGGTGAGTTATCCATGGCATGAGTTGGGTCTCGTCAGCTTTCAACCGCAAGAAATTCGAATTTGACTGACCCAAATCCTCGCGCAGGAACTCCAACTCCCAAGCCTTCCAGACGACTTCGAAGCTTTGCCGAGCCCGCGTCAATTCGTACACGGTCTGCGCCAACGGCGAATTTTGTATGCTTGAGCGCCTTCCCATGTGCGACAAGGACGGCTGCGATTACAACCCCTACAGACTGGGCGTGACGGACTTTTACGGGCCGGGCAAGACGGTTGATACGACCAAGAAGTTTACGTACGGCGTTTTCCGTCTCCGATCTGTCGAATGCAACTAACAGCGATGATTGATAGGGTTGTCACGCGTTTTGCCGCGGACAAAATCACCAAGTTCTTCGTCCAGGACGGCGTCAAGATCGAGACTCCTGCGCCTGCGACTGCTGGCATTCCCGACGGCGATGATCTGAGCAAAGAGTATTGCCGGGCCAAGGCTAGCGTCTTTCAAGAGCGAGACTTCTTTGAGGAGTTTGGGGGGTTCTCTCGGCAGAGTGATATGCTGAGTCGACCTATGGTTATGGCCTTGTCCATTCAAGATGACGTGAGTCCACAACTCGACATGCTATTCGTGTCATGAGTTTGCGTTTATCGCCATGGTTTTCACTGACGAGAGAGTAGTATTACGCGTGGAATACCTGGCTTGATTCGACGTACCCTGCCAATAGCGGTGATTTTCCGGGTCGCACTCGAGGTCCTTGCCCGTGGGAGCAGAATGATCCGAATAGCCCGGATAGGCAATTGGACTGGTACAAAGCGTGAGTAGAGGCGGTGACGATGTGTATTTCTGATGCACCAGCTGACATCACATAGTAAGGTTGCGTGGTCCAACATTCGGTTCGGTCCAATCGGTTCTACAGTGGCTGTTTAAGAGGGTGTATGTTTGCTTGAGAGAACTTTGATGGTCATAACCGCGAGAGATGCATTCTCGATTCGTCATCACTTACATAGACTAGCCTGTCGTTATCGTAACTCCTTAGCATCAACCCAGTTCCCATGTAACCCAGCCCTCAATCTCATCGGGACCTTGACCACCGCCGCCGCCGCCGTGAACTTCCTCGTATCCAAAACATGCAGCTCGCTCGACATCGTCCTGTAATTATTCACAAGCACCACCACAAACCCGTCCCCCTCCTCAGCCCCTTCCCCCCTCGGCACGAAAACCGGCTCCTGGACCATGTGCGTCGATCCGGGGTAGTACACCTCGAGCTCGCCCGTGACGTGGTCGAGATGGCCGACGGCGTTGTACAGCGGGTGGCCGCCCCCGAGCACCGGCATGATGGCCGCGAAGTCCGTCCCGAGGGACGGGTCCATCATGTCGAACCAGCTGTGCCGGTGCGGCTTCGTGGCGAAGCGGTCGTCGATGCGCGGGAACTCCATGTCGTGCTTGAGGATGACGGTCGGCGTCGGCAGGTCGAGGGAGTCCGCGGTCGCGGTGGGGTCGAACTCGAAGCGGACGTACTCGGCGCGGATGTCGTGCGGGTCCGGGGCGTTGCCGTCGGCGTCGGGCCACCAGAAGAAGACGTTCTTGTCGGTCAGGGGCAGGTCGAAGACGATCGTGCCCTGCGGGGTCTCGTAGGCGTTTGTGGTGTGGCCTGGGAAGCCGTTCGGTGCGCGGAACCACTGGATGTCGTGTCAGTATGGCTGAGGTGGCTTGGAGAAGGGATTGGGTGTGAGTACTTTGACGTCGCTTCCTTGGGCTCCTCTTCGAGGTAGTACGCCGATGTAGATGGGCACTTTGGAGTCCCATTGCCAATGCTCGCCTCCGGCCTTGAGCCTTTCGATGTCGCATATTTGGGGGATCATGGGGAATAGGACCTGCAGTAGATATTAGCAATCCGACTTATTGCCAACAGACCAGTCTAAAGACAAAAGCATAACCATGAAATCACATACCCAATTATCAGTCACTGCAAAGTCATGAATCATCGCAACGACCGGCGCAACCAGCCACACCGTCTGGTTGAACCTGCCATCGGCATCAATACTGAAGTAGCACACGTCGGGCGTCCCGTCGCCCCTGGCCTCGTATCCGAAGCACACGAGCTCGCCCGTGACGGGGTCCAGCTTGGGGTGCGCGGTGAAGGTCAGGCTCGGGAGCTGACCGTCGAAGTCGCAGAGGCCCTTGGTCTCGAGGGTGACGGGGTCCATGAGGTACGGCGGCGCGTCCTCTTTGATGGCGAGGAGGGACTTGTTGAAGTAATAGATGTTCGTGTTCGCCGTGGTACGGACTTTGAACTCCACGGCGTCGGTGTATTTGTTGCGGTATTTTCCTGGATTTGCCGTTCACATCAGTTGTGGGTTGAAAAGGGTGAGAATCTTCATTACCTGCTAATGCTCGATTGGCTTCTCTTTCTCTTACGAACTTCTCCGTCCTCACGTATTTCTGCCTGAAATCGATGTTTCCATCGTGGAAGCTGAAGGCAGACACATTTCCGTCGCCGTTGAACCACTGATCACACACATCAATCAGTACTAATCACAAGTACAATATCAAACACAAAAAGAAGATCACCAAAACAAATTCACATACAGGATCGTTCTCGATAAAAGGCGGAAACTGCGGATCGGGCATGACGCGATAAAACGTCCCGTCCAGCTCGGTCGGCACGACCCCGACAATCTCCAGGTTGCGCACCTCGCCCTCGAACCGGCACGGCTTCATGAAACCCGAGAACTGGGGCCGGTCGGGGAAGGACTTGGCGACGGGTGGGGCGCCCGGCGCGCCGGCGAGGGAAGCTCGGAAGTGGCCGGCCATCGTTTGTCGTCGACGTTTCCCCCCGGAGACTAATCAACGTATCGTTCGCGAGTGCGAAGACGAGGAAGCGTAGGTGGTGGTGGTGGGAAGGGCGGACTGGAAGGTGTCCCAAGCTCCTTCTTATCAACGGTTCGGGATAAAACAATGGACAGAAGCTTCGCTGCGGAATAGGGCTTATTACCGACGAGAATGAGTGGGAGCGTCAATTGTTTTTTAAACTATTCGCCTCTGACCGTGATGGAACTACGCTGCCCTCAAACGGGCATTTCTATCCAGCCGCGCGTGTCACGGGCTTTGCCGAGCCTCCAACTCCGTTAACGTCTAACCCCGCGAGGAACTCGATTCGGAATTGCGAGGTCGTACCTCGCGTAGCTGTCCCTGGCGTGTGGCGGTCTATGACGGAGCGGAAGACGTTGCCGCCAAACTCCAAACCTTGTGGCTATTCCTGGCCTGTTTCTTGCGGTCTGAAAAAGCCTGTTCCTCAATGCCGAGGCCAACGGATCGTCTCATCATCCGAACGTCGTAATTAAATCGTAAACGCCGAATACGACGGAACAGCTTCAAACTACAGGTTCGAAATAATGCTGGCGTCTAACGTTGACCATTGAGCTTGGTATCATTGGCTGGTCTGACGTCGCCTGACCGGGGCCCGGCTCCTATCTCCCCGGAGCGCCGTTCCAAAGTCCGCGGGATCCACATTTGTAAGCGGCCTCCGGCCGAGACGGAGGTGCCGAGGCCGGTGGGGCGGGGGCTGGCCGGCGATGTGAAATATCACACTGAAAACCGACGATTCTAGGGCCGCATATAAAAGGAGGAAGACTACTGACATGTATTGCAATCAGCCTATTCTGTTACACACTTTACCTTACTCATCGCTGTTATATGCCAGCATACCTTAGTAAGTATGGATATCGCGGGGCACGAAAGAAAAAAGAAAAAGAATTCTATAATACAACAGGAGTAATTTTCTACACAACACAATATACGTGCAAATACCCAGCACTCAACACAAAAAGAGTTTATAAGCCCACAGATATATACAAGCCCTCCCAGCTAACTCGTATGCCAGCATTAGTGTCAGGACTCATTTATTCCACTATTCCCCCGCCGAGAATCCCAAATACTTCGACTTTAACTTCTTGGGAGAACGCCGAATTATTTATTCCACATATTAATTTCAGGTTCTTAATAAGTTCAATAGACGCCAAAATGAGAAAGTGAATACCAGGTAATCAACTAATTTCGCCTTCAAGTATCATGATTCAATAATCAAATCAGAAAGGCCGCTACAGGTAGTGTTCCGTCACGGCGTCATCCCGTTGAATATAGAATTATCGAAGCAAATGTTACACTGCAACGAGAGTGTATTATAATGTGAGGTGTTCAAGAACAGAGGACCTCTAACACACCGAGTCGATATCAAAAACATAGTAGACTTGAACGAATCAAACGATTCCAAGACATGGAAACTCAAGCCAGAGAGCTCAAATTCCGTCCCTGAAACATCCAAAATCAAGATAAAAGCACATACGGAGTATTTCACCGGGGATAGTCTTCACAAACAACTTACGCAGCCAGCCAGCTTCACAATCGAGAAAAAGAGCACATCACCAAGACCGACTTACAGACCGATGGAAACGTGACCGGCCAGCCATACGAACCTCAACTCGCAAAAGCCCCACACCTCCAAATCCGCGTCCAACATGGCCGCGTACACCAGATCACACATCACAATCTCGGATTTCACCCTCCAAGCCAGGCCAGCCAACGAACGCGAAAACCTCGGGATACAACATCACTTCACATCCAGCCTTATCGGAATACCCCCATCCATACGTCCCTCGTCGGTCCCCCAAATCAAAAAGCAGAAAAAAGACTCGTCTGCCTAATGTAGTCGGCGTAACTTAACAGCGGGAAGGGGGAGGGAAACCCACATCCCATATCGGACGTTGACGAACACTCCTCTAATCTCACGTTGCAGGCAGGCTCGCCCCTTTTTTCTACCCTTGGTCTCCGTACCTGACCACTATCTCGGGAGGACGCCACGTTAGTTGACTTCGTAAGCCACTTCTGAAGATTAGACCAACAAAAAACGAGTTCTTTGTGTTTTGGGACGATACGACGAAAAGGAAATCACTAGTCTCCGCGGGAAAGGCCAGGGGACGGCATATCCAAACCCTGGGTAGGTATTCCCCCCACATTCCGATCCAGCAGCTGCGCAACACCATCCGACCGGCCCCCAGTCCATTCGTTTCCTTCTCACTGGCTTCATTTCTTCTGCCCGTCGTCATCGCAATCATCCGTTGGACAGTGGAAAACTGACCTGCTTCAGGACACCAACCACCTTCGGACAGAACTCAATTGTCCCGAGATATCATCGTGACCGGATTGGCTGAGAACTTCATGGTGCATACGGATACCCTCGTGCAAAAAGCACGTGACACCTTCAACACCCGCGCGCGCGATAGTCCGCCTGGGCGGAGATTTGACCTCATCCATGGTTGAAAGAGGTCCCGCCGACTCGGCGACAGACGGCGGACAACGGCGGACAACGGCAGAAGTACTATCCGTCGTACCTCCTCCCGACCTGACCAACCAACCAACCAATGGAACCAAAAGAAAGACGGAGAGAGAGAGCTCCACCGCCTTGCAGTTGCACTGCCGGATTGCCAAGGCGCCATCGGGGCCGACTTTGCCATCGGTCTTAGTCGTCAACGACCTCGGAGAATCATCGAACTTCACACTTGATACTGGTGCTGAATGAAGCTGTTGAAGAAACAGAATGAATATCCCATCACCAAACGGAAAAGGTTCCTTGAAACATGGGTTCGCGCAATCATCTCCCCTTCCCACATCGTCGAATCCCGGCCGCCGCCGCCCTGTGAACATGGGGTTTAAATGACATGGCTATTCCCGATCCCTGGACGACATCGACATCGTCGGCTTTTGGCAGCGTCTCTGCCTCTCCCACAACACGTGCAAACGCCAAGCCTTCACAACCATCAGAGAGCCCCCTCAAATCATGAAATCCAGCATCTCACGCAGAGAATTCCAAGGCCAAGACCCCGGTCTACCTCTCGCAGAAGCCTCAAGGCTGCATATTTTCACCATCTCTGGTTTTTTTCTGCCCGTAGACAATGGAGAGGGCGACGGAGTTGAAAACCAGGGGACCCGCCAAGCGAGCCAACAGCCCAAGAATAAAACCGGGCAAGGGGAAAAAACATTGGATGAAAAAGAACCAAAACGGGGCCTCCCGCTTGCCTTGAATCCCGTCTTGGCCTGCTTACTAACGCAGACGTGGACATCGAAGAATCCACATCCCCCTCACATCGAAAAGTGCTCACCGACTGAATGACTCCATCGCCAGAGGCTCCGTTGTCAGATGTTGATGTCACGATCGAAAGTGAGGTGAAATGATGTAACAGTTGAAAACTTGGGTTGATTCTGCTTCTAATCCTGCGGACATGGCTTCTCGAGCGCGCGGTCCGTGAGCCTCCTCCCCATCATCTCTCCTCTCTCGAAGGAGGTAGAGATACAAAGGTATATAAAAACTTCTTCGACTCGTCAACTCCATTCGGCCAGATACAAAGTTCCATCTGGTGCCCATCATCGCTCATGCAAAAGACTTGAAGATGCAAGACAACCCAGCACACATGTAGCTCCCTGAACGCCAGCCCCCCAGGAGAAGCGCGGCGTCGTTGATGTGGGTGGGCCGTGACTGTCCCTTGGCTCCGTACCCCGACTCGCCGGCCCTCTTCCCTTCCCTCTGACCCCGTGTAACGCGCGGGGTTGGTAGTATATAAAAAGTGACCAGGCAAGCCCTGCCTTTCCGTGGTTGCGCCCTGTACCGCCAAATTCAAGCGAGTATCCAAGAAATTGGATTTTTGAACAAAAGAAAACCGGAGATATGAAGTAAATGATGTTTTGGTAGATACAGTCCGTACTCCGAACCCGAGGGACCCGAGGGGTATCAATAGGTTTTTGTTTTTTGAAAGTGACAGTGGAGGTTCGACGGAGGCGTGGTGGGTGGATATGTAGGGACGGAGCGCCGGTCTATGATGCGTTTTGGTTCGATGTATCGAATTTAGGTAAATTAGACATAGAAAATATTATCATTTGTCTCGATTGGTGTAATGCACGCATGGTGCAAAAATGCCGCCCACCGGTGTGGGAGGTGAACGGCGACGACCGTGAGGCCGGAGGCGAGGGGACCGGCATCCGCTGGGTATCTTGAAAAAAGTAGCGGATATTGCCAGGCCGCAAAAGAATTGGCCTCAGGTCGGCGGAGTGTCGGCGGGATGAACCGTCGTCGGGATCAGGGAGAGGTCGCGAACATGGCGCTCACCCTTCAAGGCAGATCGCGGCGGTGGTTCGGGTTATGCGGGGGATATTGCTGGTGGTTCCTCGCGTTGGCCTGGGCGGCCAGGTACTCGGCGGCTCCCGTTTGACGGCCGGGCTGCTCAGCAGGCAGCTTGGTGTCTTCGCGCCTCTGAGGAGCCTGATTCGTAGGGGGAGCGCTGGTGGAAGGGCTGGGCATGCCCGGAACGAGATCGGTGACGGCCTGGGCAATCGACTTGATGACGTATCCGCGAAGCTCGCGGTCTTCCCGACTGTCCTCCTTCTCGAGTCTGAACCTCTCGTCCTTGCCCATGTTGCTGCGGCGGATGTTCCTGACTTCTTGGAGGATGTAGAGGAGGACCTCCTCGGGGCATCGATTCCTCTCGGCAGCGTGCTCGCTCTTGCGGACATAGCGGCGAGTGACGTCCGTGGCTCCGTCGATGGAAAACGCGATGCAGTAGGACATCTTCTTGCCCCATCCCTCGGTGTAGAGCCTCGGGTTGTCCCAAGCCTCCTCACAAGCGTCGACGTGAACCCAGCGCTTCTGGTGTTCTGAGTAAACTTCGGTCCACACGTGGTCCTCGGCGTTCCAAACCCAGCGGACTCTGCCTCCAACAGCGCGGCAGAGCATGCTGAAGCAGTTGGCCCACTCGCCAACACGGCCGCGACGGGTGTGCAGAAGACGCCACACGTCACCGTACCTCGGGAATCGTTCGTAGGCACCGCAGTCGCCAGCTGAACAGCGGTAGAGCTCAACTCGGAGGGCACCGCAGGCGCTCTCGTCGGGTGTCGGTGCAGTCATGCCTTGGGCGACGGTAGGCGAAAGGCAGACGGGGCAAGGTGGGTTGTTGACCCACGTGAAGAAGGATCTCTTGAACCATCTGACATGGGGTTAGAACAGATTTGACAGGGTCACGAAATCATAGAACCTACCTCAGAAGTGCCCGAATGACACAATCTTGGTATCCCCAAGTGGCCTTGCGTCCATCGCCCATACTCTCGGCCTCGGCCTGCATGACTTGGCATTCCTCTTCCGCCTCGCCGTATATCCGGTCGAGCGGTATGCACTGCAGGGCCTCATCCAGCAAACCGGGGTTTTCGTACTTTGTCGGGGTCAGAGAAAGGCTGATCATGAGGTTGCGGAATTTTTGCGAGTCGCGGTCGTTGGCGGCGGGAGGGGTGGGAATGATGGGAAGGTGGCGGATGGAAGAGTAAGCAGGTGGTGTTGGCGGCATGGGTGAGCCGGCATTGCTGTGTGAAGTTGAAGGTCGACCGGGAGATGCCAGGCCACGGAGGTTTGCACTGCTCGCGGATTCTCTCGGTTGGGGGGTGCCTTGTCGGGATGATGTTCGTAGATCGTTCATTCGCTTGTCGCGGAGGAGAGACTCAAACTTGACCCTCAGGTCGCGAGCCCACTCCTCGCCATACTCGTCGCCATCGTTGGGCGGGCCGCTTGGCGGGTATCCAGCCATTTCGAAGTCGTCGTCGTCGTCGGTGGTGAAGTGAATAGAAATGTCGAGAGTGTCGAAGGGAAGGGCGGATAGAGGAGAGTCTTCGACAGAACTCTCCCGAAGGTCGTCAAAGACGTAAATGGTGGTGTCAGATCAGGGTGGCGACAGAATTGGTTAAATGAGTGTAGGTAGTTGAAGTCGTCGGCGAAGAAAAAGTCGGCGACGTGGTAGTTCGTGCGTATGTTCGTAACGATGTCGACCAGATGCTATCCCTCTTTGCTGTGTTGTTGTTGCTTGAATTCCTCCTCGTTGAGTCCAGGTGGTACTAGTTTCGTTGCGTCCCGGCTCGGCAGTGCTAGCCCAGAAGTGCTGGCTTGCTTCGGTCGATCGGGTAGAGTGATCCGTCTCTTGTCTGCTTGGCAGGAGTCGAAGCGAAGTCGAATTCGAAGTCGAAGCGATCGCGGCCGCTCAAACGAGAGATCTCGGAGAACAGCTTTGAGGTGCTCGTCGGTCGGTAGAAATCGAAATCGTGGTTTCGTAGGGCGACGAAGTGCGGTGTCGAGAGGAAGGGATGAGATGGGGGGGATGGGGGTGTTGAAAGGGTTGGTAGCGGGCGGAGAGGAGGGTGCAATTGGGGGGAGTGGAAGATGGAAGGTGGACCAGGACCAGGCCAGGGGGGTAACAGAATAAAGAGCGTACGCCAGCAGAATGACCAAGGTACCTCCGCCTAGAGAGCTGCGTACACCTTTTCTGCCACAGGAGGAGTGCGTATGCGTACCCGTAGTAGCGCCAGCAGTAGTAGTGGTAGCAGCAGCAGCAGCAGCAGAGCACGAGTAGGAAGAGGCAAGGGAACAGAGAGAGGAGGACGTGGACAAGGGAAAGAAACCGGGGCAGAGAAGTGAGAGCGAGACCCGGGAGGGAGGGGGTGGAAGTGGGCAAGCGGGAGGAGTGCGAAGCGTAAGAGTACCTTTACTCTGTGTGGAAATGTAAAGGTGAGGGTGAGGGAGGTCGAGGAGTTGCGTACGCACGCCTGCTCATTCTGGCTGGCTCCTCATGGGCGGTTTACGCGTAAGCTGTGCGACACGGGCCAATGGCAGGCCCCAGATCGCTCCAGAGTGGATCCCGCTCAATCCGCCCCGGGACGTACCACGACCCGAGGAAAGAGGTACCTGCGTACCGGTACTTCCTTCCTCTTTTTTGAGAGTGCAACATTGAATTCCCACGATCTCTCTCATTGCAGTGTTTTCCTCCAGCACCAAATGACGGCCAACAGACAGGCAGAGCCACAGGGCTGGGTGACGAATCCTCTATCGATAACTCCCGTCGCCTCCCACATACCAGACGCGCCAGGCCGAGAAGAGGCAATCAGAGGGTCCTCAGCAAATGAACCAGTCCTTATTTTTCATCGCACTTGCGCAGTCGCCCACAGAGCAACGCAAGCTTGGCGGACCAGGCAACGGCCGATGTAGACGCAGACGCAATCTCGCCGTGACGAAACTGAAGCTCACGTTGTTTCTGTCACTGGTGATAGCCGTCGCCATTGCCGTCGCCAGCTGGGGCGGAGACCCGCGCAACGCAGACGCAGACGCAGCTCTCGCTGAGTCGAGTTGAAATGAGATTGCGACTCCTCTTCATCGTCATCACCATGATGAACCCGGGTTGCGAGAGCGAACGAGGCTGAGAGTTGCGACGACGATGGCAATATTGAGCCTTGGCAATGGAGGTTTTCTCCATCATCTGCTTCATCACGGATTGTGGGTGACCGATGAGAAGGATGAATCCCTCACTCATCCTCTCACCTGTCAAGCATCACCAACATTCAACACCAAGCCTCGTGACTGATGAGAATGAGAATCAGGACTGCTGCGTACGTTCACTGAACACACAAGTACCGATACCTCTCACTTGTACCTAATTAAAGGTGCTGTCACTGGCCAGAGCCAGATCCCCTCCTCCAGTCACACACTTTCCCTCTGGAGTCGCCGTGTGTATGAAAAATAAGGGCGATGACGAGGCGTGGCTGAGGTTTATTTCGTCTATTTCCAGCGGCAGTTCGGATCCACCTTGCCGTTTTTGACGCTTCGGATTGGCCATCTCGTCCCAGATCTGTGGCTCAGCTGCGCCGGCGCCTCACCTCAGCCCTTTCTGCCGTCTTGGTGTCTCTCGAAACGGTTGTCACTTCTTCCATTTGGTAGGCGACTTTCTCCTCTCCTCAGCATTGAGCACGCTACAGGTACGTTACGGCGCTCAGTTCCCTCCGGCGGTCTTCTGTAACTGGTCGAGAACCTTGGGGAGGGAAGAGGCCTACGGATGAGCCCAGCTCCGGCGCCAGGCGCCTGCCGGCCGTGACGGCTTACGACTGCCTGTCTCCTTTCGTACCTGCCACCTGCTCCAGTGCCAGGTCTTGCATCAAACGCCAGGACCGATGCTAACAATTAATTTTCCCATTTTCCACTTCCTCCAAAGTCCGCTTCGGCCATCATCCCATCGCCAGTCATCGCCCCCGATCCCTCGCCTTTGCCGCTGCAAATCACTGCCGTTTATCCCAGTGTTCCCGGACTGGCTGCAGTTTTCGTCCTGCCAGTCCAAAAAGTCCGAATACCAGCACCGGCACCAGCACCAGCACCAGCACGACATCTCAAGCGCCAAAGAGGATCGCCAAGTGAGACCACCCGATCATCAAACCAGCAGCCACTTCAGATCCGCTCGAAAAATAGTGCTTAACACCCCGTGATAAGGACGGGACGGGACCGTTTGCTCCAGTCCGTCCCTCGACCAAACATTCATTCGTTGGTCTTACAGTAAAGCGACAGAAAACTCCTGACCATCACCAATCCCACCGCCAAACCAACACACCATCTCGCGACTTTCGCGTCTCTGTTCGGCCTTTGGACCCCTAAAACTCTGTCCCTGGTCTTGCTTCTGGCCCCTCGTGGGATTCTCCTGGCCCTGCCGTACGTCTGTGGCTGGTGTCCTCCGTCGCCAGGTCCAGGACTCCCGGCAGACACACGACGACGCGACGACTCAATTCAACAGCAAAGTTACCTGAATGCACACACACACAATTAAAGCTTACAGGTAGTGCGACACCTTTATTCCAGACTCTCTTTTCCTCGCGCCGCCTCCCATTGGCCATCCGTTCTCATCGGCAAAGGCGCGGCAGGGGCTTGATGGCTTTCTGCACTCAACTTCAGTCAGGTACACACTCAATGTACTCGGGTCCTCCCAGTTCCTCGAAACCCCCCGGACTCAAGGTCCTGCCTCACTCGCCTCCCGCTCAGCCTCGTTTTCCCCTCCCGGTCCTGGCCTCTTCCGTACCGCGGACGCAAATCGTCAACGTCGACTTCAGCTGGCCACGTTTCTACGACTCCCGCGCCAGTCTGTTCTTGTCGCGCCTGACCACGGTCCTCGACTGGCGATACTCGCGGCTGATGACGAGATGCAATGTTCGTCCAACTGGCTTGTCGGCAGCCTCGCGCGCCTGTGCGTGGCCATCCCCGGCGCATCCATATCCATGGACCACCGACGACCTGATGCTACTCAGTATACCACACACTGTTAAGCACATCTGGAGCTTCTTTGGCGGGCCATGTCTTCCCGAAATCTTCTAGCGGCCGCCCTGAACCATGACGGATAAACTCTCCAATCCCAAGAGATGCTCGCCCGATCTAGGTCTGATCCCACCTCAAGTCGCTCTCCTCCGTTACGTGGACTTGCGTCAACCGTGGGCTCGTCAATCGTTCTCGCAAAGTCAAATGCCCGTCGCGTCTGGCCTTGGAGTCGTCACACTGAGAACACTTTCACAACCTCAGGCTCGCGGCTGTACGCCAGTCGGACTGATTGAGTTTGATGAGACGAACCAAGCGGTTGCTTTCCCTCAGACCGACTTTGATGAGGGCAATCATCTTCCGGCAGGCTGATGACGAGTCAGCGACGACCGCTGCGGAAGGCGGTCCTGCGCTGTGTCCGTTCGGCGCCGTCAACCGCGATTCCAGCAGCCAACCCATCATCAGTTCTTGGCACAGAAATTGAAGATATCGACTCCATCACCAACAACAGGGGGTCGCTCTTGCGGACTGTGTTTCCTGGCGATTTGAAATTCCTCGACATGGACTTTTCGGACTCTTCTCCAGGTTGCTCCCCAGAGTCTGGAACAGGAGCCCTGATCGGCGACCACGATGCCCTTACTGACGCCCAATTTGGGTGTGCTTGTGGATGCGACAACACCCCTGGCGTGGGTCGTAGCGGCTCAGTGACGCGTCATCCACCTTGTCTCACCTCGACCCTCCAATGGTGGCTTGCGTGTTGTTCCAAACCCGTTGCCACCCCACATCAGACTGCACTCCTTCTCGTCTCGAACTGCCACAAAGTCGTAGCGACCGACTGTCGACATTCTCCATACTGGCCTTACTCACAAATTAGAGAGCAGAAATATTGGGCGAGGGGGACCGAAGAGCCCAAGCTTCCTGGGGGCTCAGAAACCACTCATAGTCCATGTCGGCTGTCGGCAGAGACGCCAAGGGGCCCTGCATCGTAACCGGCCAATTGCTCTCCTCCCACCTCCCGTCTTCAGCGCAGGGCATTCTCGATTTTTTGTCGGCTTGGAATTGTGTTGGGAAGAACAATACCAACAGACGCAAGCTGTGCAGCAGAAACGAAACGACCAGGTGGAAACGACGACAGCGGGAGGTTGTCCATGGTGTTGTGTGCTGTCTGCAGGTATCCCACAATGGGACGAACGACTCATAACCACCTCACTCCTGTTCGGCCGCACCCCAACCCTAAGGAGACGCAGGCATTGCATGGGATAGTGCCGACTCCCAGTCGGCATAGCCCGACTGGTCAGGTACAGATTGCACTCTTTTTCAGTTCCCTGGATTATCAGCCGGATTCCGAGTTACGCGAGCTCGAATTGCTGGATCATAGATGAGAGGGACGACATGTCCTTCCTGGCTCAGGCGTGGTCTCGTCGCAAGTGCCAAGACCTCGATTCATGTTCACAAAGAGGTGTCGTCTATCCAGAACCTCTGGATGTCAGTCAGATTGGACTCCGCCCTAGGCTGCGTATTCCAACTTCTCTTGGCCCCCATTTCGCCCCTTCTTCCCATCTGTGAAACCGGGAGGTCACGATTCCAAGGTCGAGATGACGAACGCTCGTCCCAATTCTCCTTCACTTCTCTGTGTTCACGACATCCTCTCACCGAACGCCCACAAAGAGGTCCCGCCCCCAAGTTTCCGGGCTCTTTTGTGGTGAATGGTACGGTAGCCGCGCTTCGTGTTACAACACCTCGGTATCGTCCTCGGGCCCTGGTCACGGGATCGTGTCTAGTGACACCGTCTACCTCTCGAGCGAAGGAAACGGCGAAATCTCGCGGCCGTCGATCTTGTATTCGGCGCCAGGCTACCGGGGCTGGCTTGCGTGGTCTGACCCGGACAGTTCGTTGTTGTTCGGTTTGTGTGCCAACAACACGGAAGGGAGGGGGGTGCTAGAGACAAACCTCGTGCGGGACGCGCGTACCCTGGACCCCTTCGGGTCCGTCCTTTCTTATCCATCCTTGCCGATCAGACATTGGATCAGAGAGAGAGACAGAGACACCGTCGGATTCGTCGTCGACTACTCGCCTATATCCGCACTAGTGTCTTCGATACCCGCACCTGGTGGCCTCGCGGTCAGCCTTTTCTTCGCTTCGCCCGTTGGCGATAAGGTATCGGTTCCTGGCAAAAAGTGGTCTCTACAAGTTGACAAGCCTTGCGCTTAGTGGTCTCGAGGTTCTTTTGAACAAGGCCAACATGGGATACTTGATCCGCCCCCCATCCTTGCCCTGGTTCCTTTCATCTGGTTTTCGGATATCTTGTCGACAAGAGGCGTGACTAAGCTGGTCATCATTTTCTACATCCCGGTTGGAAGGACGCGGCGGTGCCGGAGGCTTGGGTCGCTCTTTCACTGTGAGAAACGGATGGGCGCCCGCCCCCCACACTGGCCACGACGCCAAGCGGATATTTGATCCCGTTTGTCGAGGTCAGGAAGAGACTGATCGTCGGATACGGAGGCGCTCTTACCGCGTACACGGCACGGCGATGGATGGGATGCCTGACTCTTGCGCTTCCTGTCGTGCCATACACTGAACCTGAGGTTTTTGAGATGACGGATGACGCACGCGGGACGGGATCGTGGGGGAGGGCCCTTTTTTGTTTCTCACGAGCGCGACATGTCAGACTTTGGATGACGATTGTTTGATGGCGTACCGGCCAGGCTCTTGTATCGAGATCCGAACGACGGACGGGGCTGCTGCCCGAAGCAAGCCCTCGTTTTGGCTCTGGCTGTCATTGTGTCGAGTTGACGCGGGCGTCATGGGTCTATCGAGGCGTCAAGGTTCGTCGTCGGCGAGATTGAAGCTTAAAACTCGTAAGCTGCCCTTTGTATATTGTGGCAGGGCCTACGCGGGTTGGTGGGCGCGGATATCCGGCGTGGACACTCACGTGTGGTGGGCTTGATGGGCATCTCGTGGCGCTTGGCGTGGAGGACGACGTGCGTCTGTTCGCCGAGAGCGAGAGAGAGAGGGCACTACCCCGTGACCTGGACTACAAAGCACTACGTATGCCATCTACCCGGCGGTCAGCCAATGTCTCGCGGGGACTTGTCATCGGACACATGGCCGCGAGGAAGATGGGATGAGGGTGTTCGGGACGGGGTCCGGACCGACTAATCGGAAGGTAGGCAAGGTAGACGCGGGCTGTATTTCGCGTGTTGTACGCAATAAACGACTCTTCTTCGATCCGCCCACGGCAAGAGGGGGAATAGAAGCGGAAAAGGCGGCTATCATCGTCCGCCGCCACTACGACATCACCACCACCCGTCGGAGGTTCTCTTTTTTCTGAAGCATGTGAACTTTTTTCTATACCGCCCACTCTCTACAGTACATACATGAGAGAGGAAGAGAAACTAGGAAAACTAAATACAGGAAACATCTGATTCCACGGGTCGGGTATTCCCAACGTAGACCGAGAATTCCTTTCTTTCGCCGCCAAGAGGGGGAGGCTACGCGGCCACTCACCCCCTCCCTTCCTACTACTGCGGCGCGCCAGCCTCATCCTTCACCCAGACTCTTTTGAACGAACCCTTGTCTAAGATGACTAACCAATTTCAACGACATTTTGTGTGTTTGTCTGTACGGAATCGACGTACGACAGACAGACGAGAGACTATGTAAAGAAAAGCGTAAATTACAATGACGTGAATATGTCCCCCTTCTTTTGCCCTATCACCGTTGGCTGTTGGTCTCTGTCTCTGTCTATCGCGTACATGGTTTTGCTTTTGCCTTGAGCGGTGAGAAGAGGTAAAGAGGCGTGAGAGGATGGAGAAGTATAATCGAGGTAGCGCCGAGTTCGGTTGGGAGGACAGATTCCTGCTTGATACCGGATCTCTCACCGTCCAAAGGAACTGAACAGCCCATTCGTATGCAACACGTACGCACCCACCCACGGGAAACGGGCGCGCGAACCCGCCCAGCCAAAGGAAAGGGAAACCAAGAGTCAACCGACGGTGGTCCGTCTTTTACCTCTCCCACTCGTTGGCGCCGAAGTACCTCTCGGGCAGATCCACCTCCCAGATGGGCCTCTCGACGAGGACGGCCTCGAGAGCCGGCGTAGCCCCTTCGGTGGAAGATGAGGAAGAGGAGGAGGAGGACGACAGGGGCGCTATGCCGAGGATGGGGCGGTACTTGTAGGTATACCACCACTTGGTCCGTCCCTGGGAGCCCGCCTCGGTCTGGGTCTCCTGGTTCCGGCTGCGGAGGGCCGCGAGCTCGGATTCGTCGGTTTCTTCCGAGTCGGAGGCGGAGTCGTCCGAGTCGATGTCCATCTCGTCGACGGCAGCGGCCTCGATGTCGTCGGTCCACTCGCCCGCGCCGCCGTCTTTGGAGGAAGCGAAGCGGTCGATTTGGGACGGGACGATGGCGCCGATGGACATCTTCGCGCCGGCGCCGGATTCCGCGCCGGCTTTGCGCTTGCGCTTCGTGCCGTGCGACGGAGCGCCGCCGTGGACGACCACCGCGGTGTCCGGGTCCGTGGGCGTGTCCTTGGCCGGGGCGGAGAGGTCCTGGGAGAGGTCGAGCATGAAGAGGAAGTTGACGCCGTAGATCCAGACGCGGGGCCCTTGCCAGAGGAGGCCCTTTGCGAGGTCGCGGGTGTCGCGGATGACGGCGGGCAGGCGCGAGGTCGGGTTGCGGCGGGACCAGGCGGTCAGGGTGCCGGCGGCGGGGTGGAAGGCGAGGATGTGCCATGAGGTCGTGACCGCGAGGAGGGTGTACTCTGGCGCGGAGGGGGAGGAGGGGGTGATTTCGTCGGAGAAGGAGAGGACGACGGGGGGCGCGGGGAGTTTGGGGAGGAGGGAGGCGTTGGGGTTGCGGAGCCAGCGGGACGTGGCGGGTGAGGAGGAGGTGTCTTCTTCGGCGGAGGAAGAGTCGCTGTCTGTGGCGTCGTCGTCGTTTTCACTGCCGGTGCTGGTGCCGAGGACCCAGGTGTCGATGTAGCCGGCCAGGTCGGTCGAGGCGAGCATGCGGCTGTCGGGGGAGAAGGCGAGGTGGGAGACGCTCCTCTCGTAGTTGCCGAGGCCGCCGAGGGACTGGTGCTTGGGGATGTTGCGGCGGAGGCGGTGGGCGGCGCGGGGGGTCTGGATTTTGATGTCGTCGTTGTCGTCGCGGGTGATGGCGGCGGTGACGACTTTGGAGCCGTCGCGGGCGGCGGCGAGCCAGGCGCCGTCGGGGGAGAGGACGACCTTGCTCGCGCCGGCGGAGGCGAGGGCCTTGGGGAGGGCGAGCTGGGAGAGCCTGACGTCGGAGGGCTTGGTGGGGTTGTCGTGCAGCAGGCGGAAGGCCTTGACGTCGGTGGAGGTGGCGACGAGGAGGAGGGCGCCGTCGGGGGAGACGGCGGCGGAGGTGATGCTGGACTCGCCCTTGACGAGGATGGTCTTGAGGAGCTTGCGGTTCTTGTCGAGGTCGTTGTCGAGGGCGGTAGACGTGCCATCGTTGGCGTAGAGGCCTTCGAAGGGCTTCTGGAGCTTCCAGATGTGGATTTCCCTGTCCCACCAGCTCACGAGGAGGCGGGCGGCGGGGGCGCTGGCGAGGGGCGGGTGCTGGGGGAGGTGGGAGAGGGTTCTGTGGTTCTCGCGGCCGAGTTCCTTGAGGGGGAGGACGACGGGGGAAGCGTCGGGGCCTGGGGTTCGCGTTAGCTTGTGTGAGTGTGTAGAAGTTGAAGAATCGACTTACCTCCGGAGACGACGACGCTCATCTTGCTGCTCTCGAAGGAGGCCATGGCCTTGACGTCGTGCTCGTGGTATTTCCTGTTCCAGACCTTGCCCCATCGGGCGCCCGAGGTCTTCTTGTAGAGGACGGTGCGGCGGTCCATGCCGCCGCTCATGATGGCGGTGCCGTCGGCGCTGGTGGCCAGGCTGAGGACGTCCTGCTTGTGGCTGTGGATGCGCTGCATCTGGGTGTAGGTCTTTCCGTCCCAGACGCAGACGTGGCCGGTGGAGTCGGCGGAGACGATGTCGCCCGAGGGCAGGACCTTGACGCTCCAGACGATGATGTCCTTGGAGCCGCCGGCGAGGTCGGCGCCGAGGGTCATCTTGCGCAGCATGTCGCCGTTGCGCATGTTGTAGGCGCGGATGGTGGAGTCGGAGCAGCCGACGACGACGACGTGGCGGGACTGGAAGGCGATGCTGACCATCTGGACCTTCTTGGTGGCGGACTTGACGAAGACGCGCTGGAAGCGCAGGTCGTCGTCGTCGAGGGAGTAGAGGGCGAGGACGCCGTCGACGGTGCCGGCGACGAGGCGGGTGACGGGGTCGGAGGGGGAGGCCGGGGGCTGGGCGGCGAGGCACCAGATGTCGCCGTGCTGGCCGCTGGCGTGGCGGCGGGGGCGGGCGGTCTCGAGGTCCCATTCGGTGACGGCGGAGGTGTAGCCGATGCTGAAGAGGCGTGAGCGGCCGGGGATGATTGAGGAGGGAGAGGTGGTCTCGTCGGGCTCGTTGACCCAGACGAGGCCGTCGACGGAGCGGTCGGCGCCGGAGCGGAGGACGGTCTCCTGGTGCCAGGCGCCGGCGAGGGGGTTCCAGATCTCGATGTCGCCGTTGTTGCGGCCGACGGCGAGGCGGGAGAGGGCGCCGTGGAGCTTGGAGCGGGCGGAGGGGTGGGAGAAGGCGAGGGCGTTGATGGCGGAGGGCGGGTAGGGGACGAAGCGGCAGCGGTGGAGGTCCATTGTGAAGAGTTGGTGGCCTCCTGGCCGGGGACGACGAGTCGAGGGGTGGTCAATTGAGTTTTTTGGGGAGGTGTGCGACGTCGAGAGGGCGAGGCTGCTTCGGGGGTCGTGAGGGCGCGAGGCTGAATGAATTGTGTGGTTGTTTGGTTGCAGCTCGCGATTCTGCGATTCTGCGATGCTGCCGGGAAAAAAAAAAATCACGGCTGCCAAAAAGTTTTGTCGGCGTTCGGGGAAGAAAAATAATTAAGGTGTGGTCTGTGCTCTTGGTGCCCCTCCACCCGCATTTCCAGTGCCAAGAAGGGACTGAATAATTCTTGTGCACATGTTACTTGATACGTAGGTATTAACAGATTTGATATTCAATTAATTTGATGGGAAACGGCTTTATTGATTTCGATAAAACATGAGTCTACATATTTAGAAGTATGAACACTTTCCGAGGTATCTGCAACGGCGCGTCCCGAAAAATAGGAGGTGATACAGACAGCAAAAAGTGGTAGTGTAGCGTCATTGGCGGTAATGCATAAATGGCTGGACCCCTTCTGGAATGCAGATTCTGATTAGCCGTTGAAATGTACTATGTAAGGTAACTGAAAAACGCCCAGGTTAATTAATCGTTGGCTTAGCTAGAGGTCTCCAAGCTGGTAGCTATCATATCTCGAGATAACCATAAAGGTGCGAAACATTTGTGGCTATCGCCCGCCGCATGAGTCTACGGCGAAAATCCAAATCAAGTGGACGGAAACATTGATTAATGTCCAGTTTTCCATGTTTCTTCTCTTAAAGATATTTCAGCAGTGCTACCCAATTACATCAGCATCGCCTCTTCGTCTCCATAACGATTCATGCCTTTTTCTCTGCGTCCGGCCCCTCATTCCCGTCTCTAAATCTCAACTGCGACAACTAAAAGTCGCATTGAAACTTCACAACCCCTGTCGACCCGACGCCCATCGTCTTATCAATCAATCAGCTCAGCTATCTTGGGAAAAGTTACCTTGGCTAGCTTTACGCAGCTTCCCAGCTCTGGCCTGCCGAGTCCCGCCGATTCGTCATCCTGTGTTTGCTCCCAATTCTACCCCTCCCCCTCCCTCCCACCCTCTCCGAGCTTTGTCACGATCGCGCCGTTGTGACGCCGGAATTCCGACCTCGCCTGCACATTCTTCTCTGGCTGTACAGCGCGCACCTCAATTCTTAACCCCGTCGCATCACACCCGCGACGACACCCGGTTTTGCCGCGCGAAATTCCACTGCACCTCGCCGCCATGGATTTCAACAGCTCCTCGCCCTTCCCGGAGGGCGTCATATCCTTCCTGGATACTGACCTCTACAAGCTGACGATGCAATGCGCCGTCTTCAAATTCTTCAAGGACGTCCCCGTTACATACGCCTTCACGAACCGCACCCCCGAGAAGAAGCTGTCGAGAGCCGCCTTCAACTGGCTGCAGGAACAGATCCGAAGTGAGTAGTAGTCTGCCCCTCCATACCCCGCCATCGCGACGCGCGCAAACCGGCTCGATTGACTCACCACGCGAAAAACACCAGAACTCGGCAACATCTCCCTCTCCGACGAGGAATACCGCTTCCTCAAGTCCCACTGCCCCTACCTGACCGCCGAGTACGTCGACTTCCTCAAGGAGTTCCGCCTGCACCCGAGCAAGCAGGCCATCGCGACCTTTCACCCCGTCGCCGAGGACACCGGCGCCGACTCCGACATTGGCGACCTGCACGTCGAGATCAAGGGGACGTGGCTCGAGACCATCCTCTACGAGATCCCCCTGCTCGCCCTCACCTCCGAGGCCTACTTCCGCTTCATGGACACCGATTGGAGCTACGAGGGCCAGGAGGAGCTGGCCTTCGACAAGGGCCTGCGCTTGCTCGAGGCCGGCTGCACCTTCTCCGAGTTCGGAACCAGACGGCGCCGCGACTACCACACCCAGGCCCTCGTCTTCCGCGGCCTGGTCAAGGCCAGCAAGGAGGCGGAGAAGAAGGGCCTGCCGGGCAAGCTCAGCGGGACCAGCAACGTCCACCTGGCCATGCGTTTCGGCATCCCGCCCGTCGGCACCGTCGCGCACGAGTGGTTCATGGGCATTGCCGCCATCCACGACGATTACAAGGCCGCGACGGAGCTCGCGCTGCGGTACTGGGTCGGGTGCTTCGGGGGCCAGCTCGGCATCGCCCTGACCGACACCTTTGGCACGCAGGAGTTCCTGAGGTCGTTCAGCCAGCCGGTGCACGCACTGGACGGCGACGACAGCAAGTTCAAGAAGGCCGACGGCACGACGCAGACCTACGCCGAGCTGTTCCAGGGCGTGAGGCAAGACTCGGGCGACCCGGCGGACTACGTCAAGATGCTGCGTCAGTACTACGACAGCCAGGGCATCAAGGACAAGAAGACGATGGTCTTCTCCGACTCGCTCGACATCGAGAAGTGTCTGCAGTACAAGGCCATTTCCGAGGAGGCCGGCTTCACGCCGACGTTCGGTGTCGGCACTTTCCTCACCAACGACTTCAAGCACCTCAAGACAGGCACCAAGTCCGTGCCGCTGAACATTGTCATCAAGCTGAGCTCCGCCAACGGAAAGCCCGCCATCAAGATCAGGTAGGTGGAACTGACAAAATGGCACAAAGAGACTGCTGCTAACAGACCTCGCAGCGACAACATCGGCAAGAACACCGGTGACAAGAACACCGTCGAAAAAGTCAAGAGCCAGATTGGCTACGTCGAGAAGGAGTGGAAGGGCGGCGACGAGACCCAGAGATGGGGCAAGGAGGAGAAGGCATAGACTGGAAGGTGCCGTTCCAAGTAAGGTACCTGACCTTAGAGCGCGTCTGGCGACAGATCAGGGGAGAGCCGATCGGGCTTTCAGAGGCGAGAGCAGCTGCGTTGGATATTATTATGAGACGACAGGAATGCATCCGTCGATGGCATTGGCGAAGCATCAACTTAACGACGATAGACAGCAAGAATTGACGATACTTTCTACACGCAATTGGAAGCTTTCGGCGAAGGAGAGAAAGAGGATACCAAGGTAGCTGATCGGTTTAGGTACGTGCTCTCGAGGGTCTCTTCTACTCCTTAACAAGTAACCTACTTGAGGCATAATGATGTCTCTCAACTCCATCCCCAACTATGTCGGCTTCAGCACGAATATTGTCCTTCCTATGAGTAGTGATGAGCACATTTGATGGAACCAACGCTCCTGACTAAACAACAAAGTCATGAGTAGCTTGTGAAGCAAGAAGCAAGTCTAAGCCTTCCCTCTGAAGGCGAAACTGACGAGACCCACACGGACATGCCTTCTTCACGCCATATGAGAATCAGACGCGGCTTCCATCTACATCGTCAGCCTCCTTCCCTCAGCCGACTCAGGAAAGAGAGCATGCCGTCCCCTGCCTTTTGCGGTAGGCGATTGCCTCAACCACGAGCGCACTTGCCTACTCTTCTCTTCCTTCACAGCCCCTGACAAGAATGGAAGTTACAGAGCCAGTCGGGCCCCTATATCTTCTTCGTCCTCCTCGTCCCCAACGTCTTCTTTTCTTCTCCCATCAACAACATCACCACTCAACCTCTTCACCCACTTTCGCTTCAATTTTGGCTGATTTTCTTGGAACCCGCTTTTGGAACCTTCATTCCCACTGGCAGTTCTCTTTAAAACACTTCCCTTCATTCCACTCATTCCATTCACGCTACTCTAGCATCACTCGCCCATCATGCGGCTCCCCAACTCTTCGGGGCCGTCGCCACGACAGACACAGGCGACCGTCATCGTCAGCCTCGTCATTCTCACTCTTCTGACGGCCTTTGCGGTTTCCCATGCAGTTCAGCCGATTCGGGATGAAGGTCATTCAGACATCACCGCCAGAAGAGATGCAATTCTCGGACGGAGACAGCAGTTCGGTGCCGGCAGCCTTATCGGTGGCATCTTACATCAGCCTAACCCAGCTCCCCACCAAGGTCAACCCGCCATCGACACTCCTTTGCCTGCAGCTGCTCCTGTCACTCCCAACAATCAGCCTCAGGGCCCTCTTGGTGGCCTCGGTGCTGCCGTCGGCTCCGTCGTGACCAACGTTGTCGTCCAGATTGTTGCACCTCTGAAGTCCGCTGCTGGCGGTCTAGCAGCCCCTGGTGCCAACCTTGGCGACGTCGTCTCGGCTGTGCCTACCTTGGTCAGCTCTGCGCCAGTCGTTGTCAACTCGCTACTCGCACCTGGCAGCCTTCCCAACGCCCCGATCGTCAACCCAGCTGGTCAAACAACTCAGTCTCCCGGAACTGGCGGGCTCATCCCTCCTGCAATCGACGGGCTGGTCAGCGTTGTGGGCACTGTTGTCCCCATAGCATCGTCTGTCCTCGGTAGCGCCATTGGAAACCTCGATCCTGCAGCACAGCAGGTTGGCGGTGGTCTACCAGTTCCCGTTACTGATGTGACTGGAGCCCCCGTCAACGGAAACAATCCCGTCATCACCAACGTCCCGGCAGCACTCACCGGCGTTGTGGCCTCCATCATTGACGGTGTTCCCCCGGTCGCTGGTGCACTCACAGATGCTGCATCGATTCCATCCGCCGTACCTCCTGTCGGCGGCGCCAACCCTCTCAGCAATCCGGTTATTCCAGGTCTCGGTAGCACGTTGGCAGAGGCCTCAATTGTTCTCCCCTCAAACCTACCAGTCGTCGCACCTCAGCTTCCTGGAGATTCGAGCATCGCCGATCCAGTTGCTACAGGACCCCTCATTTCTGCAACCAGCATTTCCGGACTCAACGCCGGTGGTTCTGCTGGCCTGACTTCTGCCCCTGAGGGCTCATCCGACAGCAAACCATGCACAATGGTCAGCATCTCCAATGGTACACCGACCTTCATTTTCACGACTTGCCCGGCTAGCATGGTTCCGACCGCCTTTGTTGCAAGCGCTGCTCCATCCACCTGGTTGACAGTTCCCTCTGCTGCATCTTCTGCTCTATCGGCTAATGGAAGCCCTCCTCCCTCGCCTCAGACCAGTCCGGCTGTTCCTCAAGGGACTCCTGTTGCAACACCGCCCGCAGCTGGACAGTTGTCATCTGCTTCTCAGTCCCCCGCTGGTGGCTCCAACATGGGCTCTTCGGTCAGTCCACCAACCTCTCAACCTGGAGCTGCGAGCCCGAGCAACAACCCTCAACCACAAAACACCGACAGAGGAGGCCAACCCCAATCTCCTGCACAACCTGGAAGCCCCCCGCAAACACCTACGCCAAGTAAGTTGGTCATCGAACATACTGCGACTTGGCTAACATGATTTCTCAGGTACCTCCGCATCAAGCAACCCCAACCAGCCTTCCGGCCAGCCGAATGGTGCCGCTCCTGCTCCTGGTTCGCCTGCTGCGTCGGCACTGACTCCTTTCACCACTATCACCATCCCTGCTGCACCACCTGCTGCATCCGCTGGGCCTGCTGGACCTGTTGGGTCTGCTGCTTCTTCTCCTGGATCTCCCGCTGCACCTGCTGCACTGCCTACTTCTCCTGCTGCATCTGCTGGACCTGCTGGGCCTGCTGCTTCTTCTCCTGGATCTCCCGCTGCACCTGCTGCACCAACTACTTCTCCTCCTGGACCAGCTGCTTCCTCTCTTGGATCTCCTGCCGCGCCGCCTGCTTTGCCACCCGCTGGAGCACCCTCAACCGCTGGCGGCAACCCAGCACCATCACCAACCTCCCAGTCCGGTGGCATCTTGGGAGTTGATGTCGGACAAGACCCCGCACAGGGAGGAAACAGCCCGCCTGCCACCCCAGTCATTCCCATCTCGGACTGCCCAGCAGTTGTACAGTGCCCCGCGTGCCTGCCTGATCCATCAAAGCCGGGAGATGGCTCTGGTCCATGCCCTGGCCGAGGTTACTCCTGCTCAGAGTGTCTCGATGGCTGGTTCTGCCCTCCCCAGGAGACCCCAATGATGCCTGCACCCTGCGGCATGGGCTGGCCTTGCTACCACTGCAAAGGTGGCTGGTACTGCGCTCCTTCTTCGGCCATGTCAGATGCAGGTGCCAATGACCCTCCCGTCGTCATCAAGACTGTGACTGCCATTGTCGCTGCTCAGCCTACAACGGGCTCTGGAGGCGATGGCAACGGGAATGGGAACGGCAATGGAAACGGCAATGGAAACGGCAATGGAAACGGCAATGGAAACGACGATGGAAACGGCAACGACAATGGCAATGGTGCTGCATCAACGCCATGCGCTTCAGCAGCTGGCGGCCAGCCAACTGGTGCCCCTGCAAACGGAAACGGCTCAGGCAATCCACAAGGAAATCCCAATGATGGCTCTGGCAACGGCAATGGCAACGCAAACCCAGACGACAAGAATGCTGGCAATGGCAATTCTGGAAACAACGGTTCTGGCGATGGTTCAGGCGGGAACAACAATGGCAATTCTGGCACTGGGAACCCTCCGGCTACACCTCCAAATGCTGGCCCGGCCAACGCCCCGACGTCTACCTGCACAAAATCAAATGGAGGCCAACCTACAGATGGAGCAAACAATGGTCCTGGCAACGGTGCTGGCAATGGAACACCCAACGGCCCAAGCAATGGTGCTGGAAACGGAACTCCCAAGGACCCAGGCAACGGCGCTGGCAGTGGAACGCCTAACGGTCCAGACAATGGTGCTGGTAACGGGACTCCCGGCGGCCCAGGTACAGGTGGTCCAGCCAGCTCTCCTGATGGATATGGAGCGTCTCCTGCGTCTCCGCCTGCTGACCCCAATGCCGGAGCTGGCAATGGAGGCTCTCCCGGCAGTGGAGATGGAAACGGAAATGCAAACGGAGGTGGCAGCGGCCCAGGCACCGGCTCTGACAGCGGCGCTGGCAGTGGCAGTCCCAACAATGGAGCCGGGTCTAATGCAGGATCAGGAGCACCAAACGGAAACGGGTCACCGGGTAACACCGGCCCATCTTCAACGCCATCAACCGACAATGGAGGCGCAGGCGCCGGAGATCCTGGGGCGGGTTCCGGAAGTGCACCGCCCAACAATGCCGCTCCCAAGGCTGAATCTGCTTGCTCTGGTTGGAAGCTTCTCGGTTGCTTCAAGGACTCTTCCATCCGAACACTCGATGGCGACCCGTCCAGCTACTTCGCTGGAAGTATGTCCAACGAGAAGTGCATCGCACACTGCGCCTCCAAGGGCTTCAAGCTTGCGGGCACAGAGTACGCAACAGAGTGCTGGTGTGGCAACGCATTCCAACTTGCCGAACGTCTTCCCACAGAGCAGTGCAACAAGGTCTGCGATGGTCGTTCCACGGACATTTGCGGAGGCGATTGGGCTGTCACCGTGTACAGCGCCGATGGTCAAGCTCTGAGCGTGCCGTCTGACGACGATGCTGGTAATGGCAACGGCTCTGGCAACGGCAACGGCTCTGGCAACGGCAACGGCTCTGGCAATGGCAATGGCTCCGGCAATGGCAATGGCTCCGGCAACGGTACTGGCCGCGCGGGTGATCCAAATGTCGGAAATCCTTCATCTCCTCCTCAAGGCAATGCTCCAGCAACACCTCCACCCGCATCCCCTCAGCCTGCCCCCCAAAGCCAGCCCGCACCAGCTCCCGCACCAGCTCCCGCAGTCACACCTCCGCCATCTCCCAATCCCCCTGGACAGTCCCAGAAAGACTTGCTCGCCCTTCTCCAGAGCATGATCAACGCCTTGCCCAAGGCAAGTCCTGATGGCGGATACGGGACTGGCCTGGGAGCAAGGGACTCTGGGTCTGGTGGCAGCAACCCGCCTGCAGGTAGCGACAACGGTAACGGCAATGGCGGACTTCCTGATCTCGGACCGTTGATGGGACCTGGCCCTGTCGTTCCACCAGAGGGACTCACGGGCTACGGTTTGGGGAACAAGGCTGTGTCCAGCCGGAGCATGAAGCGGAGCCGGATCATAGAGCGGCGTCTGGTCGCTGAGTACAATGGTGCTGCCTGCGACAAGGGACCTGACGGAGAGGGATGCGTTGATGAGAGGGTCAAGCGCTGAGAAATTTTATGTTATCACAAGGTTATCGAAATGTATGACTTACTGTTGTTGACGGAAAGGCGTTGATGAAGGAAGACGGCAGGTTTTTTGGGATCCAGGTCGAAGCATACCATAGTGCCTGAGTTCAGATAATGTAATCGATTGGCTGTTCATAATCACGCGAAGCTTACTTTTGTGATATGAGCGCATCTGGCGGTGGTTGGTTATCAAGTGTTCACCCATCGGATGGGTGGCTTAGGAGGTCGTTTGGGCAATGATTCAATTCCACAAGATGGGTTCGGTGAAATCGAAACCGATCATGCGGCAAGGACGGTTGGGACTCTATATGAAAAAAAAAATATCAGTCGAGGAGAAAGTCTTATGTGACGGTTTATGGCTTCGCCTGCTGTTCATGCTGCCATCACTCCAAACCGGTCAAGATACCGATGCCATTCGTTATGGAAGTGAGACACTCGAAACTCACATACGGTCGTGGCGGTCAAGGCGAGGACTAGATGATATCGGGTACTCTTCGCCGGAGCTTCGAGGCTTCAACATGGAAACTTTTACATGTCAGCAGCCCTTATCGAGTCCGGTATCGATCACATTGGTTCAACTTAAGAAGTCCAAGATCGTGTTACCGGCATGGAGGAGATGTGTTGTGACAATGACATGCCATTAGATCAAGATGTCATGTCGCGCTGGCACTGTAGCATCATGTGTTGATCACAAGACGCAACGCATTCACCCAGCTCGACAACGAAACAAAAGCCGCTTTCATGAAGATAGATGTATATAATCATTGGCTAGCTCGGGGGTATTCCTGTTAATTAAGAGCTTGCCGTTTTTTCCCCAGTTCCCAGTTCCCAGTTCCCAGTTCACATTTCCCACCGTTGTCCCGTCCTGTCCAAACGGGGCTCCCAGAATGGTGGACCGTGAAACGCCCTGCTCGGTGACATATAAACACAAATGAAGTGATAATCCCCCCGCCGTTCTAACTCCTCGCAAAGCTTTTTTATCATGGGCATCCAAGAAGATGCGCGCGCGCGTCGTGATGTGATGTGGGCCCAGGTCACCGGGGCCTGGGTGGGTGCTTTGCTTCGTATATCTTTCGTGGTCGATGAGATCTCGGTGATGGGGAATCTCTCTTGGTCTAATAACGATCAAAAATAAACTTTTTAGAATTTCTCCCGCGCGATGGCGAGAGGTAAATGTTGTGGTCGGGAATCGGGATTCGTTTCCCGATAATCTGTTCCGTGCCGAGCAGCTGAGACGCAATGCCTCACAGCGGAGAGACCGTCGTCAAAGCCCAAGGTCGCAGAAACCCGCGTATCGGCACGGCGAGTTCGTACTCAGCCGCCGACTCGGCAAAAGGCGCCCGGCCGAACAAGACAGCGAGATATCTCGCGCGATTTTGCGGCGGCGCGAGTCGAGTCGAGTCGTTCGGTCGCTCAGTCGTCTCATCTGAAGAGCTCGACCTCAGTCCGACCGTCCGTCGGAGGGGGGGGTCCAGCTCGAGCGGGTGCCCCTCTGACGCGCTCCGCTCGACAGACATCACCCCATATCCATGACATGACTTTTGTTGTGCCCGGCCCTTTTTCTTCTTTTTCTTCTCATTTACGTCCCAGATCGGGAAAGCCGCTCGTCTGCAACACGTCGTCGTGTTGCCACCCCGAGCCGATCTTGGCGACGGAGGCGGGCAGGGTGGGATCCTGTTCGCAGTTCGTCCCGTCCCAGATGCGCGTGCTGAAGCCGCCCGCCCACGGGGCCTGCACGTCCGGCAGGGCGAGGGACTTTTGCGGGCGCAGACCCTTGAGTGATGAGTCGTCGTTGTCGTCGTCGTCGTCTTCGATGTCAACACGGCTGTCGAAGCACGTGTCGTCCGCCGTCGTCGTCCTCTTGCTGCTACTCGTCGTTGCGGCGACTGGTGGTACTTTGCTGTTGTTATTAGGCACCCTTTCGATCTCCACCACGACCTCCCTGGTCCTGTAGATCGCCATCTTCGGCTGTTGTCCGTCTTCTCGGACCGTGCCGATGGATTCCCGTCTGCTGCCGGGGCTGGAGCTGACCGCGGCTGTGTTGACGCCTCGCGATAGGCTTCCGACGGTGTTGAGCTCGATGGGATTTGGCGCGCGTGAGACGGGGCCGCGGGCGTAGTTCGGGATCTGTAGGCTATACTCTGAGTTGGGCCAGGAGTTCCGGTCGCCGTTGAAGTCTGCCGCGGATAGTATTCCCATGTCGCGTTTGCGGGCGACCTTGCCGATGAGCTCGGCCATCGACATTTCGATCTTCAGCTTCACGAGGTATGCCAACGGGTGAAATTGCATGTATCTGAATAGGTTTGTCAGCATTGTATATAGCGCCTGCGACGTGCAATAACATACACAAACGTGTTGTTGAGACTCATCATGGCGATGATGAGCACATCCATGCTCAGCGAAAACCCAATGATGAACATGTTGAACTGAGTTAGTCGTTTGTACTTGGTAAGGCCGTGCATGACCAAGTTCTTCTGCACGATCCGCACGAAGTAGACGTTAAGTGCGCCGTCGACGATGAGGTAGATGACCTTTTCGCAGCGGTCCCACCAGTCATTGATCGAGATGTAACGCTCGGAGACCTGAAGCCGGGCCGGAATCCAGATGTTGTAAACGGAGATGTTGATGGCGGTGATGAGGACGGCGACGCCAACTTTGACGCGCCATGCGACCTTTCGGTTGGTGAGGAGAACTGCGCAGCGGTTGATGATGATTTGCAGTAGGAATTGAACCTGGGGTGGGTCAGTATCGAGAAAACGTATACATTTCCAGGTAAACGTACTTGTAGGGCCCATGTTGTCACTGAAAACGTTAGCTGTGGACGACAATATACACATCGACAATGGAGACTTACGAATGGTGAAGTAGAATGCGAAGCTGAAACCGCATCTTCGTTAGTCTTGTACACAACGACAATATTGTTCTTCTTACCTTGGTGGTATGATGCCTTTGAGATGCAGCCAGCAAATGACGCTGAAGATGGCGCACACCAGAATCTCTAACCAAATCATCCAGATGTACGGGTTGTGCAAGATGCGATCGCCTTGCCGCCTGTACATGGCAGTGGTCTGCTTGATCGCCGTCCACACTGTAAGCCAGCCGAAACCCAGGGTGAACCCCCAGGCCAGCGAGGCGATGATCATGTCATCTTGAGTCACCTCTTCGAGCTGGAAGTGCGGGGAGAGGAGGTTGCTCATGATGAACCAGCCATATCATCATAGCAGCGGGGCTGAAACATCCGAATAGATATTATTCGCCAGAATGCTTCAGTCCCAAAAGAAAAGACGTTAGCAAAGGACTGTTGATTCAATAACTGAATTATGGGAAGAAACGGGGAGGAATAGCCAACAACAACACACACACGAAAGACTTACCACGGGCATGGTCCACGACGTCATCCACACTGCCAGAGGATATTGAAATGCGTCCGGTCCCCCGATCTGGGCCTTCAGGAGGGGGGAAAAGGAGATTGAGTCTCGATGCGCGAGATCAATCACAGAATGCAAAAACGGACGAGCACTGGACGGGTCGGGCTGAAAGTTCAACGCGCAGGACGCTGGTGCTTTTGAGGAAAGCTCTTGGCTAGACAGGCTAGCGCATGCGTTTGGACCTTGAACGTCGCGTTTCATCAGCGAGTCATGGCACGGACACACCAAGAACGGTGCGGATGGCGTCGCATCTCAACCAGCCATCAGACGCTAGTCTAGAAGGTCAACTCAGAAGGAACACAGCCTTCTACCGCAGGTTATCCACACTGGAAGCAAACGGCGGCTTCATCGTTCCTGCAGCGAGACCCAGTCGGGAAAGGCGTAGACAATAAGGTGAAAATCTCGTAGCGTCGGGTAGACCGACGGGAGATGAGGATGGGAAAGAAGGTTTAACCGTTAGTCTAAGAGGTACGTCCTTAGCCGCCTGCTACACATCCTAACGACGAGTGGAAAATAAGGAAGCATGTGAGCAGAAAAGCAATTCAAGGGCCCCTTTCCATGAGGTAAAAGATGGCCTATGCTGGGTGGCACAACGTGGAGGAGAGAAACTCTGCCGATTCTTCTACTAAGAAGCAAAAAGGCAAATATTGAACGACACCCATGAAAAAAAGAAAAGACCATGGAGATCGGCTGGGTGGGAGCGGTGAGGAGGCCGCGGGGAAGACGAGGGACCCAGGCAGGCTAGTTGTCAACGCCTGGCATTCTCGTATGCTTGTACTAGAGCGGACGAGAACGAGGCTTTCCCTCAATAAGCTTTCGGTCATCGACAGCTGGGATTCGAGGAAATGTTGGTGGGCAGAATGCTTGGCCGTCTTATGCTTGACGAGACTCGTGCGCTCGGGGACTCTTGCCAGCAATTGGCGAAAACGTATACGCGCGAATTCGACTCGGTGAGCAAAGGGTCGCTCCGGAATCGCCAAAGCCGGCCCCTCCCGGAACATAGTCCGTAGCCCACAGAGTTTCGTGAGCACGTGGCACGTGCATTCCGTTGTGTTGATCTTCTGCTTGGATATGCCTTGGGCGAGAGGACGCGGACGAGAGGGCGTTCGCGTATATTTCGGAATCACGAAAGCATAGTGTCCTTAAGCTTTCAGTGAAACTCAGCCAAGATGGCCTCTGAGCCGTTCATAATAGCATCTTCATCGAACGAGCTGCAACGAGATGATCAGCTTTGCTGGGCATCTGGTGCTATATTGTGTTGTTAGGCTTGGACGTCATCAGTCACTCGACCACGATCAAGAAAGCCGCATAACTTGATATTCGGCATCAGTGTGAGATTGAGGTGCCCCATTCGACACCGCGTTGGGGTGTGTGGCTGCTTGGCCGAACCTTAGGTCGAAATCCGTGCGCCCTCCAGGTCGCCGCTTATTGTGGCAAGTCCCCTGAGTAATGATTCTGTCGTCGCGTCGCGAGAATTTTCGGATGGCGCTTCTTTCTGCATGTTGCCCGCTTGGTCTTTGGGCAGATTTTTCTGAAGAGTTTCTCGTATCCGATGGGACAAGATCAAGCCCACATTTTCTCGGCAGTCACCCGATGATATGAGATCTCGGTGTGCCAAAGTTGGTTCGCCGGGCCATGTTAAGCTTGTTCTGGAAGAGTTCGGCAAGACGTGCTCTTCTGGACCTTCAACGCCAAATGACCGGATGCAAGCACTTCAGCTAAGCGCTGTGCAGTATGTGTCGGTATCCAAAAGGTGCCTGACTTGCTCCCCATCTACGTTGAATAGCCGATATTTGATGTGCTCCCGACCGTCGAGGCACGATTTGTATCGACTGTTGATTTGGACCTCATCGGCTTGGTTCTTGGGACGTCTTGACTCATCTCGTTTCTGGTCGTATGGATGCTGAATACAGCAAACGATATCAATACCCGTGCGATGTCGAGATCCAGAGACTGCCATCGGCCTCAGGGATCACAAAGAGGTTGATCGAAGCTTTCCCTGGTGATTCCCGCGGACAGCTCCACGAACAGGTGCCCCTGAGAAGAGCAGCGGGCGGCCCGTAACCTTTCTCGAGCCCCGGGTTTCACGATGCGGCTGGTTCGCCATCACGTTCTTCTCGTACAGCTGCAGGTCCAGCCGGTCTCCGCTGGCAGGCCAAGACAGGCGGGCTGGACCTCTCCGCCGCAGAACCCTGTTGACATGCTTTGCGGCCGCCGCCTTTGCTGAGGGTTGGCATGCGTGTGATTTCGATCAAGCTTCTGTGTGGAGAAAGCGGGTATCGGGCGGTAATCCCGTCAATCCCGTCGTTCCCTGGTGAAGGGTTCCAAGCATTCGGCCCTTGGCGATGGCGATATCGTTATGCCAAACCTTCCACCGGAGTAAGCTTCGAAGTAGCATACTGCCGACAGGCAATATGGATTTGTCTGCCGACGGAGCAGTCAGCATCTGCAATGAGCGAGTCATTTGACCGAGAAGGTTTCCGGGCTTCTCCACACTGGCCAGACCTTCGGCGGCAGCGTCGAGAGCCAGGGCAGCCCATCAAATGGAACGACTGAGGGTTCTCTGTGCATGACCGGTGGGATGGATCAGTCATCAGCCCGTTGGTGTTGCATCTTGATGTCGTCTGTCAGTTTGCCGACTATCGGCCCGGCAGGCTAGCGCTTAGCTGGCTGTGCGTGCGAGCAAAACCGCGGTCTCTAGCCGCCAGGGGGCAGATGGAACTGTCGCAGGTATTTTCGCTCGCAGTCTGATCTCATAGTTTGAAGCGAGAAGCGGAATGTTGGGTGAGTACAGATGAGAGATGTCCGCCCACATCATCATCATTGTTGTTGTGGTTGCAGGAAAGATGATCGACAAGGAATCGTGGGGACGGGAAACGCTGGAGACGGAAAGTGGGTTTTGGTTTTCCATCACGTGACCGAATCCGAGTCAAACGCGACTTCCTCCCTCGTCTCCATGCATCACGGGCATTCGAGACCCGATGCACCGTTGGCAGTGCACCCGCGACTTACTTACCTGGCAAGACGAGACGACGGCGGTATACTGGTTTGCAAATACTGACAGACTTTCTCAAAGTTGGCAATTTAGGAAATAATATGGCGAGCCCTTGGCCCAAGGTGAGCGAATAAATACAGCCCTCATCCCCGAATAACGGCCGCGCTCAGTTGCGAAACGATGTGATACAGAAACACAATACGTTAATTTTGAATGATAGCTGAATCTCATCAAGATCGTTCCCACATTACGCCACATGGCCTACCATATGTACAAACACCTAAGGGCGAGTATGGACCATGACCTCGTGCGAAGTCTCTCAACTGCAGACACCAAGTTCAGTCTGGCAACCACTGCCACAATGGAATTCTGTGTTACCACAGAAGCCCCATTTACTGCAGCATTGATGGTCACCGTTGCCCCTGCAAGTTGCTCTCCCGGCACCGCAAGATCCGTCAGTCGATACAGGCAAGCCTGAATCGCCATCATCACCACCATCATTGCCACCACCAACACCATCACCAGTGCCGCACTTGCCGAAGCCTACCTGGCAGCCCGTTCCACAGAAGTCGAATCCTGTACCACAGTAACCATACATGCTACAACAGCTGTCGGTTCCGCAGGATCCTACGTTGACTCCGCAGGCTCCCGAACCCTGACCGGGCTCCGGAGTGGTGGGTGGATCGGGCGTCGGCGGGTCACCACCGCCGGATCCGCATGCACCGAAGCCCACTTGACATCCCGTTCCGCAGTAGTCACTCGTCGTGCCACAATAGCCGTATGCGCTGCAGCAATTTCCGACACTGCAATATCCGAGGCCAGGTCCGCAGGCCCCCGTGACAGGGTTTGGCGTTGGCGGGGTTGGGTCGGTCGGATCAGGAATTATCAGCGGCTGTACGACTGGTTATTGCTTGGTCTTCTCTTGCCATCTCTGGAACTTACCTGGCAGGTAGCCAACAGGGGGTTCACGGCGGCTTCTACAAGCCAGTCCTTCATGACGGCCTGGAAGGATTTGCCGTTGTACGGGTTTGCATCTCCTCGAGTGGCTTCCCAGACGGCAACACCGCCAAAAGATGCTCGGCAGTAGTATGCGTCGATCAAGCTCCTAGCCTGCTCATGGGTGACATAATTACCAGGGTTCGCGGCGTCAGGTGATGCAGGCAGAGTGATGTACAGCCTGGCGTCTCTGCTTGGGGTGTTGGCCAGCCATTGATCCCATGCATCGTAGGTGAACCCTGCCTGCTGATACGACTGGCCAGGTGTGTAGGAAGGGTTGTTCGCGACCCATGTCGCAGCTGAGCAATCAGGCGTGTTGTAGAATTGAATGAAAATCATGTCGAACTGTGCAGCGCTGAGCATAGCCGCCATGTTGGAATCAGGGACGATGCACTGTGGGGCACCCGTTAGATAGTACGGCTTGGATGCTGTCTCGAAAAGGGAGCGAAGAAGAGTGACAAGGGCGATGTAGCCCTCCGAATTATCTGTTTCGAATGTCAGCTTGGCTCAGTGACAGCAACATCAAGATTGAGAGAAGAGTCAGCTTACCTGTTGAGGGGTGCTCAATGTCCATATCAAAGCCGTCCACCTCGACAACCTGTCCTTCGCTGTCGAACGGGCGGGGCCCAGTCCAATCAGGACTCTTGGGACCGAACATGTGCCAAAGGTACGTTGCCAGCAACTCGCCCTCATATCTCCCGGTAAGTTGATAGGTCGTGACGCCGCCTCCCAGAGATAGGATGATCTTCTTGCCGTATACTTGCTGACACACGGGGATCTGGGCGTTCAACGTCGGACAGTTGGACTGCAGCTGGTCTCTTGACGGGTCGTTCACTCCGTTGAAGCCAGGGCCCGGGTAAACCTCCCCGACACACCGGTTGCCGAAGTTGGTACCTGGGTAACCGTTCGCCTGCGCCGGGAAGAGGTGAACGAAGGAGAGGACGATGACGTCGATCTCGGGCTGCTGGCATTGCTCTATGAGGTCGCCCTGATTAGGTCCTTGGCCCTGTCATGGAGTCAGCGGAACGTTTCGCTCAGTCGAGTATGGGAGCATACATAGTAGACCACCACGTTGTTCTTGGATAGTGGTTCAAAGCCGGAACATCGCGAGACCACGCCGCCCAAGAAGGCGAGCCAGAGGATGGAACGCATGGCGAGATGCGCCTTGCCGGGTGCTGAAAGCGGGACTTGTTGGCGTCTTTGGCCAGCCAACATCGGAGTTTGACGAGAAATTTCAGGTGGTGAACAACGAAAAGATACAAAATTCAAACGGCAATCAGCTCCTCAATGACGTAAACCCGTAACCAGAAGAAACGAAGGCAGGCGCGATGATGACCCAGGCAAGCTCATGTCCTTCCTTCCATTTCAGCAGGCTCCTCCTTCTCTAAATACATAGAGGGAAGTCACGCATCACCCGCACCTGCCAAGAGGAAACAACAACCCCGATCACCATCTTGTCTTCTCCTGCGGTCTTGCGATGGGCGGCGCAGGCAAGGAAAAGAAATGCTACAGAAATATTCCTCCCTCGACAAGCTGACACTATCAGTTTCCAAGATTCCGGGCCCCATCACATCGATTCGGCTGATGCGGCTATTCCGATTGCGTGCCCCTCCTCCGCAGGGCGACGAACGACCCCTTGACTCAGCCCGCCACCAACGGCCGGCGACACAGCAGCATCGCGTCGGGTGGTTGGTGTCTTTGGTCTTCCTTGGGGTCGACGCGAAAAGTCTTCGTGGGAGCCTTTCGACCTCTGAGAATTGACCTGGAGCTTTTCCGGTTGATTTATGACGTGGTTACTTGGCCAAGAGTGCGTGGCCTCATGTGGACTTACACGCCGAAGATTTCGGCGTCCTGGTGGGGCCGTTCCACCGAAACCGCCGAGTGCCCCACCGAACCGCCGACCGAAGTTTCGGGGCCGTGTACGCGTTCTTCTCCTTTAAAGCCATCAAATTCCCCGAGCTGTTGAATCTGATTCAATTTTCTGGGTCTGCAGTCTATTGTCTGACATTTTCCTCGTTCATAATCTATTCTGCAGCGAAAATGGGTCGCCTTCCGCAAACCATGCGCTCCCTTGTGGCGCCCAAACACTGTTCCCCGGCTGGCTTCGAGGTGGCCGAAGTACCCCTCCCAACTTTCACGCACCCCAACGAAGTGATGATCGAGATTCACGCCGGCTCCATCATGAAAGGAGACTGTCAGCGGGCTGCCGGCATTCCCATAATCGGCCCAAAAGAGGTGTAAGTACCCACAACACCCACGAAGCAAAGTCGACGGTATACTAAAGCTATCTAGTTTCCCCTTGGGAATCGGCATCGATGGATCCGGTATCGTTGTCGCCACCGGATCCGATGTCAAGAGATTTAAAGTAGGCGATGCGGTCTACGGACATGGTTTCAGCCGACCGGCTTTCAGCGGCCGTGTACCGGGGTTCTGTTCCGAGTACGCCATCACGAAAGAGAACATGCTTCTTCCTAAACCATCCCATCTCAGTTTCGAAGAGGCTGCCTCGCTCTCCGGGTATACCGTCACGGCGTATCAGACCATCAGACGCGGCCTCGAGGTCGCCGGAGAGGACAGCCTCGAAGGCAAGACCGTCTACATCCCCGCTGCTCTCAGCGGCGGTGGCTTCAGTGCGATTCAGGTAGCCAGGAACGTATTCGGCGCAACTCGCATCATCTCCACCGTCTCAACCCCAAAGATGGCTCTCGTCGAGCAGTATCTCCCCGGCATGGTGGATCAGCTCATCGACTACACGACGACCAACTTGGTTGACGCCGTGCCCCGAGGCAGCGTGGACTTCATGGTCAACACACAGTGGAACACGATGAGGCCCGCTATACCGCTTCTCAAACCCAAGACGGGCATCATCATGTCCATCTCATCGATACCCTCGTCTGCCCTCATGAGAGAAGTTGTCGGGCCCAACATGGTCCCATTTTGGTTCGGTTGGTTGTTGGACTTGGTCCAGCTTTGGTACGCCTTTATTCTCCGTGGTACCGGAATCCATCACGAGGCCGTGTCTGGCAATCCGGGACCCAGGGAAGACTTTGAGAAGGTAGGAGAGATGATTGCCACCGGCAAGGTCAAGGCCGTCTTCCGCGCGGTCGATCTCTCGGATATCGATTCAATTAGGCAGGAATGCGCAAAGGTAGACAAGGGCAAAGGTGGAATCGGTAGACTTGTTATTAGGGTCAAAGCCTGAGACGGTCTTTCAGCAGCCTAGACAAGGCTTTGTACAATCGCGATGGAGCTCGTGTAAATATCCAACACCCTAGCCCGAATACCCTCCTCAGCTCCTGGGGTGATCGAATCCGCTCGCGCGGTCCACACAATTCCAGTCTTGTTATCACCGATATCGTTCAGCTCGATCGTGCCTTGGATGTTGACCGCAGGCAGGCCCGGAGCATCATAGAGGGTGTACGCCAGGGAATGCTTCTCGGCATCGACCCAGTCCAGCCGCTCGAGAGCGAACTGGCCGGCCAGTGTGATGGCTCTAACGGCACCCGGGCCAAAACCGGTAAGCTCGTTGAAAGTGACGTTCTTCATGTAGAGCTGGGCGGCTCCGAATGCCGAGTAGATACCCCAGACGGTGCCGACGGATGCGTTGAAGGTGTCTTTGACTTGGCCCACGAAGATTTTGGTTTCATTCCTGGGAGTCAGCGGAGATGCAGAGGTAACTATAGATGTTAGATACTGGGGATTTACATCGTAGTCTCGGAGACCTACCTCCAGAGAGGAGCAACAACGGAAATGCGGCGATAGAGGAGAGCTTCATTTTGATAGTCTGGCTGTTGTAGAAAGTGTGTGTTTGACAGATTAGATAGGTTTAATTCGGTATGGTTTCATTTCCAATACAGAAAAGCTTTCCATTTATATAGAGGTCATTTTATCTGCCATCGTCTCTAAGTGAGAGAGTCGGCATCTGGAGCATACTTCGGCGCCGAAGACCCAATTGTTTTGAGGCCCAGACGATACGCTGACCCATGGGTAAGAGCGAGTCCATCTCGAAGTATGGATCAAAATGCCGACAATCCTACCTCGGCAGCCAATCCCACACCTGAAATCCTGACTAGTTTATCCCGCCGGCCACGACTACGAATTGCAGCGCTCCATCCCCTGGGCCGTTCATCTCATCGACTCTTCAAGACTCTTGGCAAGCAAACATATCCGTCGGGTTGTGGAGTTGCAAGTCCCATGCCAACGCAAGATCGCTCTTGAAAAGTCCGAATCACCGCAGCAGAAAGCCTCGATGGGTCATGGAACCTGAATAGATCACCTACAACGTTCTTGTAAGTGAAGCTACATCATGAATCTGCTGAAGAACTTGACAACATAGTGCAATTTGGATACATGATGTGCACTTGCTGCTTATTATAGCTGCAACAGCGTTACCGTAGTTCAAAACTCGCCCGGCCCGGCCCGGCACTAGAGTGGAGACATGTCGGTCTCCGATGACACGGGCCTCCGGAGCCGTTGTGGTCTCCATAGTTCTTCCGCCCCAAACATCCAAGGACAAGTTCCTCCCGCCGAACCTCGATACCTTGTGCAAAAAAGCATACCGATGTAAAAGAGAAATCAAAGAACTGGTCTCTTGAAGGGCATTCAATCGAATTCCAATGCTTTCCAGCTCGCCAGTCAGTTCAGTGTTGCCTTCCTCCCAGATTAGGAAGAGTGGATCCTATTAAACATCTGGTGGGGTACGTCGCGAACACAACGCGCTGGAAGGTAGGACGCGCCGCGCCAGACCAGGGCGTCGCACCATGCGATGCGCATTCCGCTCTTTAGCGCCGTGAATCTCTACCCTTGCCAAATTCATCGTCCAACACACAAACATTGTCAATCCATCTTCAAAGCTATCGCGCATCCTTTCCAACCCGATCGCAAGCCTTGAGCGAACGTTATACGAATACTCACACTTCCCACGTCTATTAAAACCACGACCATGGCTTTCAAGCGCAAGCGCTCCGCCTCCGAGCTCACCACGCTCTTCAACTCCCCCGCCCGCTCCGACTCGAGCGTCGAATCCTTCGACTTCCCCGTCTCCCCAAGCCTCGCGTTCCCTCGCGCCTTCGCAGCACCTTCGCACCTCTCGAGCCGGACGATGAAGCGCTTTCGTAACAACAGACCGTCAGAGGAGGAAGTTCACCGTAAGTCCAATTGTGACACCAACAATCTGACTACAGCGCTAATCGTCGCATAACAGAACGGACTCTCAAGATGCTCTACTCCGCTCAGCAACAAAACCAACCCTCCGTCGAAGAGCACGCCCCGGCTCCCGCCCCGGCCCCGGCCGCGCGCAACACGCAAAAGTCCCTCCACAGCTTCTGGAACATCAGCTCAGCAGCGCCCGCCTTATCAAGAACCGCCAGCCCGCCCGTGGACCAAATGGCGCTTAACCCTACAAGTTGCGATGACTGCGGCGTCGGACTAGGCTCGTCGGGCGATGCAGACGGGATGGATGTCGACGGCGATGACGGCTCGTGCGGCGCGTGCGGGAAGCATGTGTGTTCGCACTGCTCCATCACCAACCTGGGCGAGCAGAGGAGGTGTTTGAATTGCGCTGGGAGGAAAACATGGGCGACGAATGGTAGCGCGCCTGGGTGGGCGACCTCGTCGATGCGTATGTTCTGAGGAGTTTTTGGTCAGGCGTTCTGCACCTCGTCATCACACGTTGGGAGCTTATGCGTTGCTTTTATCATTGAGCCTTGATTGGTCTGCAAGACACGGCGTTCTGGATTGCGGGAAGTGTTTCTGAGTGGGCGTTGGGATATACATCATGGGATACCAGGGAATACCAGGCATAACGAATTCAAGTATTTTGCATCAAGCCGCGCTACTCGCCACGATTTTTTCCGTTGAGATCTGAGAGCCTGTGGCTTAGACGAAGAGTGGCACTCGAACGCGTTTATCGACTTTTCGACACATCCGCTCGGTTTTCATGCATGACCTGGATTTTGAGTGGTCGAATCTAGCCACACATCATCGACAGGCAGGGCAAACAAGTCAGCCTGGCAGTCAGCCAGACGCCTCACTTCGCAGCCAATGAGCCCATGCTTACTCTCGAGACGCAGACAGCCAGGCGCCCAATTTAACCCCTCTCTTGATGCCCAAACGAAGCGTCTCTCGTTTTCAGCCGCTATCATATCCTGGTCGGCAATCCCACTGTACTCTGTAGGAAGCTCCCACCGATATCGACTTCTCCAAGGATGGCCGAGGCCGTAGGCCTAGCGGCGAGCGTCATCGCCATCGTTGACATCACCACACAGATCGGTGTCGCATCCTTCAAGCTCAAGAAACTATGGGACGAACTCCAGGAGGTCCCGGAACAGCTGGCAGACTGGGTCGCCGAACTTCAATTCTGGCAGTGTATTGCCCTCCAAATAGGCGTGCACATCTAGGACGCTTCCGACACTGCACATGGCGAACTACTGGAAGACCTGGCATTGCGTGTGGCTCTTGGACGGTGTCGGTCCACGTTACAAGGCGCCATTGCCTATATCGATGATCTCAACGAGCAGGTCGTGAAGGCCACCACTCTGCGAGAGAAAATAATGCTCAAGAAGAGGTTTCTGTCGAGCAGAGATCGATTGAAAATCCTGAGGAAAAACCTCGACAACTCTTTCATGGGGCTTCAAGCGGCAATGCTCACGTATATCATGTAAGTTAACCCCATTTCCATTTCTTGAAGCGAACTGAGAACCACAAGGGTGATGCAGTTGAGCCCGGTACGATTTATAGACGATTCATCGGCTACTCGGTTGATCGAACCTTCAAGTTCAGAGGAGAGTCGCCGACCGTTTTCACATCGGGATCACTTGATGCCACGCAAATGGTCACGGCAGAGCGCCGGTCCAACTCACACTCTCACCAGGTTGCCTTCAAATACCGAGACGCTCGAATGCAACAGTGCCTCTTACACCGCCATTGTCGAGAGAACGGTGCAAGATCCAGCTGCAGCGGAAGATGTCACACTCGAGGACCGGTACCATTTGCTCACGAACTCTCAGTTGAGCAACGCCGTTCAACTTTTCCCGTATTTGACCCCACAAATCCGTTCCCGACAATTCTTTTCCGATAGTACGGAAGTCCGCGTTCTCGCGTTGTTGACCATTTTGACAACGCCCATCAGCTTGACCGCTACTATGCTCTCGACAGAATTCATAGATATCTCGATGACTCACGCCGGCTGGAGCATGGCGGCAGCAGCAATAACAGCTGGCACTGCCTTGGTTTTCGTCAGATCTCATCCCCGGTCCTCCCCAGTCATTACGTCGTGGGACGATGATGTCTACGGTGCCATCATACGCGATGATGCGCATACGCTCCGGAAGTACCTTGTTGCCATGGCTCCCACGACTGCGCAGGCGAATGGATGGTCGCTGTTACACGTAAGTCGCCCCATTCCAGTTCGCAAAACCCTACTCATCGGCATCCAAGGTTGCAGCAAGATTCGGAGCAGTGCGTGTTTGCCGTATGCTGGTGGATGAGAAAGGTCTTGGGAGATTGAACTTGCTTCAAGACAATCAGATAAACTGGACGAAGTATGTCTGTCATTTCATACCTAATTGGCCCATTCGCTCTCTAACTCTTCCGTTCTTTCCTGTAGGTTACCGTGGGCATTCTGCTGCACTTGTCTGATGGGAGAGCGATTCAAGGACAGGTATCTGGAAATACTCGAATGCTTCACAGATGGAGACTCTCATGAGTCTACTTCCAGAGAAGTACACAGTTATCTTCTGAGGCATGAGACCCTCTTATTTGTCATCACGAACGCATGGTCTTCTGGCTTCGTCGAAGCTTTTCGATTGCGATATGCGCCTGCATACCATTCGCGGCCATTACCACTTCGCCTAATCTGCGCTCGGCTCGCCGTCAGCTCGGACTACTACAATTGCTCAGTTGAGCTGTTCGTGGATCTTCTGCCAGAATCTGAGAAGTCTGAAGAAACTATTCTTGAGACATCCCGAGTCAACGGCTGTTCAGTAATCCATTCTATTGCAACCCGTCTCGGCAAAGCTGCAGCCAGCCCAACAACTCGTCCCAAACAAGCTCGAGCAGATTCGTTCTGGTACAAGCTCCTCCACAGCGCCATCGCCTTGGACGAGGCCAGTCTCCATCACGTGGAGAATATCACGCCTTTTTTGCCTGTGGGAACCTATCAAACCCCACTGATCACTTTGCTACAGAGCGCGTTCGAGGCTTGCCTTGGAAGCCTTGCAGATGAGCCGATCACGACTCTGCTGAGGCAATGGCTGCAGGCGTTGAGCGATTCCGGCGTAAATCTTTCCTGTTATGGGCGTGAAGAAGCGCGTCTTTACAAGAAATCCCAAAGCAAACTGCGGCAGAGATTCGTCGGATGCCATGGGAGGCAACGTTACCGAGTACGACTGGCGGGTATCATCTACGGTCCTCTACCGAACCACTGGTCTCTGCTGTGGATTGACGAGGATGACGGCGTGGCTAGGGACTTTTGGGACCTGGTAGAACGGCAGGGCGGGAGCCTGGGTCCTCCTTCAATACAAAGGCAGTCCGATCTAAGCCAGCCAAGAGACGAGGTCGAAGAGAACGATGATCCATGGGAATTGGCCGAGAAGGATGAAGACAAACCTCTGGTGTGGACTGAATACCGCAGAAAGCGACAGCCCTTTGCTACTGGGACCTCGGAAAGGCGCAAACCAGAGGACCCGTCGAGGATCTTGACGGGTATGCCTAGCCACGGCGACGAGCGGATCACCCCGCTTTCTGGACAATCCGGACAGTTGCAAGTTGACAATCTGAAGTCATCAGAGCCGTCAAACTCCAATCTTCGCCGAAAGGCAAAGAACTTCATGAAGTTCTGGAAGCGTCGAAGATGAGCAGTCTCGAAGTCCCAATGCGTATTCATCCTTTCACGCAATCGCAAATTGCAATAGTTGGCAAAAACTGCAGTGACGTTATCTTCAATAATCTCAGCTAGGATATCAGAAGCTACCAAACGTATCTCATTTTCTAGTAATGATATGCTATGGACTTACTCTGTCACTCACCAATTGATCGGTATTCATAAGGCCTGGCTAAAGCAACCGGTGCGCCTAAATTTATCGGCAGCGAATCATGCGTCTTCCTCTATTTTAACAAGCAGTAACATCATTGTGATCCGAATTACAGGGTAATTCTTCTCTATCATCGGGCGCGAAGTTCATCGGCATTTGTAACATCGGGATAAGTATAGAGGCCGAGCGAATGGGTCTGCATCAATAACGCAATCTTTTCAATGGCACAATCTCGGGAAAGCACACGGTCACAGCCCGCTCATCTGCGCACATCAGTTCATAAGAGATTCAGAGCCATCTTAACCTCTGGCAATGATTTGCCTGCGTACTGGCCGCGTCTGGAAGACCATGCTCATCCTGACCAATCCCAGAGAATCTGACATGCAGCAAGGCCCTGTAGATATCGGGCCGCAGGTGGCGATAACAAATCAGGCTGCGGGCGTCCTCCTCATCCGCTTTCGCGACAAATTCAGCTTCTCACTTCTTCACCTCACCTCTCACCTGGCGAAACCCACCTACACCCTCCGACGACGCCATGGCGGAAGCGATCGGAATCGCCTCCGGCGCCATCGCTTTCGCCGACTTCGCGGGCAAAGCCATCTCATTATCCATCAAGCTCAAGCTCTTGTGGGACGAGGTCAAGGAAGTCCCCGCCTTCCTGCTGGAAAAGGTCGAGGAGCTCCAAGATCTCGGCGAGCTCCTCAGCCACGCCGAAAGACAGGCCGCCGACGAGCTGGCGCCCGCCTCCGTGTGGAGCACCGCGGCCATGCAGAAGGCCATCGGCAGGGCGCGCGCTGCTATGGGTGACCTGCAGCAGGCGGTCGATGTGCTCTATGCTCAGGTCGTTGACAAGCGGCGACACAAGCGGAGGTTCGCGGCGGCCAGGGTGGTGATCCAGAAGAACGATTTGGAGATGATGGAGAAGAAGCTCGATCAGGCTCTGCGTCGTTATCAAATGGCGCAGAATCTGTATCTCGTGTAAGTATCTCAATCATGTTCACGACATGACGCGGAGTTTGAACGCTGGTAGGAAGACCAAAACATTAATGCGTCCCTCACAGATCATGCGCGTCAATAATGGTCGACCACCTTTCGCAACCAAGGACTGCTACGGAAACAGCACTTGTCAGACAGGATAACTCAGTCGCAACAGAATTGGCCAGTAGTCTCGCCGTTGCCAAGCCTGCTACTGTCGAGGCAATCATATCGGACGCTGTTGTCATCTCAACCGGCTCGACCGTGCTTGGGAGAATACACATGGGCTTTGGAGAGAAGGGTTATCGGGTCTCCATGAGAACACCCGCGTGGCTCGGCGGCGCTGTCTATGCCATTATGGCTAAGAGAAGCATCATGGGTTGGCAACTCAACCTGTCCACCTACGCCGTCGTCCCAATACATCCGCAGGAACTTATCGCCGCCGTAAAGGCCGACGACGTTACCGGACTGCAAAAACAGCTGTGCGGAATGAACTTGACACCATTCGTTCACGACCAAAACGGCCTGAATTTACTGCATGTGCGTCGTACCCAGCCCACTGTCGAAAGCCAGCTAACATTTGGGTGACGTTTAATCCATTGTCAGTATGCCGTCACGAACGAAGCCATGGAAACCACCAAGTGGCTTTTGATGTCCGGATTGCCCCCGGGCTCCTATGAAGAAGTGGACATCTCGGATACTTCTGAGTTTTGCATCGTGTTCGTATACTTCCTTTCCCCGAGTACCACAAAGTCAAGGACAACGACTTCTGACGACGTCCTCAAGCACTCCTCTGGAAAAGCTGCTGTTTAATTATTCGACAAAGGCGAATTACGGAAACGAAGCTCTGAAGATCTTCGTCAACTATGTGCCGGAGGTGATTGACGAAAACGGCTGCGCGTGGCTTCTGGTCATCGCGGGAAGCACACACGATCAATTCCAGGATATCCGGAGGTTACTCGCGCCAAACTATCTTCATTACGGCCCCGGATGGAGACTCATCCACGCTTGCTTCGCCTCGGGCATGAGAGGGTTGACTTGGGACATGGTTCTGAGCTTCTTGCCAGAAGCCGAGCTGCTTACAGCCGACTCCATCGCTTCCATGAGAGCCTCCAGTGACGGGGTAACCCAAGTAACGATTTCTCATGTGATAGCTATGGGCTTGGGTCTGGAAATCTGCTGGTGGAGAGGAAAACTACCAGAGACGCAGTCGACCGAGCCAGCTAGTTTCATGGGACCTCTCCGTGGGGTCGCGAGGGCAGATCCGTCGGATCTGAACTGCCCAATCCCACTCCTTTCAGATTCTCGAAAGTTTTCGGCTCTGAACGTACTGTTTACGAGGATCCTGAATTGCATGCCCAAATGTTCATTGCAGACGGCGGACGCTATATTACAGACGGCCATCTCGGTCTGGACAACGGCGTTACACGAAGAAAGCGTCGATCTATTGGAATACGGCCGAAAGGAGAAAGAGTCATGCCGGGAATGGGGCTGGTATGTCCAGCCAGGAATGATTCCGGCGCCGGTGACGGGGGAGTCACATTCTTCATTGGTCAGATTCGACATACTAGGAATCACGTATGGACCTTTACCTGAGAACTGGAGGGTGTGGTGGGCGCCTCTGTACGAGGAAGCAGCCTGCGACTTTTGGGGTATTGTTAGAAGCCCTTTATTCGCTGTTCCGGGAAGTTGGGAAGATGAGTTTGACGAAGTCGAGGAATTCAGGTGGTCTTACTGGAGATTCCCAGAGACGTGGTCGTCTATTATCTGGTCTGAGTACCATGAAATTAAACCTCCTGTCTAGGTTTCGTACAAGTACTTCAAAACTTCAGCCGATGAGCCACGATGCTCGAATAATGCAATATATACAGACTCTACCTCAAAATGTTTCTGCCAGCAGTAGTGAACAGCAAAAAGCACCCCACCAACCCCACAGGAACCGCAATGACCCAAAACACCCAGAACATCCTCTCCCCAGCCGCGAACTCGCCGCCCATCGAGAAGATGGTCGCCACCAACGACACGGGGAGGAAAATCGTCGCCATCGAGGTCAACCTCCCAACCTGGACCGCCTGCTCGTTGGCACTCAGCATCTGCCTAACCGACGATGCCTGCATGTACGCCTGCATGGTGCCCTCGACTTTGGACACCATCAGTCCCGCGGCCTCATGCAGGCTCTCCCAGGCGTCCGTCTCCCACGGGCTGAGGATGCGCGGCGTTGCATCTGGGCCAACGCCCAGGGCTCGGAGGTTCTGCCGGAGCTCGGCCGTGATCGATTCGAGAATTGTCTTGGCGCGAACGAGACGGGCGAAGTCTTTGGGGCGCCAGAAGCCTGGCCAGGATGTTTCCAGGAGTTCGGCGATATTTCGTGCTGCTCCGGATCTTGGGATGATGAGTTCAAGTCTTTCGCGGGCGATTTCGGCCTCGATGATGCGTAGCCGGGCCGTCCACTCCGCGAGGACGAGTTTTCTGCAGATGTCGTTGCAGTCGTTTGGGCTTGCGGTTGAGGTGCGGACCGTGAGGGGGTAAAGCAGCACCATGTCATCAAATAGCGAATTCATGTCGGGAGGGCGTTCCGAGTCGAGCCATTCGTTGGAGTCCGGGCTCAGACTGGTCTGAGATTGGTATAAAGGAAACCAAGAGCCTCGTTGTCCCAATCCTTCAGCGTTCTTCATCCTGACAAGAGGAAGACTCGGGTGATGATCGACCCTTCGGGGCATATGATCATTCTTCCATTTTACCCAACCACGAAGAGGGGGGTCAACAAGAACAATGACTTACCAAGGCGTTAGTTACGAGAAGCTGCGAGTTAGAGGGATGGACTCACCAACCCACGATTCTCCCTCAGATCTGGTCCATGTGGAAACCTGCCCCGTGCTCTTCAGAGGTCCGTCTGAATCTCCAAATATCGTTGTTTGGTTCATGAAACGCCGAGAGCTCGACTCCATGAAATACAGGGGTTTTAAAGAGTCTTGCATCTGTGAAATGATCTTGGCTCGGTGAAGTTTCGCAAATGATAACATGCACCGGTCCTTATTATCGTAGTGCCGTGGGCTGCGGTTGATCAAGGTCCCAGTAAAGCTTCCCGGCTCAATCCAGTGAGACGAGAAGAAATCAGGCGGCACTCGGAACCTGGCCCCCAAAAGTTGGACAAAGTTCCTCGGCAGGCCCTCCAAGACGATGAGCCGGCGGTTGACAAGCGGAACCCCGGTTTCGACCTGTTTGTCGAGACGTCGTCGAAGGTGTCTTGAAGTCTCGAATTTGCTAACCAAAGGCCTACTCCCGTCGGTAAATTCGATTATGGCTACTCGCCCTTCGTCTGCCAGAGAACCATCTTGTCGTGATAGATGTGTCACAAAATCTGGATAATGTCGTTCTTGAGTGGATTTCAACAGCGACCAGTACTGATTCTCTTCTGGTGTCTGGAACAGCATCATGTATTACACAAACCTCCTTGGACCGTCCGCAATGAAAGCTATCGAATGTGCTTCGTTCAACAATCTCGAGCCTCAAGCGCCGCATTCATGTACGGAGGGCTTGGTGTGCTCAGCCCAAGTACCGATCGAGTACGCCTTAGTTGAAAGCCCGTCAGCATCCGACTTTATCCGCATCTCATGTGTTACACAACATAGAGGCGGTGCCCAGGGTCGAGCACAGCCGAGGAAAGCTAGCAACGTGTCGAGTTGCAATTGGGTACATTGCAGAAGTATAGAAGCTTGCAGTATGAGACCAGGAACTTCTCCCAGCCCGGAGAAAGCGGTCCGCTCAAAAGCAAGGTGAGATTGAGTAGGTCAGCAATCATATTTAGTGGTGTTCCTCAGGATCCCTCATTCGATTTACCCCACAGCAAGTCTTTGACGACTTCTCCCTCAACCCTTCATACAATCTTTCCAAAGTCGCTTACAAATAAGTCAAACCACTCAAGTCCACATGGAAAATGCCGCCACGATCTCCGACAGCAGGCCTGCAGATGGTATCCCTCAAACCCCCATAAGCCCCGGTCAGGCTCTCGCAGAAGCCTACAAAATCTGCACATGGCGTCTTGCCTGTGCATTCGAGCACTCAATGAAAGAAGACCTCGCCGACGCATTAAAACTCGGCATTCTCAGGCTGCGGCTCAGCCGGTGGGCAGAAGTGTGCAGCATCCTCGAAAAGTGCGCAACCGAGATTAGCAACGATGAAGTCGAAGACTTTCAGTTCTCAGAGGGGAGACTCCGTGAGATAATCGCCTTCCTGAGTTCTAAAAGCCCTCCAAACATCGATAGAGCCGAACCTCTGGACCCAACAACAAAATCAGTACTCAACACCATCGATAGTATCGTTAAGCGAAGATCCTTACCTTTGAAGCCTTGTCCGAGTCGAGCTTCTTCGCAAAAACAAGACAACGTAAACAGGGGCTCCAGTATCTTGTTCAAGTCACAGTTTGAAGACACTGCACGGTGCATTGGCATCTTAGAGCAAGTCATGGGCTCCCATAAGTTGCGGGAGTTGAGCTTGGGAGAAAAGGCGGAACTAGTCGTTGCTCACAACGACGACTCCTTGACTCTCCTCGCAAAGACAGCAAAGAATCTGGATGGCTGGACCGCAGATCACGCCACTCATCGTAACATGTATTCGAACACTGTGGTTGCGACGGGTATTCTCCACCAAGGCGACAGGATGTCGGATCTTGGAGGGTTTGCCAGACATTGAAGCGATCGCTAACTAGAACTGCGACCACGCCTGTTTCGATCGCGACCTTAGTAATAATGACTTCTGGGCCATGTCGGCGACTGAACTGATTGCTACGCGAGATAATCACGATGATTCTAATAATCTACGCAGTAGCTCCGAGTCAAATGAAATGTATTATGCAGACCTGACGCATGCCCTCCGAAGCCAAATCGAGGAGAGCGAACCAGCCTGGATCTGATTGTGCTTCCTGGCGCTATAGATATCTGATGGAGACGGCTTCCGCTAGCCTCAGCTTCTGCGTACTACGCTAAGACTTTTTCTTCTGTGAATTATCGAATTCCAACGATCTACTTCGCGATATTTCACCAAAATCCGCTAAAAGACGAGCTTCCAAGCCGTGAATACCACTTGTACAATCTCTTGAGATGGTAGACCATCTTAGACCACCTCCACGACTTGCATTTCGCAACTCCATGATGGTCTCCTTTTCATCATTGAAACCTGCCAAGATACTACCCTCCTTGTTTCTAAGCTTGGAGGTGTCCCTTCGCGTGGGCCTGGATGTCTGTTGCGAGTTCTGTCCTGGTTCTGTAGTGACTTGGTCCGGTGCAATGCTGGATTCGTTCGGGGTGGGCAGCCGCTGGTCTTGTGCTGCGGACTGTGCTTGAGAAGCAGGGCTGGGATTCTGCATGTTCGCCATCCGTCGCCTGAAGAACTCGTTCGTTTTGTTACTCATCTGTGCCTCGTATTGTGCCTGCAGCCCGACGGGAGCAGATCAGCACAGCTCTTGGTGTGCCGAGGCATGAAGAGTGACCCGATCCAAAACGATACCTTGTCAGCGGACCTCATGAACGCCTCTCGCTCAAAATTAACGCCAACTTCTGCCGCTTTCCTAAATTCGATATTGGTTACAGTCAAGGCTATGTTGGTAATGCTAGCAGAGATAGTTGTGTTGGTTTTCGCACGAGCATCTTCAATAAAGCCCCAGGGAACATACAGATTGTGACACTTAATCATGCGTTCCTGGACAGCAACGCCCGCCTGCCAGCCAGAAGATATTGGCTGCTGGTTGGTGATATGGGTGAAAAGAAACTGGTTGAGTTGGACCGGGGAGGGACGAGAGGGCGTCAGGTAGTTCATCGCCTTTTTGCGCTCGCGCGATCGCGCGAGCGGTATAGTTCCGACAAGAGAAGAATTGATTTGTCCTTCAAATGTGGTGGAGAACTGTCGACTGCCTGCGTGCAGCGTGCAGGGCTCTAGGCGACTAATACCGTCGTGGGTCTTGGTCGGGATATGGTGATGAAGGTTCGACACTAAGCGTGGCGGGGAAGAATTACCTAGATGGAACCGGGCTTCACCACCAGCTGCCTGGAGGGCGCTAGGCTCGGCTCGGTAGATCGGATAGTCCGATGGTGCTACGAATATGGACGTATCCATATGGAAAACTCGGAGAGTTGTATCTAACCGCTCTATGTCACCGACTTTGGCATATCTTTAAATGCATTTTTAACATTTTTTTTTCCGGACGCAGGCGCCAATTCAACAATCCATCTCACCTTTATCATGCTGCTAGCAGCCGAATCAAGTCGAGCGATAATATTGACTCGATTGCTTGCTGGCCACATCGTGAATACTGACCAACCCTTTGGGCCTTCACTGAGAGATACTTGCTTCACAGATTCCATGGTCACGACCGAGTCAACGCGGCCAGCTGGAGACTACTTTCAGAAGCAACTAGGTCTCGGTCAAGGAGCCACTGGGCAACGCCCTGTCGCAGAATCCATCTCGCGGCTAACGATAGGGGAATCGCAGACCGCATTGGTACACTGGTTTCCGGCAACGCTACTAACAACGACATGTATACTACAACGTTCTTCCCTGCTATCGACCCATCCTTTAATATCTGGGATATCGTGGAACGGCGGAAACGTTGCTACGGATGTATCTTGAACCCGGTAGGCAGAGCATTCCTACATGGCGAAGTTGATAACCCATTCGAGGAGGAGTCTCGGCGGGATAGCATACCAGAGGCCCTCTTCAGTGGTCTATAGGCCTGGAGGGCTCGAGGCCCAATCGGTAAGCTTCGGAACATCGTCGAGTACATCCGGTCACCACCTCCGCGCAACGGAGCCTTCCAATAGTTCATCCGTGAGGCTGATGATCAAGATGACTGGCTTCTTCACCAAGAGTCAAGGGCCGAGATACGAATCACACTCACCAATGACACTTGATGGAATTCCACATACCTTATGATCGCACACACTATCCAGAAGAAGAACCACATCCAGTCATTCCTCCTACGGCTTCAGGCTTCTGGCGTGGGCCCAGAGGTTCCGCTGGATGCTCATCTACCTGACGAAGATTGGCTTCTGCTCATCGAGATAAAGGCTATGCTCCCCCTCGCCGGCAGACTATGATGTGCCAGGGCTGGGACGAGAAGGGCTCGCATGGCTACCTCGGGGAGATCCTCTCGGGGATCGAGTATATCCTGGATAGGATGGAGGCGTGGCGCCTTTAGGTTGACCGAACCCGCTGACGAGATGGTCGGGCAGAGCCAGGGGTACCTACCCCATCGATCACCGCCCTCGCCGAGGACGGGCAGCCCTAGCCCGGCTCAACACGCAAGCCCTGCCATCTCAGGTCCAGGGCGAATACAGGCAAGGCTCGCCGCTGTCTGTTTCAGTACGCCTTACAGCCCTCGCCGAGGGGTCACAAGCCTATCTTCGCATCTCCGTCACCAACGCGTAGCAGAAGCTTAACGAGTACTACAACAAGCTCAGGGCATCATCACTACTTGCAGCAGCTATTCTCCTCCATCCCGAGCGAAGCCGCGCTGGCTCGAGGCTCGGTGGGATGGTGGCCATCAGCTGACGTGATAATGGGGCGCCAAGGAGGACCTCGAAGCATTCTAGATAGCCTGGTATCGAGACGGTGAGTCAGCATCTCCACGCAGAGCCGCGAGCCACGCGAGGCCAGTCAAGCGTGACTACTCCGAGTATGACGACCGGATGAACATGGGTCTCCAACGGCTACGGGACCGACCATCGGAGGCGACAGAGATCCATCTCGGGCGTCAATCCCATCGGGTGGTTACTCGATCACCAGCAGTAGTTCCCATCGTTAAGTAGGCTGGCGCTAGATATATTCTCCGTGGCAGCGGTCTGCGACAAAGCCTTCAGCCTCGCGAAGCTGACTCGAACCACCTAGCGGCTTGCCATGGACCCAGTGACCCTCGACACAGTTCAATGACTCCAGAACCGGATCCGTAGGGACGCGGCGATGTAAGCGGTATGCTCCTCTCTTCAGCAGAAGGGTTGGGCGATACGTATCACGGATCATATCCTGAAGGTTAGGGCGTCACTCTGACACTAAACACATGATGTACGGTGCCTTATAATCGTCGTACCTCTCCTCTCATGTACTTTAGATCTTCCCTCCCTGTCGTAACATATGCGTCTTCGTGATAACCGTTTGGTTTGGCACCGTGACAACACGGCAGGGCTGTGATGACGGGCAGGTCTGCCCGATAGCTGCCAAGACGTTAGCGGTTGTGACAGGCGCCGAGGAGGCACTAGAGGGCTTCTACCTCATCAAGCAGGTCAAGCGAGTCAAGTACGCATCTCAGGATAGTCCAAGCAATCAAGTACGAGGCCCTGAAATGTCAAATGAAGCAAGATGGGGTGGTGGACTTGACTTGACTGGCTTGTGAGCAGCGCTGCGGATCAACATGATTCATTTCGAAGTCATAACTGGGACAAACAAGAACAGAAAGGTAGACGGAAATTCAGATCTGCAACTTGCGTATGGCGTCCTCTCATCGTTCTCCACGCTCCCGTGAGATTATATCAGCAGAGTATCCACGCTTTAACTCTCTCAAATACTCATCAAACTTCTCCACTTCCTGTATCACCTGAAGTATATGCTCGTAATCCAATGTTTCCCCACGGTGAATAGCAAGCTGTCGAGCCGTCGAAATGGCGTTTCGAATTTCGCGCCCGTTGAGGCTGGTCTTTGCAAGTTCTGGAAGACGCGCTCGGATGCCTTTCACATTGATCCTTACTTTCTGCTGGGTGGCTTCAGACCCTTTGGCGTCCTCTGCCTCTATAGTTGGATCCATCTCTAGGTTTTCGACGCGGTTGATGAAGTTTCCCCAGATTTTGAGCCTCTTGCTTTCATCGAGGTTCTCGTAGCGAAGGTTGAGCTGTATTCGGGACTTGAAGGCTTCGTCAAAGGTTCCGACCCGGTTGCTCGTCAAGATCAAGATACCTTGGTGGAGGTCAGTTTTGAGCCAAGAATGCTGGAAGTGATGTAGTTGAATTACCGTCATAGTACTCCAGCACCCGAAGGAAGACTGCGTCGCGTTTTGGTCAGATCAGCTATGGGTGCACCGCGTCGGAAACCGGCCTTACCTGACACAAGCGCATTTCTTTCCAGGCTCTGGAGCGTACGCTCTTCCAGAAACACGTCGGCTTCGTCGAGAAGAACCACTGAAAAGCTAAGCAAAACCGCACAACTCCATCTTGGTGAATGGTTCCTTACCGCAGCCCCAAGTTTTCCCTAGCAGCAACACAATTTTCAGGTACTAAGAACGCAAGTCAGTCCGGTCCCCCTCCCCCCCGCGGGGTTACACGTGTCTAACCTACTTTTTCTACGTCCTCTGCCTTGGTCCCGATATCCCCACATGTGACCCTATAAAGAGGCTTCTTCGCAACCTCGGCCACACTGCGATTTGGTTAGCGTTATGGCTGAACGATACCCAAATTCTTCTCACCTTTCGGCCGTTAACGTTTTGCCTGTTCCAGGACCACTATGAATTCTCTGTCAGCTCGAAAGCGTGGCAGAGTAGCGCAGTAAGAGGCATACCCATGCAGCAAAATGAAGAGACCGTTCCCTTTACCCACAATGAGATCCGTGTTCTTATCGGCTCTCAACTTGGTAGTTACAACAGCTTGAACGAGTTCCTTAGTCCTCTCGTCAATCACCAAGTATTTGAAGGCCTCTTCATTCCATACTACATCTTCCATAAAAGCAACACCCAACTTAACTGTATAAATGACTGTGAGCTCTTCAACATTCGATTCCCAGTGATTTTGAAAAAAGAAAAGAAAACAAAAGAAAAAAACGCACCCCATTCCTTCTTCTGCATATTGAATCCTACCATAGTGGTGGGTAGGCACATGAAGAAGTCATCTTCGAGGGGCGGATGGTCCTGATTCATGAGCTCGTGCCCGAGATCGCTGACGTCGGTGGTGTCATATTCATCCTCATCTTCGTTCGGATGCATCTTGCGGTAAGTCTCGTAATCGACCATGAATCTCGCATCAACCTGGTTCCGCTGTGTCAGCATGGTGACGCGCCCGAGATATCGTTCATGGGCCGTACTGATGGCTGCAGGTCGTCGCCTACAAATTGAGATGAAGACACATAGTTCCGATGCCGGCACCTCCAGAACATCCGACCACGAGCTCTCAATGCTTCAACGGTCTCTGAACGTGCATACTTGATCGGGAAAACAGAAAGATCCTCAATAGGAAATGGCTCATCGGTGTCGACATGTGGGATGTCTTCAAGTTCCAGGGTTTCATGAACGTGGCTGAAACCGCCCTGGAATACCCAAAAGATGACCTCAATGGCTGGCCTAAAATAAGGCCGTGAAGGATTACTGTTTTCTATCCAGTCGGTAGCAGAGACGCCCTTCAATTGATGTAACTTCGATCCCTCCTCTTTAGATAGAAGGATCTCATTAGGAACCTTGGATATATCTTAGTCAAGTGACACAAAACACATTTGATGCGAAGACGTACGAAAAGATACTGCAAGTATCCCGCAGTAATTCTCCCCTCCTTCAGGAGTTGATCCACTTCATTCCATTCGTCTTTCAGTTGGCCTTCGATGTAGTTTAAAACAACATCGACATGGGCGCAAAGCACCGCATCAAACTGCTCAGTGGCCATTTTGATTTCCTGTCGGCGATGGAAGCACCAGAGGTACGGGTAAGCGATCTCGCTGTTCGACTCGATATCAAAGCTCGGGCATGGGACGTCTTCCAAGGCCTCAAGAGCTATTTTCTTCAAGCCTTCGGATAACAGGTCGGACTTGATGTGGATGTACTCTACTCCAAACAGTGGGGAAGAGTAGGAGGCTGGCGACGTGGAGCTCAGCGTGAGCAGCTGACGATGGTCTACTGCAATTCCGCAACACTGAAGCTCTCGATACACAATGGCCGTGATATCTTTGTTTCTTTCCAGGTGCAAATCTAGGTTGGAAACCACTTTGCTGCCTCTTAGATGCGCATTGTTTCGGCCTGACTCTACCACCCAAGGCTCGTCGAAATAAAGTTGTCGTGAATTAAACTCTCGACAGAACACCACGTAAATAACCTCGCAACGGAGGGCGTCGTTCGTTTCTGTCTCCTTGCGTTCCATGGTTTTGGCCTTTTCCAGAAAGTCGGCCGTTGATTCTTTGGTATCGAGTACACAGCTATCGGACACATGCGGTTCCAGGCCGAGCAGATCGCACAGCTCGGCGCGCCAATCGATCATCTGCTTTGGTCGGTACTTTGGGGGGCCTTTGGTGGAGGCTAGATCGTTCTCTGCATATGTCTGTCCGGTGTACTCTGCCTGACCTGGTGTTGGCCGCGTGGGACTTGAGGCTTGGCTCGTCTGGGGTTCCGGGGAGGAGTACGAAGCCGAGGGGGCTGCGTCCACATGGCCGGTTCGTCTGGACTTGTGCGTTGATCCATATTTGTCTGTCGACCTGATCTTTCGAGGTTGTTGTGGACGACGAGCTCTGTCTGCCATCTCGATGCTTCTTTTCGCGGCTGATGTGAACACCTCTAGGTTGCAATTTCGATCAGGCTCACAGCCTGACGTGCCTTTAATGCGGTGTCCCGGCATTCGCAATTACATGCCACCGACTATGCTACCGGGGCTGAGCGGCTATCATACCAATGAGAGGATGCCAAGCTTGCGGCACAGTCAGCACCACAGTACTGTTCTGCTACCCAGCAGGCTGACCAGATTGTGACGATGCCAAGTCGCCAACGAAGTTGTCTTGCTTGACTGATTCTTCAACCATACCCATAAGGCGGCCTAAGGACTATCCTACAGGATTCCAGGATCTTCTCTCCACAGCAGAGTAAGCAGCTTTCAAGTATAATGTCTATGCAAAAAATACTGGACGCCCTCACAGGCTTATCTAAGATGCTGAGAAGCTCGAATTATGGGATCTGGGAACCTACCATTACAATTACACAAATCTCATGGACGCGGTCCGCGCCAGGCTTCGTGCTGATTTTGACGACCAAAGCTTCCTAGCGATACTCGCATTTCCAGCTCAGGAGTCTTCAAAGCCATACCTACTATTTGCCAGTAAGGTCCCAATAGCGGTTTCAGCTATTTACAGCCTTTTCAACTGCTCTATAGCCACCATTAACTTGACAACGCTGGAATGCAATGCCCAGAAACACAAATGCTTGCCTAAGCAACAGCGTCGACTCCAAAGCCGACCATTGGAATCAGGTGGAGAATTTCGACGTCTTTATGCAATCGATAATGCTATGGAGGAGTGGCCGGCAATGACAGCCATGGCTCCAGGAAGTGCATCAGCAACGGAGAACTACATCGCCAACGACAGAAGTGTTTTCAGTGCTCAGAAACATCGGTCGTGGGCTGGATTAGATATCGAAGTGTTCTCTCGGAGGCTTACCACGGTGATGAACACGGCATGGGATGCAGGGATCGACAAGCACAATATCACAAAGGCAGCAATATTTACCAACTCCTCCTTGGACCTTGAAAATGAGTGGACGAATCATACAATAGCCACGGTCATCACAGTCCAGAACGCGTACTACGTAAAGGTGTTTTGGCTGGTTCTAATATTCTTCACGACAATGGTGTTGCAGATTCTGGCTATTGGTGGATTCGTTCTCTGTCATTTAATTCGTGGCCCGGATATTCTCGGGTTCGCAAGCTCCCTCACACGAGACAACCGCTTCGTGCCCATATCAGGCGGCTCGCACTTGAACGGGGCAGAGCGAGCTCGGGCTCTGCGGCACATGAAAGTCCAGCTGGCCGATGTGAAGCCGAAGGACGAATTTGGCTATGTGGCACTAAGTGCGGTACTAGGGGCGGAGTCCAGGTTCACAACCAAAGAAAGAGCATTTATATAGTATGCTTCTTTCTACTTGGGAAACAGAGAATACCTGGATATCATGTTGGAGCTATTTAACTTAGGGTGGAAAGATTTAAAAACTAGAATGTCTATATAGTGCTAGCTTAAGAGACGACTGGCAACCTTACCATGGGATGTTATTAGGAAACAAGACTGTACTCTCCATTTTGTTTCGCTGTATACCGTGCTGTGCTCCCTCTACAAAAAGAACTTGACTCCATGAAACAAAAGACATACAACACCAGGTACTCGCTGGTCGTCACCGACCCAACTACTAATCCGGCCCTCACTGGCTTATCTAAGGGAGAGCGGACGGGATCCCGAGTTCTCCAGTGGGTATGGTCGTATGTACCAACGTCTGAACCACAACCTGCTTATCCCGGGCCTCTCCGTCCCGAGGTTCTCAGACGTATGCTGCTACCGGCCAGAGGAATCGGCAGCGGGCGGCTATTGAGGTTGAATCGGTCAACACATTGCTAGGGCCCCGAGGATCGGGATGAATAGACTGTACCTTGAGGGTATCGCTACGAGGGCATCGCTATGAAAGCTACCCAAGCTGTTTAGACTTTGCTTGCCTGATGTTTATAAAGGTTTCTGCGTGTGACTGCTATATGCTGAGAGGGTATACGCTTGGGCGTACAATACATATAGAGGATCGAGATGAAAGGTCGAGGTTGTGTGTGTTGTCTCGGGCTCGTACTCGTCAGCGAGTCTGCCATTGTATGATAAGGGCGGGAGGGGGAAAACGGATGTGATGACATCGGCGCATTCGCGAACATCAAGTACAGAAACGATTGGCGACTGTAGGTGGGTCTGCAAAAGCCTGGTTGCAACATGCTGTTCGGTTTGATGAGTGTGGCCTGTCGCCTTTGCTCCTGAGGAGCTCGAGCAGTGTACCCAAATCCAGTCTTGCGATTCTGAAGAAGTGACATGGACACTAACTACGTGCAAGATCGCCATGGAACAAATGGAAGCAACAGGACCATTTCGGTTTATTGATATCAGCAGCATTTCACGAATTCCGGGGCCGTCCAGGTGCATTAATAAGAGTCTCAGTTGACCAGACTATATTTACTCGACACTCATGCTAACGCCCCTGATGCAACAAATAGAAAAATCCAGGCAAGGTTACAAACTCCTCTTTGGCCAGAGGAATCCTGAATCCAAGACGCAAGCAAAACGCACTGCCCGCCGAAAAAAAAAAGGATGCGAGAACAGTTCCACAGTGTAACAGTAAAGAAAGTCTGGTTACGGGTATACAAGAAAACACCCTATACGGAATAAAGCCATAGGAATTCCCGAGACCTGGGTTTCCCGGGATCCCCTTTTTTCCCCTGCTCAGCTTGATTTTGCTCTTCGTGGAATCGCCGTTGTGTTGTTCCGCCCAAACCAGAAGAGAGATATAAAAAAGTAGTAGTGCCTTCCCCTTGATCCAGTCCGTCTATAAAAAGGCGAGTAACTCTCTTATGGTGGCAAACGGTTATGAGAAATCGATCCAGACGTCAAGTCGGAGGGACGGGTTTATGAGGATAAGGAGACGTGGAGCCTCGGGGTGGTAGTGAGACATAGCGTTTTACGGCGGTATGGAGGTAGATTTTGTACAGAGTCGGAAAGGGTGGGGTAGCATCTAGTTGCGGACGGCGGGCATGTCCCACTTGCCACCGACGCGGGCGACGACGGCAGAGTCTTGTACGGCGTTAGGGTCCCAGGTGGCTCCCGGCTGGACGATTCGGCGCATGATACGGCTCGTCTTGAGGATTTGGGGGTGAACAGTGCCAATGTCAATGGGTACGCTGTTGTGGATGGCCTCGAGGCTGAGATCGCGCTTGCCGGCGGCGGGGGCAGCAGCCTGGCCGGGCTTGATGACGGCGAAGTAGATTGCGACGACGGCGGCGATAATGGCGACGATGAGGACTGGGCTGAGTTAGTGGCGAATCATGTCTGCACAGCCTCGAATACTTACCGCAGATACCCAGGCACCACCACTTCTTCTTGCGGGTCTTGCGCGCGGTCTCGACGGCGACGCCAATTTCCTGGTTTCCCTTGTCCAGGTTCTCGACGACCTCCTCGCCCTTCTGCTCAATCTGCGTGACGGCGGCCTCCTGCTGAACGACGAGCACATCCATGTCCTGGAATAGTTGTGCGAGCTCAAGTATCTGCTGCTCGATCTTCTCCAAAGCGGCCTGGCGATCCTGGACGGCGCTAAGCACGCTGTTGGCCTGTGCTTGGCGGCCAGACTGCATGACGGCCTGCTGGAAGATCTGGGCACCGGCACCGGCATCTTCGACAGCGGCGCGGACCTCCTGCTCGTCGGCGTCGGGACGCACAATGCGGTACTGACGAGCCATCTGATCCTGGGTGCGCTTGCGAAACTGTGACTCGACCTGCTGGTACTGCTGGATGGCGCCCTTGAGGCGACGGTCGACGCGGCCGACCTGCGGCGAGTTCTTGGGCGTCTGGCCTTCGGGGGTGGACTTGACCTGACGGACACGTTCGGTGAGGGAGCGGTACATGGTCATGGTCTCGGAGGAGAGGGCGTCGAGTTGGCGGGCGGTGGAGGACGAGGCGGAGGTGTCGGCGTCGGTGAGGGTTCGCTCCTGCAGCATGCGCAGCTGGTTCAGGTTGGCCTCGATCTGGTCAACTCCTTGGTCGATGGATCGGCATTCGTTCAGGATCGCGTTAGGGTCGGAAGACTGGCCGAAGCCGCCGGCGTTCTGGGCGAGGGATTCCATCTCAACGTTGGTACCTGGAGGGGGGAAGGCGTCAGCGATTGAGCGAGGACGACCGTCGCGGTCAGGAGCATACCGTATTGGTCCCTACCCATTGCTGGTCCGTTGTTGTATCTGGAACCTCCGTAGGGAGACGGCCCCGAGCCGAAGCCCTGCTGGGGAGGTCTCGGGGGAGCACCGTATCCTCCCGCAGGCGAATCATCGCGCTGGTCAAATGGGTTCTGACGACCACCGTATCTGTCATTAGTTGAGTCTGTTAGTCTACCGCGGCCAAGGTCGTATTCGTCGTCGTGGGCGCCGTCGGCTCCTGAGAGAGAAACATACCCGTACTGTGCCATGATGTTAGTTTTTTTTCGGCTTCGGATATCGGTGGTGGGATCAATTAGGAGAGGTAAGGAGGAAGTCGGGAGGAGTGGTCAAAAAGCAAGCAGCACCAAGAAAATGCAACGCAACCAGGCTGAAGCAGTTATGATGATGTGCGGAAAGTAGGTTGGTGATCGGAGTAGGACAAAGTTTGCCTCGTTGCAAAGAAGGAGGAGTGGGCGGACTTTCTCGACTTCGAGAAGGGGGACCAAGCGAGGAGGAAGATGCGGCGATTGACAGGCAGGAGAAGAGGCCAAAGGTACGACGCAATGCAACGTTGGTAGGGCAGGGCAGCGTGTGTAGAGGCAGAGGAGGCAGAGGCAGAGACGAGAGGGTAGCAGTAACAGGGCGAGCGGTCGAAACGCCGGAAGTGGGAGGGTTGGGGTGAAACACTGACACTCATGGCTGCTTCTGAGAAGCGCGTAGGCTTCTTCCTTGCGCGACGACGGGGCGATCTCTAGGAGATGACTTTGGTCTTGGTCGTCGGTCGCGATGCGAAGGAGAAGAAGTGGACGCCTTTTAATTGATTGTGATTTCGGCGGGAGGTGAAGCAATTGAGTACGGGTAGAATGGGCTGCGATGGCAAGAGAGCCGGAGATGAGACGATTGGTGGTGATGATCGAAAAGAGGTGACAAGAGAGAGGACAAGAAGACGACGGAAGTCTCAGGCTCTCTTTTGTTGTGGATAAGGGTATTCGTGCAAAAGTACAGTACGGATACCCAAGGGGATGATGCGACCGGGGGTGGATTGTGTTCAGGGGAGAAGCGAGACGAGAGCGGATTTCCACTTTTTCGCAAAAGGTGTTCGAGGGCCGACGCGGGAGTTGTGGCTTGATGCGCTTCTTTGTAGCAGAAATTCGAATTGTCTGTGAGGTGGGAAGAAGCGTGGCCTGTGAGGGAAGAAGAAGGGGGCCCCTGCCTTCGGAATGATCGCCGTTTAGGTAGCGAGCGGGCAGGCTGCAAAGACTGAGATGAGATGATGGAGGGTCCGTGGTGATTGTGAGAGGCAACCGTGGGTTATTTTTGTTCGTATAAGTCAGTCTCTCTGACTGAGGGCGGGAAGTATATTCGTCAAATGTTGCGTTGACGATTGGTGTATATCAGTAATGGAAGTACGAATATCTCCAATTCGATACTTGGCGATGATTCTTTCCTTCTCGTAGACTTCCAGGTACCGTTGAGGTAGGAAGTGCAGTGCAAGTGCAAATGCAGCAAGTGCAGGCAGGCGCAGGGGGCTGAAGCTACACACGCAAGGGAAAGGGGCGCGGCTTCTCGTTCTGGTTGCAGCAGGTTCAGGAACTGCCCTCCACTGAGTTCCACTGTTCCACCGTTTCCACTGGGTCTCGACTCTGGGTGGATCCCCTTTTCTTATTTTGGCGGATTTCGATTGGCTGATGACCGGGATCCTGAAGCTTAGACGGTCCCCTCCTCTATTTTGGTTTGTTCGTGGTTCTCTGTAACGAACCCGGGAGGCGAATAAACTTGAGGCGCTGGGCGGGAGATGCGAAGACGAGGACCCAATGAATTCAATGCGCCTTCTCTTCTTTTTTCTCGCGAGGATATGCCAAGCTTCTTTCTTTCCAAATTGAATTTCGAGGTCGATATCGTTGCGGCTTTCGATGCTTGATGATTCGAGTCGAGTCGAGTCGAGTCGGGTGCTGACTGGACCTTGGAGGTTGACGCCCGAGCACACTTATGCGCCCTTATGCCGTTATGCTTCTCCCTCCTTCGCTGACTGTTCGTGGCCCCAGGTACCGGAGTAATGCCCTGATGCACAGCCAAACGTTGCTGATGATTTTCTTCGTCCTTGGAAATGCTTGTGACGCAGCAAAAAAGGACGGCCAAGAATATTTCTCCAAAAAGGTAACCCGACAGGGGTTTCTTTTGTCTTAGACGGCCAATGTCGTGAGCGAATCGATTCTTTCCCCTCCCTCTGCTGCTTTGGTTTCAACCGCACGCACCGCCGCGGCTTTTCGTTGGCTGGTAAAAAAAGACGCCGCGACCGAATGGCAGCGAACCGAGAATTGAGGGCGACGGACCAATCAGACAGCTGTTCCAGTCGCTGGTCTCTTTTGTTTCCTGCGTGTTCGTGTTTGTCCTCCTGCTGAGGGGGCAAAGCGGCGAAGTAGGTAGTGGGTGTCGTCGGCGGGTTGTCGCTGATCAATGCCCACGACGGCCGTTGCGAGCGAGTCGAGATGGCACCTTCAATTTGAATTATGAGGCGGTGAGCTTTGGGAGACAGCTGACAGTGCTGAATTTGACAGATGCAGTGGTTGGTGTGCACTGGTGACGTGGGTGATGATCTCTTGATTGCGGCAAGCAACTAAACACCAGAGAATGAAGCTCGAGATCGAGTAAACGAGAAAGAGAGACAAGAACCACCTTCAGCTACACTCAGAAATTGGGGAAGCCGCCTCTTAAACCACCCACCCACCACCTCATCACCAAGCTCAAGTAAGAATCAGGCTGGACCAATTTTAACCACAAAAGTCCAAAAGAATCCTTCCGGGCCACTGGCATCCCCGCCCGCCCTTTCAGCTTACGGTCTCGGAAAGCATGACGGCAGCAGCAAGCGGCCAAACCACATGCTAACAACCGCAAGCCTCTTTTTCTCTTCTGGCCATTGCCCCCTCTTCCATCTGTGAGGCTGGAATTAGCCTTACCCGAACCGAAAGCCAGCTGGCACAAGCTCTCCCGTTCTGTGAGAGACAAGAGAGAAAGAGAGAGAGAGAGCTGTTGATCTGTTGGATCTTTTGGCGGTGATGATCAGGAACCGATCAACACACCCCGGCTCACAGCTCACCTTCCTTCGGGCCACCTTTAGACGCAAGCCGTAAGCCCGGTCCGGTCGTCAGCAGGCTGGCGGTTTAAACAATGACGACCTTGGCTTGGCCCCGAACGGTAAGGTCGATGTCGAGAAAAAAAAAGAGGAACCCTGCCATTCGAGATCGTAAATCCAGCTGCCTAACTGCGGCTTACTATGGAGCACTCAGTAAACGACAACATGCCAGTAGCTATCCGTACCTCGAAAGAGAAGCCGCAGCGCACTTCAGCTCAACTCAGCTCAGCTCGTCATGGAACTACGGAGTTTTCCTACGGAACTACTAACAAAACCGCAGTTTTGCTTCCTAATGTGCCTCTCGGCACCAAACAAAAAACACAGCCTTCGCGCCGTCCCCGTTCATAGCCCGACCTAACCAACCGGCTCTCTACCTCGCAGCATCCCGCTCCAACGCTGCACACTCATCAACCTGCGCCATCGTCTCCCGGGATGCGCTTCCTTTCACCTCCCTTGGACTCGACCTCTCAGCCTCCAACATCGTCACGCGCCAAGCCCAGATCTATGAACTCTCCCTCTCCCTCAGCTGGGGATATCCCACCATCGCCGGCTCAGCACAAAACTCAATCCCAAGCATCTCCATTCCCGTCCTTTGAGGAAGAAGGCAACTACAAAATGCAAAATGCTAACGCCAATGCCTACTATGCAGTATGCCCTGATGCGCGGGGTAAGCAAGATACTCCAGTTCAGCAAACTTCCTCGAAGTCATTTCATTCGACAATGGCAACGGTGAACTTGCAATTCAAGCTTTCCATCTCCCCATTCCACACGCCTACTAATCCCAAAACCCACCAAAGCCTGCCCGCAATGCGTGCCGTTTTTGGAGCAGAGGCATGCTGACACACACCCTCTCCCCTCCGCCTCATCTCGCGGCGAGCCAGGGAGGACCGTAGGGCTGCGCCCAGGGAAACACCCTCTCTTCGAAAGTCGTCATCCCGTGCGGAACCGGAACCAACGGCCTTTGGCTCCGGCAGACCGGCCCGTCCAGTACAGTCTACCTCAAGTCATGCCCTTTCTTACACCTCCAGTAGCCGTGCCGGCTTGGACAACGACATCAGACCCGGCGGGTTCATGCACACGTTTTACTGACCACATATCTTCATCTGGTTTCAGTCGTCTGCAACACATCGTCTCTTTGACCTCTCTAGACACACGACGACTTTGGATGGAACAATGGCCCGTCAGTGATCAACCGCCAGCTTGGTCTTAGCTACTAGAAGCCCTCGTGGAAAGCTTCTCTGCTTTGAAAATGCGCTTCCATGCCGCAAAATTCGTCGGGTATGAAACCCGCGTGTCTAAGCACGCACAAAACTCCTTCATGCCCACGCGCCGGCCCCTCTCCCCGTAGCTCCACGTTGTCAATAATCACGTACACCCACAAACTCCAGCCCTATTACTCAGCATAGCTCTTTCCTCCCTTCTCATACCACGGCGTACGCCGAGACGTAGCTCACGCTCGAGTCGCTCGGGTCCGTAACCATGCTGCTGCGCTGGTACTGCACGAACTTGAACACCGGGTGTCCCTCGCCCAGCTCCTCCAGCGCGGCCATCGTCACGCCGATCGGGTGCCGTCCGCAGACCGTGTTCTTGGTCTGCTTGAGGTTGTCGTAGAAGTCGCTGTGCCTGCCCGTCTTGATGGCCTCGATGGCCATGTCGTCCACCATCTTGATCGTCTCGTGGATCTGCGGGCCGTCCGGGACGCCCGAGTACTGGCGGAGGCGCTGGAGGCTCGAGAGGGTGCCGTCGGGGGCGTAGACCGTGTAGTCGAAGTGGCTGCCCCAGTGGCAGAAGTCGGAGCTGACTACGAATGCGTTTTCGGGGTCCTTCAGGTACGGCGCGAGCCATTTGCCCACCTCTTTCTCTTCGGCCTTGTTGTTGTCGCCTATCAGCATGGGGATGACCGTGGGGTACTTGTCCGGCGAGTCGAAAGTCTGCTGGATGCGCTTGAAGAGGAACGGCAGGTGCAACTCTAGGCAGTGCTCTGCCACGTCGTTCTTGACCGGGAGCTCTGGGATGTCGAGCTCGTCGCGGATGTGGTTCGCGATCTTTTGGTCAACGGTCAGGTCACCGAACGGAGTCGCATATTTCTCGAAAGATGTGATGGCGCAACCTCGGAGGTAGAAGGTGTGCGAGGGGCCGAGGAGGAAGACGCGTTTCGCTTGGGAGAGGTCGAGGGCTTTGTATGCCCACGCTGCCGTTGGGCCGGAATAGGAGTAACCTGCGTGACTGCGATCACGGTGGTTAGCTGAGCCTACCAAGAGGCGCGGGATGAGTAGAAAGAAGCAGGATAAAAGGCTTACGGGGCGATGATGACCCTGGCACCGGGAATGGGGAGGCCATTTTCGTCAATCTGGTCTGGTACAGCGGCTAGGAATTTGTCGAGCTCGGCATCGAGGGCATCTGGGTCGCCTTTGTACCAAGAGCCGGCCTTGGACAGAGGGCGAGTGGCTGAAGGTGCCATTTGTGTCTCGAGGATCTCAGAGAGATGATGTTTGGATTGTTGACAAAGAAGTCTTCGAAATTTCAAGAAAGTGGCCTCACGATTGTCGAGGCACGTACCGGGACTGCGAGCTTGAAGAATGGAAGGCAAGAGAGAAGCTGCCCCGCCTTCCACTGCTGCGAAGCTGCCCCTGTAAGGTTCGTTCGTCATCAGCTGTAACCGTGAGGGGCAGCTGCGGGGAAATCCCGTAGCGTCCCGCCTCGGTAGTGGGGCCGTCCGACCGGACGGGCCGACACAGCGGCGGCCGGTGCCGGCTGCATTCAGCGGTTTGGGTACTTTACAACGAAAAGTGCGACCAACATGAGGTAATTCAAAACATATCAGGACTTCAATCAAGCCAGCTGCCCGGCATGATTTCAGGCGGATTGTCCACCGCTTCCCAGAACTCCGCGGCCAAGACTTCGTACTCCGGAGCCCACCACACTCTCCAGTCCGTAATTTCGGAGCCGTAAGTCAAAGCCGTTAGACGGATAGACACCGACCTCAATTCTGGCCTGCACCACTCATTTTTCATCCACCGCTGATGTCTCGCCACAGAATCGGCGTCGAATGTTCCCTGACTCGACGCAAACACCTCCTTCTCTCTCATCCCGTACTTGAGTAGGTCGATGCCGCACTCGTTAAGCTCGCTCAGCCAACTTCTCAGAGTCCCTTGAAGTACCAAGTCTAGATGATTGTGTACCGATCTGGCTGACGACCGCATCTGGCACAACGTGCCACCAACGACCGAAATCAGCGGCGAGCCACGCCACGGCGCGACATCGAAATCGTAGCACGGCTCAACCGTCTCGACCCCGTGCAGCACTTTCTCGGACGTCGCCATGACGACTGAGCCTATTAGATACTCCCAATTCATGTTGAAGAGACGTCCCCAGATGCTGGACTTCTGGTAACTTGGCAATACATCCAAAGCACACCTCCGACCGAGCGCCAGGGCGACGGAGTGCACGATCGAAAGTCCAGACTTCGCCGATGAGTCGATAACCCCCCTCGAGATGCCCTGCTTCGTATTACTGTCGAGAAGGAACCGCACGGTATTGGAGGATTGCACTTCGGAGAAGCAGGCCCTGCGGACTGCCTCGGCGCGGACTCGCAGCGGAAGGCCGTGGTATTCCGGCATGAACCAGCCCTGAAAGGCTCGAAGGCAGTCGTCATCTATGGACCAGTCTCCGAGGTAATCAAAAAGTTTTGGTATTTCGATCGAATCGATACTGGAGCGGTACTCGAGAAAGAGGTCGAGAAGGCGGTGATCCTTATCATAGGAGCTTTTGTCGGCGTGGGAGAAAACCAGCTCGTCGAGAGGACTCCTGGATGAGGGCATGGTAAGTGGAAAGATTTTGTCGTAACAGAAGTCAAGCTCCCTACCTTTCCCTCCCGGGATGGTGTTCATCCATGCTATCTGTTAAGCCCAACTCCAGCAACGTCCGAGACGTGTCGATCTGCCAGCTTTCGGTGGCATACTTTTTCCATTGTCAGCCTCCGTTCTAGGTCGATTCCGAGAGTAGCTTACATGCAGCAGTGACGCGCCCTTACTATCTCTATCGTACGGTGAGGCCTCTCCAGACCTAAAAAGCGACAACATCTCGGAGACTTCGCCGTCCCGAACCACCTTGAATATCTGGGAGTCTTCTGGCCGGATGCTGTACGACCTCAAAGCGAAAGTCCAACCAGCAACAGCGCGCTGGGCCATAAACTCCCATGACCAAGCGTCCCGTGACATCCAGCTAGGCGCCTGTAGGAACATTTGCCAGTACCCCGCGCTCCTCGACGAGTTGAACAAGATCTTCCCAAGGGCCGATGGAGTATATGAGGCCAGTTTCACGCCGCAGTGATGAGATTTTACCACCGTATAGACGCCTTCCTTCGCAGACTCTTTCTTGTCCACTGGTTTCTTGAAAGTGGCGTTTTCTTCATTCTTTCCGAACTGCGAAGTCAACTCGAGCGTGACCCTTCGAACGATTCGGTCCTCGGATGCCTCGACAAGCGTCTGCGTTCGGCTCAGGACCATCGACGACGTATCTTTGATAATGCGATCGTCGGACGTCTGATCGACGGCCCTTCAATCACTGTTAGTCGCCATCTCAACAACCGAACCGAGAAACGTGCGCGACTTACAGCCGGTAGCAATCAACACACAAGCCCAACACCTTCAGCGCCCGATCGAGCCGCTTTTGCAACTTGACCACCTCATCCTCTCTGAACGCTACTTTCAGCATCCCGAACTTCTTCCCCAGCCGTCCTTTCTTGCTCTTTATATCGTCTTGGAACTTCTTTGCAAGAGTTTTGACGTTTTGACTCGCCGTGATGGCGTATTTGACGCATTGCTTCGCCGACGGGAGGGCGGCTAGCTGTGGACGCTGCTCGAACTCGCATTTGATGTAATTCAGCATCGGCTGAAGGAGTTCGAGCTGCTCTAGAGCGTCTTGGAGATCATCCGGTACGTCATCGAGCTCGCGCCACAGCTGAACGAGTTTGGCTAGGCTGACGCCGAGTTGAAGAAATGCGATCGCGCTCGCGGCTGCCTCCATTTCATGTCACCCGAGCTCAGCTACAAGCGAAATCCGAGAGGGTTCAGATTACAATGAATGCATGAGAAGAGAAAGATCCGAAGTCTTCGTGACGATCACTTGGTTTCCGGTGGAATGCGGCTACTTCTACAGTTGAAGCAACACAACGAAAAGAATGGATGGAAGAGAGTATGCATCTGGAGGAATCTCTGCATTCGCAGGCCGCCAGCTTAAATCCAGAAGCTGCGCATAACATGGGAACATGAGATCCAGCTGTTTCACAGCCCGGCGGCGCAGAGCGGGACGGGCCTGTTGCATCGGCGGCAAAGATGCATATTGGCATGGGTTCGCAACCACTCACGTACGCTGACAGTTGTGGGTGGCCGCGACCGACCCAACCAACACGAATGTCCGCATTACTTCCTTCATAGAGAATGCCCGCAGTGCTAACACGGAGAGGGTGAAAGCTTCCATTCTAGACGTTTATTTGAGGCTGTGCTTTCTCGAAACATTGGCAGCACCATGACCCCCGCTCCTCTTCCAACCGGTCGCCAAATCAGTGATGATTTCCCTCATAACCATCAGGATCATCTCTGAGCTACTGCGAGCAGGACTTGCCGCGCTAGGTGAAAAAATATCTCAGTCTCCATCCTGAAGAGCATGGTTCTCTCCGAATTGCGTCTGACGGAGGTACGAATTGCTATAGGTGACGGAACCGAGGTTGCCTGGGCGCGACGTCTGAGGTTGAACTCCTCGAAGTCACACTCTGTTGTCTTGGCGTACACATCAGTTGGCTGGTCATCTTGAGCTTTGTTCTGACGAGGTAGTGCCAACGACTTGGCGTACCTGACAACGTTACTCCATCGTGTATGTTCATCTAGTTATTAGCCAGCCGTCGCAGCAATATTGGCATCTCAAGCTCACAACAGCGAGTGCTCCTCGTAGCCACCACCCCGTTTTCCAGCAGCCGAGATGGCCATTCCAAGCTCGCAATGTGCAGTCATCGGGGACCTTCGGATTCGTCCGAAATGAAAAGCACACCAAGCTGTGTCATCAGATCCAGCTCTTCATCCTGCGTCTCCCCCTCCTCACGACCCAGCCTTTCGAGTAGCCTCCTCCTAGTCCTAGCCGCCCGCCTAGCTTTCCTATTGGCTTTTGACTGAAGTTTAGCCTCTCGCTGGGCTATGCGTTGAGGCTCCTCTCTCTGATGAAGTTCCCCCCGGGTCAACGGCCGAGGCGCCTGAGCCACTGCTCTGAACAAGCTTAGCAGGCCCTCACAATGTCCTGACAGACGGCGCTCAGCATCGGTTACCGCTATCATGAGCAAAGCCCGCAGACAGTAGTGCGCATCGTTCCCAGCAGCGTGCAGATTCGCAAAGGGTATGTGCAAGGTCTCGAGCAACTTCTCCAAGCCGTATCGGTACCATAGCTGGAGGGGATACTGCGCCGCCTTGTTGGTGTCGACGACGTAGAGTGACCGGTCCGGGATATCGATCTCGAGGTGTCGGAGGATCTTCAAGTCCGAGTTCGTGCCGTGGAGAACGAGGATAAAGTCTCGTTGCGATAGCAGGTCATTTATTCTCGGTCCGAGTTCGGCGATGGCGATGGGCTGTGAGGAGCCGAAGAGAAATTTCTTCGATGCCCTTTTGCAGTAAGCCGACTCTCCTACCGTGAATTGGTATGATGTTATGGCGTCTTGATATTGTGCCGTGGTTGGTTCCAGGAGCATATCTTCCAGGATTCTCGCGTCTAGTATTGAGACCCCGATGTGTAATTGCTGGTCGGCGATGAGGCGCTCGTATCCTTGAAATGTGTCAATGTCGAGCCCGACGAAGAGAACATCGCGCAAGGGAGATCGCTGTAGCTTATTGCCAAGGCCTTTTGGTAGAAGACTTGATGGTGAATCAATGTCGTCGTATCCAAGGAAGTGCCGGAGGACAAGTGTTTCGTCCCTCAAAAGTCCCTTGTGGGCTGGTGTTGATTCTCGGCTGCCGCGTCCGGGCATCATGATGACTCTTGTAGACGAGATATCATTGCCAAGGGCCGAGAGAAGAGGAAACAAGCGAGTAATGAGGAACGCTTGGTGTGTGGGGCAAGCGAAGGAGCATAAGAATAAGGTGCCGCAGCGCGGTGGTGTTGGGCATTACGAAGGTCGGGATGTGGTCAGCGGCTGGTGCATCTGGGAGTATGGGATTGGAAGCAGATACAAAGCGAAGAAATCGCGATGCCGGATACCGACAAGGTGCTCAACGGATGACTCACCATGTATCTTGTGAGGCATGCCGGTAGGAAGCGTTGTTCTTCGTCAAGGTTCTTGTATGCTCAACTCTAATTTGACAGATTCTTGAATGGAGGCTTCTTGTTATCATAACACGGATTCATCTGTGCACAGACAGATGTCTTTCTGGATATCGCTTCGTCTCACCGCGCTGTATCGGCCTCGGAGGTTCAATTAGCATCTTATAGGGACTGTAGTAGCGCTTTGTAGGTTTCCTGGATAAATAGAGATGCTCGCCTTGTCGTGTATTAGTTCCATCTAACCCGCATAGCGGGTATTAAAGTCCTTCCTTCTTAGAAATGCAAAACGCCAGAACACCATACCGACTGTGTAGTAATAGAGTCTAGAGAGCTAACGTCCTTCGTTACTCATGATTCGTTTCCCATGTACGCCCGGTGCTCCGGATACAGTCCCAACACCGCCCTGTCCGGGTCTCAAAAGTACAAGCCTGGGAAGTGTGTTAGCGCATGGTCCGCCAAATTAAAGAATGGAAACTTGCCTGAAGGTATGATATTACACAAGCCACAAACCCCGTCAGCAGTAGGGCATGAGTATGTGCCAGCTTTCGGTCAAGTCTTCGCGACGTCACAAGGACGCTTCACTCCTGCCCCTCAAACTTCCCCTCACTCTCCAATCCACCACCCTCAGCACCTTTAGACTCCCTCGCCTTCTCAGCCCGGGCTTCCCCAGCCTTGACGACCTTCTTCATCACGCTCATCTTGCGCTCAAACTCCTCCAGAATCGGCCCGTACTCCTCTCCGCCGGACCTAGCCACGGCGCTGTTCGAACTAGGCAAGCTCTCCGCCTTGTCCTTCTCCCCACCGCCCGCGCCCCCCGCGCCCTCGCCGTCCACGCCCTCGATCTTCAGCACCAGCCCGCCCTCGCCCACCGTCTCGCCCTCCTGGCGCGAGATGCTGGCCTCGGTGACCGCAAAGTCGGCGCTTAAGCTCGCGGCCGAGCTCACCTTCCACTGACCGTCAGCGTCGGGGACGACGTCCAGCAGGATGGTGCGGTTGTTCGGCGGGGGCGCCGGGTTTTTGCCCGTCTTGGAGGCCGAGGCCGAGGACGAGGACTGTTGGTTGGCTGTGTGCTGAGCCGCGAGCGCCGAGGTGAGGACGTCCGGGTCGTCGTCGGCGAAGATGTACTTGACGGTCGGGTGGTGGGTCGTGTTTGTCGTCGAGTTGGAGACGAGGGTGAAGAAGCCGGCGGGGTCGAGCTTGGGGACCTTCTCGTCGGCTGCGGCTGCGGACTCGGTTTCGACCTGGGCGTCGGGGTTTGTGTTGGCGGCGTCCGTCGTCGTCTTCTCAGCCTGCGCGGCGGCCTTTTGGTTCTGGGATGACGACAGGGAGGCGGCGGGGCCGGGGCCGGGGCCGGGGTGCTGCTCGGCGACCTCGTAGCGCGGGGACAACGGCTTGTCGGGCATCATGAGGCGATGCAGGTCCTCAGAGGTCGCGTCTGGCTGCGCGGGCGGTGGCCTGTTTCTGGTATTCTCGCTGGACGTTGATGTGGTTCGAGTCGCGTCGTCGCGCCGGTTGGCATCTTCCCCCTGATCGGACTGATGGGAGCTGGCTTCGTCGAAGGGGTCCAGGGAGGGACGGGAGCAGCTGTTGGGTGACATGGTGGAGGTGGTCTGGGGTAGGAACCTCTGCTATCTTATCTTATCGCTATCTCCACGTGACAATAAATGTGATTTTGCATGTGATGCAATTGGCACCTCAGTTTACAAGTTGAAGATGGAAAAGGCGAGGATTGAAGAGCAGCGAACTTGAATTTGAACTTGAAAGAAAGAATAGAATCGATCTATATGCTTTTCAGTTTGAATTGGGATTTCTACAATCGATCCTTCTTTGCGACTGTTGTCGGTCGAGTCTCCCCTTTCGACTCCGAGCACCTTACACTACGGTGCATTTCCATAGGCAGGAGAAGTTGAACATGATCAAGGCTCTTACTTCTCCGTGGAAACCTGGAGTTCTTTTTCTTCTTTTCCTCAGTACCCTCCACACTCTAAAGAATGCCAAACCTATACAGAGACTGCCTGTGTATCCCCCCGCGAGCGCCTCAGCTGACTCTGTATGAATGCAAAACGCGCTTCATTGTGATCAGACTTGGGTATCATCTCTATAAGAACCATGCGCCAAACTCCAGCTTGAAATCAGTAAGGAGACTATCTCTCAACTCCAACGCCGTCGTTGGCCTGCTCAGTCCACTCGAATTCTGGCGGGGTCAGTGAGGTCTCTGTTGAAGACAAGGTGCAAGACTTACTCTGACGACACATGGGACATTGGCCCTTGGCTGAGTCTTGCTTGATCCACTCCATGATGCAGTGCTGTAAGTCTTGTTAGAGAGGGTTCAGGTCCGGCTGTGATGCAGGAAGCTCACCATATGGAAGTTGTGGCCGCACTTCCCGGACACTGCGTTCGATGTTAGTCATACAGAGGATGCATGAGAGATGGTTGACTCACAAAGACTGCAGTCGTCGCCGGGGTATTTGCATGTAGGGCATGTGCCGTCAAAGTGGACTTGGCAGATACCGCAGACGTCGTCCTCGGGGATATCCCACCGCCATGTTGCGACGGTGTTCCAGCGGGTAATCTTGACCTTCATGCTGCGGTCTGGGAGGATGGGTGTATCGTATGGTGTATTGTTGTATGAGTTGCAAATGCCACCAGAAAAATCAAAAGTCGATGGTGTCCTATTGCCTATCTGGGTTGTTTGTTGAAGTTGCGACGATGCTCAGTTGCAGCGGGGCAACAAGGTACCTACAAACAGGAAGTGGGGCCAGAAAGCAGCCAGTCAATCACGTCCGAAAAAGATGGCGAAATGGCCCAAGCTCCCCGCATTCACGCGCCCAAAAAGGCGGACCCACCAGCGCCTGGAGCTCCACCGCGCAAACGGAGTCATCAGCGACCGAACCGGACCCCGACCTCTCCCGCTTATCTCTTGGGTCTTGGGTCTTAGGTAGGACAGCCTTCCATTTTGACTGGAGACTTCCAGCAGCTGGAAACTGGAACTGGGGCTGGGTTGATTGCATTGAATTGCGCATGGCGGGCAACTTGAACCAACCAAACGACGGTTCCCCCCCAAATTCGCGACCGCAGACAACAATAACGTCGTCGCTGCCATTTCTCCAAAATCCTGCCTGACCGCCACCACACCGGTCACCGGCCCATACAAACTAAACCACCACCACTGCCACCTCTACGTCTTTTCAACCACCACCACCACCACCACCAAAAAAGTCGGGTGTGCGGCAAGCCTGGAATTGTAGCTTTTCCCCTCTCCAAACCCCGCACGCAAACCACCACATGCAATGCCTTTGCGGCTATCTCCTTCGTAATTTTTTCTCTTTCCCTCCTACTACCCTTCCAAGGGCCCTGCGTTCCGGGCTGCCCGCCCTCTGCCGTTGACATTGACCGATATCGACCGACCCTTCCTCCGTCCCGTCACGTCACCTCCCGACCGACCACAGCGTGATATCGCAACACACACGTCCGCTAGTATACATTATGGCCACCGTCGCCGTCTTCAGGCCGTCGCGCACCGCCGGCAGGCTGCCGCAATGGCATGCGCGCCCTCTTCAGGCCAGCCCCATCGCCTTCTTCGCACTGCGCCGCTCCTTCTCCTCATATCTCGTTACGCCGAAGGAGCTCAACGAGGCCCTGAAGAAGAACCCGCCCTCCAAGATCAGCCCGGATCCCCGCGTCATCCCCCTCTGCGCCTCCTGGTTCCTGCCCAACGATGGCCGCACAGGTATCGAGGTCTTCCGCCAGCAGCGCATCCCCAAGGCCCGTTTCTTCGACCTCGATAGGGTCATCGATCGCCGCAGCCCCTACCCGCACATGCTGCCGTCCGCGAAGGACTTCGCCGCTGCCATGAGCGAGCTCGGCATCCGCAAGGAGGACACCGTCGTCGTCTACGACAGCAAGGAGCTCGGCATCTTCAGCGCCCCGCGCGTCGGCTGGACCCTCAAGATCTTTGGTCACCCCAAGGTCCACGTCCTCAACAACTTCAAGCTGTGGGTTGACGAGGGCCTGCCCACCGAGTCGGGCGAGCTGTACACTACCGAGTGCTGCCCGTATCCCATCCCCAAGATGGACGAGTCCAAGGTCGTCGACTTTGAGGAGGTGCGCGAGATCGCGCTGGACCACAACAAGGAGGGCGCCGAGGGCGTGCAGATCATCGATGCCCGGTCGCCGGGTCGCTTTACCGGCAAGGACCCGGAGCCGAGACCCGGCCTGTCGTCGGGCCACATGCCGGGCTCGATCAACATCCCCTTCAACGCCGTCCTGGACCCCGAGACCAAGGCTTTCTTCCCGGCTGAGAAGCTCAAGAAGATCTTCCGGGAGAAGGGCGTTGACCCCGAGAAGCCCATTGTCTCGAGCTGCGGTACGGGCGTGACTGCCTGTGTCATCGAGACGGCTTTGGAAGAGGCCGCATACGGCTCTCCTGAGAAACGTAGAGTCTACGACGGAAGCTGGACGTAAGTTGCGCACCCCTGATGGTCGTTGTCAAGCAAAGCTAACACAAACACAGTGAATGGGCGCAGCGGGTTAAGCCTTCCGACTCGCTCATCAGGAAGGATGAGTAGACGCTGGGCGATAAACATGCACTTGTTGGAAACGGCCCAATCCTTATCCATAACCCCCCAACTCCGTATCTACAATTATCCGACTTCAACAATAACTCATACCAGCCGGTGGTTTTGCAGCGCGAGGTTGCTTCTAAGTCGCGATACCCTCCCTACCCCACTTCTGCTTTTTCTGGTTCACTTTTCATGTACGATATCCGGCTCTCAACTTTTTGGAGTTTGCATCGCGCATCAGAGGGAGGTCTCGTAAGCCCATTTCGTCGTTTGGAAGAGCAACCCAATGGAAGGTGGCTGGTGTACATAGGCGGCCACGATAATGATGAACAAAAACCTGGAATATCTCACGTCAAACCCGCTGCGAGACGTGTGACTCACGAACTTGCGCTTTATGTTTGCTCAAGGCATTGACCGCCAGTGTCTATCAGTGGAGTTGGCGAAACTGCCGGCGCATTGAATCGCAATCTGGAGATGAGGGGTGAATCAACCTGTGGAACACCATGCCCGAATAGTGGAGATCGTCTCGGTCTGTCTCGGTGAACCGCCAGGGACCCCCACTCTCCCTCACCGAGAACAAAACTGTCTGCCTCGAAGCTCAGGCCACCTATTCCTCGTTAGGGCAAACCCGCCCGGAAATTCTGTTAAGCAGTGCACACCGTCCGAAGCGAGAAAATAATCGCCCGGCCCTGACAGCCACCACAGCAATTCGACCCCCCCGCAAAAAAAGTAAGTGGTTTGGTCGAATCTCGAAATAACTTCCAAACACCACCACTAACCCTCCAGCAGCAGCAACTCTTTTTGCGTCGCGCATCCCTCCTCATCAACAACACCCCTCCGACGACAATATGGCTGACCGTGGTGCAAGCGCCCCCCGTGGCGGCGGTGGTTTCGGTTCCCGCGGTGGTGACCGTGGCCGTGGACGTGGCCGTGGTCGTGGTCGCCGCGGCGGCAAGAGCGAGGAGAAGGAGTGGCAGCCCGTCACCAAGCTCGGTCGTCTCGTGAAGGCCGGCAAGATCAACAGCATGGAGGAGATCTACCTGCACTCTCTCCCTATCAAGGAGTACCAGATCGTCGACTTCTTCCTGCCCAAGCTCAAGGATGAGGTCATGAAGGTGCGCGCACACAACACCCGAAGAAGAACGAATCCGAACCCGATATATATCGAAAAGTGGCAATGGAAGACGGAATGATGACTTCGATTCTCGCCGATTTGCGCATAATCGAAATATCTGGGGGAGGAGGGACTTCAATGGGTTTCTGGAGGGAAATGCTAATTCGTTATTTTTTCCCCAAACTACAGATCAAGCCCGTCCAGAAGCAGACCCGTGCCGGTCAGCGCACGCGTTTCAAGGCCATCGTCCTCATCGGTGACTCCGAGGGCCACGTCGGTCTCGGTATCAAGACCTCCAAGGAAGTCGCTACCGCCATCCGCGCCGCCATCATCATCGCCAAGCTGAGCGTCATCCCCGTCCGTCGCGGTTACTGGGGTACCAACCTCGGTCTCCCCCACTCCCTGCCCACCAAGGAGTCTGGCAAGTGCGGTTCCGTCACCGTTCGTGTACGTATAATCCCTGGGTCCGACACCTCTCGCAGACATACGTCGTAGGAGGAAAGATGCAAAAGACACTGACCGACTGACACGCACTACAGCTCATCCCCGCCCCCCGCGGTACCGGCCTCGTCGCCTCCCCCGCCGTCAAGCGTCTCCTCCAGCTTGCTGGTGTCGAGGACGCCTACACCTCCTCCGCCGGTTCCACCAAGACCCTCGAGAACACCCTCAAGGCCACCTTCGTCGCCGTCTCCAACACCTACGGCTTCCTCACGCCCAACCTGTGGAAGGAGACCAAGCTCATCAGATCCCCGCTCGAGGAGTACGCGGACACTCTGCGCGAGGGCAAGAAGTACTAGACAGCAACTCGGTGTTGTTGTCCGGTGTGGAATGTTGTTGTGGATGTGATGAGAAACCGAGGGAAGGAAAAAGGACACGCGGTGTGGGCTATCGGGCAATTTTTTCTCTCAAACGGAGTTGCGTGTGCGTTACCACTGCATCGTTGGTTGGCCAGGGCATGACATTAAGGCTATGGGCAAACTAGCTCGGATCTGAAAATAAAGATCAAAACTTCGACTGCAGATGATGGTCTTTTTTGTTTTTCACGTTAATATTATGAGCATGGAACTACGACGTCTTGGGCATGGATGCGGTGATTCCAGGGTTGCGTTTGGGGCTACTGACCTGATACAGGGCGAACGACACGATGAATGAGGGCGGCGTGGTTCATGGTATATCGACGACGGCACGAATCGAGGGCGACTGTGATGATCCGGGCAGCAGTTGGGGCCGCAGAGAGACCTCTTGCACAGCTCAATGCCGGCTATTCTTCGACTGAAGGACGGATACCAAGATCGGCTTTCTCGAAATGGAGGCGGGATCAGCGAGTGCTGTCTTTCGCTGAATGGGCCACGAACAATGGCGAGCCAATATCTTCCATCAACGACATCCCGGGCCCAAGGAGAATGCCCATACCCACCTCACATTGAACACAACGCAACAGACACGCGGCAACAGGACATAGGGTGGAAGTATTTCGATCTCTAAATCAAAACGTGCACATCCAAATAAACACCCAAAACCGACGTCCCGAACCATTTCCAACTCCAACCCATGACTTCTAAAAACAATCATCGCCCTTGCCCTTACCTTTCTTGAGATCGTCGTCCTCGCCTTTCTCAAGATCGTCATCACCCTCGCCCTGTGGAAGACCACCGTCACCGCCCTTCAGAGGCACATCGTCCCCTCCCTTCTGAGGCTCATCGACCTCCTTGAACCGCACTCGCCGACCGCTCTCTTCTCGCTCTGGCTCCTCCGTCGGATACACCGGCGAGAACAAAGGCCGCTTCCTCTCAATAGTCACCGGCGCCGGCCGGGCTAATGGCGCCCTGGTCTCCTCCCTCAGCGTCCCCGGAGGCAACCTGCCCGCCCTGCGCGCTAGGAAGGCGGGTATGCTCTTCGGTACGTCAGGGGACAGCACCTCCGGAAGCCTGATGCTGCCTTGGTTATCCGAGACGATGTTGCTCGGGCCTGGCCGTCTGCTGCCGGTGGTGCTTTTGGCGGGCGCTCTGCCGTCGTCGGGGTTGAATTCCTCTGCGAAGATTTTGTTAGTCAATGATTTTTCCCGCCAAAAACCAAACCGCATCCCGAAAACTCACCATCAAGCATCCTCTGAAGGTGCCGCTCCAGAGCTCTCGTCTGCGAGACCGTATCCCCGCCCCAGAACTCCGTCTGCGGGAAGAACCTCGTCCTCGTACCCGGGCCCTGGTCATACGGCACCGAGAGCATCTTATCGAACATCGCCTGCCGCTCCTCCTCCTCCGTCGGCTCGTTCTCCCTCTCAATCCTCTCCAGCTCCGCCTCCTCCGCCGCCCTCTTCTTCTCCTTCTCCCTCACCTCGTCCTCCACGCTCCGGCGTATCTCCTCCTGCCTCTTCTCCGTCTGCAGATGCACAGGCCACCGGTTCATCGAGAAGAACTGCTTCTTGACCCCCGCGACCTCCGGCCGCGCCCAATCCCACACCCGCTCCCGGTGAAGCGTCATCACCTCCTCCCCGTCCTCGCCGACGGTGCTGAACCGCGGCCTCGCGGGCCAGAGCGCGCTATCGCCCTTCGAAAGCTCGTCGATGATGCCCGTCCTGACCACCTCGTACGCCTCGGCCTCCGTCATGTCCTCCTTCCACTTCCCCGGATCCCCGGCCTTGACGACGGCGGCGTACGTCACCGGCGGCCCGGGGCGGCCCGGGACGGGCTTCTCGTACCGGTTCCTCCAGGCGCCCGTGACGTCCTGCAGCGCGACGGCGCGGAAGTCCCGCTGGCCCGGGACCTGCAGCTTTTGGTCGAGCTGCCGCAGCGAGCGCGTCAGACCGTCGAGCTCCGTTCCGATGCGGTACGCGCGCGACCACAGCATCTTCTTCGTGAAGCCGATGCTGAGGTTGACGAAGTCGACGTTGGCGAACGCCTCCTCCCAGCTCCATTTGGCCCGCGGGTCCGGCAGGTTCGCCGCGTGGAACACGTTCGTCTGAGGGTCCCAGGGGTCGTCGTCCTTGGGCCAGTTGACCCGGTGCTCCGGGTGCCAGGTGCACTCTGGTCTGGAGATCATGGTCTCCCCGTCTTTGTCGACGGTGTACCTGTTTTAGTCGTCAGTGGTCATGATCCCTTGAACCCTCCCCTGCCAGAGAAACTCACCCGAGCCGTCCATGGTCCGCAAGCACCTTGCAGAACGTCTCGACCGAATCGCTGGAGAGGATATAATCTCCTTTCCTCAACCCCGTGTTCAACGCAGCCGTAACGCTTTCCACATCCGCCTTCTTCTCGTAAACCGCCAGCAAGCCATCCATGTCCATATCGTCCAGGAGCCTCTGCATTCTCTCCAAAAACACCTCAAACTCCCTCCCGAGCTTCGGCAGCGCGTCCCGCTCCATCTTCGTGTTCGTCGACGGCTCGCACAGCCACTGGACCCAGAACAGCCCCATGTCGTCGACGGGGAGATACTTGCCGTGCCTCTGCCGGTGCTCGAACAGCTCCTCGCCCATGTCCCACGAATCGGCCCCCTCGAACCCGTAGCGGATGTTCTTCAACACCCCCTCCAGCATCTGCCTCGGCGCCCGGTTGTACGCCCGCGTCAGCTTGTCCCTCAGCTCGTTCAGCACCCGCCACCGCTCCACCATCGCCCTCTCGCTCTCCCTCAGGAAGCCGAGCCTCGTGATCGGGCCCAGGAAGTTCGGCGGCGTCAGCACGGGGTCCGAGTCGTCCTGCGTCTGCGCCGCGAAGTCGGCCTGCTCCGCGTCCGTCAGCGCCTGCGCCTCCTCCGCCCTCTCGTACCGCGCCTCCCGCATGCGCTGGTGCCAGAACGAGATCCCGAGCGGGTCCAGCTTGGTGCCCTTGGGCGGCGAGGCGATCGCCTGCGGCTTGTACACGATCCCGCCGCCGGCCTGCTTCCTGGCGAGCTCCTTCTGCCGCCTCGTGAGGGGCAGCACGAGCTTGCGGAACGGGCCCTGGATGGTCACGTTCTCGACGCTGTTGAAGTGCGTGAGGCACTGCTGCAGCGCCGCGCGCTTCGTGCCGCGGTACCGCGCGAAGCGCTGCAGGACCTCGCCCTCGGGGTACATCTTCTGCGCGATTTGTGTCTCGCCGTCCACGTCGGTGACCTCCCCGACATCGCCGGCGACGAACTCGTGGCCGAGCATGTAAAAGTTGGCCTCGCTCTTCAGGTCGGCGGCGGTGGTCTCGGTTCCGCCGGCCATGCCCTTTTCGAACCACGTGTCTTCGGTGAGCGCCATGTTGAAGTCCGGCTGGTACTCGAAGGTCCTGCCGCGGTCTCCCGAGCCGGGCGCGCTGCTGTCCGACTCCCACACCACGTTCCCGTCCTGGCGGAACCACGTCAGGAACGTATCCCTCAGCAGTGTCGCGGGTACCTGATAATCCACGTCCTGGATGGACTCGGGGACGCGGTGCAGGAGATACCGCGGGCGGACCTCCTCCGCGGGCGGCTTCTCGACGACGACGGCCCTGCCGCCCTGGACCTGGGGCAGTCGGGTGCTCGTGCCGCTCAGCTGCGGAAAGTCGACGACGAGCTTCTTCTCGCCGTAGTGGTGCTGCTCGAAGACCCAGTGGGCGCGCAGCATGTCGATGGCCTCGAGCAGGTCGGCCCACCAGCTGCGCCTCGCGGCATCGGGCAGGCGGAGGCAGTGCTGGAGGAAGGCGGCGATCTCGGCGAATTTGCGCTCCCAGTTGATGGTGCGGTCGATGTCCTCGTCGGCGAGGAAGTTCTTGATGCGGACGAGCTGGATCTTGGGGGAGTGGATGCGCCAGCCGCGGTAGGGCATCATCTCGAGGTCGTCGGCCGGGATGGTGCCGTCGCGGGCGAGGAACTTTTCGAGCCAGTCCGGGTCGTGGGGGTCGAGGTTGTCGAGGACGGCGTCGTCGTCGTCGATGGGAGATTCGGACATGTCTACGTCGGAGGTGGGGGATTCCGAGGTCGGAGAGGGAGACTTCCTTTCGCGGGCGGGCGTGAAGACGCGGGCTTCTGTGCCGGGGGCTTCGCTTGGGGGCTCTGTGGCTTCTCTTATGGTTGACAGAGGCTCGAAGAGAGGTTGGTGGTGTGTCGTTGGCGTTGTGCCGGTGACAACGATGGACGGTTGCGTTGTTGTTGCAGAGTCTGTTTTGGTACTGATCGTGAAGCGTCCGGGCAGTGTTCCAGAAGGAGGTCTGCCAGTAGGTGTACTGCCTCCGACCAGCTGGATGTTGCCTACAGCTACGCCTGTCTGCGACATGTTGTAAGTACATCACCTTTCTTTCACGTGAACATAAACATACCGGAAGGGTAGTAGTCCTGGTTACCCCAGGTCTCGTCGTCGTCATGGAGTTGGATCTCCCGAAGGTTGCCGTAGCCATCGCCGCGATTCCAGAAGGCGCTTGAGGAGTCTCCTGGCCAGCCATCTCCTGGTCGCCATCCTCATCACCGTCTTCAGGCTCCGGTGGCTTTGGAAGCTCGTACTTCTTCGTTCGCCCGATGAAGTGGTTGCTGGTGTAGTACGGGTCAAACGTGGGCGGGTAGTCCAAGCCGTCAGGGGCATCGCGAGCCTTCCACTCAGTGGTGAAAGGGTTCCGCGGCGCCTCTCCACCATCAGCCGGAGCCTTGGGAATGCCCACGTGCGGAATCTTCGGGTAGACCGCCCTGAGACGACGCTCAGGACCGTACTTCCCGTCTTTCCCATCAAGACACGCCCCGATCTCCACGCCCTCGCCCATCCTCACCTCGTCCTGGCCATACTCACCACCCTCACCACCGCGAATCGCGTCTTCCGAAAACGCGACCCCCTCGAACCCCAACCTCTTCCTCCACTCATCTACATCCCTCCCCTCCCTAATCTTCCTTACCATCAACGCCCTCCTCCTCTTCGCCATCGCTTCCGGGTCTCTCGCGGCTTCGCGGGCCTGCTCCGTGAGCGTCAGCGCGGAGAACTCCTGGAACGCCTCCCACTTCGACCGTCCCAGGTCCGCGTCCCGCAGCCAGGGGTGCCGCGCGCCGTACAAGTCGGCCGCGAGCTTGTGGAACGCCTCGTTGGACTTGAGGAAGTCGTCGATCTTACGGGTGGAGATGAGGGACTCTACGTGCGCGAAGAGGCGGTGGGGAGGGTGGTGGTCTAGGACCGTCCGCGTGCGTTCCCAGGTTTCGGAGGGGAAGCGCATGTAATGCCGCTTGACCATGTCGGTCAGCTCAGCTGGATCATCGATCAGTTGTCAGTTCTCGTCAACGTTGTCTTCTCGTGGAGAGGGTTTACTTACGCATCTTTTCCTGGGCCATGACGGCGGCTGCGTCTTCTGACGACTCTCTCCAGCCCAGTGGTTTTGGCAACTGAAGTTGCGGTGAAGGGTGCCTTCGACGGACAAGCTGTCCGGTTGAGAAAGGGACACGGTTGAGCCGCGATGCAAAGGAGAGACTAACAAGAGGACCAAGTGACTCAGGACAAAAATCATCTCTCACAAGAGAGGACTGTGACGCTCACACAAAAGAGAACCGAGGAGATGAAAGACGAAGAGAGACAGAGAGTTGGAAGAAAAGCTCGCGACTCCTTTCCTGCATTGCGAAACATGGCCGTTTTGAAAAAGGCCTCCTCCCCTCCTCCCCAAAGGAATCCCAAAGAAGTCAACTTCAATACATTGACAAAATCGGATACGTGTACCACCTCTCGGTATTCTCTTGCATTATTCCCGTGCTCGCGACAAAGAGTCCAATGGCAGACGCAGCACAAAGGGATAAAACGGCCAATGCGGACAATGCATTTGCGCGGCAAGCTGATTGCCGTTTTCGGACGCGGCTTTGAGCGACGTGATTCTAATTCCGGGATGCGCAAGCGAATTCTTTGTCACAGCCGTTTACATTGAGCGCAACGGTTGTCCATTCTGTCGCAGAGATGGTGGTGGTGGTCTGGGATGAGACCTGTTCTGGCAGCGCGCCTTTCCGAGGTGTCGCCAAATGATGCCACAAAAGGTCTCCAGAGTCCTTAGTATGACTTCAATTGTTGAAATGGGCCATTGTTGTCAGAAGATGAAAAGGTCCTGCTGCAGACTGCCGTAGAAGGATTCAGATTCGTCAAGACTTTGCGTGTCTTGCATGACCAACGGCGATGTCAAGTCAGGATTTTGGGGAGGGTCGTATTTCTCATACCAAGAGTCACTACGATGCCCACGAACCACCCATAGATGAAGATGAAGTTGAGAGTCTTTCAAAACCGCCGTCGCCTACACGACTCTTACGATCTGAATCTCAACACCATGACGGCGGAGATACTGCGAGACCAATACACAATGACAACCAACTCGATTCCAGGACAGGATACGATGAAGCTAAGTCAAATGAATCACACCTCATGGAGCATGTTCGAACCGAGAGAGAAACGCAAGAACTCGAGGCCCGCTGGCGTCGTCGTCTCCAGGCATCTACTCCACCCCAAGCATCATCACAACCACCTCTCATCATCGGTGCGCCGCTAGGAAAGAACCTCAACGCAGTCGAGGCAGCAACACGGCTCGTGTCACAATGGGAAGCAATCTATCACTCGAATCCCGCGCTATCTGTTCTCGAAGCTCTGAATCAAGCCCGCACTCAACTCACCTCTCTACAACCCTCCGACGAGGCCACCGTCAATCCGGATGAGACAATAACGACAACAACACCTCTCAACTACCTCCAAGAACACAAACAAACGGCCATCTCAGACCGCATCAAAATCTTGGAGTCCGCCCTCCTAGAATCGAGTTTCCCTCCGGAACGCGCCAACATCTCCGCAGCAATATCACTCTACCGCACATCCCGCATCCCCTACTCCTCAAACTGGGCCCTCATCTACGCCGGAGCCCTCGTCGACTTCGCACCGACATACAGCTCCTTCACCTCGGACCGCGCCGAGCGTCTGGACCGCTACGAGAGGATGCACGGCCCCGGATGGCTCTGGTTCGAGCCGCCCCTGGCCCGCGACTCCGCGCCCCTCTTCTCCGCCCGCCGCGGGACGTGGGTCCCGGAGACGGACACTTCTTACGACATGGGACACTACAGCATCACCATGTCTTTCCGCCGCATGAAGAACATCGTGCACCGCGGCACCGCTCGGAAGAGACGCCATTCCGAGATTCCCCGTGAAGACGGAGAAACAGAATGGCCCCTCCCGGAGTCCGACTCGGACTCGGAAAGCTCTCTGTCGTCATCCACGCCGCAAAAACCAGCTAAGTCGACTAGCCCGCCCACGGATCTCCGCAGGTCACGCCCCACGCGACATCCGGGCATGAGGAACGACTCCTCCGCGCCGACGCTGCATTTCAGGATGCTCCTCGACAGCGGCGCCACGCTCCCGATGCTCTACGACCGCGACGCCGCGGCGCTCGGAATCAACCGTAAGTCGTACGCCGCCGTGTCCCGCATCAAGGTCGAGACGGCGGGCGACGTGCTTTCGACGTGGCTCTACGAGATGCAGGTCTCCATCGTCGACACGACGACCTGCGACTCCCTGGTCTCGTCGACTTCCCCTGTCTGGCCCGCAGAAGAACACGCCTTGGGCGGCATCGTCCCGGTCATGGTCCGTCCTTCACCGGCCGGGTCAATATTTTCCGCGCCGGCAGGGAAAACCGGGGCATGTGCGCAGACGGTCGGCGGGGAGATCACGCTTCTTGAGACGGCGACGTCGATCGTCGACGAGGCCGAGGGGCGGGACTACGGACGTCTTTCGGGGCTTTTGCCTTTCAAATGCTGCTATGTCCAGTCTACTCCCGGCCTGAGGGCGCTGTGGCTGGGCGAGGACAGGCGAGATGTTCTGGGCGCGCAGCGGATGCCGGGACAGATGCGCTGGGCCCCTGGGTCTAATCGGGTTTGCGATCCGGGACAACCCAGGAGCCTGTGGAAGGAGGTCTGCGGTGAGCGCAACGGGAAGCCCGTGTTACTGAGAATGGCGCACGAGAACGACGTGTCTGAGGGAGATGGTGGTGATATAGTGCGCATGGTTGATTTCGAGGAGAAAAATTGGAAGGGCCGGAGCGAGGTGTTAGTTGTGGATGGCGACGGGGTTCGGACGAAGCACATTATCGAGCCCAGATCGTTGCGGAGTCAGGGTGTGAAGAAGAGGAAATTGGCGGAATAGGAGGAGAACGTGCGGCCGTCGCTATTCGAGTAAAGTTTCAACATGACGTGTTCTCTGAATCTTGGCATTAACCGCTTTGGTAATGGGTGATGTTGTGAGCGCGTCGATCGATGTGTCCGGAGAATACGAAAATCGCCGACGACGAAGGCCAATCAAATGACCCACAAAATCGCCGGACTTCCGGAGGTCGCGGCGGCTGGAGTGGGTCCCAACCCGGGTCATGGACCGCCCGAATTCCGCATCTGGAAGGTATCGTATCCTTCGCAGAGAGAAGCTGGAAGCGCTATTTTACCCATTCATGATCTCCTGAAGGACTTTGGCTGTCGGAAGACGCCGTCTTTCTTCCCGCCGAGCCCGGTGCGGTGACTCGGAACGGCTTCAGATTGTTGGCATCCTAGTTGCCGTTCCACCGCCGCAATACCGCAAAGATGCGGATTCGCAGGTCCAAGGAACTACATATATAAGCTCAGTCTTTATTGACAACATGACATATTTTGCCAAGCCCCAAGTCATCTCGAGCGAAACGTATTTAGAAAAAGCGCCATATAACAAGCTTTCAAGATGAACGACATCAAAAAGGTATAGTAATCTTACCCAGCACTACGTCTCAGAAGAGGAGAGCTTACTTTTCATGCTTCAGATAATTGTTATCGGAGCTGGACCTGCGGGCCTGGCAACAGCGCTCCTCCTCCAACGAGATCACCACATATCCTGCACAATCTACGAAATCCGGCCCGAACCAAGCACCTTGGGAGGCGCCATCGGCATACCGTCCAATGGTCTGCGCCTCCTCGATCGTCTCGGTCTGTATGACCAAGTAGCTGCCAAGGGCGCTGAGACCTCCAGTCTACTTCTACATTCGCTGAAGGGTAACGTTCTGGGGAGGATGGACATGGTCTCCTGGAGCCAAGAGCGGACTGGGTTCAGCTACCTGCGAATCAGAAGAACCGACATCATGGAGGTGCTCCTCAAAGCCGCAGACGCAGCAGGGATTCAGATATACTACGGCAAGAGCCTCAGGCGGATCGAAGAACGCAACGGAGCCGTTACCGCGTGCTTCAAAGACGGCACATCAGACACCGCCGACTTCCTGGTCGGATGCGACGGTATCCATTCCTCCGTTCGGAGGCTCTACGTCGACCCGGAGTGCACGCCCGAGTACACCGGCATATCGAACGTGTACTCACTCGTCCCGACGGCTAAGCTTCCGCCAGCTGCAGGTTCGATGGCTGAGCTGAACGCAACCCTGACCTCGGACGGGCTGCTGGCCGTGAGCCCCGCCACGTCCTCCCGTGACCTCTTGTACTGGTTCTTCTCCAGGGAAGTTCCCCTCCCCGCTTTCGGCGACATCCGCGACGGCTGGGAAGAGCGCGGCAAGAAAGAAGTTGAGGACTTCAAGGACACCCTGCTGGGTCTGCTCGGCGACTCTAAGACTGAGTGGATCGAGACGCTGCGCGAAATCGTTTCGATGACGGAGGTCGTCAAGTTCTATCCGGTCTACAAACTACCAACCGGGAGGCCGTGGTCCAAGGGGCGCTGCCTCATCATCGGCGACGCCGCGCACGCCATGCCGCCGCACGCAAGCCAGGGCGTCTCCATGGCCTTGGAGGATGTCTTTCTGTTCTCGAAACTTCTGGGCAGTGATTGTGTTTCCCTCGAAGACGGGCTGGGGCAGTACGAGCGGAAGCGTAAAATGAGAACCGAGCAAATGTTGAAAACTACGGAACGCAATGGCCAGGTTCGAAAGAAGAAGGATCCTTGGCGCCTCAGACTAAATGAGATGGTGTTTTCGGGCGGGTTGTGGATTTATAAGGCGGCTGGTTTGAGCAAATTGGGCATGGGGCAGAAGCTGTTGGCGTATGATGTTGATGAGGAGGTTTTTGATAGCAACGGGTTACGAGTTGTCAATGAGAAGGATTAGCGTCGGCTTCTTTCTGTTTTAGCCGGCGGTATATGGTATCACTCAACTCGTTCTATCGTTTTTGAGGTGACCCTTTACAATTCCTGCTTCGGGGTTCAACTCTTTGGTCATGATGCGCCAAGTGAGGATTACCAGGTTGAAGGGTAAATTTTGAGCATGTAAAACAATGTTAGCAAAAAAGCCTACATCGGCACAAGAAAGCGAACACAGCATGGGGAATAGAGCAAAATTTGGAGATATACGAGAAGCATAATCTTGCTTGTCTAATAGCCATTTCATCTCAAAGTTTAGCTCAGCCCTACAAGGGCGGTCCAGTCGGCTCCGACCACCGACCGGACACCGGCACGGCGATTTGCGATAAACGCCGGACGCAGTCTGACGTCGCCGCCGCGTACGTACCTATTGGCGAAAATCTGTTTACATCAGCTTACTCAACCCGCCAAGCCAATTACTCGTACTCTTTTATTCACGAATTCTTCATGGATTACCTTCTTCAAACTGAAACGTTCAATGAGATTCAATCATCTGAAGATACGTGAGGACAGCGGTTTAAACGGTCACACTAAAGCGTAATTCCTGAACCGGCCGGCCCCGGTGCTCGGACCTTTACGACTTCATATATAACCTCCGGCCCGCCGTCCCCTAGTCCCACGAGGCCCGATCGACAGGCAACTTCGTAATCGCCGACTGCCACCCGCGAGCTATCGGTCCACTCCCTCAGATTGCCGCCCCCTCGCCAGATCGTCTGTCCCCCCCGGATCTCAATCACACGCCACAATGTCATTGCCGTGGGCGGCTCCGTCACACCTCGTGCCGGCTCCGAACCGACCGCAGCGTGTAGAAGCGACCGCGAAATGGGGCGCGGCGTGTGCGCAATGTTCCGTGGCTAAAGCCAAATGTCTTCGATCGAGTGGTGGGATGGATTCGAAATGTGACAGGTTTGACACATTACCTGCCGGTGTTCTGTGTGAAGGTGACTGACTGGCCTATTTGTACCAGATGCCGGAGACTGGGGAAGGAATGCAGTGAGAAGATACGCGGGCCGCGGAAGAGGAGAGAAAACAAACCATCGTACGTCATGCTGAGTACACCCAGCCGTTCTTCACTCACTTCACTCTTTGGGTTTCATCCATCACTATTCCGAAAGCTCCGCTCACTGTACATCCAATTGTAGGAAAACTGCTCAACTCGAAGAGCGTCTCAACAGTCTCATCAACGCCCTCCAGGGATCTGGCCCGAGTGACATCGCTATAACAGTGAACAACTTACCGACGGACGCCGTAGGTTTCCTCTCCATGATGCTGAGCGGGTAATACCAACTCACACACAACAGACACCGCCCGTGCCTACCAACCTGAGCAGGTTTTCAGATAGCCCCCGGTGTCACATCCAATCCATGACCATACCGCCAACATACAACTCCTTCGGACCTCGAACATGCCTGTGCCGTCCCTCCCCAGGCCCGGCGCCCCCTCCAACCGACTCCGACCCAGCCCTCCTCTCCATCTTCCAGGGCCCGCTAACACAAGTCTACCCCTTCGTCGTGATCCCGCCTGGCACATCCGCCGCCGACCTCCAAGCCTCCAGACCCTTCCTGATGTCCTGCATCCGCATGGTCGCCTCCTTCCGCAGCCCGAGATCCATGCAGGCCCAGATGTACCAGCTCAAAGCACACGTCGCGGAACAGATGCTCCTCCGCTCCGAGAGGTCCCTCGACCTCCTCTCCGGCCTCGTGGTCATGGTCGGCTGGTACCACCACCACTGCATGGCGCACACCCAGCTGCAGAACCTCGTCGCGCTCGCCGTCACGCAGGCGTCGGAGCTGGGTCTCACACGCAGCCCGGGGTACCAGGAGCGCACGAGCTTGATGGTGCAGAATCTCGGGGAGATCAGGGAGAGGACGAACGAGCAGAAGAGGCTGCTCCTCGCCGTGTGGTATCTCAGCTCGACGTGAGTCCCCGAAGCCGGCTGCATCTTCCCAGCTTCTATACGCGTTGTTTACTGAAATTGGTCGGCCAACAGAGTATCTGGAGGTCTCCAGCAGATCGAGTCCCTGACGTTCACGCCGTACATGCGGCGATGCCTGAGAGACCTGGAGACGGCCCGAGAATACGAATCAGATGCCTATCTCGCGTGCCTCGTCAAGATCCAGATCCTCTCAAACAAGATTACCTCGCATCGTCAGAGCCGTGAGGACGACGAAGAGGATTCGGAAACGGTTTGCAGAGCCCCCTTTTCGGCATATACCTCAGCCTTCGACGCAGAGCTCAAGAACCTCGTCAGAGACATGCCGACGAGACTACAAGACGACCGTGAGTCAAACACCCTCCATCCATCTCAAGCAGGCCCCCCTAACATTCAAAACACAAGACTTCATCCGCGCCCGAGTAAACGGCGTCCGTCTCCGCCTCCACGAGCCCCCGGAACTCGACGCCGCCCTTCTCTCCTCCCTCTCCAAGTCCTCCATCGCCTCGGGATCACCTTCACCCCTCGACGGCTTCTACCGCGCCAACGCCGCAATCAAGGCGTGGTACGACGACTGGCTCGTCATCCCCATCTCGTCCTACAACCTCGTCACGATCCCGGTCTCCATGACCATCATCCACGCCATCACCACCCTAGGTCGCTGGGCGAAGCTTCTCCTCGCCAGTGACATGCGGCGGCGGAAAGCGCGGCAGCCCTCGGAAGGGTCTCTTGTGCCGCCGCCGGACCCCTCCGGCGACTACAACAACCCTTCACCCCTCGACTCGGCCACGACCACGATGAGGTCTTCCTCGTACTCCCCTGCCTCGTCGCCCGCCGACGACTCCGAACTGGCACAGGCAGTTTCCGCGCTCAAGATCCAGTTCGCCACGCAGCCCGCCCTCGGCCTCGACGTCTCGGGCATCCTGGGCCAGCTGGGCCGCTCCATGGAGGAAGCCAGCGCGTTCCTGGCTTCGCAGAGCGAGGATCCCCCGGATGCGGGCCACAACATCTGGTCCTACACCGCGACGAAGCTGAAGATTGCGCAGCTGAAGCTCGAGCAGTGGGCTGAGACGGTCGCGGGTGAAGAAGAAGATGAAGACGAGGAGGACGAGGAGGAGGGAGAGGACCCGAACGGCGACGAAGAGCTGAATCATCAGACCATGCAGGGGATTCTTAGCGGAGGTGCCATTGACAAGAATGTCGGCTCATTCGTTGGTCCGGCGAGGGATTTTGGAGTGTATGAGGATAACTGGGTAGGCGGCGGTGACATGACGGGCGTCTTTGACAATCTCGGGCCCTTTTCGTGGCCAGATGGCGTTGGGGACTGGGGCGCTGCCATAATGGGCTCGATGCATCAAAACGGTTGAACGCGGCATGCCTTCTGGTCGCACAACACTATTCGTAACCCTTCCCTGATTGATGTCCTTGGGTCTCTCATAACTTTCATCTCATAAGGTCAATGTGCTGGTCTTGTCAAGAGAACCGTGAATCGACCTCAACTCGTCCGGCCGGAAATACTCACTAGACAGTATCATACTATGTATGAGTGAAAGGTCTGGGTGCTTTTACCTGTCGCAACATTTCAAGTCCTGCTTCTTCTTCCGTTGCTTGAAGCGGTCTGCCCAAGATTGCACACCTCTTGATATTCGACATGAAGGCTGCAAGATCCATCGAGGTACTTGACAAGTGCATGCTTCGTAAGTCTGTGCCTGACACGGCAGTTTCCCAGATTCCTTGAAATAGGCTATGTTTTGCCATCATCTAGACTCAACTGCCTCCTGGCACATGATTCTCTTTCGAACTTGAGAACTTCAATAACCAACAGAGACGAGCACAACGGCCAAGGTATCTCAATGGCAAATCCAACATCAGCAAGGGAAATCACAGTTGAAATTCAAACATCGGCTTTTGCTCATGAGGCTCCGAGGAGACTTACATGTGCCCCAGAGATGGGCAGCAAGTTGCACCCGAAACGGGCGAGAACACTTGTTGATGATTGTATAGCAAAGTCCATACACGACAGTACTTTGACTAACAATCAAGCTCGAGTACGAACAAGAAGCCAACTGCGAGAAAGAAATACAATCTATATTTCGCTTCGCCATTAGACAGCCAGGTCTTACCCTCGACGAGGCAAGACTTCAACAACACATCACACCATATTCCACGGAGACCAACTCAGCCTCTGTCGACGCAAAATCCAGAGCATCAATTGCGAACATCACCATTCCCAGAAGACAGACCTCTCATCTACAACCAACCAAACACGTGAACTCACCGCATCTTCCTCGACCGTCTCGGAGACCAAACATGGGCTTGCCCCGGACCATTTAGACAACAACCCCCCCTGGATCTCGCGCATGCAAATCTCGGCAGCATCCGCCCTTTTCCCCAGGGGTCCCCGAATAGGCATTCCGTCATCTCGCCTGCCAGTCGGACGAGCATGGTCGATGGAAATTTGCCTCCGGAGTAAAGTGGGATAAAACGGACAGAACACGAGTCGGACGTTCTCAACAATGCGTCCCATCCGACTCCGATCCAAACCCCAAACAGACTTTCAATGCCTGCAAGTCCAGGACCCAGATGAGTCCAAAGTCCATTTTGAATGTGGGCAGCAGCGGCTCCAATCAGCCCCCAGCTGGATAATTTGAGCGACGAAAGAAATCCGAGCGCTTGCTCGCCGTGTCTTTCGCCTTGGAATTGCAGGCTAACCGCTATAACGTCGAGAAAGAAGTCAAGACTGCTTTCTTCTTGTCAATGCCATTCTAGCCTGTGCCAGGTTACTTGGCGGATCGGGTTTTCTGCAAAGACGGAGACGAAAACCCAATTCGATCGCCGCGCGCTCTCGCCGCCGACCAAGAAAGAGAGGGCTGCCGAAAAGAAGGCTGGTCGACATGGGGGGTCGTTCGTTCGCCCATCGCGATCTGCCGGGGGAAAGCAATGGCCGAATCGCAGGAGACCGCAACAAATGACCAGAGTCCACTCGGACTCTCTTGTTGGTTGAATACGAAGCAATGGATTTTCATCAGACGTTTCGCCCTGAGCGGTCGTCTCCCTTTCTGATAAGGCGAAATCAATGATATCCAACGGGGGCTTCCATGACCAACCCACTTCAATCTCCCTCTGCATTTGCCATTGGGGTCCAGGCACAGCGCCGAAATGGCGATAGCAAGCCTTTCCCCGCCGTTCGTTGGACGGCCGTAAGGCTTCGCGCAATCGGAGAATTAGGGCGAAAGTGCTGCCTCGTGGTTGCAGGAGATTGTGAAGCCCACGCGATTGCGTTTGGTGCTTTGGGGAAGGGGTGGGTGGCTGGGGGGTCCGCCAATTGGCCACCTTTCGATTATTCGATGCAAATCCAAGGGGATTCGCGCATCCTCGAACCGGGACTTGCCACTATTTCGCAACAGCAGGAGGGCATGCTGTTCGCGCGAAATCTTGTTTTGCGTGCAGGCTTACGGTGGGGAGGTGAGAGGGAAAGGAACTGGGCGTGCGCGTGGCTTGCAGATGCGAGAGTGCAAATCTGCCCAATCCAGCAGCCAGCGGCGAGCGGCCCTGGGCGGTCGGCCTGCGGTAGCCGTGTCGCGCGCAGGAGGTAACGCGTAAAGTGGTTTTGTTATTCGTTGAATCCGGCCTTGTTGGTAGTAGTGCTCCCCTTGCCCGCCGTAGGATCATGGGTGGTGGTGGTGGTGTTCAGTCCGTTTCGCTGCCGGCTTAGCGTTCTGGTTGGCGTGCGACTCGATTGAGGAATGTGGTTGTCGAACTAGATCCAATTTCCATCCGAGATCTCGAGGGGAGACCCCTGATAATATTGAACAACTGGCAGACATGACAATCAAATCTGACTGCTTCCGGCAAAAGCATGTGCTTGTGTGTATGTGTGTGTGTGTCTCTCGGTTGTTGATGTTGCGATGTTTGTGACGCGGCTGATGGGATGCAAGATACCACGTAGAGAACGCGGCGGAGGCGACGTCGAGATGTCGGTCAGCGATTATCAATGAATGTTTGGTGGGATATTCATGTCTCAGTCTGCTGCGTTGATATCACCATTTTCTTTTTTCGCACCTGCGGAATCCCAACCAACACCCCTTTGAGTAGCCTCCTTTAGCAACCATCCCCGAGCCATGTTCCATCACCCACGTCTGTGCGGGATGGCATCAGAGTGTCTTGCCTCCAGACGCCTGGACATCGAGCGTCCGGTGAGCAAACGGTGGGCGAAGACGACCTGGCACGGATGGGGAGGAGAACGATAAGGCCTCTGAGCGCCGTGTTTGTGTTTCGAAACCGCATCGTGATTCCAACAATAATCTGTCAAATACGCGTTGAAGACACGGTTCGTTGGCTAGCGTAGCAACCCGTGCGCCTGAGTCGGTCCTGACTGCGGCGATGAACATGTGCATCTTGTGCTCTTTTGGGGCATTCAGCTGCACCAAAAGCCCGTAATCCTCGGTGTCGCGAATCCATGCTGGCCATGCTGATTGCTCAATCGCTGCCGCCGAGGCAAATCCGCCCAGGCGCTGGCCCCGGCAAAGACTGCGCAATAGTGCTACAGGGCCGGCTGACACCCTCCACGAGGTCCCGGAATAGGCAGGCCGGTCGGCGGATCCGGTGTCCCGTCTGTGGGGGATGTGCCGGGGAGGCGGTGGGTCGGTCATTACAGGATTCGGGCCCCGGGGAGATAGACGCGAAGCAACAAACACCCAAAGCGAAACCTTCAATTGATGTTTCTAGCAAGGACGCGGCGCACGCCTTGGAGATGCAGGTAAAGTGTTGGCTATGCGGAATGCTGCGGCCGCAGCTCGAGAAAAACCGGGAAGCCGGTTGCTGCGGTCGAGTGCTCGGGTGCTTAGACCAGTTCGTGATAGCTTCTGTGGAGAGCGTAAGGACCAGGGCAGCAGATTCCCGAAGTCATAAGTCATTGTGACGAGCAAAAGGACTGTTTTGGCTGTGTCGACCCGTAGCGAGTGGCACGATGCTGACGGAATTGTGTTGGAATCCGAGACGGCGCCTCTATCCACGATCGAGGCATCCTCGAATGTTTCTGCCAGATTGGTAGAAGCTCCACTGCTGTGTATCTCCGGAACGGCACCTTTGCTTGTTGCCCGGGTCCCAGCAGTGAGGATCTTCTCCCTAGATTACTCTTCTCCTTTTCGCATGACAGCAAGCATGTCTCTTTTCGCACTAGATTGGAAAAGGGCCTGCCAAATGTCGTTAATTGATGACGGATATGAAGTTTGGATAGCTGTCAAAATTGAGGTGGCTGGAGGCTCAAGGCTGAAATTGAACGAGGCGCCGATCGCCTGTCTGCAGTCGTGATTGAGACCATGTGAGCACAGGGCAGAACTCATCTACCGTTTCCGTGGTGAATGGCGAGCCATCTTGAACCGTCTCCTCCGATATTGACGTTGAGTTGTTGAACGGAGCGCCACGCCATTAATCAGACGCCTCCGCTTCCAAGGGCAACGGCACCGGTCAAGACCATCGTTCGTTCGAGAATCGGAAGCGTACCCTGCGTGGGCGCAGTTGTGCCTGACAAAACTCTGTAATGCACCCTGGTCCTAGGGTATAGCTCAAGCCAGCATTGAGAGCGTCCCAATCAAATTCCATAGTTGGCTGTCCATCAAATGCGTTCAGTCAAGATGGCGTTTCCACGTCTGACTTGTTCTCCCCGACGACAAGCCGTTCCTTCTCCACTTCAATTCCGATCCTTGAAATAATTTCAATAAACGGACGGCAAGCTGCGTGAACTGCTTAAATGTCCCGGCATAGCTCTACAGAGCTGCGGAAGCTAGGCAGCTTGCGGGCAAAAGTAATGCAGCCTCGCGTCATGAAGTTAACCAGAAGCCAGGCAACTGCAACTCGCCATAGGCACAGCTCAAGCGCAGCCAATCTGCGAAATCGACGGCCCGAGACGGTGCGATTGTCCAGGGCTCATGGGCCCTGGAAAGCTGAAGTTTCAACATGGCCTGGATCGAAATGCGTGGTCCGTCAGCTTTCACGAATTGCGTGTCGCAATAGTGACTGATCGTCCATCGGCGATGTGATGCTGAAATGGATGCCAGGGTCGATTGGCCAGTGACAGGCGAGGGAACACAGGGCTAAACCATCGGAAAAAGCCACTTCGACGGGTATCTGAGCAGTTTCTGGCGTCTCTGATTAGGGGCATTTGAAGAATTGTCAGGGATCTCGTTTGGGCCTCGATCTGGGCCTCTGGTGATGAACCGCGTTGTTTTTGCTGCGCCCAAAGGGAAAAAAGTTGACGGTCGGTGATCATTGCAAATGCCACGCGACGCGGCTACTCAGATCTGTCATCTGAATGAAACCCCTCGCTAGTAAACCATTCACCAGTAGGCAGAGAGATTGCAGATCT